GGGCATGGGCCACGAGCTCACTGTCATTGGCCAGGAACATTTTTAGTACAAACAACCTTGGGAAAAAAAAAAGGATCAGATGTTCCTAGTTCCTGGTTTTTATGACATCTGATATAATCTTTAGTAACACTATTAGACTGATAGTTGGGAATATTATAACTTGTTTACATGGGTTGTATGTTAGAGTATATCCCCCTATTCCGCATATCATTATCATCCTGATCTGCCAAGCATGATTCATAGTGACACCGGGTGCATTAGATCGGTCTAAATTTCTCTTGGAATAAACCCCTTACTTTCACCTGAAGGTTATTTAAAATCGTAGAATCGTTTCTGGTCACCCCATATTCACTCGCCGCGGTATGGATTTTATGCTTTTGTTCGCTCGAATACTTATAAAACAAAACGATCAGGTAAATCAAAGTATCTTGGCCATCGGTCTTGGCGTGATTAGTCTGTCTTATGACTGTTATACTTCATGTTAAATACTCCTAGCGCGTTGCAGGATCAGTCGGACTACACTATTGCTCCCTTGTTCCCGCGAAAATGTCACATCTCTGGGTCATCTACTCCGTATCTCTAGATCCTATCGCCCGTTTTAACTTGAGTTAATTTGAGGGGTAAAGTCAGCAGGAAGTCGATATGAAGTTCAGACGGTCGCAGGGTAGTTGGGCCGGGTCACCTGGTAAATCTCACGGATGGATGGAGTAAAGGCCAACAACAAACCGACCTTGAACAACGGAAAAAAAAAAAAAAAAGAAAAGGTTCAGTATAAGCACTGAACACTGTTGGCTCCTAACCTTGGCTAGACTTTCCTTTCTCTTGTCACAAAGAGTTATGTGAAATATATATATTGGATCCAAAATAGAAACGGAAACAAGTCACATTTTGTGCAACTCTCAAATACAATAACTGTTCATGAACCCCATACCCAGCCCTTTCTGCCGCAAAAGATGATCCAAAATATCAATCATCATGCTCACAGGTCTACAAACTCGCCGCGAAGCAGCTCATCTTCCTGGATCCGTTCCAGGTACCTAGCCACCTTTGTTGTCAATGTAGAGATATCATACCCGAAAAACTTGTATACCGCCTTGCCCGGCAGACTATGACCAAAGCGTGTCACGCAGATGCCCGCATCTGCGTACCGTTCCCACCCATTTGGCGCGTAGGGCTCAATCACCACAGCTGGTATGCCCCGGTGTCGCTGCAGCGTGTTACGCTTGTAATTGAGTGATTGTTTCTCAAACAGGCGCTGGCAAGGGAAGCTGACGATGCGTGCGGTAATACCTTTCTGCACCTTTAGTTGCTCAGCAACCTCCACTGCAAACGAAAGTTCAGCTCCAACCCCGATTAAAGTGACAGTAGCCGATTCGACTTCGGACAAAACGTATGCGCCGAGGGCTACCCCATCACGACGCGTGTTGGGGAGCTGGGGCAACGTTTGACGAGAGGTAGAAATAATACTTGGTGTCTGCTTGGCGCCAATGGCAGCAATCCATGCACCAGCCGTCTCCTCGCTATCGCCAGGACGGATGTACAAGATATTTGGCATCGCGCGATACAGGTTGGCCAACTCAATAGGCTGGTGGGTCGGTCCATCCTCGCCCATACCAATAGAGTCGTGGGTCGCGACGTGGATAACTTGGAGGTGCTGCAACGCACCCATTCGGACCGCGGGTGCAGCATACAAATAAAACATGAAGAAGGTTGAAGTGACTGGAATGATGGTGTTTGGGGAGTAAGCCGCCAGACCGTTGGAGATGGCAGCCATGGCGTGCTCACGGACACCATAGTGGATATAGCGGCCAGAATAAGTGCCATTGATGCCGCAGGTTGTGCGGAGTTTGGGCTAATGAAGCGGTTAGCAATTTTTCCGGGTCATGCTAACGTCCGTTGTTCTCACTCACGTGCTGGAAGTCAACTTTGCCAGGCCAGCTCATGTTTACGGATGGTGACAGATCCGCGGTACCGACTATGAAAGAGTTGACGTCTTTGGCAATTGGGTTGAATACTAAACCAGACGCCGTCCGGGTGGCAGTGGGTTTATCAGGGAAGCTGGCTGGGATATACTCCTGCCAATTGGCCAGAAGCTCGCCACGCACGCGAGCCATGAACTCGGCCGCTAAACCAGGGTGCTGAACAGCATAGTTGTTTACTAGGTGATCCCACTCTTGAACCCACTGCTCTCCACGCTCAGGAATCCCCTGGAAGAACTGGCGCACAGATTCGCCAATGACAAAGTGCTTCTCCGGGTTGAAGCCGTAAGCAGTCTTCATATCACGAATACACTCGGCGCCAAATGCAGCACCATGGGCAACAGCAGTTCCAGCAACGCTGCTGTCCAGACCGATGACCGTCTTTATATTAAGGAAGGTGGGCTTTTGCTTCGATGAGCGAGCTTGCTCCAACACAAGAACAATAGCCTCGATATCGAAGCAGCCGTCTACCACCTCAATCACGTCCCATCCACAAGCGCGCATCTTTGTGTTCACATCCTCGGTATTGGTAAGGTCAACAGATCCATCACATGTAATCTGGTTGTTGTCGTAGATGAGGGTGAGGTTGTTTAGACGGAAATGTCCGGCCAGCGAGATTGCCTCGAGACCAACACCTTCCTGTAAGCAAGCATCGCCAATCATACACCATGTGTGGTTGTTTACCACATCGAAACCAGGACGGTTGTAGGTAGCAGCGAGATTCTTCGTCGCCATGGCTAGACCTACAGCATTCGCAATACCCTGACCCAACGGTCCGGTTGTTACTTCAATTCCTTCGTGTTCAATCTCCGGATGGCCAGGACATAGTGCATCGACGCGATCTGAGTGGTATGATTTGAGCTGTTCTAAGGTCATGGCTTTGTAGCCTGTAAGATGCAGAAATGTGTATTGGAAGAGGCAGGTGTGGCCTATTGGAGGTTATTTCAGTATACATCAATCTCGAAGACTACATGCAGAACTAACCATTTGACAAGACAAAGCGGTCTCGGTTGAAGAATCCCGGAGTATGGGGTGCATAATGCATAACATATCTCCATAGCGCAATACCGATCGCAGCCATACCGATAGCACCACTAGCACCCAATCAGCTTCTGCCCAAACTGAGATAATGTTGCGACTATCATACCCGGGGTGTCCGCCATTGAATTGCTGGCAGAGGTCTGCAATCAATAGTCGAAAGGTCTTCAATACCAAGTCATGGTCCTTTGACAGCTTGTGGACAGGAGGCATTGCAGAGCTATGGACGCCGTTGACACCATTGCGTTGGGGAGCTTCGACAGCCATTTTAAGTGTCGTACAGAGCCGAGAAATAGGAGATCCAAATGTCCAAAGCTTCAAAGCTGGAGGGGAAGCTCATTGAAATATTGCAAGTGGTGATGCTTAATATTGCCTAATCGGGCGATCACCCCCGGACCCCACCTTGGGGTACATTTGTAGTAAGTTGGCAGTTCCATCCACACCAAAAGAGGTATCTCGAGCCACAACTTACTAGATCAAGTACTCTTTGGGCTCCCACAGCGCCTTTAAAGAATGGAAGTCGCCCACTGTTGTGAAGTTGCACAGAAAACACAAAATGACTCCTGTACCTCTCGATCAGCTAAACAGCCAGCAGGGCGTAAGAACGTCAGTGGGCGATCGCGTTCCCCTCCAAGTCTCCCACTCCAATCCCTCATTGCAGGTGACCGCAGACCACAAGCTCAAGTCTGTCGACACTCCTGTTTACGCCCCCAATCCAGGCGAGGCACTGGTTCATATCAAAGCAACTGGAATTTGCGGGTCAGATATTCACTTCTGGAAGACCGGGCGCATTGGGTCGTTGGTGTTTGAAGGCGACTGCATCATTGGCCATGAAGCCTCGGGCATCGTTCTGCAATGTGGCGAAGGGGTCAACCATTTGAAGCCAGGTAGACACGATTCATTTTTCAGTCTGAAGGGTTTTGAGCTGATAGTTTGCTAGGTGACCGAGTTGCCGTCGAACCTGGCGTTCCCTGCGAACACTGTTTCCTCTGTGACGAAGGACGTTATAACCTGTGCGAGCATGTTCAGTTTGCCGGCGTTTACCCTTATGAAGGTACCATCCAGCGTTACAAGAACCACCCTGCGAAATGGCTGCACAAGCTGCCGGACAACGTCACATTTGCGGAAGGCGCACTTCTCGAGCCACTTTCGGTGGTGATGCACGGCGTCAAGTCGGCTGGTCTTTCGTTGGGCCGTGGTGTAGTTGTATGCGGCGCAGGCCCTATTGGCCTGATCGCCTTAGCCGCAGCTCGTGCCTCGGGCGCACACCCTATCGTGGTGACAGATCTGGAGCCCTCTCGACTAGCCTTTGCGAAAGATTTTGTCCCTTCCTGCATTACCTATGAGGTGGATCGTACAAAGGATTCCAAAGACAATGCAGAGGCCATTCGTGCTCTCTTCGGGTCTGGCGAATATGTTGCTCCGGAAACTATACTCGAGTGTACCGGTGTGGAAAGCAGTGTGTGCACTGCTGCATACACTGTACGGCGGGGAGGCACCGTCATGGTCATTGGTGTAGGGAAAGCGATCATGAACAACTTACCTTTTATGCATATTTCTCTCGCCGAGGTCAGTTGTAATGGTGTCCCTGTATAGTGAACACTTCTTGCTGACTCTGCTAGATTGATCTCCGGTTCATCAATCGCTACCGTGACACCTGGCCTCCAGCGATTGCCTGCCTAAGTGGTGGGATCTTGGAGCTGAAAAAGCTTGTGTCGCATGTGTTCCCTCTTGAAAAGGCTCATGATGCGCTCCATCTTTGTGCTGATACTCGGAACGGTAGTATCAAGGTGTTGGTGGTCGATGAGCAGGAGGCTTCCTTATAGATGTAATAAGAAAGGTTGTTTTCCATCATCGCAAACCTCAGTGCTGCTGGAATTGTTGCTCCATTGAGACAATCTTGGTTAGTGCCGTCTAAAGCAGGAGAATCGCAAACCGAAGCAAATGATGTTCGACAATAAAAGGCTTGATTTGATACTATATACCAATTCAAGCCAGACAGAATCCCCGCACCAACTCCCACTTTGACCATTGTATTCCCTCAAAATGATGGCTGGCAAAATATTGACTCGATAACGGGAATTGGGTCCTTGGAAGAGTGCTCGCCTGGGCTCAAGAACGTGTTGTGCCCGGTGCAGTCAGGGCCGCTGTACTACGGTTAGTGAGAGTCCACTTGCTTGATTGGCACCGGACTTACGTGAAAAGACGACATGGCTTTTTCAATGACACAGTAAGAATATCTCTGTGACTCGTTAGTCTCGGCTGAAGCATGGTGGCTGGAAATCAATCTCACTCTTCCTCGATCGGATGGCAATCATTCAATGGCACATCAATACCACGGCTCTTGTCTGCTGTTTCAATACCCACCTGCATGGCCCTGTTAGCAATAATACGTGAACTAAAGGAAGAACATGCGCACAATTGTTCTTTTGGGGTTCTTCGCTGCCGACACAGAGAGAAGCATCAAGCTTAGAAGCGACAGCTGTTTGAGACCGTACATGACGCAGATGACAAGCAGAGGTCCAACAATAGTAGATCTGAGGGTATAGGATACTCGACAGTGCCTGGAAGTATAATGCAGAAGGTCGACGACTCTTCCTGCAAGGAGATGCCATCTGTCTTTTCCCTTTTATCCCTTGCGTCTGTTTCTTCTGCAAGTGCCAGGGGTTACGGCCAACTGCACTGCAAGATGACACCCCTTTTTTTGCAATGATCTCCCCTGTCCATAAGTCTGGAGTACTCCATAGCGAGGATCAGAATGTGACTGCTGTTTGAGCTGTACGGAGTACATCGTAGGTTGTGATCGAGAAGCAGTGTCGATCTATCAGTATTCTTAGATCTTGAGGAAAACTGGATGGATTGTATAGATATTCAGAGAATAGAGTTAATATTGCAAGCGACATGGGTTAATTAATAAAGGCTTGTCAAAAGACATCTGAAGTGTCCGAGGAGTGTCCGAGCAATGTCCAAGGAGAAGTGGAAGTAGCCGATGTCTCCCGAGTACCTCAATCTCTCCCCACTTCAACTTCAACTGGATGTTTTCTCTTTGCATTTCCTCGACTACGCTCGTATTCACAGTCCAACACAGACTTCATGATTCGATGACTCGATTCAATTCCCTGTGAACTGGGAAAGCCTTCACATGTCTCTATTCACGCGATGAACGACTGGGCCCAACCCGACGCGACTCCATCCAATTCTACCGATGCTGCATTTGCTTCTCCATTGGGCGCTACCAGCTGGAGCGATGGATTCGCCCATGATCCAGGCTTCTTAGCATCCCAGGAGGAGCTACGAGGCATGCTTTTCAATATCGCGCAGTCTGCAGCTCCGACCCGTTCACCGAGCCCAAATACCCAGGAACAAGATGCCACACAATTGCGCGACAGGGAGCAGACACCAACGCGTCCTGTGCTGTCAAATATCCGTCGCATTGAGTACTTGAAGAATTATGTTGGGCAGGTGGCACCATGGGTAAGTGACATTGCTTGTGATGTTCTCCGTAATCGCTGATCCCCGACCGCAGCTAGATATGTTCGATTCGCAATGTACGTTTCGAGTGCAGATTCCCGCATTGGCCCGATCATACCCCGCCCTGCTGAATGCGATCCTCGCGATATCCGCCCGACAAATGGAAAGGAAGGAGGGGATTCAAGACTCATTTGACAGCCTGGAGCTTTACCAGGAAGCGATTCGCCTGCTGAGCCCACTGCTGCAAATGCGCGATCCTAAAGTTGTTGCCGCCTGTGTACTGCTCTGCTGTCTTGAGATGATGTCTGCGCGCGCGCAAGATTGGCACCGTCATTTGGAGGGGTGTGCAGCACTTTTTGACACATTCGAAATGAATGGGTTCAGCAGCGGCCTTCTACAAGCAGTGTTTTGGTGCTACGCACGCATGGGTTAGTGTCCATATTGATGGTCAAATGACAAAGGGATATCACTGATTCAGAATGACTAGACTTATGTGGTGCGTTGATCTCTGATGGGACACAGAGCACTCTTCTTCGGCCTAGCAAATGGCTCGCACCTGGATGTCATGAAGATGATGCTGCACAGCTCTTCGAATCTGCGCAGTCCCCGGACATGCACGCCAACTACGCCGTATACCTCTGCGCAAAATCATGCGAGCTGGTGGCTGATCGTACTCATTTTGTGGAGCTAGCCGTTCAGAATGACTGCGCCGGAGAGGCCTTCAATCGCCGTTGGCTGCGAGTCTGGAACGATTTGCAGCACTGGCTTGACAACCGACCACCGGAGCTATTACCAATCCACACAACAAGAACCAAACCATTCCCCCATATCCTTTTTCTACATTGGGCGGCTATATCCTCGAACCAACTATACCACACGGCATGCATTTTGCTGCTCAACTTAATGCCCAAATTCATCAAGCCGCAGCCAACACCTGCAACGTCTGCACTGTGGCATGCGAGGCGCATTTGTGGAATTTCGCTCGCCAATCCGCATCACGGATGCTTGAACAACGCCATCCAGCCACTATGGATTGCGGGACGGCTGTTCAGCCATGTATCTGAACACGCGATTATAATAGACCTGATTCGCCATATTGAAGCCGAGACTGGATGGGGTGCTTGCTGGCGCATCCGCGATCTGGAACTAGCCTGGGGATATCAGGTCTCACGCTCAGACCGGACTATTAATAGACAGCGGTTTCCTTTGACAAGGTGACCATCGGTCTCAACTTGAATGATCTCAGCAAAGAAAAACTTTTACTATGTCTCATCAAGGAGGCACCACTCGCCTCGCAGGCTGTGCAAGCAGTTGTTTGTGTTCCATCCTGTCACTGTACGGATCCGGTCGAATCCACGCACAACTTCATGTTGTTGCGATTCGTGTGTCATCCGACGAGCCGCCAGCAGAAATGATGCCAAGAGACATGGATCCCAGCACTCCCGACGATCATTGTGGAGAGCAATACTGCATATCCGCTGCGCATGCCACAGCGGCGACATGGCAACGGAGTGGAAGTCGGCGATGCGTGCGGTGCGAGGCCGATTATGTAGTGAGAGAAACATAGCCGTGTGGTATAGCTGGTTCCCAAACAAGCCTGCTCCATTGGCAAAGAGAATAACCGGGAAACTTCTTTCTGGCCCAGCTAACTGATCATCCATCTCTAATTCCAGCATGGGCTGAAATTCCCGTGGACGCTCACGATACCATTGTTGCAGTTCTTCTATCAACTGAACCCATATATGGAGGGGGGTCGATCAGGACAAACCTCTTCGTTGTGCACAAATTGGATCGCTCTCGCGCAGAGCCATAGAGGGCGGTATGCGTAGAAGAAAACCATCTCAAATGGATCAGCCACAAGATCTACCTGTGTGGAATATGGGAATGACGGAGGAATCTGCATGCGCATGTCGCCATCGGTCACTAACGCTGTCGCAAGATCTGTGGTGCACGAACAAGTCAGCCAATAGTGATCAAAGCTATATATGCTGTTTTGGAATTCATACCAAGCCTAAAAAAGAGCCAATAAATCGCGGAATTAAGATCTCTGCCCACCGCCTGGGAACTCAGGGCCCTCATAAGGTCATGATCGCACTGTCTTTCAGGGTTCCACGTAGCAGTGATATTCGAGATACAGTCTTTCACTTGATCTATAACTCGTGGCAGTGCGACATATGTAATGTCTACCTGCATATCCGAGTCTGCGTGCCCAATGGACGTCTTTCTGCCCTCTCCCGGTGGCTTTTCTGGATGAAGCTGGTGGAAAGAAGTCTCGGACAGACTAAGAATGGACTTCCAGATAGGCGACGAGATCATCGCTAACTGAAGTCCTTGGAGTCCAAATGATTGACCAAGATCACATATGTCCAACTACTATAATCAGCACTGTGCAATCCGTGGTGGGTGGTTTCAAAAATCTCACCCAAGAGGCGACCTCATAACGATAATGCCGTAGCAAGGCTTGTGTTTCAGTGGGTGAAAGTGTCTCGATATTCGATTTAGGTGGTTGTTGTATACTGTGCAGGTTGGAAGGTAATTGATGCGACAAATTCGAAGGTATCACTAGAGTCTTCAAGATGACTCTCCTTGGTGATGGAACTTCTAGGTCCGATAGCCCCAGATTGGGTTCATTCATACCGAGAGCTAACAATCCTGCAACCGCCGATTCATCATTGTCATTGAGTATCGTGTAATTCCGTTCATCCACGGCATGGGGGGCTGGCTCTGGCCAGAATGGCACATCTTCATCTCTGGCATCGCTAAGTGTATTGGGGTCGGCTTGTTGTGGCTGTGATACAAAATTGTCCAGTGGATGATCCTTAGTTCGGTTGAAATTTTTTGAGGTCTCTTCAGTGACGAACTATATATGTATGGATCAGGTCTCTGCCTAGTGATTGTCACCGGAAAACCTACCCGAATCGCTTCATAACTAGCAGATTGTGTCTCGACTTCTAATGCTTGGACAGTGCGTGCATTTTTCTCCAAAAAGGTCAATTGGGCACCATATTGGCATTGGAAGTTCCGGTCAATGCAGTTCCGACATCGTGGTTTGCCTTCATCGCCTGCATACATGTACCTGTTAGCCTTGAACGTTCCACAGATCTAGAAACACATACATTTTCGCCGACGAACTCGACAGCGCATGCATCCAGTGCGACATCGGGTCAGTCGAGTTTGTTTTTGACGCTTCATGGCAGCATATTAAAGGCCCCAGGCCTGGTGAGGGGGGAGCTAGTGGGTTTCGAATCGGGAAGGTGCCAAGTCTCCAAATTAGGAAGGCGCAAGCACCACCGGGCATCACCTGACTATCACATGATTTGCTTTGTAATCATATTTACGGCCGTCCGCGGGTCCACGGGTCCACGGGTCCACGGGTCCACCTCATACAGGAACTTGTTGACAAGAAGCAGCTTTTGACATTCAATAATATATCAAGTTGCAGGCTACCTAGGTAGGGAATCATTAGGCTGAATAATCAACATTTGGTGGTAACTACAGCTTCTTCACTTTCAAACCTCGACTCTTCTTCCACTCATCCACGATTCCAGCATACACCGAAGGCCCATACACCCCGGTCAGCTCAGTGTAGAAACCACCCCCAAGTCGGTGGGGATTCAGTCCCAAATCGCGCAGGAGCATGTCATTATACTAATGAAATGGTTAGACTACGATATGCTGTGATTTCGCGCAACAAACATACCTGAATGGCCTCAACTTCAAGGCCAGTTCCCGTCAATGAACCCAAGATCACATCCTCCGAGATAGCATTCTCCATAGTCTCCAGCGAAAGATTTCCAAGCGAGAGAGCTTGGTCTGGGATTGACTTAATGTTCAATGGGGAGTCGAGCCCTCCTGTTAAAAACGCCGCCACCCAAAGAGCTTGAACCTCTGCAACAACAGCAATAGTTGATGATAAAATAACCCCGAGCGTTGCAAAGGAGCGGTCGCCTCGTGCGACTAATTCAGGTGCAACCATACGGCGGAATAGGCGATATGGCACCAGCTTGTGAGACTCGGCCCATGAGGGAGGACCCCGGTCTGTGAGAGCACATCTCGTCGCATTTAAAGTCTTCCTGACCATGACATCCGAACGTCGATCTAGATCGACCCAGTGTTTTATGCGGTCATTTATGGTTGATTCGAGTGGCCCCTTGATTCTCTCTGGTGTTTCCGCTGGAATTTCACGATTCCCGTGAATATCCTCACCCTCCGAGTCCACCAGGGCTGATAGCCCCAGTTCTAGACGGAGACTTACAGGTTCAAACCGAATCGGGACTATTGGCTTAAATCCGGTCGCGTGGATTACCAGATCAACTTCATCAATACAACTGCTGTCTGCCAAGCGCACCAAAGCTTTTGTGGATGAATCCCTGGATTTCTCCGGCCCGGTAGAGACGATATCCGTGATGGCTGATCGGTAAACGTTGACATTGGGCAATCTAATTGTTTCCCAGAGGTCTCCTTGGTTTGCGATACCAATACCTGATGCGCACGAGACAACACTGGAAATAATCAGTCACCGAGTATTACAAATGCCCTCTCATTGGACTTACCTGTTCTCTGGGCGAAGCTTTTCCATCTTTGGATCTGAATCATATTGCGCCGTGTCCTCCAAGCTTTGGTCAATCGATCGCCAGAGCCAACGAATCCACCATCGGCCCACTGGGTTGCCATGGAATAGCCGCGCTAGCCATGAGCCCTCCCAGTGAAGACCCCTGGGCCCGAAAGACAAACGTTTTGGAGTCTCGTAGCAGCACGGGGTGAGATGGGTGAGTAGTCGGCTGCTGGCAGCCTTATCGCTTGCAACGGTGTCGCCATTTGGGAGAGTAGACATTGGCGGTACCATCCACGCGGGCCCTACACCTCGATCACGGATAATCCAGTGTACTTGGACAGGATTTTCCTGTGTAGACTTAAGGTGCAACTTTGAGTCGTTGCGATGTAAAGTCGCAAAGAAATGCACCAGATCAAAGGATGATTTTGCACCACCATAAATTGCAACCGATCGCAGTTGTGGGTAAGGGGAATCCTTGACTGGAATGTGAACAGCCCCGGGCTCAGGTGCTTTCAGTGGCTGATATCCCAAGTGTTCTCGAGCCCAGTCTCCAACATATTTGGCATGGATAACTGGAACAGGATTATCGGAGGTCATTGATGACCCTTTTGTGTTGGGCATATTTGGTACCGAGGTCAGTCCTGTAGCCAAGACCAACTTGTCGCAGACAATGGTGATGCGCTGACCCGGGGACGTGGATACACTGATATTGAGCTTCCACTCTTTGCTTTCTAGACGGCTGATATCGTTGACCTAGAGATCATTCAGAAATCCCGCAATCGTAGAACCGAGAGTATCTTACCGTCCAGTTCAATCGTATGTGTTTTTTAAGCTGCCATTTCTCAACCCATACACGAAGATAGCGGTTGATCTTCCAGCCTGCAATGAACTGACTTTGTGTGTCATCCGCATGTTCCTCTGGAACAACGTCCGAAAGAGGCAGGTCACTGAATTCATAAAGTCCATATGAGTTCTGGCTCAACAAGTTTGGGTACAGGCGCTCCTCAGCCCAAGTACCCCCAATATCCGAGGCAGAGTCAATCACGAGAAGGCGACTTTCCGATGGGGCCGTTGGGGAAGCATCGATGTTCTCTGTAAAACAGGCAGGAATTTCAGCGATTTCATCGGTACCTTTGGCTGTGCTTTCACTGTCGTATTTCCCGACAAGTTGTAGATACGTCTTGGCTGCGATGAGACCGTAAAGACCTAAACAAGTTAGCTAACGTCCATTTTGATCGTCAAGTGCTACCAACCTGCTCCGACGATTACGACTCGTTCCATGACTGAAATTATTGAACGAGAGAGAAGAAAGGGGAAGAAAAAACAAGACGGAGTTTTTAATAAAAAGGTGTACAATGAAAGAGCAACAATACGAAGGAATAGCTCGGAGATGCGAGGATCTTGATATTGTTCGTGTGGGGTCACCACAACAATGAGAATTCCATGTATTAGAAAGATTGGAAATATTATGGAAATGTTAAGAGACAATTGTAATGGAATAAGTAACCGAACTTGGACATTATATTGTGAAGGTCTGCTGTACCCCAAACAGGATGAAGAGCGCTATTTATTTCATGGCTCCCCCCCCCCCCCCCATAACGATCCCACACCTCCAAAGTCAATGCTCCTGATAAATGTTGCTAATACACCCTTACTCGCTTATCAACGTTTAGGCGCGCTACCGTTATTATGGGAGATGGAAGAAAGATGAGAAGTGGAGAGGATCATTCCTTGCCAAGCAAGATTTGAAGCTGTGACGGGCACTATCAAAAGCAATACCTCATGTTATAGACAGGAACATTTACCAATTTTTCGGAGTTACTACATACTTTTGAACCAAACAGACGTTCAAGATTAAGGCCACGCTATTAATTTTATGAAAAACTCAGACCCCTTAATTTTCTTCGGGGCCACGAAAGACAATTAGAAGGATACATGGCACGCCAATACACGCCCAACATTCACTGTATTACACAACTCACAAACTCCCTTTTCCTCACAAATGCTCTGCCATATAGTCTCCCAAGATCATCCAATCTGGAATGTCCGGCATTGCCCCAATCACATCACCACCACCCCTCGTTTGAAATGGCCACTCAGGCAAAGGGCCTTCGTTGATGGAGTCGGATATTTGGTCAAGGTTTGGAAGGTTTGGGGTCATTAGCCCTCTCTGTTCGTCCTTGTTTTGCTGACCTACTAGTTGCGTTCTTAACGACGTTCTGCTTTGTGTGGGATGCCCTTCATTCGCTTGGATTTTGCTTTCTTGGGGCATGGCCAAATTCCCGAAGTTCATTGCCTCGTCTCCTGATGAGCAGCCAAAATCAAGAATCTCCCACATGAGACCCTCGTCTTCTGCGGACATTCTAGGCATATTCGAAGGAGTTGGCATTTTGGATAAAGCACCCGAGAAACCCTCCTGATTATAATAGAGTGACCCATAGTTTTGATGACGGGCAGCAAGTTCATTGACTTTGTTAACCTTGACGGAGAAAATAATCAGCAATTTGATTCCCTATTTTGTTAGCAGACTTACCAGGACGCTCATATTTTCCCAATACACAGACAGCTCTGTCATGAAGTCGACAAGGATTCGAAATTCTTTATTTAGCAGAAGAGCAATTTGCGGGTTTTTGCTGCCAGTATGCTCAAGTTGGATTGTTGCTGCGATCGCAGCCAAATACCCCAGAAAAGGATCACAGGTCTCAAAGTTGACCTCTGACATTTCCCTTATGAGCCGAACTATCCATCGAGAGTGGAGGAGTGATGTCTCGAACGACTTTTGCAGAAATGTTGCCGAGAGATTCCCGTTAAAGTTGCGAAGCTTGGTCATGATCACGAATGGGTGGTGCAGCAGACACTGGATTGAATGGAAAAGGAATTGGACACACACCCAGGTCGAGAGGTATGTACGTGGTTGTGGATCTTCTCGGGCGCGCCTTTTGAAATCAACGTTTATATATCGATGGGCGTCTGCAAAATGTGTTTCAAATTGCAACCATTCTGATTCGAGAATCGCGAGAGCTGATCCCGTTTGCCAGGGAGGTAGCGAGCTCTCGGCAAATGGTTCAAAGACATACTCCGTGGCTTTCCCCCATAAAGAGTACAGCCTCAAGAGACATGCGAGAATGCCATAATCAACTTTCTGCCCTTGTTTTCCCGGACCATCATGTAAAGACCCCTGGGCCAGGGACTCATTATCATGGAACAGTGCTTTTGTCTCTGGGGAAGGAAATGGAAGTGTGAATTGCTTGTCTGAGAGTGACAGTGAATAATTTCGGGAAGCACTATAAGTGCGATCGAGCATAAAAAATGCCCAAGTAATGCGCTTTCTCGTTTCGATCTCCAGGTCATTCGAGAGATACGAGTCCTTTGCTTTATTTAACCCCACTGATTGAATCGCACGTAATCCAAGGGCAACCGACGCATATGCTCGATGAGCATTTCCATCAGCAAAATCGACCTGGGCCATGAGGAATGTACCCTGGAGAAATGAGAGACCCATCTTGCCATCTTTGTATTGATTTGACAAGAGGTTCCAAGCTTTCTCCGCGAATATTCTTACTTGTGGTGTATTCTCATGCAAAGATCCACGAGATCGTCGAGGTAGGCGGGAAGTGAGGGCAACTAATGGAAATGCGACCTCCGGTGGTAACGAGCTCGTATATCTGAGCAACCACTTTTTTGAAAAAAGACAATATGGCTGGTCATGGAAGTAGGTAAGGAAGGTCTCCACTTCTTGCTCGATAAATGCAATTGGAAGACCACTTCTATTTCATTTTCATTAGGATATTTGTGATGACCAATGAGCGGAAAATGCAAACATACTCTTGTGAAGACAGCGAGTGATTCTCTGGGCAATCTATTATTTCGAAGTCGTCATAAGAAGCCTCTTGCAGCTCGCGATTATCATTGAGCTGGTTATCACTGGATACTTCACGTAACGAATTAGACCTTGGTAAGGCTTCTCTGTAGGATTCGAAATTTTTTTTGATTAGCGACTTCCAGGGCTTAGATACGAAGTGTTTTCCATACTGGAGTAAAAGTGCCATCATGTCTAGTCTTTCTTCGATGCGCTGAAGCCTCCCTGAGCTCGACCCAGAGCTCGAGATATCCCCTTGGGTCTGATAAATTTAGCATAGTCCCAAACGTCACCTCAAGTCTAATGAGCCGACTAGGATAGAAAGCAGGAATACCTCATCGATGCTGTGTTGCGTCTCCTGGCTTTGCACAGGAACCGAAACCGAGTGGTTATTTACACGGGATGCCTGCGGTCCGTATGAGCAGCGTTGCCCTAGCCTATGGCACAGCGAGCATGCCGGCTTCTCGCCTGGGCAACGCGCCTTCTTCCGACTATCAAAGTCGCATATTAGAAATGGAAAGTCGGCAATCGGGTACTCTGACCGTTTCAGGATCTTCTTTTATCGGGGGCTTGGCACCTACCGACAAGGACCACAAGCTTGCCGGGTTCTCTTTAAAGAAACTTTGTGTATGGAGTAGTTATCGCCCATTGAGCTCATACTAGTCAAATTGGGCTTAAAAATGCCTACATACATGTATGTAGGTAAGTGTTAACTATCTCGATCAAGACAGAAAATGTCAATAGGTCCCGTGCGGGGTACAGCTGGTACACCTCTTGGCGAGTGCCCATATATCAACTCTGCAATTTACATACATTTCCATCTCCAGTTCCTACAGCGTAACACAATGAATGTCAGTAATTCCCCTAATTTCAAGTCAGAGAACAGAACCGTTCAAGGTTGCATCTGCAGAAGAGAACGGCCTTGATCGGCCATTTGATAAACTCATGTGCCGCTCATGTGATCGGCTGAGACCTTATGCGGGGAAGTGCCTTTAGCCTATTCGTCCAAAAATCATTTGATATCTGGTTTTGACCAAGTTAGGTAAATATAAATATCCAATTTTGGGGTTTGAGCCTAAACCTCGTAACAGCAATGCATCACGGCCTAGCCTGTTTTAGAATATCGAGTGTTTATCTGCATACCCTCCGAACATTGAAACGATGCAGTACATGTATGCATACTTTCTCTTCTTGATTTCACAAGCCCGGCAGGAAACCCGACCACCCGAGTGGCGTTCACCCAGCGCGGTAATTGCAGCCGTCATCCGATTTCCCTTTGATCGTCATGGTCTAGCACGGTCTACCGGGTGTTAAAAACGGGTTGGGCGATGAACGGCTTAGCCTCCGCCCCGATCCTGTGATCGGTCGAACCCTGTAGATTTCATATCCTCATGGGGAAGTATGAACTCATGATCATGGTACCTGTCATTGGGATCGAAATGCTCTGTGCCTATATTAAGGAACTCACCTTCTGTTCTAAATGGCAGAATTGACAGAGTTTCAAGAGCAGTAAACACTGGATTACATTCCCCAATTGGTCTTTCTGCATAGCACTTGCCTTCTAACCTTTAAAATGTCGATGCTCAAGAATTACTTCGGACTTGGGGAAACAGAGACACGTCCCACCCCTACCGACGCCAATTTCCCAGTTCACCCTCTCCCTACCTCATGGTATTCTTCGCAGGATATTCATGAATTTGAGCGACGCGCCATCTTCTGTCGGAAATGGCTTCTGACCACACACAAGCTCCGTTTCCCCAAAACAGGCGACTGGCTCCGATACGAAATCGCCGGGTACGCTTTTATTTTAGTGAAAGATCGCGAGGGAAATATCAATGCTTTCCACAATGTCTGTCGACACCGTGCGTTCCCAGTGGTTACCGAAGAGGGTGGCACCTCCAGGATTTTCTCTTGTCAATATCACGGATGGTCCTATGGCCTTAACGGCAAACTTGCCAAAGCACCCGGGTACCAAGAGGTGGAAGGTTTCGACAAGAGCAAAAACGGCCTTCTTCCGATCCACGTTCATATTGATGTCAACGGTTTTGTCTGGCTCAATCTAGATGCCGGCGACAAGCCCGAGATCTCGTGGGAAGATGACTTCAAAGGAATCGACCTACAGCCACGTTTCAAGGATTTTAACTTCGAGGACTATAACTTCGATCACACCTGGGAAATAAGTGGAGAGTACAACTGGAAGATTATGGCAGACCACTATAACGAATGGTACACTCCCTCGATTTCCACTCTCGGCTCATACGCCGTGGATACCAAAGACGGCAAATCCACACCCGAGGAGATTGCCAATGAGCTGAAGACTGCCACCAGTTACTATTTCCCCAATGCTGCTATGACCGTCTTGTGGGTAGAATTGTCTCCCAATGTAATCCTATTGATGCTAATTGTGTACGCAGGCCGCACTACTTCTTCATGCAGCGACTCGTGCCTACGGGCCCCACCACATGCTCAGTGCGCTATGAGGTCTACCGTAACAAGAACTCTAGCGATGAAGAGTTTGAAATCATCAACGAAACGTACAAGGGTATTATTTCCGAAAACAAAGATCTCTGTGTCGAGACACAAAAGACTCTAAACACAGGGGTCTCTGCACATGGCCAACTCCACCCCACGGAAGAGGGGTCGGTCTACTTCCAGACTGTGGTTCGTCACCTGATCGCAGAGCACCATAAGCGGGAAGAGGATGCAGGGGAGCAGATTTGGCCTGCACGACAAAGACTCCCCAGGGAAGAGGCAGTCAGCAAAGAGGATATGGACTTTTGCTCCAAGTTGACAAGTAATGACACATCGGCTTTGACTTCGGGGGGATGTTGTGGAGGAGGATGTGGAGGTGGACCTCCCACTGTGGCAGCAACGGCACCTGAGACTATGGTGGTTTAATGATTTCCATAATATCCATTTTTTTTAGTTAACATTTCATTTTAATCGTTTTTTTAGCTTTCATTTGTTCTTATTATGAAGATGGCATGATTTGTTACATGCAACCATGGATATCAGCGTTTGATCACGAGACAGGTTATATTGAACGAAGGTCATATGAACAGTTTTATTCTCTACAAAGATCCCAAGATTACTATAAAAAGACACAGACCAATTATATAGCAAGCTGTAGTATTATACTTCTGGATGATAAGCCATGCAGGCCATATCGAACTACGGAGTAGTTTACGGCCTCGTTCATACAGAAACTCAATAATAGCAAAGATAAAGAATCAAGAATCACCCGGATCATTTAACCTTTTTCAGTATAAATTTCATGTTACATGCACGGTCCATGCACATCAGATTCTAGATTAGGTCGAATGGGGGGACTTATAAGGCGGGGGGAAAAGAGGAGAAAAGGAGATAATCCTCAAAGAAACGGTCTGTTCCCCCTTCGATTATTCCAAGAGGGTCTGGATTTTGAACGTGCGTAAACTCATTATCTCTCTCTAATTATCCCCTAAATATCTCCTAAATATCCCCTAAATATTCCCCCTCTTTTAATCTGGTCATGACGATCCCCTCTATCTCCATCTATCCCATCTATCTTAAAACTAAACCGCTATCAATACCCCGCTAAATCCGCATCCCCCTTTTTTTAATTTTCCCTTCAATGATGCCACGAGAGAGCGCTCGCGGAAGGCTGCGTTCCCACGAGGCCTGTCTTAACTGCCGGTAAGGCAAATACATTGTCTATCTGTGGGGGTGGAACTGATCTCCATACAGAAGAAAGAAGACCCGATGTCCGGCCGAGAAACCGTCCTGCTCAAGCTGTGTCCGCCTAAATCAGCCATGCCTTTACACCTCAATACCCAGAGGGTCCCGGGGAGGGCAGTCTGTATGTGCTGGCTTGTGCGCTGTCAGTGACCAATCATTGACTCATTTTTCTTCTTTTATACAGGACGACAGGCTAGCATTCCTTGAAGAGAAGGTAAACCTCATCCTGAGTGGCAGACCAACTCAAACACTTGCATCAGAAAAAGCACAGGAGATAGGAAATGCAATTTCAGAAACATGCTATCCTGCCACAACACGTCCACCATCCATTGAACCAAGCACAATCAATGACCCATTCTTCCTCGCGTTTGGCTACGAGGACTCGAGCTCTCAGCCGTCATCATCTGCGATCGCCAAAGCTATTGATCTTTACTTTGAATATTGCCATCGACAGCCGATTTGGTGTTTTGATCGTGAAGAGGTCTCAGACCCAAGTCATCTGTCAGAGGAGCTCGTTTGTTGCCTACTCGCCTTGACCTCACGATTCTCAAGAGATCGTGACCATTTACAACATTATGGAGATAGTGCAAGAAGCCTGGTCATGCTTCGTATGGCCAACGGCACAGTGGAACTTGAAACCATTGAGAGTCTTTGTCTGCTCTCTTATTCCTCTTTTCTAGGTATGAGCCTTGGCCACCAAGTAAAGAGACTTCAAATGCTGATTTTATTCTAGATGGAGATATACACCTCGGTCGCTTCCATCTCGGTCTTGCTCTACATCTTTGCCGGTCGGCAACGCTGGACCTCGAATCGAGTCATACCGGCGAAGGCCCCATGGCCGAGCGAAAGAAGCGTCTATTCTGGAGTCTGCAATGTCTGGAGCAGTCTTACGGGCAGCAAAATGGGTTTCTCTGTATCCCATCAGAGGTTATGCGCACCTTCTATATTGCCTCAAGTAGCGACCGCGCAAAACAAGATGGGACGGAGGCGAAACCTCCACCACTGCCGACAGATGATCTTGGTTGCTCGAAACCATCTGATATAGGGATTTGGAGCCTAGCAGCCCACTTTGGTTGGGTCTGGAGCAGAGTGCGCACATATGTCTCCGATTGTGCTCGAAATAGGCTCAAAGAACCCTGGCGACACGATTCCATGTACGCCATGGTGCTCTCCGACCTTACAGAAATTGAGAACAAGCTTTCCCAGTGCCATCGATATGATTCGGTCAAATTTTACGAGCGAACAGCAGAGGAGCTGAGATCGAGCCGAAACTACTGGACCCCATGGCTGAAGCTACAGTTCACTTACCATTGCATTTTGACGGTTCTGAACCATCCCTTCCTCTACATTGTAGCATCACAATACAACGACAATCTGGCAATCCCGAACGCTTTCTGGAGACGGTCATCCGAGTTGGTCTTGTTACACGCTACCTGGCTTGTCCGCATGATAGACATGGTATCGGAGAAGAAGATGCGACTGATCGATCCGTTCTTCGGACACGCTGCCGCCATTGCAGCTACAGTGCATCTGTACTACTGCTGTGCTGCGGATCCCCGACTAAAGTACAAATCCAAGGTTGATTTCACAAAATGCCGAAGGTTCCTGAAGAGTTTTGTGTCCTTTTCGCCTGCTTGTGGAATCTTGGTAGGGCTCATGAAACCAAAAAGCTGCTTCCAATGCTAACAAATGCGCAGGATCAAACGCTGGACAAGATGACTCGAATTGCTTCCGGTTCGGAAAATATCGATCATGATTGGGAACCCGAGAAGATTCATCTCAGTATACCGTTAATGTGGGATGTTCTTCAAGTCAACTGTAAACCCAAGCCACACGAAGTGTCGACGGGTGGCTTGCTACATCCATCGTTGACCCCAACCGTCTCTACGGAAGAGGAGGAGGACAGCCCTGCCTCTACTTTAGAGGTTATTGTTGCAATGTCCCCGATTGTCACAGTTAACACTGCGGATGGTGGTCAAGCTGCCCACATTCCACCTACGATGCCGCACATATCTTCCACCCCAGCTTCTTCTGACCTCGATCTTGGTGAGAAACTCGTTGCGCCCGCTGACAGTTTAATGACCAATACCCCCTGGCTATGGACGGATCCCTCGCAATTTGTTGATATGGAGAACAATGTGGGATATCCAGATTCCGAATCCGCTCTCGGAAACATTGACGGATTTTCGACTTGGTGGGACTTTGGAAACTTATAGGAGTAATACGTTCATTGACTTCTACTGCGGCGTTACTGTCTTCTCAGGCCGTAACTCTCGTCTCAATCCCCCACACTTATCTTTTGCCCACAGCCCCTATGCGGAAATACCCTTGTGCGGAAACACTCCTAACAAAGCCCAGATGAAAACTTGATGCCCACGCGTTCCCAAACAAGTTATGCCGGTGCGACCGTCCTCAACTTCTCCTGCAAGGCAGAAAAGTTCCGTTCCATAGCGGTTTCGGTAAACTGAGCCCCAGTCACCATCGGATACTTCTTCGAGGGCCCCTGGATCAAAGAATCCTTACAGGGCTGATTGAAGTAAGCAATGCTGTATCGGTCGCCATAATAATCACCGGGCTCAGAAGGGGCCTTGACGCGATGAAAGGTTGACTTGAACCTGTCATCCGACCAGGACATGAGTAAATCGCCAATATTGCACACGATCTCGCCAGTCTTGGCCTTCACCTTGGTCCATTCGTCCCCAATACCAAACTCTGTCACCACCTCGCGACCGGGACAGATTTCCAGCCCATCCTGGCCGTCCCTTTGGAAAAGTAAAGTCAAAAAGTCCCAATCGGCATGTGCCCCTGCGCGATGATAAACCTTGCCGTCGGAATTTTCCGGCAAGGCAAAGTAATGGAGTAGACGCATAGTGGTTTGGGAGTTCGGTCGTGAGATGCTGTGACACTCGATGAAGAATCTTTCAGGGAATCCCAGGCCCCGTGCAAAGCATCGCATCAAACATTCCGATACTTGTTGGACGCGGTCCATAAAATCGAGAGAGGCGGGCCGGAAACCAGGCAGGTCGTCGTACTTGACCCATAGGTCATTCATATTCTCGCCAAATTGCAACTGGTAGGACTCTTTACTATCGGGCTTTCCGGTAGACGGTCGGATTTGTGAGTTCTTTTCCCATCCCACATTGTTTGCATTCCACGGTACAGTGGCTTTGACTTCGTCCGGTAGATCGAAGAAACTTTTCGATGTCGCAAACATGGATTCAATATCTTCTTTGGAAATTCCGTGACCGATCAAGGTGAAAAATCCGACATTCTCGGCGGCTTGAATCAGTTGATCAGTGATTTCATCGATGCGAGCTTCGAAATCATGCATCGAGATACGTGGAATGACTCGATCGACGTATCGGGTTTGAGATGCCATGTCTCTTAAAAGTCTAGGAACTTTGCGATGTGCAAATAGTAAAGTATAAAGGCTTTTATAGGTCATTCGGTGTCACACGCACTTGTCACACCGTACAATATACTTTGATCCTGCGGGGGAGGGTTCGGCCGACCTGATAAGAATGGCGTCGAGGGTTGCACTGAGGGTAAAAATTAAAAGGGAAGTTGATGTAGAGAATCATGTCACTGTCAAACGTTTTAGTTAGATTATTACCGTTTTATCTGTTGAAAGATAGATGCCTTTCCTTACTAATTCCAAACCAAAACCTGCAGGGATGTCCGCGGGGATGCCTCCTCTAGGGATGTATTCTGCGCTCTCTAATAGGCCAGAATGATGGTCGAATTAGTTCAGCTCGATAAGATATTGCCAGGTGCATTCCTAACATGAACTCCGGAATTCACCGAAAGCACCCTTGAAAGGTCAAGACAAGATTCCTCTATTTAGAAATCAGAAATGGTACGTTGTGCACTCGGCCAAGTACCGAATTCTCACAATGCTTGGAGCTCAATGGTGTAATCTCGGACTGAACGCTGCTCAGGTGGATTGGGATTGCTTTTGGTATCAAATTATCTCTATTCAATATGTCCAGATCTTTATTAAATGCCATATACGCAAAAGAAAAATGGGCCAGCGCTTGGTGCCAAAATAGATAGTGCGTTTGGGCGCAAACCTTTGAGCCAATGGAGTGTAAGCTTGATTCAATAATACCAGAGTTAGGCTTTATTCAACCTTGCGCACTTGCGTCACAGGTGAACGATATACTCGGCGGCCATGCACAATGTACAAAACAATTGCAAAGATGACCACGGCTCCGAAGACAAGGATAGACCAATTCATATCCACCGGGGTCGGGTTATTGGCAGTTGGGAAGAAGGTGAAAATGATGGCAAAGCAAAGCCAAGCCAGTGAGAAGACATTGATCGGCAACCCGAAGATACCGAGTGAAAAGCGCGAAGGGGGAATACCACCCGGCTGAAAACGGACCCGAATGACAGCGGCAATCGGCAAGATGTAAGTGGTGAAAAGTGCAGCGATCATCACGGATGCGACAGCGTTGAACGCGGCCGTAGATCCGATGTTGATCAAGCTCAGCAGCACGGTAATAATGGTCGATACCAACACGGAGCAGATGGGGATTTGAGAGTGTCGGTTCACGTGAGCCAGATGCTTAGAGAACGGCAAGGCATCATCGCGGGCAAAAGCAAAGGTCTGGCGAGAGACTGTCGCAAGAATACCGATGGCGCTGCAGACTTCCATCACAAGTATGATAGCAGCCACACCATTGGTGGCAGCCACGGAGCCGGTGGCATGATTAACTGCCGGGAGGAAGGAGAATCCACTCGCCGGGGCGAGCACATCCTTTAAGTCTCCCATCTTATATAGCAAGGTAATTAGCATAATGAAGCCGAGACCGCCGTTGATCAAAGCGGTCGAAACCATACACCACGGGACCACCAAGGCAGCATTCTGGACCTCCTCGGCTAATAGATGTTAGCCATCGTCGCGAATGAGGAGAGATATGGCGTTTGACTTACCCATATGTGTAGCAGCATCCGGGCCTGTCCAGGAGAATATCGGAGTCAGCTGACCCACCAGACACGCGAGTCCCATGCTCGGCCATTCCCCAGAGTTTGTGAACTCCTTCCAGACAGAATCCCCAGAGGCCTGTCCAGGAGACATGACCCACATCAGGACAACGACAACGACGAAACCGAAGATGTGAATGGCGAGGATGAGGCCCTCCATGGGAGGGAGAATCTTGTAGCCCCAGGTATTTACCACAGTTCCGACGGCGGCGATAGCGATGGTCAGCAGTGTCCCATGCCAGCGCTCAAAGCCGTACACCCAACCGGAGGGATCCGAGTAGTTGAAGACGAGTAGTCCTTGAATCAGAGTACCGCAGAGGTAGCAAATACTAGCAAAAGCAGCTTGCCAGCCTAGCACCGAAAGCCATCCTAGAACCGAATTAGCGCTGGAGATCGTCGGATTGTAATTCGACGAGTGGACTAACCGGTGAGATAGCTCAAGAATCGTTGACATCTCGGCCAGGCGAATTCACTGACCCAGTGGTATTGTCCACCGGATGTTGGGGAGCTGGCTAGTCAATTTCCATGCGCGACATGCAGGTCGAACCGAACTTACATGGAGGCGATCTCGGCCATGGAGATCACGGCGGAGAAAAATCCCACAAACGATCCAATATATACATAGACCATACCGGCTCGTCCGCCATCGGTCAGGCCGTAGGTACTCGTGCTGCGCATTCCCCATTATTCCCGGTGTTCTCTCGTAGTATCGCGCGTCCAAACTCACAGCAGAATCGACTCCCATGTGGCCATCAATGTCGTCGTGAAACCTAAGATCGAGTAAAAACGGAAGTTTCTCTATCGCTGATCAGTATTGGGTCCAGTTCGGGGCAAGGCGCAACTCACTTTGAACTGTTGGGTCTTTCCTAGGCGCTGCATGTCCCAATCATCCTGGTCGGTCGCGTCGATGCCGACGTCCTGGGACACCATATTCTTGTCCAATTCTCCCTTCATATCGACGCGCGTGAGTGTACAGCAAAGAAAAAGGGGAAAACGCGATCAGACTAAGGCCAAGGGGCCCCCGGAGAAGGTCATAATCAAAGGGGGGAGGAAGGGAAGAAAAGCCCGAAAGTGGAGCCGAAGAAGAAGTTTATTTGGTCCCAGTGACGCATGTGCAGGTACTATGTTATGTACATACAACAGTTGTATGTACCTTTATTCTACCCCGTAGGACTATATTGTACTATTATAGAGAATATATCAATATAACATATAATATATCATTTTTATTCCAGAATCACACATTCTTCGTATGAATTTCAAAGGTTACCAAATATGGAGTAATGGAAAAAATGGAGTACAAAATATATACTCGAATATGATTCGATACTCGTGGTTATTAACTTTAGAGCCAGGTTTCTTCGGTGCACAAACCGCTAGAGGTCAGAGCCCAATAATGTTACATATGTAAATGTCTCATATTTATGAATTCGAAATACAGGGTTGTCTCTGTACATCCTTGTCAACTTCAATGTTGTTATAAGGATGCGCTAAATTTGTAGATATGTACAATATTGTACTTTGTACTCCGTAGTTCAAGACGGTCGCATAATATTTGATATCCACAAATAATTAATACTACTAGCCCGAGAACAATAAGGTTTGGTTCACATCGAATTTAAAATAGGATTCAATAGTGTTAGATTCGATATTCCACAATAAAATAATATGTATCCGACCACCTACAACATACATCATAGTACGGAGTACCTACAACATAGGTATACTAGTTACCTCGTGCGAAATATATTGTTTTTGCCGGCCTTTCCGGGTCAAATATATTTCAGTTGGATATCCTTCTAATGTTCCTCAACTTCTTCGAGCTATTCCACCAATATAATATCCATACTGATAGCCTTTAAGCTTTCATTTAGAGTTGTATATGATTCTAGATATATGTATAGAGTAGGTAAACTTGAGCCGAAAGTTGATTATAGTTACCTGTTATTCCGTCTATGGTTATGTATTTCATTGGCGTTCTCTACTTCGTGTGGCTTGCTACATACTATGTAGGTACTCCGTACTAGTACATAATATATACTCCATATTCCGTAATGATATTGAGAGATCTCTAGGCTGGCTGATAGTATAATTTAAGTTTTTCCTTAACCCAAGTTGTTAGAATCATTCGGTAACAGGGCTAGATAGAATGAATCTTGGAATGATATGTTCTCTCAGCTAAGCCAATACGGTGCCCATGCAAGTCACGGGGTTACGCTTCTTTATGTTCCCGACCATTTCCCCAAAGATGCATTTGTCAAGGTTGGGTTGGAATATGGAGATGAAACCACTTATATATATGTGGCAATATGATATTCCATACGGAGTATTAGCCACCGTGTTCTCACTGAAAGCTGAAGGAACTAGGTCCTACATATATATATACAAGGGCATTCTTCGAGCCGTTCTCAAGGTTCAAAGATAAACCCCCTATATGTTGTATGTAATCGTGCCAAGCACCCAACATCTGCCGAAATACATCCCCACGCGTGGGCCCATCTAGTGAATGACGAACACTCCACAACCTCTTGGCGTCAAATTACGGAGAATTATATGAATTGCGCGTCTTTTTTTTGGACCTACGTATGTTGCACCTATGTTCTAACCTTTCTTTAGATGAATTCGCCTGTTTAATATCCCGTTGTCTTGGGACTAAACTAAATGCAGACATTAAGACCGATTTCCGGAGGTTTTGCGAGAAGGAGAGGGGCAAAGAGATCGGCAAAAAAACGGTAGACTTGTGACTGAACTACAAAAGTATATTGCTGATGAATCCTTTCCCAACATACTACAATAATTAATAGCCATGGAGGAAACATTGAATTCTCTTATCTGATCCTAAGATTTAGCCGAACCGCCACACATTAGCGCCACATCCCAGTACTTTGATGACGACGCGTGGGGCTGATGGCGTTGCCCTTCCCTAGAAGATCTTGGAGCCTTTCTTCTCACTGGATGGTTGATGGCTCGTCATTTAGCCACGAGGCAATCACCGCTACGTGACCGTCCCGGCAGGTGTTTTCGTCGCTGGTTGGTGCAGACGCGCAACTCTCGAAGGGATCCTGACCCACGGGGAGCTTGGCAGACCATGATATTCCTATGGAAATCAGCCAGCTACCGAATCACCATACGCGTACAAGCTCAGTTCCACTGTTGGTGTCGCCAAGAACGGGTGGTTCCTGCCAACAAGAAGTCTTTCGGATAGACTGCGGGAAATCGACGTTGGAGGGAGGATGTGAAATAAAACCATAGTGTGGGAGCCCCTGTCTCCAACGCAAAAGATTCCTACTGTCTCTCCGCTCGAATCCCTTGTTGCGTCCGTGATGTGCTAATGTTCTTGTGGACTTCTTCTGGCGTGCTTCGCCTGAGCTCTTGGCTTCGCAATGATCGTCTGCATGCCCGCCTTCCCTTCCGACGGATTGCTCTGATTCTCGCCGCCATTGGGGGCTTCATTGTATTCTATCTGTTTGCTATCCCACAGCTTCTCAGATTCCGGTTCCGCGCCGGTTTAAGCTGGTATGATTTAGGAGTTCAAGGGTTCGGTCCAGACCGAACTTACAACTCCTTCGATCAAGAGTCACCCGTTGTCGAAATCACCCCGCCTGGCGCAAAATGCGATCCCCGGTACACATTCCTTGCGCCTCGGGGCGATTCAATTGCCCACCCCGGTCCGATGATCCTGAATCCCGCTGGGGAGCTTGTGTGGACAAAATGGAACGGGGGTACGACACAAGACTTCAAATTGCAGCGGTACAAGGGCGAGGACTACCTCACTTATTGGCAAGGAGACACAGCCGACGGTTATGGACGAGGGTCATGGTACATGGTAGGTAGTACACCGAGCTACCTCACCACAATTCCGGCTCTCTAATTACATTGTCCAATCACAGCTTGATTCAACCTATACCCAGAAGTATGTGGTGTCTCCAATCGGCATATATGACGGCGACCTCCATGATTTCCAAATCACTTCCAACGATACCGCAATATTAATGATTTACGACCCTATCCCGATGGATTTGAGCTCTATCGGCGGCCCAGAGCTGGGATGGATGTATGATGGAATGTTTCAGGAAATCAACCTCGAAACCGGAGAACTGTTATTCCAGTGGCGCGCATCTGGCTTTTACGACCCGAGTGATAGTTATTATCCGATTGGAGATACTGGCCACGGACGGACCTCGGGGTATGACCACTCGCACATTAACAGTGTGGACAAGGATGATCAGGGCCGGTACCTGGTTTCGATACGCCACCTCCATACTGTTGCATGTATAGATGGCACTACTGGTGATGTCCTCTGGTCACTAGGAGGGAAACGGAACAACTTTGCCGATGCTTCCGATCGAGCTGCCACCGATTTCTCTTGGCAGCATGACGCTCGCTGGCAAGGGCCCAACCGCCTCAGCTTGTTCGACAATGCAGCCTACAATAACGACAACCTCTCCGCGGTGAGCCGTGGCATGATCATTGATCTGGATACGAAAGAACAGCAGGCAACATTACTGCAATCCTTCGACCATCCGCATGGCATAATGGCCGTTTCTCAAGGTAACATGCAAGTACTCGACACAGGGAACGTGCTCGTGGGCTGGGGCCACTCTGCAGCCTTCACCGAGTTCTCCTCAGAGGGCGATGTTGTATGTAATGTGCACTTTGGTGCCTCTGCTTTCTTCACATTTGGTCGTGTCGTCTCCTACCGAGTGTTCAAGTTCGACTGGGTTGGTAACCCTCTGACAATCCCCGACACTGCAGTCACACCAGAGAGTGTCTTTGTTAGTTGGAACGGTGCCACCGAGGTAGCAGAATGGCGAGTTGAGGCATGGGACGGCGAAGACCTCAGAAATATGACCTTCACGGCTATCGACCAAGTCCCTCGCGACGGTTTCGAAACCGAAATCCCGCTAACCCCCAAGGTTGATTCATTCTTCCGCCTGCGTGCAATCAATTCAAACGGAGAGAGTCTCGGTGTAACGGAATTACTCCAGCGACTACCAGCGTCATCATCGGAGGGCTCTTCCTATATAAACCCATGGGCCCTGGGGTCCATCATTTTTGTGGTACTTGTCTGCCTTATTTGCGGCGTTCATTTCGCTGTTCACCGTCGACTTCGCCAGGGGTTCGGCTCCAGTGGCCCCTATCAGTTGGTGTCGCACAAGGATGAGAACGAAGGCCATGATGAACATGGTCGTCTACCATTATAGGATGCGGGCGTCCTATATACCCCTTTTGCATGTACATAACTTGATCTGCACATATTTAGGAATGAATTCCTATTCATTTCCTCATTCCCCTTTTTGCGTCCTTGGTTAGTATAAGTTTGTTGCTGAGAATGTGCGAACCATATTCCATCGCTGTTACTTTGAACCCTGTTCATCATATCAATTGCTCGGCAAGGGAGTTAAATATTTCCAAAAGATTGTAGCGTTCACCGTTCCTATGAATTCGACGTGGTGCTACGTGGACAAAAAACTACTCGATAAAACGATACCCTGCAGAAAAGAACATATCCCGAGGATATAACACGTCCACAGGTGCAGGTCGGACAATCTGTCGAATTCAGCTTAGAACGAGGAGGGAAAATCGGGAGTACCTGTGATGTGTTGGATCATGACTGCTAGTTGAGCTAGCTTATGATCTTTACGATGACGGTCACGAAATGATTTATTTATTTCATTTTAATAATGAATTATCCTTCACAAATGACAAAACTGAAGATAAATTTGTAATCGATATTGATCACGGCCGACAATTTACGGCTTAAACAAAGCTGAGCCGAAAAATGTCGGGTTTAGTAATAATCCACGTAGCCCTACCTAGGTAGGTAAAGACCTCTACCTTAGATAACTTTAGTAAACCTTTATGGTATCAAAGGTCTTTCACACCATGGTCATTACAAATTGAATTAATCTCCCATTCGAGGCCTTGCTTGTGAGTAAAATCAATACTTGCTTGACAAATCACAGTGTCTTTCTAATCAGTCAAACTATATCCCTGCAAAGTGTTTCACTTACTTAACATCGCAGTTCTATATACTTAAGCCAGTATAAAAATGAAGAGAGCGGAAGACAATATGAGTGCTTCTCTGTTAACCTTCTTACTTCCATTTACTTTCATCACACCGCACGTTGTACGATTTGCCTCAAAGACACGATAATAAGGCTGCTCTCCTTTCCATTGTGCATCTTCAGCATATTTACATCCCCAAAAGTCACATTAGAATCGCGGGTATGACTGTGCTCAACAATCAACAAGGCGCCACCCGCAACCTGGTTGAGGAGAAACACCACCAAGACAGCTCAATCAGCCCAACAGACGACTCGACCGAGGATTCCAACAATGAAGTCTCTGAAGCTGAGCTAGCTATCACTGAGCCGGAGGCACCGCCGCGAGACATCAATGGCTGGAAGTGGTATTTGACACTGGTCTCCATATTGGCTTCCACCTTCCTATATGCTCTCGACGCGACGGTCGTAGCTGATCTTCAACCTGTCATCGTGCAGGAGCTCGGTGGTATTGAGAAGATACCGTGGTTGAGTGTGGCATTTTTGTTGAGTGCGACGGCCACCAATCTGGTCTGGGGCCGCATGTACGGCCACTTCACTGCCAAGTGGTTTTACATCTTCCATGTGACTATTTTCGAGGTCGGCTCCGCCATTTGCGGTGCGGCTCCGTCTATATATGTCATGATTCTGGGGCGTGCCATCGCTGGGGTGGGAGGCACAGGGCTCTACCTTGGCTGCATGACGCTCATCGCCACCACCACCACAATCGCCGAGCGCCCAATCTATATCTCCTGTACCGGCCTTACCTGGGGTCTTGGGATCGTGTTAGGCCCCGTGATTGGAGGTGCTTTCAGCGAATCGTCCGTGGGATGGCGATGGGCTTTCTACATCAACCTTTTCATTGGGGCAGTTTGCGCACCCGTCTACATCTTCCTGATTCCGAGTAAGGATCCTCGCCCAGGCGCTTCCGCTAAGGAGCGCGTATCTGAGCTCGATTATGCTGGCATCGTGCTGCAAGCTGGCTTGCTGACGGCATTAATCCTTGCTATCAACATGGGTGGGATAGTATATCCGTGGAACTCGGGTCGAATCATCGCGATGTTTGTCGTCTTCGGCGTGCTTTGGATCTTACTTGGCTTTCAGCAAGTATTGGCAATAGGCACCACAGTCCCGCAGCGTATCATCCCAGTGCAGTTCTTAAAATCGCGCACTGTTCTTCTTCTCTTCGGAACGAGCGCGGCAGGTGGCGCATGTGCCCTCGTACCAATCTACATGGTTCCCTTATTCTTCCAGTTCATTCGAACGGATAAGCCACTCGATGCTGGCGTGCGTCTGCTCCCTTTTGTGGTAGTAATGGTGGTATTCGTCTTTGTCAATGGTAATTTGATGGCTAGGCTGGGGCACTATATGCCTTGGTTCCTAGTGGGTGGCTTGTTCACTGTAGCCGGGGCCGCCCTCATGTATACAGTTGGCCAGGACACCTCCGAATCCCAAGTGTACGGCTACACGGTATTGCTCGGTGCTGGTGTTGGTATGTTCCTCCAAGCATCGTTCCCTGTTACTCAGGCCGTTGTGGCTGCAGAGAACATTGCACCGGCGATCGGTTTCATCACGCTGGCGCAGTTCGTGGGTATCACCCTCGCTCTCGCCATCGCAAACGCCATTCTCCTAAATTCCAGCCAGCAAAAGATTCAACAAATATTGCCTAAAGTGCCGGCATCTGAGATCAAACTCGCCATCTTGGGTGCTCATTCGGACCTTGTGCAGAACCTCTCGTTGGACTTGAAGACCCAAGTTCTAGACGCCATTGTTGATGCAATCGCTAAAACCTATATTCTTGTCATCGTAGGCGGAGCTCTCGTCGCCGTTTCAGGTTTGCTCATGCGCCGCCAGAAACTCTTCGGCGCCGGCCCTGGAGTTGTGGTTGCCTGAGTAGTCTACGATCTGTGCTTTCAATGGGAAACGGAGATATCATTCTTTTGACTTTCCTTGTTACAATTTCGATTTGGTTTATTTGAGATTGCGACAATATTGGCCAATATGTGGGTGTTTGTATAAGAAGGTTGATTTTTAAGTCAATTGACTGATCCTCGCACCGGGTACATATATGAGTTCCACTGCAAGGCTGAATCCAAAGTTAGATATATGATGAACTAATCATGGTGCGAATCTTGACTGAGAAACTTCGGTGTATTCTCACCCCGATGGTCTTTGGGCGATGAATTAGACATCGGCCAAGCATTGTATTCAATGGCCCGCAGATTTTGCGGAGCCCAGTCAAATCCGAAGTTGCCCAAAGGCCATGTAATTCTAAAATGTAGGAACATTTTTCGGTTGAGGTCCTAAGAGGCTGGCTGCAGTAGGATTCAAGATTCGGGGATCATGGAACGTAGCTTTGGCATTTATTCAAACTACAGTGTTCGAGACCTACGACTAATCACCTATTTTCACATATTTACAGGGAAGCTTTGCGGCAAAGACAGAGAGGGAAAACAGGGTCTATATCAAGATTCCAAGAGTATATAGTCTATATAACATCCTAATATAGAGCAAACAAGATATCACATATTCATGAGTTCTCCAGACGGAAAATTTCGAAGTGCAGATGCTAGTGCTTCCCAGCTCAAATCCGAATAATCAGATGCAGTGACCGCAGTCATACCAGGTAAAGAGACTGGACCTGGATCCGAGTAGTCCGGTGGACCAATGTCCCCTGAAGCGTCATCTGCTTGATTGTCATTTGCGGCAGAAGAGGCTTTTGCTTCTGTGTGCCCTACCCAGGACAGCTTTATCGTTTTCTGAAGGAGCTGTAAGAGAGCTTGTGCACCTACTTCGGCCATGTGGCTGACCTGTGCCAGCATCTGCAAGCGACCGAGGGCGTCGCAAAAAGCGTTCGTGCACTCCTCTTATTTGAGATTCCCCATACTATCCCTGAGGGGATCCATTCTCAACAGGCCGGGGCGTCGATCTTCATCCCCCTCAAACAAAGTTTCATCGGTACAGAGGTGCACGAGAAGTACTGCGGCTTCGAATGTCGGTCGAATGATGTCTGTAAAGCGTGTTTGGGAGCCGCCCATCAGAGCGTGCAAGGAAGAAGTGCATTTTAGAACACGTAATGCGGCAACCGCGAGAGCCTTTCGCTGAGATAATAGTAAGAGTTGCTTGTATTTGGGAAGATGATGTGTCTGCCTTGGCATTTGTACTAGTGCCGGCCGGAAATTGTAACAAAGAGACTCGAATATGGCGATATGCAAGGTTTCTCTTTGCTTCGGAAGCATTGAAAGATGTTCATCCCATTGCGTGTTGGGTTGCAAACCAAAAGCAGATGGGATTGTGATGAGATATTCGTTACAAAACCTTTCATATCTCTCCTCTGCCGCGACAATATCATATTCAGAATTGCAGTTCGCATGCGAGGTTTTCCAAAAATTGGCCAAGCGGGCTTGAAGAAGATGTTCCGTGTATTCATCTAGGTCTTTGTTATCCTCAAGCTCGGGGCCTAGGTGCATGCGCGGCATGCTTTCAGTACTCAGACAGTATGGCAACATGGCAATACGATCTAGTTGCCAGGACAAAATACTGCGAGAGGAGCATGCGCCCCAAGTGGTTAGCAGGAAAGCGAAAACGGAGAGTTTGATCCTGATACCTATCCCATATGTACAGGTTACAAAATACTCTGCGTCGCATCTCCATTTCTAGTTCTCCCGCAGCTCTGTGGTGTTTCTGTCGATTCCGGTTTTTAAAGCAACCTGGATTGCGCAGCTGAGCGAATCCCGGAAGTCACTCGTTCGTCCCTCACATCGGGATTTCAGTCCCGCAAAGGCCAGATGCTGTACGCGAAGCAGACTGCCTTTAGGATTAAGGCGAGCGCATATCAATGAAACATTTTCAGCAGTATCATCACACGCTTGACGAATGTTCGCCAGGTTCGTGCCACAAATCGTGTCGCTGGTATATGATTGGGAGGGGAGAAACTCCGAGGCATAAGAGCACATTCTTAGCATAACGACTGCGAACTCTATATCAAACACGGACGATGGCCTTTTGGTGGTCCACCATAGGTGATATTGCTCAAGGAACCATGGAAGGTAGATCAGTTGATCAATCCTAATGCCGCGCATTCGACAAGTCAGACAGCCCGAGATCTGATCCAGGCAATCGAAAAATTCGAGAGAACTCACCAATTTACTTCAGCCGCAAAGTATCTCACGAGGAAATCCAAGATTGGTCGATCCGGCATCTTCTCAAGGCACTGCTGGGCCTCGGTCGCGGTGCTATTTGATAGGGCTTGGCCTTTGCCATCGAGGCTCTCTTCTTCGTATGATTCTCCCTGGCGAGGATATATATGAATACAAAACTATGCAATTTACACGCGTGGTTGTGGCATTGGAAGTCGACGTACTTTCTGCAAAAGGGCCAAGGTATTGGTGTGACTATCCTCGGAATAGCCAAATACTTCCGTCAGTAGGTTTTTCGTTGGATTTTTTATGCCTTTGTCAGGAAACAAATCATAGGATATGAGGTCTGTGGTATTGGTTCGCTGGTGGCTTCCGATTTGCTCAATCTCCCGGGGAATGTCCGGCACTGGTGGGTTGGCCAGTTGGACTGCTTCCGATGGATAATAGGCGCAGTCCTCGGGGCGCCGACGGCGAGTACAATGGTTGCACGGGTGCTGCCGATTACACTAAAGACCTTTTCAGTGGCTGTCCATTTATCATGGGGAACCGGGCTACTTTCTCTCAAGTACCTTTTGTTTTCGCGTGTAGCAAGGGATGCAGGAAGCCCTGCGCTTTCCTCGGGCGTTCTGCATTGTGAAAGTACACACAAGTCACAGGTATGCGAAATTGTCTATTTCAATCTCTTTGATACTTTTTTGGCCTTCAGGTTTAGAATGAAATACCTTTGAGTGATGACAGTGAAAAGGGACGGTCCCTGGGGTGGGGTCGGGGGATGACATTGCAAAATACGAATCCCTGCATACTATCCTTTCTTACATTGATAATAGGACCTAAGCAAATTGTTTCACAGTGCAATAGAGTACTAAAAAAAGTCAACATGTTTTATCTTAGTCTCGATAAAGGATTCCTTTTATTTCATTCTTTTCTTTTTTTGGCTAACATCCCATGGAATAAGATAATCCATGCATATAAGGTCAACATGGCAAAGCGCAATTGCCGCCTACTATGCTTTAAGTAATTACCTATGTGATGGCAAACTGTAGAACATCCTTGGTCTCGTTCTCAGTTCATCGACAGATAATGATGGGTGAGCAGGATATGAACCCTGCAGGTTTCACGCACGGAAATGTCTAGCAAGTGACTAAATCCGGTGTCACCTCAAGCCTAACATTGAAGCGCAGAATTCTACCATGCTTCTAAGTAACATTTTTATTGCACGGTTGCATAGGCGGAGTTACGCTATTTCGGCCAGATAACATTCGCTTTCGAGTACTTGCTGCTTTGGAGATGATATATGATATCATTGGGCAACTGTATAGCACTACTAGGTAGCTCACTTCGTTTCAATCAGACAGCGGTGTCCCTTTGGTGCCATCAAGAGGAAGGATTGCATTTCCATGTCCTTTACGCTCATTCCTTCTTTGTCGGATCGTTGAGCATTTGGGAATTCTCGGAAAAACATGGCTGATCCTAAGCGAAGTTCTATACGGGCCAGGTGCAATCCGATACAGACTACATGCATTCATGGTGTAAGCCGATAAGGTTCGCAAGGGTATCCAAGCTTATTTTTTGACTTACTGCGCGATCCACCGCCAAATGGAATGGAAATATCCTTCATTTCCTTGGTCGGATGCTCCCATCTCTCGGGGTTGAACCTGTATTCTGTTAGTGTTATTTCTTTGCATGGAGGAATCTCTTCTTACGTATATGGGTCGGGGAAGATTGTAGGGTCCCGGTGCAGACTATAAGACTGAGTCGACACCGTCGATCCACTCGGAAGGAAGTATCCATTGAAATTGGCCCCTTCCGAAGGTACAGCACGAGGGAGACCAAAAGGAACAGCCGTGTGAAGACGAAGGGTCTCGCTGATAACCATGTTTAGATAAGGCAAATTCCGAAGGTCATTGTCATGGATCGGCTCGGACAATGCTGCCACCTCGGCGACCAGCCTGTCTCGAATTAGTCTGTTTTCACAGACAGCATAGGTAAGGTAGGTCAAAGTAACCGCAGTGGTATCACTTCCTGCAACGATGTACCCTTGAGCCTCTTTCTTGATCTCTTCATGAGTAAGGCCGCCCTTCTCGGTGTCAAATAGCTTGGTAAATAGTGTCTTCTTCGGGTTGGAGGGATTTTCGGTGATCATTTTATTGTATCGGTCGATAGACTGGCTTGCATACACGCCCATTCGCTTCCCGGTTGCTATGGTGCGCTTGAATACTGGTAAAGGCAGATATTTGCACAAGTGGACTAGGTTGGGGAATGTGGTTCGAATCGGTTGGAGGGTTGAGACCCGTTCTAGATCTAAGGAGTATTGAGTTTTCTATCGTGGGGTGTTAGAATTCACTTTTATTTTCCCACTTTCATACTTGCCTCGCCAGCTTCTAGCATCCGGAACGATTCGCCAAAGCTAAGTTCGCCAATAATGTCGGTCGCCATGAACAGCCACCACTTAAATACGTCGGTGGCACCACGGGTCTGTGTCTCCTCTGCCATTCTCAAGATGGCCATTTTCACCCGGCCTGTAATCAAATCTTCATGCTGATGCAGGGAGGTGTCGGAGATTGGCGATGCTAGTAGACGGCGGCGGGTAGAATGGAAATGCAGATCGGTGGTCGAGAAGACGTTTTCCATGCCGTTTGGCAGGAGCGTGCGATACCAAGACGACTTGAGGAAACGTGAGTTAGTTTTGTGTATTTTTTTCACCGCATCGACGTCGCAAATATCGACTCTATTAGGGCCGGTTCGAACGATGGGACCTTTATATTGCACATGTCAGCACTCTATCCTACGGGTAACCTTGACAGGATGGAAGACTCATTCGATGGATTTTATATCCTCGGATTATTAAGGTTCTTACCATATTTCTCGTGCAGTTCATGAACATAGTATGGGACCTTCCCAGCGAACCAATAACGTATGTAAACAAGATCGGTCCATTTAGAGATCTCCGGGCCTGGAATCCGCGCGAGCGGACTAGAGAGACGGGCATAAATGAAGTGCTACACTGAAGTCAGCCTTGAGAGCGCAAATATTCTTCAATAAGCAACAATCTTACGAGACACAATACTCCAAGAAAGCACCCTAAAATCGTAAAAAGATGGCTGATAGACTCCATCGTCGTGATTTGCTGTGTATTGAACATAGGTCTGTCTCTTCTTATTGCTGGGTCAGCACTGTTTTTATATCCAAACAATGCAATCCTGGGGGATAGCCTACCTTGTTACACGCACATTGAGATCACTCTGCCGGTTCTTCGTTGCCCGAAGTCCGACAAATCTCGTAGCACAGCGGCGTTCGGGGCTTGTTCGAAGATTCACCGAGGGAAGTGATCGGCATGGGGGATGCACCACTATTGATATACCAAAATAAAAACATCGATGTTGGAAACTCGTTCTGGTGTGCGCCTAATCTAGGACGTGTGATGGCGTCCGCCAACAAGCGGAAATTCTTCAGCTCTTTAAACGATATTGGTGCCGGCACATGTCAAAATCGACGCAATCGTTTTTCAGAGCAACAATTCAGTTCAGGCTGTCGAGACTGTAACAAACATCATGCAGGTACATTCCATTTATATTGGAACCGTTCACAGAGCCTGACATATACGAAGGTGTCAGTAATATGATGATGAATTCATCTGGCCAGTTTAGCCTAAAAATAATTGTATAATTGTATATATGTATTAGGTGGTATTACCAGGTCTACCACTAGGCCCTCTGCAACCTCTGTCAATATGTTGTACCCGTTAGATTGATTCCATACTCCGACGGACTCCGACAAAATCCGTCAAAAGCCGATCTACCAGCCCTCTAACTAGGCGTTGTATGTGAGATGCAAGAAATCGAGGTAGCATTTCGAATAGGTGCCATTTCCATGACAGGGATGGTGAACCTTTTCATTTCCTAAGAGTCCGCATCCGGCGGCGGGGGTCTCGATGGCATTCAACTGGCGCGTGCTAAAGGAGCCCACATGTTTGCCATTCCCGGTTCGCCAGAAAAGACGCGCTTTTTGATTGAAATTGGTATGCCGCGCTCGCATGTATTCGCAGCGCGCGACCTTGCCGATCTGGCGCGGGCCGTCACTACCACAGCGTAATTCTTAGTACCGCGCAGAGCGACCTACTCTACGAGAATATCAAGGCACTGGCGCCCCTTGGTCATCTGATAGACATCGGTCGGCTGGGCGTCAATGACGCTAGAATCATCGACCTCGCCTGTTTGGTCGACCATGACCCAGAGCTAGGCTTGCAGCTTATGCAAGTTATAGATGATCACTACCGTGCTAGTCGCGTTAGCCCTATCCACCCTGTGACCCTGTCGGAAATCTCTCAGCTAGATCAAACGCTTCTCGAGTTCTCCAAGGGCACGCGCATCGGCAAGCTGAGATTGAGTTTCCAAAATCACGACTTACTCGTGCGGATGGACATTCGTACTTCACCTGGAGGGATGCTATGTCATCACTGGTAGGCTCAGAGGCTTGGGTTTGTCCATCAAACAGTGGATGTGCGACCGAGGTGCTCGAGAGTTAGTAGTACTATCCAGTCGCGGCACCAGTGCCCCAGAGCTCAGGCGCGTGTCGAGGTATTGGCCAAGCACGGCGCATGCCTCTTCCCACAAGCTTGTGACCTTGGTAGCTGGGAGCAGGTCGTGTGTGCCATTGAACAAGAATCCACCATTATGCCAGTGAAGGGCATTATCCACTGTACCATGTCATATCAGGATATCACATTCGACAAAATATCGCTGGGGGGGCTAATGCGATGGACTGACCACCGAAGTCCGCGGTACATGGAATTTGCACGAAACCACAGAGAGTCTGTCAACTGGACTTCTTAGTGATGACTATCTCCATCCTCTTGGTGCTCAGCTTTGTGACCCAATGCGCGTACACTGCAGCCAATAAATTCATTGCTCGCTACCGTCACCGACTGGGGCTACCCGCTACGGCACCCTAGTTTGGCTTGGTCAATGAGGTCGACCATCTCAGCAGGCTCTTGGATTCAAGATAAGTATAGTAATCTTTTGGACTCCCGTATGAGCATCGGCACTCTGACGGCAAAGGTGGCCGATGATACGGTAGCAGATGGGGGAATTGAGTAGGCTGGATCTTGAGTGATTAAAACGTGCCTCCGATCATCCATGGATGCCTAGCAAGCGCTTTATATGATGTCCAATTCGAGTCACTTTCTTCTGTTCATTTGGGATTGAAAACAAACAACTTTCCATGTTCTTTGGGCGTTGCCGGAGGATTTGACACAGACAGAACTGAGACTGGGTATGTACTTTTGGGATTGGCGACAGCTTTTTACCCCCATGGCGAGACAACTCAACTGGCCCTTCGATGACATGTGGTCACGACGTTGAAATGAACTGTACATAGGAAGAAAAGCGAAGAGAAGAAAATGGAAAAAAAAAACATGAAAATAAATACAAACATGCATGTGAAATGTATAGGGTATCCGTATATTTTCCTGATAAAAAGTCACAAGGAACGCCGAGAGCAAATCCCACAGGCCAGTTTCGTATACCGGGGCCTGTATATGCAGAGACATAAACACATGTCACGTAGACAGAAGAAAGTCATCAAATACATCAGAATCATCCAAGAAATTTGTCTGCGGGACAAAAGGCTCGAACCAAGATGGAATGTGACCAAAGAGGGATTGCCATGGTAGTGTCTTGCGTGTGGACCTTCCCTTTTGAATGAGTACAGGTCAAGTGTAACCAAAAAAAGGGGAGAATAGAGGTGTAGAATGGAGGGTAGGGTGCAAGAGCATGGCATGACAGGTGTGAATGGAGACAGAATACCCGGGCAGGCAAGGATGGCTGTCTTGGGTTGTCAACAATCAAAATTCGTTACTTGGTGTCGAACCATCCACCGTTTTCCCATTCCCCATTAGCAGTGTATGTGGCTGCTTGTCGGGCAGACGGATCGCAGAGACCGCTCAATAGAACGTTCAAACGAGCGAAATTGATCGGTTTCATAACCCAACCATCAAATCCAGTATCGACGTAGCTGTCACGGTCCTTTTCAACTAATGATGCGGAGACAGCAAAGATAGGTACTCGGTCATTGTGCATAGCTTTGTCGGAGAGAGCTTCCTTGGGTGTCTTGGATTCAAACTCGCGAATCGCCCGGGTGGCTCTCATTCCATCGAGGATCGGCATCTGAGGAAGGTTAGTGAGAGTGAAGAGGATGAAAGGAGCATTTCCAACATACTTGAATATCCATCAACACCACATCAAAGGATTTGGTGGCAGAGGCAAAAGCAATTGTGCAGGTTTCACCATTACTAGTCAATTCAACGGTGTGGCCAAGTTTGGTCAACCGCTTTTGTATGATCTTGCTGTTAATTGGATCGTCCTCGGCAACAAGAACATTGAGTGGGTCATAGTCTGTTGTTGAAGGTACGGTGGTTGGTGGGGCAGAGGATGCTGGCCCAGAAGAGGGAGCTTGTGATGTTTCTGCTATTGATGAAACTCTCGGGAAGTATGAGTTATCTTCTTTGGTATGCTCGATTTGTGGTGATCTGAGACTGGCGAAACGTTGTGACACTCGCAGAGCACCCATCGGCACTCCCGAGTCCGTAATATTCTCCAGACCTGGGGGAGGGGGAGTGACAAGTGGCTGTAACGTGGGCGGCGGGGTATGCGTGACAGAAGACAGGCTTGAATGCGGATCCTGCGTGGTCAATGATCGATTTACAGCGGACGGTGATACAAGAGGAGGATGCACATTATTGCTGCTGACGCTGGCAGGACTCGACGAAAGGTTCAGCCGTCTCTGATCCAAATCTTGGCTAGTGCTTCTCTTGAGGGGGTGTTCTTGCATGGCACTGATAAGTCGATCAGCGTGACTTCTCCCACTGCGCCCACTTTGTCCACTGCGGGAACTGGCACCACTGCGAAGGCTTTCGGAACTTCGTCGTCTGGCATCACGAGACTCATGTGCTCCGGAAACCAGTGTAAACTCCTTGTCTGAAAGCATAGGCGTCGCAGGAACGACGACGCTCGTAGGAGAAATTACATCTGCATCTCCGTCCACGGTTGTTCCCTCTGGCAATCGGAAGTGCAATATAATCTTGAAACGACTGCCCTTTCCTTCTTCTGATTTGACACCGAGCTGACCATGCATGTTATGGACGATCCTTGCTACAAGAGCAAGCCCAAGACCCAATACACGTTTTTTCGGTGTGTTCTGCGTGTTCTCTTCTCCTTCGGGGTAGTAGGTATCATCAGTCGACACTTGTTCGAGTTCATGAAAGAGCATCTCCAATTTGTCGTGCGATATGCCCACCCCTGTATCAACAACCATCATCTCCACTCCCACATGGCCTATAATGGTTTGGCTGGTAGAGCGCCACATTTCTATCGTGACCGCACCGGATTTGGTGTGTTGAATGGCATTTGAAATCACGTTCGAAAGAACTTGCCGCACACGACGCTGGTCGCCGAGAACTGAGGAGGGAATACCCGGATGTACTAAAACAGTGTATGAGATATTCTTCCGCTTAGCGTCGCCAGAGAGCATATCAGCCGCTTCTCTAAATGTTGATTCAAGGTCGAAGGTCTCATCTTTAATGAGGTCCTGGCCTTTTTCGGTATTTGTCAAGTCAAGGAGATCGTTGATCACGTAAATTAGTGACTTGGAAGCCGAATGAGATTTGGTCAAACTCTCTCTGGTTTCATCGTCCAGAGCACCCTCAAGTGCAATCTCTAAATAGTTAACGATGGCATTTAAAGGGGTCCGAACTTCGTGTGCAGAATTGGCCAGAAGTAGTCGAGTGAGTTGCGAGTTCTGCATAGCGGCCTCCTTCTGCCTCCAAACTTTGATAAATTTACCGTAAACCACTGTTCAAGCAAGGTATGTTAGCTTTCAAACAATCGAGATAAACCATTCAGGATGTTCCAAGGGGAGAGCTTACAGCATAAGACCGCCGCCGTCTCCACGTCCGTCTCTGTCCACTCTCTACTTTGCGATAGAACTGTCTCCCGCCACGCTGTAAAACTTTCGCGGGGTTCTAGATATCCCGCGGTTTGCTTTCGCTTTTCAATTTCGTAAGGGTTACCAGCCCACTTGATCTCTGTGAGCTGTCCACGGCGAAAGAATGCGATAAAGTCACTACCTCCAGTAGAGAGCGGGACATATAGTAGACCAGAGATTGCCTTCAATCCCGGAGCGTAGTGCAAATCAGGGAAATCCTTGACGATATCGTGCGAGGCAAGCACTGAATCCAAATGGCGTACGCGAAGGAACTCTAGCAATGCAAGTAACTCCTGGGAGTTATTGTTGTCACCAAGAATCTTTGTTTCATTGCGAATCGACAAAACACCATAATCTGCATCAAATAGTTGTAGCAGATCATCCGAGGATGCAATGATGTAGCCTGATGGGTTGGCCTCGGTTGGGACAGTGTTGATGAGTTTTCGGGCCTGAAGGCGAGAGGCATATGAAAGCCGCTCTATGTTTCGAGATACAGTGTCGCCGAGGAGCCGGCACATTTTGCGTATCGGAAATGACACGCGCATACCGGCTTTTCCGTAGCTATGGCAGGATATCAACCCCCATAGATCGTTGAAAGCGTTGACGCTTATTGACATTGAAGACCGGACTTTCATGTGTGCCAAATATTTCACGTGAATTGGGGACATCGCGCGAAGGTAGGCGTGAGTCATGTCCAACGGCGATTCGAGATCCTCCAAGGTCCGACACACAAGTCGAGAAGTGACTTGGTCGCGATCGTATAGGAGCCGGACCTTGTTGATTTTGTATAGTTCTCGGGCTTGCGCGGGGATATCGGATGCAGGGAAATGAAGACCTTTGTAGAGATCAATAGTAGTGTTCGGATCAACTAACTCGGCAACAACCATGCCATTCCAGCTGCTATCGAATTGATAGATCAAGACTCGGTGAAAGCCGGTAAGCTCCTTAACCAATCCCGCAGTTGTATTAAGAAGCTGATCTAAATTCTTTGTCCGCCCCAACTGCTCTTGTATCTGAGTTAGGATACTAAAAGCTTCCATCGAAGATGCCGCGCCCTTCCTGCGGCGGGCATTCCTGAGAACGCGGAGAGGCTGGCTGATGTTGATTGTGCTCGCAGCGAGTTGATCTGGTGTTGGAACAATGCCTAGGGTGTCTGTGGGGACTGCCGGAGTGTCAAGGCCCTCAACATTCAACGGGTTCACTTCGTCATCCTCACGCTCGAACTCGCAGATAATCAAATCCTTTTGCGTCTGAGAGACATGGGTGGCGCACCAGAATTTGCAGCGCTCTCCATCAGCTGTGCGGATGGACATATTGAAAACCTCCGGTCCGTCGATTGATGGGTCGTGTGCATCATCACGAACAAAGTCAACGTGATCCAGTAGTGTGTCCGCCTGGTCCTCGCTCAAAATATCACAAAAGTTTTTCAACTCGAACAGTTGCTTGGGCGAATAACCCAAGAAGTCAGCCGAGTTCTCGCTCACAATGCGAACTATAAGTTGATTTGGGGACTCTTCACGAAGGGCAATCATTAAGCCAAAACTCTGAATCGCCCCGGGTATGCGAATCGGCTCGTCCTCGCAGTATTGAAATGCTTCTCCCTCTCGTCCCGTGATGACAGCATGGCCACTATCCGTCAAAACATGTTTGAAGCGGGCAGTAACATAAGCATCCTCTTCAGCGTTCCTGCGCTGGGTATGGGATGATGGGGGCGCGGTGGACCCGCTTCCAGACTCGTTGTCACTTAGGGCAGGTTTAGCGTAAATTTCGGGGTGTTGAACAACCTCCGATACCAAAGAATGTGTCGCAAGTTCGGTTTTGTCATCTATAGCATATGTCTCATGGCGTGGAATGTCGGTGGGGATGGTAGGTTCGGCGTGCTCGGGGTCGGGGTGATGAAGGTGGTCAGAAGAAAGCTGCGAGTGCACTTGGTTCCACGTTCGTTCGTCGATGAATGGATACTGTCGCGCCCCTTCTCGGGTTGGCGATGTCGTGTCCCGGGAGTGCACTGAGCCCGAATACTGGGGCGGAACGGTGGGATCGACCGAAACAACCGACCTAATAGGGAACACACGGTCGGCGGGGTCAAAACCAGTGCTTGGTGGCTGCCGAACCTCTGCGATCGACTGCGATCGATCTCTGGTCTCTGGCTGTCCTTGTCCTGTTTCTGTTGGCTCTATCCGTTTCGCAGACACAACACTCTTCGACCTTTCGCGCGGGGACCCCAGCCTGATGTCCTTGGGATGAGGGGAGGTCATCTTCACTGCTTAGACTATCGAAATGAACGTAGCGCGCCTGAACGGCCGCTTGACAGCGGGCTACTGAGATCGAATCCGAATAGGAGAACGAAACGACCCGACAAGATGGTGTTTTAAGGTTCTACGGGGCATAGTACGTCAATTACAGTACGCCACCTCGGATTTTCCCATAGGAAAGCTTGACCGCCTGGCTCACCGCCGGCTTTATCCCCTTTGAATTACTACCTAACTACATGTAGGTAGGTTAGTTAGCTCCTACAATTGCGGAGTCAAGGACCACTTTTGTATATATCTTGACCCATTTGCTTCGGATATGCAAAAATGGACAAAGTCCAGATTCATTGTTTACTGCATGTCAGACTGCTTCTTAGGTAGCAGATATTCTTCCCTCAGTCATCCTTACCATATCGTCAATATCCTTGGCATGTGGGCCCTAATCATTATTTTATCCGTCACACCGTATGTACCTTTCCAAAGTTGCATTACATGGAACATTTTGAATGTTCATACTTCCATGATTTGACTATCCGTATCAAACCGGAGTGTTTTCTATGACAACCAAAGAAAGACTTTTGCCTGTGTTTTTTAATACTTCTGTCACGACAAAAAAAGAATGAAACTCCGATAGGGGGAATCGAACCCCCGGCTGCCGTGTGAGAGACGGCGATGTTAGCCACTACACCATATCGGATCTTGTTGAGATTCAGTGAGACTTTTGACAATATGACCCTTCACAATACGGCATGTTAATACATTGATCGTCTCTTTCCTCTCCTCTGCTCCAAAAAGCCTCGATGTTTTCTTCTCTTCGCCCCTTCACCCTGGTCGTTGCAGCTAAGCCATTTTTCCTATTGATCCGGATCATGAAGCTCCGCAGCTCCGCCACCCCCTTTTTCTAACCTCTTCTTTTGTTTGAAAGAATTGGCAGGTAACATAGCATACTTAAACTGGTTAGGTAGAGATCGATGCGCAACATTATACAGGATACTATATGGTCGGAGAAAGGAGCTTGGTACATGCAGACACCGACGACGCACTTGTTCTAGGTATGCCCGCGTCCGGGTTAGCCCTGGAACCATTGGTAGAGATATCTTTAATTAGCGGCGAAGCGTACTGCATCTAAAATTGGAACATAGGATGTTTCTGCCTCGTGAGAAACCTAAGCACGTTCAAGAAGGAAGGCATGCTCAATTTACTATCTTCCTAGAGCAAGGGATCACGCAGTCCTAGTAGCAAAAGGGGTTCGAGTTTATTTTTGAAAGATCAGCGTGGAAGCAGCACGGTTTCTTGCTCTAAAGTGCACGTCGAACCGTGATGTTCTCATTGCGTCACCCATTCACACCATATCGGATGTTAAGTGTCAGGTATTGGAAACTATGGCAATATAAGCAAATTTTGTTTGTATTAAGGAATATTTTAAACGCCCAGGTACCTGTTTGAACCACTTTTGTGATCCTGGCTGCATAACCGCCCTGTACCCGACCAGCCTAATCATGCTGCTACTACCAATTAAATATGCACTATCTCTCAATCCTGTATGTTGTTTTATTCATGGCCTGCATATTACGAGAAACAATTTATGCGATATGTAGAGTGGAGAACTTGGATGCAGATACCCAGAGACCGAGAGTCAGAGATAACACGCTGACCTCCAAGGATTATGAAACAATATCTTAGATCACTCTATCGTTTGATTTGCGGTCGGTTCATACCCATATACTGACCTTCATTAATTTAGGTCGCGCGACGCTGAGCTAGCGCTCAGCCATTTCTCACCTGAGCGGTACCTTCTCGATACTAGCCGCCCAGGGGAAAGCCTAGGTAAGTATCCTTCAGGCCGGAGCGAACGCCGCACTGAACCTCCTAGGTAGACGAGAGTAGAAAATCATTAGGCTGAATGTGCCGTTACAATGTACGTTGTACTGAACGTCACTACCGCGGATAGAAAATGATATGGCAAATTTATTGGTGGTTCATGACGCCTTCACTTTCTCCAGCACCTGCGTCGCATGAACTAGAGCCCAGAACCTATGACGCAATTGACACATCGGACTCACCTCCCATTTCTTGGGAGAACATAAAGTGCATAATTGCAGTCCCCTTAGCCTATAACAATATAAAGTGTATCGGGCGTCTCGAGATTGCAAGGTAATTGGGGCTCTAGATAGAGGCGCAGTCGAAGTTCTTCGCCACCCATAAATACGGCGGTAAGCCCAAACCCGATCACATCTAGGTTGGCATCGTGTAGGCAGTTTAATGTCCTTGTGTCGATAGGATCTGACATACTGAGACAGAGTCCCCTGAATACAGCTAGCTCCAGAGAGAAAGGTACAAGACCTCCGCACCAAGCCCCCAAGCTGACCAGTGTGGCTTTATAGAAGCTCACGTCACTCTTAATTTTTGCCCAATTTGACAAGATCTTGCCTTCGCCTCCTACCTCTTGGAATACGTAGAAAAATTCTGCTTTCATCGGTATTGTAGGTTTGCTGTTCATCGAAGGTGTGTTACTTCTACGCAATCCGGTAAATGCGAGGGAAATATCCTGGATAGAGTTCTTGAGTTTCTCATGTTCAGCATTACACTCAGCACATGCGCCATCTTGTCATTCAATATTTTCTTGGAAAAATGGCTCTAGTATTTCTTGGCATCCTTGCTTGCCTGCGAACCCTTGCACGGTTGCCCATGGATGACCACCTTCCCATTCCTCAAAGCTTTCTGGGCACCACTACACAGCCCCCTTTTGGGAAAAGCATAATTAGCCAATGCCCTGACCTCTGAAACAGTTCCATCTCATGAAAGATGAATCATTCCCAATGATCAACTTACTGACGAAACAAGTCCATGCATAACGCGCATATGGCTGCTTCTTCTCGTATTGATTTGGATCAGCACCCCTCAACCCCGGTCTCATTGCTGGTGACAAATCCTTTTGATGAAAATGTTACCAGGCCCAAAAGTGGATCGGGAAACACTTTTCTAGTAACATCGCACTCCCAGCGGTCGTCTCTATCGGTTTCATCCGCCGCAACGTCTTCAGCATGTCCAGGGCCAATTGATCGGAGCAATAGCCCGTTTTCTTCTCACTCGCCAAATAATGCAAGAAAAGATTCAGATGCAGCACTACCGTTGGTCTCTCAAGCCTTGCATCGGCCTTCGCAGTCGATTGATGAGGATCCCTTGGGTCCGCGTTCGCAATCGATCGCATCCACTGAGGCCACTGAGGCCACGGTGGTCCGCTCCAGAACTCTGTCGGATATATATTCGGATCACACTGTCAAATTTGATTATGACGACGTGTCGCTGTCGGAAGCACTGGTACCCAATCCTCGCGATGACGCCGATTTCCATGTTAACGAAAATCGATTCGCCTTCTCGCCTGGACAGTTGAACAAAATGCAAAACCCTAAGTCCCTCGCAGCCTTCTTTGCACTCGGTGGCTTGCAAGGGTTGCAAAAAGGCCTACGAACGGACCTCAATGCAGGTCTATCCGTCGACGAGGGCCGACTGGATGGCTTTGTAGATTTTCAGCAGGCGACGTCACACCTGTACGACAAGACACCCTATATCGCTAAATCGCGACTGGAAGCCAACCCGGATCCAGCAGTACCTGTAAATACCAACGATCATTTGAAATTCGAGGACCGCATCCGTACTTTTTCTGAGAACAAGCTACCGGCTCGAAAGTCAGTCGGGTTATTGAAGCTGTTTTGGATCGCCTATAATGATAAGATCATTATTTTGTTGACGATTGCCGCTATCGTTTCACTGTCTTTGGGGATATACGAATCGGTGGATGGCGGCACAGGCGTGGAGTGGGTGGAGGGGGTGGCTATCTGCGTGGCGATTCTGATTGTCACCGTCGTTACCGCTGCTAATGACTGGCAAAAAGAGAAACAGTTTGCCAAACTTAACAAGCGAGTAAGTGTTGTATGATTTCTGATTGTATTGTTTTTCTAACCTTGTGTAAGAACAATGACCGCGATGTCAAAGCTATTCGCTCAGGCAAGTCGACAATGATATCTGTTTACAATATCATGGTGGGCGACGTGCTCCACCTAGAGCCTGGTGACTCTATACCCGCTGATGGTATTTTGATCTCAGGTTATGGTATGAAATGCGACGAGTCATCAGTGACTGGCGAGTCAGATCATATAAAGAAGACGAATGGCTATGAAGTCTGGCAGCAGATTGTTGAAGGCCACGCAAATAAGAAGCTTGACCCGTTCATGATTTCCGGTAGCAAGATTCTCGAAAGCGTGGGCACCTATCTTGTTACTAGTGTTGGACCGTTTTCCACATATGGCCGACTCATACTATCGCTGCAGACTTCCAACGATCCTACACCGCTTCAAGTGAAATTGGGTCATCTTGCTAATTGGATCGGGTACTTAGGATCGGCGTAAGGATTTCACCTCCTAGATATAAAATACCTAGAAGTGTTAACAATATACTATAGTGCAGCCGCCATTCTCTTCCTCGTCTTGTTATTTCAATTTGTCGCCGATCTTCCAAATCATCCTGACCAGAGCGCTGCTGTTAAGGGCCAGCATTTTGTGGATATTTTAATTGTGGCTGTGACTGTTATTGTTGTCGCCGTCCCAGGTAAGTAGTTATTAACACACTTTAATTATTCCTTTATTGTTGATATATTAATCATTCACTAGAGGGCCTTCCTCTCGCAGTCACACTTGCTCTAGCCTTTGCTACGACTCGTATGGTCAAGCAGAATAACCTGGTTCGCGTTCTACGGGCCTGTGAGACAATGGGAAATGCCACGGTAATATGCTCGGATAAGACAGGGACCTTAACACAAAATAAAATGACCGTCGTCGCCGGCATCTGGGGTTCGAATCAAAGCTTCAGCAGGCTATCAGAGGGCGAAGCTCGACCTAGCTCGGTTAGTATCTCAGGGAGTTTCCAGCAGATTACAGCTCCTGTGCGAGATCTTATTGTTAAGAGCGTTGCCTTGAACTCTACCGCTTTTGAGGAAGGGATCAATAGCCAAAAAGACTTTATTGGGAGTAAGACTGAAGTTGCGTTGCTTCAGTTAGCCCATGATTATTTGGGTATGGACCTTACCCTAGAGCGTGCATCCGCCGAGACCGTCCAGCTCTTTCCATTCGATTCGGCGCGGAAATGCATGGGTATTGTTTACCGCCTGCCTAGTGAAGAATGCCGTCTCCTTGTTAAAGGGGCTTCCGAGCTTATGATCGCTGCGTGTTCCACGCAGATTATAGATATAACTACTTCCAAGGAGAGACTTCACACGGAATTTCTCTTAAAAGACGACCGAGATAAAATCCTTGAGACCATTGACCAATTCGCTAGAGGGTCCCTTCGAACAATTGGAATTGTGTACAAGGACTTTATGACCTGGCCTCCATTATGGGCTAAAAAGCTGGAAGATGAGCCGTGTTTAGTCGATTTTGACGAGGTCTTCCAAGACATGACCTGGGTCGGGGTCGTCGGCATTCAGGATCCCCTTCGGCCTGAGGTTCCTCCGGCGATTCGCAAATGTTATTCCGCAGGAGTTCAAGTCAAGATGGTTACTGGGGACAATCTTGCAACTGCTATTGCGATTGCGTCGTCTTGTGGTATTAAGACTGAAGATGGGTTAGTTATGGAAGGTCATGAATTCCGACACTTGCCGGATGAGGAATTAGACCGCGTGATTCCCCGCCTACAGGTGTTGGCACGCTCTTCGCCAGAAGATAAGCGTATCTTAGTAGAGCGGCTTAAGAACCTTGGTGAAACAGTCGCTGTGACGGGCGACGGCACAAATGACGGGCCTGCTTTACGAACCGCGGATATCGGTTTTTCTATGGGTATTACCGGTACTGAGGTAGCCAAAGAGGCTAGTTCAATCATCCTCCTAGACGATAACTTCCGATCTATCGTTACGGCGATCGCCTGGGGACGGACGGTAAATGACGCCGTCGCTAAGTTCCTTCAGTTCCAAATCACGGTTAATATCACGGCCGTCATTCTGACATTTGTGTCGTCCATCTATAGCGATTCGAACAATCCCGTGTTAAATGCTGTGCAGCTGCTCTGGGTGAACCTTATAATGGATACTTTTGCCGCGCTAGCACTGTAAGCAGCAGCCCTTTCCTACCGCTTGTGCCTAGGTATGCTATTTTGCTGACGCTTGATGGAACCCAGAGCCACCGACGGCCCGACGGCTGAGATCCTAGATCGAAAACCCGTACCTAAGAGTGCCCCACTCTTCACCATGAATATGTGGAAGATGATCTTTGGACAAACAGTCTACAAACTCACTGTGATCTTTATGCTCTACTTCGCTGGGGACCAACTTTTGAACCCACAACTTGAAAGCAACGACCCAGAGCTTCGGACCAAACAACTTTCCACCGTTGTTTTCAACACATTCGTCTGGATGCAAATTTTCAATGAGTTTAATTGTCGCCGCCTCGACAACAGGTTCAATGTCTTCGAGGGCATGTTTCAAAATTATTGGTTCCTGGGCATTAACGCCGTCATTATTAGTGGTCAAATAATGATAGTATTCATTGGCGGTCAGGCATTTCGCGTGACTCGTCTCAATGGGGTTTTATGGGCGGTTTGTCTCATCTGTGCTGCGGTTTGTATGCCGTGGGCTATGATTCTACGCATGATCCCCGATCACCATTTTGCCTTCGTTTTCAATGCTATCGTCGGCAGTTTTTCCATCGCGTTGCGTCCATTTGTCAAGGTCTTCCGGCTCCTTGGTAAAGGCTTCAAAGCTTGCTTCCGGCCTGTCCCCAGGTTCACCCTCTGGGTTTTCTCTCGGCAATTCTCAAACCATAGTAGTGATTCTTCTGTCCAGGGGCCAACAAATTCTGAAGCTAGGGATAAGGAAGGGCCGAGTTCGATGAAGCAGAGGCAACAGGATATTCCTGAACAGCATCAGGTGCCACCGCAGATTTCGGTACCTACAATTACAATCACGACTTCCCCCTAATTTTCTGGGGCATTGATGTGGCCCCAAAAGCGTTTTATATGTTTTATGTCGTGAGCATTGATATGTGCACTAAACGTGAATCGTCTGTTCCACTATAATCGGTAATCAAATGGCTTTTTCGTCAATGTTGAAAAGGCCTGAAGTACGCCAACTGAGTCGTTCACTTTATGTCGTTCATTGATAGCAGGTTTTATAGGTTCAGTACAAGGTGATTACCTCTTCGACAGCCTAAATTTGGCCTTGAAGCCCACGAAAGCTAGCGCGTCCGCTTCGTCCCCGTCCACCGTATTATACATCAAAAGTACTCCATTTTATAAAATAGAGCGGTCGTAAGGTTTTACCCAGGCTGTTATATTAAAGTCCACATCTGGCTATATTGATAATCGACAGTAAATATAGTATAACCCTATGGTAGTATTTAGACAGTCTCCGGGGTAGATTCTTAGAATCTAGTGATTAGTTTAGTATTGAACGGTTCTACTGGTTTCTCGGAAATTCAAAGGGTTGAAATGTTCATGGAATTGAGAAGCATTCTTTCCTGGCATTCTCGCTGGTAAAATACCTAAGCAGGAAGTGCATGGGTAATATCTAGAACCGACCTCGGGACTTTCACCTCGAGCTTTTCAGTAAGATATTTACTGATTTTCTGATTTTTTGATGCCTGGTCTCCACGTACATCCACTCTGATCCATAAAGAGCTAGTAATATAGGACAGCCTCGTCCTGGTTTTTTCGACTGCCCAGCCCCCATATTGCATCAGGATCGGCCTCTAATCGACCCAGAACATATGATAGAAAGATGAGCCAGCTAAAACAAGAGCAGGATGCCAGAGCAAAAGCCCGTAAAGCGACATCACGACCCACAAGGAGAAAGGTCCAACGTGGGGGCGTCTTCATTCTCCGAGGAAACTTGTCAGTATCCCTATTTGACTTGAGGGGAATTGATAAGAGCCATCCAAGACATATAGAGGGGCTAGAGCTTAGTATCCAATAGACAGCGACTTTAGTGTTAGTTCAAGGCGGGATCCACAAGTGCGATGCTTGATACAACCTCAGCAGTGGATCATGGTGTTCAGTCCTAATTAGATCTATAAAACCGCCTATACGGAATCACCACGATTATCTCCCACAACACCACGCCCAACCGTGGTCTTTCCGCTGCCCCCCTGGATTACACCATATCGGATGACTCGATAAAGGCTGCTTTCGATTTTGTTTTATCAATTCAAGTTAGCGTCATATGTCCTTACACCTCGCCGTGCGTCGTGGTATATAGTACCCTGTCGTCCTCCCCAACCCAGCATCTCACATTTTCTTTTTCGCCCTCCTCCTCCCTGGTCTCTGTAGGTGAAGCATTTTTGCTATTAATTCGGATCACCGAGCTCCTGAGCTCCGCCACCCCCTTTTCCCTATATGACTTATTATCACCTCTTCGCGACTTTCCCTCGCCCCTCGCTACTTTCTTAGGCTCTCACCTTATTTCTGATCAGGTGCTTTCTTTGAGGCCCTAACGCTAGCCCCCGAACTACTTTCTGTCCTAATGTAACTAAATGTCCGTTGGTCGTTCTTAATCCCGTTATCACGTGCCTTTCGCTCTCTATAGACAGTCGCCTACGCGAGAGGGTCTACGAACCGGATACGAAGTACTGTTTGATAGGGCCTTATTATAATTGAGTGATAGCGCTTACTTTATTTACGCGATAACCGAAATCCAACGTGGCTTATCTGACCAATTGAACTACCCCAGCCGCGAGCCAGCGGATGCCAAGTCCGCAAACATTACGGCACGAACGGCCAGCCCCTAACTCCGTGATATCCTCCTAGGCTCAGATTGCAAGACTACATACAGATTCACCATTACACTCTAACGAGTTAACTCCCGAAGCCCAACCTAAAACACACTAATCTTAATACCGTATCACGGTTGATTCTCTAGTTCCCAGAATAGAACTTTCTAGGGTATACTACCCACCTAGGCACTAGTTAAGTTATCGTCTTATTGTCAATCCTAGAGTGGTGTGGAAAATCAGGCAAAGTGGGGGCTTAGGGTAATTCGTGAATATATACGAAATAGAGGTTCGAGGCAACTTATATATAGTATCTATATAAATTCATATAAATTAGGGGCTTATAGAACTTATAAATATCTCTATAAATTCATATATATTAGTTGCTCGGGCTATTAGTACGGTTTTGAGTAGTCTGGCGTCGGAAGCTTTTTTTTTTAAACAATACGCACTGTTTAGTTCGAGCTGCATGATAATGGCTTTTGAACGTCGGCTCAGCGATTAAATTTTTCCCGTTAAAATATTGGATATATCTGTCTCGACTGCGAAACCTGGTCAAATCTTAAAGCCAAATTAACTTTGACTTTTTGCGTCTTTTACGTGTCACAAAACTGGTTCATCCTGAATAATGAGCTAGATATATCCTACCAACAGTGTGTTTTCTATTTGGGCGGTAGAATATGTATATGGGTAATTATTTAGCGAGTTTCTGCAGCATTCTTTAGCATCATGCAATCCACTTTTATGTTTCTGACTCGGTTCATAACCTTTGACGTTGTCCCTCCTAGACCATATGTTTTGTTCAGGATATGAAAATTATCCAACTGGCAGATATGACGGACGTAGGAAAGGACCCAAGCCAACCTCGTATCCGATGATGCGATCACTTTGACATCGATTTGTTTCTCAATGAGATTCTATTCTGTAAGGACCGCATGGTTTCCATTAGTCTAGTTACCAGATCGCTACAACGTCTACACACCTATAGTAAAATTCTCCTTCGATAAAAAGATTACTATATATTGCCTCAAAGCATGACTATATGAGGATTAATGCTGATAGCTATGATCATCGAGGTATGAAGCCGCTGCACTATGCGAAGGTTGGAAAGAGTCCGCGGTGAGGCTACTGTCCAGGAACACCGTTGCAGACCCTCCAGATAGGCAGAGAGGACGGGGAATGAGTATTGAAGAGGGTACATTTTACACTCCCATGAGGAAGGCTCTTCCCATTCGCTGCGCATCGGCTCTCAACAGCCCTTGACGCTGACATTCCGCCCCAAACACGTCTTCAATATCTGACCGTAAATCGCGCATCAAGACCTTTATATCCAACATGCGCTCTAGACAGCGAAGTACTAAGCTTTTGACCACGTTGATAAATGTAGTGGGCAAGGCATCTGTGTCGTACTCATATCGAATTCCTAAGCCGCAATCATCGGCCTGCCATTCGAAGAGACATGAGAACTTCGAGCCTTCTGCGGAAATTTGGACTGGCTTCACTCCCTTGATAGGGAAGAAATTTTCGATGTTACCACGTGTCCGTTGGTCGTGGAAAGTGACCACGCAGTCGAATAAGGGTTGTTGATGTCTTTGCCTGAGAGTTTGATGGCTTGGGAATGGTAGTCCTAGGTGATCCAGCAGCGAAGGCCAGGGAATGGCATTTGCCAGCGCAGACTGAGATGACGATCGAACTTCTTCAAGGGCGTTCTCAGTTGTAGAATCCGGCTTTTCCAGCAGTATTCTAACAGGCAAAGGCTGAAGAAACAAGCCGACCACTTCCATGTCCTTTGGGTCAGAGCGGTTCATGTATGGAGACCCGAGGAGTACATCATGTCGGTCACAAATAGTCTGAAGAACGATACCTACTACTGCCAAGCCAAATTGATGCAGTGTGGTTCCTTTGAGGGAAGAGATAGCGAGAAGGCTTTTGTATAATGGGGGCGGAATCGCCTGGAACACAGACTCTCCGCGGTAGGATCGGCACGCTGGATTTTCGGTTGAAGTATCTGGAGCCGAAGCGTCTGTGACAGGAAGGCCCTTCAAATAATCACACCAAAAGGACAATCTATCATTGCCAACAGGTTGGTTCCAGGCTGTGCTGTCGAAGTACTCGCGCCTAACGGGCTCCAATTTCTGACCGTAGTATACAGCGGCGGTTTCGCGCAGGATCACATTGAATGAAGTCAAGTCACACACAACATGCGAGGCGCAAATGACGAGCTGATTTGGGGAAACCACGGCGCGGATAGGGCTTTCTTTGTCAAGACTGAAGGGTATGTTGATATACTCTCTGACGTCAACATTTCCTACGACAGGCACGGTGATCGAGTCGCTTGTGATTGAACGAAGGGTCTTATCCTCCCGAGTTGTAAACCTGGAACGCAAAATTCGATGGCGATTAAAGACTATCTGGAGTGCAGACGCCAGCTTTTGGATGTCAACATCAGTCGAGAGCTCCGCAAAGTAAGGTACATTGAAGCTCGATGTTGTCTCTGAATGTTTGTAACGATGTATCCATTCGACCTCTGCTGATGAAGGAGTCTCTGGACCAAGTGGCTGAACTTGAGCTTCCGGTAATACCAGTGGTGTGCCGTCCAGCTGTGACTCGCCCTCAGTCTGAATAAGACGGGCTAGATCTCGGAGCGTTGATGCGGAGATGATATCTTTCACGGTGATTGGGATGTTGAAAAGGCTCTTGATGCGAGCAGCCAGGGCAAGTTGGAGGAGAGAATGACCACCGAGGATGGCAAAGTCATCTGCGTTTGATATTTGCCTCTTGGAGTCCAACGTCAACAATTGTCTCCAGATGCCTGCGAGGGTCTCCTCGAGAGAATTCAAAGGCTGACTTGGCTTGGGAGCGAGGTCGACGTTATTCTTTGAGACAAGACCCTTAATATCAATTTTACCATTTTTGGTTCGGGGCAGCTTTGTCATGGAGTAAACGCTTTTAGGGGCCGAATGAGGTGGCAGCGCTATGGCCAGCTGACGTCTCAATGACTCTGTATCGATTTCTGGCTCAACCCAGAGCACAACAGCGCCGTTCTCTGTGACTGCGACGGCCTTGGAGACCGAGCACATCGTCCGGTAAACGACTGCTGGGATGTCGTCCAAGTTGATACGGTATCCTCGAAGTTTAACCTGCCGATCATCTCGACCACAGCAATGCAGGTTTCCACGCTCATCCATGAAGCCAATGTCCCCGGAGCGATACATCATTTCTTGGTCAGAGCCCATGCAGAATGGATCAGGTACAATTTCTTCAGACGTCTTCTTTTCCATTCCAAGATACCCGCGGGATATCTGAACCCCAGCGATATATATTTCTCCGATCGTCAGTGTAGGTTGCAACTCGAGGTGATTGTTGAGAACGTATATGCGGGCTGATGGCAAAGGGCGTCCGAGAGTAACTGGAATGCCAGGCTTCAAACGATGATGACACACCAGCAGGGAAGCCTGGAAATGGGGTATTAGCGCTGTTGCTTATTTCAATAGATCAATAGGAAGGGGTCATAATACTTCTGTGGGTCCATAAATATTATAAAGCTCTCTGCCTGAAGCCCATCGTTCGACCAACGCATCTGGCACAGGTTCTCCGCCGAAGTGAATCTTTGTGATGGTCAGGAAAGTCAAATATATTATAAAGTTATGGTGCGGAAAAGGATATCATACCGATTTCAAGTTAGGATAGTCTCGTGGGTTCAACTCTGCGGCGAGGGAAGGGGTGAGTGTTGCTACATCCACATCTGACAGGTGAGAGAATTTATCGTCCTTTCCTCGGGGTAGTACCAAAGTACCCCCAAAACAGAGGGTCGAGAGAATCTCGTGGATACAGCCATCAAATCCTGGAGAGAGCATCTGACCGATTCGTGTGCCAGGACGGCTTGTGGGTCGAGCGGGCGCGGAGGAATACAGGGCGACAACGCCCCGATGCCTACACAGCACTCCTATGCCAAGTCAGTATTTCCGCGTCATGTTGAATATTCCCGAAGAGGCACCTTTGGGCTGGCCAGTGGACCCGGAAGTGAAACAAAGATAAGCCGTAGAGCTAGGATGTGGTAACCTAGGTTGGCAATCCGCTGGCTTAATTCTTTGGTTCAGAAGATGGTCTATCGCTAGTGTGAGTGGACCATTTGGCCCTGTCTTTTCCATTTGCGAAGTATTGGGAAGTAATAGAACTTGGGCACCGCTGCGTTCAAGGAGCTGAGCACGATATTCCTCAGGGTACGATGCGTCCACCGAAAAATAAACCGTGTTGGCTTGCATCGCGGCGAGCATTCCGACAATCCAGTTGCTGGATCGGTCTGCCAAAACTGCAATAACTGCACCAGCGGGGACGAGCAAGGCGATGACGCTCGCAATTTTATCCACACGGTCAGCCAGTTGAGTGTATGTCAAAGTCTTCCCCGCTGCTTGAATGGAGATTTCTGAAGCATTGTGCCACGTAGAATATTGGAACAGACTGCTAATGGTTTGACCCGAACTGCGTGTAAAGCTGGCAGTCGAGTTACAGTTTCCGGCTGTCAATATCTTCTCGCGCATGTGCGGGGGGAACTTCAAGCCAAGACACTGCTGCACGGAGGACCGGCTGTGAAACAGGGAGTGTAAGATGCTACCATAGATATCTGCCATGTCTTGCACTTGACTTGGTGAGAACCTATCAGTCCTATAGAAGAGGCGGATACCTTCATCTGGGTCTATCACTAGGTTGAGAGGGATGTTTGCAGTATTTTGGAATGACGGATCTTGGAGGCACTTTATGGCGGTCGTTCCTTTCCTCAGCCCGCCATCTTGAACGGCAACGGTGGTGGAGAATGCTGGTATGTTTGATGGAATTTCCGAAACGTGTATGCTAGCCAGGCCTTGAATTTCACGATGAATCTGCTGTAAAAACGTTTCGGTAGATGAGGACCTGTCAACCTGAACAAGGACAGGTAAAGTTTGGATCAACGGGCCTATCATGGTGTCTGCCCATGCGAAGGGAAGATTGCGGCCTGAGAAGACACTTCCGTACACGATTGTGTCCGAATTGGTGTAGGTTGTGAGAAGCAGTATCCATGCAGCATTAAATATGGCCGCTGGGGTAACATTCACAGCGCAGGCGTATTCTATGACTTTTGCCCGATCTACACTCTCGGATACAGAAATCTGAGCATGACCTGATTGACGGGGGCTAAGCAAACTGGTGTTCGGAGATGCTATGTCGCCGCATGCATCAGGTATGAGTGGCTCACGATCACTCCAAAATTCCTGAATCTCTGTACGTATTGCACGCCGTAGGTGCTCCATATCTCTTGCCGCGACAGTGAACGGGAGAGAGCTCTCAAAGGGTCTGCCTTCAAGGGCAGCATCCACTTTCTGGAAAATCAAGGACGCCGAAAATCCGTCGACTAAGGCGTGATGTACAGTCCACACCACTGTGCTTTGGCCTCTGTTGAGCTCACTGCCTTCGTAGTGCAAAGTCGCAAAATTATTACCCAGGTCGGCACGGCTAATTAATTCCTGTAACGTCACCTCAATATCATGTTGAGATTTCACCGTTATCTCTTGCCAAACAAACGAAGCTTGTGGCTGCACATTCTGCATAGGTTCCTCCGTTGACCAGCTGAAAGACGTGCGGAACATGGGCTCAACTGAGAAGACAGCCTCCCATGCCTTTTTGACCCGTTCGATATCAGCCGTAGCATAATGAGAAAGCTGTTGCACATAGTTCATCTCGTGATTGTCCATGGTAGCTAAGAGGAGGGCCTTCTGAAGGGGTGTGATCTTTGATTCCTTCTGGCACTGTAGACTGGTCTCTTGCATGGGGGCATACGATCTCTGCTCGTCACACAGACCTATCAACGCTTGGATAGATGGCTCCAAGAGGATGTGCCGCACGGGAACTGTAAACCCGTACTGGCGACATAACGAGGATACCTTGATAGCAGCCAGGGAGTTGATTCCATAGCTAATTGCTGATTGATTGACGTCAATTTGATCAATTAAAATATTCGCTACTTGAGATAAAGCTGTCATAACAGCTTCACTCAGTGTCGAAGTAGCAGATATGGGGTCCTCTATTGTTGAGCCAATGGATTCCTTGATGATCGTTTTTAATGCCTTGACATCAGTCTTGCCGTTCATCATCGGAAGAGATTCCAGGACCAGGATGTGGTCGGGGACCATGTAAACTGGGGCATTCATCTTCCACCTGGCGAGTAGACTAGTTGTGTCGATGGTACCCGGACCAACAACCGAGACTAGGTGACCATTGAAGAGGAGTGAGAACGAAAAGCTTAGACGATTGTCAAGCCGCAGAACCTTGGCATCAACATCCTGTGCGAGGTTGACGAGAAATCCACGGATCTTTGTGATCCTGTCCCTTCGACCAAGGAATTCCAACTCCCGAGATCCCGAATCTGTAGTCACCCATTTGGCCATATCACCAGTGCGATATGCTCTCTCACCCCGGTACAAGATGAACTTTTCATTGGTTAACTTCTCGTCGTCCCAATACCCACTTGCAAGACACCGCCCCGCAGCAAACATTTCTCCTTCCACGCCGACCTCGTTGATCAGCTGCATATCCTGGTCAACTAGCATGACAGAAGAGTGTGGGATAATTTGACCAAGTCGAGTGGTATAATGCGTTCCGGTATTGATATTTGTTTGGAGAGCGCCTGTCAGGATGGTACATGTGGCCTCGGTTGGCCCATAGGCAATCCAGATATCCAAGGTTGCCATCCTCCGCCAGTCTGTGATGAGCTTCTGCGAGGGAGTTTCTCCCCCTAACACAATTCTTTGAAGTCTGGGGTAATGGCAATGAGCACTTGGCGGAGTCAAAGCATCGAGGATGGAGGGCGTGACAGCAAAGATGTTGGCTGTGTCTGCACGATCTTGCAGATTGAGGGGATTTCCAAGAACCACTGTACCGCTGTTGCAAAGGGTGCTGAAAAGTGCGCCCATGAAAGCTTTCGATCTGATTAGAAATCATCAACATCTAAATGGAGCAGTCACTTACCGTCAAACGCGATCGATAGTACAAGAAGCAGGCGATCACCCGGTAAGACTCCGAAATTGAATTGTGGAGATGAAACCAGATTCAGGACCGAATGATGCGTCAAAACCACCCCCTTCGGTTTGTCGGTTGTCCCGGAAGTGAATATAACACACATGGTGTCTGTCTGGCAATGGTAGCACCGAGAAACAGCAGTGTCACTTGCGTCCCAGTCTTTTGCTTTTTCAACTGAAACGCACCTGACCTGCCGATTCCTGATATCAGGCCGGTCTCCAGTGTATACAATCACATTTGCCTCCACTCTCTTGAGAACATAGTCGACTTTCTCTTGGGGCCATTGAGCGCGATCGACGGGCACATAAGATGCACCAGCTTTGAGGATCCCAAGGACGCCAACCACCATATCACTGCAAGAACTTGCCAGTAGCGGGATGGGCTTTCGTTTATCAATGCCAACATTGCGGAGATGACTGGCTAGTCTTGAAGACTCGAGGTCTAACTGACGGTATGACAAGCCGAAATCGCTCCCTTCGTCTACCGCAAGTTGGGAAGGGGTTCTTTCAACAGAAGTCCGGAATAAATCCAGAATTGAATTCGACGCCATTTCTCAGGGACTAAACAAGCAGAGCGATAATGACGGCTTGCGAACGCTCTTGGGTAAAAATAAATGTCAGGCTCATTACCACATCCTATTTATCTTAACTAGTCATTTTATATTTGTATAAACTCCTGCAAAGCGGCGACACCCGAGAATAAGCTCGGAGGCCCGTAGAATGCGATGCAGATCACATTACAGGAGTAGAGAATGTTAATCCTTGCATCGTCATATTTCAATAATTGATCCACGGCATGCAGACCAAAATCACAAGCTAGTTAAGTTACGAAAGGGGGCAGCTGCGTCCGAAGGTGGAGGATATGGGTACGCTATTGGCATGAGGTTGCTAGGCCTAAGAGTCTAGACTACTAGTCTGAATTCCAAAACCACGAGCTTGTCGGGTTCTTTCCTCCTTGGTAATCATATATTCTGTCTTAGTTCCTTTTTATGAGCCACTGCGCAACTCAACTACTCAAGAAATGTCGGACTTCTCTCTCCCGACCGCTATTCCTCTCGACACCAAACCGTCGTTTGATGACACGATATCAGCTATTGAGGATGTTGAACCAACCGACCCCTCTAACGTTTTTCCACACCTCAGCTCCAATGATGCCAGCATCATAAGAGAGTGGAATGAAAGTGTGCCCAGCAAGGTCGACCGATGCGTGCATGACCTCATTCAATCTCGTAGCTTGTCGCAACCAGGAGCTGTGGCAGTTCGTGCCAGTGATGGACGGCTCACGTATCATGAGCTGGACATGATGTCGTCCACGCTGGCAACCCAGCTGGTCAGTTATGACATGGGCCCAAATCGGATTGTACCCCTCATCTTCGAGAAGTCGATGTGGACTACAGTAGCTTTGTTGGGTGTCATGAAGGCAGGTGGTGCATTTCTCCTTCTTGATATTGCCCATCCAGTTGCACGACTGAAGGAGATACTTGGTATAACTGCTGCGAGGCTCGTCATTGCTTCCGAGAGGCAGGCTAAGCTTGCTCAACAGCTCGATCTGGACGTGGTTTATGTGGGCGCCAATGTGAATGCACCCAACAAGACCGAGTCGTGTCCTCCATTGGCACCAGTCCATCCACACCGTCCCGCCTACTGCGTTTTTACATCAGGTTCAACGGGGTCGCCAAAAGGATTCTGCGTTCAGCATGATGCATTTGCGACAATGGCGGCAGTTGTCCCAGAGGCGTTCAACCTATCGTCGACAAGTCGAGTGTTCCAATTCGCGTCTCACGCTTTCGATGCAAGTGTCTTTGAGTACCTTGCATGCCTCGTGATGGGTGGTTGTTTGTGTATTCCCTCCGAGTCTGCGCGCACGAGCTCTCTTGCCGAAGCCATCAATGTATTCCAAGCCAACTGGATTATCTTGACTCCATCTGTGAGCCGCATTATATCACCTGCTCAAGTACCAACACTACGCACACTTGTCATGACTGGGGAACCTATGAGAGAAGATGATGTCAACAGATGGTCTGGCAACCTTCGACTTGTAAATGGCTACGGACCTTCAGAGTGTGCTGTTTGCTGTGCTGTGTACCAATCCGTCACTTCTGCCACTGAGCCCGGTCAGATTGGCCGTCCACTCGGAGCTGTCCTATGGCTTGTCGACGCGGAAGACCACGAGCGGCTAGTGGAAATTGGCGCAGTTGGAGAGATTCTAGTCGAAGGACACACCGTGGGAAAGGGCTATCTTTCCAACCAGGAACAGACAGCCAAGAGCCTTGTCGATGCACCTCGCTGGCTGACAGATTTCCGACAGGCTCCATGCAGCCTAGTGTACAAGACTGGTGACTTAGCCGTGTACCTGCCGGATGGAACGTTGCGACTTCATGGGAGAAAGGATAACCAGGTGAAGATTCGAGGTCAAAGAGTTGAGCTCGTGGAGGTAGAGCAGCGACTGAAGAACTTCTACCCTCCTGAAGTCGAGGTTGTGGCTGAAATAGCCAAGACAGCCCAAGAACCAATGCTCATCGCTTTTGTTTGTCATTCCCAGTCTTTGGAACCTGACAAGAGTATTCTGAGCGCGCCTGATGTTTCTTTCCTTGCCACGGCCCGGGAAGCTGCGAACACGTTACGCCAAACTGCCCCTGATTACATGGTTCCCTCCACATTCTTCCCTGTCAATTTCCTTCCAACCACAATTACAGGCAAGACTGATCGCCGTCAGCTGCGGTTAGCGGTGGAAAGACTGTCTCGCCTGGAGCTTGCTGAATATAATACCCCTTCCGCAGCCCCTGACGATCCACGGCTCGTTTCAGACCCGACGCAACTAGCTTTGCGGAAGCTGTGGTGCCAGGTGCTCCACTTGGGTGGCGATGGGGATGGCATCGGACCGAACCATAACTTTTTCCATCTCGGAGGCACATCAATTAATGCAATGCAACTTGCATCTTTGTGTCAGAAGAATGGGGTTCAAATCCGAGTTTCAACCATTCTGGCCAACCCTGAGCTCGACAAAATGTCCTCCGCGATTGATAATCGTCATGACCAAGGCGAATGGCTTGTCAGCTCCATAAACTCTGTACAAGGTGTCAAGGAAGAGCTAATCAAAGCTAAGCTTATATCCTCACATGCGGTTGACATTTTCCCTAGCACTGAATTCCAGAGATGGAATTTACAGCAGCCCTGCGACCACCTCTCTATCCAACTACCGGCGGAAGTAGATATCCCACGCTTACAGGCTGCCTGGCAGAAAGTTGTGAACAGACATGCAGCTCTACGAACGGAATTTCTGTCCTGGAAGGATCACACATTCCAGGTTGTCCATCATGATGTTGAGCTCTCATTGGAACTAATTGATGTCGATGAGGATCTCTCGTGCGCTATTGAAAGCCTCACGCATGAGCCATCACGCCAGTACCCATATCTTGGCACACTGCCATTTCATCTCACTCTGATATCGAGGCGTGGACATCGGACCCTCTTGGTCCGTATCAGTCATGCGCAATATGACGGAATTTCATTGCAGATTCTTTACCGCGACTTGATGGCTGCGTATTCCGGGAGATATTTGGCTCAACGGACAGACTTCCCTGACTACATGAGGGTCCGTTGTGCTCAAAACAGGCCGAAAGCGTTTGACTACTGGCGAAAGGTACTGGACGGGGCCACTATGCCAACATTGTGGCAGCCCCGCCCAGATCCACCGGGCTCTCTATCTCTCCACATGCAAGACGTTCAGCTCCCCCTGCCTCCCACGGGGATTACTCAGGCAACCTTACTCATGTCCTCCTGGGCCTGGGTTCTGGCGGGGATCACCGGCCAACCGGATGTCATCTTCGGGTATGTATCCAGTGGCCGAGATGTTCCATTGGATGGGGCAAATGACTTTTTTGGCTCAGCTGTGACTACGGTGCCCTTGCGTCTCGTCATTCAAAAGTCTTGGTCTATTGCCGATTTCCTATGGGCTGTTCAGATGCAACGCATATCGAACGCTCAATATGAAGTCGTTGATTTTGAGGACATTGTTTCTCAAAGTACATCATGGTCTACGGGCACTCAGCTTGGTAGCGTGTTTTCCTATGAAGATTTCGGTGCTAGTTCCGAAATCGTGCTTGAAGAGACCCGCTGTGCTTCTCGTTTCCATTTCCAGAAAGCCCCCACAGTACCTTACGCCTTGATTGCCCCCCAGGAGAATTCTACAGGGGTTCGGGTCGCCGGTCGGACAGACTTCCTTTCCCAAGATGAAGCGGTGAGGCTTTGCGAAATGCTCAGCTCCACCGCAATCAAGTTTGCGGAAAGTCCCGACGGGGCCTTACCTTGGAGAGTTTAGAGGCTCCACATGGCTCCATAGCTCATCTACAGCAAGGGGGGAGATCCGATCGACCTTGCGGAATTTTTTGTTTATTTTTACTTTTTAATTTATTATATATATATTTTTTTATCATCTCACAACATAGATCTCAATTGGGCTGCGATAGACATAGATCCATGTTTCTAGATCTTGTTGAGCTGCAAGGGACATAGATTCAAGCCTGTACACCACATATTATCAGACCGCATGACTCGAAACCCGAAACCCATGCATTTCACATATTGTGTACCTTTTTGTAAATACCTACTAGCCGTTACCTATGTAGTATGTAGTGTTCTAGCATTCTCATGCCTTACCCCCTCACTTTTCGTTGAGAAACGTTCTGGCTCGGTGATGGGTCCAGAGCTACGACTAGCGATCCCCATTATCTATTGAATCTATTGCTCGCTAGTGTATGATCTCCCAATTCAATCCTGATTGCCTTCTAGATTCACCCTGACATGAGGGCTGCATTTCCGTAATGTGACTTATCTCGACCGTAGACCTATATTCGCGTCACGAAGATCAACGGAGAATTTCCCTTATATGTCCTTGTTCGTCTCTCCAATCATTCGTATGCCCTCAAATCGTTATACCAAGAAATACAAGCGAAGAGCTGTGCTGACAATTTCCTCAACCATGATTGATGTCAAACTCCCCCTCGAAAAGGAGACTAGTTCACCTTATCTAGAACAATCATTGCATTCTTGGGTGAAAGTGCAAAAGTGTTCAGAGGAAACTTCTGTTCTTTTGGATGGCGAGAATTTAGATATCCCAAGTGTTGTCGCTGTTGCCAGGTAGGCTCACGCTCCAGTCATGGTGAAAAATGGACTAATACGCTCCTACTCAGATATCATGGGAAAGCCACCGTCAACTTAGACGGCAATATTGTCGACCGAGTCAATTCTAGCGTAAAATGGCTTCGAGAGTACCTCGCAAAAGGCTATGATGTCTACGGTTTGTCAACGTCTCAATGTTACGTTAGGAGTATAGCTCATCCTATTTAGGCGTTACCACCGGGTTTGGCGGCAGTGCGGATTCGCGCACTTTGGATTTCCATGGCCTTCAGGCTGCTCTCCTACAGTTAACCCAAACGGGGGTTTTGACTGACTCTGACTTCGCAACTGAAAAGGCCAACTACGATATCGGATTCCACAGCATGCCAGTCACCTGGGTGCGAGCCACGGTCCTTATTCGTTGCAATCACCTGCTCCGGGGACACTCTGGCGTGAGATATGAGATTATCGACAGTCTCTTGAAACTACTGGACCTTGGAATGACCCCAGTTGTTCCGTTGCGAGGATCTATTTCTGCCTCCGGAGACCTGATGCCATTGGCCTACATTGCTGGTATCCTCGAAGGCAATCCGGATATCAAAGTGCATTGGGATAAGGACGCGAAAGGAACTCCGACTGTCATCTCTGCACCAGAAGCTTTGAATATTGCGAAGCTTGATCCGATCATTTTGGGACCTAAAGAAGGCTTGGGCCTGCTCAACGGAGCGGCAGCATCTGCAGCAGTGGCAAGTCTGGCTGTGTATGACACCAACCAGCTCGCTACCCTCTCTCAAGTCATTGTGGGAATGTCCTGTGAAGCGCTCCTAGGCAATGCCGAAAATTACCACCACTTTATCGCTGCTATCCGGCCGCACAGCGGTCAGCTAGAGGTCGCTCGGAACATCCGAAATTTTGTGCGTGGCTCTTCCCTTCTGGAAACGTCTGAAACCAAAGATCGCACCCGTGCCGGTTTATTCCAGGACCGCTATGCGATTCGAGGTGCATCTCAGTGGCTGGGTCCTGGCCTCGAAGATCTTCTTCTCAGTATCAAACAGCTCAGTGTTGAGTTGAACTCTACACAGGATAACCCTGTGATCGATACAGAGTCAGGGGAAGTGTACTCTGGATGCAATTTCCAGGCTGCCTCTGTCACAACAGCGACCGAAAAGACGCGTCTAGCATTACAAATGATGGGCAAGATGCTGTTCAGCGTTTCTTCTGAGCTCATCAACCCTGATCTGAACAGAGGACTACCACCCAACCTCACGGCTGATGACCCAAATCTCTCCTTCACTATGAAGGGAGTTGACATCAATATGGCAGCGTACATGTCGGAGCTCGCCTTTTTGGCAAACCCAGTTTCATCGCATGTTCAATCAGCCGAGATGAATAATCAGCCAATCAACTCGCTCGCCCTGATCTCTTCAAGATATACTATGCAGGCGGTGGAGACTTTATCCTTGATGTGCGCCGCTCACCTTTACGTTGTATGCCAAGCTCTTGACCTTCGAGTCCTCAGTGTCCAATTCCAGGATACCCTGGACAAGGAACTGGACAAGATAACCCGCGATGTCTGCGATCAGCTTGCCAATGAGCAGCTGGATTCCTTGGTGGCATCTTTGTCAAAGGCAGCTCGCAGTTCCTGGTCTGCCTCCGCACGGGAAAACCTCCAGCTCCGTGCACAGCTCCTTGCGAATGAAGTGGCGAATCCACTACTAGACTTCTTGCAAAAACATGGCTCAAGTTCTTCTCAGTACCCTGAGCGCCTTTCAACAGTTGCCGAAGTCAAGGCCCGTGTTGGCGCCGTGTGTGAGAACCTATATGCAACAATGCGAACCGCAGCCTGCTCGGACCCTCAAACCGAGAAGTATCTTGGACACGCGTCTAAACTACTCTATCAGTTCGTTCGATGCGAGCTAGAGGTCCCCTTCCACACGGGACAGGTTGAGCACCCAACGGTCAAAGAGGGATTCAAGCTGAACCGCGAACGCAAAACAGTCGGGTCCTGGATTTCTATCATCTACCAAGCCATTCGCGGGGGTCAGGTTGCGACGACACTGATACAATTGGCGGATTGCTTTCACCATTGCCGGGACACAAAAGTGGTGGAGTGAGAAGCTAGAGGCACATGGAACCCTACCCTAAAGAGCAATGCATTAGTATGTTTTGCTAAAAAGTTTGTCTGTATTCTAGTGGGTTAAGTTCCTTTCCCAGATAGATTATTGAAGTAGATGGAGGATTTTCAAGATTCGAACGTTTGGATTTTGCCTCTGGCCTTCGACTCCATAGCATATTTACTGTGGTACCCGACCCAAATGTGTTTCAATGGCCCGGACTTCCCAGTGATAGTTACAGAGAGTAGTAGTACCCCATTCCTAGGCTTTTATTTTAGGTGGCCGGTAATATGCTGTCAATTTGTTATCGCCTTTCCGGTGGAGTACATTCCCGCCACGAATAATAGTTAAAGTATCCAAGATTTTTATCACGATAGGGACGTATAGAATATTCAATGTCCCTACATTCTTTCTACGCGCCCTTGTGACCTTTCGGATGGCCAGGCGAGACAGAATAAGGAGATCCCCCACCACATACCTTGCTTTGGCCACCAAATACGCCAGTCTCAAAAAGGTGCAATTCGATGGATCTTATACTTTCCAGCCCACCTTTCCTTGCATGCCATATATTCAGCTGCACGAGGATTGCTAGTTCAATGCATGCATACGAATGGAACCTGTGAGCTATTAGTACTAGCTCAACTGATATCGCCCAACTATGCAGGAGGTGCGGCTGTGGAGCTGTGTGGTATGTTCATGCACAAAGACTCCTAATTTCCTGCTCGCCGGTAAAAATTTTCATACCCATCCATCACCCTGGAATAGAGTGTGACTTCCAAAGAAATGTCGCTCATTCATGTTAGCCTTATACTGGTGCTTACCGTGTTGGTCTGGCGCAATGGGTACCTGACCAAAACACTCAACACAATCATATCAGCACCTATCAACGTAAGTCGTTTGCTGCTATTGTGCATCATGATAATTGACAGGCAGCTGGTAGGCCTTTCTATGCTGGAAAAACCCGGTCAAATCGCTGAACAAATCCAAAAATATACCGACTTGCCCATTCCAGCTTCCAAATGGCCAAGGGAACGTCAAATTTGCGGAGGGCCGAGCTTACTCTCGCAAATGGGCGAGTAGCTTCGGCCAGATATATCGTATCTGGGCTGGTACTACCCCTGAAGTGTATGTTTCACAAGGTCTCCCTAAATCGCAGCGAACAGAGAGAGCTGACAGCTTGGAGGGTCCTTACCCGTCAAGAGCATATGCCCATAGTATTCAAAGACTCCCACCTACATGCCAAGTCCTTCAATTTTGACGCTGGCTGGCTCTTTGGTGAACTTGTAGGCAAAGCTGTGGGCCTTCTCAGCGGGCAAGATTGGAACCGGGTGCGAGACGTCTTTGCGCCGAGTTTCCATCGAACTAAAGTTGACGAATTTCTACCTGTCATGCAACGACGTGTCAAACAATGCCTTGATGAGCTGCACGCATCACCGAAAGTTCACGCGGATGGGGCTTTGACAATCAGTCCGGCTGATGATCTACGACTGTTGTCATTCTGGGTTCTCTGTGACATCCTGTACGGAGACATGACGCCAGACATGGAGGCCAGCATGCTCGAGATCGTCGGTGAGAGGGAGCGGGTCTGGGCAAACGTTACGGCCGGGGGGCTCTCCCGCCTTTCCATCGGACGATACTTGCCAACTGCTTCGAAACGAACACTCAAGCTCTTCCGCTCGCACTGGTACCAATTTAATCGACAGGCTTGCAATCGTGCTCGCCATGAACTAAATGGAACACCGCCGGTCTGCGCTTATTATGAAGCGGTGGACCGCGAGGAACTCACGGAGAGAGAAATGCTCGATACCATGGATGAAATCCTGTTCGCCAACCTCGATGTAACGGTTGGCAGTCTCTCTTGGGTGCTGATCTTCATGGCCACGCATTCTAAGATTCAAGATCAGCTACGGGAAGAGATCGGCAGTAACTCCTCTAGGGAGTCTCCCGCAATTTGGGATCAGTACATCTCGGGCTCATCTACGCTCTTGATGGCGTGTATTCTCGAATCCGCTCGTCTACGTCCAATTGCCTCATTCTCTGGCGCGCAAAGTCCACCGACGGATCGCGAAGTGGGCTCGTACGTTATACCTGGAGGCATGAATGTTACAGTGGATATTCACGGCTTGAACACCGACGATCCCTCTTGGGGAGATGACCGCGATCAATTCAATCCACGTCGGTTCCTTGATGCCAAAAATCACTCCGTATTCCGGTACCGGCTGTGGCGATTTGGGTTTGGTCCGCGACAATGCCTTGGAAAATACCTCGCTGACCTGTTTTTGAAGACCCTCTTGGCCCATATTGTTGAGAATTACCGCATCGAGATGAAAGATGCCTCGCCTGTATCTTTAGATGATCTGAAGGGGAACTCAGCCGGGTGGATCAATCTCGCTGCGGAGGATGTCGTCTGGGTGCCAATTAATTAAGTCTGACGAGTTTGAACAATGTGTAATACATATGTTCGTTGAGCATAACCCCTGTAAATCTCAACATTTCATTGTTCAATTTTGTGATGTGAAACCACATATCTAAGTAACCTCGAGACAATGCTTAAAATTCCGTTACTGTTGTGAAGCCAAGGAAGCAATTAGGTGGGTCGTGGGCAAATATAATATTCATAGTAAATAGCTGAACTGCTTCCCTACATACTACCTTAGGAATTCGTCTTCGTCTCCCACTGTGAGCCAAGAGACTGTTCCAAGCCCTTGAAGTCGTTCACGCGGTGCTTTCCTTTCGCAGGAACGTTGACGGGGATATATTCCTTATGAGACAATATAGCCTCAACAGCAATAGGAAACTCCTCGTACGCAGAGGACTGGCAATCGTGCCCAAGGATCCACGTTGGCCGTGGAGTCTTCATCAGGTCCGGGTTCTTTTTTATTGCGTCCCAATCTGGTTGGTGCCATGAATCGTGGTTCTCCTTGCCACCGTTTTGGATCAGAGTGGCTCGTTGATACCTGTCCGGAAACATTAGTAACCTACACAGCACGATACTCATAACGAAGGATATATCAACCTGATTTTTTCCGCAGCCCGTAAGCCGAGGGGCACGTTCTTTTTCCCTGCAAGCTCCAGAGAAATTGCCAACACAGCCGCATCTTCAATGGCCTGACTAGCGCCTTGTCCAGCCATAGGAAGATACGGGTGGGCAGCATCTCCTACCAAGAGAACTCGCCCTGCGGGAGATAGCCATGTCTCAAGGGGAGGCCTCGTGAGGAGGGGGAAATTGATCGCCTTTCCGGGCGGTGTCCGCTTGATTATTGGGGCAATCCGGTCCCAGCAAGGCCAGTCCTTGATCTGGTCAAGCACATCCTGTACATTAGCCGGAGCTGTCCAGGACTCGCGAGCAGTTCCCTTGGGGTCCGGATGGGTAAAGATCCACATCACAGCCTTGCCCAGCTTCACAGTGCACATGGTGAACTCGCACCCCTTGCCCACGAATGCTAACGCCTGGTCAGTTTTTCCCGCACCGGCAAGCAACCAGTTAGCCTCAGGCTCTGAAGCAATCTCGTCGGCGTCGAAGTATGCCCGGAATGCGGCATATCCCGAACTCACGGGCGACGGATCCTTGCCTGTCACGAATCCTCGAGCTTTGCTATGCACACCATCGCTAGCGATTACACAATCAGCCCACACCTTCTGGTCATTGACCACCACGCCGGCCCTCTCGTCTGTCTCGAAGTATTCCGAGACTCGCGCACCGAACTGGACTTCAATCCCCAGTTCCTGCGTATGCTGATACAGAGTATTCGCCAAGTCACACCGGTTCAAAAAGAACCCATCGCCCTTTCTGAACCCAGACATCGCATTTGTCACGATGAAAGTCCCCGCATAGTCGTGTATATCGACCGCTCGGACATGGCTGACCTGGGCCTCGAGCTGTCGGTGAATATGCCCACTTGTTCCCCATTTGGAGACAACACGAGCCGCGTTGGTTCCAATTCCAATGCAATCACCTTCTTTCTGATTAGATGCATTTTTTTACGTTTTCCGGGTTGATATGTCTCAGGGTTGACATACCTTGAGCTCGTGGTGAGGAGGCCTTTTCGATGATTGTCACCGAATGACCTTTGCGATGGCACTCAATGGCTGCAGCTAATCCTCCGATTCCTAATCCGACAACAATAACGTTTATTCCACTAGATCGAGGCTCAGCAACCGCGTCCGGGCCGCGTACCGATGATACAGTCATGATGAAGTTTAATGAGCTTGAAATATTCGTGGGGGTAGAATTAGTGGGCGGATTTTCGAATGATTCGAATACGTAAATCCAAGCCCATCAAGGCACGCTAGGAAGATGCAAGGGTTAACGGCTTGCATATACTGTGGCAAATGGTTACTTGCTACTAAGTGAACTTAATTCCGATTCCCAACGCACTTCTAGGCAGAGATTAATCCCATGGATATGATAAGTCCGCCTTCACCCTGTCTGTATGTTGGTTGTAAAAATAGAAGTGGATCACACCGCCACTTCTACAGGGTTCTTTAATATGGCCCACTCGTAACAAACTGTAGCAAATTAATGAAAATGCAGCAGACCAAGTTACCATAATGATTTGCAATTCAAGTTGCGTAGATTGTGACATGACCCCAGTTCATTCGAGATGATCGCGGTAAGGCAGCGTGACCCCATATAGAACTGAACCCTCGGTAGGTGATTCTCAGGCTTATCCCCCATTTCCTGCCCAGTCTCTCTCTTCCCATTGCCATACTCTCTAAGTACATTAATTCTCTGCTTGCCGTTTCTACTTTCTCTCCGGAAAAAGTGTCCCTGTACTTGTCATCGATTTGGACATCAAACAGGATCCAGAGATGAAGGCTTAGCTCTAAGCCAACCCTTGGGAAGATGCCTTCTTCCGAATATCCATCCATCCCATCCCGGGAACAAATAGGATACAGCATGCTCCAAGTGCAGCGGTCATGTAGAAGACATGATCCACGCTCTGAGAGTAGGCTTTTAGAACAGCAATCAGATCTTGACCAGATACGATGTTCCGAATGCCAGTCGCACCGCTGTTTATAATGGTTTGAGGATTGAGACCAGGCGCGTATTTGGACAACAGAGTCTTCAGCCCACTTGAGAAAATTAAATCCGCAATTGTAAGCCACACCGCACCCGACAGTGTCTGAGAAAACATGAGTACAGACATGGCAACGGGTATTTGACTAGGCGGGAGTGTGTTTTGGATCGCGATGATAGGCTATTGTGCGAATTGGGCAATATTAGCTCGATACAAATCGTGTGTTGGGCAGCGGGAGATGGGGTACCAATTGAAAGCCTGCACCTCTGCCAACTCCAACTAAGATTTGATGTCCGACCCATTTTGCTGTGGATGTATATGGATTCCATGTTGACATCAAACCGTTGCCGATAGAGGTAGCCACTGCGCAGAAAATGCCCCATGGCCAATAGTACCCAAGTTTTCCAACTAAACCGTAAGTCAGCATCAACTCATTTCTTACAGGCAAGAGGGAGGGGTGGAACAAGAAGGTAAGACTCACTTAAAACCCCGGACAATATTGCAAACACCAACTGCGAAAGGATACTGGGGAGCATATAGACTCCGCTCATCATGGGAGAGTCATTCTTAATAGCCTGGAAATAAATTGGAAGATAATATGACTCAGAAACAGTCATACCAAAGAGGCTCATTAACATTAGACAGCTTGACCAAACAGTTACCTCGGAGATCATCGAAAGAGGAATCATAGCATTATGTCCTTTGTGGTACTCCCAAAGTAGGAAAATGATGAATGCACCGCCAGCGCCGCAGAAAAGCCCGACCACAGTCGCACTATTCCAGCTATATTGGCTTCCACCGTAGCCAAGCGCAAGGAGAAGTTGGATGGAAGCTGGAGCAAATAAAATGAAACCAACGAGATCAAGCTTGTGGAGAATGGTCCGGCCTGTGGATTCGCGAGGTAATTCAGTAGCATGGTCGGGTATATGGAGGAAGACTGTGAGCAATACAGCAATAACTCCAATAGGGATATTGATATAAAAGCCTGTTGTGGAGTATGGTTGGTCAACTCTTGCTTTCTAGGATGGGCTTCTAGGGGAATTACACCATCTCCAAGTTGAATACTCCGTCAATGCACCTCCAAGTAAGGGACCTATGACATGGCCCAATTGGGAGACTTTTATATTGAGTTTAGCTCATGATCAAGCGGCTCATAGAGTATTAGTACTGACTGCCCATCATGGCCCCAATCAGCGCTGTATAGGGGTATTAGCAAGTTCATTTAATTCCATAGGGATCATGTGCGTACGGGGTGACTTTTGCGAAGGAACAGAAGCTGAAATGATTGTCAAGGCACCACTGTTCAGTCCAGCTGACCCTAGACCAGCTATTGCTCGAGCGATAATCAACATCTTGGAAGAAGTTGCTATCCCACAGAGCAGTGAGGCCAACCCAAAAATGAAGAGGAAGCCGAGATACGTCCACTAGAAGATATCATTTGACTCAGAATGTTTTTCACTGACCTAGAAAAGGATGGACGAATTAAATACCTTTGAGCTAAAATGGGTATATATCTTGCCGCATAGAGGTTGAAGGCAGGCCCTGATCATCCATGAGTATAGTTGACCAGTCTGAAGCAAAAATAGGTTCCATTATACCCAGAGATCTGATATGCACTACCATACCATCCCAGGTCTTCTAGGGAGTGAAATTGCGAAGTAATAGATGGAATTGCCTGCGTATTATGTTAATGAAGCACCCCAAATAGCTCATGAATGACACTCACTGTGACAATAATTGTCAAATCAAGTAAAGTCAGGAAGTTGACGAGGGTCACAGCACTAACTAACATGACAAGCTTGATCCCCGTGAGATGTTGAATTTCTTCAATTTCTCTCGGCTCTGATTTCTGTTCTGTCATCTCGATTGAATTCCCAACGGAAACACATGGTGATGGTAACTTAAAATCATGTCCTTTTAGGTGCCCACTTGATTCAACGCTGTTCCGCGTTGTATGCTCCATTGTAGTTAGAATATGGTACGGTGGTGAGCGGAATGAGTATAGACGACGAGAAGGACACTAGGAACGAGCAGACAACCCGGAAAAAAATTGAGGAACAATTAATAATTTTGCGGAAATTCGCCCCTTAAGAGGGCGCCTTCCGGCCCTCTAGGAATTTAATATCCCTTGATTTAGTCCATGTCCTATTTCCCATGCTTATCGGTGTCTTTCACTATCAACGTTCGCGAAAACAAAAATAGCATGAGGGCAGGATCTTACTAGCAATCTAGGCCATCAACGAACCAAAACCGCCCGTCTAGGCATACCCCGAGCACTAAAATAGAATGGTATATTGAGTATGAGATCCCGTTTTGATATGCGTAGGGAATTCCAAGAGAAACATTCCTACATACCAAATATATGTCATATATTACTGTGGAGTACTAACACAGTAGGTCTAATATATCTATGTTGGTGTGCACATATAGTTAAATTGCTATGAATAATAAATATCCTTCACTGGAATAACAAGGACAAGTGATATTTCCTGCCCAGGTGAGCTCTCCATATAGTTACTAATTTCGTTAGTGTTGGACTATGTCGGTCATCCCATTGATGCCTTTGTCTAGTCATCTCATTGATGCCTCCATTTGTTTGCAGACTGAGCCTTTCTTTGTTTGGCAGGGTATAAATCCCCTGCTCTAGATAGATTGAATAGATCATGATTCTTCCTCTTCTCTCTCTCTCTCCCCATAGTTAGCAGCCTCAACAGGTTATGACGCCCTCTTTCTTCCTCTGAACCCCGAATCATCACTTCACTCATCACTTCCATCAAGAATAGCATCTCCAAAGGCTATATCTTGCTTTGGAAGCATCACTTTCCATCAAGATCATCAGTTATCTTGACATTTTTCATCAGGGTGAGCACTACAAAGTGCCGTACCTTCATCTCTTCCACCAAGAATAGCACTGGAAGTGGTATATCTTGTCCTGGAAGCCTCACTGCCATTAGGAATAGCACCGGAAGTGCTATATTCTTTGTGGAACCTTCATGTTGGAAGTGCCTTTCATGCACTACCCCGACAACTAAGCATTGAAAGCTCCATTTTTTCACGTTGATTGAGATTATCATCCATCGTCAATATGGCTGACGCTCAATAACAACCACCACCGGTCGAAAACGACAATAACGACTGGCATAATGATAGCGAAGCACCCGAGATAACCAACCAATCTGTTGGCCTGCCTGACATCGGAAGCTTCAACCTCTACAAAATCACCCCGCCTCTCAAAGAAAGAGAGGATCTTGACATGTGGATTGACAAGATCGAGAAGATCTTAGAAGGACACAACCTGCACAACTTGATCAATAGCTCGATCCCCTGGCCGATGAAAAGTAACCCCGACGGCCGGAAATGGAAGACTCTATCAAAGCAAGTAAGAAGCTGGTTGTCTAGTAGCATTGATAACGACTTGATGTAGGAAATCAACCGCCGTGGCAACACCATTGAATTCGCCGACGAGCTGTTTGACGAACTGAAGAAGCATATGAAAGGAGAAGGTCATAGTGCTTTGAAGAAGGTAACGTTGAAGTTCAGATTCATTACCCGCCACCAATTCAATAGTAGCGAGGAATTCATCAATGGATTGAAAACAGCATACAAAAACCTCACCGATCTTCATGCACACATTCCACCATACTTCGCTCTGCAAATCATGCTTTAGGAATTGATGACTGTGCCGGAATTGAAAAGCTACATTGTCGTCAAGGACAATGAGCTAAACGCCATCAACGAACCGGTCAAGAACATCACCACCATCGACTTCTACCAATATAGCATTGCTATCTTGGATCACATCAAATCGGAAAACGACAACTCACCGGGATTGATATCATCGGCAGTTTTAAACGGCAGTCAGCAACGTCGACAAGACAATTCCAACAATTCATACTCCCGTCCAACCAATACGCCACCGAAAGGCGTTTCAGCATTGGACCATGTCAACAAATGGAAAGCCCACAAACCAGAAAGGAGTGATAATGGCAATTGCACTTACTGTGGTGGAAAAGGCCATGGCACAACTAGATGCTTCTATCTAGTCCCGGACATACGAAGGGAGAACTGGACGCCGAGAGCTGGAATCTAGACCTACAAATGGAGAGACAACAACATGTCTTCCTCCTCCACCTCGCCATCCTCCAATGGAAATGGCAAGACGGAATTCAAACAAGACAAATCCCAGCCAATCCAAGGCCCAGTGACAGATAGGACTCGCCAAGCCAACCTCTCTGCACCAGAAAGCACCGGTTTCATCATGACAAGTCTAGAAATCGACTTGCTGCAGGATTTCAACCCTTCCTACATTATAGCAGATGAGAAAAGCCAGTTCGAAGAAGACCCACCAATCGACGGAGAAAACCAAGAAACAACCGTCAGCACCCAGCTTGAAACGTCAAATACAATGTCTAAAGAGCGGGAAACAGATGAAAACACCCAGATTGAAGCGTCAAATACTTTAATGGTAGCTATCCAACTATCTGCCACCGCCCCGGGATATCCATGGATTCTAGATACTAGCGCATCTGAACACATTTGCAGCGATCAATCTGCATTCAGCACCCTAGAAGACTATCCCGAAGGTCAGGAATACGAATGGATAACCTCTAGAAATAAGAAAGTTAAGGGTGAATCCCATGGAATTGTTAAATTGAACTTGCACCTTGGAAATGACGACGCCCAAACTGTACAAGCATGCTTCACATTAAGCATCCATTGTGTCTACAAAAGCGGCGGTCAATACAACCTTTTCTCACTTGGAACGGCCGAAAAAGAACTCGGCATTTAGTGGCACAGCAAAACAAAATCCTTATACGATAAGGATGACATTGTTATTGGCTTCACTAAGGATTTCAACCGAGTGCCATTCATTCAACTAGCATCACCAATACTAGCTGCCGGAGCAATTATCTCCGCCGAGCTAGCCCACCGTCGACTTGGATATGCCGGAGGTTATAAAACAAAGGTCAACCAAGCAGATCTAGGATGTGAAATTCAATATGACGATGGCTTCGACTGTGAAGCATGCGGCCTTGGTAAGTTAAAGCGCATTGTGTCAAGAATAAACCAAGCGAGAGCAACTAGAGCAGCATACATGTTTCATATGGATCTATAACCAGTTAGTCCACCCGGTTATAATGCTGAAAATGGCAAAAATGACCGGAACTATGCTATGGTTATTATATGTGATGCTACCCGCTTTCGCCTTACTTTATACCTGGCCACTAAGGGAGAAGCTTCCCCCGTCCTCTAGAAATTTGTATAAGACATTTACTAGAGAGCTAGTAAATGGACGGTTGAATAGAGAATCGACGGAGGAAGAGAGTTCTTAGTATTCGCCATATAGGCGAGAGGAAATAGTATGATCGTCACTATCTCTATTCCCTATGCTTATAAACAAAACGGCGTCTCCGAATTCACCGGCCATTACTTGCTATAAGTAGTAAGGACAATGAAAATTGACGCCGGCGCTCCCTGTGAACTATGGCTAGAAGCTTTGAACATAGCTGTATACATCACTAACCGACTACGAAGAAAAGATCAAGATACACTAATCATAGCTTGGAGGAAAGGATTGAATATGAGAACGCCGGATAATGCCTCTCTCTCCTTCCTCCGAGCATGGTATACTAAAGCATATGTCCACATTCTAAAGGAAAAGCGGATATAAAGCCAGAAGATGGAAGCTAGAGCATAGATTGGCCACCTTATTGGTTACGAAGGTGACAATGGCCATATCTATAGGATCTATGATCTTAAAACCAGAAAAGTTTCTAGATATAGAGACGTTGTTTTCTAGGAGTAAAAGCACGGCATTCCTCACTATGACGAGAGAGAGATCGTTATTAGTGGAGAGATCATTGATGGTCCTACACAAAGCTTTGAAATAGGAGCTAGTTCACCAGTTATCACTGCCCAGAAGACGACAAAGTTGACAATCCCAGAACCAAGAGTGGTTAAACTTGACGATGACGAGTAAGAACAAGAATTGTATACGCCATATACCACCCTAAGACCCGTCGAGAAAGCACCAGTACCGGGCGGTTTCATACCGACGCTATCACCAAGCACTATAACACTAGTAGAAGGATATGGAACATCATCTTCTCCTGATCCCTTAGCAATATCACCAACCCCGCCACCACGTGCGAGAACCAGGACATCAGGACGTCAAACTGCCGGCGTTACACCACAAAGATACGATGATCTGGAATAGGACAAGCGAGGCAATTTGAGACCACTAAGATCTAGAAATATATTAAGAGATTCACTAGGAAGTGCTATATCCGCTATTAGAATCGTCCAAGCTGCCATTAGCATTCTATAGGGTTTAAAATCTTGGTAGGTCAAGATCCTAAGGAACCTCACCGAAGTAAAGAAATCACCTGAATAGGAGCTCTAGAAATAAGCGATAGACAACTAGATCATAAAGCTTGATGCCGCTAAAGCTTACCAGTACGTCGAAACACCACTAGTAGGAAGCACTATCTTACCCGGCAAGTGGGTATTCGACAAGAAGAGTGATAAGTAAGACTTTATGATAGAGCTGAGAGTAAGATGGGTTATCTATGGCAACAGATAACGTCTAGGATTTGACTTTGACGATACCTACGCTCCTATTGTAAGGCCTAAGAGTACTCGGTTGTTTCTCTTAATAGTAGCTATTCGACAGCTATACTAGGAACAAATTGACTACACAACCGCCTATCTTAATGCCTTGATCGACGACAGATACATTTTTATGAGACCACCAACCGGCTATGAGAAGCTAGGTATGGTATATATGATCCTACAAGCGCTGTACGGCCTTCGCCAATCTGCCTGCTTGTGGTATAAAACGATTAAGACGGAATTGTAAGAGCTTGGTTTTGAACAACTGCTAGATAAAAGATGCATCTTCGTCTATAGAGAGAAAGATATATGGCTTTTGCTATATGTGGATGATACTCTGTGTGTTTCTACGTCAAAAGAAAGCATCGAATGGTTCAAACAGATAGTCAGTTTTAAGATCAAAGTCATTGGAGAACCTGGCAGATTTCTTGGAACTAGCATCACCAGATCAAAAGAAGATGGAAAAGAAGACACCATTTTCATTGATCAAGCTGTCTATATAGAAGATCTCCTATAGACAGCAAGCTTAGGAAGAGTCTCTGCCACCTATCTCCCTATGAAAGCTTCCTACAAAACGCCTTTTTCAGCCCAAGAAGCAACATCGGATGATCAATAAGAAGGCCACTAAGAAAATGAAGACGATGCCATTTTATAGAGCGAGAAAGTAGCATTCGGAGAAGACGTTGGTAAGGTGGGCTAGTTGACAATGAGGACCAGACCAGACATTGCTTTCTCTATCAATCGACTACAGAGAAGGACTGCCAATCTAAGAAAGGAAGATCTCGATGCTCTCTCCCAGCTTCTGCGCTACTTGAAAGGAGCACCCAGCTATAGAATTTAGCTTACAAAAGATCCCAGCCAAAGCCTAGTTGGCTTCGTCGACTCTTCGTATAACGACTACGAAGATAGAAAGTCAACCGAAGCCTATATCTTCTACTACGTAGGCGCACCAATTTCATGGTGCTCACGGAAACAAGACGTCGTCGCCATAGGAAGCACCATCGCAGAATACGTTGCACTTGACAGAGCAGTACGGGAAGCACTCTATCTCGTCAAGATACTCCAACAACTGAACCTTAAAGACACGAATACGTCAATCCAGGTGCCGATTTGCACTGACAGCGATAACGCCGTTTCAATCCTGAAGAAGGACGCATTCAACAAGGGCACCAAGTGGCTAGATGTCAAATACCAATTCGTCAAGCATGCGATGAAGCAAGGATTAATCGAGATACGTCTCATCGACACCAAGGAAAACCCTGCAGATGCATTGACAAAAGCACTGTCAAAGGTTGATTTCGAAAGGATGAGAGACTACTTGGTAAAGAAGAATGACACCGAAAGAAAACCTACAAATTGAAGGTTACAAATTGACGAAATTGACGAAATACGATACTTTGAAAACTGCATTTTATTTGACGATTTTACTATGCAAACCAGAATGCTTTTTTTGACTTGATGCTCAGTCTGGGGGGCTGTGTTGGACTATGTCGGTCATCCCATTGATGCCTTTGTCTAGTCATCTCATTGATGCCTCCATTTGTTTGCAGACTGAGCCTTTCTTTGTTTGGCAGGGTATAAATCCCCTGCTCTAGATAGATTGAATAGATCATGATTCTTCCTCTTCTCTCTCTCTCTCCCCATAGTTAGCAGCCTCAACAGTTAGCGCTGGAGGAACCGAACCATCCAAGGTTGGAAGGGGGGCTCATGCCATCAATCTATCAGTATATTGGTATTCTTTGTCTAGATATCTCAAGGAGGGTTATACGGTCAAAGAAAAGCTAATATAGATATATTAAAAGTCTATTAGCTTATCGATAGGGTACTCCCTAATATGGAGGCCAGAGTAGCCTTGAGTGGGGTCTCATAGAGACCACATATAGAAGGCTTCTGGGATCTCACTAGCATTTTATGCAATACTAGGCTTTCATGGGGGCCTATTAGGGACCCATTGTGGGTTGAGATTTAGCCCCGAGGTTCGGGCCCAAAGTCGGGCTTTACGGAACTCTAAACAAGATATTAGGACCTCCTTATATACCCTGAAATGACTAGTAATTAACTAGATTTTAGAGCTTCTTAATATTCGTGACATAGATCAGTTACCGGGTTTTGTCTCGGAGTGCATCATACCAGATTGTCGACTATAGCCCTACTGGAAAGAATGTGCTGGAAGAAAGCGAATGTATAATTGAACTCTTAAGAGTGAAGAAGTTAAATTTTGAAACAAGTCCACATCAAAGATTTCCTCTCACTAACCCTACAGACTCAACTTCCTCTACCTTCACACTATCCGAATAGATGCCCCGAAATCAGGGCTCTGACTCTCCAAGAGACGGCACCACTTTAGTAGGTGCAAACGCAGACGCTAAAACCAAGCTATTAGTAAACAAAGCAAGTCTATTAACCCTAGAAAGGAAAATCACTCACCTGTTGTCGTTGCAGTGGCCACCGTGGAAGCCCTCACCCTGGGCAATGCACTATAAAATTGTTAGAGACCCTGAAATAGAATTTGGTTTGTCAAGCCAAGGAATACATACAGAAGCGCTGCAAGCAGCATCACCGGCACCCCAGATGTCGCCGAGCTGGCAAGAGGAGCGGGCCTGAAGGTTCTCGGAGGGAGCAGCGAAGGCAACAGAGCCGAAGAGGGCAACGGCGCCGAGGAAGACGGTAGAGAACTGCATTTTGATGGTTTCGTGGGTTGAAAAACGGATGTTTTGAAAAGTTGACAATTGTTGGAATTCGATGGGTTGTTGTTGATAAAAAGAGCAGAGAACTGCGGGCGAGGGGGAGGCTACTTATGCTCGAGATTTAGAATATCCTGATCATAAGAATTAATACTCTCTTTGAAGTGGGTCGTCATCCTCTTGAGGTCTTGTCGTGTTCACAGGTAACTATCATCTCTCTGCTGCCTCAGCCTCAGCAGTGAAGAGTATTGATCGGCAGTAGTCACTAAGAATACGATGTCGATCGGACATCTACGTTCGTTTTCGGGGAAAACCTCGTGTTTACAGGAGACTATTATCCCTCTGCTGCCTCAGTCTTTGCAGTAAAAAGTATAGATCGGCAGCAGTCACCAAGTATACGATGTTGATCGGACAAATACATTCGTGCTCGGGCGGACGATGACACATCTTGTCTGCAGTCAAGCTTGGCTACACGGAGTGTTTCAAATCATCTCCACCCTTTGAATTGAGCTTGTGGAGATATCATTATCATAATCACCAATCATCATCAGATGCTCGTGAATTGCATCCGGAAAAGGCAGGCACTAAGATCTGGGGTTTAATATATAAATAATCGGGTCGTCGAACGCGGCCACCAGGCGGTGTCCGGGTTCCCGGGCGCAATGATAACCCGGGCGCAATGATAACTTTTCCAACCTGTCCATCTAATTCATTGAATTTAAATAACATCCCCAGTAGTATCAACATAATAAAGATTATCTATCCATTCTGGGGCCATTTCTGTATCGGGATCCTCCTGAATTTCACCTGTATCCTCAATGTCGCCGTCCTCAATTGCTTTTAAAATAGCGGCGTCCCGCCATGCTTTCTTCGACCGGTTGAACATTTGTAGTCTTTCTCGGTCGGCACGGTCGGAAATATGCTTTTTACAGTCCTTAACTAGGCGAGGGCCTAGTTCCGGAAGCCTGCGCTTTGTTCTAGCAGTATTCGACTGCCTTTTCCGCCGTAGAATCCGCATATTGTCCTCCGCGAATTAAGCACCAACCTCGGTAAGAGCGAGCCCACCCGCTAAAATCCGAGAAAGACTATCTCGCACCTTCGGAGAAATTGTAGTATCATTTTGGATATGTTTTATGACCTTAGTGCTCGCTTTTCTTAGCTTTTGCACGGTCGCCGGCGGTGAATTTGGTAGTGAACTTGAAGGTGGTGGTGGTGTAGTTCCGGAAGCAATATCATGAATGATAAAACCAGGTATATTAGGAAGACCATCGTCAACTAAGCCTAATTTCTCAAGGCCTTTGTCCGAATTAATTGGCCAAATACCAGTTTCTCGGAAGCCATGTCGAATAGTGCGCTTCGTTAATGATTTTGTCCGTATATCGTGGATCCCGGCGAAGAATTCAGCCTTATACTTCGGATCACCACCCTAGAAGATAGCATTATTATTCGATTGTTTATAATAATGCTTTAAGACTTGAAAGGGCGTATTATCAAGAGGTTGGCAACCGTGTGTCGTATGTGGAATAAAATAATAAGGAATGATTCGTTTTTGCTAGCAAAATTCAATGAAGTTATAGGTCAAATGTGAACTATGATTAGTCATTAAAAGAAGACGATATTCCCCTTTTTTAACACGGAACGACGTAAATTCATCGAAGATCTGAAGCCATACGAAACTAACGATCTCGTCAGTCCAACCATTTGGGGTTGGAACGATCGTATAATTATCTGGTAGATTGGTTTCGATAAACCAGCTTTCTATATGATATTGGCCCTTCACTAAGAACCATAGCGGTATAACCCAACCATCCGTAGAGACACATTCAATACCGGTAAGCGATTCGGCTTGCCCACCGGTAGAATTCGATAAATTGCCCCGGGCTGAGACAACCTTTTCAGTCTTTCCTTCGCCAATTCTAAACCTAGTTTCATCGAAATTGTATAGGTTTTTCTCGGTGATTCTATAGGTTTTAATCGTAATTTGTAGGCGATCGTACCATATGATAAGAAAGCCTGGTATAACAGCTTCATATCTTGCCCTTTCTATAGGTTTTTGCTTAATATTTTGAAAGCGCGGTGGTAAACGAGCGATGAAATCGTAAGCCCAGTTTTTTCCTAGGGTTCGGGAAGGATTATGACGCTGGATAATTTGCAAGGCAGCACCCTGAATTCGCGCTGCTGATGGCGGAGAAAAGGCCTGATCTAAGGTATCAATCCATAGAATTAAGGCCTTTTCTTGCTCAGGTTCTAGAGCTTTATTGCCTGGGGTTTGGGCCGCTCGAGATTTCCGACCCTGAACTCGCCCTCTGAAGGTTTGGTATGGAATGCTAAATTCCCGCGCGATCGACGCGATTTTGGGCTTCTTAGCAGCATGGTATGCTTCTAAAGCCTTGATAATGCGGTCTTCTAATTCTTGAGACATAATATGAAGATCTGGGGTAATGGTGAATTAATGAAGATGGCTAGGTTGAAAAAAGTATCATTGCGCCCGGGTTATCATTGCGCCCGGGAACCCGGACACCGCCTGGTGGCCGCGTTCGACGACCCGATTATACAAAGTATGCGCCCATACGAGGAGATAACCGACATTATTGGACTGCGCGACTGGGGATCTACATAGATCTACAGTGGCTTGTATGGACGAGCGTCCAGCTTTGATGTCTAAGCAACAATGTAACCCGTGGACTGTGAGCCTTGGCGCGCTAAGCGCCAAGACAACAAAACATCGCTTTCCTAGTAGTATATGAGCGATTTCCTATTGAGTAATTCATGAGATGAGCTTAGGTTCCTCCTCTTAAATTACTTAATTTTTTGATTCCCAATCAGGAACTGATTATGGGCACGACGACTGCCCTCTTTCCCATGGTCTTACTCCTTTCTTCCGCGGCAACATTTCATCCAAATTTTAAGTTTCGTTGGTATACTTAAAAAGTACCCAGCTCAGCTGTGGGGGTCGAGCTGCGCTGCGTAAATATGGTACTGAAGAACATGGCAACACGGCCGACAAGCCTGCTTTTGATCGGACCAACAATGTGGAATAAGTTGAGTGGACGGATACTCCTTATGGGAATGTCAAAATCATCGAACATGCACTGAAATAAAGGAATTCCAATTGATAGCTATCCTATGCTTTTTTTTTTTTTTAATAAAATGATCAAAAGGTAAGGTTTTCGAGAGGCAAACTGGGCCCTTTTAGGCTCTATCTACATGACAGAAGCGCTCTCATCTGAACGGTCGAAATATAGCGCATGGATCGGATCTCAAGTAAGTGAATTGGGAGAGTCTGACATTAGAACAAATTTAGTCAGAAAGTCCATAAAACATGAAGCTAGGGAAACAAGACGCAACATAAAATAGAAAACCATCGGATACAACACAGTAAAAAGAAAAATGAAGGGAAGTTGAAAGGAAGCATACTATAAAACCAGCAAACGCTTGCTGTTGTCAAGTCTTCTTCTTAGCTCCCTTCTTTGCTTTGCCTTTCGGTGCAGGTTTCTGTGTACGAGCTTCTCCCATTTTCTCGATATTCGCTTTCTTGGGCTGCCTCTTCTTCCTTCTTTTTGGGGGCGCATCCTCGTCCGAGGAATATTTTGGGAACGCATCCTCGTCCGAGGAATGAGCATCTCCAGCCCACCGCCCTGCAAGGTCTTCCACAAAAACGTGAGCTTTGGCGACCATCACCTCCCCAGTTCCTCCCTTTCTGTTCCATCCTCCGGTTCGAAAGAAATATGGTTGATGGATTGCGAGCACTTGATGCCGGTTGAGTCTAGATTCACGCTCTCCAAGCCCGTGGAGATGCGCTGCTTGAATTACCTTCGACTTACGATCAAACTCGGTTGGAATTTGATCTAAAAGTCGCCATTCCAGTAACGGTTGCGATGTGGCCAAGTCCTTTGCAAATTCAGCCATCCTATGGTATAGATCGCCGAGGCTTCTCTTCAATTTGTCTTCGTTTTCGTCTTTGAGTAAGCATCGAAAGGCCTTGTCTTCTAGTCTAGCGGTGGCAAATTGATAGGCCTTGGCCTTTAGAAGGTCTTTGTTTGCGAGCCCAAACGTAGGATCGCGTCTCGTAAAATGGGCGTTGTATCTGACATTAGCAAGGCGTGTTGTCTGCGCGCGCCAGTGGTGAGCGAGCTGTGGCTCCGCTAAACGAAGAAGGCTGTGTTAACTTTGAAACTTCGTGACAACATCAAATATCAGAGGAGTAGGTCACCTTTCACAAACTTTTTGTACAGGGTATGTACATGAGCGCCGAAAGAGGCCTCATTACCTTCGCTGTTTGAGAATTCACCATCGACATCCAAATACCAGAAAGGATTTGACCAGAATAGTCTCAGGCAATCTTTGAGAATGATCATTGAAGCAAAAGTCGGCAGGATGTTGTATCGTATGTTAGGCGGAAGCCGTGAAACCGTTGTGTCGAAGTCGTCGTGAACAACCCATCCCTTTAAGCTCTCAACGACATCCTTTTTTTGCTCTTTGGATAGGATTTTACACTTGCTTCTTCTTGTTGTAATACAAAAGTTTTCTGCCCAGTTCGAACAACTCCATGTGAGAGCGTTGAGTTCAACTTCCCATCGGGCCAAACCGAGTTCCGGCCAACAATCGTAACTTCCATGCATGTACTGCTGATCATTTCGGAGACCACTGATTTGAGTCCAGCAGATCTCAAGTGCACCCTTCATCTCCTCAATACATTTCTGTTGCTCTTCAAATGTGAGAGCGGGTTTGACGGAGTCTTCCTCGTCTTCCACCCACCAAGGAATCTCTCCATTCTCCCTTTTGATCATTCTGATCCTTTTTGCTTCTTCTTGTTCTTTTTGTTCTTTCGTCCTGCGATTCCATTCGTGAATATCTATCTGTTGGGGTTTAGATCATAAATCCTAGTCGGGCCTTGGAATGGAGATCTCACAGTTACAACGGGGGGTTTCGCCTCCAGCTTGGCAAGTTCCTCCAGAACTCTTGGGTCATTTGCGGCGAGAGGCATGGCTGATGGAATTTTCGAAAATTTTGGGGATATGGCAAGGAAGAAGCAACTGTCATAGAGCGGTAGAAGTAAATCTATCTATCTAAAACTGTGGGAGGTCAAGACGATTTTATGCTCTCATGTTTTGGTCTCTTTGAGTCAAGCTCGTAATTGGATGTGAAAGGGCCGAACCCGATGCCGACCTCATTGGAGATGCGCTTCTTTGTTTAAGAGGGGCGCTGGATACGCCACTGCAAGGATGGACACTGCAAGGACGGTTGTCTCTTCCAGTCTGTTGTGTTTGTATTGCCTCTTCTCTTTGTTCCTAAATTAATTTTTCTTCTTTCACCTAACCCCCCATGTGCCCGGTTTATTTCCGGCCATTGACGAGATATTTTAGAATCAGTGGAGGGCCAAGAGTTTCTCTGAAAGCAGAAGGAGACAAACCCAAATGAAACAAAGGGGAAGGTCTCATGTGTCAAAGCTGATGTCTTGGCCCAATTTTCAACAGAACTACTGCTGTTGAGTCATTACACACATAACTTACTCAGGTAGATGATTTGATCTCTCCGTGATTTCTTAACAAAATGGGATAATCAAGTCCAAATATACATTGACAACCTCATAAAAGACAGGGGCTTTCGTAAAAGTAAGATATACATCTCCAGATCTACGATGGCAGTCACCTCTTTTTGGACTTTCCAGATAAACATATGCAACAAATATTAAACAACATACAATACCAGTAGAAGCCAACAGCAAAGACAAAAGGGTTTATGTGGGCTTCATCTTAGAAACAGTTATGTTTTTCCTCAAAAGACTTGTCTCGAAATACACCGGATGAGGTTGGTTGAAACAAGGCTATGTTTATCTTCTCACTAAATGGTTGACGATTCGGCCATGATTTAAATAGAGGCTTCCAGATGGCCCTTCCATGTGGCTAAATAACGTTCTCCGATATATGGTGGTACCCGAAGACAGAATTATCACCATGAACAGCTTCATGCAACAATCTCAATCCTCGTCAATGGATTGCAACACAACTCCCAGAATCATCATTGGCCTTGATTATGGAACATCAGGCACTGGTAATATTCCAAGCATACCCATCATAGAATGAGGAACTGGGCTAATAAATAGTCATCTAGGAGTCAGCACGTACCTAGTTCGAGGCAACAAGGTCACTCGTGGAGAGGACATAGAATGGCCCCTCGGTGGTAATGAGCTAAAAGTGCCATCCAGGATAGCATACCCTGTTGACAACCCATCATTCACTATGATTTCTCCCTGCTGGGGCTTTGACATAAAGCCTAACATGAGGGCATACACATTGACCAAGCTCTTTCTGGATAGCAACGCGGACTTGGCCGAGTTTGATGACCAGATTCTGCAACAAGCAGTCTCTCTTGGTAATCCTCACCAAGCTCTCCACCCTGACAAGAACAAAGCCCCCGTGGATGTTGTCGCTGACTACCTATCTCATGTGTTAAAGTTTGTGTGGAAGGTAATACAAAAGGATTCAGATCCATCACTCAATCATCTGCATATCAATCTTCAATTTACCATTCCTGCAACCTGGTCTGATTGGGGCCGAACACTGAGCGGGCAGGCCGTAATTCAGGCATGGGACTTTAAGAGACCACAGGATACGCTTACGGTGATGTCCGAGCCTGATGCGGCCGCAGAAAGTGTACATGCTCAACTCAAGGAAAAGGCTATGCTCGAGACTGGAGACGGGATATTGGTCTGCGACTGTGGTAGCGGGACAGTGGTGCGTCTTCTTGTTCCTGCATTCCCTCCACTATTAAAATCCAAATATCAAGGGCTTTATTAACTATTCCCCTCAAGGATATCACGACTTATCTTGTTATGGATTGTACCAGTTTCAATTTATCGAGGATAACTGCTATACAAGGCAAGTGTCGTGCCCATTTCTTCGATTATCATGGCCAGATGCTGACTTGATGCAGGGGCAAAATGTGGAGGTGCAGCTATTGATAGTCGACTTTTTGACCTTATGGAAAAGCGACTCCCCAAGTACGCCTTTCAGCACCTGAACCATCTTATTGCCCCAGGAGGCGACTTCATGACGAAGTTCAAACTGCTGAAAAGGGTATTTGGAAGTGCAAACACAGAAGGGCTTGTCCAGTTGCCACTACCTATCAGAATGGGTCGAGCGGCTTGCGGAATGCCATACTTTAATCCGGATACAGACAATTTCATCCTTGCAGTCGAAGACGTTCAATCACTGTTTGACCCAGTCATCTACAATATTATTGGCCTGGTCAACTCACAGATTACAGCTGCAGATAGAGAATACGGCTGCCCGGTGATCAACGTAAGTATACTGATTCTTCAAGTGAACCTTGCCGAGAGGCCTAACTCAATCTTCTAGAAAATTGTGCTCGTGGGAGGACTGGCATCGTCACCTTACCTTCAACGCTCACTTCGTCAATGCTTCGAAGTCCCAGGAAGATTGTCCATAACGCTTGCACCCAAGGAACCGTAAGTCTTCTCAATTGATTGGTAATCGGACTAGCTAATATACCCCAAGGATTATGGCTGTTTCTAATGGGTCGGCACTCGCACCCCAACGCGAAGTAGAGGACAGAAGGTCTGGTCAGGTCAGAAGTCCTCGCCATTACGAAATCGGATCCCATTTACGCCGAGGTAGGCTTTTTTCCCAGCGCATAAACGGTTTAAATCATTTTAATAAGCAAATAGAAGCAGAGAATATAGAATGGGTAATCGTCAAGGTGAGTCTCACCCAGTCTGGTTGTATTTCTCATTGGTAAAATCACTTCTGACATAACGTATCAGGGCGATCAATACAAACAAGGACACGCCTATGCTTATAGACACCCTTGGCCGTATCAGCTGTACCAGGAGGGCTATGCCAAGGTGATGACCATCCCGCTCTATTCTTGCGAACTGTCAAGCCCGCCGCACACTGCTCGATTCAACGGTACGAACCTTCAGCATGGAGTATAAAACGATGCACTTGCTAACTTACTGCAGATGTAACACTAGCTGGATTGATTGTCGCTGACTTTCCTTCTCTGGAACTTGGAGGTCTCCATCATGGAGAGGGTCCAAACAAGCGGATGCTCTATGAGCTGGAATATTTTGTCGTGTTGATTTTTGACACGGAAAAAAGAGCCTTGCACTGTACCGTGCAGGCACTTGGAAAGGTGATTGGCCTATTGAGGCCTCAACTGCGCTTTTGAAAACTAGACATGGCCGATAGCATGATGTTTCGCTCATCATCAAACCTTGGAACCGCAACTACTAGTATGGCCAAATCTTCTAGTTAGTTGTGATAGAGAATTGAAAGTGGCGCAGGCGCAATGGTTGTTAAATCGACATGATATGGAAAATTGTTCATCGCTGTTTCGTAGTAGAGAGATTAAATCCGATATAAATACATTCCACTATCCACCATACCCAAATGAGACCGGAATCATCGGCTAAGATCCTGAAATGCACCTTGGATACCTAGTCCACTTTCGTGAATGTTTGTTGCATCATTAAATGGGACCCATATCTTGGCAACCGAGCGATCAATGTTCTTAGGTATGTGTGATATTACCAACTTATTTTGTAGCGGTAAAGATGGTGTTATGCATCTCTTAAAAATCACCACGCACTATCGTTGTCTTTGCATCTTCACCTCCGTTTACACCATACCGGACTAATAGTATAGAAGATTTGGTTTAGTTGTGTCCTGGTTAGTGCGACTGCGGCGCTTGTACGGCACGTCTGTGCGTGGTTGTTTATAGTCCCCGGTTGTCCTCCAACCCCTAGTGCATAACTTTGGTACGGAGTCTATAGTTAAGTATTTAATCACCTTCCGAAGTTGACAATAAATGGGGGGTCCTTCAAATCAGTAGTTCTCCAGGGCACACGATGGGCATAAGCCGATGATGATCTGTAACGTCCATGACCCATTGACGACAACCGCCAAGTCGTCGGCCGATATTTATTGGACCCACAGGCACACTTAGTGGGTCTCATATAGGGAATAGGGAGACTTCTATGTGGCCCGGGTAAAAGTCGAAACAAGCTACATCCGTCTTGTCGTCTACTGATTTCGGCAAGACAGAGTCCCCACTCTAATTTATCTCGCGTGGCTAGCGGGAAGTGAAAATAACGAAATGATACAAAGAAATCAAATCCAAAATTGCAAGTCGCCGTTATGATCTCTCTTCCGGTTGGGCTCCGGAAGACAGTCTTCCAAGGGCTTGTTCGATTTCCACACTGCTTGTTCGTACGTGATCGTATCGTCCGTGGGAGAGGTCCAGTGACCGCATGCTCATCCCTCGCACTGAGCCCATGCGCTTTTCACTGGAAGACGCAGTTTTGGACAATGTCAAGAGGGAGATGCCCGTGAAATTGAGCAGGAATCCACATATCATTGAGATGATACTCGTCCAGTTGCTAGTGTTCAGCCCTTGGTAAAAGATAATGGAGGCAGAGAGGGTACATGTTGTAAAACCAACATAGTACATCGCGTTTACTCTGCTAAAAAGTTAGTACAACATCAATAGATTATCATGAGTTGGACAGGAGAACTTACAGCGATGCAGGAAATTCGCTCATTGCCTTATTCAAGTAGTTCATCTGGGTCAGGGTGGTGACTATCAGAACTAATACGAAGACATACGTCGAGCCATGGGTGAATTGGTTGTCGCCGCCTGCTGTGAGCTTTACCGCAATTCCAAACGCCTTGACTGACATCACGGACACGGATCCGACCGAAGAGCAAATCGAGATATATACCAACGGGTTTGTTCGCCCCTGTACCGGTGCGACTTTCCAAATGATGTAAATGGCAAGTATTGCAACGCAGACGCAATAGAGAAGAAAGACTAGAGATGTGTTAGTAGACCGACAATACAACGATGGGAAGTGTTATCAACATGGTTGAATTGCCAGGTGCAGGATCTCATCAATAGTCTCGATGTCCTTGTCGCCCGGCGCATGGAGAACCAACAACACCGAGCCTAGAAGGCAAGCGGCACATCCGAGTTTTCCGAGAACATTGATCTCTTCCCTAAGGAAATATGAGCCCATCAAGGCGCTATAATTGATTAGCGCGAGAGTGCAATCATTAATCGGGTGACTTACCCGATGAGCACACTCAATGCCCCTAGTGGCGTGACCAGCACGGCGGGAGCGAATGCATAGGCAGCGGTATTCATCAACTCTCCGGTAACCACTGCAATCAGGGTCTATTAGCCTCTAGCAATGTCCATCGAGTCCGATAGCCATACACATGATTGTTCCACACCACCACACCGGACTCCGTATGTATTTAAATCCATCTCCAGTAAACCCATATTTCTCAGCCGCTTGTATGAGACCCTAGTAGTCCCATATCAGATTTGGGATGCGCGGCAATTGAAGAAAACCGGGGTGTGAGTAGGCGCCGAACCTTCTTAGTGACCACATAGCTTGAACCTGTTCAGTGCCATCGTCAGTATGTCTGTAAATCGTCTTGAAAGTGGAAAAAGGTAACACAACCGATTGCTACCGAGGATAGTACCGCCAGCGTGAGGCCAATAAATCTGGTGAGCAGAAAACAAAACAGTCAGCGGGAAACAAGAAAGGACAGGTATCAAGCAGCCACCTGACGTACTTATCATCTACCTTGCCCACCATCACGGGAGCCTTTTGAAGTTTGATCAAAAAAGATTAATAGACACGGACCAGGGAAAGTCGAGGTTGTTAAAGAAGTGAGAATAAGGATGAATCAGGTCGCAGGTTTCAGCCGGGCGGCTTGCCGAATCACAGCCGCGCGTCAGCACTAGTACTACCTAGGTAGTACTTTTGTGAGCAGCTCTCAATAAATTCATCCACTTCCAACTACCATGTTAGAGTGAAAATAATTGAAAGTTGTTGTTATATACAAAATATGTCTATAACAATGCGGGTGATCTCCATATGGAACCACTGTAGGTCCACTGATCGGCCATCCTTGCTCACCTCACCGTCTGGAAGGTATCCATAGCTTGTCTATATTATCTGAATATCCTAAATTTTATTAACTATTCATATGCAAGATATTCAAAATGATGACCATGACCTTCAAATACCCAAGAAAATGCCAAGAAAGGAAATAAGAGAGAATGAATGTTACCCCATTTAAAGATTAGCTTGTTGCTAGCTGACAGAAAGGAGTCCCTCTCGTCATAACTTCAGGAATCAAAGAGCTAGCCAAACGCCAATATCCGGCCTTGCTCTTCTCCCACACTTATTATCTTAGCCACTACTGCTATCAATAAAGCATTTTTACTATTAATAATGGAAATTGGGCGATGTTGGAGGAGATAACTGTAAAACACGCTAATGAAGCGTGATGACCCCAATTAATAAAAGCAGCCACGGTATACGAAGTGCCGAGGCTGTAGTCCTTTAAACCAGTAAAAGCACACACAAGGGGAAAAAAGTAAAGTAAAGCCCTGGAGTCATCCCGCACGGGAGTTACTCGGGTGGCTTGAAACACGGGAAGCTGACGGGGTCAAACCCTACGATGTATGTTGCATACGAAGTACCCACGATCTACATGGAGTATTCCAAGGTTGGCGGAATTTTGCGAGATAAATCAAAGATCAACAATAAAGTACTAGACAAGGGAAAAACGATAAATCATCAACATCCGCCCATCAACATCCGCTCTTCAGATGCCCATATAACCTCCCCAACCTACTCACCATGCTTCCACGATCCCAAAACCAAAAGCCAATATGTCCTTCAAGCTCCTGCTCGCCACCCTCCCAGCCCTGGCAATTACCTGCACCGGCCCCGCAATCAATGACAACGGCCTTGATCTAATCAAGAGCTTTGAGTCCTTCCAACCAAACGTCTACGATGACGGCTTCGGCAATCCCACCCTTGGCTACGGCCATCTCTGCGGCGACTCCACTTGCTCGGAAGTGACATTCTCAGAGCCATTGACCGAGGAGACAGCGAGTCAATTGCTTGCCAGTGACCTAGTGGTAAGTCTCTACAACCACCCTCCATCCCCTTACTTGGAAACATTCAACCCTACTGTCTAGGTGGGTCCTAGGTACCTAATTAATATATTATCTAACATGGAAAACAGAACTATCAAGATGCCGTAACAAACGCCCTTGCCACCGCGGTCAATCTTAACGACAACCAGTACGCGGCGCTCGTATCGTGGACTTTCAACGTCGGCAACGGGAACATGCAGTCATCCAGTCGGGTTAGTCGCATGAATGCCGGTGAAGATGTGGGGACTGTGGCGTCTGAGGAGCTGGCGAAGTGGAACAAGGCTAATGGGGGAGTTGTTGCTGGGCTGACGCGCCGGCGGGCCGAGGAGGTGGAGCTGTTTGGTGAGGCTTCTCAGACCGGGGCTTTGCCTGTTGGTTGTTAAGTCAGGGACGCAAGTGAAGTTAGCCTCCGCAGAGCGTCGTCTAGAGATAGTTAGGCAGTAACTCGCGATGCAAACTTGGCCATGTAGAAGCACCGTTTATTTCTTTCCTCGGGCGTGATCCTCAATCATCGCAATGGTGGGAGAAGTTTTTTTGCCCTTCAGTCCCTGCCGTCTTAGCATGCCTTGGATTGTCTTACCTTCTAGATGTTTGTTCAGATGTAAATAGCAACTCAAGGAAGCTAAGCCTTTGCATCTCGATCGGGCGACAATTCAGCCGTGCCAGCTGCTTAGCATCAAGTCAACCACATGCTCTCTGGACCATACACCTATTATCCGTGGTAGATAGGCCCACCAGTCATCCATATCGCTCCCGATAGGAATGGTATTCATGGCCTTCACGTATTCCCAATACTCCTGGTACTAGCCGCACATTTCCCAGTCAAGAATCGCCGTGATGGTAACTCGAGTAGTTGAGTGGTTTGCAGAGCCGGTCGTTGTAGATCCTGGTTCTTTAGGCAGGGCATCGTCCTCAACTAGGTCATGTGGGTGGGTGAGCACCATGATGTTTCGTGAATGAAAACCACCATGGGGCAAAAGTATTTTGTGATATTCCTTCAGATAAGACCTAATCATAGAGATAGTACTAGTCTGGGTTCGGTGGGAGTTAAAGGTAAGGAATTCATTGAATTCGTGTCCTTGGGCAACGGGCATCTTTACATCGACGAGGGCTGCCGCCACCAAGCACAGCCTGCGTCTCATCGGAGCATGGAGCAGGCAAGAACCGAAATTCGCCACCAATCGCATCTAAACTGCTCCCTGATTGAAGCTTTCGCGTCCTCGCCTAAGAACTTCCACGTCGAATCCAACTGCTCGCCAGGTGCTCGTGACATGAGCAAGAAAATGCGGTTGCTCTCAGGGTGTTGAAGGATACCATGTATATCTGGTATCGGAACACGCGGCGCGTGGTGCTTGATGTAGTCCAAAGTGTGGATGTGATGTATATCGATATCATTGCCGGCTTTCATCACGATTTCTGGATTGAGACCCAACACTGCGGTTGACCCAAGGTGCCAAATAACCTCGCTGGTTGCCACCAATCTATTGAGACCTCTGATAATGGTAGATAACTCAGAACACGGTCCAAATTCATCAGAAGCCTTCAGTGCTACCAGTGACGCAATTGCACTTAGTGGCCGTATGATCTTGGCATTGGTTGGAACTTAGAATTCATTTGATCCATCGGTCGCACTCTTATCATCAGAGCAGTCGGCTATTGGGGTTAGTGACTCTGCTGAATGCACAGAAGAAACACGCAACGCTTCCCGTAGCATAGGATATCATAGGATATGTTTTGGCCTTGCTCTCTAGCAAGTCGGTCATATCTCGAGAAGGGGATGCTTTGACTTTCGCGTTTAGGACATCGAGAAGCAGAGTGTTGACTTGGATGAAAGCCTTATCCTCCACTTCTTTAAGGTGGTATGCGGCATTTGAGGCCATGGCACTCTGGTGCTTTTCGTATCATGGGGTATGGCGGCCTAGTTCGTTCTGTGGCTCACGAAAACTCTCGAGTTGCGCCAAGATCATGTGATTACCACCTCGGTACTCACTGACCTCCCAAGTTGGTGATTCCGTTGTCAGTTCGACATATCGGGTAGTTGTTGAATGATTGGCCATTTATGTTGATTCTTACCTACATATGTAGGTCGGTAGCGTTTCTGTTTCTACACGTGGTTTGTTTTAAGGTTATATAAGCAAAGCTATGTGAGTCCTTCACCAATCAGCTCGCATGGCTTAGTGGTAAAGCGCATGACTAGTACTTTGTGTAATCATGAGATCCTCGGTTCGACTCCGAGTGTGAGCATTTCTTTTTTTTCTCGTTTAAGCTTGTATTTACTCATATTGTTGGAGAACTTGGTGGAAACGATCAGGACAGACAACCGAGCCGCCTGAGGTCTCTTCATCCGCTTAACGTAGGATGCCGCGAAAGGAATAATCCATATCTTGGGAATTCTGCCATACAAGACCAAAGAATCTGTAATTAATAGTTATAATCGTGTCAAGGATAGTTACTCAGGTCAACTTTCTGGGGCTTGATGCAAAAACAAAGCCAAGATGGCTAATTCCATTCACCCGAGTCCTCACATAGATAGAGAGGGTTTCTTTTCCATCGACGTCTTCTCCCATCTGACCATGGTATGAGACAGGAGGCACCAAGCAACTATAGATGCGGCAGGCGAGACTTGATATTTCAATCTTTAGTTCAAGAGATTTTAGTCGAAACTGTACCACAAACTCATGGTTTGACCCTGCATAGACTGAATAACTGCAGCCCCTTGAACTGCCACGGGTGCAGCAGTTCGTCCAACAAGTGCATGTGCCTTGGTACACAGGATAATTGACTTGTGGAAGTTTTATTGAAGAAATCATCAATCTCCTGATCAAGCGAATAGCCTTGCGAAGCCATATTTATTGGTAGGCTTCTTATTGGATATTTGAAAAAAAAAAGCTGGGAGAGTCAAGCAAATAACAGGTGACAATTTTCAATATGGGGTCTTGCCTAGGTGAACGGTCAGGAATATTATTAAGGACTCAAACAACGAAATTTCCCGGCTGTCTGCAGAAATAGGGACAAGTGTGTCGTGTGTATCAGCCTTTCCTTGAGGGTGAAGTTTCCAACGCTCTAACGAGGAGAACACAAGACATCTCTCATATCCCTCCATGAAAGTGTGGCTGCCAGGTATGGCCGCGCCTGACGATTTTTTGGGTACAGCTTGTAGAGCAAACGTAGTAGCTCTTTCTTCGGGGCCTCAGGGAACCCATCGAAATCAATGCACACTTGCTCGTTCGAGGGCCATTGCAGGGTCACCATGATGTCAATCAGGTGTGCCCGGGTACGCATGTGCACTAATGGATCCTCGGAAACCTCCGAGGCATACCAGGCCTTTAGCTTCGTAAGGACTAAGATTGAAGTTTGGAGAATGTCGACTATAGAAGAGGTCAACGAAGGCTCTGTATTGAGTAGTTGATGGCTTACTTTTGGCGTAAAGAGAACGCATCGGGAGATCCTTTGGGGCAACGGCAGTCTACCAGCGGTGCGGGGACTCGGGAAATTTCAGGGCCCACACTCTCGCATTGAGATCGCAATACTGGCCTAGATATCTCGACGAGGATACTTCCAGCACTCCTCGTCTTCGCACCAGGTAAACTCGGGAATCTCGTTCAAAGCATGTCGGGCAGATCTCTCGGTGATCACGTGGATATCCTGTACTTCTTGTTAGAGCCTTTGGCTTATTGCAACACGTGTAAGAATGTAAGAACGAAGTGAGGGAAAGGTCACCTTAGTGACGCGCTTGCTGCCAAGAAGCCAGGCGGCGTATCCGCCGAGAAAGACATGTCTTATTCCTGCTTCACATAAGATGTGTGCAAGATGACTAGCTGCAGCATCGATATGTGCATAGTCGGATGGAACAGGCTCCATTGTGAAAGTTCTCAAGATTAGGGAAAGGTGGATAATCGTGTTGAATGCAGATGGAGAGAAGGGAGAGAAGGGTCGGAAGCCTAAAGGAAGAAGATATAGACGAGTCTGTTTGATACGGAGTAAGAGAAGGGAAGGAGGGAATGAATTGAAAGGCTAACAACCTGACAGGACTAAATCTTTTTACTCAATTCTGACTTGACTTTTCACTCTACCCTACCTAGGTACTCTCCCAGCTTATGACACTATCAACCTCAAAGGTCGTCCTTATCCAGCCCTTCAGATTCTGTCATTCCACTATTTATCCTTTGACCATGGATATTCGAAGTATTGGAAGGCTCTTAGCCCCATAACTCCCTCAACTGCCGTCAAGACCATTGAAGTCTCCCCGAACGAGCTTGACAAACAACGCTATCAAAACATGAAGCTTCAAGGGACTGAACACCATCACAACCAAGATGAGCTTGAGGCTCCAAAGGTTCCGCTGGACGAACTTCAAGAGGCCAAACAGCATGACAGCCCAAACGATCTCGAAGTACTTAAGCTTCCACGGGACGACGGGCCTCCCTATAATTCTCGGATCACCATAGCTTTGAAGGCACTCGCCGGTAGTAGAACTTACACACGACCCGGCTCGTAGAGGAGTATAGCCTCAGCCTCCGCGTTTACCTCTCCTTCTTGAGCTCCGCCGATGAAGGCACGTACCAATGGGGACCTACACACACGAATTGCAGAGATCACCCCTATAAGGATGCCCATTAGCGCTAGTGCGATGATGAAATGATCGACTTCTGTGAGGCTCTCATTAAGTTACTACTTCGTTATCTGTTCACCAAATAGGGATAGAATAACGCGAGATCGGTTGCGAGATTGTTAGAAAATAGATCAAAGTAAAATCAGACTCGCTTCCAATTGAGTATACCAGATATGGTCTCAAATGCAGTGACGGTTATCATTTGAAAGGAGATATCATCGTTTTCATCGAAACATCGGAAACTGACTCTCTCCCCACATTGAAGGAAATGGCGGAAAAGTATACCTTCATCAAATGGCGGATGAATCTCCTACTTGCTCAAGCCCAACATAGTCTTGAGATGAAGACTATTGAGATGCAGAATTCGCTGACAGCTCGCTATATCAAAGAAAGAAGAAAGTCTGCCAAAGAGGCAGCCCAGGTGAAGAGGTATGTTGTCAGATTGGCCTAGGAGAACGCAAGCCAATGTAGGACAGACTTCTTATTCTGACTTTTCCCTCTCACACCGTTCGATCGCCTTCGCTCGGTATTTCGTATGGATATTCGAGAGATTGGAGGTTACCTATCAATATGGGGCTTCATGGATATCGCAATTTGTATCGTTACAGGAGGTTTCTTTAGCTGCCACATATCGGATCCAGATGAAACAATTTATGGAACCTGTTCCGACTCGGCTCGTTATATCCAGCTCTTGTTTCATAGCTGAGGCTTCCATCCCAACCGGTATATATAGAGCATACGTGTCCCCATATACAGGCAGCTAAGCAAGAATTCGCCACAAGTTAGGTTTAAATCAGTCACCTTTCTTGTTCGACTGCTTCTTGTACCCTTGAAGGGCCATTTTGAGTGATACTTGTGTCATGCCAAACACGTAAAGGGGCTTCACCCCGAGTCCTTCGCCAATGGTTTGTCGACTCAAGCAGACTATGGCAATTCTGGACGACCCATGGCCATTTCTGCGCAAAGGCTGGGGAAATTTCCCAACCATGTGGATCCCACGACTGTCCCCATACTGCAACACCTCCCCTTCCACCAGTCACTTGCTGAAATCCTCTCATATCGCGGCAAAGTTGTGCGGCATCGTATAAATCCGGGCTCCGGTGCAGCAAATTATCGCGGAGCTCGGGAACAGGTAGAAGATCAATCCACGGATGATGGGGAATGGTGAGTTGGAAAATTGTTGGCTGCAGACTCGGTGGTAAAGAGTCGATAAATGTGGTTTCGACACCCGCCGATGCGAAGTGAGAGCGGGCTTGACGAGACATGAGTCGTGTTGTGAGGCCAAGAGTTTTCGCATTGGCCACTAACGCGCGGGTCATGTTAAACTGGACCAAACTGAGCAGGGTCTCCGCGCGGGGGGAGCCTTTAAGATATTCTCCATGCATCCAATTGGAGTAACCAAGAATGAATTGCTCGGTCTTTTCAGAGTCCGGCTCGCAGGCCGTGAAAGAGTCAATATTCAAGAACTTGGGTTGACAAGAGCAGGTGGCAAGATGGTGGCCATGGTGAGGCGGTAAAATGTTCTGTTCGCCCAGTGGCTCATAGGGAACCTCATTCGCATTTGATAAATCTCTGGGTGAGTGTAAATCACACTCAGGGTGCGAGTATCCAGCCTTCTTTCTTTGTCCTTCAAGCAACAGAGCATTAAGCTAATAGTCAGCCAAAGCCACTTGATAGGGAGCCCGGTAAGGTAACTGACGAAGATTCCGCTGATTGATTCGATCTTGAAGCCGTTTTCTTTCTTTTGGATCAGCCTTGCCAGTCCAGTCATCCTCTGGCCTAGTGACCAGCTGCTGGACCGTGGGTTGTACTAGAATATTTTGCCGACTCATCGTTGGACTTTATGGACTTTACGCAACCATTGGGGAACTTTCGGGCGTTTCCTTTGATGGGTTTCTTCTTTTTCAATTGACCATAAATTCTTGTTCTCCTGTGACGATGGAAGCTTTCCCAGTGGCAAGTGAAGATGATTAATGCAGATCCGGCCCGAAGTGGCCACTCCGCGCAGATCACGGGATCGAACCAAAATTGGACCGACTTCCAAGTTTGCCCTATTTCATTAAGAGAACATAAAACAAGATAGTTGAAGGTCGCATACGAAGATGTATAGCGCTCAGGGTTGTAGGCTGAGTTTTAGTGCCCGAATGCCTTGATTACTATTACAGATCCCTTAATCTACCCTGCTTCTCTGAGCCCCAGGGAAAATAAAGCTCTAAAAAAGAAGCTTTTCATACTTTTCATAAGATGACAATTTATGTAATACCACTTTTTTAGGTGATTTTATGATTTTTAGGCCCTAGTCCTGATTCAAGAGTGGATTTCTTACTTCTCTATTACTTCAATCTCCCACCTTTATGTTATAATTATTTAAAATTAATAATATCGAGCGTCCTACCTTATCATTAGTATATAGTAGCAAACTAAGCATCTATCGAATTCATAGAGTATTGTCATGTACCTTTGACCAACAAGTTCCAAGGTCATGCCCAACCAATAGCATAATGAAACGTATTTTGCTTCGCGCATTGTATAGATAAAGAAAGGAACATAGTCATGGTAATATGCGCAGAGACGCGTAAATAGCCAAGAAATCCCCATCACCCGAGAAGCCACAGTTTATAGTGTGATTACAATCTTTTGAGCGGAAACTCCAGCCTTCTGCATGTTAAGACCATGCTGGACATTTTCTAGTCCATGTCCAACAACAAATGGATCAGGTTTGGTTTTTAGCTGACCACTGGCCAGCGCTTTTGGCACAAATTGTTCCCACACAGCCTCGCCAACTCGCTCATTTGGGGGATACGCAATCCCATAGGAGGAGACTGAAAAAATAATTAGTATGAATGTTTCTATAAATCAAGTCGTGTGCCACATACCGTATGCAGGACGAAACCAGTCAGTTGGATTCTCGCAAGGATGCACGGCAACTGAGGTGACAGTCTGCGTCAAGCTTTCGGTAATAGCGGCCAGTGGAGTGAAACTGTTCAGATCGCCAATAGCGTCGTAGATACCAACAAGTTCCGAGTACTTCAAGACCGCAAGTAGATCCTCGCCCAATGAGGTGGACTTGTAGTCGAACACCTGTTTAGCCCCGAGAGATTTTACAAAGGCATGGTTCGACGAAGAGGCCGTAGTAATAACTTCCAAGCCAGAGGCAACTGCGAACTGAATGGCCGTTGCGCCCACAGAAGAAGAACCACCCCATATCAATACTGTCTTGCCTATGGGTTGCGGCACAGTCAATGGCAATGGAAGGCCAAGGTACTCTGGGAGGTATAGACCGGCAGCTGCGGTGGAGATTGCCAATGGCAAGACAGCGCCTTGTTCGAAGCTTAGCTCCGAAGGAAGAGGTGCTGCCAGTCGTTCCAGGGCGAGAGGGAAGAGTTGATAAGCTGCGTTGGCGGAACGGCCTGAGTTGGGGCTATGGAGATGGCTAAAAAGGCAGGGTAAATATATTGCACGGAAGAGTTTAGTTCGCACTTACGCAATAACGCGTTGTCCCTTGTGAAAACGAGTGACACCTTCGCCCACCTCTTCCACTGTCCCTGCTGCGTCTCTTCCCAGGATAAATGGATAATTGCTCAAAAAGCGACCGGAATCCCTATTATAGCCGCACTTAGAATGAGGAAGTGGGGTTTCTTTCAAGAAGACTTACTGAATCTTCCAATCCACAGGATTCTGATTCAAGGGATCAATGGTCAGTCGATGTCAAGCCATTCTCGTTTTTTGTCAAACCAGCAGATCACATACCACAGCAACAGCATGATTCTTGATGAGAATTTCGCCTGGGCCGGGTTTGTACATCGGAGCTTTGCCCACTAAAAAAGGGTTCGATCTGGCAGCAACGATCCAAGCGGCGCGATTCTGGGACATGTTGTAAACAAATAGGAAAATGTGGAAGGAATAGACCAAGTGAGGGAAAATGGTGTTGATGTGGAGGAGCGGAAGGAGGTGAGAGGTGGGAAGTGAGACACTAAATGGACTGAAATACCCGAGATCAGTAGGCTGTGGCGTCTAGGTAATATTACCAGATAATTTGAGCCAAGGTTTGCAGAGATGCAGATCTACAAGAGCCTTCCATGTGATTACTGAAATATAACCCTCAATGCTTGTGCCCCAGGAGAGAATTTGATCAAATTTGCATTAAAAACTACATATTCCTTCCATATTGAATGAAAGATACCTAGGTAGTGACAAGCATGGCTCAGTTGAGTCTATCTGGACAGGAAGATATTCGAAAAAAACACACCCCTTCCCCCCCCCCAACGCTATTACATCAGAATAGATCCAGAGTTGGTGCTAACACAACTACCGGTAGCGTTCGTGTCTTTCATCAGATAAATATACGCCTCTGCAACTTCTTTGACACTGCCTACTTTACTCAATGTGGTGGTCTTTCACCTCGTCGGGCACTCCATCTGATCCCCAAAGGTAGGTTGCAATTACACCAGGGCTAACAAGGTTGACTCGATGGGGTTTCAAGTCCAACGCAAGGTTACAGGTTATACCATAAATACCTGTATGATATCCAGCGATTAATGACCAATTCGGGAATGACTTTTGTGAGCCGGCCCCGGAGGTGAGTGTGATCCATGATTTATAAACCGGATTGACGAAACGAGGGCCTAGCTTTGCGAGTAAAAGAGGAACAGAAAATCGAACGTGGCCTGCCCGGTGGATGGCATCAAGATCGATGGTGCTCAAAGGTTGAATGGCCAGACTGTCACCAGCGGTAAAGACGATGTGGTCAAGTGGTGCGATGGTGGCCAGGAGGCGTTCGAGGCTTTTCTCGACGTCTGGCCCCGCAAGGTCGCAGACGTGTCCGGAAATTCGCGCATTTGGAAATTGTGTTTTCAGTGCGTCAGTGATCTCCCGGACCCGAGGAGAGTTCGAAGACGCAATATGAACCACCGAAGCCTCGAAGAGGGCTTTTTGCGCGACGCCGCATCCTATCCCGTAAGAGCCGCCGATAATAAGAATAGTAGAATTCCCAATTGAAGGCATATTGAGGTGTAAATATTACAATAGAAACAATACAACAGGTTGGCATATAATGTTGTATAGCTTAGGTAAACACTATAAGAAGTGAGTTATGATGAAAACATGAACATCCACTTTGATTCCAAGGTCAGTTCAATTTGGTTTATAATCAATCGGAGTTAAACAACAACAGAATAAAATTACTAATAGGTAACATACCGACGTATATGTCCTTCATGGTTACACTCAGCAGTCGGCATTAACATCATAGCTCCGAGTCCGTGCAAGAAAGCTGTTCGAGTACAATATTACAGCTTCGAATATTGATACGATACAGATACGTATGATAGGTGTAATATAGTACCATGAATACCTTGCGCCACTAGTCCGGTACCAACCAACTTAAAAGTGGGGGTGTAATCGACTACAATCACTTAAAAGGGCAATTGTTCACATCTATCTTCAGACCTTGGACTCTGCATTCTTTGTTGACTCTTATTCTTTGACAAAGCTCTTTACTGTTGAATTCTCTCAATATGGCCCAGAACCAGGCAGCCTGGATTACTGCACCTGCAGCATATCCCTTTACTATTGACACTGCGCCCATACCTAAACCCGGTCCATGTGAAGTCGTGATCAAGAATGTCGCTGTTGCTATCGTGTGTCCCCTTTCTATCATCCAACCATCTTACCTTGTGTCTAACAGCTTTGTTAGAACCCCGTTGACTGGAAGATCCAGTAATCAAGACCCCCACCTCGCAACGAGTCTCTCGCTCTAACCGTTATACAGGAGTTTGGGCCGCTATTTGGAAAAATACCCCTTTGTTCTGGGGGAGGATGCGGCTGGAACTATCGAAGCTGTTGGCTCTTGTGTCTCTCGTTTCAAGAAGGGTCAGCGTGTCATCGCGTAGGTTTTCCTTTGCTATATCTCCGACTCGTTCCCAGTGGCCAGCCACTGATATCTATATACTTAAGTCATTGCAACGGCCTCATGACACAGGACCCCGCCAGTGCAGCCTTTCAGCTATACCCTGTTGTCACCGAGTCTCTGGTGGCCGAACTACCCGATTCCGTTACGTTCGAACAAGGCGTCGTACTGCCATTGGCGATCTCGACAGCGTGTGCTGGACTTTACCGAGAGGATTATCTTGGCCTACCGTTGCCTGCCGCCACGGATGTGAAGCCGGCTGGCCAGACAATTTTGGTATGGGGAGGGGCATCTTCAGTTGGCGTGACAGCCATTCAGCTTGCAGTGGCATCGGGCCTTACTGTTCTGACCACTGCTTCTGCAGCGAATCATGACTTGGTCAAGTCTCTGGGTGCACACAGTGTAATTGATTACAGGTCCCCTTCCATTGTGGAAGATGTTGTAAATGCGCTTGCTAACACCAACTTCGTCGGGGTCTATGACGCAATTTCGGAAGACGTCAGCTTCAGCGCTATTTCAGCAATCCTGGATGAACTAAACACGACAGTGAAAGTTGCCAGTGTCATGCCTTGCAACAAGTCAACTGAAAGATTTGCTCCGAAATATGGTGAGTTTTTTAATGATGTTCATTTATCCATTGTGAACTATAGAAACTCATCACAGCTATCTCTACAGTCATTGCATACTCGATTATCGAAGACCCACATCATGGTATTGGCGAATGGGTTTGGAGCAAATACGTACCACAGGCTCTGGCAAATGGAAGTCTTCAGTCTAAACCCGATCCCTTTGTTGTGGGGAACGGACTCAAAGACATTCAACATGGACTCGATGTGCAAAAGAAGGGCGTGTCGGCTAGAAAAGTGGTTATTGTTCTTTAAGCTCGAAACGCGAATTAGGTCGTCTAGAATGACTTAGCTTTGGGTGGATGAATTTAATTCCTTGGTTTTTCTACACCGTTATCAACTTTTTAGTATTTTGCATAATAAATTGGCCACTGGTATTTCCGCTGTTGCCACCCAACTCGAATGAACGATCAAGTTAGCTTTGTGGGCATGTGTTGCCTTTACCAAAAGTTGAATATTTTGAAACTAGACCATCTCAAGGTCCTCGATTTACTAGGTACTTTGATTTTAGGTTGCAAATCCAACCACCAGTAAAGTACACAAAACAAAGAACTGAGTTTCGTAATCCGTTTACCGGGAATTTTACGTCCGAAAAAAAAAAGGTTGGGACGCTAACGCAGCCGACTGACAGGCTCCACCGAGCTTAAATTACTCGACCAATCATATCATAGCAGGATTTTCATCACGACACATGTAAGTAGTACTTTGTTTTTATTTTCACGACGGAAAACGAAAAACTACCTTTTTACCGTATAATTTACAGAGATGACACATCGAAGTACCTCATTCGGTCCGCGGAACTGCGCGGACTTTGCATAAGGCCGTTCGAGTCTTTCTCCGAAGATGTACCCATGTTTTCATCACAAAAAGGCCTGAGCCCTGCAGCAGCCCCTTTGGATCAGAGTCATTCACTCATCGGAAAATAACAGTTAATTCCGATATTTCCGAACGAAGTCATGATTCATTAGCACCGTGGGAAAGACAGACGGAAAGAAAGAAAAAGATTCCTAGAGCTCCACTTGAAGAGATTGGAATGAACCCCGTTTCGCGTCCTATTAAACGACCGCTCTTCTTCACCGTCCACATATTCATTCCGCTATTACCGAGAAGTCCCAAATCCTCTTTCATTCTTTTCAAACACCTGAAAAAATGACGCGAACCGTCGGTATCGCGGGCCTGACAGGGAAGTTTGCACAATGCATCACCAAGGCACTGCAAGCTTCACCTGATGTGTCTATTCGAGGATATTGCCGGAGCCCACACAATCTGGCAAAGGAAGTCCTGGAGTCTGACAAAATCGAGATATTTGAGGGTGGGTTTGACGACTACAGCAGTATCAAGAAGTTCGTTCGAGGATCGGATGTTGTGATTTGCTGCTACTTTGGCCCTCCCGAAGTCATGACACAAGGTCAAAAGGCCTTGATTGACGCATGCGAAGAGGAAAATGTCCCTAGGTACATTGCTAGTGACTTTGCGGTTGACTATACCAAGATCCCGCCCGGAGCTCTGTTTCCCAAGGAGTCAGCAATGATCATCATGGACTACCTGAAACAGAAGAAGGTTGCCGGGGTACATATTCTCACGGGCGGACTCATGGAAACATTTTGGAGTGATTTCTTTGGAATCTGGAGTTCTCAAACACGCTCCCTTTCTATCTGGGGAACTGGAGAGGAATCGTGGGAGCTGACGACTTATCCAACTGCTGCTGCCTATACTGCCGCAGTTGCACTGGACAAAAGCGCCGTTGGTGTCTTGCGGTGTAAGTCTGGAAATGCACATTCCGTCATGGCCATTGATAGGTTGTGCTAGGCTAACATAGTGCACAGTTTGCGGTGATCGAAAGAGTGCCAATCAAATCAAGGAAACTTTCGATCGAGTATACGGATCCCAGTTGCATCTCAGGCAGCTCGGATCTATCGACCAGCTGTATGAGACAGTGCAGGAGGCATACAACAGCGATCCTACGGATATAGCGAGCTGGGGACCAAAGTATGTGTTTAATCCTTACGGCTGTTATCTTGAAGCAGTACTAATGATTTATTCAAGATGCTTCGCATACTGGTGCAGCAGTGGGAAGGCGCATCTAGGGGACAACCTTGACAACAGCAGATACCCAAACGTTGAAGTCGTGGACCTTGAATCATTCTTGAAGGGCCATAGGATGGAAGATCTTGACAGAGCAGATCAAATCCTTGGGTTTTGAAGACTAAAGTTTTGTTGAAAACTGCATCTCAATGTCTCTGATGCGATTTTTATTTTTATTTTGAAAATCGGTAACAAGCCATTATCTAAATTGTGTTATTTGGAGGGCCCGTGATAGTTGTAAGGAAGTGTGTGGAGATAACAAGCGAGTTGGCATGCATGGTAGCACCGATGGAGGCAACACTATGATTATAAAAAGAACGAAACTCTTTCTGCTCTCAACAACTGGGATGTATATATTTTATAAATGAAAATTCTCGCAAGGCTCATCTGGTAGGACTTGAGATCCTTCCGTGGTTTTTACCTTCGAGGGAAACAAAATGAGGCCGATATAGGGGAAGATAAAGACCAAAAGAAACTCCATGAAAAACTGTAGGAGGGCCAAGGTAACAACATTTGGCTGCACCTGCCCAAATGTACTACCCTCGTAGGCGAACGTTGTGAGTAGTGCATACACGACCCTCACTGCAAGGAAGGGTATACTTATCAACACCATCTGTATAAGGGATTTGTCGTCATTGTAGCGATATGCTTATAGGAATAGAAGGCACAGATGGTGATTTGGACGACGAAAAGGACTGAGACGATAATGATGGATGCTGCGCTGAGGTCATTCCTAGACATAACCATGCCCACAATACTCAGTATGAACGCAGCCCACTGGGCCAGTTGAAGCAAGCTCCAGGCTTTCGGGTGTAAGGAATCGAGATATCAAGTTTTCTCTTTACTATTTTGAATTATTCAGTCAGCGAAACTCTGGCATAGGCTAGCCGAGAATTTTCTTTTTAACTCACAGAGCAGTGATGATCTCCAGCATAGTGAAAAGCAAAGCCATTATTCCAATAGAGGTGACGAGTAAAGCAGCTGTCGTAAGACCAGTATGGTTGCCTTTTTAGAGGCAATCTGTAGTGCTGCGCCGACCAATCTCAAGATGGTCAGCAAAAGTAGATATAGCCATCCAAATTTGTTCCCAGTCCCATTGCGAGAGCAGGCTCGGGCAGAGAAAAAAAAACCGTGGGAGTGAAAAAAAACGATGATAAAAATAGAGAGAATTTGGTGTGGAGACAGAAAAACATTAGCTAGGCCATGCGACTTTGGACCTTGAGTGGCGTGGAAAAATATTGTATTCCGCGTGCCGTTTGAGAATATAAGTGTTTTGCTTTCTAATTCTAGAGACCTACCTAGGTATATTTTAAATCCAGTGGTCATCAATCTGTCTCTATAATTAGGAGGTCCACTACGTGGTACATACCTGTTTAGGCAACCTCGAAGTCTTGGCTTATAACCCAGTGAGTAAATCCAATCATTTAGCCTATGCGAGCATACCGAAAAGACTCTGCTTTGTAGGTACCATAAATGTTTATAATTTAATGCCAGCGGTCCTCGCCATCAACGGGTCCGCGAACAAACACAGTATCCATACCATTTTAATGACTTTTCGCTAAAAGGAAGATCGGTGCTGATAAATAAATAGATGTTTCTAGTGCAGCAAGTTGCTAATATGTCAAATCTCTCACGGAAAAATAAAAGCTACACAATTGCGTCACTAGCTGTCCGCCATATCAGCCTACTTGATCTTTCAGAACAATCATATGTTTACACAACCATTTTTGAGGCTCTACGGACTGTGAAACCAGATGAAAAAAAGACAATTGATTGGGAACAAATTAAACCAAGCGGGATTCAGGCCTGAATTAAAATACACCAACGACACTATTGGGTTGCTTCTTTTCGGACGTCAATAAAATCCTTCTCGCCAAAGGCAATTTTCACCTGATCCTGCTCGATAACTCGCAAATACCACTCAACAGTGAGGGGGCAATGTGTCCTCATTTCTTTGTCGATGATAAGACCAAATCCCCAGACGAGCGCCGCCGCAACTGAGAGATCAGCCAAATCCAGGTGGTCTGTAGCAACATGCAGACGACCTTGCAGGTGTGTTTCCAATACACGAAGCGCGATTTCGAAGCGCCCAAATGAATCTCGCTCAAGCTTGCCATCGTAGGGTGCCATCCCAAACCGCCACAAAACCATGTTCTGCAGAGGTTCAAACAACTCATGATCCGCGAATCCAATCCATTGCCGAATAGAAGCACGCTCTTCCGGAATAGAGCCGAGTAGCTGGTTGCTTGCTGGGCCAGATTCCGCTGCATACTGGGCTATCGCATCCGACTCAAACAGTGCCAGGCCAGTGGAACTCTTGAACGTTGGAACTTTCCCAAGAGGGAAGTCAGTCAAGAACTCCGAAGTTTTGTTTGTCTTCGTCATGACAAAGTCTGGAGCGATGTCAATTGTTCGGCCATTCAATGCCGCAGCAACTTGAATCTACTCGTTTAGTCAGTATGCATCGTACGGTATATAATGATTTTCATCAACAATTAACTAGGACACACCTTCATAACCCGAGGGTTAGGCATATAACTGTAAATCGATCCGAGAGAAGCCATAGCTACTAAGGAGTTCTTTTGGTTGACTTGTCTGGCGTTTGCTGATGACTTCGGAAAATCACCAACCTTGCGTGTGAGATAATATTGGATTATTTATAATTCTGTAGTTCATGGCAATTTTAAATTGAATGCTGACAAAGTGATAATTTTCTTCCGAAGGTAAACATAGAAGCTGAATTAGTAATTCTTTGTATATTTCAAGGCCTTTGCATGAAAATCCCTCAAGAAATCCCTCAAAAGCGTTATTATGTACGGTGTAATCGCTTCATACAATTCGACCGGCTTAGATCGGCGGTCTTGGTTTGTCATTAATTCAAAATTTCCGTGTTTAATTAACAAGGCCATCTACCCGGGTATTTTGGTTCAGCCACTATACACTCATACCTAGTTCCAATTCCTCCGAAATTATTGGCCAACTACTTTAAACTCAGTGGGGCATGTCAGTAGGTTGCATTAGCGTGCCGTGACCCGTTAATCTTTGATTCCCAGGCATAGTTACTAATAGTGATGACTCTGAATTAAAACTAGTGCTCGCCAAAGACATTAAAGACCTCCTAATTAAAAAACTAAGGGTGACGCACACATTCATCTATACCCGGATGAACTGGCCGTGGTATCTATATAGAAGAAATGCAGATGAAACCTCCTCAAGACTATCCAGGAAGAGACTATCTAAAAGAAGTTATACGACTAAAACTGGGGTAGATGCCTATACCCTCAGTTCTCTCAACGCTTGACTTTCTAAGATTCAGATATTGTTCACTGGACTTTACTGTAATACAGAGTTGCTCAGATACTTTTACTTATTGAATTTTAGGATTGGGACCAGAGCATGTTCATCTCCTGGTCTGACTAGCCGGCCGATCGTGGCCGATATTGGAGCAGTATTCTAAGTGGCTTGATGTAGCAGATAGGTGATGGTTGACGACCTGCTGTGCGTAAATATCCATCCACCTTGGCGGTCGTGAAGACTATACCTGCCCAACGAGCTTTTGCTGTGGATTGTGTCGCATTTGGACGGCAGTGCATTATTTGCCCTCGCAAAATCATGCAAAAACCTTCATTTTAGACTGCAGCTCAGCATCTGGAAATACAACATCAAATTTCAGAACAGCAATGTGTTGCACCTGGCCGTCAAATGCGATAACTGGTGAGTGGCTAATTGAATCCCTCTATTATCATTAATGGAATGTATTTATTAACAGAAGTGTGATAGGTTGTGGAATGGGCAGTACCCGATGAGCAGTTATCGCTAGCTTCACATATCCTAGTCGAGAATAACTTTCCCCGCCTCTCGACTGGAAATCGATGGTGGTTTGGATTCTGGGATACCGGATGTTTGCGACACGATTTAGATGGTGCAGGCTGGATGTGTGTGCATCTTTTCCCGCTGTCGTTGGTTGATTTTACACTTGAGGATACAACTGAGGTCCCCTCGATGTTTGCCCCCGACATCAATATTCGAACTCCAAAGCCTCCTCAATACATGCTCTCCTTAATTCACCATCTTCGAAAGCTCCGAATTGGTGGTCCTAGCCGAATCCGAGTCAAAAAGGACCTCTTGAGTTTCATATCATCTTACATATTCCACGGCCCACCTGGACATATTCATCCCGAGCTTCTCCATCGTCTCTCAGAGCAGCAGAGCAAAGAAAACTTACTGAAGAAGCTGGACGAAGGAGTTAGGTTCATGAAGGGATGGAACTGGGGCAACGTCGAGGAAACTGACCTGGCACTTGCTGAACGTGTTGTTCGAGATTGCCATTACGTCGGAAAGCTGACGGATGTTACTCAGGACCCTGCAAGCCCTTGCAGAACTCCAGAGCCTGTCCTCCCCGTCCAGTGATTTGTGGGTGATCTTTTCCAGTACATCTCTTTCGACAGCTCAAGGTTTTCGCCCATGGAATTGCATTACGGCTTGGTTTCATCATTTGTATCTCATCTTTTAGCAATGTTATTGCCGGGCGATGCTAGGCAAGGTCGATACATGGGATCAATATCAAAATTAACAAATTCCACGGTTATTAGTGTTATGGTGCACTTCCACATCCTATATCCTTAATCTAAATAAAGACATGACTAGCCCACGTACATATTTTTTGTACATGTCAGGTTGATAGGATTTCGAACGCAACCTTGGAATATATATCTCGGCCATTTCTTTTCAAAGATAACACCCACCAACCTATAAAACCACACAGACGACTGCAAAAGCAAATAGACAAAAAGAATAAAAATGAATAGTATAGAGTATACAAATAGGTTCAACAATGCGATATCCAAAACACAAAAGAAATAAAAAAGAATGAAAAAGAATAAAAAAAATAGTTTCCCTGGGAATCGAACCCAGAACCTTTCCGGAACAATTGTCAATAAACACTTGTTAACGGAAAATCATAACCGCTAGACCAGGAAACTGTTGAATGATAACACATGCCAATTAACATATCATGAACATCCCGGTATTGCAGCCCACAGTCGCCCATCACCTCTTTCGCGTTGGTACAAACACACTCCAACTCAACACGAAGCAACCTTATTATGTCAATCTCGGAGGATAAGGACCACGAGGAATAGGCTCCTGAAGGGCATTTCAAAGCTCTCGTTGATGGTCTTTGACGAGGGATTTGTGATTTTTCAATACGTACTTTTTGATTTGTATTGGCTCATAAGTCTCTCGTCAGAGTCCGGGTTGTATTAGCAGATTTGTGTCTTAGTACCGAGTGATCGAGCTTCCATCTTGACTCGGAGCCAGGGCCTCATCTCCAAGGTTACTCGACCTTGATTCTTGATTCAGTGTAGGGTAATTTGAGGACAAACGAGGGCCATTCCACTGTCCGAGGGGAAGAACGGCGAATGTGTGGATTGTTCAGTCTGCCCTTTTTTGGACCCCGTTCCACTGTACCAAAGTGACTCCATTTTGAGATCAAGAGGACCTCCATTTAGGTTGAAGTGTCTTCGTCCATAAGGTCAAAAGGTCGTGGTTGGAGTTCAATATCTCTTTCCAATGCATGTTCATCAATGTGGAAGACAATCCATGGCCCACTAGCACGAGGATTACCCGCGAGATGACTTCCCAAAGACAGTGTAAATCTTTAGAAAACCAAGTGTTGTAGTAGGCAGGACCCGTCCCTGGACGCGGTTGCCCGAGGAAGGAGGGATGGCATTGAGTCGAACTTTCTAATCTCAGGCAATTGAATTATAATATGGCAGGATAATACAAATGCCAAGAACAGGAACTACTAGTAATATGTACTGATACGAGTACAGGTTAATCACCGACCGGACAGATAGTGGTATGAATTGAAACAGAGGTGAAAACACGCGGCCGTAGCGGCCGGGGTTTCTGGTTCCCTTTGTAGTTGTCTAGGAAAGACCTGACTCTCTGGTTATTTCTAACATGAATGACCCTTCACGATATTGTATACTCATCCAGTTTTGGGGGTCTCGCCAGCGAGAACCTGGTCCATCTTCCATCTCTTTCCCCCTTCACCACCACCTCCGCAACCATTCTCCCACGCGCCCCCAGAACGTGGGCAGGTCTTCCTCCATCTTGACTAACTCACGCAGTGGAGACTGCACGCGCGGAAAGATGTATGGGCGGCCGCGGCAGCCGCGACGGCGCGACTTCCCCCAGACGCTGCCAAATTTGTGCTTGGCAATTTGGCGTTCACACAGAGCGAGCTGCTCGGTCAGCTCTCGTTGCATTTGCTGCAAGCCGTGGTAAGTTACTAGCAGCTTGCGGAGATCATCGAGCGCTGGCTTGCGCTTCTTCCTCGCCTTGATGGGAAGGACATATTAGTTTCTGCATAGAATCTGGACTGATTTAAGGAAGGTCAGGACTCACCCGTGAGGAATCATCCTCGGCTGAGCGCTTCCTCTTCCTCATGCTCGATGGCTATCCTAAGTTAGATTGTGCACGTAGATCAGTGGAAACTGGGGTAACGACTCACCAATGAGGGTTGCTCATACTCACTCCCGCTGGCATCCATGTTGTTCTGCATAGGGGACGCAGAGAGATGTGAACATGATAGAAAGTGAACTAGAAGTGATATGGCTATTTTGTATGATTTTATGCCGTGATACCGCAGGCGCACCTGGGTATCTGAAGACCCATTGGGACTATTATGCAGGTCAATAAATTAGGATGTTGTTGAGTGAGCAAGGACACCTTCTCTAATTCACTAGATCGACAATGAGAATTCAATGGATAACAATAAGAGACCATATGAGAAAAGCCAACCCCTTGGAATTACAATTTTATTCAATATGAGATTGTTTGCCTCATACGAAAAAATGAATACAACTTGGATTGACCAAAATCAACGGCCATATGATAGAAAAAAATAAGGAACAAGTGAGGGAAATGTGAGAGATTCACTAAATAAACAATGAATAGAATAAGAACAGTATGGTCAAGGGTACCTAGGTAGCTAGCTAGTGAGGCAACGACCGAAGGTCCTCGATAGGGGCACTATAAACATTGGATATCATTGCTGGCCCAGGGTTTCACTCCGTGTGACTGTTGGATAAAACAAACCACTGTTTTGTTGGGTAGATTTGAATATGATGCCTATTAGTCTATGCTCTATAACCCAGTCAATGTAATATCCCGACTCCGCTTAACTATATCATGCTGCTCGCACTTGGAAGCAAGGCGAGACCTTGCCAGTCTGAACATTAACAGTGTTGAAAATCTTTTGGTGGTGAAAGGCAGAGAGCGCTTGACGCATCTCAGGCTCTCCAATCTTAAGCTGCTCCAAAATCTCCGCCACAGCCAAGTAAAGAACACCAATATTGCCATCTTCAATCTTCACTGAAATCCCAATCGCACCCTCTGCTCCAAGGCATCTTGTTTGCTCACACTCCCGAATGCCGATGCCATAGCAGCCATCCGCCCCGAGCTTCCCAATCAGCAGGCCTTGGAATGCAGTCATGAGGATTGTACAAAAGCGGTTCTCTCCCGCGACGAACTCAGGATTTTGCCACATAGCATGGAAGACCCGACTCAAAGCCTTCGTTCTCGAAGATGTACCAGAACCCAACGCCGTAGCATCAGCCGCCGCAGCGAAGGTCGCATTCATACGAGCCAGATAGTTCAATTCGAAAGCCGGAGCAGGCAAATTACACCCATCAAGACCCCAAACAGACCCATCCTCCCCAAGACCGCAGACATCATCAACAACACGTTTCACATGCATTTGAACAGGATGCGTAGACAAGTGATAATCCGCCACATCACCACCCAACACCTTCGCCCCCGCAATCATACCGACATGCTTGCCAGAACAATTACTACAAACCGGAGTCGGGATAAAATCACTCTTGATCCACGCGCGCTGTACAGTTTCAGAGAGAGGAGGATGTCCACCGCAGCGGAGATCAGCCTCGGAAGCAGAGACTTTGGACAACATACTCCGGGCGCGAGCGATATGTCGCTCCTCGCTGCTATTCGAGGCGCACATGAAGGCCAGATCGGCGTCGTCGAAGTTGAATCTGTCCACTGCACCCGTTTCGAGGATTGCTAGCGCCTGTGCGGGTTTGGCTGCTGAGCGGGCGAGCGTCATTCGATAGGGATCGCCGACTGCGTAGAGGAGGTTGCCCGCGGCGTCGGTGATGGCTGCATGGACGCTGTGTCTGTTTTCAACGACCCCGCCGCGGTCTGAGGCGATGAAGTCGGCTGGGATGATTCTTCGCATTCTGGCTCGTTTCTTCTGTTGTGGTACGGTGAGTTTAGTATTTTGCGGATCTTCGGGGTATTTGGCGACGCCCCGTGGCGATGTGTCATTGCGGTCGGAAAGCTCCGACACGAGGCGAGAAGAAATCCACTTTTTTTTGACTATCGGAACAAAGGCTCTATATCAGATAAGAACAGTGGTTGGTATGTAGTCTAAGTAGATCCTGTAGATCGTGTATTGTTGTGGATGATGTCTAAAATGATATCGCTCAATGACGCTCCCGTATAAGTCTATAAAATGCAGTGTAAATCCCAAACGCTGAATTGACGCTGATAACCCGAAATGTAGAAAGAAAAAAAGTCTGAAACATAACACATATACAACAGAAATATGATCAAAAATATGCAAATAAATGACTAGAAGCTGAACAGACCAGTGCGCTTCTTGCCGTAGGGGTAGACAACCAAAGCCGCGATAAACAGTCCGACTGTGATACCGATCGCGACTTGGATCATGCCAAAACCAAGACTGGCAACCGAAGTTTCAGAAAGAGCGCCGGTAGATGTGCTGGTCCCATTATTTGAGAGGTTCTTACGAACCTCGTCGGCGTATTGGATACCAGCGATCAAAGACCCACTAGAAGCAAGGCCAGAGGGGACCAGCACAAAGATGCCGGGAAGAATGGCGGTGGCAGCATGGCCATGCCAGACACGACTGTACAGATTGCCTAGGACACCAATAGTGAATGCGCCGACGGTGTTGGCGACTTCAGATTGAGTGCCGAGCTTGGTGGTGCTGAAATAGTTGGCGACGTACCCGGACAAGGCGATAAAGACCATGACGGGCATCTGCTTCAATTTTCCATGGTTCACAATGGCCAGGAAAACAGCATAGATAGCCACGAAGGGAAATGTGCGTGCGTAAACCGACCCGTAGACATCCAGGCCTGAACACGTAGATGCAGACGTCGCATTGGCATCCATCAGTCCATATATCGTAGTCCCCACTGTGATACCATAGCCCAAAAAGAGGGAGTAGATAATGGCATACACCATACGGATCGAACCAGCGATTATTTGGTGAGATTGCAGTTCCAGACTGCTACAAAGAACCATGAATCCAGGGAGAATCAGAGCGATGGATGACTGTGCCATAGCGGAGAAGCAGAAAAGTGGTTCAGATGTACCATTGCGGGTAACCATGATGCTGCCAAATGCGCGGGCGAGGAAGGAAGTGACAATAGCAGCAGTAACCTCGAAGACGTTGGAGTAGAGGGTCGACCGTGGCGCGAGAACGTGCTGCATCAGCCCAACAATGCAACCGAGACAGAAGATAATGGGCATATCGATCGGTCGCGCGCTGAAAGCGAAGGGGCCGACAGTCGCACTAGCAAGACCGTACACCAAGACCAAGACCCATTTGTTGAATCGGGGCTTGCGCTGCATAATCTCGTCCAGTTCCTGAGTTGCCTCTTCAACACCGATAAGATCATGAACAACATTCTTGTAAACGTTGTGTGTATCAGCAAGGCGACCAAGGTCGACTCCTTGCACCATTCGCACAAGCTTGACCTCGGCCGTACGTGTGGTAGGGTCATCAAAGGACATGATCATGCAACCGGGCAGATACAAGAATTGACCTGAAACCTCCAGGACCCGGGCGGTCATTTGCATATACTCCTCCAGACGGTGGGTCGGCGCACCGTATCGCATAAGCGCACGGCACAGCTGCATGATGTACCGCTGACGCGCGATGATCTCTGCGATATGGACGGTGACACGAATCTCATCTTCCAGACGGGTCTTGCGCTTGCTCTTCTTGTGTTTCTTGTGCACACCCGGAGCGGCCTCCACCGCAGCGGGCAGACTGGCTGTGCTGAGGTTCATGGAGGCATTGACCAGCGACGAGGTGGACCGATGGGCCGACTTCTTGTACCATTTGAGCTTCTCCTTGCGCGGGGTAGCGGCACCAGATGGTGGTTGAGAGGCAAGGATGAGGGGCGAGAGGGAGCCCTTCTTCGGGGTGGAGATACCGGAAGACACCTGAGTGTCACTGTCGGAGTCATCTGTGATAACACTTTCCGCGCGCGAATAACCCCCGTTCTGGGCGGCCTGGAGCTTCAGCAGCTGCGACAAAATGCCGCTGCCACCGGCGACTCCACTGGACCGTCTCCGCTGCGTGAAGGCGCTGAACAAGCCCTCGGGAGTTGTCTGTCCCGACCGCTGATATGCGCCCCGAGGTTTCCGCTTCCGGAGCTGATCCTGAGCCATGGTCATGCTGCGGACCAAGCGATGAGCCTCGGCGCTAGGGGGTGGCTCGATAAGGTTTTCGCCACTCTCCAATGCGTGGGCTCGGTCGGCGTCGTGGCGAGCGCGGCGGGCCTGCAGCTCCTCGAGTGGGATACCGCTGTCAAAGTCATCTGGAATGTACGAGGCGTTGAGCGGCTCGCCCTCATCCGTGGGGCGACCGAGGCGTTCCGTCAAGCGGTTAGTTTTCTGTCGCAAAACCTGACCGGTAGCTCTGAAGCGGTCGCGGGCCGAGGTAGTCCGGTCCATTTTGCCTGCAAAATCATGTTTCTCCGTCTCGCCAAACTGGTCGGGGGTATGCACGTTGGCGAGGCCGGAGCCACGGCGGGAATGTGTGGGGGCTGGCGGGGTGATGGTTCCGGATAGCGCGATTTCGTTCGGGTCTGGGGGCGGCAGTAATGGTCGCGAGGCGGGATGCGAGACTTCTTCATTTGGGCGCAGACTCAGCGAGCGAAAACGAACTCTATGATGGGATCGGCTGCGACGGGGTGTGGGTGGCTCAAGCCCGGCATCATATTGGGTGGCATCGACGGTGGTCTCACGCTCGAGGCTTTGGCGATCACCAGGATTCTCAATGATTGGAAGAGGGTATTCTGCGTATTCTTCATTTGGGCTTGGATGTGGGTTGATGATGCCCGACATGAAGGAAATTTGAGTGAGCTCGGTGGCTCGGTGGGAGATTAGCCGAGAACTGCAAGCCGCGTTTATGCAAGGCACAAGGCACAACGAATGATAGAGAAGTCAGTCAAAAACAATCTATGAGAAGATGAACAGTTTTGGAAAAGGATAGTAGAATAAGAAGAGAAAAAGTTAAGACTTTTTTTTTTTTGATAAGTAAGTCTAGAACAGGATTAAATGGCGAAACCAGGGAATTGCCATAATTCCCTCAATACGGATTCAGTTAGGGTCTTGGAACAGTTGGAATAGTTAAAATAGTTAAAAAAGACTTAAAAAAGACTTCAAAAAAGAGAGTCTAGATCTTCTAGATAATGAAATCATAATACTACTTTAATATGCACATCCTTTTACTACTTTATAGGCTCAACCCTAAGTTTACCCGCTGTTAACCCTCCAATTGCACAAGGATACATGCACACTGACATATCTGCGTCTATCATTCGGGGAATAGAAATGATTTCTAGAGTTTCTAGAGTACGTACTACCTGCACATCCGCGAGGTGGTGTGGGTCACATTGTGGCGATCTTGTTCTGTCTGGTATTGGCACCGAGCCATCCGGGCTAAAAAAATATGGTCTTGGGTACTTTGTATGGTTCGTGCATTGTTCCCTTTGTACTCCATTCTTATACCGACTGGATATAGTTTAGAAGAGCTTTTGGTTTTGTTTTCTATTTTATTTTTCTATTTCGGAGGGGTTTTTTTTTGTTTTCATCCTTCTTATCTCTGGCACACAAATAACCCCCTTAGGCCGCCGCGTTCAGTCTGCCCAAAACGTCGATCCTGACCCACGTCTTGCGCATTTGTTATTTTGACAGCCACCTCCTGAGATAGAGTGGAGTGGAAAGTATATAGTCCCTTGCAAATCTGATGCCATTATTATTATCATTATCCACCGTGATGTGATCAAAGAATTGGCGAACGGACATCAGATTTATAGATAGAAGCAGAGACCCACCAAAGGATCCTCCGGGATTCACGCAGAACATTACGAATCGAGGGCCGCCACCCGGTGGAGTCGAAATGGCGTAAATCTGTGTGGTTGCACATGATTCAATGATTTAATTTAGTTAGGGGTCGAGACCCCTTCTGTGCCCTCTATGCCCTCTATGCCCTCTATCCCCTCTATTCCCTCTATCACACATGCTATCTTGTACAACACACAAGTAGCTCATGGATGTTCCAAGGTTCACCCCTCTCCTTATCTCGGGTCTGACCGCTCCCTTTCAGAAATGGTTCGTTCAAACCTCGGAAACCCTAATCTTGAGGTATGCCGCGCATGGAAAAGCCTCGCAGCCTAAGGGACGAGGCACTCGAATGCGGTCCGGTCTCCTTTCCACCAATTGACCAGGCACGGTCCGAAGACATGCGGGAGGTAGCCAAAGCCCGATTTTTGCATTAGAGTTCGGTGGAGTCGGCATCCCGGAGACCGATTGTCGTGGCAGCGTATCCCACCAACCCATAATGAGAGTCTACAACAGAAGGCGCAAAGAGACACCCCGGTGGAGGAATCGGGAATATAATTATTGTTGAAGCTGGTTATAGCTCTCACACTTTTGATTTGCCTATACCAATAATTACAAGCGGTGTTCGTACTCGCTCAAGTCAAGCATCCAAGTCCATGTCAAGCTCTACCATTGGTTAAAAGAGCCACAACGGATCCTGCCCGTGATAGGGGTTGTCACGGTGAAAAGGGGGCAATGATAGCCCGAGTAAGAGCGAAAGATTAGGACATGCCGAGAATGATTGTACAGGGAAAAAAAATAGGGAATGAAAAATGATGCGATACGAAGTTCAATTTCAGATGAAGTCGTGCATATGATCGGGAGATTCCAATCCTCACTACGTCAACGTGCGGTATTGCGGGGTGTTTTTTTTGCTTGGCAGAAAACTAGTACAAAACTAGCCACCTTATTATTTCCAGAGGATATTCCGTGCCAAGTCTTCGATCAACTAAATACAACATAGGAGTCAGTCAATTCAAAATACTAGAGATACAGAGAGAACGAGAGAAAGAAATGGAGGAACAACCCTGGGTGAAGGTGGCAAACCCCACTATGCAAACCAATCAAACATTGGAATAACAAAGAAAGATCATTTAGCATGTGACAGCACGTAACATAGTGCATATGATCCTAAGATTCAGTACTACGTTGTATATGAAATAAAAATATGAAGGTGTTTTATTAACATTCAAGGGCTAGCCAACGCCACAGCTTTCCGCTATTCAACCAATTGTATCCTATCCACCAATTCGTAGCGATACCAGCTCATGCCAGCCATCCTGTCGAAATGGGATATGGCCCCCCTAGGCCCTAAACAGAAACCAAGGCTTTTGTTATGGTCTTGTGGTAAAATGGGCTGTTTTGTTTCCCACACATCCTTATTATTTGGGATTGAAAAATCTTCAAGTTTCCCAAGCTGAATGGCACCTTGCGTCTTTTTGCTAGTTCACCGAGCTGTCACCATCATTCTGACTTCCACCAAAAAACCAATCAGTACACCAGACAAAAGGAGTGCAAAATACCACCTTGGGATAGTACTACCTTGATTCAGCAGTACTCTCAAACAAACAAATTTGAAGAGCACGGTACTACGAGAAGGTTGTTTACAAAGAACTGGCAGTTGGTGAGTGAGGTTGGCTGGGAATTTTGGCGGGCAATTGTGGCTCTAAAGCCTCAGAAGATATCTTCTTCCTGTTTGAGTCTCGTGAAGAGGGTTAGATTGATGCCTTGAACGAGGGGAGACTGGGGGCAGGGCGGGCGATGGGCGGAGAGTTGTTGTTCGATTGCTTCGAGGGCTGCTTCCAGCCCCTCGAAGGAGGCTGCAGTAGTCAGAATAGCAGCGTTATGAGGAACAACAAAGTCATTGTTGGGGCAAGAGAAAAAAATTCGAGGAGCTACCTATGTATCCATGGATGTAGTGGACGAGCCAAGGCGAACCCCTTATCTTGGAAAAAGTGCGATCGTTCCTTCCTCATTCGGAGCTTCTGGGTTGCTGGCCATGGTGAAAACATAGGGCGGGAAATATATCAACGGTGAATTTACAACCGCCGTGGCTTTTGCTTGAGGGTTGTCAATTGGATTGAGTACCACACTGCATGGACTACGTGGACTACGGGAGGTATACTGACATATTCAGATCGACGTGTCTGTGCAACTGATAGCCTCGCCAAGTTCAGGCCGAAATGGATCTGTCTCCTTGCGGTGAGTTTGAGGGTCCTTGTCGTTCGTGCATATCGATGAAATGAAGTCGAACGAGTCGAATCCCTTTCCCGCCGTGGGTTGTTGTTCGCCACAAAGGAAAATATAAAATGTCGCAGGCAGACATGACAATCACACTAGCAAGTTGCAGTAATTCTTGATGAGAACGGCGACTTTTCTCTGCTTCATCTATCTATCGCTACCCAACACAATGCCCTTACGATTGTTGTGTCTCCATGGCTGGGGGACGAATCAGAAGGTAAGCTACGAACACTGCTGATAGGGGGGTGACGGTATCCTAATTTGCCAACATATTTTACAGTCGCAACTGAGTATGCAATCTCCTGTTTCAGTGACGAAACACAAAACTCTAATCAAACAGGTGGGCTCATGCATGAGCTCCAACGCGACAACACCGCGACGTTCTCATTCCTCGAAGGTGATGTCGATTCAGCTCCCGGACCTGGAATCGCCGGCTATTATGATGGTCCGTACTACAGCTACTACCGTTTCCCACGCACCTTTTCCCACGAGGATAGCGATGAGTCCGACATCCTGGAGGCGTACGAGCAGCTGAGTGAAACAGTTGCCTTGGAAGGTCCGTTCGACGGGGTTCTAGGCTTCTCCCATGGCGGCACATTGGCTGCTGGATTCATGATCCACCATGCCAAGATGAATCCAAATGAGCCTGCGCTATTTCGATGCGCAATCTTCATCAATTCCCTCCCACCCTTTCGCATGGAACCTGGAAAGCGACCTGTTGTAGAGGAAGGATTAGAGGGGTTCATCTCCATACCCTGCGTGCATATTGCTGGGGCCAAAGACCCACTCTTCGAATACTCAATGGCTCTGTATCGACTCTGTGCTGCGAGGCATTCGACATTTGCCGTACATGGGAAGGGCCACGATGTCCCCAGTGATCGGAAGAATGTCGCCATAATCGCCACTGCAATTCGAAAACTGTCCAGTCAAATTCTGTGACACCGGATACCAAAAGAAGGGTCTTCACTTCGGCTGTGCGGCGGAGGGGCAAGGGTCTGTTTGTAGAGGAGAGTAGTATGTTTGCGGTTGTGGAACATAACTTGCAGGATGTTGTTGTAATGGTATATTGCGGATTCTTCGCGAAGGCGGAAAATGTGTTTCAGATCGAGATATTTATGGGCTTTGAGTTTTGTTTCTCCGTTGAGGGTTGCACCCGGATACTTACCTCGCTGCGAATGAGGTGAAACCTTCCCACATGTCCCCATGTAGACTATCACCAAAAGTGAATGGCGCCAAGGAATTGAGTAGACCGATCACTCTGATACAGGAAAGCCCATTGCCCTGGCTTGAGAAAAGGCAGTCCCCTTATATTTCCCTGGGATGACATATATGGTTATTGGCCGACGTCCAGTAAACCACAAGCAACAATGTGGCCACAAACTAGCGTCAAGCCTCTAAACGCGACCATTTCGGAAGATGATCTAGCAAAATCGACCGCGGAATCCTGTACACCGATAGCAATTGTGGGAATTGGCTTCCGGGGACCAGGGGATGCCAAAAATGTCGAGAAACTGTGGGAAATGATTCTCACAGGTAAAGAGGCATGGAGCGCAATACCAGCTAAGAGGTGGAACAGTGCAGCATTCCATCACCCAGATCATGCCCGCCATGGAACGGTAAGTAGTATATGCAACGAGTCGGAATAATCAATAATGTAGGAGTAGATTAACGTGAAAGGGGGCCACTTCCTGGAAGAGGATATATCTGTTTTTGACGCGCCGTTTTTTAACATGACAAGTGACGAGGCTGCGGTGAGTACAGAGTCAAATGTTGTCGAGCTCATCTAACTGTCAACCAATCAGGCCATGGATCCTCAGCAGAGATTGCTGTTGGAGGTAGCATATGAAGGTCTTGAGAATGGTAGGTTACTACTCAGAATCACGCTTTCAGGACTGATGGTGGATAGCTGGCATTCCTCTGGCCAAAATCATGGGCACAAAGACATCCTGCTTCGTAGGGTCTTTTTCTGCAGACTATACGGATCTCCTACTTCGGGATCCCGAGTGTGTGCCCATGTATCAGTGCACAAACTCCGGACAATCTCGTGCAATGACGGCAAACAGGTTGTCTTACTTCTTTGATTTGAAAGGGCCCAGTGTCACGGTAGACACGGCTTGTTCGGGAAGCCTTGTGGCACTTCATTTGGCATGCCAAAGTCTCCAGACAGGGGACTCGTCAACAGCGATTGCGGCGGGAGTTAATTTGATCTTGAGTCATGAATTTATGTCAACCATGAGCATGATGAAGTATGTGAAAGTTTACCCGCCACAGGAAAAAGAAGACTGATTTGTCCCAGGTTTCTTTCCTCAGATGGGAGATGTCATACCTTTGATAAAAAGGCTAATGGGTACGCGCGAGGCGAGGCAGCTGGCTGTCTCATTCTTAAACCACTAGCCAAGGCGTTACACGACCACGACAAGATCCGGGCCGTGATACGAGGCACAGGTTCCAACCAGGACGGGCGCACTGCAGGAATAACATTACCTAATGGGGCAGCCCAAGAAAGCTTGATACGAAGCGTCTATGCACGGGCTGATCTGGATCCATCGGAAACCGATTTTGTGGAGGCTCATGGGACAGGAACACTGGCTGGAGACCCAGTGGAGACAGGGGCAATTGCTCGTGTCTTTGGAACTGGTCGTCCGCCTGACAATCCTGTGCGAATTGGCTCCATTAAAACCAACGTCGGCCACTTGGAAGGCGCGAGCGGTGTGGCGGGTGTGATCAAGGCAGTGCTGATGTTGGAAAACCGCATGTTCTTGCCAAACAGGAATTTTGAAAGAGTTAACCCGCGTATCCCAGTCGATGATTGGAAACTAAAGGTTTGGATACCTAGGTACTCAGGCGAGTTGAAGATTGGAAACTAACGTGAGTAGGTTCAATTGCGCCCTGAACCATGGGAGACCACAGGACCTCGTCGCGTTTCTGTCAACAGCTTCGGATACGGTGGAAGCAATGCCCACGTTATTGTCGAAGATGCCCAAGGCTGCCTATCTGGTTGGGAACTCCACGAAGATGACAGAATCCTGTCCCCCACGACCGAAAATCATGAGAATACAGTTCCTAGTTCACCGCTTGGTTTATCTCGCATATTCATGGTCTCCGGTTTCGATGAAAGAACCTGCGCGCAACAGCTGCAGACTCTGAGCAATCATATTCTCAAAACGAGACTAAACCTTGATCCTGAGAAGTTTATAGACGATCTTGCGTTCACAATCAACGAGCGGCGCTCTGTCTTTCCGTGGAAGGCAGCCGTTGTCGGAGATACGGTGCCGAGTTTGGCAGCCACGCTCTCTCAGAACGTCAAATATAGGAGCGCCATTCAGAAGCCAAAGCTTGGGTTTGTATTTACTGGCCAAGGTGCGCAGTGGGTTGGGATGGGAAAGGAGCTGCTCCAAGCCTATCCTGTCTTCAAAACGTCAATTGTGGGCATCGACAGATTTCTGAATGACATCGGAGCTTCGTTTACAGTGCAAGGTACACAGACACTAGCCTTCTAAATGTTCCGTGCATGCACTGACAGACACGGTGAAAACAGAAGAGATCACAAAGTGCCCCCAGGACTCCGATTTGAACCATCCAAGTCTCAGCCAGACAGTGTGCACAGCCTTGCAGATCGCGCTGGTCGACTTGCTGGAATCGTGGAATATACAGCCAGACTCCGTAACAGGACATTCTAGTGGGGAAATTGCCGCTGCATATGCTACTGGTGCACTCAGCATGTATGATGCAATGTCAGTGGCATACTACAGAGGGGTTGTCGCAAGCCAGCTTCTGCATGACCAACCGAATAGAGGTGCCATGATGGCAGTTGGGATGTCTGCCGAAGAGGTACAGCCCTACCTGGACGGATTTCAGCCCAGACAGCTGGTGGTAGCATGTGTCAACAGTCCATCGAGTGTGACAATATCAGGTGATATAGTTGAGATTGATGCACTCGCCCAAACCTTGAAAGAACAACAGGTCTTTAGTCGACGCCTTGAAGTGGGCGTCGCTTATCACTCCCCTCATATAGAACAGGTTGCCGAGAAATATCACAGCTTGATAGACCATATCCAGCCCCGAGGACTGGATCAGACAGCGACAGACAAGAGAGAAAAACGGGCATCGTTCTTTTCCTCGGTCATTGGAACGATGGTTGCATTGAAAGAATTAGATGCTCAGTACTGGGTGTCAAATTTGGTCGGACAAGTGAAATTTGCCAAGTCGCTGAGGACTTTGTGTTTCGAGACAAATGGTCAGCGTGCTGGGCATACTGGGGCTTCCAGAATACGAAGGGCCGGTGCAGCCCAAAAGCCTTCTGTGGATTGTCTTATCGAGATTGGTCCTCATGCGGCACTTTCTGGGCCCATCAAGCAAGTTCTCAAGGCCGATGCGAAACTCAATGCTGCCGAAATAGCCTACATTAGCATTTTGACGCGGAAGACCAACGCAGTCACCACAGCACTCGGTGCAGTCGCCACACTAGCATCACTCAACTACCCCATTGACTTTGGTGCAATCAATAGACCTATGGGGGCCAAGAAAAGTAGCACACCGCAGCTACTGGTTGATCTTCCAACATATGCCTGGAATCACACCAGGTCATATTGGGCAGAGCCACGACTAAGCAAGATGTATCGGAACCGAAGCTCGCCGCGGATGGATTTACTTGGTGCACCAGACAACATGGCATGTCCATTCGAGCCTCGCTGGAGAAATTATCTTCGAACCTCGGAGCTCCCTTGGCTTCTTGATCACATCATTCAGGGGAATATTGTTTTCCCTGCCGCAGGGTATCTGGTCATGGCAATCGAAGCATCGATACAGTTGAACAAAGATGAAGAAAAGATTGCTAGATACGTCCTGCGAGATGTCGCAATACAATCAGCTCTGGTACTCAACGAAACTTCTGCCGTCGAGGTTATGGTATCTCTTCGAAAGTCGACACAAGACCAAGAACATTTGTACAATTTCCATATATACTCCGTCTCAGAGGAGAATAGGTGGATTGAGCATTGCACGGGTTTGGTCGGGACGCAGAAAAGCATTGGTGTTTCAGGCGACGGGGTCGAGGAAACTGATGGTTATGCGACGGTCCCGTTGGGGACCGAAGTCCATGGAGTCTCGGTTATTGACGTGGGTGATTTTTATGAAAAGCTTCGAAGTTCCGGTCTGGAATATGGACCATGCTTTGCGAATATGACAAAAGCGCGTGTCACCCAAGCCGGGGCGTGCTTTGCAGAAGTCACTGTACCAGATACACTATCCGTGATGCCTGGATCATTTCAGCATGAGCTTTTGGTCCATCCATGCATTCTGGATAGTATATTTCAAACAATTTTTGCTGCTTTACCTCCAGGTATGGGGATAGAGCAAGGACCTGCAATCCCAGTCTCAATTGAAGAGATGGTTGTATCATCCAGTCTCAGCTGTTCCGCAGGAGAGCTCATGAGCATATGTACTCATGTGCGCCCGATGCCAAACAAGGACGTCACCGCATGCATAGTCGCGATAAATTGCAACGAGAAGCAATTCGAAACCGAGCTGACTATTTCACTTCGCGGCCTACGATGTGCGCGGCTCGAGCGTCATGAACCGGCATCGCAGACAAAAGACAGCCGCATAATTTATCAGATTGACTGGAAACCCGATCCGAGCTTTCTTTTCAGCAGTAATGTATCGTTTTTATTTGACAAGAAGGGTGCTGTTCAAGAGCCCACCCCCAAAAAAGAGTACGAAGAGAGTGCAGCCGGCTTCATCAGAGCTGCGTTGGAGGAAGTCAGCACAACAGAGGCAATGGGACTTGACGCTTCTCACCGCCGATTTCGGTGTTATCTCCAAGATGTGCTCGAAAGACATGATGATAAACCCTCAATATCATTATCCCACTTGGAAAATATCGATTCTATCCCGATGGGAAGGCTCCTGCCGGTCATTGGCCAGAACCTTGTGGCTATTATTCGAAATCAAGTTGACTTTTCCACCGTCATCAAAGACAATCGTCTATTGGATGAGTTCTGGGATATATTCTCAGAGGACGCCTCGTACCAAGCAGCTGCAAAATACGTCAATTTGATTGGCCATGGGAAACCAGATATATCCATCCTTGAATTTGGCGTTGGTATAGGCCAGATTGCGGAGATATTTCTGAACCATCTTGTGACGCTTAACGAGACAGCTTATTGCGGGAAATATACATTTGCCCACGAAAGCGCTTCTGTGCTTGAGCATACCTCGAAGCGGCTGGAGACGTGGTCAGAATGGGTTGAGTGCAAGCCCCTGGATCTTGGCAAGGATTTCCCCAAACAAGGACTTGAAAAAAGTTCCTTTGACATTATAATCCTGCCTCATGGATTGTGTACTGCACGCTGTGAACAAGATGCACTTACCAAAATCCATGATCTTTTGAGGCCGTCTGGCTATTTGATTGCAATTAATCCCTTTGACCCAAAGAAGAATGTGCTGAAAAATCTCATGTTCGGTGCCTTGCACTGCTTGTCCGCAGACGAATTTTGTTTGGGCCAGGGTAGTTGGACAGCAAGTCAATGGGACGAGGTCCTGCAAGATGCGCATTTCACCTCGGTTGATGCATATGGGAAGCAAGGCTCCGAGAAGAGCCATCAATTTATCGTGGCCAGAAAACGAAAAAACTCCAAGTCGGCCAGAAAGGTTTCTATCATTTGCGAGAACAAAACCGAAGTTGTCAGGCATCTAGTCACTAAGCTCGAGAAGACCTCATGTGAGGTGAATGTGACGCACATCGATAATGTGGGTTGCAAGGATCAGATTTGTTTGGTCTTGGATACTTCAAAGTCCCCCTTGTTGGCCGCTCCCAATGAAATCACATTCAGCAAGATAAAAGCAATGTTTACGCAGAGTGAAGGAGTCCTCTGGATTACAAGGGGAGGGACAATTGAGCCCGTCAACCCAAACGCGGCCTTGGCTGTTGGATTTGCAAGAACAGCGCGTGCCGAATCGGGAGTCAATTCGATTGTCACCCTTGACCTGGATGCTCAAAATTCTCTCTCAGAAGCTGAAGCTGCCGAGATGATCGCAAAAGTTCTGGTTAACCGATTTCTCCGTGAAAATCCAGATGAAGACACGGAATATGCGGAGAGAAATGGGCAAATACTGGTCCCACGAGTACTAGAGAATTCGAAGGCAAATACCGCCATGAACAGCATTAATGATATTGAGGCTGTATCCGAGCAGCCTTTCCATCAGCTTCAGCAACCTCTCCGTCTGTCCAGGAAATTTGATATCCCCGGTTTTGTTAGTGATTCGCAGATGACTGAACTCCCAGTTGGTTATATCGGAATCAAAGTACACTACTTTGGCTTGAATAAATGGGATATTCAGTCAGAGCTCCTTAATTGGGAAAAAGACGACACCCTCGGTCTGGAGTGCAGCGGCATAGTATACAAGGTCGGCACCGGGGTCCATGGCATCACTGTAGGCGACCGGGTTGCGTGTCTTGGAGCCGGGACAGCGAGAAGCTTCTATCACGATCGGGCATCGGCTTTCCAGAGGGTCAACGATGAAATGTCATTACAGCTGGCTTCAGCTTTGCCTCTAGCATATACTATTGCTTATTATGTTGTGAATCACCTGTCAATGATTGAGTTGAATGATGTCGTTCTCGTCCATGACACCGGAAGTCATTTCGGCCAAGCACTTTTGGAATTGTACTTGCTGAGGGAAGCCCGGATTTTTGCGACAGTGCAGAGCCCCGACGAAAAGGACTTGCTGAGCTCGAGGTTCGGCATACCCGGGGAGCATGTCTTCATAAGCGGGAAGGATGATGTAGCCAAGGGTATGTTGCGGTTGACTGATGGAAAGAAGGCAAACGTAGTAGTGGCATTCGAGACTTCAGAGGACAAAATTCTCCAGAACTGCACTGCGCCATTTGGTCGGTTTATTCAACTTCGAACAAACAACGTCAAGAATCGACTGTTATCATGTCCCCAGAACATGACCCTGTCTACAGTCAACATATTTGAGCTCCAGAAGGAGAGGACGGACCTTGCCAACCAGATATGGCCGAAGGTCTTTCGCTTGTTCCACGATGGACTACTCAAAGGGCCTGGCTTTACCGATGTATATCATGTTTCACATATTCAAGAGGCAATGATGGCAATTCAAAGCCGGCAACATGTTGTAGTTCATGTGAAAGAGAGTGATCTGGTGAAGGTACAGCTTCTCCCATTTTCAAGAGGACACTTGCCTCCAGCTAACGAGATACAGGCCACGCTATCAAAGGCTACGCAGCCATTGTTCTGCGAAAAAGCCTCCTACATGCTGGTCGGTGGGCTTGGTGGGATTGGGAGGGAGGTTGCCTTGTGGATGGTGCAAAACGGAGCGAAGAGCCTAATTTTCGTCAATAGAAGCGGCCTTTCAAAGTATCAGTCTCAGGCGACAGTGAGAAACCTGGTGGAACAAGGTATCCAGGTAACCGCCCGAGCTTGTGACATATCCGACGAGACCGAAGTCCAGCGAATGCTTCATGATCTCTCTTACTGCGCGCCTCCAATACGGGGGCTAATCCAGGCAGCCATGGTTCTCAAAGACGTTCATATTGAAAACATGGAGTTGGACGAGTATCGGGATGTTATGGGCCCTAAGTATTATGGCACCTGGAACTTGCATCGACACCTCCCCACGGACCTTGACTTCTTCCTGATGTTATCATCCATCAGCGGCGTTATTGGGAATGCCACCCAGGCTGCCTATGCCGCCGGATGCACTTTCATGGATGCATTCGCCGCTTATCGAAGAAGTCTAGGTCTTCCGGCAGTGTCTTTAGATCTCGGAACGATCACAGATGTGGGTCATTTAGCTGAAAACAAGGACCTAGCGACAAAGATGGAACGACAAGGATTCCAGGGCACTGATACACCAACTCTTTTATCCTTGATACAAGTTGCAATAGCCCAGTCGACGAGCGGAGGAGCACAACTTGTGACTGGTCTAGGCCAATGGAAAGAAACGGAATCACTTGGGAACTTTGACGCTCCTTTGTTCGCCCATTTCCGTTACAAGTTCCAGGGTCATGGCAAACCTACTGGGCTCAGCGACTCGATGGAAGGATTGAAGGTTGAACTTGGTGCTGCAAAAACGGTGGATCAAGCCACCGTTATAATCTGCGATGCTCTCAGCAGAAAGATAGCCTCCCACCTGTCTATCCCAGTTGAAAATATCAACCCTTCTAATCCGGTCTCCGAGTATGGAGTTGACTCCCATGTGGCTGTGGAGCTACGCAACTGGGTATCAAGATCCATGGATTGCACTGTTCCCATTCTGGAAATTCTAGCAAGGTCTATGTCGGAGTTGTCTCATAAAATTGCCAGCCAAAGATTCGAGGGCAATTCGGAGTGAGTTACTGATTTAATTTGACGATGGGAAAGTGTGGAGAATACTCCGGAAATATCCAACCTGATACATACCTTCTGTTCAGCTTAACATCGATGGATACATATATATTAGCATCGATTAATTTCCGTGTGACCCACATATCAGGAATAAAGAGACAAGTCAAAGTAAGAATTGACTTTGTAAGGAGGGCCTTTTGGACTTGTAAGATAGAAGATGGAATGGATTAAAGTCAAAAAAGGCATGTGGCTAAGAGTCTACTTGACATTTAAGAGATTATTCCTGCCATAGGAACCCGGAGACTCTGTTCAAATCCCTCGTTACATGAATTGGTGGAGCCCTTGATCCCATCCAAGAGCTTCTTGTATCTGACTAGTTAGTCTTGTAGTTCATATAACATAATGGGAAATACCTTTCTCTCAAATCTACCGAATGAAAATGGTACAATATGTACCACTTGTAGGTCTACGGGAACCTCTTGTTGGGGGTCCCTTTGCTTCCCATCTGTTTTTACGTCGATGTTCACTCCACCGTAGGTGAAAATTGCCGGCGGTAATTGTCAAATCCAGCCCCGTCGGTTTAAGCGCATGGTTAATGGCTTTATCGAAACCTCAAGCCACTAGATGATGGTCATGACCTAGCATTTTGACGATCAGAGTGCTCGTTGCTGGGTTGAACGTAGAAAGGATACCCCGAATTGGTCTTGTGGGATTAAAGAAGTCTGGTTGGAAGGTGTGAGCGTCGATAGAAATGATGATAAATTCGGTGAGCTGCGTCGAAATGCGATAACGTTTATATCGCCATTTTCCCAGATGGTTTACACCTCTCTCTCTCTGTCGTCAAGTCCAAAAATGAAGCTTTTCATCCCATACAAATTCATATATCGCCATTTTTACGGTAACTGGAGCTTAATTTAGCAATGAACACAGACTTCAATAAATAGCAAGCAACATCTAACATGGTACACCTTCCATGAGCCTGCAGCGATTCTTGGTTCGTATTCTTCTGCTAAGCCAGCTAGGAAGGAACAAGGTGGCTGATAATACTTCGCACTAGATTCTACTGCGGTTATTACCTTATTTACCATGTCCAGCCGTTGACATCTTTGATCCAATCCGTGGTGTCGGGCGGCGTTCCTTCCAGTACAATCGGCTATTGGGGTGTTGGATAAGTCCATATTGGAAGTAGTTATGATCACCCCACTTTTGCGGTTCCTCAAACGGACATGCAAGTTTGAATCCGGAGATGTGCCTAGAGATAGTTAGATTATCATGGTCCACATTGAGGAACTCGCGTAGACATACATTTGACCACTAGACTTGTCATAGATGATTTTAGATGCACCAGCCATACATGGCATGTACCCAAACTGCAAAAACCTTCTACTCTACGTTAGCCTAATATGTCGTTATGATGTCACTAGGTAATCATACGTGTAGACCTGGCGAAACTTATCGCGGATAGCCTGGCGATCGCTAAAGGAGAGCCTCCAGAACTTGTCCTTGTCGAGAGACTCGCCAGGGACTTTCTCCCATAGAATATATGTCACGTACCCCCCAGGAACACCATCGTCATTGTCTTGCCGGCGCTGCTGATAGCCAAGCAGTTTAGGAACAACGTCGCAGTCTAGCCTTGTGAAAACCTGGAAAGCGATCAGTTCGGGGTGGTCCGGGGGGGGGGGATTTCAACGGCCTGGCTAGCCCGTATCGCTGTCTTCTTCGTTTCAGTTCCAGCGATAGGAACCTGTTGATAAATGCGCAAAAAAGCGCGTCTGTTTTCATTTTCAGCACTGGCAGGGCGGCAAAGGAACTTCCCGGCGGTGTCTGAGGGGCCGAGGTCATTGGCTATGCCTTCTTTGGTCAGGCGATTCGAACATTCGTCGAGTTTCTCAAGTATTATCCATGTTTGGGCGGGGAAGTTGAACGGTGGCTCCGTAACGGCATCAAATGTAACCTGTGTTCCTTCAAGATCGGTGAGGTATTCCATTGATGATTCCATGGCAATTTGATGGGTAGGGGAAGGGAGCAAAGAGTCGAGCAATGTCAATGTGGGTATGTAGATAGAAGAGTAAATCAAGGCTCCCACGCCCACGCTAAGCCATATACAGCTAGCCTAACTCTAGCTCCCAGCTCCACAACCTTGAAAGTCTCCGGCCTTGAAATAGTCTCCGAGACACCTGGGAGTAATCTTGGAAGAACACTCTTGCTTCCTTCGTTCTCTTGTATTAACATGAACACGATCGTTGTCGCGCTATCTACTACACATCAACCAGATTGAACGAGACAGCGGTCGAGCCTCTAACATATGCTCCTTGGAGTGCTCTCTCACCCGTTGTGTCGCACTGCAGATTCATATAACTAATGTGACTACCATGTTGGGTACTCGAAAGCCCTTGCGCCTAAGGTCTGCCTGCACGGAGTGCTACGCCGCTAAGGTAGGTCTACCAGCAAGCGATGTATATTCATACAAAACCAACCTAACTGTGATGAACGTCTCCAGGTCCGCTGCAGCGGTGAGAATTATGGCTGTGAGCGCTGTCGCCGGAACGGCCTCTCCTGCGAATACCAGGTGTCGATGGTAGGCCGGGCGCCGAAAAAACGACGGACGCAAGCGAGTGACCAGATTCCCTGTCCGCAAGAATCGCGAGTTCCGCCCACCGCGACTTTACGACAATCAGGTCCGGAAAGCGGGCCTTCCCAGCAACCGCTGGTCAGCGTGTCCATGCTAGGGGATTCTCCTCCAGCAGCTAATAATACAATGGGTGATGGTCCCGTCTTCACGAACGGGGAGTTTACCGCGCCCTCTGCCGAGACGGAGATCAACGGTTATCTGCAGAACCTGTTAAGCGATTACCAGGATCTACCGCTAGCTTCGCCCGGTGCGACCGATTCTTTTTGGCTGGCAACAGAGAACTTGTTGCCCGATTCGCGTCCAGACATACATGGGATGTTCAGTTCCGAGGGCATATCCGTGGCGCTGGGCATGTCCGATAAGCCCACGCGAGGGTTCCCCGTCCAAGACCAGAACGCGGAATCGGTGCGGTCCCGATTAGTAGAACGGATCGACGAGAGAGTCCCCCCGATCTATCGCGATCGGTCGGTAGTGTCGAATTACCCGCATGTCGCCGCTCTGATGAAGATCATCGGGTGCTTGGAAGAGCAGCTCCAGATCCCCCAGGTCCCGATCGATCAAGCGATGCGGCTGAACCGGCAGGCCATAGCCACAATACGAGAGGTGAGCAACACCGAAGAATTTCGACGCTGCCAGAGTTGTCCGCTCTTGGTGGCCACCACCATGGATCTGGTCGTGGGGCTTTATGAACTCGTGATCCTCCCCACCAAATGCCATACGGGCGAAGGCGACGTCATGCCCTCGACCGATCAGAATAATCTGCCCTGGCAACAAAGTCCCTTTGAGCAGCCGGCTAGGCCGGGTGAGATACCGAGTGATGGGTCGAGTCCCGAATCCGGCATCAGCGGCGGTTCAGAGCCTCCGCTTTTCCAGTTTGGATGTCTTGAGTTCGATACGGATGAACAAGAGATCTTCCGAGCGGCGATGGTGCGGCGTGATTTGCGTCGGTACATCGAAACAATCCAGTACTGTAGTCAAGAGATTCCGCAACGACAGAGACAGGCCGCGAATAGGCGCGGTGGGCCTTTCAGTGGAGCGTCTCAACCAAGAAGATCATCGAATAATGCACACACCCAGTGGTACCAAGAAATGGGATACCGGGCTAAGGAGCTTGTGGCCGCTCTTCCCGCACAATGCAGCCATCGATGAAGAATAACTCGATTCTCTCGATGCCCAGAGAAGAAGTAGTAATACTTCCTTAGTACATTCTCTCGGATATATGTATAATCGTTGTAAAATATTTCGGATCCAAACATGATAACACAAGAAAACCAAAAAGAACGTTATTTACGAGTCCCGCTACAGGTACGCCCTATGTTCACTCTCACTTTTCCACATTCTATCTGTCGGCTGCCAGTCGAAGGGAGTACAGTAGACCTGGTACTTCACTCCTGCTGGGCAGCATCCTTCTTGTTCTTCTGACACACTGTCCCAAGCGTCATTCTTCCTTATGCTTGAGTACTGCTGCCTAGGAAATGAGATCATAATCCAATACTCTTATATTGGGGAGTATGAACAACTATAAAAGAGGGAGAAGGGTTCATTGTAACTAGCATATGTCACAGTTTAGTTGCACGAGCCCAGAATAGTTGCATCTGTCCACTGCGAGCGCCAGGAACGGGCGATAGTCGATCCGCCATCACAAACTGCGACTCTCCACAGCCCGCTTGTTCAAAGAGGGAGAATATCTGGCTTTGTGAAAAGCTGTCGTGGGAGATGGTATGCGCTGAAGGGTGTTTCGAATCCATGATCTCATGCCTGTGGTGATGGTGGCTATGGTGCTGATTCTCCGCCAAGGATGGAGTTGTCTGCACTCCAGCTTGCTGTTCAGTCTCGTCCGACGAATTGCGCGTCGCCCAGTCGATAATTAGAAGCACGCCGCCCGGTCGCAGTCTTTCGGCGAGACGTTTGGTGGCCAAAGCGATGTCTTCCACATGGTGCAATGCCATACAAATAGCCACCAGGTCGAAGTCATTCAGCTCGTCCTCACTGAGGGGAGGTCTAGTCGGTGTGACTATGGGAGCCAGGAGGTTACCCTGAACGGCCAACATTTGCGAATTGTCGAGGCCCAGTTCCGTTGCGGTTGTGCGATATTTGTCTAGCATGCCATCTGACAGGTCGACGCCAATGCATTTGGAGAACATATGATGCAGGGACTGCAAAAGGGCAACAGAGTCAGTACTGCGCGGTGTGGGTGTCATACTGCGTAATATTTAACCATGGCCAATAACTCACGCGAGAAACAATGCCATTTCCGCAGGCATAATCCATCAATTTTGTCTGTCGGTTATTGTCGCCGGTAAGAGGCTTAACGCCTATCCAGTCCACGTTGCCCGACAGGAATTCGAGAATCTGATTCTGTAGATCCTGAACCCATTTGTCTTTGAACACAACCTGGGAGGCATGGCTATGTAGACACAGTCAGCAGTCAGCATCTCTCCCAAGGTCTTCTCCGTGCATCTCTCATGGGGATCTCTCCATCGCTGAAGACTCACTTCCAATATTCTTGGTTCTTGTTGGCGAGCGTCTCTCCCATTGTGCTAGGTAGGTCAAAGATCTCTCTTATAAGTGTGGTTCGATATCGAAGAAGGAAAGCGAATATAGCCACCAGTGCAGCTGAGCAATATCGCCAGGTGAGCATTGGTGAAGAGGTAATGTGGCACTACAACGACGTATTTATATAACACGACTTACATGTGACCAGCTGGGCAGCTTACGTAGTTATGGATCGTCTAGACCTTTCGGAGTTGGAAAACCACCGTTTACCACAAAGGAGGCCAGATGGTGATCCACCCGGAATGCCGGGAGTGGGGCAGGAGACGTTGATCGTAGACACTGATTGGTTTATCCCAACGGACCGAAGCAACGGGCCGATAACCAGCGGGACGCAGCCCTCGGAAAATACCTGGGCACCTGTTGTATCTCATGACTTCCAAGGCTATTATTCAGCGTTCCTCCAGGCCCCGGGGGCTCCCAAGGTTCCCGACGATGCTTTGTTGTTTGACCATGTTCGGAGGCAGTCAGTGCAGAATGTCCCAACCCGGCTGTAGCTAACATCGTGGACCTACCTATTTAGATAGGTAATGATCATGTAGTCTTGCTACGAATTACTCATTTTGGTCTGTTTGTTTCCAGTTTGTCTCCGACAAGAAGGGCCGTCTTTAAATATATAAAGGTACATACACGGTACACCACTGGAGGCCTCATCATACATTATATTCCAATTTTTCAATCACCATCTCAAATCAACCATGACCATATTCGACGTCCTTATTATCGGCGGAGGCCCGGCCGGGCTGTCGGTTGCTACCGGCCTCGCGCGTCAGCTGTATCGAGCTATCGTATTTGATTCTGGGGTCTACCGAAACTCCCTCGCGAGCCACATGCACAACGTCGCCTCGTGGGATCATACGCCGCCCGAAAATTTTCGCCAGGCCGCTAGAGAGCGTATCCTATCGCGGTACGACACAATCCAATTTGAGAATGTCGAGATTAAGAAGGTCGAGCGGAATACCGAAGGGATATTTCATGCCATTGACTCGCGAAAGCGGGTTTGGACGGGGAAGAAGTTGGTCTTCGCCAATGGAGTTAGCGATATTTTCCCAGATATTACGGGATATGGAGAGTGCTGGGCACGGGGAATGTAAGCATTACTCGGTTTCCTTTTCCTTCGCTATTTCCATGGTTAATATAACGCGGCGCATGACCAGTTTTCACTGTCTCTTCTACCACGGGTTTGAAGAACGAGGCTGCGAATCCGCCGGAGTTCTCGCCATTGCAGATATGGCCAACACCATGTCGGCGATGCACGTTGCATCCATGGCCCGGCGGTTCGCCACGACCGTCACCATCTATACACACGGCGCGCAAGAGCTCACCAAGGCGATCGAAAAAGCCAGCCATGGTACGGGTTTCAAGGTAGACAGTAGGCCTATCATGCGGCTGGTCGAGGGCCCGGGCCCATCGGATGTGGAAGTAGGATTTGGGGATGGCACCCAGAGAATAGATGGATTCCTAGTGAGCATCCCCCCATCCCCAACTGCAACTAAGCGTGGCACCCGCTGATCACCGCAGGTCCACAGACCTAAGACGGAAATCAATGTCCCGTTCGCCGAGCAACTAGGACTGCACCTTACGTCTGATGGCGACATCAAGACCACAGAGCCGTTCTACGGCACCTCTGTCCCGGGAGTATTTGCGGCGGGTGACTGTGCCATGCCCCTCAAGGCGGTAGTAACGGCCATGTCGTCGGGGACATTAGTGGCGGGAGGGTTGGCCGGGCAGTTACAAGCGGAGCTGTACCTGGGAGCGCATAACTAACATAGGCTATTTGAGATTTGCTAGAGAGACGGTTCCTGATAGAAAGAAATATTATTTTGGAGCATGGAGGGTTCGCTAAGCTTGATTTTATTAGTATTTTCCCCTATAATTGTATCTACTCTACCCCGAAGTATGGTACCCTATTTAGTAGTCCGTTCAGTTACATTTTAAACACATTATGGCTGAGGTCCCGTCATAAAACATATTCACTTCATGGATATCTTCATTTGAGGCGTCTTTCAAGTTTGACATAAATTGAATATTCAACCAGGTCGGACCATCACGAGGCTCTCCTCGTGCTATGTCTGGATGGAAACTAAGGGCTTGTGTTCGCTAGGTACGCCGAGGAGCTCACTGCCTTCGACTAGTTAGTCTCATAGTGCTTAAAGTATAAATATCGATATGCCTCGCTCTCAAATATGCCGAACTAAAATGGTACGACATGTACCACTTCCAGCTTCACAGGAATCTATGGTCCGGGAGCGTCACTTTCTTTCCACATCTTCAAAGTGAGGTATCGAGCCACACTAACAGGTGCACTTGTGTCTAACGGGAATTGGATGAATAGGGGGATCCAATGTGGGTGACGAGCCAGCCTCCGAGGTCTCAGCAGCGGAGTGCTTGTGTTTGCATGTGCTCATATGTACATCCATACCTACATCTATGTAACTAGATACTATAGGTACATAGTTAATACAATAGTCAGCCCATGCGGCCTCTGTCCTTGATGACGTAGTTCGGTTATCTAATACGTTTGGCTCAAGATGATATTAGGGACGCCAGATTCAAGATATCACTCCGATCCATGTCTTGCTAGATGTTCTTATCTGATTTCTTTTACATGTCCTTTTGGATTTTTTTCCCCCTCCGCGTTAGATATAGAAGGATATATCAAGCCAAACATGATCGCCACGTTGATATGCGGAATCTCGATAGGTATTCCTCGACAGATGTAAGAGTTCGATGCACGGGACGGTTTTACTTTTAGGAAAGTAATATTTTTAGATATAAGACAGTTGGGACACTAATGGAAATTCTTTATTCATTTATTCCTCTGTAAATAGATCGCATATTCGGCGTAACTTGGGTGCCGAAACTTCAATCAGAAGCAAATAGCGGATTTATAAAATCGTTAATTCCGGCCAAGTCTCTCATCATCGTATATATTAGTTACCATCAATGCGAGAGGCGGTCAAAACAGATCTGACATCCCTGTAGCACATCCAGGGAAAATGGGCTTAGATAAGCTCAAAGGCCAAATACGAGGTTTCACTGAGCTTCCCGAGGTGGACACTGTCCACCTCGGAGGACTATTTAGCCTAAGGGCTACTAGGCTACCTAGGTAGATCACCAGGGCTCAACCTGGTTCACTTTGCTATTTCGACTGTCTGTTCTGTTAGCAAGTATATGATGAATCGAAAGTCAGAGATCAAAAAGTCGTAGGTGCATGCATTTTAGGCTATCAGATCTGGTTATGATAGACCAATCATATTAATCACCTTCAGGTTTTTTCAGATTCACAACGGGCTTTTGAGGAAGATGGGATATCCCCGGGGGCCAGGCTATCCATAGAGTCATCCATGGATATTCTTACGACAAGCAGCTATTCTGATCCAATGAACCATCCTTTTCGGACTTCGGCCTTTATCCACATTTAATTCCATTGTAATTCTTTTGCTACACGCCGTGGAGACCACATGGAGACCGCGTGGTGCCAAGACTCCAATCGGAGCTATGTTTAAGCGAATAAGCCGATGAGTCAGCGGCTCGGATTCTGAATGGTGCCTCCGGGCTCCGAACCATTCTTTAGGCTATCAATTTATGACTCTTACTAGGGGTTCTAGAGCGAAATATTTGTTATCAATTGGGGCTCCGCACGGAAATTTCAATGCTGCCAATAACATCCCAATGTTTGCTTCGGCCTCGGATTTTCGGGGCCGCTGTCGTGGACCCCTGAGACTTTCATAAAATGATGGAGTCCCCCCAAGTATGTGTATGGTCTACTAATCGGCCTCTTTCAACGCCTCTCACCCCCTCTCATCCCCGCCATCATGGATGGGTCAGAAAAAGCGCCGGGCGCAAGCTCGGATGACATCCAGTTCGATACCGAAAGTGCCATGACGATCACCGGCGACGAAACTCCCGGCAAGGAGAGCCCCAACCTCAAAGGAAATGACTGGAGCATGATGACCAAGCTCCAGGAGGAGAACGATCGCAACTTGGCTGCTGGATTCAGAAAACAGGAACTTGGCATCACCTGGCAGGATCTGTCCGTGCAAGTAATAAGTTCAGAGGCCGCCGTGAATGAGACTGTCCTCTCCCAGTTCAATATTCCCACCAAAATCAGAGAGGGACGACGAAAGCCTCCTCTGCGAACGATCCTCAACAAGAGCCATGGCTGCGTGAAGCCCGGTGAAATGTTGCTAGTGCTGGGCCGCCCTGGCTCTGGCTGCACGACATTGTTGAAAATGCTTGCTAATAGACGAGGAGGATACAAATCAGTGGAGGGCGATGTTCGCTTTGGATCAATGCAGCCCAAGGAGGCTGAAATGTTCCGAGGCCAGATTGTGATGAACACCGAAGAAGAGATATTTTTCCCAGCCCTAACAGTTGGTCAAACTATGGACTTTGCCACGCGCCTCAAGGTGCCCTTTCATCTGCCAGACGGCATGACTGCCTTGGAATACCAACAAGCATCGAAAAAGTTCCTCCTCGAAGCCGTCGGAATTTCTCACACCGAGGACACCAAGGTCGGTAATGAATACGTTCGTGGAGTCAGCGGTGGTGAACGCAAGCGAGTTTCTATCATCGAATGTATGGCCACTCGAGGCTCCGTCTTCTGCTGGGATCAATCGACTCGTGGTCTTGACGCTTCTACTGCCCTTGAATGGACGAAGGCTATCCGAGCCATGACCGACACACTCAATCTGTCAACCGTGGTTACCCTCTACCAAGCTGGTAATGGCATTTACGATTTGTTCGACAAAGTTCTCGTGCTTGATGAAGGAGAGCAGATCTTCTATGGTACTAGAGAGCAAGCTAGGCCATTCATGGAGGAAGCCGGATTTATCTGCCGCGAAGGTTCCAACATCGCCGATTACCTTACTGGTGTCACCGTACCCACTGAGCGCAGAATTCGAGAAGGCTTCGAGAGCCGCTTCCCGCGCAACGCCGAGGCGTTGAGAGCGGAGTATGAGAAATCACCGATCTATACTCAAATGGTAGCAGATTACTCTTACCCGGACTCCGAGCTCGCCCGCGAGCGGACTGAGGAGTTCAAGAAAGGCGTGGCTTTTGAAACCTCCAAAACCTTGCCTAAGAACAGCCCTTTCACCGTTGGCTTCGCTGATCAGGTTAAGATCTGCGTGCAGCGCCAGTACCAAATCCTTTGGGGTGACAAAGCTACGTTCATAATCAAGCAGGTGGCAACACTATGCCAGGCCTTGATTGCTGGCTCGCTGTTCTATGATGCCCCTGATAACTCTGGTGGACTTTTCATCAAATCCGGTGCCCTTTTCTTCTCCCTTCTTTACAACAGCTTGCTTGCCATGAGTGAAGTGAACGAGTCCTTCTCTGGAAGACCCGTGTTGATCAAGCACAAGGGCTTCGCTTACTTCCACCCGGCCGCTTTCTGTCTTGCCCAAATTGCTGCGGATATACCTGTATTGCTTTTCCAAGTTTCCATGTTTGGTCTAGTTCTTTACTTCATGGTTGGACTCTCAATTTCTGCTGGAGCATTCTTCTCCTACTGGATTATCGTGTTCACAACCACAATGGTAAGTCCCTTTCAATTCGCTCACATGGTTGTCAACTAATCAATCCTATAGACTATGACTGCCCTCTTCCGAGCCGTAGGAGCTCTATTTTCTACCTTTGATGGAGCCTCCAAGGTCTCCGGTACGCTGATCATGTTCACCGTTCTGTACACCGGTTATATGATCCCAAAGCCTGCAATGCACCCGTGGCTCGGTTGGATCTTCTGGATCGATCCGCTTGCCTATGGGTTCGAGGCTTTGCTAAGTATCGAATTTCATGATAAGAGCGTCATTCCATGCGTCGGAACGAATCTAATTCCTACCGGCCCCGGATACGAGAATGTCCAGGCGCATCAAGCTTGCGCTGGTGTGGCTGGCGCGATCCAAGGCCAGAACTTCGTGGTTGGCGACAACTATCTAGCGTCGCTCTCGTACAGTCACTCGCATGTCTGGCGCAACTTCGGTATCAACTGGGCCTGGTGGGCTTTGTTCGTTTTTGTCACGATCGTTGCAACTTCGAGGTGGCAGTCACCCTCCGAGTCGGGAAGCACGCTGGTCATCCCTCGTGAATACTTGCACAGGCACGTCAAAAATCAGCAAAAGGATGAAGAAGGCCAAGGTTCTGAGAAGCGGGTTTCCCAAACCAAGGATGAGGCCCCAAACCTTGACAACCAGTTGGTCCGCAACACGTCCGTCTTCACATGGAAGGATCTTTCATACACGGTTCAGACCCCTACGGGTGACAGGGTTCTCCTCGACAACGTCCATGGCTGGGTGAAACCTGGTATGCTCGGTGCTTTGATGGGCTCCTCTGGCGCCGGCAAGACAACTCTGCTTGATGTTCTCGCTCAGCGCAAAACAGAAGGAACTATCAATGGTTCTATCATGGTTGATGGTCGTCCACTACCAGTCTCGTTCCAACGCTCAGCCGGCTATGTTGAGCAATTGGACATCCACGAACGTATGGCAACAGTCCGGGAATCATTGGAGTTCTCTGCCCTATTGCGCCAACCTGCTACCACTCCCCGCGAAGAGAAACTTGCTTACGTGGATGTCATCATCGACTTGCTCGAGCTCCATGATCTGGCTGATACCATGATCGGCAGTGTTGGAGCTGGATTGAGTGTCGAACAACGCAAGCGTGTTACTATCGGAGTCGAACTTGTTTCCAAGCCTAGCATTCTCATCTTCCTTGACGAACCTACTAGCGGTCTTGATGGCCAGAGCGCGTACAATACCGTCAGATTCCTTCGCAGACTTGCAGATGCTGGCCAGGCTGTCCTAGTCACCGTGCATCAACCATCTGCGCAGCTTTTCGCCGAGTTTGATCAGCTTCTTCTTTTAGCTAAAGGAGGCAAGACTGTGTTCTTCGGTCCTATTGGTGAAAATTCCCAGGGCATCAAGAGCTATTTCTCGCGCTACGGAGCTCCATGCCCGCCTGAGACTAACCCTGCTGAGCACATGATCGACGTGGTTTCGGGTCAACTGAGTCAGGGTAAGGATTGGAACAAGGTCTGGCTGGAGTCACCTGAACACGGTGCCATGCTCAAGGAGCTTGACGAGATCATTGAGACCGCTGCATCGAAGCCGCAAGCTACCAACGATGACGGTCGGGAGTTTGCTACTAGCCTCTGGGAGCAGACGAGTCTGGTTTTGAAACGTACCTCAACAGCCTTGTACCGAAACGGCGACTACATTAACAACAAGTTTGCCCTCCACATCTCTTCAGGCTTGTTCGTGGGATTCAGTTTCTGGATGATTGGTGACTCAGTCTCGGATCTTCAGAGTGTGTTATTCTTCATCTTCAATGCCATCTTTGTCGCTCCTGGTGTGATCAATCAACTCCAGCCGACCTTCCTTGAACGTCGCGATCTGTTCGAAGCACGCGAGAAGAAAGCCAAGATGTACTCCTGGAAAGCGTTCACTTTCGCCTTGATTGTCTCGGAGTTCCCATATCTGGTTGTGTGTGCCGCTCTCTTCTTCAACTGCTGGTATTGGACGGCCGGTATGGCAGTTGAATCGAGTAAGAGCGGTAGCATGTTCTTCGTGTTTTTCCTCTACGAGTTCCTCTACACTGGAATTGGTAAGCTGACCGTCCGTTTTCATATTTACTTCCACTAACAGACGAACCTAGGTCAATTTGTCGCTGCGTATGCACCGAACGCCCAGCTGGCTGCCATGATAAACCCTCTCGTACTGGGCGTAAGTTTCCTTTATTCTCACTTTTCCTGGTATCTCAGCTAACACCGCGCTTCTCAGACAATGATCTCTTTCTGTGGTGTCTTGGTCCCCTACGCCCAAATCGTCAGCTTCTGGCGATACTGGATTTACTGGCTCAACCCATTCAACTACCTTATGGGCAGCATGTTGGTCTTTGGACTGTTCGATCGCGAAGTCAATTGTAAGGAGCAAGAATTCGCCAAGTTCGATGCACCCAATGGAACCACTTGCGGTGAATACCTGAGCGATTTCATGCAGACCATGGGTACCCGTATGAACCTCATCAACCCCGAGGCTACCGAAGGATGCCGCGTGTGTCAATACACCCGTGGATCCGATTACCTTGTCACTATCAACCTGATGGACTACTACTACGGCTGGAGAGACACCGCTATTGTGGCTCTGTTTGTGATCAGCTCGTATTCGCTGGTGTTTGGTCTCATGAAATTGAGAACCAAGGCATCCAAGAAGGCCCAGTGATTGGGATTTGGACCTTCAGGGGATGTGAATTGTCGACTTTTTTCAAAAGTTAATCTCCACTAGACTTGCTTCTTTTTCTTCTCATGCCACGCCACCACCTAGAGGTGTGAGTATATGTTTCTTTTTTTTTTCTTTGCAGATAGTTATAGAAACTATAGACCTGTTCTCATTTGAAATTCAATATATATTAATTGATATTGTTCATCTTTCTTTTTAAATAGCTAAGGGAAAACCTTATGTGACATGCCGGCCGAGAAACTCATACCGAGATAGAGTCTAGGAGTTACCCCGGCCAGGCTCCAGCCACACGGAGAAAGTGCGAGCCGTCTGGAATTATTCTTATTATTCTTCAAAGAAAAGAACCATGGCAGAGGCTAGTGGACCAAGTGATCGGCATAGGGGAATGACCTCGGGAGATACTCTCCTCACCCATATTACATCACTATAAGTCTTTGTCTCAAACAACCGACGATATGTTTTCCTACGAAATTGGTCAAGACAGGATTTCCAGAGCCGAGATATCCCAAGGAACGAAGTTGACATTAATGCAGCTCAGCTGACCACGGACTCTCTCGGACTTTGTCCGAGCCGAAGTGAAGAGGCCAAAGTTGAAGTCGAGCCCAGTCTTGGCGAAATCGGTTGGGGGAAGGACTTCCCCAGGGTTATTCCTCTACCTAGGTATGTTAATGATCAGGCTAATTTTGACTCCACCGTGGGGGTCACCCACGCCAGTTTTCTTCCTATCATACATCGTCAACGCCGTCATACCACTGGATCGGCTTGTAGACCTTCCGCATTTGGACTTCCCCGCAAACTCTGATTGGACCCTCCCCCACGTTTCTCCAGAATCCCGGATTCACGGGGTAAATGCGATATTCAAAGCTGTAGCATGACATGGTCCATGCGGCTCTCCGCACATAAATGAGTGACGGTCCCGGGAACCTTGTCCCTACTCTATACTATTTTCATCCGATCAAGTGAACACCATGGTTGGAACCGAAAATGCCATCACCGAGGCGGAGTTGGGGATGAAGATGGACTTGAGCCATGAGGAGGTTATCCAAATGGCAGAGTTGACCGAGGAAGAGAAAGTTATCGAGAAGGCATTGCGCAAGCGCATTGATGCGCTGATTATGCCACTGGCCATTCTGGTCTACCTGATGAATTATATTGATCGGTACGTTGATATCATCCATAACAGTCGGTTAATACTAATGGAACCAGCAACAATTATGCCGCGGCGAAGCTCCAAGGTCTCGAAGAGGATCTCAACCTCGACGACACCAAATACCATACCGGTCTCTCTATTCTCTTCGTTGGATACATTCTCATGCAGGTGCCTTCCAACATGCTTCTGAACTACATGGGTCGACCATCCCTGTACATTGGGTTCTTTGTCTGCGCTTGGGGGCTGGTATCGGCACTGACAAGCCAAGTCACAAGCTACGGAGGCATTGTGGCCTGTCGATTCATTCTTGGTTTGGTCGAAGCGCCCTTCTTCTGCGCCATTCTTTTCTATCTGTCGAAATGGTATACAAAGAACGAATTAGCTTTCCGAATGAGTATTTTCTACTCCGGCTCCCTGCTGAGTGGCGCTTTCGGAAACCTCATCGCTGCGGGTATTCTCAACGGTCTCAAAGGCCACAGAGGACTTTCGGCATGGCAATGGCTTTACATTATTGAAGGTACCATCACCTGTGCCATCGGACTGGTTATCTGCTTCATTCTACCCGACTTCCCGGAGACATGGAAACTTTTGTCCCCGGAGATGCGCAAAGTTGCCCAGCGACGTCTTGCCATTGAGGCCGGCCAGGCCGATGTGGATGAAGGGGGTGGCAGAAGCCAGCTCGAGGGGTTCAAGCTCGCCATGACCGATATCAAAACCTATGTATTCGCATTGGCGTATATGTGCATCACCGGAGCGGCGGGTTTCCAAAACTTCTTCCCGACATTGGTGAAGACTCTCAACTTGTCCGAAACCATCACACTGGTGCTGGTGGCACCCCCATATCTGTTCATGGTTGTATATTCCCTTTGCCACTCCCTGGCTTCTGATAGATTCGAGAAGAGATTCTGGTTCTTCATCTACCCGATCCCGATCACCATCATTGGATTTGTCATCTTCATGAAAACGGACTCTTTTGGACCACGATACTTCTCGTTCTTCTTGATGGTCTTTGTCTTCGCCCAGAATGGAACTCTATACTCCTGGCTCGCGAGCTCCATTCCTCGTCCGCCTGCCAAGCGTGCTGTCGGTAAGTCATATTCCCCTAGTGTGTTCCATTGGCCATCAAGCTAATCAAAACAGCCTTTGCGTTTTTCAACTCTATTGGAAACAGCGCTTCAATTTGGACCCCCTATACGTATCTTGAAAAAGAGAAGCCCCATTACGAAACGGCCATGGGTGTTTGTATCGCGCTACAGATAATTGGTGGCCTTGCGGCCCTCTTCTTATACTTGAACTTGAACATGCTCAACAAACGCCAGGAGCGTATGGAGAATGAGGAAGTTCAGCTTACCGAGAAGGATATTCGTCGGCTGCAGGCTACAGCTGATATCGAGGGGATCGATATTGCCGCTGCTAGACGGCTGCAGAAGGGATTCCGCTATGTATTGTAGAAGAACTCTAGCAAGTTTCATATGATTTAATTTGATATATTAATTCGAGGTTTTTCACTTGTATATTGATGATTACGGTAGTACCAACCGTAGGACAGGAGTCCGAGTGGTACGACTGCCCTCTCATATGCTCCGGATTTCTAGAGGACCCAGACTGTCGAGACTTCATGATATTGCCCAATCATGAAAATGTTCCCGCATCAACCCATATAGTCACCTGACTTGCCTCTGAAGTCATTGATATTTAAATAGTGTGAACTGCATCACCTATTCTCCTAGTTATCTCTGAATTATTCTTAAACCAAAATATTTGAAGCAGACTCTAAGTACATTATCGTACGCAACGTGATCGACTCAAAAGGTCAAAACATCCCTTTCCGTAACCGATCGACATAACCCCACACGTACATCCCGTCCCAACATGCAATCAGCAACTTCGCGACCCATTCTCCGTATCACTACCAATCCAACTCTTCTCCGATCCCTATCTATCACCCCAAGAATCATGGGTGCAGGTGATATAGGTTCGACAAAGTCGGGCTTTATGGCCGAGTATTGTGGCACCCTGCAGAATGGATGACGTCATTATCTAACTATGGGCAGGAAGGACTCTTTTGCCAAACGCGAGGCTGCACACGAAGGCATGTACATTAGGCAAGTAGAAAAGGAGAAGTGAGTTGCACTGACTAAATTTGAAGATATCAACTTACCCGGTAATAGGCTTAAACGTCTCAAACAGAAGGTCAAGGAGCAGCGCAAGCATATGGATGAACTCGACAAGCACCTGTAGGGATATCCTGGATTTTGCCCCGTGAGACCAGCACTGACAGGTCACAGTGATGAGTATACCAAGGCTCAGGGGGGCGAACAGAACTAGCTTTGCGCCTTCGTTGCAAGCCTCTCCTGAACGTCCTCGATGATCATACGACCGAGTCTACCTGAGACATCGACATACGCAAATCCATTCATTCTAACATTTTATGAGATCATTCAGGAACCAAGGAGATACGATTGGCCAAGAAATAGAAGTGGCCGGTATGGAATTAATTGAAACCCCTTGGAAGGGCCAGGGATTCTTATGATTTTCAGCCTTTGAAATTACAATCAACTTGACTTTCAACTAATAACAGGGTGATAATGATTTTCAAATCGCTGTACACGATACTTTGCTAGCCTAGCGTTATTACGAATTGGAATGCAACACCGACTTTTCACCAGGAGTTTCCTCTCTCTCTCTCTTTTCATCAACTCTAAATCTTTGCCTGCCACCTCCACCGGTAGCTCAAACAGGCCCATCTGGCCATCACGAACAAACCAAGTGACACTATCAGAACACTTCCCAAATATGCCACCATGGCTCTCTTCCCGACTTTGTCGAGCATCTCACCACCAATGGGGATACAGATTAGTGTGCTAAGTACCCATTAGCGACAAACTAACAACTGGATTTTGATAACTTACGCAAAGCTGACAATAGAATATGTAAGGCCAAATCTTCCACCAACCTCGCTCGCCCTGGAGATCTGCCCGATGCAGGCTGGTGCAAGACTCAGGAATGATCCTGAAGCCAACCCGAAGATGACCGAGAAGATATAGAGCCCTGTCAGGGAGTTCCCGAACGGCAGCCAGATCACAAACACTGCGAATGCACCCAGAGCAATGAGTGCAGTCTGGGTGTTGATTCTGCCAAACCGATCAGCCACGCCTCCAGCCATCAGTCGTCCTACCGTGGAGGCTCTGTGCCAGACTAGTCAGCTCTTTGCCCGAGACACCATCAACATCCATTGCCACTCACACGTTCAGAACCGCGAGAAGAACCACGCTGGTATTGGTAGAAAACCCCTGCATGATCACATAGGTTGGATAGAGACCCAGACCAGCAAAAACCTCGAGCTCAAGTGCTATCCCAAGTCAGCATTTGTTTTCTACTATCCGGAACCTGGACCGAAATAAACCCACCAAAGATGCCAAATGTCAGCCAGGTAAACCTTGCATCTTGCAAAGAACGCAAGTTGATAGTTGATTTGCTTCTGCCCTTCGGAAGGCGTGCCTTCACCAGAACTGTTCCAAGCACAGACAACACCAGCACTAGCAATGCCAGCAATCGAATTGTCCACTTATATCCAAGATTGGTGAACCCAGCTCTGAGCACAAATGGAAATATCACACCACCAAGACCCGCGCCCGACATCGAAATCCCAATCGCAAGGGCCGCCTTTCGATCGAACCATTGAGGCACACTTGCCAACGCGACTGTGCTCAAGAGGGCGGCACCAGTTCCAGAAAGGACACCAAGTGTAAGAACAAAGTGCCAGTAAAGATAGCTTTCAGCGAGAAGAAGAAAGCCAGTCACATAGCATACGGTACCAGCTATAAGAATGCCTCTGGGGCCATATCGATCAAACATTGGCCCAACCTGGACCGAAATACTCAGACCAAAGAATGTGAACAGCCCTGGAATCCAGCCGACTGCACTGGGCGAGTACCTGGCCAGCTGATGAGAAGCGAAGTAATTTTGCAGAATTCCCGTTGTGTTCATCACGCCGAACGTACTCATCAAGAGAAAGAATGAACCCGCCACAACACACCACGCTTGCAGCCCTCCATCTGGGAATGTGTCGTCGGTGCTATGGCCGGTGAGATGCGTTGTGAGTGTGGATAGCTCGGCTGGGGCTTCGACAATGGAGAATGCCGACTGGGGAGCTTCTTCGTCGAAGTTTGCGTTGTCACTGGTGGGATAACTAGTTGGATATTCAGCCACGCTTGCCGAGGATGATTGCCATGGCTCTTGCACTGGCTCTTGCACGGATGCGTCGGTAGACTTTTGCATAATGTTATTCTCCTCGACTGAAGTGAGACTGGATAACTGCAAAAGAAGCAGCAGAAATGAATGGCAACGCGCCTATCTCAAACAATTTTATAGAATATCTAGGATCCCAGTTATGTGGAGGTGACTCATTACGATATGGGCTTGCATTAGTCTCCATATGATTTCATGGTGGGGTAGAAGAAAAAAGGTTGGAGTATACATCGGCATCACCTTCCGATCTTGAACATGGGGGGATCCCATGGTCGCCAACAAGAGGATATATATTTTGATTCATTCTTTGGAGATTTCGAGTCTCTTGCGTCTCTATTGGCTATTGATTTTCTTTAATTATAGGAGTCATACTTCTTCATTACGATATTCTCACCATCGGCTCCCTTTCCGATATCACATGGACGGCATTGACTGGACATTCATGAAGAAAGGTAAATTTCTGCTAGGAATACATAGGTAGAAATATAAGTCACTTTTGGAATATGCCCAGGTGTTCATATATGTTCGCATATCCTTCTTCTGTAATCCATATGTAGGCATGGATGCAATTAGTCTCTGCGGAGCCACTACCCGATATGTGTATTGGCATATGCATTTCTCCACGGGGTACTCGTATCATATCATAGTTTCCTTTGTCGATCGCAAACCTAGCAATTGGTCCTTATTTGATGAAAATAAGGGTTATGTTGCAGAGTGAGGTTGACGAAGATCAGTGGCATGACACTCGCGCCACCCAGCCCCCCAGTATCCCGCGCCAAAGATCCCGATTTCCTCCATTGTCACTTACTTTGAACTGAGTGGCATGATTTGGAAGTAGACCAGGTGACGTTGTAATGATTTCGTTTGTGAATCACAATTTTTGAATAGCTAGCATATATTTATTCTATTTCTCTTCACAAAGAGCCCGATCATCCAAGATCTACATAAATTTCAATTAAGATCTCCATCCTCCAAAATGTCCGCAACACAATGCACCAGGCTCTTCGCCAGAAACATTCCTCAAGTGAGGCGACAGCGCCCACTACAAAATCCTCGTGTCACTTTCGTTGGCACTCCAGTCCCAAGTCACAACCCTACCATTGACTCCGAAGTTCTACCATATCGACTCTACGAACTCTCACTAAAGAAGATCCGAAAAGAGGCCCACGCTGCTGAGCCCGATCTACGCCATGTTATTGCCGGGATCACAATGCAAAAAGTGGTTTCCAGTGCCGTGCATGATGATCTTCTACACCGAGTGGACATGATCGAAAGCGCAAAATTACCTCCAAGACTACCGATCTTACCAGGTGCCGATGAGCCTTGGGAACATGAGGAAGTCGCATCGAATCAAACATCAAATCCAAATGCGTGGGATATGGAATCTCTCGATCAAGCGCTTTATGAGATGGAACGCGCTAGCAAGAAAGGAAATGTTGCAAAAACTGTTTGTTTTCAGTTAATTAGTGAGATGTAAAAGTTGAGGATCGAATTCATACCCACGCTTGCTATTACCCGTTCAAACCTGTCTTTTGAGTGCCGGTAAACTCCTTCTTGGAATAGCGCTATAAATCTTCCTTTCGTCTCATTTGTATATCATCTCCCTCATATTTAGACATTATTTGTTATTTACACGTTAATTAGTCCTTTAGATGTTATTTGAATGTTACTCGGACGCTGGACGTTACTTAGACATAGTAGACATAGTAGACATTGGATGGACATTATTAGGACGCCTAGACTTTATTTAGACTTAGCTAGCCCTGGATATACGTTAATTAGTAGTTTAAACGTTAGTAGGACGCTACTTAGACGACACGCAGGCTATGTTAGACTTATTTAGACGCCTAGACGTTACTTACACGTTACTCGGACGTTATATCTTAAGCTAAGGCAGCACTTGAATGGCGGCCATAGATCGTTCGTGTGCCGCATAACACAATATTACCCTTTTCCCTGTTTATGCTCCTCGATTTGTGTGCAATACTCAACGGACAGGAATTTTGCCCCTATATCTACATATGTATCTACTCTCCTCACTTACAAGGCCTTTTCTTTTTTCCTTTTTTCTGAAGCCGCCCCCTCTTTGGTTGAACCACTTCTCTTTGCTCACACTTGACACCTGCAGTAAAACTCACTTGCCTGTGACTCAACGTCACCCTCTTTCCCATTGCAAACTCGAGGTTTCATTGCTTTAAAACATTACCGCAGCATCCAACCATGGCTGAAGAAACTAGGCGGTGTCGCACCTGCAATAAAGAGAGGCCGCAAGATGCGTTTCAGGCACCTGAAACTGCAGGGAAGGAGTTCTACAAACTGTGTGAGCCTTGCCGCACAAAGTTCCGAAATGTCAGTATATCAGATGCCCAGATGGGCAAAGCATTCCACTTACTTATCAGGTCCAGACTAAAAACACACAGAAATCGCGAGCTAAAAGGGCGAAAGGAGACAAGGGACGAGCTCGGCCATATTATCTCCCCGAGTCAGCACCCCAAACTGACATCCACACTAGCAACTCGGAGACGGGAACTTTCTCTGAAAGCACCAGTGCCGTGCCGAAAACCACCATGTCTATGCAACCGAATTGTTTACACGCGGATTCCAGCCACAGCAGCCGGGTCACAGTTGCACCGCCCGTTGTCGAAAGTTCTGCGCAAAGCACAACAACCACCACTGTCATCACCATTTCAACCACCGTCGTTTCTAAAAATGTGACGGAAACAACGACAAAACCAGAGCAAGATGCAAAGACTGCACAAGATGGTACCCAGCAGGTCAAAGATGAAGACAAAGAGACACTTTCGAGTGGACCCGAATCTGAGCAGCAAAGCGAAATCGAAGCAGGTATCAACCAGCGTCCTGAATTCTTTGGCTGTCTGCACTGCGAGAAACTTCGCCCATGGCCAATGGCGGGACTTCACATCTGTTTGTTGTGTATTCGGGACTGGAAGTGGTGCACGAAGGGGGAGCACAATCAAGCCAAGGCGAACTTCTTGTGGCATGGCAAGGAACACGATGAGTGTTATATGTGTTATTTTGCGGGCATCTAATGCTTTTTGCCCAGCATGGAGACTGCAGGATTTGTATCTCCACGTGAAGCACCTATACCTAGTGTGTATGGCAGCTCTCATTCCTGATTTCCTTTTTCTGATTATAGTATCCTGGTATTAATTTATACACGATTTTGGTAGATTGAGTGAGTGACTGGAGGTCAAATCCTGAGAGACTCGATAAAGACAAATTGATGGGAGTACAAAATTCATGTCTTTCGAGATGTCTTTTTTGACGTCTTTCGGGGTATTCGGTGAGTACACAAAAAATACCCACTCAATAACTGGCTGACGGATAGGTCAAAAAAACGGGGTTTTAGTAAGTCTTGCATTGTGGTTATTAAGATATCCAATAAAGAGATACATATATTGAGATGCTAATAAAACAGGATCGAAAGCAGAAGGTCTGAACGAGTTGGGAGATCCAAGAGGGAGAGACCGTTGCACGTGACACTCATCAAATCCAAGAGGTCGAGGTTGTGATTCTCAACACTTTGCATCTATGGAACATTTACTCCATACAGTTTACAATTTACAAACTTGAGCCTGCAATTTATCCAGTTCGACTGGCCTCATCTCTGGTTCTTCAATCCATGGCAGTGTCCTGCAGAGTAATGATAATATATCCAATCAAAACTAACTCAATTCGGGCCCAGTCAGAATGGCGGAGTCACTCCACCTACTCACCTCCACGCACCTATCACAGCCTCCAGAGGCGTCGACTAATGTCGAACTAGCCAGTGCCAATGCCATCCGAGTGTAAGAAGGCCCACCGCTCAAGCAAGCAGATCTCGGACTCCCACGTCGGAAATCTGGCTCGCCTAAATCCTGCCGTGTCGTTGGCTCGGGAGAAGAACCCTTCCTTTCATCCCCCCCCCTCCGAGCTTCCCTCGCGCCCCCATGATCGGTGGTACGCAACAATTTGTCCCCGACTCACGAGTCAGGAAGGCTCCGAACCGTCAGTCGCGGTCCTGTAAAGTCTGCCGGCTCCGGAAAGTCAAGGTCCGTTACCCCCGTCATCGTGCTCAGATCGCCCTTGGGGTCGGGACGTTCCCGTACCCATATGATGCGTCCCACTGGTCGTAACGCATCACCCGCAAGGCTAACGTGGATCCGGCTGTCAGTGTGACCGAGTCAAGCCCTGCCACGCCTGCTGTGCCCATGGCTACCCTTCCAAATGCGTGTATGAGCATGTCCCCGACGAAGAAGCCCGCCCCATCAGCCAAGCGGAGGAGATTCGGAACCTGCGGGCGGAGATCCGCGACCTTCGGGGAAGAATAGACAACAAACAGGATGGTACGTTTGCAGGCCCCGCCCACTCTTTTCTGTGGCGTGTGTCAAACCCATGTGGATGTGGAACAATTGCTGATGTCTGTGCAGGATCTGGGGCGCAGGATATCCAGCGCCTGGACAAGCTCGAGAGCTTATTTGAGTCTATTCGCTCTGCACCAAGCCCATTAGTCGATGATCTTGTTCACGATATTCGAACCGCACATGTCGGCCTCAAGAAGGATTTGGTCCCTGTTGGACCATGGGAAGGAACGGAAGGTATGTGGTATAACACTTGCTCGAGAAGTTACCCGTGCTGACAGCCCTAGCGTATGAATCCTACGATTATCCTTCGCGTCCTTCGTCGACTCTGCCGGTTCGGAACCGACTGTTACTAAATTCACCGTGTGAAGACTTCAATAATTTGGAAGCTGAGGATGACGATGACAGCGACTTCGAGCGCATGTCCCTGAGCAGTGGGTCCGACTCGTCTGGCACGATCTCGATTATGAGCATGCAAAGACCCGCGGTGGATGTGTTTGTTGAGAGGTTTGTGGATGCGTTTAGCCCAGAAGTGGATATGAAATCTGGGAGAGCGGGTGCATTGCGAGCTGCCGCTGGGATTCGAATGTTCTCACCACTCATCACAGACGCGTTCGAGGCCGTATCAGTGGCATTCTTTGGTCGTTCTGTGCAGAACAAGCAGATCGAAGCGTCCGGGTTCCGACTTTACCCCCGCGTGCTGCGCGCATTGCAGGATGCGTTGGTGGACCCCGAAAAATGCAAAGCAGAGTCAACACTAGTCACCGTCATTCTCTTGCTCGCTTTCGAGGTTGGTTTCATAGAACGCCCTTTCTCCCCAGTCAATACTAATGTCAGCAGAGTGTCGAACGCACTACTCAGAGTGGTGTCTCGGCTCATGTCCGAGGAGCAGTGCGCTTGATCGAACATCGTGGACCAGAAAACCACATGTATGGGGTTGAACACCTTTTATTTACAGAACTCCGACCATATTGGGTAAGATCACAAACCTTCTCTAATTGCATCTTCTCAATCTAACTAACGGCTCAGATTGGCGCCGCTCTGGCAGCTCGACAACCCTCATTCCTGGCCCGTGAAGAGTGGAAGACCATTCCGTGGTCAGCAGGAACGACCCAAAAAGATATTCTACACCAGCTGCTTGACCTGGCCACCTCGGTCCCGGGTTTACTAGCGGTATCCGATGCCTTCAAAGAAGCACAAATAACATCTGTCATGGGCGCACAAGAGATGGCCGTCAAGCAGTCTACGCTTTGGAACGGAATACGTGAGCTTACAGCCCGTTTCTATCAGTGGTACGAAGACTCGGTTGTCACGTACCCTGACGGGCCACCACAGGAAGCCGAACAAAAAGGCGACCAGGGCTTCCCAATTTTCCAGCGCCGCGACCTCCGCACCGGCGCTACTTTCATCCCTACAAGATTCACATACCCAAACCTGCTACTCGCACAAACCATGTGTGTCTACTACGCCGTGAGATTGATTCTGTCCTCGATCGACACTCGGCCAGAGGATCGCGTCTCGCCCATGGAACAGTACGACTTGGGCTGCGGGATCTGCCGCTCATTGGAGTTTTATATCCTCACTGCACCCGGCAACATGATCAATCGTCTTGCATTCCCCACTCGAGTAGCGTGGGAAGCATTCCCAGATGGAGGTCCAGAGCGCCATTTTATGGTTGAGGTGCTGCAACTAGTTGAGAAGCGGCATGCTCTTGGGCTTTGGGGCAGTTCTATGCCCGAGTTATCTACAAAAGAATCCTCGCCACTGAATACGGGTAGTCCGTAGTGTGGAAGGAAGTGCTCCGTATAGACGTGATGTTAGTTACGATTTAATTATTTTATCATAGGGTTCTGTGATCCAGTTATTTGGACACAATAAGTGTTGCGCTGACAGGCTGTCATTTAAATGAATCCCGACGCCACACATGGGCGTATATGAACGGCCATTGTTCGTCAAGTTCTAATAATGCACGGTTGTTCATCTTATAATAGGTATATAGGGGCTACTCCTTACCTAGGTATTCTTTATGTTCCGCGGCTTCCGGCTATATCTCCCGAATAATCAAATATCTGGGAATCAAAACTAATCACAATAAAACTGCTCCGTATGAATGCCGCAGCTGAAATGATGTATCCAAAGCTCATTTATTATTCTTGCTCTGATTGGATGTTTCCGACTAAACTAGAGCGCATTGGACCTGGTTCCGAAACAGATCGGCAGCCCCCAGCCACTCACAGGGCGATCTCATCGATCAACAATCGATAGTTCGATGAAAATGGGAAAAAAATAGGAGATGTGGGTACCTTACAGAATGTACCTACAGAATCCTTCATAAACAGCATGGGGCCCCATATTACGAATACCTAACACACCTGTCATACAAAATGCCTTCATTCACCAAGTTAGCGCTCGCTGCCCTCGCGGCTACCACAGCCGTCGCAACAGGAATCAACGATTTCTCCTGCAAAAGCTCTTACAACCCAGTTGTCCTCCTGCACGGTCTCGGCGCGACATATTATGAGGACCTGAACTTCATGCAGTACTGGCTGCAAACCCAAGGGTTCTGCACATATGCCAGCACCTATGGTGCATACGATGGCTTCCCATTTGTCGGCGGCTTGAAGGCAATCCACGAGAGCGCCCCTGAAATTGCCGCGTACATCAAAGAAGTCGTGCAAAAGACCGGCAAGAGCAAAGTCGACCTGGTCGGCCACTCCGAGGGTGCTTTCCAATCTCTCTACGTGCCCAAGTTCGAGGGCGTCGCCCACCTGGTCGACAAAATCGCAGCTATCGCACCGCCTACCCATGCCACTACATTCGCCGGCATCTACGAACTCGCATACCAAAATGGCAACCAGTCGCGCGCAGTCGTGGGCGAAGTGCTCGATACCGTCGGCTGCCCTGCTTGCAACGATCTCGGCCCCGATGGCCCGGCCATCACACGTTTGAATGACGGTACTCCTATCGCGCAGCCCGGCAACAGTATCACTATCATTGCGTCCAAGCATGATGAGCTGGTTACTCCCCCGTCCACATCGTTCGTTCACGAGGAGGGTGTGACGAATCGCTGGATCCAGGATACCTGCCCATTGGATCCCGTTGGTCACATTGGCGAAGCCTATGATTTGAACGTCTGGCACTTGGTCAAGAACGTGTTGACCTCGACCCCGGATAAGAAGTTTTTGTGTCTGTTTGGGTCACCCGGTAAATAAAGAGCTTGCGGTTGTGTGAAGCGATTTATTTTATTGTATATAATAACTAATCTTTGAGTGGATAATATCTTATCCCGTCATTGTTCGGGTTTCTTTCGCTTTCTTCTAGCTTCTATATCTGATGTAGTAGTGACATATAGTATAGGCTTTTGAATCAAGTTACAGTGCTTGTCTTTAAAGGTTCAGGTTTTTCTTTATAGATGCAATTGGGAATATTCCCCTTATGGATTCGAGGATAACATTCTAGACAAACAGAAACCCGCCTAATTTGGCCAAAGGAAACATCTACAAAGCAAAAGAATACCAGGATATTACTCTTCGAGTCAGTCGCGTGCCCATCTAGGACTCCTTTGACACCACTTTTTCAAATCATCTAGAAAGTGTCCCAAAATAGGACAAACAAAGAGGAGCAGATATCCGAGTTAGTCCGATATCTAATTTGGTGTGATCTAATGATGATCCTTAGGCTCTCTCTTTGTTTATTTTAACCATATAAACACTCGAGGTGTCTGTCCCCTGGATAAATACCAACTTTCTCTTCGTTTTAGCTGCAATATTAATTTTGGCTAGACGAAGTAGACAGTCTTTGTTAATTGCCCCTTAAGCCTGGGAATATTCTTAGATTGCAAAGGGATAGATCACATATACTGTGTTTGCCCTTACCAAATTGGGAAGCAATTGTTGTTTGGGAGGTGAGACACTGAGAGCAAGTAGCCGTTTGCGACAATTCATCTCAACCCCCGAGAACTCTCGAGAAACACCTCAACCTGTCGATCATCACTCTGACATAGTTCATCTCTGAAACGGTTGCTGCCTTAGGCACATTGGGGTTTCTTCACGGACTTCGGAACTTTCTTTCTCCGCACACTATCTTATCTGCGACGCGCAAGATTAAAAAAATCACCATGTCAGAGCCAGACAACAAACCTGGCTCTGAATCGAACATCCATCGAATTCAAGAGCGATGGGACAGTCTGAATGAGATGTTCCAAAACACCAACACTGAGCCTGCTGAGCCTGTCGGCGCTGCCGATGATCTGGAGGCGGAAATTCGTCAAGCTCAAGCTCAATTGTCCAGACTGAAGAAGCAGCGAGTGCTCATTGATATCAAGCAAAAGGTTGCAGAGGAGGAGAGAGAATTGGAACTGGCTCGCACTCGACTTCTGGCCGTGACCTCTCTGGAAGTTCCCCCCGCCACCCCTGCTCCAACCCCATCCAGGATCGAGCCGAACCAGAACAACAAGGCTGGTATTGATGGAGCCCAAAATAAGGTTGTTGCTGCCCGATCCGAGCAGATTACCGCTCCAGCTCCTGTGACCCAAGCTGCTGATCGTCGTCCTTCCGAGGTCAAGCCATCCGAACCTAAGCCTTCACCTAAACCCGCAAACAACCTAGTGTCCGGTTTGAACCTTGAGCAATTGCGAGCCCTCGCAGCAGCTACCAGGTCCCCCGCCGCACAACCAGTTGTGAAGACTGAATCCCGTTCCAGTCTGCAGCCTTCCGCCCGATCTCTTCGATCTCATCATCCCGATACATCCGTCCAATCCCCACCGGTGCCCAATGTGCCGGTATACAACGGACGAGCTTTGGGGGAGTTCAAGAACTTCTCTATGGGTCTAGAGCGACACTTCGATAAATATCCGGAGTGGTTCAAGATCGATGAGCGCAAGGTCACGCGGGCGCTTAAGCACGTTGCCCTTAATATCGAGGATGAGTGGAAGCGACACATACGTCACCTACCCGCCGAAAAGGTCACCTACGACAGTTTCTGTACCTTCCTAATTCACCAGCTCCAGAACGGAGTGTACCCGGATGTCGCTAGGTCGCGCTATATGGATAGCTATCAACGACCGGGCCAGTCGGTGACTGATTTCTCCAACTGGATGCAGCAGTGGGTCCCACATTTCCCGAATAATGACTCGGAGCGCGACCGCATGCGCCATCTCTTTGAGCATCTGATGAACAGGGTTCGCAACGAGGCTGACAAGACACACTTGGACTTCGATAACTATTACGAGTTTGTCGAATACCTCCAGCGGGTCGAGGATTCCATCGGCAGCCGCGCCGAACATCTTGGTCGCCGGCTTATCAACCCTCGAAAGCGACCTCGCGACGACTAAGTGGTTCGACCTAGTTGAGCGAGCTCTTCGAGACGAAGCTCCGACGAAGCTGACATCATCTTTATTTACATCTGCACACGGATAGATCGGAGGGGGTTTGGGTTTTCTTGCTAGTCAATGGGGGATTTTCCGTGCAATCTTCTTGACTTTTCCGTGTACATACCGGGGCGTTACGAAATCTTTAAAGTAAGGTATTCGTAACTTTTTCATTTTTCATTTTTCTCTCCGATATCAACCGTGATCACTGCGGTCTTTCCCAGTTTAAGCACTAGATCATCTAAAGCATACTCGGAATCCCAACAGCCGGGTTCCTCGCTAGAGCCTCCTTAATCTGCTCCGTGCTGGCATTGATAATACGCTTCCCCCAGCCATGTTCTTCCGTCCAACCACTAAACCTCTCCCCCGAATTCGGCTGATCCCCCCAGATAGACTTGTATTCCTCCTCGGTGAAATACAACGCCTGGCGCTCATGGAAACAAGCCAAGATGGTGGCGCTCGCCTCACCGCTACAGCAGGCGCAGTAACCGGGATTCTCATTGGGGGCGGGAGGTGCCACGGTCCCATCAGCGAGTTCCTTATTCAACATCGTATAGCTGGTGCCGTAGACTTCGTAGATCGGGTCGTCCAGGGAAACGTGGACGAGACGCACTTCGAGGGGCGCATGGTCATCGTAACATTGCTCTCCGAGCTTCAACCAGATGGTGCCGATATCGTTCAGATTGCCGATTCCTTCATAGTCGGGGTGTTCGACGAAGTAGCCGTATTCCTGGGGGATAACGCTTGTCAGGCCTGGTGTAAGGTGAGCGAGTGCTTGAACGGCCTCCGCCAGAGGGAGGGTGCGGAGGGCGTCGATGTGGTCTTGGAGTTTGGAAGCCATGATGTATAATTGCAATGTTACCCAAAGAAGCCTGGGGAGAGGGGGTTTTTTTTCTTCCTTTTATGTTGATGAGGGGCTTGTTTGTTTGTCATTTCTTGGAGCCACGTACTCTGTCCACCTGTTGAATCAAGTGTGTTTGCTGCAGTTGGGAATTGAAGCTGAGTGGCTTGGATGTTGGTAGTTGCCTGGTATTCCCCCACGGACTGCGGTTCTCCGCATATCTGCCTTGCGATACTGTGTAGGGAGTACAACCTTGGCTTCAAAATCCCATCTGCATATTCTCTGTGGTAGTCGAATTTTCCAATATTTGTCCCAGGTTGCTCTGCAATTTTATTGGAGCACTTCCCTCTTGCACAGCCCGATGTTTGGCTACTGGACCCTGGAGATATGCAGGTGCATTGACCCATGGGCGTTCTCTTATTGCTCAGCACTTATCTTTTTTGATCTGAACGAATCGTATATTCAGATCGATGGATCGACTCCCAATAGAATGCAAGGTATATGGATGATCGGAGTGTTTATAGGCCAAAAGGGGAAACCCCCCACTTGGCGGGACCGGCGGGATTCGACAAGGCCAGTGACTTATCGGATTCTGATTTCTGACTTTCTCTTTTTGTATTCTTGGCCTCTGGGCTTTGGTGCTTCTGGGCTTTTGAAAAAGTGTCCTTGCTCTCTGGGATTTGGTCTATTTGTGTTTTGGTTGTTTTGGATGGTTTGGCCGCATTATGGACATGAAATCCGCGCCTTTACCGCCTCGCCAGGCACCTCATCGATATGCTCGTTGGGGATTGCCCCTGGCTGCTGCGGTGCTGGTATTTTTAGTCTGGCCTGTGCCATTACCCGCCTGGAAGGTGAGGGAGCCTTTGGACATTCCAGTCACCTGGGACGAAATCGTTCCTTCGCAGTCGCTGGAGTACCACAATTGCGGCGATGAGTTCCAATGCGCGAGACTGGAAGTGCCGATGGACTACAAACGGACAGATGGAAAAGGTCGCACATTTGCCCTGGCTCTTGTCCGACTGCCGGCCAAAGTCCCAGTCACAGATCCGCGCTATGGAGGCGCGGTTCTGATCAATCCTGGTAAGTTAATTTGGACTTGATATGGTGATCTAAGCTCATAGCCCAGGTGGACCTGGTGGACCGGGAACAATGCAAGCGTTCGTGGCGGGTCGAAATCTCCAGCTGATCATTGATGCGGAGTCCGACCCAAAAGAAACGGGAGAAGAGACTAGCCACAAATATTTTGATATTATCGGATTTGATCCTCGTGGAGTAGGATCCACAACACCTCCAGTGATGTGTTTCCCTGATCCCGTATCCCAAAGGAATTGGGAGTTGCAGGTCTCCACGGAAGGCATGCTGGGAAGTGGACCAGATTCCTTGCGGAGAAACTGGCAGCGGACTCAAGCGCTGAACTCGGGTTGCTCGGTATTTGATATGTCGAGCCTAGGAGCAGATGAACCAATGATGTCTCATGTCAATACACCACTCGTCGCGCAGGACATGTTGACCATCATTGAACGCCATGGAGAATGGCGTGAGAAGGAAGGCCAACGAGCCCAGACAGCACATAACAAGTGCCATGGACTGGATAAAGGAAACGCAATCTTGAAACGCACTAAATGGCACCGTGGAGAAGAGCCACTTCTCTATTGGGGTCGCTCATACGGTACCGTGCTGGGTACCACATTTGCCTCGCTCTTTCCGAAGCGAGTCACACGAGCTGTCCTCGATGGTGTAGTCGACATGGTTAAGTACTACCAAGGAACAGGACCGAGCGTTATTGTTGATGCAGATGCCATCTTTGATCGGTTTGCCCAGTACTGTGATGAGGCTGGACCTGTGGGATGTCCCTTCTATATGGAGGGTGGTCCAGACGCGATCAGGGCAGCGTACTGGCAACTTGAGCAGCAGATTCTCAACACTTCAATTCCTGTCAAGGCATCTGCGGAACGGGGTCCAGAAGTTGTAACTTGGACGGACATCAAAGCGATTCAGCGTGTTGCCATCTACCAGCCACTCCTTGCATTCCCCGTTCTAGCAGAGAGAATGACCGAGTTGGGTAAGGGGAATGCAGTCCCCATGGCTGACTTTAAGCATGGTAGCCACTTCGGCGCATGTCCGTCCAACAAATGCAATCTTGCTGGACCTTGGTCACCAGAATGTGCTACATCAAAAGATAACTTCCTCTATGCAATGGCTGCTATTATGTGCTCGGATGCCGAATATCTGACAACTTTAGATATTGAGCAGTTCCGGGCAGAATGGTCTAGCCTTCTGGCTGACAGTGCATCTCTGGGTGACTATTGGGCGCAATTACAATTGAGCTGTGTTGGATGGAAAGCTAAGGCTAAGTACCCTTTCGCAGGTATGTCCTATTATGATTTCTATGCGTTCGCTACTGACAGGTCTCAGGGCCTTGGGGCACTGCTACTGCTCATCCCATGCTATTCGTATCAAACACTCTGGATCCAGTGACTCCTCTCCATAAGTGTGTATTGGCTCGTCGCTAGTGGCTGTCCAAGCTAACCGCCCCAGTGCCCAACACATGTCCCAGATTTTCCCGGGATCTGGGTTACTCCAGCAAGAATCAGAAGGAGTGAGTAACTCGCAGTAATCCCTCCAGTGATTCACCCCTGATATATTCCATCTAGCACACAACACTCGCAGCCCCATCCATCTGCGTGGCGAAGGCTATTCGCCATTACTTCCAAACTGGCAAACTACCAGTGGTAGGAACTCTCTGTCAAGCTGATTTGAAGCCATTGGTTGGATCTCCGCATCATCACGCGGCGATCAGCCAAAGCTTCAGCCCAGCCGACCGTAAACTGTTCGAGGCATTGATGGCGGAGGTTCAGCGGGCGCCCGTGTTTCCGCTATAAAGATCCACAAACTAGATTTCATGACTGGAGGAACACGTAACCAAGGGGTCTATACAGCCCTGGAGCTAACTATCACTGATGCATTAATGATTCAATGTGCTATGCTAAAGTCCAGTGATTTGATTTTGGTTGATTTTGGTTTTATATTAGCTATTCTTTTTTTTTTCTCAATCCAACCCAGCATGTACTGATTAATATCTCTCTCAACTACTCTCAAATATCACCATATCACCCCCGATCGGCGAGTAATGCGAGAATATCCGCTTGCGGAGAAGCTGGACAACCTCGGCTGACCGGCCAATCCAACATCATCGATAATCAGCAACCCCGCTTCGAGGGGTTTCTCCGCATTAATAGTCATTGGATGACTTTGGAAGCAGATCATATATAATTCCCGTGTGTCTCGATAATTCTCAATCTAGACAACAAGTAATAACCATGGCTCCTCCAACTGCCACCGAGACCCTCGCGAACACTATTAGCATGCAAGCACCACAGTCATCTCAAGCGGCGAGTGCCGAAAAGGCCAAAGTCAAGATGCAGATGCCTAGTATTCCTGTGTTCGAGGATAAGATGAAGGAGCGAGAGTATTTAAAGGGCCGCCTAGCAGCAGCATTCAGAATCTTCGGCGATAAAGGATACGACGAGGGTATGGATGGTCCTACAGCGAAGCATCGAGTTAACAACTAACATTCCCATTAGGTGTCGCTGGGCATATCACCTTGCGCGATCCGGTGGACCCGACAACATTCTGGGTGAATCCCTTCGGCACTGCATTCAAGCTGATGAAGGCATCGGACTTAATCCAGGTCAACCACGATGGAAAGGTCATTGCGGGTGGAGAGAATCGGATGCTGAATGCCGCTGCATTTATGATCCATTCCGCTATCCATGAAGCACGGCCCGAGGTGAACTGCGCTGCACACAGTCACAGTCTCTATGGACGGGCGTTTTGCTCGCTGGGCCGACCGCTCGATATCATCTCTCAAGATGCCTGTGCTTTCCACAATGTATGTTCTTATATTTTCTTTTCAATACTCACCTTGGGAGGGCCCAGCTAACGGGATCAGGACTTGGCGCTCTATTCATCGTTCAAAGGCGTCGTGCTAGCAGAAGAAGAAGGCCAGAACATTGCCAAAGCTCTAGGCAACAAAAAGGCAGCTCTCCTGCAAAACCACGGTCTCCTGACAGTCGGTAACACAATTGAAGAAGCGGTGTTTTGGTTCGTGAGCCTGGAAAAGTGCTGCTACGCTCAACTCCTAGCGGACGCAGCAGCCACCGGACGAGGCGGCCAAACGGTGAAAATTGAAGAAGCCGATGCTGCATTCACTTACAAAACAGTGGGAACTCCGAAGGCTGGCTGGTTCAGTGCGAAGCCCCTATTTGATGTGATCCACGCCGAAACTAAGGGTGAATACTTGGAATGAGACATCCACCCGGTCTAAAGTTAACATATCGGTCGGAATAAATTGTCGGAGAGATTAATATTTTGTACGGAGTACGTGAATTGCAATACGAAACAGTCTTTTGAGTCTTTATCCACCACTAGGACATTCTCCCCTATTGTATATTGTATCAATATTGTTGTCTAATTTGAATACTGGGTAGTGTCACTTCCGGCACCATAAACAGACCATGTTGGGTAAATCCATATGCGGGGCTTCGGAATTGACTGGGCCTAGTTGAGAGAAACGAAGAGAAATTAATGCGTCAATGAGGATGTCTCATGCACTGCAGTTGTCCACATTCACCAGTTAGTCCGGTGTTAGGCTTGTTTTAAGGTGAGACACCCAGCCCTTAAGGGCTTCGGAAGACACTCCGCTTTTAGTAAATTCCACCACTCCACCTGCAGAGATGCGCCTGTATTCTTGCACAAGGAAACTATAAGCCGAAAATTGTTCACACCGATATAAATTGAAACAGATCCATTCTGTAGTATTTAAGATCTCCTAAGTGGCACGAACCTTAGCAACTCAGACAAATATACTTGCAAGTCTTCCAGCTCATAATTATCACAATGCGCTTCATCATACCTTTCCTCACTGCTGCCGGCCTTGCCAGCGCCGGACTGCTAGAAACTATTGTCAAGAGAGATGACTACTGGGGTGGCAGCGTCTCGCTCGGTCCCTCCAAGTCGACCATCGTCAACGCCGTCACGACGTTGATCCCCGGAGCTGCCCCAGAGACTCAGAACGGCGTGCTATTCCTCTGGCCTGGTGTAAGTCTTCGACTCTTCTCAAAGCTCGTCTAGTCACTAACAACCATAGATGTCCAACGGAACCGGCGATCTGGTCCAGACTACCCTCGAAAGCTGGCCTGACAACTCGTGGTGCGGAGCAACCTCCGGCCAGTGGTGTGTACGCGCCAGTGTCTTTGGCAGCTTTGGCCAGCTTGACGGCTCTGGATCACCCGTGAGCGGAACCGACCAGGTGCGGATTGAGTACAACCTGGAGTCTGATGGACAGACCTGGAAGCAGTAAGCAGGAATTCAAGACGGCTAAACACATCACAACTAACATTTGCAGGACCGTCACAAATGGCCAGACTGGTGCCCTGCTTTCAACTTACTCCCACGAATCCGGACCCTACATGCGAGGGTAAGTCAATTTCCAGAAGGATATTTATCGAGGACTATACTGACTTCAGTTAGATACGGCACCGGAACTGAGTGTAACGACAACTGCTCGGGAACTATCGCTGCACAGAAATACGTGAACACGGTTATTACTCTCGCCTCGGCTGATACTACTTTCGGCTCGACGATTGCTAGCGCGGGTGGTGCTACGTATACCGCAGTTTCATCTAGTCAGGGTGGAAAGGTGTGGACTATCAAGCAGATTGATATTCCCTCAATGCATTGAGTGACGGTCGAGAAATTTGTGTTCGAGTGATTGCATTGCGAGTATAAGTTGCCGACGTGGTTTCGTTTTACGAGATTCATATATGAAGGCTATACTGGGAATAACCGTCAATTGTTCAACGAATTAACCGCTTTTATAATCGATATCCCACTTCAAATGCATGCATATTTACAAAACTTCAATTTCACCCCCGATAATCAAGTACTACTTTCAGCCGCACAGGACCAGGGGACGCCGCACCACCAATACCATCCAAGTGTTTTTTCGACTGGATATAAGCATCAACCACCTTCTCAGCATGGGGCGTGATAATGGAGCATCCCTTCCCATTAGCCTGACAGATAGACATTCCCTGCACAGGTTGATTCGCAATCTGCGCCTGAATAGCCGACACATCCCATCCCGACCAGCCATTATTCTCTCCATCACCGAACCCAAACTCGCCCCACGTAGACGAGTATCCGCCCCATTGATCTGTGGGTAGGTGATCACCAGGCGCAGCACCCCAAGCTCCCTCAGAGTCCTCGTCAAAGGCGACATAGCGAGTCTCGCCGGGTGCAAGAGTGAAGGTCAGAGCAGAATGGCCATACCATCCGGTCAATTTACCATCAGGCCCAACCTTGTTCCACACAACCACCGTCCAGGGCACATCGTTTGAACCCGTGAACTGCGCCACGTATTTGTAGGTGTGTGCCTCGGTCGGACTAACGTTGATGATGTTGCTTCCCCAAGGCTTGCCGACATTTCCCTGGTAGTGGATCTCCGTGCCTTTGCCTTTTGGCGGAGTACGTCCTCCGAATCTGTTTGTTGAGAATTGACCTTTCGGTGGTGTTGCGGTCCAGTCCACTGGAATGGGATTGTCTGGTTTTGAGCCTGGGAGGATCTGGTTGACTACTGGGAGATCAGGGAGGACTTCGCTCGGCAAATCGAGTACGGCGTTGATGGGTCCGCCTTTGTTGTTGTGGGGACGTGGTGGAGGTGGGCGTTTTGCTGGAACGGCTTTCTCTTCTTCTAAAGAGCCTTTTGGCAGCGTGTCTGCAAGCGCGGCTTTTTCTGCTTGTGAGGGATTCCCCGGGGATGTGTTTACAACTGGCACAGGGCTGGCTCCCGGGTAGACGGTGACCTTTACGGTATTCGTTGCGGTTTTGCTGATTGTGTGTGTCTTTAAGATGGTAACTGTGCCCTCTACCCCCGTTGGCCTGGGAGCCGGGGGCTCGAGGTGAGTGGGTTGAGGTTGAGCGGGCTTTTTGTTTGTCGGTGCAGGGAGAATAGGCTGAGGCTGCGGCTCACGTTGATGCCAGTGGTCCTCATATGCCTCGGGACGCGCGGGGCTGTGCATGGAATGATCATGCCAATATGGCGTAGGCTCAGGCCTATGTCTGACAAGCGTAAGCGTGCTGTGAATAGTGTTGGTTGGCGCGCAGTTTCCAAAAACGGTTTTCGTGGTGGTGAGGGTAATGGATTCCACCACAAAATCATCTGGGGTGTTATTCACGTTATCCCAGGCGAGATCTCGAAGCTCCAGGTTCTCAATAGGCGGCATCAAGTGGCGATGGCGATGGCGATAGCCATGCGCAGGATGGTGGATACCAGCAAAGGCATACCCAACCAAGCCCGCAAGAAGGAATTGTATAGACACGCGCCCCATTGCAAAATACAAGGGTTGTGACCGACAATTAGCTCCGTGGCAGATTAGGCAGTTGATAATTGACGCGATAGATCAAGGCGTCAATGGGGTTATATTCCAAAAAAAAAGGAGACGCGCTCAGTTAATCGAATCCATGTCTATGGCGCGGTGTTGGCGATTGTCGTATTAGTCGAATAAACACGCGATGTGGGGAAGGTACGTAGCTTTATACAGCCCTTTGAGAAAGGAAAATGCTCTCGCCTCTTCACCTGGAATGCCATCGCACGCTTGGCCTTAGGAGGGCTCCAAAGGGACAGTAGCAGCCCTGAATTCCGGGTTTCCTTGGCTGACCCTTGAAAGGCTGTGAATCAAACTGAATTTTCGAGCAATTGAATAAACATCAATGTAATGTGTATGATGAATTAGATATTTTCTACACAGCCTGAGGAGAATGCGAAAAATAGAAGTACCTCTTGGGAAAGTTATGTTCAATGGGTGCACGTTGAGGTTCGTGCTATGTAGATGTGGCCAGTGTAGCCCCTCGCGTCGCATTCCAGCCCTCAATCACATTCACCCCTCTTTTTTTTTCACGCGTAAAACAGGCTTTAAGGATATTCTATGAGGATGGGGATCATTTGATTTGATTGGCTTGGTCGGTATTGAGTCTGTGGATGTATGGTTGAAGAGATTGATTGGAAATATGTATTTCAATGAGTGTATATATGTATAGAAGATAGGTGCCAAAAAGGAGTGTATATCAACAGAGTATTATGGGCTAAGTCCTCCAACAAAACTCAGAAAACGCACAGAGTAAGAATATAAATGAGAGAATACTATCGAGCGCTTATTTTTCTGCTTTCTTTGTTTTCCTTTCAACGCAAGACTTACAATGCCACGTCCGGTCCGCCTTTCGGAGAGACCATCATGCGCAGGAACCCGAGACCTGGGTTTGCGGGGGTCCGACATCGACCAACTGGGTACCAATAACAGTGGTGACACTGTGGTCAATGCCGTTGAAAACGCAAGTAACGCCCTTAGTGTCGGTTTGAATGTGGGAAATGCTCAGAGGATTCACTATACTAATTAGCGTCTTTGTTTGTTTATAGCGGAATATATAAATGGACATACCAATTTTAACCGATTCACCGTTGGACGGGAAACTCTGGGTAAACTGAGCATTGGCAGCTCCAAGGAAAGTGACATGCACTTGATCCCCTCCGGTAGAACCAGGAGTGGAAGGAGGTGCAGGGGATGAATGCGACCCCTGGGCCTGGCAAGATGCAGTCACCTGGGTCTGTGGAGGACCAACATCCACCAATTGGGCTCCGTTGACGATTGTCACACTGTGATCAATGCCATTAAAGGTACACTGAACCCCGGCAGTGTTGGATGAGATGTGCGAGATGCTCAATGGGTTTTCTAAAGAAGGTTAGCATACTTTCAGTCCAGATGCATGACATAACAAGGGACGTACTAATCGAGACAACGGACCCGTCAGTAGGGATGCTTTGAGTGAATTGGGCGTCGGCGGCGCCAATGAAGGTGATCTCAGCTTGATTGTCTCTTTGTTTGACAGGAATCGCACTAGCAGTAGCTGCATATCCAGCAAAGAGACCGAGAATTGTCGAGGCCTTCATTTTTAGACAAAAAGAATGGAAGATTCAAGATTGTTAAGAGTGTAGTAAAAGGTTGTCGACACAGATGATCAATGAGATACCGAAGCGCTTTATATACCTTTTGCTCTATACTTCGTATTTCTCCAAGACAAGCCTGCAGCAGGATCATAATACTAGTTTCTAATATTAGATGAGGTATTCTTTTCCATGGTAGAGCGGACTGTGGCGCTGGGATGACTACTATCTATGTAGAGCATAGCCCTATTTTGGTAAACGGAGAAAACCTTGGAATGAATGAGAACACTCAGATGATATGTTTTAGATGACCCAAGGTCCCCAATTTTATTTCGTATAGGCGTTAAAGTGCAGTTGAAGTCAAGGTAGAGAAGTTGAAAGTTACTTTGCACATTTTATGTAGGAATATGATTGGGTGATTTAATCGAATATCCGATGATTATTGCCCAGAGTATGCATAATTTAGTCACCTAATTGCTGTACTTGTAGTTATTCTGGGGTGTGCTTAACACATCTATATTACACATTCAATGCGTCATTGATATTATATAAATCGTTATTTCCTGGTCCAAGAGACCCTGTGACTGCGGAACTGGCCGACCCCTCTACCCCCAGATTTTTGGTTCTCAAATCTCGTATCGCCAACCTGTCTCATAATCATGAGCCCTTCATGTTTGTTATTTGGTTCTTTTTCTTTACAGCTTGCCGATTTCCCGCGGGCGCAATGGGATCGGATTTGGGTATGTCCATGACCACCCCCTCCTTGACCTTGATTTCTTTTTCGTCGTTTTCTGGTCAGCACCTCAACACGCCACCCAATGTGCTATATACAACCACCTATTCACACTACATTCTAGACAAGGTTTCTAGGGTCGATAGGTAGAGCGTGCTGACCAGTAATTCCAACTCGGCTCCGGGGAATGATGCCCAACAATTAGAGATACCAATAGGATAACTACCTTGTGGCTCCTTAGGAAGCGTTCTCTGATATATCTTTGGCTTTCTCCATACGAGCTGCAGCGGCATCGTGACCCGGCTCGGCACAACGCAAGTCGATAGGGTTCGAGATATACTAAATTCCTTCTCACGGGAAACAAGACGATAACGAAATCAACTAGAACGATCCATATCTGATCATCGGCGTATAAACGCGGGCCCGCGTAAGTTGGGGTCACCGTGGACACTGACACAAGGATTCACGAGAGTGGCACTCTGGCCTTGATGAGGGTCACATTAAAACAGAACTGAAAATAAGGACCTAGATGGTGGGCTGGAAATTCATAAGGATGGGTTCAACCGAGGACCGCCTATCCGAGGTCCCGTGATCGGGGTCGGAACAACACCTAGGGGGCAGCCCCGGGCTCCGGGGTAACGTAGGGCGGGCCCCGCTCTTGGCATTTCGGAATCCGCGGACCCCATGGAATGACCAACCGCTACCCACTTTATTCATCTATTCCTTAAAATTGACACTTTGCTTCGTAATACTGGTGTGGAAAAATTGATAATTGTATATGAAGCTTGATAATCAGTATTGAGAGCTGATCCCTGGGTAAATCGAGAATATGGCATCTCAGTATGTTTCCATCCATTACTATAAAACAGCTGAACCCTCTCCCAATTCCATGCTTTTTATCTGCAAGCACATCCTTATTCTGTCATCCTTCTAAGAATCACTCAAACTTCCCACCGGACACCAATTTGTCAACATGCGCCTAGCAATTGCAGGGTCGGGTGACCTGGCCTGTTATCTCGTCGAGGAGTTCACCGCAAAGGGCCATGATGTGGTGGTGTTATCCCGCAGCCTGAAACCTCGACTCAATGGTCTGCCGAAGGTGACACAAGTGGTAATTGACTACTCGGTGGAGTCAATTGTCAATGCGATTTCGGACTGCGAAGCCATGATCTCCACGATTCTCGACTATTCAGAGGGGTTTGTGGATGTACACCTTGCCCTGATCGAGGCGTGCCAGCAGAGCCGCATCTGCAAGCGCTTCATTCCCTCTGAGTTTGGCGGCAACATTGAAACACACCCCCATCAGCCCGAGTTCTACTTCAGCACACGCGAGCCTGTACGGAAAGTGCTTCGTGAGCAAACCGAGTTGGAATGGACATTGGTTTCTGTGGGCTGGTTGATTGACTACGTCGTCCCGAGCAAGAATCGATATCTCAAGGATATCGGGCCTGCGTTTCCAATTGACGTCGCCAATCAAACAATGGTCATCCCAGGTACTGGAACCGAGCCGTTTAATGTCACATGTGCCCGGGATGTAGCGAAGAGTCTTGTCGCTTTGTTGGAAAGCGCAAAGTGGGACAATTACACCTACATCACCGGGGAGAAGACATGCTGGGCAGACATTAGCCGCGCCTTCGCCCAGAAGTATCCTGCGCTTTCTGTATCTCACAAAGCTCTGGCAGAAATACAGCAGGAGGCGATGAGTGGAGGTGATGACGCTATTTTCGCTGAATATCAACTTTTCTCTGTCACTGGAGCAGCTTGCTTCGACGATGCCACGGTCCAGGACCAGAGGGAGAGATATTTCCAAGGGATCCACTTTCGAAAAGTCCAGGATCTCCTTGAAGCCGTCGATAAGGACGATCAGATCATAGTTTGATTGTGTTCGAGAAACTTTATGGTTACAATGTGTTGTGACAGTCGCATGCCGATGCCTTGTTTGTCAGGTTGCCACCTAGCTATTCAACCTAGCTAGCTTCTTGTTTGTTGTAGAGAATCAATCCTTTTATCTCCTCTCTTTGCTCCCTTGGTGGTCACATCACAATTAAATATGCGGCTTTCTTTAAATCCATCGTCGAAACTAGATATGTATATGTTGTCATTGCGGCCTTTGCAGGCATAGAACAATGAAAAAAGCCTTACACTCTTTGCCACTTTAGGGTGGTCTGGCACTTGCTATCCTTATGAAGGTTAGGCCTTATTACTGAACACCTAATTACAAGCTAGAGCTTGCACAGATAAGTAAGGCTGACCAATCAGGAGTTTGTTGCAAAATATGTGGACATCCATGGATGTATTTGCACTGCCAACCTTCCAAGGTTGGAAGCAGACATGGCTGTAATCGTAGCCTGACCGACAAGGCCATAAGGCCACAAAGGTTTTATTTCTCATCAAATCCTTCACTGCTGCATATCCTTCAGTTTGGCCACAATGACTTCTGTTGGAGACACTGCAGGGATCAACTTCTCCAAATCATCACCAGTCAACCCCACAATCCACTGCCAATAATGCCCACATGAAGGTGACATTCCGCCCAGCTTATCAAGAATCCGTGCGCGCTAAACCCTTTGGGGGAAAAGATGCGCCGTGTGACCAACTGACCAATCAGATGGCCACAGGTGCGCGAAAGATTTTCCCAAAAGGGAAATCCCAGGGGAGGACCCAGGGTTTGTGCGAATATAAATGCATTGCCGTGCCCATCTTTGCAGAAACTATCCTCCCTTGAATATTATCAATAATAATAATGGCGAGCCTTCACCCTTTTGACCCAATCACACCTGGGGAGATCCAATTGGCGGTCTCCGTTCTGGAATCCGCTTTCCCCGGTGCCAAGCTGCGCTACAAACGCATCGATCTCCAGGAACCCGCCAAGCATGAGGTTGTCCCTTTCCTCGAGGCTGAGCGCCGAGGTGAAGTTCGCCCGCGTAAACCGGCACGCTTGCTGATGGTGCTCTTCCACCGATTGGACAATGGGTCATTCTTCAAGGCTCTGATCAACGCAGACACCAAGTCCATCGTGTCGGCGAAAGAGCTGCCCAAGGACGTCCAGGGTCCACTGGACGTCGATGAGATGCTGGAGATTGAGGAGCTCTGTCTCAACCATCCAGCTGTCAAGGCCGAAATTGAAAAGTTGAAGCTTCCGGCTGGCCACACCGTCTGCTTGGATCCGTGGATCTACGGCACCGAGGATGCCAAGGAGACTCGGCGTTTGTTCCAGTGCTACATGTACATTGTGGCCACCGACCACCCTCAGAACAACCAGTATTCACTCCCTTGCAAATTTTCCCCGGTGTTTGATGGCATCAGTCGCAAACTGGTCCGTATGGATTACCTGCCTGGCGGAGCCGATACCCAAAGCACTGAGACGCAGCCTTGGAAGCAGGTGCCTACTGTGCAATACGCACATGATTTGCTGGATGAGCCCCTGCGCACTGATCTGAAGCCATACATTGTCCAGCAACCAGAGGGGGCGTCATTTAATGTCATTGGGAATGCCGTGTCATGGCAGAAGTGGCGTTTCAGAGTGGGCTTCAACAACCGAGAGGGTTTGGTGCTGCACAATGTTACCTACGATGGTCGTAACACCTTCTACCGTCTGTCATTCTCTGAGATGACGGTCCCCTATGCCGGTATGTTCTACTACTTTCCGTATGGCAACACATCTAATTTATTCTAGATCCCCGTGCTCCCTACCACCGCAAGCAAGCCTTTGACGTTGGCGACGTGGGCTTCGGTATCACAGCCAACCAACTGAGTCTCGGCTGCGACTGTCTCGGTCACATCAAGTATTTCGACGGTTATCGCACGGATGCACAGGGAGCACCAATTCAACTAAAGAATGTCATTTGTATGCACGAGCAGGATAATGGGTTGCAACATAAGCACACCAATTACCGCACTGGTGCGGCAACTGTCGTCCGAAACCGCCAGCTCGTGGTTCAGATGATCTGCACCGTTGCGAACTACGAATATATCTTCGCTTTCATCCTCGACCAAGCAGCCAATATTGAGCTCGAGGTGCGAGCAACCGGTATCCTCTCGACGGTGCCCTTCGAGAACGATAATGGCCAAACCGTGCCATGGGGCACGAACGTCGGACCAGGCGTTATGGCCCCATTCCACCAACACATGTTCTCCCTCCGTATTGACCCTGCCATCGACGGCTACAAAAACACTATTTACTACGAAGAGAGCGTGCCCATGCCCGAGGATGATAGCAACCCATGGCTCGTCGGGTACACCACAGAAAAGAACGTTATCAAATCCAGCGGCAGTGCCTCAACCAGCGTCGACCGCCACCGCGTCTTCAAGATCCGGAACGACTCTGTCGTCAACCCCATCACCCACCACCCTATCGCATACAAGCTGCAAACCATGCCAAGTCAGATGCTCCTCGCACACCCGAACTCATTTGGCTCGAAGCGGGCCCGTTTCGCGACCCGCCCTATCTGGGTTACCAAATACCAGGATGACGAGCTATTCGCCGCCGGCGAATTTACAAACCAGAGCAAGAAGTCAGAAGGCGTGGAAGTATGGGCTGGACGGAACGACCCAGTCGAAAACGAAGACGTTGTTCTCTGGCACAGTATGTTATCCCATCTAACCTCTCCTGCAATGGTAGCTAACTGTTCTTAGCATTTGGCCTCACTCATAACCCCCGCATTGAGGACTTCCCTGTCATGCCGATGGAACGAGTCAGCGTGATGCTCAAGCCAGATGGTTTCTTCACTAAGAACCCTGCACTGGATGTGCCGGCTTCGAGTCAGTCTTTCAACCAGTCAACCTTGCACCCCGAGCCGGCTTGCTGTGCGGGCCCTCAGGAGCGAGGGCAGATGAAGTTGTAGATGGATATTATATGTCTAATGAGATGGGGAGGTGACCTATGTAAATAAATGCTCTGGCATAGAAGCAAATATAACGAAGATATTGCGGTTCAATGCACACTGTGGAAATGTGTCCACATTTATCACCTTAATTCTAGAATGTCTCTACTTATATTTACAAAAGCAATGGTCTCTTCGCAATCCAATGCACTGCCACCTGGGTAACCATGCACACTAACTGCCTTCATAACCAAGGCGATCGAATCTATCGAAACTGGCCCAATGGGGTGCGAGCAGAAGCAGCTTGCCTCTCCAAGTCAGGCCCCAAACCAAGGGACTGATAGCCTCCGCATCTGGGGCTGTAGACACAATCAAGCTCGCACCATCCATAGATTGCAGAACCTGCGCCGCATTCTCTTTGCTGGTATCTATATAGACGGACGCTCCGAGTTCTTTCGCAAGCTCAGCCTTATCACTTCCACTCGAGATGGCGACGACTTTGTAACCCATCTTGTGGGCAAATTGCACAGCCAAGTGGGGCAAACACCGAGTCCTAGCACGGCGACAAGCGCACCCTTCTCAATGTTGAGCTTCCGGATGCCATTGAAAACAGTAACTTCTGCAAGCGGAGCTTTGGTTGAATGATGTTGGATTCATAAAAATCTCGGATTTAGCGACGTATCTCAGAATGTGCCGCTTCGACCGAGTTCTTCTTGACATCTTGACAGAATTCATTTGTGTGACTAAACCGTTTGTAGGTTGGTGGGCTTGGTGCTTTATCTCCGCTACACACAAGGTTGCCAGGCCCCACTAAACTCTTAAATGCAGAAACACCGTGCTGCGTCCCTGTGGAGGTAGAGGTTGCCTGACGAAAGATTTCGGAGTATACCCTGTAATTACCTGTTCATCATTCACTTGTCGGATCTCAAAAAATTAAGTCAAGATACGCTGACTAAATTGGAGCTGCGTTATCGGGTTGGATACTTATTTATACAATGCGCTTTCTCAACTGCGCTGGAAGGAAAGGTAAATGCGCGTGTTTGATCCAAGTTAGCCGCTCTTCCGATATCGCACTAGTCCGCCGCTAGCCCGCTGATCCCGCGCTAGCCCATCGCTAGAGGACTAGCGCAAACACTAACAGCGGTACCATCCATGGATGCTTCCCGTGGCAAGCACATCCATGGATGCTCCGACGCTAGTCCGCTAGTGCCAGTTTAACTTTCGACAACGGGCTCAGATAAAATAGTATAGTGAAGCCATATCCCACTGCAGATATCCGAGTGCTTCCGAAGATGCGCAGTGCAGTGGAGAGGGGCAAGATCCGCGTGATGAGAAGGAGTACGGTACTCTGTAGATACGTGCTATATAAAGTGAGTAGTTGCTCCTAGATCATGGAACTACTCCTTTCAGGAACAGTCAACCAGTTTTGTGAAGGGAAATACAATGTCACAAGTCATCAAGAATGTCGTCGTTGCTGGTGTGAGTTGCTTCTCCTGGCCCTCCTTTCCTTCCTCCCCATGGTTGCTTACCGGTTCTCATTGACGTTGTAGGCTACTGGCACCCTCGGAACCTGGATCGTTAAAGCCCTACTTGAGACGAGGTCTTTCAATGTGACGATCCTCACGCGAAAGATCTCAGCTCAGCCCCCGCTGGCAGGCGTGTCTGTGAAACAAGTCGACTACAGCTCTATCGAGTCCCTCATTGATGCTGTCCGTGGCCAAGACGCTGTTATCGACTCAACCTTCAGTGAGACGGACGCGGAAGGGCCTTGCAACCTCATCGAAGCCTGTATCGCTGCAGGTGTCTACCGTTATATCCCCCCCGAGTTCGGCTCCGACCCGCTCAATCCAGATGTGCAAGCTCTCCCATTCTTCCGACGCAAGGCTACGGCCTTCAAATACCTTTTGGAGAAAGTCAAGGGCACCAATCTCACCTGGACAGCAGTCGCAAGTGGGCCATTCTTTGACCCTCCTCTGAAAGATGGCTCACTAGGAATTGACGTGCGCAAGAAGAAGGCGACGATATTCGGGGACGGTCAACGTGTCTCACCTTGGTCTACCCTGGAGGCGGTCGGCAAGGCCACTGCGCAGGTTCTCCTCAAACCAGCAGAGACGACAAACAGGGTCGCATACATCTCTAACGCCAACCTCTCTCAGGTAGGCATTTTGAAGCTGGCGAAAGAGGAGCGTGGGGAGGAAGGGTGGCAGACCGAGGTGGAAGACATCCAACAATCCTACGATGAAGCCAAAAATAAGCTACAACAAGGCCAAATGGATGCGTCGGTCATCTTTGCGATGCTGAAATACTCCTTGACCTCGGAGGTGTATACATACGCCTGGGAGAAGGATGATAACGCTTTGCTTGAAGTGCAGCAGTTTACAGACGACGATGTCAAATTGATCGTCCGCCAGATTGCCAACAGCGATAACTAGCAAAGTAGTGAAAGAAGAAAACCCTTTTTTTTTCATTTGGAAGAGATACAGGAACGGGTGCCCACGTAACCATCTTATCCCATAGACTATATGCGACGGGGTGCTTGTAATTCAGCGAATCCAAAGAAGAACGAAATCCCAGACGACGATTTTGGAAAAATGTAGTTTTGTGGGGGAAGCAGTTTTCGATTTCTGTCACGGCTCTTGAAGATGACCTGGGCACGAGACACTGACGGGAGTCAGACGTAGCAAAGGAATTCAGGTGTGCGAGAACGGCACTGACCACATGCGACATATACTTGGTGCTACGTCCACAGGTTGCGATTCTGGTCAGTCGTGTTCGAGTATGAGCGCAACGCTTGCAGCAGAAAATCCGGAATGAGATGAGAATTTAGGGGAAACGATGCATCTCAACTGCGATCTCTCGGGAGTTCTCCGTTATCTTCACTGCCCCAGTCAGTGTAGGAGAATCTGATATCAAGTGGATGGCCAAAAAAGCGTAATGAGGAGCTTCGACATCAGGACTGTGAGCAGTGCTGGTTGACGACGTCGATGAAGATAGGTGTAACGTATTCGGGATGAAAGGCATCTTCGAAAGGGGCCGATTTAAGAATCAAGGGGACAGTTGAAGTGTGACAGCAAATCACCAAAGTTGATCGACAATCTAAAACGACAATTGATGGATTCCGCATTTCAAGTGGGACTCGACGTTGACCGAACAATCCCACCGGCCGTGCACAGTTCACTCGAAACCCGCTCTGGAAAAGTTAGTTTGTGAGCATTCTGAAATGGAGGGGCTAGCTGACTTGCGATCATCCATCGGTTGCTCGCTCTTTCTAAAGATTCGGTCAGTGGTTTCAAGACCTCATTGATGTGGTTGAAGTGAATTTGCAACCAGACAGCCACTGATCCGGCCTTCTGCAGTAGAAGAACGGCCGCCAAAGGCATTCTCCTTACGTTGAGAATGTCATCCATAGAGGTAATGTCACGGGTGATATTCAACGCGCTTTCTATGGCTGCTATGGACGACTCCCGGACGGAGTCGAAGTTGCCGGGGAGGCTATCAAGGGACATTAAGCGCTGTTTATGAAGTTCAATGAGAGCCCTACCGCTGTTAGTTTGGAAGACGATATAACTAAGGGATAACTTACAAAAGAAGAATAACGATCGCTCTGTATGATCGCTCCCAATCCTTTCCGGAGGTATTCAAAACGTCCAGCGTATTTTGTCGAATAAGTGAGTCAACTCTCCAGATATTATAGTCTGTCATGCTCATCATGGAAAGCGTATGATTTCCAGTTGACTGTAGGACTTGCTCCAGAAAATAAACAGCTTGGATCTGCTGAGCGAAACCGGTAAAACTTCCCTCCATCGCGCCGGACAGCGGCCTAGTTTTCAAATCCCAGGGACCAACCCCAGTATGATTGCTCCACAGCTCATCGTCGACGGGAAGTTCATCCCTATTCAGAGCACTTTGAACGAGGAACTTTCGTCCAGAAATCTCATGAAAGTGATAGAAGAGTCTGTCGAGCAAGTAAACCGACCACCACACGCGCTTCCTCTCTTCGTCAAAAACAGTTGAACTGTGGAGTTGGCGATGCAACCCCATGGCGAATCCCAAGCGAGCACAAGAAGATAGTGTTATGTATGAATGAGAGTGAAATCCACTTCCTTGCTCATAGATGGCGAGAAGCAGTCCTGATTGGATAGTGGCTAAATGATCTCGCCGATATGTATGTAGGATCGAGAAACAGGACTTGCACACCTCATACAAAGGCATGCCTTCTGTAGGCTGAAGTTGTGGGGAATACGGTGGATTCACCAGCAAAATATGGAGAACTAGGCAAGCGAGCTCGGCACTGGGTTCATCTCGCAGTGATGTAGCTCTCAGTAGCAAGAAGATGGGGTGGATAAAAGGCAGCCATGGGTGCATGCATTGTTTATAGCAGTCCACAACATTTTCTAATTCAAGATTCGACCTTGACAAGATGATAAACAAGCAGGAAGTCAGACAAGAGTCGATTTCCTTCTTCGCACAGGTTCCCGTGAAGATTTGATCAAGGTAATACTGTGGTTCGTGGATATGTGAGCGCCAACCATCTTGTTGGTGAGGGCCAGTGACAGTGTGCGAAGAGTATGGGCTAGAATTGTCTAGCGTAGCACCGGATGTGTACTGACATGGAACGTTATTGCTTCGCTGATTTAGTCAATTGACCCGAAGAAGGCTGGGTCCACTATTCACCTGGCACAACGGCTGCAGACCGGTATTTGCCGGTCACATTTTCGTTTCTGAGAATAACATAACAAGCAGGCATTTGGAGCAGCGCTGCCTGATTGCATAGTGGAAAATATCGGTCTTGAATGGCTCGTGGCTTAGGGGGCATGGACCAGCTTCGGTAAATGTGATGTCGCAGCGGAAAGACTAGACTCCGTTACCCGTATTTGGGAGTTCAACCTAAAGCGGTGAGAGTAAAACTGGCAAAACTGCGCTGTTATTCCGCTAGTCCGCTGGTGGCGGACTAACTTCCCCCAGATAGATCTATGTATCTTGACAGAAATCTGGCAGTACGACAACGTATGGACAAAATCAGATATATTGAAATCTCTAACTAACAAAAATGACAAAACCCGCATTTTCAACGAGGACATCGATGACTAACTGTAGTATGCACCCGTGGACTTTTGTATGGTATGGTTGGTACCAGTTGTCACATGATTTTCCGGGTATTAATTAGACTTCCGGAAAGCCCATCAATGGGCCCGGACCCTAGGCCTAAAGCCCAACCCGCAGTGGGATATGGGCCTAACCTTTAAAGCCCAACCCAGCCCACAGCCCATTAATGGGGCCCCTATTAAAGCCTATCTCGGCGCTGACAAATCGGCCTCTATAATCGCTATATTACGACCTTCTACCGGTCGTATAAAGTTCAAATTTGGGATCTAGGTTTATAGTAGCTACATAAGTATATATATTGATTTTAAACAAAATCCGACATGCGGAAGTCGAGATATTATAGAAAATGTAAAAATTGATATTTTAATGTTAGATATATATTTAGGATTTATATAGGAGTACTGCCACTTTCTAGTAAACCTACATAATTTTTAAATTATCTAAATTTACGTAGTTTTTCGCGCTTTAAAACGTAATATAGAGATATAACTAGTAACTGATTCTAAATCATTTAAATTAATACAATATTACCTTAGGTATAATAGTGAGAAACGGTGCTAAACAGAGGGTAATTAAAAAAACCCAAAAAAGGGGTTCAACTTTACTTGGCATCTCGATTTCTCGGCATATTTGCATTGTTTAGGGCCCATTAGGCCCCCATCAAAGCCTAGTGGGCTTTACCTTAGGCCCATAGCCCATCGATGGGCCTAAGGACCGGGCCCAAAACCCGGCCCATTTACGGGTTGGGCCGGGTTGGGCTTTGGGCTTTATGGGCCGTGCGGAAGTCTAGTATTAATACCCTGTTTCCACCATGTATTCAATCTTAGCATTCGACATATCTCTCTCCCTTCTTCTATCGTCATCTATCAGAGATCCTTTCTCCCTTGGTTTTGCTATTCAATACAAATTATGACGGGCTCTAAGTCACCTCCCAAGTACCGCTTTTCCAACAGCGCCAAATAGTCCAACGGTGACAAGCACGTGATAGAAGACCACCCATAAGCCGGCGAAAATATACTTGGGCGCCAAGGCTGTCCAAATCATGAGTGTATCCCGAAGTACAACACATGCAACCATGACAGCAGCAAGACTGATGGAAGTAAACAGTGTCTGACCAGCCAAATAAGCCATCAATTTTGAACTGGTTTTTGCGACGCTCCTTTTGTCTCCCTGATCGCTTTTCTTCGGAGATAGAACTTGGAATGGTCTGTCGTGAATGGTGACCTCTAACAGCCTCATTCCCGCCCAGGCCCACCAGATAGGACCTGCCCAATTAGCGAAAAGCGTCTGCAGCACGACCGCAATCGAGTTGTAAGATGTGACACCATTGTAGCCATTTGTCAAATCAACCGAAGCGATGGTGTTGCTACCACCAAAGGCAAAGAAGGAGCTTTGAGACATGATGATAGTGGACAATGCAGTTTCCAAGACAGGATAAGTTGAGTGCGCTGAAACTGCGAAGGAAAATTAGAGAATGAATCGTTGGACTAGAAAGGTGGTACCGACTCAACCATTCCAGCTGCCATTGGAAAATCAGAAACAAAGGAATGTTCCTAGGTCTGGACTGCGTCATGAGATAAAGGGCGAGAATATGATGAATTCCGGCAAGATCTGTACGAAATGAGCACGAGAAAACAAAGTGACCACAACAGCCTCTACCTTTTGTTCGGTTGTAGTTGCCCTTTCGAGCAAGCAAGTAAACCAGAGTGGCGGCCAATAATGAGAAAATCACTTTGGCAATAGAGTTCAAATTGACCTGTGCTAGCCAGGAAAGCACCCTCGGAGAGGTGAATGTAACTAGATCAGGGGTGTTGAGAGCAGCAGACCCAAACTTGAGCAAGAGTGGTAGGACTCCGAGAGTTGTAGCCAATATTTTGGAAATGATGGTGAGGCCACCTGCACTTCCCACCGATTCATCCAGCCGAACGGCAGTCGATATATAAGCATAGCTCAACATTATCCAGAGGATCAGGGGGTACCGGGAAAGGAACGTCTGAAATATTTCGGGCAGCATATCAGTTGCATCTCCACTTTGCGTCCAGGACAACCCCAAAAATTGCACCAGGACTGGGAGAGCACGACTGAAAGGACTGCAGTCCTCGTACTTAAAGTAGCCAAGATAGCCAAACCAGATCAGAGAGACCGGGTACCAGAAATTATGTTCTTGCTTCACATATTTCTCGGAAAGCATAACTCCCGTGTAGACTGCGGCGAATACCACCGACACAATCAGATGTTTGACTTCGAGGTGCCCATTGGAGAGGCCTTGGAGGCATAAGATGCTAGCGCCGACTGCGCTCAAGAGGCCTGCGGAGAGCAGACGGAAGTTCAGACTCCCAGCTGCCATGCCCAATGAGTTCTGCATTTGATTACACCACTGGACAGAATCAGTGCTTCAGTCATATGGATGGTGGATGGTGGGGATCAAGCAGGTTTACCTGGTATAATTCCGATAAGGCTTCCGCTGAGCTCGGATCCGAAACAATTCGATCTTCAATTCTTTGAAGAGCGATATGACGCGGGTGATCGACATGATATCCCCTAACATTCAGTAGTTGATGAGCGTTCTCCAATAATAACCGTACACGATCAGACGGATCTTTCCAAAGGGAGAGGAGTTGCGGCATGAACACCCCCACGCTCTTGCTAGGGATTCGGAAACCGAGCAGACCGGCCAGCGTCGGGACGATATCAGGTTGTTTTATGATAGAGTAAAAGTCAAATGCAGTGCCATGAGGGGTAGTTGGAGCTTTTCTGTCATTAGGGAGCGATTTCAAATTAGGAGAAATCAGGAGCATCCCCGGGGATACTTCACCCGCGGATGATCCACCATGATTCCCTTGTTGGTTCATGCCATGGTCACCAGCTACGACGAAGAGGGTCGAACTGAGATGAGGCTGGGATTCGATGGCTGTATATATCTCATGGATAATAGTGTCCATCTCTTGTTGCTTTGGAAGCATATAGGGACTACTATGAGTGAGTAACCAGCGACATGAACGTCGGAAATCTTTGCTTAGACCTACCTTTCTGGTCCTCCGGTATGGCCGACATGGTCCATTCCTGGGAAGTGAAAGACCAGTGCGGACCAGTCTTCACGAGTTAATTGTGGAGAGACATGAATCGTGACATTATTGTCGACTTCAGTAAAGTCCGGGACAAAAAATGCGTCAACACCCTCGCTCCGGTCAAAAACGTCCGGGTACAGCTGCAACCACGTGTTTTCGCCGTAGAATATTATCTTTCCACGAAAGGTGGCTTTAAGCCTTGAAAGCCAGGTGTCTTCACTAGAAAGATCAGATGCATCATCATTGTCGGCAATATTGAGCGCGACATCTAGAAAAGATGGGTTTGACCCAATTGTCATTGCTTTGATGCACGAGATAGTAAGACTCGGAGGGCTTGCATGCGCCGTAAATGGAATGGCCGAGCCCGACCTGATCAGACTGAAAATATTTAGTAAATGTACGTCGCACCAGCGGAGTGACATACATACCTTTGGGTAAACTCGAAACCGGATTGATTGGAGTATACAAAGTCGCTGAACGGTTAGCCATACCCGTACATAGTACATGTCGAGGACGACATACCTTCGAAGAGCATCAATCACCATGAACACCACCTTATCAAAGGGTGGTGGTGCCTTCTCCTTGTACGCATATGGTGTGATAGTCCCAGGTGGCTCAGACGAGAAAAGCCCACTACCAAAGAGGATCACGGCAATAGGAAGAAGAATGTTGGCTAGCAACAGCGAAATGTGTCTGACCCCCATTTTGCTCGACAATCAATACAGAGTCAGGGCCGGCTATCTTCTTCTAATTATACTATAAAGAAAGAACTAGTAAGCAACTATACATTATTTGAAAATTTCTAGCCTGATTACAACGATCTCGTATTTCATACAACTCGGAAATATAGTAGCATTGAGGCACCATGTGGCCCCCATTCTACACAAATGCAGGAGCCTTATGCATGTCAGATTTGGGGCTCGCAGGATCGCGCTAGTATGCAGTATATGCAGTCATAGCCAAGGATTACTATGTACTGAGCACGCGACACCTTAAGTTATCTCATGCTGTTTACGGATATGATCTACTCTGCTATCAAAGGGGGCAGTGATACCAAGAAACAGTAGGCTCAGCCCGAGCACCTAGAATTCAAGCCACGAAGCTCCGAGTGGATCAGCACCTGGGCAAATATATAAAGCTGACTAACGCCATACTTGAACATCATCTCTCTCTATAGTCCCAAGAACGAATCAGCACAGCCTGCCGCAAACATGAATTCACTCAAGAGCTTCTGGACTCAATACTTCCCGCCTTCGCCAGCGTTTACCGAATCACAAGTTGGCCCCCAACTACTCCGCGTCTTCATCGTCACCGGAGGAAACTCAGGGCTAGGCCTGGAACTAGTCAAACAGCTTTACCCAACGGGTGCAACAATCTATCTAGCCTGTCGCTCCAAGGAACGCGCCGAGACAGCGATGCAGGAAGTCATTGATTCCTTCAAGGAATCTGACATCAGCACACCGTCCAAACTAAAATTTCTGTATCTGGACTTGAATGATTTATCGTCCATTGCCGAATCAGCCGCTACTTTTTGCGAAAATGAGTCGAGGCTGGATATCCTGTGGAATAATGCAGGGATTGGCGGGAGTCCCGTTGGGACTACAACCCGGCAAGGCATTGAGGGACATATCGGGGTAAACTGTGTTGGCCCCCTGATGTTCACCCAGGCCCTTCTGCCAATGCTCCGCAATGCAGCTCACGACAGCTCCACCGGGCGTGTGCGTATCGTTTGGACTGCCAGTTTGAGTATCGAGTCGCACGCTCCTGTTGGGGGAATTGAGGCGGATCGAGTGGATTGCGGGATCACGCAAGATCCTCCCAGCGACTACGCTCAATCAAAGGTGGGGAACTGGTGGTTGGCGGTTGAAGGTGCGAGACAGTATGCGGAGTACGGAATTGTGAGTGTTGCGCAAAACCCGGGACAGCTCGATACAGATGTGTGGAAGCATCAGCCGTGGTGGATCATGATGCTGGTGAGGCCCACTTTGCATGAAAAGAGATTCGGTGCCTATACAATGTTGTATGCAGGGTTCTCCAAGGATCTGTTGGTTGGAGATACACGATACGTAATTCCATGGGGCCGAGTGAGAGATTGGAAGGAGTGTCCGCGGAGGGACATTGTAGCGGCTATGGAGGATAATGGTCCTAAATGGTTCTGGGATTGGTGCGAAGATCATTATAGACACTTCATCTAGATACTATTCGCTCGCAATCCGAGACACTTTAATCCTTCAATGTTCATCGTTATCCCGTAAACCGAGCACTGGTGCCTTATGCTCCGTGTCAAGATGATGGCCCTCAACAAATACCCCTGCTACTAGCCCCACAGCTGCAAATGCAACATACTGCACGTACTAGTTAGCATTACGTTCTTCCTGATATGAAATGAGGCTTACCATAATCCAGACCGTTTTCAATGACTCGTAAATGGCCTGTCGTGCCACGAGCTTTTGATCCAGGGGGAGTGTACCGATGATCTCGATATTGGCCATTGCGCCCCCAGAGACTTGACTTGCTAGTTGCTCGCCCAGAGCGGAAACCAATTGGGGTCCTTTTCTTGCCATCTGATTCTGGAACACGACAGTTCCGATGACGACCGAGATCGCGGTGGACAAGGTCCGTACGAATCCAATGGTCGCAGTGGCAGTTGCTGTATTTTCCGCCCCCACAATTGCTTGAAGAGCCAACAGTGGGCCCTCAAAATTCAAGCCGATGCCGATTCCGGCAATGACCTGGAAACCCATGATTTTACCCCAGTTGGCGGTAGCCTCGAGATTAATCAGCAAACCTACCCCCAACGTCATAGTGGCTAGCCCCAACCACATCGCTGGGACATAGACTCCGGTCCTTTGGATGAAGAGTCCAGTCAATGCAGCTGAGACGGTGAGAGCTAGGACAAACGGAAGAATGTAAACCCCGGACATAATCGGACTAGAGCCGAGGACCGCTTGGAAGTATAGGGGGAGATAATAGGCTTCGCCCATAAAGATGTAGCCATGGCAGAAGCAGACCAGGAAGGAAGCGATGCCGGAGCGATGATGAAACAGGACTAGAGGAATGACGGGGTACTTCACCAGTTTCCATTCGTTGACAACGAACAGACCCAGGACCACACCGGCAAAGACGATGAGACATATTACCGTGGCGGAGTTCCAAGGATGCGTGACACCCCCAAAATCGAGACCCAACAAGAGCATAATGGTGCTACCGATGACGAATAAACATCCCGTCCAGTCGACAGCTTTCAGGCCACTCCATATCGGGGTATCGGGTGTCTCAAGCTTGAGAGTAAACCATAATAACAAGAACACTAGTCCAGTGATTGGGAGATTGATCCAAAAACACCAGCGCCAACTAGAAGAAGTCAGCGATATGCAATGCAACATGTAAGATATAAGTGGATACCATAACAAAACGTTGGCCCCCTGTTTTTGGGCAAGAAAACAGCAAAACAACCTTGGAAAGTGCATATGTATGTACTTTGGAACTGTGGATCTCCAGGGGTAGGAAATGAACAGGAAAGTATTGTGCGCACACACCTTGCTTTTTCAGTAAACACCCCACCGAGGACTGGACCTACTCCACTGGCAAGGGCCCATACGACAGAAATGAGGCCAAAATATAGACCGCGATCTCTGAGAGAGAACAAATCACTGACACAAATATTCACGAGGGTGATCAGCCCAGCCGCTCCTAGCCCCTGCACGGCCCGACCAAACAGGAATAGTGCGATCGTATTGCCGGCTGCGCAGATCAAACTCCCGCCGAAAAAAATTACCGTCGCAACTAGAAGCAACGGTTTTCGGCCCCATATATCCGAAAGTTTACCCCAGGCGGGTACGGTGGCCGTGTTGGCCAGAATGTAGGAACTGCCAATCCATGTGTAGGCGGAACTAGACTCAAAATGTGCGGAGATCGACGGCAAGGCTGTCGTTATAATCGTGACGTCAAGCGCAGCCACAAATACTCCTGCGCATAAAGCAGTGAGAATGGTGAACGTTTGCAAAAACGATCGATCTAAGGTCGGGCTTGGGGAGCTCGGGCTTGAGTCTTGGTGAGATGGGACCGGCTCCATTGTTCATGGATTTCAAGATTTTTCGGAAAATTAGGAGAATTATCAAGTGAGAAACAATGTAGAATAAATATACAGAATACTGTGAATATAATGAAGAATGTTCCGAGGTTGGAAGATTGACTCTTACTCCGTATACCCGTATACTCTCGTATATCGTATATCGTTTATCGTTTATCGCTCGGATGTCCGTGGATAGTACAAGTCACATGGGCCAATCGGATTGATTTCTCCTCAACCTCCACTTTGACTAGCCTACAACCCCCTGGATGAACAACAACTTCCGCTTCATCAAATCCGGCAAATGCTCCCCCTCAAGAACATCCATGTGGCCTATTCCATGTTCCACGTGGATTTGGTTCCTGGTTCCCGGGAGACTCTCGAACGTCTCCTGTTGTCCTGCAGCAGGGATGAGCTGATCCAACGCCGGGACCACAAACATCACCGGCACAGCCAGATGCCTGTAAATCGGAGCTGGACTCCACATTAGGAGCTTGCGATAAGACTGGATGGTCGTACTATTGACATGATTGGCAGCCAATGCTTGGCGAGTGGGGATATTATCATCCTGTGCGCTGACGATGCGCAGAGCGGCGTCCTTGTCAATGCCCAGATTGAACCCAGCCGGATTCTCGCCCGCTCTGTTGAGCATCGGGAGATAGAACGGAGTGTTCCCCTTTAGTTGGGACTCCCGATCTTTCGCAATCTTGCCAAGTACGCTGGGTATCTTGGCCTGTGCGAAAGAATACTCCGAAGCTGGACAGACGGCGACGACGAAGCGGGCGCGTGGGTCAACTGCTGCACAGGCTAGTGCCACAGCCCCAGAAAGAGACATGCCCCAAATCCCCATGCGGGCCTGATCCACCATGGGATGAGCAGCCAGAAAGCTCAGCGCATCCGAATAGTCGTCTATCTGCGTGAAGGGGTCGATGTTGTTGCGCGGCTCGCCATCGCTAAGCCCAGTGGTTCGTGGGTCATACATGAGCACTGTGATTCCGGACTGCTGAAAGGCTAGAGCCACGTTAGGCAAGCCCACCATCTCTTTCACACCATTGAACTACTCGAAATTAGCTAAGAATGTCAGACGGGGTGATGTAGCGCTTACCCCGGGACTCATAACAATACCAGGTCCTCGATTCGAGGCGATATACATTCGACCTCGAAGAGTGAGACCATCGATAGTCTTGAAATCGACATCTTGTTGAGACATGGTGAAGTGTATAGTGCAAAGATTGTTGAATTGAGTAGATAGTTGAAATCTCTAGATGGGCCCATCTATGGCATTTTATAACATCACTCCTAGTCATGCGAACTTTTATTTTCAGCATCTCACCCGAGGACGGCGGAGCAACATTCGCTGGCAACTGCTCTGCCTCTAGGTGCTAGAGCCCATCTGAGGGACCCGCATTATCCTATTCTGCATTTAGAGCCACTATCGAGGAAATAATTCAAGCATATCGCTCTTCAACACACTATCTTTGGGATATTATCGGGCTTACACGCGGGATTTGGCCCCTACGTGCGGCTGACTCAGAGTGGAAGGGCATTTGTCTAAGCTCGTTTGCAGTACATTGGCTGACCCGCATATCACCAGGGCTGGCAAACATTATTGGCCCGTCAGGAGCGCCATTGCACGGCCTCGCCCCGGCCCCAGTGGGTTCAAGTTGCCATGTTGAAAATTACAATACTGTATAGGACATTGCAAATTTGTTCTATCAATTCAATTGTCTATATCCAGAAGGATATAGAGGGCATACTAGCAGAGCGCAGACAGATGGCTCAGGTATAAAAGGGAAGAGCTTGCTCGTGCTCCTTCTCCAAACTAGTTCTCTTTCAACTTCAATTTCACGCTTCAACATGGTTATCAACAGCTCTGGACCCGATACTTATACCAATGGAGTTGGTGGTCTCCATGGGACTGCCGACTCAGTTGATTCCAACTTTCTCGCCGAAGGCAATGCTGTCCCTGATCTTGGAGCTATAGGTGATGCGCCCCAAACCTCACTTCAAGCCCCCATTGCCGTGGTTGGAATGGCATGTAGGCTCCCCGACGAGTGCCATTCTCCAGAGGCATTCTGGAGATTCATTGAGCGAGGTAACATTGCGAAAAATCGACCTCCTTCGTCAAGGTTCAACATTGATACTCATGTAAGTCTCGAGCAATCACTCCTTGCGCAGAATCCGAGAAGACCATCAAAAACGAGCACCAAAAAAGACATCTGAAAAGACATCTGAAAAGACCATCTGACAAGACTACCAAAAAAGACTACACTAACAGACGTAGTATGATGGATCCCTGAAGAACAAGACGATGGCATCCCCAGGAGGAATGTTCCTCCAAGGTATTGATGTCCAAGATATTGATGCCCAGTTTTTTAAACTCTCTCGACTGGAGGCCGTGTCTATGGACCCCCAACAGCGGCAGTTGTTGGAGGTTGTTTATGAGGGACTCGAAAACGCGGGTGTTACCCTCGAGCAACTGGACGAGTCACCTGTCGGCTGCTTTGTCGGGTCATTTGCCTGTGACTACGGAGACATCCAAGCCCGAGACCCGGAGGACAGAGCTGCTGCGACGACAGTTGGAATTGGACGTGCCATGCTGAGCAACCGAATCAGTCACTTTCTGAACATCAAGGGTCCTAGGTATGTGTCTCGGCTTTCCTTCTCGATATCCAAACTAAACATCACATAGCATGACCATCGACACCGCCTGCTCTGGTAGCTTGACCGGTGTCGATGTCGCTAGTCGATACCTCCAGACTCGTGAGATCAAGGGTGCTATTGTTGCCGGTGCCAATATCTATCTCAGCCCTGAGCATGTCATGGACCACCACTTCGGTGCCAATGGAACAGCCTCGCTCACAGGAAAGTGCCACACGTTTGATGCCAAGGCAGACGGATACATCAAAGCCGAGGCGGTCAACATGGTCTATCTCAAACGTCTCGATGATGCTCTCCGTGACGGCGATCCCATTCGTGCCATTCTGCGCGGTACTGCCACCGGCAGTGATGGCTGGACAGCCGGTATTGCCAGCCCCAACTCACAAGCCCAGGCAGCCGCTATTCGACAGGCGTACGCAAATGCTGGCATTTCTGACTTGTCTTTGACGAGTTATGTCGAATGTCATGGAACTGGTACCAAAGCTGGTGATGTGATCGAGGTTAACGGTATCGCATCGGTGTTTGGCAAACATCGAACTCCTGAGAATCCCTTGCGGATTGGATCTGTCAAGAGCAATATTGGTCACTCAGAGCCTGCAGCCGGAATCTCTGGTTTGTTGAAAGCAATTCTCGCCCTTGAGAGGGGTGTTATCCCTGGAAATCCCACATTCCTAACTCCGAACCCCAATCTTGACTTCGAAAAGCTTTGCCTACGTCCCTCCAAAGCCACAACAAATTGGCCTGTCGTTCCTTTCCGACGAGCTAGTGTGAACTCCTTTGGATATGGTGGCTCTAATGCCCATGTCATTGTTGATGCTGCCGCTGGACTCAGCAAGCACGTGACCTCTTACACGGGCGAAAGCGACGATATCTTTGCAGATGATGCAGGACTGGAGAAACCTTACCTTTTGGTCCTTTCGGCCAATGATGAGGATTCCCTCCGTGCTCAAATCACGTCGCTAGACAAGCATCTCTCGGACCCTGCCGTTGATGTGAAGATCCGAGATTTGGCACACACCCTCTCCAATCACCGTACACGCCATTATCATCGAGGATATCTGATCGCGAACAGTAATGCCATCGATGTTGATGATGTGATTATGGGAACACCTCGCTCAGATCCACCAAAGATTGGCTTTGTATTCACTGGACAGGGCGCTCAATGGGTGCAGATGGGCAAGGATCTTGTTACATTCCCTCTGGCAAAAAAAGAGTTGGAGCATTTAGACAATGTTCTGGCAAACCTCCCCGAACCTCCTCGGTGGTCCCTTATTGGTCAGTCCCTCTCGCCCCAATCAATTGATGCACATACTAACAAACCTAGATAAATTGGTCAATCCTCAAAGCGCCGAGGACCTTCGTGATCCTGAGCTCTCACAGCCCCTTGTAACCGCTCTTCAGCTTGCAATCCTGGCTGTTTTGAATGGTGCTGGTATCAGATGCAGCTCTGTTGTTGGCCACTCATCTGGAGAAATTGCCGCTGCTGTCATGGCTGGTAAAATTACTGCCGAGCAGGCCATCAAGATCGCTTACTACCGAGGCAAAGCAACTTCGAATGCTCAATTCGAAACCGAAGTGGGTATGCTTGCAGCTGGACTGGGAGCCGAAGCTGTACAACCCTATCTGAAAGCCACATCCATTCAGGTCGCCTGTATCAACAGCCCAGATAGCGTAACGCTTTCTGGGGACCGCTCGGAACTGCAAAACATTGAGCAGAAGATCAAGGCCGACGGCCACTTTGCTCGTCTGCTTCTGGTCAATGCGGCCTATCATTCTAAGCATATGAACGTGGTGGCGAACGAGTATCAGACCATGTTAGAGAAACATGTTGATTGGCCGCAGACAAGCTCCAATTCTGCCACTATGTTCTCGTCCACTTTGGGGGAAATGGTCGAGGATGATCTCGGACCGAGCTATTGGGTGCGTAACATGGTATCACCAGTTCTGTTCAACCAAGCCGTTCAGCAAATGATCTCCTCGTCGGAGGGGGTCGATTTGTTGATCGAGATCGGGCCAAGCAACGCCCTTGCTGGACCAATCAACCAAATCAAGAAGGCCGTTTCATCCTCCACCGACTATATTTCCTCCTGGAAACGAGGCCCTGATGCACTGAACGCCATGCTGGGATTGGCTGGACAGCTCTTCATCATGGGATGCCCGATTCAACTAGGTCAAGTGAACAAGGACACTCAAGCAGCAAAACCATCAATGATCGTCGATCTTCCGAATTACGCATGGAACCACGCCACCAAATACTGGCACGAGAGCGAGGCAAGCAGCGACTGGCGGTTCCGCAAGTTTGTTCATCATGATCTGCTCGGTAACAAAATCCTGGGCACTCCATGGACTCAGCCGGTGTGGAAGAAAGTCATGAAGGTGGATGACTTGCCGTGGCTTCGGGACCACAAGGTACTTAACCTTCGCTCCTTCCTTTAATGTGCATGCTAACCTTAGTAGCTCGGTGATAGCGTGATCTTCCCCGCCTCTGGCTATATTGCCATGGCTATCGAAGCCATATTTCAAAAGGCCAAGGCCCTGGGTCATCTTCCTGATGCAGTCAGCGTCAACCAAGTATCATACAAGTTGCGAAATATCACTTTCTTCCGCGCGCTGCCCATAGATGAAGAATCTGGCAACACTAAGATTATGCTCGCGCTTAATCCATGTGCCAGCACCAAGGACAGTTGGCATGAATTCAAGATCTCATCCGTCTCAAAGGACATTAACAACGATCATTGCCAGGGGCTTGTCAGTCTATCTGAAGAGGGTATTCAAGGTATGTTGTGTGTTGCTGGATTGAAGATTACCGCTGACATTTCCAGTGGGACCCGCGAGCGACCTTCTGCCTCTTCTCCACGGTACTCCCGCCTCGACGTGGTACAAGGCAATGCGAGATGTGGGATACAGCTTTGGTCCCAGTTTCCAACAGCAGCTGCAAATCGAGTCAACTGCTGGTCAGCGCTCGAACCGAGCCACTGTCTCTTTGCTGGAACCACAATCCAAAACACCGCAGTCATTGTATCCAATGCATCCCGTGAGCATTGACTCTTGCTTCCAGGCGGGCGCACCGTCTCTCTGGTCCGGCCACCGAAGCTCCGTCAATAGTTTGATGCTGCCGGCTATGATAGATGACCTGACCGTGATGGCGCAAGCATCTTCCCCGGAAACAGGATTAGCTGTTGCAGATGCAGAGTTCGCCGGCATTGGAAGACATGATGATCCCCGCCGGTTTAAGTCGAATGTCAAGGTGTATGACCCAGTCAATGGGAATTTGCTCTTCCGACTTTCTGGCCTTCACTACCACTCCCTTGACGCTACCGTGGAGAGTCATGCGGCGCACACGTACACGTGTTTGAAATGGCAACCAGACATCTCTTTCCTTTCCAATGATCAACTTGCTACCTTGCTTGAGGCATCAGAGTCTGGAAGCAGCACTGACAAGGCTGTTGCCAAGATTGGACAGGTCATCAACCTTGTTGCTCACAAGAATCCTCGTCTGCGGGTCTTGGAGCTGGACTTGGTTGACAAACCCGAAAGTGTTTGGATTGATCGCATCATGCCCATCGCCTCTGATATTGCCACTGACCTTGAGTACCATCTATCGGTGCCATCCCAAAACTCCGCTATCTCCGCACGGTCCAAATATGGAAGCTCGAAGGTGGAGTTTGGTGTTCATGACATCGATGCGCCATTTAGCGACATGGAAGACAAGGACGCATATGAGATCATCATTTTAAAGGCATCTCCTTACCACCCGCCCTCGGCTACCGATATTGAAAAGGCCAGGGATCATCTTTCCCAGAGAGGCTTCCTTTGCGTCTTGTACGACACGAGTGTAGTCGAAGGAAACCTATTCACCTTTGGCGGCTTGGAAAGCATTTCTACCACGCAATCTCCGCAGAATTCTGGCGAGCTCCAACTTGCCTACTTTGGATCTGCTGTGGCCAAAGAAACTCCCCCATCCAGGTCTCCGCTGCATGTCGCGCATTTCAAGCCCTCGAGTGAACTCAAATCGAAGGCCCTTGGCCATTTCATCGAGGATGGGTGGGAGGTTATCGAACATTTCTTGCCGTTCAACGATATTCCTGAGAATGGGACTGTTGTGGTACTGGATGAGATGGACTCTCCAGTCATGTCTCATTTGAGCGACGAACAATTTGAGTCTTTCCGGAACCTCGTTCAACGCCGATGTCGAATTCTATGGGTCACACGAGGTGCGCAGATGCAGGTGACGCACCCTGAGCATGCCCTCTTTTTCGGCACCGCGCGATCGCTATATGGAGAGGACCCGACCTCTCTAATCATGGTGTTGGACGTTGAGCATACAGATGGAGAAGCCAGTCTAGGTGCTCTTGATTCGGTATTGAAACGTCTTGTTTCTGCTGAGATGTTGAAAGATGAGGATCACGAATTCGTCGAGAGGGGCGGGATGGTTTATATCAGCCGAATCGTTCCGGACAAGGCGGTCAATCAGGCCGAGAAGGACAGCGTCCTGGGCCCGGAGGCTCAAGAACAGTCACTGCATGGTCATCAGTCCACTGTGAGACTCATTAGCACGCGGACTGGAACCATTGACAGTCTGCAGTATGCAGTGCAGCCCGACGACGTATTTGGAAATCGTGACGTGGAGATTGAGGTGCATGCAGCAGCCCTCAACTTCAAGGACCTGGCGCATGCCTTGGGCTTCGTTGCATCCAATGAGCGTCGGCTGGGGCTGGAATGTACTGGAATTGTCACTCGACGAGGTAAGGATGCGAAGTCTGTTTCTATTGGAGATCGTGTACTGCTCATCCGGAAGGATGGAGGTGGCTTCGGCAATAGAGTCATCAGTACAGTGGAGGGCGTCCAGCGGATTCCGGATTGGATGTCATTTGAGGATGCCTCCACCCTCGGAGTTTGCTTCATGACAGCCATATACAGTCTTATCGATTTGGCCAACACACAACCAGGACAGGTAAGTGTCTTATTCCGCCGATCATTCACATCCACTGACGATACAGACTGTTTTGATCCACGCCGGTGCGGGAGGTGTCGGATTGGCCGCTATCCAAATCTGCCGCTACTTGCAGGCCGAGATATACGTGACCGTTGGTTCCGAGGAGAAGCGACGCTTCTTGAGAACAGAATACGGCATCCCAGAAGACCACATGTTCTCGTCGCGGTCGATATCCTTTGCTGCCGATCTCATGCGGGCCACCAACGGCCGTGGGGCTGATGTGATCCTGAACTCGTTGACGGGTGATATGCTGCACGAGTCTTGGCGTTGCCTGGCCCCCAATGGAAACTTCATTGAGATTGGTAAGAAGGATCTGCTTGATCGGAACAGCATCTCCCTGGCACCATTTAGTCACAATGCTTCATATCGGTCATTCGACCTGTCACTCAAGGCGGTCTCCTTGCCCACATTCGACCGCTTGATGAAGCAAATTTTCGCCTTCGTCAATGATGGTGTCATCAAACCGCTTCCCATCTGTAAGACATTCTCCTTTGCGGATATTGCAGATGCTTTCCGTTACATGCGAGATGGAAAGCATATTGGCAAGATTGTGGTGTCGGATGAGAACCGCGATGCTGTTCGAGTTCCTGTAAGTTTATCCACCCTACCCTCTCTGTGAATACCCAGCTAATAATCCAGATCATTCCTGCCCTTCCGGCTCTGAAACTGAGAGATGATGTTACATACCTTATTGCTGGCGGGTTCAAGGGTCTGTGCGGCAGTCTCGCCCTCTACCTAGCCCGCATCGGGGCCAAGAATATCGCGGTCATGTCCCGCAGTGGATACGACGATTCTGCTTCTCAAAGTATCATCTACCATCTAAAGGCCATGGGAACTCACATAGACTTGATCCAAGGCGACATCACCAATGTCGAGGATGTGCGACGAGCATTCGCCTCTACCAACAAGCCGGTCGGTGGGATTATCCAAGGTGCAATGATTTTGCGGGTAAGTGAACTGCCTGAATACAGACCCTTTGCTGGACTAACAAAGCCAGGACAAAATCTTCCCCAGAATGACGCCAGATGAGTTCCGAACGCCCATCGATCCCAAGGTAATCGGAACCTGGAACCTGCACAACCTGGCCATAGAAAACAACCTCAAACTAGACTTCTTCACTCTCCTGTCTAGTGTGAGTGGTGTCGTTGGTCAAAAGGCCCAAGCCAACTACAGTGCTGGTAACGTCTTCCAAGACTCCTTCGCAGTCTACCGACATGCCCTTGGTCTCCCAGCATGCTCTGTCAACTTGGGAGTGATTGAGGATGTGGGATACTTCACGGATCGCGACAACCTCAGTCGTAGATTGGAGTCGCAGGGTTGGACACCCATTAATGAAGCTCTGCTGCACAAAATCTTACGCTTTTCGATTCTCCAGCAAACATCGCCAATCAACCCCGATAGCATGTCGCAGCTCATCACGGGTATTCCCGTTCCTTTGCTTCCCACTGCACCTATGCAACCATTCCATCGGTGGAGCGCATTGAGGCCCACGGCCGCAGCAACTGGTGCTGTGGGGGGCGACAGCCAAGAGAGCCACTTAGCCACACTCAAGAACGCAGGGGCTTCCCCGAGTGACAACGTGGACCACCCAGCTCTTCTAACATCGGCTGTGGAAGTTGTGAATGCAGTTTTGATGCGTAGTCTTGGTTTGAAGACCCCGTTGGAAGTAAGTCGGCCACTAGCCAGCTACGGAATCGACTCCCTGGTCGCAGTTGAGTTGCGAAATTGGACCAGGTCGGAACTTGGTATTGAGACGAGTGCCTTGGATATTGTGGGGGCCAAGACCTTGGTGTCGCTTTGCGAGCTTATTCTAAAGAGATTGCTGGCATAATCAGTCGTTGGTGGACACCAAAGGGACCCGGAAATCTCTGGTATCCAAGATCTAGTCTAGCTGAACAATACAAATACTCTGCCAATTTGATTTACTATTTATCATATTCCAACCCTTTGCTGCGGCCACTGCAATGCCGATTTCCACTTCTCATTCTGGTCCTTCAGCTCACTCATTAACTCAGCGACCAGTTCCTCCCCGCAGCCCTTAGCCCACCAGAAATGGGCTCCTAATTCATTCAATAAAACTGCCCAGTTCATGAGGATTAACAATTGGAATGGCTGACGTGCGCGCAACCCATCCACAAATTCCCTCTTGGCGTAGGTGAGCCAAGCCAGGATAGGTGCAGGATGCGGCGCATGGGTGAATTTGGCAAAGGAGTCTTGTAGGGAGTCGATGGCTTCCTGGTTGATGCTATGTTGTGCCGAGTCTGTGTTTTCGATTGAGCTATTCAGCATTCGCAGTTGTGTGATCGCATTGGCCATGTCGGGATCCAGCGCGGTATTATCTCTCCAGTCGTATTTGGAGAAGATGCTTGCCTGTCGCCATGGTTTGCTAATTTGTAAGATCTTACTTGCCCCCTGTAACAGCTCAAAAACCGTCATCATAGTTTCGATCATGCTGAAGGATTCGCCGCGATGCTGAGCGTTCAGCCGAGGGAGTGCTATGCCAATGATAGTAACGATCGCTGATTGGGCAAAGACGGCGTCGCAGTTGAGAGGGGTCAGATTGGCCAAAGCCTCTCTAAAGGGGGCAAAGGCAAGTTCATTGCACTGCAATGCAGTGTCTAGGTAAGATATAACTTGGTCTGAGTCCGGGGTGGTGGCTACAATGTGAAGCGCGGCGAGGGAAAAGATGCCATGCAAGAGAAATTCATGTTCGAAAGCAAGCTTGGGAATGAGGACCTGCCAATCCTCCATGTCAGAGTGGTCACCACATATGCTTTGATAAGTTTCGGTTGAGAATTTGTGCATTAGCAGCAGATGTCGGGCATCATATTTTGGTGATGTAAAGACTGGCTTGGCCCGTGGTTTGGGATCTGGTTTCGGAGAGGCCTCAGTTGCAGATTGTCTTCGAGGACAAGGTATGCTATAGATGCAGGGTAGTTCCCGAGTGGTACATGCACTGCATAGGGGCCGTGTCTCGTCACACTGGTGTTGTCAGCATCTAGTCTGCCCAGGTGGGACACGTCGGACAGATATCGGCCCACCTTGACACGCCGCTCCTTGCATTGATTGCACCCATTTCTTGACTTCTTATGAAATCGTCGAGGCATGATTTGATCTCATAGATATAGAGGGTGTAGGATAATATGGGAGTTGGAAGAGTTGGGGAGCGGGGAACGATAGACGATAAACGATAAACGAGGAACGGGGAACGGGGAACGGTAAACGGGTAAACGCTAAACGACAAACGACAAACGATAAACGATAAACGAAGTACGAGCAACGAGACAAGCCAAGATCAACAAAGGATCAGTGACATATATCAGCCCTGGAGGACCCTTAGGAGTAAAATTTCCTGTGTTTTTTCCCCCGGATATTCACACTCTTCAAAATGTCGGCCATTTGCACAGAAATCACACCCCAATGCCCCGTCGAAGCAACCACATACGGCTACTATCCCAACCTTGGCGGCAATATATTTTTCACGGTTTATTTCGGCCTGCTTGGAGTTAGTCAACTAGGCCTCGGGATATATTTGCGAACATGGACTTTCCTCGCAGCTCTCGGCATCGGGACATTCATGGAAGCCGCCGGATACGTGGGACGAATCCTCATGCACGACAATCCATGGTCAACATCCGGGTTTCGACTACAGATCTTCTGCCTCATTCTGGCTCCAACCTTCATTGCCGCGGGGATATATCTTACTCTTAAGCACATAATCATCCACATTGGACCACAATACTCACGCATAAACCCAAAGCTTTTCACTTGGATATTCATTGGGTCTGATGTGGGATCCATCGTTCTGCAAGCAGCTGGTGGAGGCGTGGCCAATGCAGCCGGGACCGACCAGGACATGGTTAATACTGGAAACAATATCATTATTGCTGGAATTGCCTTCCAGGTTGCCACAATGTGCGTTTGTGGATTCCTAGCGTTGGACTTCTTCATTTCATCTAGGAAGCATCTGCGCGAAGGGTTCCAAGGAGAAGCTGTGACTGAGAAGCCTCAACGAAAAATGTGGTTGGTACTTGCTGCAGAGATTGCCGCCTATACCACAGTTCTCATTCGGTGTATTTATCGGTGAGCCATTCAATCTCGATATAACACATGAAGTTATCACTAACTCTATCTAGTCTTCCTGAGATGGCGGGTGGATGGGGAAACAAGTTGATGCAGAACGAAATGGAGTTTTTAGTGCTTGATGGAATGTATGTCGAACACAAAACCCTCTCTCCTATGCACTGCTAACCATCACAGGATGATTGCTCTGGCCTGTCTGGTATTTACAGTCGTCCACCCGGGATTACATCTCCCCACAATGGGGACAGGACGGATCCATCGGTAATTTCAATGTGGTCCATAGCTTGTTTTCTCTTTCTGTGTCCTTTTCTATACAAATTTGAGTATTTTGTTTTAATAGCGACTCTAGACATGCTCTCGATTTCTTAATATTTTGATTCTCTGTGTTGCATTATCTGGTTATCATTCAGGGGCCCCATTTATGATAATTATCTTGTGCAATAATAGAAATCTTTGATAAGGAGCCAAAAATTACTATACAGATCCACCATATTTCTCACAGAAATTGTAGTCTAATATTTTGTCGGTGATTCAGGCTGCGGTTTCAATCGCTTATATGAGCCCCAGAAAAGCTGCCGTATTTCCCCCAGTCGATCAGTACACGTACACCGGAACCGAGAGACCTGCCGTTATATCAGGCCAGATGTGCTCTTTAAAGTCAAAGGCTCGGGCATCCGGCAAAATCTCACGGAGGCGATACCGCAGAGGGTTCAAAGGATTCATACTAACAGCAGCTATGATCGCGACCTGGTCTTGCACTGCCTTTGTGACCGTCAAATGTGCCTCCCCTACTAGAAACTTGACCCCCACCAGCAGTCCAGACACTGACCCTGCTTCAGTAGGAGTCAGAATACGCGTCAAAAGAGTAGTTTGGAGCGGCTTGGAATGTCCTTCCTTGCATGGCGCCGAGCATGAACGCATGATTCCCTTCTCCGGGAATTCCAGACACCTTTGACTGAAGACGGCAAAGGTCGACGTGTCCTGCGTATCCTTGACGACACCGAACCAGTTATGGGACTCTTTCAGTGTGGATGGCAATACAGGACAATTGACTGGGCTATTGCTGAAGGGCCAGGATACTTGAAGGTTTCCTTCGCTATCGACGCCCGAGTGCTCGAGCGCGAGAATGGAGTTTATAATCACACGACGGGCTTCGACACCAGTGAGAAGCGTCCTTTTTCCGGGCATATGGTCGAGGGAGTCTATCTCGTCCACTGATTGCCATCGACTCCAGCATGAGCTGATACAATTCTTGTCGCCGACCTTGTGGGCGCAGTACATTGGGTGATCCGTGGAGGGGCTGCTTGTTTGAGAGAAGCGGAGAGCGTCCCAGAGCGTCACTCGCTGGGCGTTTCCGGTGCATGCACTTACTTCCAATCCAACACGGAGATTTAGAAGTGGCACGAGCTTTGTGTCAGGTTTCGTGCAGTCCGCGATGAGCATTGCCTTGAGTGTGCGCTTCGGGATCCGCTTATACCTCTTCACGAGTCCGGCTGTAATGTATTGTCCGCCGACAAGCTGAACGTCGTACCCATCGCTCATGTATCTTGATTTGCTTGTTCCGGGATACTGGAGCCGAGAGGCGATCCGTTGTCCAATCATCGAGATTGATGACTTGCAGTTTTCGTTGACAACAAGCCCAGCCCCAACGTCAGTGGTTGTGCCGATTAATATCCTTGATGTGTTGCGAATGAGTATTGGCATATCAGAAGTCTCACCAGAAACGTATTGTGGAATTTCCGTCACCCAGTGGCATTCAATTTCGTCAAGTAACGAAGATGTAAACAAGGAAGATTGTCGCTCTCGTGGAAGTGGGAAAATGAAGCCTCTCTCTGTTTGGATGACTGGCGCTTCATCGGCAGTACCTCCTACCATCGAGACTGGTCCCCACAGTTCTTGAACATCCTGGACGGTCAAAGATATCTTCATTCCCTCAGGTGGAACGGACGCTTTCCCTAGAATCCATGCAGGACCACCGATTAAGTCGTCCAAGCAAGCCAGCTTCCGTGGCTTAAAGGCATACCCTTCGAAGCCGACAGGGATCTCTTCCATCTCTTGATCCCATAAATTAATATCGAATCGACACACATGTGAGCCAGAGAATGAAACAATCCCAATTGACAGAATTATACATAGGAATCGAAGGATTTGCACCGAATCAAACTCCGAGAGGGCCTTGTCCTCAACTTTGAGCAACGCGTGCATCCCGTACTTTAACACCATATTCCGTAGATTCTCGTCGGGTGAGTCCAAAATAGTCTGGACCAAAGTGCTAACATGGCTCAATGATACATTGACAGCACTAGCGACGCTATCCCGGTCTTGGTCTTTGATAAGAATGCTGATGGAGGTTCCACAAAATCCTTGAGACTGCAGATACTCAAGCGCAGCTTGCCAATTCCGAAGACACTCAAGGCAGTCATGTAGCAATTCAAGATTAATTAGTGGCCCATTTGCCATGCCGAGTATCTGTGCGGTTTGGAGCTCGAGCTGGTCCAATTCACTGAAATAACGAGCGGCGTCCAAGACGTGGTCCATATTCTTCGTCTGGGGTATACCTGCATCTATCGAGTCCTCTTCGTACTCCGGAGTAGTGAGATTTGTGCCAACTGAAAGTGCGGCCGAGGAGCCAGAGCCATGAGAAAGCGAAGATCGTCTTGGTTGTTGGTGCACGATGGGGTCCCCCCATGGGTCCTGTGGCTCTGTTCCACCAGGAGCGAAAGATTGGTCCAGCGTCGTATCAGCACCTTGTAACAATCCAGCTCTCGCTGCGGCCACCCTAGAAACACTTTCTTCATGTGTAGTATGTTTATTCTCATCTTCGCGCTTGCCCTTCTGCTCCGGTTGCGCTCTGGGGTGCTTCGCATATACTATCTTGCCTTCGTCTGGGATACTTCTTTGTGCAGGCCGCATCACATGGTTCTTCGCATGCTCATAAAAGTTGTTCCAGGTGGGGGTGGACTCGGAGCATATTTCGCAAAAGGCAGGGCACGGGAGTATGATGCTGTGCTCCACTATCTGATGCGAACTCGGACTTTGCTCGTGTACATCGCGCAGATGTTTTTTTATTGCACCTCGCTGTGGTGCAGTCAAATTGCAATTGGGCTCAGGGCAACGATATTCCCACTCCTGAAAACCATGGTTGTTTTTAAGATGTCGTGTGAAGGCAGTAGATTCCTTGTAGATCGTGTCCTTGGTCCTGCACAGGGGACAGCGAAATGCTCGCAAGTGAGCAGGGGTACGGTCCGAATGGATTGGCGTGGGCAATTGTTGTCCATGGGCTGGTAGGGATGGCTCTTGAAGTCGTATATCCACCTCTTGCAGGACGGCTTCAAGGTGGGACTTCAGGTCCAATAGTTGAGCGTGGTTCAATGAAGAGATCTGGTTCGAAGCTGGATCTGCGAGTTGATAGATCTCATTTAAATGATTACCAATCCCAATGGAGGTTAAATCTAAATCCTGGGATATTAAATCGCCTGGGAAACCGTGTGTCATAATATCGTCGAGATCATCTGGGAACTCCTGGGGGGGAACGGGAACTTCGTATTGATCCAACCATCCATAACTCGAACTATTTTGCGTCGAATCTACCAGGCCCAATGCAGAATCTACTGAGTTGGAGGAATAGGGCGCCCATCCCAGGATTTCATCATCCACTCCCTGTCCTAGGTATGGATCTAGAAAACTGTAAAAAGGACGCTCGTTTGGAAACCCTCCGTTATTATCAGAAGTCATCTTAGGGTACTTGGGAAAATGCGGAGAAGAGAGTGAGAATCCCTTCCCGAATAGACTGGGACTACCTACCCTTTTAATAATGGGTGACCCTTGTTATGCACAGCCCTTAACATCCGCTAAGTAGGGCGTCGTGGTGGCATGGGATTGGTGCATCATTGTGGCTTGGCTTCGCTGACGTCGATCAGCCCTGACCCGGTCAGAAATTCATCCGATAGCACTGAGATGAACTTATCTTATTTTTCTTAGCTAGGACCATGTTAGCTATTCTTTCAGTTCATAATTACTTGTATGGTTAGGTATTTACTATTCGTATCGTAACAATAATGACTGGAAAACGTACATATTTTGAAAAGAAAATTACAGGTTATCATTCTACAAACAGATGCCACACTTTTATGATCCCATCCTGTCCCAGCATCTCTGATGCTTTGTCTCGAACACTAAGCATCGCTAATTAGGGCGTTGCTAGTCAGACCTCGTAGACAATAGGTTTCTTGTCTACAGGCTTGAAGCTGTTGCTCTAGAAATTCGACTTGCTTCTCTAGAGTCTCGATGTACTCTTGTTTGCGTTGACGAAATGCTTTCTGCCTAGGGTTATAGTAAGTATCCAGTGTATAGTAGATAGGAGCCGGTGAACTTACGCACGGCGGCTTTGAGCTCGTCTTCTGGCTTTTTTTGCACTAAGATCTTCATTCAGACTTTGAACCATATTTCCCGGGCTATCGGACTGTTCTGGTACACCGAGTATATTCGAGCCCGGAGAAGGACGGAAATTAGAGTATAGTGACGTGTCTGAAGAATCAAGGTCTTCTTTGTTGCTATATCTCACGTATATGTTAGTACGTTGGTAAACGTAGTATGGTGTGTGTACTGACATTGCTGTATTATCGACACTAACCACATCGTCGAGGTCAGAGCCTACAAGTGGCCATAGATTTGGTAGGCTCGTATTTGCTGCCGACCGAAATGCACTTGTTTTTACGGGTGCGGTAAATGTATTCGAATAGCACTATATAACCCCTCCAGTTAACCAGCTTCCACATGCATATAAGACCAAGTAGATTGAGCTTACTAATATTTCCCCTGGTGTGCACGAGTATGTGTATGGCTGTTGTGACCAGGGCATTCGAACCTGTTCCTCTTCCATATCGCTTTTTGGTCGCGTATTTGCCTAGAAGCTGGTCAAGAGAGATCACATCAAATAAGTAGGTGAAGATATTGGTGATTCGGGAATCGAGGTCCAGAATGATCTATTATAAATAATACTCGACTAAAGGGCGCATCAAAGGGTGAAGGCATGTTCTGGAGCTTTTAAGGTTTCGATAGCCACATTTGTCTGCGTTTGATTCTAGGTGAATGGCAAAGCTAGAACGTGCGGGGATGGCTCTCGGGGCGAATCAAGATAAAGCCGAGATGCCGATAAAGCCGCCGGTGATATTTTGCCTGTTATCCAGGAGACCGGGTAAATGTAGTCGGTCTGTCTAATAATCATTCGACAAGTTCCTTGGGTAGCACCTTTCACGCCATAACAAAATCAAAAGAGGCGCCAGCGCCCATTATGTGTTGGAAGTATATGGAAATATTGCCACATCGCCATATCGTACTCTGACGCCGGACAGCCGCGCCTCCGCGGAAAAGCACCCTCAGACAGCAAAAACAGTCACTTGTTGTTCTACGCCACAGTCGTCAAGAGGGAACAGCATATCGGGTACGATACTATGAATGGGGAACGTGGTGGAACGTGGTCTTATTCCCACGGTATCCCACTTCGCTTTCTAATAACAGAAGAGGAAGCTAAATTATTACCGCAATGTTATGATAGCAAGGACGGACTTGGGCCGCACTCTTGGCAAAGTCCGCATCCACCGCCAATCACAAGTTATGCAGGAGATGGCAATCCCCACTTGAAAGCTTGTTAATTTTGCTGTCTGCCTCCACTAAATCTTATACAGCTAAGCATCTAAGACGCGTAATTCATGGTGAGCGGTAATCCAGTCCATTGTATAGACTTGTATTGCACTTTTGCCCTATTTATACATTCAATCATCTACCTAGGTATCACTTGTTCACCTAATAAGACACTTGAGACAGAGGTTCTAGTTGCTAGGAAGGCTTATAATATAATAACGTATTATATAACAATGGATAGGTCACATTATGTATATAGTGCTTAACTATAATAGGAATACAGTTAAATAGACATTTAAAAGAATAAACAGGGGTTTACCTAGAATATGAGAAAATCCGCCGATTTGATCTCGAGGGCAATGTTTACCGCGCTATTTATATCAAAATAAGTCAACAAGTTGAAGTTCAAACATAACCACTTCCATTTAACACATATTGGCACTTGGGAGCACGTTGCTTCTTTCTAGGATTTGATGCAATAGCCATGTATCATTTGGCATTACAATCAGGGGCGCTTAACGAAATTCAAACTCAGCTGTGAGCAGAAAAATGAATGTGATTCGAACAGGCAGTTTCCTGTTATGACAAACCGTTAGCATTGATGCGAGACTGGTCGCAGTCATTTCCAAGCTCCTCCCACTGTCGTAGCCAATTTTCCATCATATCTGCAGATATCGGCTGGAGGGCTGTAAGTGTTGTGCTTGCCCGCTTTGCTTTGGATACATCTATTTGGGAAGATGTTCCATCGGCATTTATCAGGTCACGGTAGAAGCTAAGCAGCTTGAGACCAGGTTTGCTCTGCATATCCTGCATTGTTGGGTTTTTTATCAGCTCAAGTTCCTGGATCCATTCGGTGAAGTCAACAATGGTCAGATTATATTTTGATTGGATTGAATGCAAGAGGTCTTGCCACGTTGATGTGTGTGGATTGACTAAGTGAAGGCAGGCAGAAATGGATTGTTCCTGCTCTTCAAGCCGATTGTGCATAATCTCTTCTATAATATCTGCAACCATGTCCTATCAAGAACGAATTTGGTCAGCCTGAATAAATCAACGAAATGAATGACTTACAACTGGAATCCAGTTAATTCGTTCAGCATTCCCTAAACTTTTCGGGATCTTTCCCAGGCTTCTCGAAGTCGCCACTAAGGCGGGAAGCCATTCGCTTGTGTTCCAATTTCCCTCTCTATAGCTCGGTCCAGCAATCTGTCCCACGCGCAGAATGGTTGTTGGCACACCGACCATGGTTGACACATGATAGCAGATTCTCTCAGCAATGTGCTTTGATTCTGCATAACCTTGATTTAAAAACGCACCAGAGGCCTCAATCAGGTCTTCTGGTGCCGATGGACCTCCCATTGACAAGACCCAATTCTGTATTGTGCCGATTGAAGAGACAAAGAAGAAATGCGGGCGGAAACGGCCTTGTGTGCTGATATCAAGAAGGTCGCGTGTACCTTTGATAAGCGGCTGGAAGGAGGTACTCGAGCGGTTAACATTCACGTCCCATGCATTGTGGATGATAACATCGACTGTGTTAAGTAGTTTGCAGTACATGGTATCAGGGAGACCAAGTTGTTCATCCCCGAACACCGCGTGAAGAAACTCAACCCGATCATCGTCCACACGCCAAGTTCTCAAGATTCTCTCCTGGTGGCTCCTCATCTGGTTTCTTTCGGCATCCTGTGATCTATTCAAACAATATATCTTTCCTATCGATGGGTCGTCTAGGAGAATATTCAGGAGATAAACCCCGAGAGATCCGGTAGATCCCGTGAGCAACACAGCATGATTCATGCAATTGGGTTTGGTTCTTGGAAGTGCTTTCCATTGTGAAATTCCATCGGTATACCTTTTCAATATACCATTGAACTTTAGAGTTCGAGATATCGCCATCTAGTCGGAGCTGCCATGCAGGATATTGTTGATGAAGTGTGATAGGGTTAAAACGGTGGGGTGATCATAGACCATCTGTGCAGTGACTGATTTATCCCATTTTGATTTTGTCGCCTTCATGGCACTGTTCAACATATTGACAAGGGTAATGGTCTGTAAGGAGTCGAGCCCGGCCACGTAGAAATCGTCTGTGTCATTCATCAACCGATTGTTGAACTGGCTGTGAACAACATGGCGGATATAGTCGGTAATCGAAGATACTGAGGGCTTGTCGGGAAATTCCAAATTGGTGATTGGCTCTTGCTCATAAAGGCTCTCAATCTCAGCATGGTAGTCATTGTTGACTTGTCGGCGCTGGGTGCTCCCCTTTGCGGTAACTTTGAAGGGCTTTGCTTTAGTCGCAAGACCAATGCGATTGAACATCACTCGACCACATGCAGGGGCCATTTCATTGGCCTTGCTGACCAATGGCCAGATCTCATTCAGAAAGTCTTTGACTGTATGCTCATCCTCGGTCCATAGGTCCCAATTTGGTTCAATCAGCAGAGCAGATTGAAAGTTCCCTTGTCCCACTACCAATGCTTTTGAGACTAATGGGTGTGCCTCGATCGCCTTCTCAATAGCAATAGGGTTGAACTTTTCTCCATTGCTTAGAACAACGATGTCGTCTAAGCGTCCGGAATAACGCCATAAAGTTTCCTTACTCGGGTGCCGTTGAAAGACATCTTGAGATCGATATTCTGTAAGATCCGGAAACGCATGGAAGATTCCGTGCATCTTGCGGTCCTTATCTCGACGGATCACTAGCTCGTACACTTCACCGTCTACTGGATCCATAACAACGTTGGAGTTAGGAGCCCAATCAAAATACGCCCAATCTTCACCTTTCTCGGGAGCCATTGATAAGATCGTCCCCATCTCTGTAGAGCCAATGACTGAGATCAAGCGCACTCTTGTTCTTATAGCCTCACCAACTTCGAATGATAGGGGTGCTCCCCCAAAAAAAGATAGTCCAAGAGCGCGAGACTATCCATCCCAGCTTTTGTGCTGCAGATATTTTCAATTAGAGATGGGGGCAAAATGGCTGCACGAGGCTTGAGCTCTATGATAGTACTCATAATGAGCTCCCCAGATAATGGCTTAAGAGGAGGGATTGCGAATGGTCTCCCACGAAATATAGCCTGAATGAAGGCAAAAAACCCCATTATGTGAAAGAATGGCGTAACTGTCAAGATTGAATCTGTTCCTCTAACAAAGTCGGAGGGAATAGAAAGCATTCGACTCCGAGGAACTGGGCACAGCGAAGTGCTATCAAATGCGGCAAAATACCCGTGGGTCAGGTAAATTGGCTTTGGAAGGCCTGATAAGGTCAACCGACAATCCCGAATCAAGTCATGGATTAAACAAACCTGTTGTTCCGGACGTGTGCATAATCAATGCGACATTGTCCACTTCTGTTTTGAAGACTTTCGTAAAAGGATAGTAAGTCGCTTTGCCACTAATTAAATCATCCCAGGATGGAAGAACCAGAGTCGTCAGGTTCGGATCCATGTTGCGAAGACTCTGTGCCTTTTCTCGAAGCTCGTTTGTATGTAACAACAAACATGATTGAGTCTTCTTGAATAAGTGTATCAAGGCCTCGTTGGAATTTCTTGTATATGGCAGAAACAGCTATAACAGCGGAAGTCAGTACGGGTATCATCCACGTCGCCCAAATTTGTTCGAACCTTATATCCCGTCTTACAACATGCAAGAAAAACAACAAAATATCGTAAGTCGTTGGCCCCTACGTAAGAAAGGACCTCACCATTTCCACGGCCAACGGTATTGTCAATCCACCAGGACATGGTGTCCGTAGCATGTGCTAGATCGGCAAACAGTACATTGTGGAACCCGTCAGATGGGTTGGACCCTTTGGGAAGGTAACAAAAGAGTTGTTGCGGAGTGTGTACCGCCCACTCATCCACCAGGGCAGCTAGGAGCCTTTCACCGACTTTGCCAGCATATTTCGAATGCATTTTGGTCACAATCTTGTTGTAGAGCATCGGCAGGAATTTCCAACGCGGATAACGATGTCTGTCGATTTGAATAGAGAGGTTATCAAATCCTAGAAATACAAATTGCATGTTCAGATGAACAGGTTAGGTTTCGGCATGATATCGTTCGAATTTATTAGTGTGGCGTAAACATTTACGTCTTCATCATAATGCCTTTCCCATCCTTTGGCCAGAAGATTCGTTAGGACCTTTGTTAGTTGTTGTGATCGCGATCGGTAAAAAACCATTGTGAATAAGTATATTACGTTATCACGTATTATATGGATTCAAAGGCAAATAGATATGGTGCCGATCCGAATGTTTGAACGAAGCATGAGACTGCGACCAAAGCATAACGATCTAGAACACATTGCTTACATAGTGGGTACTTTAGTGGGTCTAGTGGCGAAGAATTCCACGTAATCAAAGTTAGTAGCCCTCGTTGATTATCGATCGCATGTTTATTTATAATTAGCTAACCTCAAAAATGCTTAAGGAATGATTCGTCAATTGAAGCCATGCTGCCAAGTTAATTCTACTCAATATCAATGGAGATGTCATTAGGTGCGTTCAAAGGTTGATTGGGAATAGACCAACGTAAATGAAAACGGGAGAGTTCTTGAATTATAAACGTGGAATCACTCTTCCCACACCATCTGCCACTTATTTATGGTTCTCATATTTGCCTATTGCAATCTTGTGATGTCATGAAAAATCCTGTTATGAACTTCCTTTTGTGTAATTGTCCTATGACATAAAAGACCACATTTCCCTCACTGGCTTTGATCTTAAATTTGTGCTTCTTGTTAAGACGAGAAGCTCTACTGCATTTATGCCAATGTCTCAATTCAATCGAAACGTTCTCATAACCGGATGCTCAGATGGCGGCTTGGGGGCCGCTCTTGCGATTGCATTTCATGAAAATGGTCTCAATGTATATGCAACTGCTCGAGAGCCTAGCAAAATGACAGAAGTGGCGTCTAGGGGCATCAAGACCCTTTGCCTGGACGTACTTTCGGAAAGCTCGATCACAAGTTGTGTTAGTCAGGTACACGAACTTGACATCCTAGTCAACAATGCTGGTGGTGGTTACGGTATGCCAGTATCGGATCTTTCGATACCAGAGGCTAAGAAGCTCTTTGATCTCAATGTCTGGTCCTATCTAGCAGTCACGCAGGCCTTTCTGCCGCTGCTGCTGAAATCCAAAGGACTTATCGTCAACCATACTTCGGTTGCTTCCTTGTGTACCGTGCCTTTCCAATCTGCATATAATGCCTCTAAAGCTGCGATGGCAACTTTCTCCGATTCGCAGCGGCTAGAACTCAAGCCATTCGGTATCAAAGTTGTGGACCTCAAGACCGGAATTGTCAAGTCAAACTTCCAGAAGAACCAACGAAACCAAGCACGGGTTTCTTTGCCCGTAGGATCAATTTACGAAAGGGTGAAAGATGTGGTAGAGAAAACAAATCGGGGTGAGATCTTTGAAGGTTCTGGAATGCCATCGCAGGAATGGGCAAACTTAGTCGTGAATGACCTTTTGAAAGGTCAACCGCCATCTAATATTTGGAGGGGCACACAAGCCTGGTTAGTACGGGTTGGGAGTGTTTTACCGTTTGGGTTCCTTGATGGAACGGTCAAAAAATTGACAGGGCTGGATGTTATCGAACAGATGCTCAAAGGATGAGATAAATTCCTGAGGAACAGAGCGATGCTCTACTGTACAAGGATGATTGTTTATCATAAGAATCACTTGTATACATCACTCCTACTGTTCTACTTGAGATACATTTCAGTACCTTGATAGCTACGAAATCGGTGAGGAGTGGCGTGCTGACTCTATCCTATCAGAAATAGAGTCGTATACCACTCTAACTCTTAAACTATGGCCGGTATAAGTAGGGCAAAAGAATGGCCACACTCACTTGAAACGTCGATTCTTCTTAATATTTACAGACGTTTTATTCTAGTAAGTTATAAGTAGAACAAGCAACTTTATAGACAAATTTTATTTGGTGAAAATTGTGGACACGCAAGGAGCGTGTGTGTAGTTAATGCTTTAGTGATCTTTGTGCGAAGATTTGCTCCCAAATAGAGTTGAACATAAAGTGATGATAGCAGAAAAGGAAGTAGAAGGAGTCCTCTGGTCATGCTTATTTGTATATTACACTCAGAGGCCACCGGCACCAGAAGCGAGTCGGTATGAGGATGAGCTCGGACGGTTTCCCGCACACTGCCTGGCCCTGTAAACTTAGGGCTCTACCAACCTGCCCTCGACATCCACAGTTCCGCACCTTATATCGTTTTATCTGGTTTAAAATGCTTGGGAGCCGGGCTGTAGTTTGAAGTCAAATTTCTACCTTATTTCGAAGAGAAATATTGTTAGGGGTTAGCTCAGGAAGTATACTATATCTTCACCTTCAGACAAGCGGTACCACCTGTTGGCCCTTAAATTGCCAGTGCTAATACCAGTATTGATTATGTTCCGGTGTTCCAAGCTAGGCGCTTCACTGTATTCGCAATACGACCTTGTCTATCGTTTAGGGACACGTGGTTGATTGTGGGTCCGGGATTTACATTTCCATAATAGTATTTTAAATCCTGATAGTTTTTCTTATCTAACAATATTGATTATTCTGTAGGCGAAGGCTCAGTGTGAGTGTGATTCAAATCCCATATGTTCTTTCAATAGTTCGTAGCTCACATATCTCACTCACTAACATTAAACGCTATCTAAGCCATGGAGGCCGAATATTCGCGCAATAGTGAACAACGAAGGAGGGCAAAATTTACACTACCGGTCAAGCTTACCGACCTCGTTTAGTATACTATGCTTTAAGTAACTATTTAGTGCTCCCTTGATTAAAAATATTTCAACGAAAAATGTCTCATATAGCTCAGAGATTATCTCCCTCATAAAGAACTTGAGAGTTGCGTGAGATAAAAATTCTTTGCAATCTAGGAGACAAAGTTGACAATCTTACGATCAAAACTTGTGGATGCTTCCTATGCGAAAAAGACCATAGGCAAAGTCAAACTCGTATCGAAGCTTCACCCAGCTTAGTAGGACATAAATTGCCAATTATCTTATGGTTCAAACACATGCCGCACTTTCATCGTCTCACTGTCTCCCAGGTGCCTTTTTTTGCATAGTCCACGGGTCATCCAAGGTGTAACTAATCAAACCATGCAGATAATGATTTTCCTGTCTACAAAGCTCGAGCTGTTGCTCTAAGTGTATTACTTGCTTTTCTAGAGTTTCAACATGCTCTTGTTTGCGCTTTCGGAATAACCTTTGACTGAATAGAAGTAAATATCGCATTTATGTGGAGAGGAACCAGAAGACTTACGCAACGCGGTTTTGAACACGCCTTTTGGCTTGTTTCGTAACGGGATTGAAATGAAGGCATTGAAAAGATTCTTCCGGGCTCTTAGCTTTCTTCGGTATGTCTGCCAATATCTTTGAGCCGGAGGAGGGACGGAAGTTGGGATATTGGAATGGTGTTTCTTGGTGAGTAAGGTCTTTTCTGCTGCTGCATCTATTAATATATTGGTGCAGATTAACAATAGGTCTTGGTGACTCTACTCACTTGGGTTCGCTATTGAAGCTAGCGACATCGTCAATGTCAATACTCGAGTGTAGCCATGAGGTTGGTAGGCTCGAGCTCGATACTGACTGAGATGTACTTGTTGTGACGGGTGCCGTGTGATTTGAATAATTCTATACATACATCTTGAGTCAGTCCTCGGCAACGTACGAGAAATATTGGAGTGATAAGGTGACTTACTAGCATAGTCATAGGTGCCCACCAATTTATGTATGGCTGCTGGAACCAGGACATTTGAACTTGCGCTCCGTCTATAGTGCTCATTGCTTGCGTTGTGGGTATAAGTTAACCTAACCAAGAGAAACAAAAGCAAGTGGGCAATTAGGTGTTTTGAGAACCCTTAAATGTTCAAATAATACCTAGGTATTGATTGGAAATATTACTTGCACGAAAGACGCTTAAAAGGGTGAAGGTATATATTTAAACTTTTCCCTATCTTCAATTACAGACAACTTCTGAATGAGCCCTGGAGGGCTAGAACAATTCCAAAACCTTCAACAATAGAGACCATCGGACCCTGGGGTAACCCCGCATCTAGAAAATGCGGAGAGTAGAATAGGTAATTAACTTAAATCCGAAAAAGCCGAAGAAGCCGATAGAGCTGATAGAGCCTTCATCTATAATGTCTCGGAATCTATCTGAGGGAATAAGTAATTAAACCTTGGTACCCCATCATTAGAAGACTCATTAGGAATATGCTTTCCGGGTTGAAAAGGTAAAGAAAATTGCCACCTCGTCATGTCCCATTCTGACGGCGTACAGCCGCGTCTCCGTGGAACACCCTCGAACAGCAAAATGGTCACTAGTTGTTCTACGCCACAGTCGTCAAGAGGGAACAGCATATTGGGCACCATAGTATGAATGGGGAACGTGGTTTTATTCGGAAGATGTTTCAATTGGTGCTCTAATAACAGAAATGGAAGTTAATTAATTACCCCAGATACACCACTGGTCTAGCATGGATCTTCTCTAGGACTCGGGCCGCAGTCTTGGCAAACTCCGCATCTGCCGTCAATGACGAGTTATGGAGATGGCAATCCCCACTTAAAAGCTTGTGAAGTCCGCTGTTTGGCTTCAGTAAATTATATCCAGCGCAGAATATGAGAAGTATGGCTCATGGTGAGCAGCTAAGCCAGTCTATTCTATAGCCTTACATTGCACTTTCGCCTTAGCTATGCAGTCAGTCACCTATCACTATTTCACCTATTGAGAGATTTGAAAGGAGTTTCTGGGGGCTAGGAACGCTTTCAAATATGATAATATAATCATGACAAAGAACAGTTTAATTCAGGTACACTATGCTTGCAATGGGAACATGGCTGGATGGATGGCCAGAATGACAAATCCCTAGAGTATACCAAAGTTTGAACCTGAAAGTCCCATTACACCATTTAAGCATTCATATATATGGCGGCTAAGTCTTTCAATTTGCAAGGAGAGCCATGCTTCTTATTATCAATTCGTGGAAATATCATCGAATAAACCACCCAAGCATGTCACTCAATCATGACTGTTCAGCAGCACTCTTTGCGAAAAAAAAGCCTACTTCTTTGCCAACCATTCTGGAAGATATATTGTCTGATAAAGCTCCGAGACCCTATAGCGTCAATGCCTTCTTCGATTTTGTATCTCACAGGCACTGCACTGAGTCGCTAGACTTCATTGTGAAGGTTCAAGATTACCATAATCTATACACCGGTCTGCAGTATTTTTTCAACAAAAAACCGACTCAAGAATCTACACTTGTGAGGGAAGAGTGGGGATACTTGATGAGCGCCTTTATTTCACCTGGTTCGCCCTGTGAATTAAATCTGCCATCGAGCATACGAAATGAATTACTCAGTCAAGACCCAATGCTCACACCACCACGGCCAGACCATTTAGAGTCTGCTGTCCGGCACACTTGCGAGATGTTGACGGATAATATTTTGATACCATTTTTGAGAGAGCCACGGATCTCAAATTCTGATACGAGTTCGCTTCTGCCAAGTCCTTCAAGCCACAAATGGGCTGGTTTAGACAACTCATTTACCACCGAAGAACGACCACCCCTCAAGCGGTCTCCAAGGTAAATCACGTCCTACGTATTGAAAGACAGATCAAAGAAACTGAAATTTTCCATAGCATACTAAAAGAAATCAGTCACACGCTTACCCGATTCTGGAAGCGCAGAGCTCATTCTGACAATCCGACACAACTCCAAAAGTTGGGTACTGTAGGTTCAACGAGGAGGGCAAAAGGAAATGATGATCGAGCTTTCCTATTACATGTGTTTCGATAGCTTCAAGTGTTGTTATACAGTCATTTTCTTGCTTGTAATATAATTACCAATATTGCTTCAGTAATCGTTTAATAGTGAAAAGGGTCAGATAATCGCAGGTTAAAGATGCAAACTGACTGTTTTGGACAAGACTTATAATGCATGCCCTGCAGTTGGCGAGCAGGATACATAAAGAATACCCTTTTCTTTGGGGATAATCAACACGCAAAAGAATAACCAACAATAACATTATTCAATAAAATATACTAATAATAAGATAAATTATTATTATTACTACTTCGTTAATGTTAAGTTATTATTTAATAATGCAAATAAAGTAAATGCCGGTTTTGGATACAACGTGTCGGATGTTCCACCTTGTAATCTTAGACTACCACTAGTGAGGATAAGTCACAAACCCAAAGTAAATTATTCTAGGCCCAGAGAACCTATAGCGATGTTTGTGAGCGACTAAAACACACTATACTGTACAGTTGTAGACGAGACAACGACCGATAACGAGCTAGATTAGGAGGTGGGCATAGATGTCGTGTTTGTAATGTGGGATCAGACTCTAACTGTAATAACTTTACGCCGAGACATACGTCGGTCAACAGTTGTTTTGGCGGTAATAGTCTTGCTATAATATGTGAGGGGTAGGGATAGGAAGCGTTCTTCGATTTATCCACAATGCTAACTGTCATATGTAGACAGAGTGTCGTGGTATCTAAAAAGACAATCCAACCCCAGTGAGGCCAATGCATCTGTCTTTATAAATATTTTAGATCTGGCTAGAAACGATATGTTGGAAGATGCCATAAATTTCGTAGCAGTATATGGATCTTAGCGCGTTGATATAAAAGCAGCTGCACAATGGTCGTATCACCAGCAAATAAAGCAGCATAGATTGCAGTGTAAAGTGTTCGCTCTAATTTAAATGAAACCTTTCTCCTCGGCAAGAACTCCACTAGATCAAAAGAATGCTTCAATGGTCAAGGATGGTTCTAAATATGCGAATAATAGCAACTGCTCATCGCATAAATCAATAGTTCTCAATTGGTATCATGATAACAAACTTGCTCCTCAAAAATAAGCTTAAAAACTAACGCGAAGATAACTTCTCCGCTGTCCCTATCTTTCAATACATACCGCAGGTTGTGGTTCATATCATTCACGTACTGTATGACTGGTATGGTCAAACAGGGGAGCTTTAAAGAGAAATCTGATCCTGTTCGTCAATACATGCAACGAAATCTTTGGGAAGTTGAGGTTAAGAAAAGGCCTGCGTACTTTGAAAATCGATATACCCATTTCCAAAGTTTGCTTTATAAACGGTGCCAGGTTCAAAGCAGAACAGCTGGCGGTTTTCCCCTTGGAGGAAATGTTTTTGTCTCTGACGTGCCTGATTCGGAATGTTCATTTCGCGTCTAGCGATTTCCCCTTCGGCTTGACCACCTTCCTGAATCACTTCATTGGGTAGCTCATTTCGCCAAATTTCCGAACCTAATTGCAGTCTCCAGTGAATATCCCTTCTTCCAAAGATCCACGGGTTTAAACGCACTTAGTTTTCCACAAATTTGTAGGCAATTCAGACTTGAAAGTGCAGGACCATATAGATATGGTTTATCTGCATATGCGTCACCATAAATACCGGGATCAATCATCCATCTCACAATGCGCAAGGCAGTGTTGAACCCCGGAGGTAAGCGATCTCGGATTGGATTGTCGAAATCATTGCCGAAGATTAAGCTGTCCCCTGAAATGGCCTTTTTCAGCTGAAATGCAAAGGTGACGGAGTATTCTTCACTCTTGTGAAGAGGGCAGGAAAAATAGGTGTGTGTGTCAGGAGACCCTTCGGGATAACCTATGAATTTAGAGAGTATATCTTTAGCTTCAAATCTCTGCGTATACAAAATTATTGGCTTTGAAGTGCAAACATAATAATTACTTACCTCTATAATTTTTGATCCTAACACAAAGGCTTACCATTGCCAAATCGTTCTCGAAAGTCACTGTCTCCTGCTGATTGACAGGAACAATTGCATGATATGCTGTATCATATCCTGGTCCAGCTGTAACCAGCAATCGATACTTATTTTTGTTTTCAACTGGTGTTCGGGTTATCTTAGTCATGGTGCTAGGGACAAACAAAATGTGAAAATTAGGGCAAACACAAGAGGGATATACAAGTGAAAGAAGAAAGGGGCACTAGAAGATCTTTATACTGTATTCACTATGTCTTTTGTCATTATTTTGACTAACTTCATTCTATATGGGTGGCCGGGGGTATCTGTGCTTACCTAACTAGACCAACTCTTGCAACTTTAGTTAGGTAAATGCACAGAATTATTTTAGTAAGCAAGCAAACGACCCGTGGACGAACTTCCTTAATCAGAATTCAATACCCTCTTGAAAGGCTCCGGGGGTATCCGGTGCTTACCTAACCAGAACAACTCTTGCAACTTTAGGCAATTGCACAGAATTGTTCACTTTCTTAATCAGAATTCAATACCCCACCTGCTAGCGCCTTCAGTAGAAATAACAAACCTGGAGGTTCATATCCAACTCAAATACCGTCGTCTATGTGCAGAATGCATTATACGGCTGCGTTCATGCGCTTTATCTATTAGACTAGATTGGAAGGTTATTTCATTTTGAGTGATGCCATCTTTTATTCCCATTTTTCAAAAGGGAAAACTTGAATTATTGACTTTCCGGGCTTTCTGGCCAAACGCGATTTTCAAAGGTCTCCCTCATGATTGGAGACTCAAGCTTACTCCAGCAGGTTGGACGAGCGAGGCTGAATGGCGATATGAATGGTCCATGCAATCGAGAAAGACAATATCGCAAGATAACATAATCCAAACCATACGAAGAAGTCCTTCACGTTGTCCAGTCTTGACCGGTATTGGCAATATGTGACCGCTTAATCACTCAAGGGACCATTCATTGAGTGACAAAGTCCGCCTGTGGGTACATCGGCCAATCTGACCATAAACCCACATCATCCTGGACTTGAACATCAGATGAAGTGTCATTCCCGAAAGGCCATTGACGGAAAAAGCCCGGGTTTTCCTCCAGCCAAGACGAATCACATATAGAATGGTCCGTGGACAGTGCCGGATTATTGAGAATATAGCTGGGAGTGTGAAGATTGTCGTGCAGAGGCACCCCAGAGAAAAAATCGGATGTAGTCATCCTAGGGCCCTGCTCACTACTTCCCATATATTCAGCGACAGGTCGGAATTGAGAGCTTGTTCTGGCCGAACGAGCCTTGCTTAAAAGTTTCCCGAGGGGTTTGTATAATTCGCAGCCAGTGCCTTCCATGCTGGGTCGCTGGCAGACGTCGACCTCCGCTGCTTGACAGGAAGAATAGTGGATGTTGAGTCCGACTTTGAGAGCACCATCTACCGCCTTCCACGCTCTTTCCACAGCTTCACCGTGGGTACGACCGCACAGCTCCGAAAGCAAAAATGTAAGAGCGTACCACTGAACGTACGTTTCACAAAGCCACCTCCACTGAATTGTGCTCTTGTCTTCATTCAAGTGAAGCCAATACTCAATTAACATAGTGGACATAGTGAAAAGGCGATCTTTGGTATCCTGAGGAGGGGCTACACTGTCAACCTTTCGCAGAGAGGGGTGGTAAGTAACCAGCCACATTTTGGTGAAGATGATTCGAGATATGGTAGAAGTGAAATAGGAAAAAGGGTCCGACAAATCCAAGTGTTTGAGGTACAGTTTCTGAATCCGGCTCTGAAATTCTGTAATCGCCTGAGTTTTTTTCTCGAAAGTCTGTGCCGCAGACAATTTGTAGCCTTCGAGTGTTGAATCCGCCGACATGTACTGAAGACGCCGGAAAATTTTTGTATTTTCAAAACGTAAGACGCTAAAGATCATATCTGTAGGGCCGACTCTAGGCTGCGGGAGTTGTGTCATATCCGGGAATAAGTCCGAATCGTTAACGTTAAGCGGCAACTGTGTATCAACACTCTGGGGAGTAATTGTAGCATCGTAGCCAGTATCCTCGCATGCTCGCGATTCAAGAACGCATATGCACCACCACAATCTCCGCCTCATCTCTACCACGAAGGGACTTAGGCTAAAGTGGACCCCGTCGCGATGAATACCGGCATTCTGTGAAAGTCGGACTAAAAGCGCGGTTAGGGTCCACATGAGCCGAGCACTGTTGTGGATTCGCACAGCAGTTAGGAAGATGGTGAAGGCTTGTAGGACTATAATCTCATCTGTCTCAAGGAGACCTGCTCGAGCTAATGCTTGCTCGGTCGCGAACTTATATATCCGAATAAGGCTGACCTTCTCATCCCCAAGAACTTGGAGGCACTGCTCTGGTGACAAACTGACCACAACATTGAAGTATACGGCCATCATGAGTGCCTCAAGCCCTCTTGACATGTGTCTCATTTGCTGTGCAGTCTGGAGCACGAGCGGTTCTACAGTCGGTATATGCAATACTTTGATCAATCTGTCGCAATTATGTTTGAACAAACTCCAAAATAGTGGAATTTGCTCGGCTGGGGGATGTAGTTTCGAAATGTTTTGGTTAGAAGAGCCAAAGGGCAAGATGCTGGCTTGAGTTGTCGGGCCACCACCCGGCGCAGCCTGTATGCCCCATTGATCTGTTTCTTCTGGTCCGTCTTGAAGGAGGCTATTGAGATCCTCAACCTAGACAGAAAATTGGCAAAGGAAGTAAGTGAACGGGTTAATGGGACAATAATGACATACCTCCTCGTCCAAACTGGCCCAGTAAGTGCTGTTCATGTATCTACTTCTTCCGTTCCCCATAGCTAGTCTTCCAAACTCGGTGTCCAAATCATCAATTTCATCAACATCCTTGGTGGAATCACTGTGTGGAGACGACTCGGTCTCTTCCGGAATAAGGGCACGATCGAGATGTTTCTTCATGTGATTGATCACATGCTCGAGGTGTCGAATCCTTTCGGAAACGGCCATGAAGGCTGGCTGCCGGGTTGATGGGCGTCGTGGGACATACAAGCATTCGACACCCAGTGTCCGGCAGTTAGTGCAAGGTGAGATTCGGTCGCACTTTTTCTTTTTCCTGCGGCACGACAAGCACGAGTAGGGATGCAGTCGGGGGGTGTTGGTGGTGCAGAGGGCTGCCTAGCATTGCGACTCGCCATAAACGTAAACTCTTCCTCGTTGTCAAGTATCAAATAATATCAAATGGCGGCGCGATGACAGAAGCATCGACTACGCGTAATAGGCACAAATAATGTGCTGGATCGGACGGCAACACATGGATGTGGGAGGTGTCGGTAGGATATAAAAAGATAACTAATCATTTATTTCTTGGTTGGCAGACGTGGCAACCGACGAGTGGCAAATACGCAGAATCCCGGCTTGGTTACTGATCCATGGATGTCAGGTAGCATTGAAGGCGGTGTAGATCAGATAGCGATTACCCCACAGATTCTAATCACGAATCGCCGTCCAATTCAAAATAGAGGCATCATCGTACAAAATAATCGTATAAACAGACGTCAAAAGAGAAAGTCGATGCGGGCGTCGGTCCGGGGAGAACCACTTAGGCCGCGGTTTGTTTCTGTTCACTCAAGGTCAAGTCATGCCACCGACGCACTTGTCGTCCTACCTGGCCCCTGTGGGGTTTGACTAGCTTCGTTTAGCCAGAATATTGATCATAAATGTCTTCTGGCTCGGCGCTCGTGCCTTTCGACTTTGATCTCGCGTTATTGATGGGCCTTTGGGGGATGTGGGAGGGCTTATAGGGCGCAGCCCGGCGGGCAGCAGCGGCAGAGCGAAATGGACTCCGCCAACATGATAAGATTCTGACGGCGGTGGTGGAGGCACTCCGTGCCTAGAAAATATTTCTGTCTTGAAGGTCCGGCGAAGTTGATTACTGTTCAAAGTATTTTCAAGTTCGCTGCAATCATCGGTCCCAGAATGCCCTTGTTCGGGCCTTGGACGAGTGCGAGATATTCCATACGATTCTTCAAAGAGGTATTTTATTATTATAACGTGTCTGACACTTCCTAAAATCGATGATTCTCTACCGGGGTTAAAATACTGGGAAGCATACATCGTTTCGTTGGCTCTACGACAACGGTGGCTGATGTGCGGATTGCTGGCCATTTCCGTATATCATTCAGCTACACTAGAGGACGAGACAACAATACAACAAACGCACTATGGGCGGGTGATAAAGCTCTGTTCTGATTTCTTCGTCGGGTTTAACGAGATAATGAACAATACCCCAAACGCTGTATCTACCAATGCTTTCTAGGAAACAAAAAAAGGTAGCAATTTAAGTAAGGAGTATCACGAAGTGTGCACGATGGACCTTGACTGGACTCGCTGCGAATCAAGAGAGTGTCCTGAGTCCTGCCACAGCCCTGTCTCAGCTAGAATCTTTACTATGCGATATGCGAGATTTTTCCGAACTAGCAAGCGCTTCAGAAATCAAGTATAACAAGGGCGATGATTTCCAAACATCTTTGGATACAAACAGCTCACGAGGTACCGCCACAGCACCGACTGTGCTACTCAACCGTCTTCAGATGCTTCCTTATCGCATGGCCGAGATGTTCGGGAAACCAGATAATGAACGAGATGCCCCGGCTATTCTACTCGGCATTGGATCCTTGCTCCGATGCTCCAATGATTTACCAGGTGCGTGGCAAAGTATAAGCGTATGGTTAAGCAAAACGACGGACCACTTCAATCATATGGTTTCACTTCAAAATCCAGCCGCACTTATTGTGCTAGCCCACTGGGCGGCTACTCTGGTTAAACGGACTGAAGTTTATGAGTGCTGGTTCATACATGGCTTTTCAAGGGCAATTGTTTTACTTATTTCCGAACATCTTTCTACGGATGATGGAGGTCGAAGTTTGGTTGAAGGCTTGCTAGAGTGAATGGGTTCATGCGGCTCTGCTACGCTACTTATAGATCCATGGATCTATGTCTGGATGACCTTGGAAAGTGCACGGGTTAGCGTACCTAGTGTAACAGAAAACTTATATGATCCAATCAATTACATCCATTTAGCAAAAATCCATAACCTTTTTATTCTGTGCACAGGTCCACAATCGCCACTGAAGCCACTGACCTCTCCCTCATCCCACAAGCACAAGGGCTACATGTCTCAAATATCGAGGGGGTGGATTCGCTCGGTCCGCTGAATTGAAGACGGAAAAGCCGAGGCCAGAATGCTTCGCCTCTATTAATCCTCCTCCGTAAGTTTCCTAATCAACTCTATACTCAATATCATCACGAGAATTCCGAGACCGACTAACGAAATCAGTCCTACAGAGATCCATCCCAACGCCATCGCCGTGCCTCCCACATGGCCCGAGACAGCTCCATAACTGAGCATTTCGGTCATTGTCACCGTGGCGCTGCTATTGATGTGTTGCCACAATACGGAGATAAGACCAAATCCAAAGCCGGCAATCAGATCGAGTAAACAAATCATCGTTACCTGTCTGCTAGGAAATGGCTTCACCTCGCGCATTGAACCACCGTCATCAACTTCCTCATGCCATCCAGGGAATGTTGATAGTAGCAGGATACAAATGAACGCCAAGGCCACCACGATATATCTATAAGAGCATTTAGTATATTGCCTCAAAATAGCCAGAGGGGAAGACTTACATCAGCCCATCAAATACAATCTTCTCTTTGAACTCATTCGCAATCATGATCAAATTGAGCGGGTCGGGTATAATTTCCGTGCTAGTATTCCCATTTTTGACATATTTTTGGGCCTGGATCAAATTTGCTAACACATCTGCGTTGTTAGAGCAGATGCGTCCTGTATGACTCTGCGTCACGCAGATCCCCATATACCCTGCTCGCACTTCAAAAGTCTTTCCGTTGCCAGCTTGCGACACATTGTGAACGGCATACGCAATAGCTGAGCTCACTTGTCCGGGCGCTGTAGATAATGGAGAGTCTTTCGCTGTATATTCTAGCGACAATAAGTATACGTTGCTTAAACTATTGGAAGAAGAACAGCCCGCAAGTAGAATGGCTAGGAGAGAATATATTAATCAATAAATCCCGAAGATGGATAGATTTCCCTCACATAGCGAAACGATTGGAATCGCCGATAGGATCATCAAAACATGATGGTAACTGATCATAGGTATCCATTGGGCTTTGAGTCGCGTTAGCACATATACTTAGTCCAATCTTTGAGGAGCATACTTATTTTCGTTCTGAGCTTTGACCAAGCCATAACTGTAGCAATGTAGGTTAAGAGGGAGGGGTAAATGAGAAAAGAGGTCAAGGTCGAGCTGAACATACTAATCCTATTTTGGTAGTCGCTAATCGCTAGTGTCAGATTTCTGTGCCAAATCTCATGCTCCACGCACTTGGTGCAAGCCTTTTCTAAGTATATAAGCTCTAAACTAAAAAGAAAGTGACTTGTATTGTACTCCCGCGTGGATGTTCCATGTCGATCTCATCTTTTTTATGCTGTTTTTCCCTCTTTTTTTCTCTTCCTCTCTTCCTGTCTTTTGAAAATGCATCCAATTCTGATTTGACTTTGAATGCCTCAGATGTCGATTGTGTTCAACTCTCGCAATTTGACTACTACAGAGTACGCTTAATTTTACTGAGAGATAAGACCAAATGGCTTAGAAATCAGTGCACGATGTGGGGTTTTAGCGCATCGACTATTTCTACTCCATACGGAGTAGTCTTAAGACACCTTAAAGTTCGTCGGCAAGTATTGCCTTGGGGAATCCAATACACTGGAAAACTGGTAGATCTTAGCGAGTAGGATAAATATCACAGCGCCCCTGAAAATCAATTTATATCCTTTCGCTTCGCACATTGTGCTTCTACATTCGTTTAACTATCAATATGGGCCGGTGGAGAGAACTGCTTTTGCCTGTGGCAGCCCTGGCTCCTTTATCCAGCGCCGTGGATATCACTAGCACATTTACGACAGTCTTCCCAACCACCGCCGTCGTCACTTCCTCCTCGGCGGTCGCGGGCTGCAGCGTTGCGCCTTCCATGCAGATCACCTGTAACAATGGATACTACAACACATATGGGGCAGTGTGGCAGGAGACCTGCGCAGCCTCGTACAGTGGTGGCACCCTCATCCTGAGCAGCTCCGCCCTTTCACTACGGGCTTGTGCATCGGCCTGTGCCGTTCGACCTGCTTGTAGCGCGGCCTTGTATGGTGGCAATATGTGTTATCTACTCCAGGGCGATGTGACCGTCACTCCCGGCGGACCGTACCAAGTAGCACTCCGTTATGCGCCCACGGCTAGCCCTTGTGTCTCGACCTGGCTGGTCACGGAAACGTACACGGTCACTTCCACGGGGGAGGTAATTTATACTGTGACGCCAAGCTCTACTACGTCTTTTACGCCCACCCCCGTGACGCCTACTTCGACGCCTACTCTGACGCCTACTCTGACGCCTACTCTGACTCCTACTTCGACGCCTACTCTGACGCCTACTCTGACGCCTACTCCGACACCTACTTCGACGCCTACTTCCTCGCCTACTTCCTCGCCTACTTCCTCGCCTACTTCCTCGCCTACTTCCTCGCCTACTTCCTCGCCTACTTCGACCCCTACTTCGACATCGTCCACGCCATCTTCGACGCCGTCGGGTACCTCTTCCTCAACACCGCTGATCCGGTCGTCGACCATCATTTCTTCCAGTATATCTAGCCCGGTATCTTCTCCTATACGGTCGTCATCGACTCGCTTGATTCCTACTTCGATTGCATCTTCCGCCTCTACAGGCTCTTCTTCAGTCATTCCTTCTGGCTCCTCTTCTTCTTCTTCTTCTTCTTCTTCTTCTTCTTCTTCTTCTTCGTCTGTTTCCTTTTCCGTTCCCACTTCTATCCCATCTTCTGGGTCTTCCATCACTTCGTCTGTTCTCTCCTTCTCGTCCGCTTCTTCTTCGTCTTCGTCTTCTTCGCACTTCTCATCCACTAGCTCGTCCCCGGACAGCTCATCATCTACTTCTAGCATATCTTCTTTCTCGCTATCAACCTCTCCAAGTCCATCTGTTCCCTCAACCTCATCCGATGAGTCTGCTTCTGGTCCGAACGCATCTGCAACACAGCCCGCCGCTAGCTCAACCGCCCTTGCTACCACAACTGTAACGCCAAGTGGATCGTCTCCTTCGACTCAGTCCTCGGAGGAATTGAGCGGGAGCACACCAAGTACTTCAACCTATACCGTCACGTCAACTGAAGTCCACACAATCACTTCTTGTGCTGCTGCAGTGACCAATTGCCCTCTACACCAACAGACGACATTCTTGACCACCGAGACAATTACCTATGTCACGACAGTTTGTCCCGAGGTTGCCCAAGCCACAGGCTCTGTGGCAACTCTTCCTCATACCAGTGTGACCCAGGCTGCCATCCTCCATCACACTACTACGCAGACCACTAGTGCTTCTTCAATTCAAGGCACAGATACTGGTGTGCCTCCTTCGCATATGACTACCTCGACCATCTATGCTACGGTGATCGACATAGTCACCGCCTGCCCTCCTTCCATCCAAAATTGTCCCGTCGGGCAGCAGAGCACCTACACCACGAGCAGGACCGTTGCTGCCTATACGACGACATATTTGGTCGTGGTCACGGATTCTGCACATGTCTCTCAGTCTACGAACGCTTCACTGCAGCCCGTGGCAGTCCCTATCCTCTCGCTCGCGCATCCGCACATCCCCGGCCATGGACCAACTGGTGACACTAACTACACTATGTCACACGCTCCATCCTCTAGCGCTTGGAAAGCTGGGGCCGCATCTTCTGGTTCTACCCAGGCAGCTACGCACGTCACAACAATGAACACGGTTTCCGGGCAAACAACCTCTTCTGTGACGAGTATACCTGGCAGCCTCTTTACCGGAGACGCTCCCAAGATGGGACATTTCTCTACACTGTTCACTGTGGTGGCTGTGCTGTCCACTCTCTTTTTCTTCTAGAAGAGACCGCCTCATGCTCATGAGGGTTGGTGCATTGTATGATATATATATAAAAAATATATAATTTAAAGTAATATTCTAGTGGCATCACAATACTACAGAAATTTGGCTGTCAGTCTATGTATGGACTCCTTCCATTACCTTATTTGAAAGCCATTGGCCAAGGCTATCCCTCAATCATGAGTTCCTTCCATGGATTTTATAGTCTAGTGAGAATATCCTGTATCCTTTCCCACAGTTCCAAGGACCCTGCCTTGCCGCATGAATTATATTTTCTTCTCTCCTAAGCCATTCAAATCTCTCATGTAAAAGGGCTGCTATCTATGAAAACGCGTTGATCGATATGGTCCGGAGGTACCCAAAAGGATGAAAGTTAGCATAATTAGAATCACCGTCATCACAATACCCACGGTCAGCCCGCTCTTGATGCCAATAGCTAGCGGGCGTGTCCAGATGAGGGCCAAAGGCACCACAATGAATGTCGTGGTCAAGATCAGATATATAAAGGCCATTCTAACCTGCCAAGGTGCCCGGCGCACTCTCTCCATGACAAGCTTTGGTAATGCGTTTCGAAACTTTGGCTTGGATCTGACCCAGAAAGGAACCCCCACAGTGGCTATAACAATAAAAATGATAGCAATACTGACAGAAACCCGGACATTTGACTCAAGCTCGCGGGTCCAGAGCACCCCGATCGGTATCGCCGATGCAACGCCATTCAACAAAAAGAAGCTGATTATGAAGCCGAACGTACCCCAGATCTTTTCAGCTATTAAACGGGTTCTTCGCACGACCCATTTACAAATACCAGCAATGATGGTACTCAGTCGACTTGCTATTGACCGAAAGACCAGAAGCATCGGAAGCGCTCGAGGTTGCACAGGTTGACCATTCCTCGCTGCATATTTCCTGACATCTTGTCTCACGGTTTCCTTGAGAGCAGTCAACCAATGGCTGCGCATGGTCATACGCATCAAATAAGCAAATGATGTCACGCCAACAGCCACAGCAAAAAAGTTACTGATAGGAACTGGATTTGCAAATGGTTCGATTTGCATGCCAAAAACAGAGGCAGCGAAAGACATCGGGACAAAAACGAAGGCGAGTTCGGTGAGTCTTGCCACAGCATGAGCCTCGTCAATCGAGCGTCGACTCTCCAGAAGACCCATATTGGATGCCAAAGACGCTGATGTTCTTTGAAGTCGAACAATGATGTGATCAATGCTCTTCCAAAGTTCGTGCATATCTTGCGTAGCTTCCAGTCCCATGGCTGCAACCTCCAAGGAAGAGGTTAAAGGATGGAGTTTTATGAGGAACTCAATAAATGGCTCCATGGAATATCTTAGATCTGGAAGCTCTCGCTGAGCACGGTTGATGATCTGTCGCCATAAGCTCAATCTCTCCTCCATCTTGATGTCGTTTAGAATCTCGATATCTATTTCGTCAAGAATCTGTCGCAGCTGATTGAGAAGGGTCATGGTGTCTTGTTGGATGATTCGGACCAACGGCCTGAGCAGACTAACTGGTCCCTGGTGCATTCCGAGAGCGTCACAGATCTCTGATTTGGTTGACTTGGTCTCCTGGAGTTTTTCCTGCAAATCTGCCATCGACTGCAATATTTGAAATACGCTGTCTAGGTCGGCTGAGACTGCTTGGCGGGGAGCTATCTGCTCAATGATGACTTTATTCAGTACTTTGGGCTTCTTCTTTTCAACGATAACATTCAGTACTTCGACCTTCTTTCCAGGTCTAAAGTTTCTTCGTTTTTCTCTACCAAGGATCCAGCCCAAGGACCTAGCAAATGAACTTTCATCCCTGACACGTTGTGGTTGCTCTTCATCCATGATAAGCTCTTCGATATACATCCTCTGTTCAGTAGAGGAGTAGTGCGACACATCATCATCATCGCTATTATTCTCGCCGTTCTCTCCTTGAGATCCAGTTGATTCCCGGTATTGACTCCATTCCGTGGAGGAGTAGTGCGGCGCATCATCGCTATCATTCTCGCTGTTCCCTCCTTGAGATCCAGTTGATGCCCGGTATTGACTCCATTCCGTGGAGTAGTGTGGCGCATCATCGCTATCATTCTCGCTGTTCCCTCCTTGAGATCCAGTTGATGTCCGGTATTGACTCCATTCCATGGAGGAGTGGTGTGGCGCATCATCATCACCATCATTCTCGCCATTCTCTCCCCGAGAACCAGTTGATGTCCAGTGTTCACTGAGTTCATTCGAGGGCCGGTCCGACGTATCATCATCATCATCATTCTTCCTCTTCTCCTTTTTCTTCTTGTCCTTACTCTCGTCATTCTCCCGCTGAGAACCAGCTGATGTCCAGGAATAGTTTGTCTCAGATATTTCCGGCAAAGGGTCAAGAAGTACGATTACTACATGGCCTGTCAGTATCTCATGTTAGGTTTGCACTTTATATATATCACGTACCAATCTCAGTGTTTTGATTAATGAGCTTCTTTCTCCAAATTGACACTCTCTCCTCTAACCCACACACTCTTTTCATCATCGATGTCGTTGTGGGATCTGTCCACAAGCCCCAGTCTAGCCGGAATATATTCGTGAGGATTTCCGTCGTAACAGACCTTCCTCGTGTGAAATGTGTCACGCTGTCCTCAAGCAGATCTTCAAGGTCAGCGCTTGAGAAGTAAGTTGGACGTCGATAAATTGGTCGAATCCACCTGAAGGATATGTAGGATTTCTCAAATGATGCTGTGCTCCAGTTTCGAGCCGGTGGACTGTCATATTTCCCGTCGACATAGCCAGAATTCAGTAAATGTTCTTCGAAGAACTCGGGATTGATGCTGAAGTTTTCACCCAACATGTCTATCATGGGTTTAGAAAGGTCTTCCACAAAGATAAGCCTTTGCTGTACATATTCTGGGACATGACACAGGGCTGCGATAGTCGCTGAATCATCGATGTGTGTTGGGTCGGATATGAGATCGTCGCGATAGTCGTAGTACGTGATTGAAGTCTTCGCGTGACGGGAAGGTTTCCCGACACTTCCATTTTTGATATGTTCTAGCACCTTTCCCGCGTTTTTAATGGTTTTTCTGTATGGTTGTGGACGCATTTCTTCTATCGCGTGAGGAGCAACGTGTGCTGAATCAACCATTCGATCTCCTTGACGTGGCCTTTGGGTTGATGGCGGTCTTGATACAGGCAGCGAGATATTGGATGGCGGTCTGGATACAGGCAGCGGGACAGTAGACGGATCTATTGGAGTGGGTGGTCGCGAGGTCCTATCTTGGGTAGGTTGAGATCCATTGTCATCCTCGGCATCAATATTGACCGATTCCTCTAAATTCAAATTATCACCGAGTGTGCGGGATGCGACTGGGGCCAACCCGTTTGTTTCTGAAACACGGCCATATGTAGAAGAGCCATTGCGCAAAAGATCTTCTAATGAGCTCGGTGCATCTCCTGATAAAAGCTGGCTTTGAGGGGGAGCGGGAGGCTCTGATTGTGAGAAGTCAGGATCATATGCTCGCCCTGTGGCCATTATATGAAAGATTGGGATTGGCCAGAGGTTTCATATAACAGTGAATTGTCTCAGCGAGGGATATGTCGCATATATGCACCTATACCGAATTTTCCCTGGGGCTTTTCTGTTTGAGCTGCCGCTTTTATGAGGGTGTTCAGGCTCAGGCTCACTAAGCAGATCTCAGCACCGGCAGCTGGGCACGGGCTCAGTGAGCGACACTAATCCACTTATGAATAAGGCTAACCTTCCAGGGCTTAGTTTCAATATAGATCGATGTATGTGAAGATCTTACTAAAGAAGCGAGACCCGACAAATAATAAAACGCAGCCATTTGAATGAGATAACATCAACAAACAAGCCGATGCTCCTCGACGCCACTTAAAAACCCATTATGGATTCGGAAATCCCGATTCTTTCCACCTGGCAATATACTTCATCATAAGATCCTCATTGTTGTAATTCAGAGGAATAAATTGATTTTTTATTGTACCAGAGGGAATAACTGGGGCTATATATACAATGAGAAGATCAAGTTGATCAACTTGGTTCTTCGGATAGACAATGCAGGAATTAATTCCGCTGGGGCGGCTTGAGTCCTGATCTGCACCAGCCTCATATCACAACACTCATCAATAGGACCCTGATTCTGCAGGGTCTTGGAGGACCGGGTAACATTGAAACGTGCATCGGCCACCGGGTGCTGAGAATAAATTGAACCCACGGGCCTCAGTTACTGGGGAGGAGGCGGACGAGGAAAAAGAAGAGAGGACCGGGAAGGCATTCAGGGATTCGGACAGCATGGGTCCTGTCCCCAGAGAGTACCCCGCAGAAAAGGGAAATTCCGAGCTGATTCCGAACGATCCAGCCTCAGTCTCAAGGGGAAAACGTCGTGGCGAGGGATTCTCGGCTACTCAATGACGAAGGGCTCAAGTAACCCGTGAGATCGTCTTGGTTGGGGTTGGCATCTAGATCATGGACCTGGTCCAACCGGGGGGCTGCAGAGGCTAACCCATGGTCTGCCCGGGGCAGCATCGACACGGATGCATCTAAAAGTCCCTCCAAGGCGGGCCAGTTGGTCCCTTCAATGTAGAGTCTGCTGAGTTGGAGGAATGGGGCGCCCATCTCAGGATTTCATCATCCACTCCCTGCCCTAGGTATGGATCTAGAAAACTGTAAAAAGGACGCTCGTTTGGAAACCCTCCGTTATTATCATAAGTCATCTTAGGATGGTTGGGAAAATGCGGAGAAGAGAGTGTGAATCACTTCCAGAATAGACTGAGACCATCTACCCTTTTAATAATGGGTGACCCTTATTATACATAGCCCTTAACATCCGCTAAGCAGGGCGTCGTGGTGGCATAGGATTGGTATATCATTGTGGCTTGGCTTCACTGACGTCGATCAGCCCTAATCCGGTCAGAAATTCATCCGATAGCACTGAGATGTACTTATCTTATTTCTCTTAGCTAGGACCATTTTAGCTATTCTTCCAGTTCATAATTACTCGTATGGTTAGTTATACGCCTTGACAAGATGTAGTAAACGAAATGCTCAATAGATGCCTAGGAATTCATCCCGCAGGCAGTGTGTAATACTTCCGCTGAGGCTACCCATAATAATTTAGAAGACAGTGTGAGTTTCCCACAGTGTAGGTTGAACCGAGCGCTTGAATCAATCGACGCCACCAGACTGGTTCGGAACGACTCAGTCGATTCACGGGTCTCAATACTGAAGCTAAAGTACATAGGAAACGCAATCCGAAAGACATATTTAGCGCTCCTCCACAATGGAAAGCTTCTCGACCCACTCCTTCGCTGAAACAACATCCAGCTTGCGCGCAAAGACCTTCTCCATCAGGACGCGATGCAGCTCCTCATCACGATCCATGCAGCAATCCTCCAAGACTGTAATGCGGTAGTCCATATCCATTGCCTGGCGAACAGTCGACAGCACCGCTCCACTGGTGATCAAGCCCACGACAACGATACACTCAGCGTTTGCGCAGCGCAAAAGCATCTCAAGCTCCGTAGCGAAGAAGGCCGAGACACGACGCTTGGTGAGGACCACTTCTCCAGGTGCAGGTGCGATGGACGGGTGGACTTGCACGGACGAGTGGCCTTCGAGATATTCACCGCGTGCGACGACAGCGGGTACAGATGAGTTGTTTGGGTTGTTTTCTGGATAGCCTGGGCGGAAGCCGGTGACGACGTGGATGATTTTCACATTGGCCTTGCGTGCGGAAGCAACGGTTGACGCGAGGCGTTCAAGGTAGGGCTCTGTGTTGTCGAGGCGGTCGATTACCCCGTTTTGGACGTCAAGAATGAGGAGGACGGTTGCCATGGTGGGCTATTGATATGTGGAGTTGGAGAGTTTGGAAAGGTATAGATTGAACGAGGATGAGTTTAGATTTAAGAGGGAAATATCAAGAGAAAGTTGATATCAAACCAAGTATATGTGTTGTTGAATGGTAGCGGTTCCGGTATTATGGATCCCGGTACCGGCATGGACATATAAAATTGATAAAGCTGATAAAACTATTTTATACAAAAGAAAAAGGTATGGGAAGTCGCCCACAATGTTGTTAAATACATCGTTAAAAAAAAGAAAGTGGTTTGGGATCCCACACAGGAAGCGAAGGCATATCAGTCGAGTCTTGGTCTCTTAACCGCAAATTGTTCCAAAAGCTCGACCCTTTCTTTCAGACGAGCATTTTCTTTCTCTAGATCCCCACGATCCAGAATCAAATCATCGCGATACCTCTTTTGCGTTTTAGGTGATCCTTCTATGCATTTATCCAAGATGTCCCGGTGTTTCTTGGATGACATCACTGAATCAGATGGTTCGGTCTCTGGAGTCCTGGCCCGAGGAGTCTTTAGCAGTCTAGGTGTCCTGCATGGCGTGATGGGATGATGATTGATGACTATCTCATTTTCGCTCTCGGATTGGTCTTGCTCTGATACGGAGCTATCGTCACGCTCTTGGCTCTCTTGGCTCTGCTGTGATTCCCGCGGTGAAGGAGGTGAATACTCGGGGGTGGAGTGTCGGCTCATTTCCTCCGTGGATCGGATGATGGGTAAAGGAACACTTGTTCGAGGTGTCGCCCGTGCTCTCGCCATTGTCGGAGTGTCTTTTGAGTAGAGACGGCTATCAAGAATAGAGGTTCTGTCCTCTGGGGCGGCAGTAGCTCGATTCCCTTGGAGGCAGTTGCGAAGGCGGAATTCATCTAGCGGTACAAGGCAGCTTTGACGCCAAACATCTGCAGCTTCTTCCGCTCGTTTAGATGAAGCTACCTCTCCATCGATCCATGATGCAAACTCCCCCACATCCAGTGTGATGGCGTTTTCATTGTTATCGGAGAATCTTTTTCTCATGTAGTCGGTATAGCTCTTTTGCATAGCCCCAAAAGCGATATTCTCGATTGGGTTGAAGAACTGTTGATCATTCTTGGGAAAAGAAAGACAAGCAATCTGATGGTCCCAGCAGAACTTTTCAAACTCAGGAAAGACTATGCGGAATCGATGGGAAATCAGCAGAATTCTCCATGCTTCACGCCGACCTTTGGGTCGGGTCTCTGGCTCGAAAACAGTCTTCAACCAGTCAAGTGCATGATTCGCCTCAGCCCAGCCTGACTGGGTGAAAGAAACTTTGATTCGACCAAAGTTCTTGGTCTGCGGTGGATCCTGGCTTCTGCAGACAATGTATGGAGGCAGGTGCTTTCCTCGTGTTGAGCAGCAGTGGATAACAGATGAGAATGCCCGTTCTTCTCTCTTGTGATGTTGGTTCATTGGTCGAACGAACATAGCGCTTGCCTTTCGATACATGGTGGTAACAAAAGCGGCATCCTCCATGGCATATATGTTGTCGTTGGAAACTTGGAACCGCTGCTTGATATCTTTGAATGCTTGAAAGAACTTCCAGGCCCTGCGGTCTTCGTGCGGACCTTTCAATTTTAGTGTATTGCGCTCTTTGGCTATGTGATCAGCAAGTTCTCGATGACGCATCCAGAAACCCTTCTGCCAACCGACGTTGAGGTTTGGTCTGTTCTGGTTGTAGCCCTGGTGATTATGGAAATATGCATTTGCTGTATCCTTTGCCAACATGTTGTAAGGAAAGAATCCATGATTCAACCAACGCTCCACCCGCTCGACAATTACATTCTCGTCCTCGACTGAGAGAGCTGGTTGACCCATGACGCCAGACTTCTTTCGCAGATATGCACCAGCAAGGGTTGTGGCAACTTCGGAAGCAATCGTGTGAGATGGAGGCGCCCCGATAACAGTCAGCATGCCTTGTCTTCTGGTCTGATGGTTTAGACGGGGGGTTGAAAGAGAGGCACTGGGGATTTCAGACAAAAATTAACTGAAATGATGACCTAGAAGAAAATCCTAGCACTAGGTTATAAAAATTGACCAAGCCTCCATTCTGTTAGCTCAGTAAAAATTATTGTTCATATTATTGGATCGCTGCATTTTGGATGGCTATTTGAGCTTTTTTCTTTGGCAGGGAGTGTCAATTTGGGTATAAAGTGGATGCTATTCCACTCCAGACCGGCTGGTTTCCATAGTGACATGTATCCACAACATGTTGAAGATTTCTTCTAGCTTCGTTTTTCTCCGGAGTGATTTTCCCGATTATAACTGTGGTGAGCAAGAATAATAAAATAGATCAACAGGCACGGAGAGCCGAATGACGCAAAAGCTGGTTTATACAAGAAAATTAAATTTCCAGGCGGCATCGCCGAATTCAAGTTGTTTGAAGAGAAGCTCTATGCTCTATCAAGGAGTCTGTGTAGTGACGGTTTTTCTTAGTTAAATGGCTGAGGTGCGTTGGGTGTATTGAATATTTTAGGTCATTTCCAATCCTTCGAAGTCCTGGGGATATTTTGAGGTCTTTGGTGTCCATTGGATGTATCCGTTTTTTTTAGTGAACTATCATCAGTGAAGCTGGCTGCAAAACACTTCTGAGACATCCGATTCGCCGGGATCTTCCGACTCCGACTCTTGTGGGTTGCCATTATTCGTTGTCTCCTGCGCTTGACATGATCGTTCTGGATCAGGTGGATGAAACGCTGCCCTGTCAATATACAATAATCTGATGCTGCCGCAATATACGGCCGGAAGAGGAATTTGAATCATCCAATGGAGCAGTTGTCCCAGTTCAGCCAGAGGGTCAGTCACGTCGGTCTTGTGTGTCAATCGCATTCAAATGTATCCATAAACTTGTCAAGCCTTTCCTCAAAGCTGGAAGCCAATATCAATATCCTAGAATCATGATGTCGGGCCCGAATTCTGACAGCGGTCGCGGGCCGAGTGCATCCCCGGGATTCACGGAGCTCTACTGTTTGGTAGCAGACTGTGCTCCACGCGTATCCACAGCGGAGATGAATGAGCCAGTCTCAATGGAAGCAGATGATTATGAGCATGACTGAGAGCATGAGAACATTGAAGATGATATAGCTGTCACCTGTGCGCACCCAAGTCAGTTGGTCGACCTCGAGACTCGACCTCGGGGAGACCCCGGCCCGTGACCTTATTACATAAATATCCCATGACGTCAATGCCAAAACTATCGGACGCGAATCTCCTCGCGCACAATTGAGCTTTCTTCCTATGGCTGCCTTCAATCACCGCCAGGACTGGCCAATGACGCATCAACCTATTTGACATGCAAATACTCTTTTAACCCGAAACATACACCATGGCTTTGGCATCCGTCCCAATAACACACGGCAGTGACAGTGAGTATTTCTGGTTCAGGTATGATACTATGGATACTGACAAGACCACAGGTATGCTGAGCTCGGTCGCAGCGCTGAACGGCCGCGTCTTCGACACCGACCCCGTCATCGCGTACATGCTACTAGGCATGTCTCAGCAAGAAAGGTTGGCTTATCTGCCGACATACTGGACCGCGCTCATCAAGTCAGCCTTGCTTAATCACGCAGTGATCACCGAAGCCGATGGCTGGAAGGCGGCCTCAGTCATGATTCCACCTGGTGGATACATTGACAATGCCTGGACTCTTCTGTGGGCTGGATTTCTGGGCGTGCTGTGGAGAATAGGACTCCCAGGCGTTAAGGTAAGCAAAAGGCCAACATTCTCGCAGAGTAGACTCCTGATCTAAGTAAATGTCTAGCGCCTTTGGTTTGAATTCTCTGGTATGACCGACAACGCCAAGAGAAATGGTCTACGTGGACAGAACCAGTACTACTACGTCTTCAGTCTCGGAACCGAGCACGAACACCGTGGCAAAGGTTAGACAGTCCCATTTGTGGCTCCACCATACTCTACCTGTTACTGATTGTTGTCCAGGCCTCGCCAAAGCGATCATGCGGGATCACCAGCAGACAGCCCAAGCCGCGAACCTCCCAATCTGGCTCGAAGCAACGACTGCAGGCTCGCGCGCTCTCTACCTGTCGATGGGATTTGAGGAAATTGAGGAGATTCGGCTCGGGAAGGGTAAGGTCGCTGCTGATTCTAGCCTTCAGTCTGACGGGCCAGGGGTATCCCTTTGGGCGATGGTCTGGTGGCCAAAGCCAACTCCTGAACCTATTTCCTAGGCATTACAGGTATTCTTCTGCTTGTCCATACGCTTATAACTAGCATATGTATGTATTCAAGCGCTCATTCCCATTATCAAAAATCTGATTTATTCATATTTGTGCATTGTTCCATTCTGGGCGATAATCCTGCTATTTCAAATCAGCTAACAATATCCAGCCTAGCGAACAGGTCTGCTGGCTCAAAACACAAGCTCAGCAAACATTCTACAACCTGTTCAAATCCTTGGGAATAACACCAGCCTTAAAGTCCTCTGCAAGAAGTTAGCTACTATCCTCCGATTGTCTACGAATCAACAGATATTCACCCTGATAAGACCACCGGTACTCATTCAGCTGAGCTTTCCAAGTTCAAAAGACCCATCCCTGTTGTTGCTCGTAAGAGTGAACATGCGCGGCAAACCACTTTCCATAAAAGTCGGTATTCAAACTGGAATCCCAATCATACGACCCTTCGACATCATCTGGCACAGAGAGACTCCATTCGCCAACGATATTGGGAAAGTAACTATCACGCTTATCGCCCCGGGGCCGCAGGATGTGCTGATGTAATTATCATGCGAGGGATAAATACTAGTATCCCATTTCAGATAGCGGTGATCATCATAAGCCATGTAGGTCAAGTCATCGAGATACTCATTAGGATCACCCGAGCCCTAGGACTTATCCATTGTCTGGATACGGAGGTAGTCATTCGCATTGATGGAAAGCTTCTTCTCCGTGGCACGGATACGCGGCACGCTGCACGGTCTGGGGATCGATTCGTTACAAATACCATGACCGTTACATTGCTTCTTGAATATCTGAAATGAAAGATGTTTTGGCTGCCGAGTTTCATCAATCTGAATATTAGCGGGTGTGGCTATTGGACACCACTAACTAGACGTGGGATACTCCAAGGTCCTTGTTAATTAATTCCTCGCTCTGGAGTTTCCCTATGGACGAACTTGTCAGCTTGATATCTGTCCATTGACTGTGCTGAGGAGTATCGTCGTGGAAGGTACTTTGGGGATTTAGTTCTGCAATTATTCTTGGTTATACATAGAGGAGTCCTACGCCGTCAGGGACACAGGCCGTATGTGCGGACTATTCTTGTTCTACCCATTCGAAAGACTTTCATTCCAGCTTACATGAAGACTCTAAAGAGACCATGAAGCAAATATAAGACAACGTTAATTATCATTAGAGAACATTAAAGATCATAATTGCGTTCGTTGCAATCAAAATAAGAAAATCATAAAATATATCCTCCTCACAGCGCCTTGAGCAATTCCTGGATCAAAGGCAAGAAGCTTGTAACATCATCGATCAGGAGAGTTGTCTCATTGACGAACTTAGGAGTGAGGAGATCATGAGCGTTCTCCAAGAGCGCTCCAACATCCGAAATAACAGAAGGCTTGAGCAACTTCGTCACCTCGGGCAACAAGTCGGGCACGAATCCAAGAATCTCCTTGAGTGTGGAGACCACCTTGGGGGTGAGGAGACCATCGGCGTTCTCGACGAGGTCTGTAGTATCGCCGACGAAGGCGGGCGTGAGCAGAGTGGTAGCGTTGGTCACGATGTATCCCAGGTCGGTGATGATGGTTGTGTTCAGCAGAGACTTTCTGAGATCGGGGATCAGGGGAATGACGTCGCCGAGGAGATCCTTCAGTCCAGTGACGATGGTTGGGGTCAGGAGGTCGTCTGCGCTGTCTACCAGACCAATGGTCTCGTTGACGAACTTGGGGGTCAACAGGGTGTTGGCGTTGGACAAGAGAGAACCAATGGCAGAGATGGTGTTCTTGTTCAGAAGCGACTTCAGCTCCGGCAGCAGAGGAATGACGTCCATTAAGAGGGACTTCAGTCCATTGGCCACCTCTGGAGTGAGGAGGGCGCCGGCCTCGCCGACCAGGCCCTTGGTCTCCTTGACGAAGTCTGACGTGAGCAGGTCTCCGGCGTTGTGTAGAAGGGTCTCGATGGAATTGATCATCTCCTTGGTCAATAACGACTTCAACTCGGGGATCAGTGGGGTAAGATCGCTGAGGAGCGACTTAAGAGCCTTGACCAGGTCGGGAGTGAGAAGGCCGACAGCCTCGGTGACCAGGGTATTGGTGTCCTTGACGAAGGCGTCCGTGAGCAGCTTGTTCGCGTTGCTTAGCACGTTCTCGATTGCCTTGATAGTGTCTGGCTTGAGCAGGCCCTTCAGCTCGGGAATTATAGGAGCGAGCTGAACGAGAAGAGACTTCAGGCTGTCAACCGTATCCGAAGACAGGAGCTCACTAGCTTCATCGATCAAGCTAGTGGTCTGGTTCACGAAGCTGGTAGTCAGCAGGCTATTGGCATTGCCGATCAGAGTCTCGATCTCCTTGACATTGCCCGCGGAGAGAAGACCGCTAGCCTGGTTGATAAGGGGACCGGCCTGCTGGATAAGCTTGCCAGTAGTCGAGATAAAGCCAGGCGTGAGCAGCTTGTTGGCATTGCCCAAGAGCGACTCAATCTCCTTGACATTGCCCTCGGTAAGAAGACCGCTAGCCTGGCTGATAAGAGGCCCGGCCTGTTTGATCAGATTGCCGGTAGTCGAGATGAAGGCAGGCGTGAGCAGCGTGTTGGCATTGTTCAAGAGCGACTCGATCTCCTTAACATTGCCCTCAGTGAGGAGACCACTGGCCTGGTTGATAAGGGGACCGGCCTGCTGGATAAGCTTGCCAGTAGTCGCGATAAAGCCGGGCGTGAGCAGCTTGTTGGCATTGCCCAAAAGTGACTCGATCGCCTTAACATTGCCCTCAGTGAGGAGACCACTAGCCTCATCGATAAGAGGGCTGGCCTTGCCGATCAGGTTGTTGGTCTCCTTAACGAATGTTGGAGTGAGCAGGGTGTTGGCGTTTGTCAAGAGTGACTCAATCGCGTGAACATTCTTATCGGTAAGTAGGCCACTGGCGTCGTCGATAAGAGGGCCGGCCTTGTCAATAAGAGGGCTGGCCTTATCAATGAGGTTGCCGGTCTTCTTAACGAAATCGGAGGTGAGGAGGTTGTTGGCGTTGTCGATGAGGTTATCCACCTTGTCGATAAACTGACTGGACAACAATTTATTGGCCACCTTGAGGAGAGTTCCAATCTCCTTGGTGTTCTCCTCAGTCAAGAGGGTGTTGGCATTGTCAATGAGACTGCCGGTCTTCTTGATGAAGCTTGCAGTCAGGAGGTCGTTGGCATTGCCTACCAAGCTTCGGATCTGGTTGTCGACAGGGGGTGCTAGACCGGTAGAGAGATATTCGAAGGTGTCGGCGAAGTTACCCAAGAAGCTGGGGTTGAGCAGACTTTCAAGACCATGCAGAAGGTCCCCAATGCCACCACTACCACCGCCGAGCAAATTTGAGAAGGCATCTTTTATATCTGCCCCGATATTAGAACTATCAGAGCTGGTAGACTTGGTGCTTGAGCTGCCTGAATCAGAGGCAGAGGAGGTAGCCTTGGGAGCCGATGAGGTAGTCTCTGCAGCGGAGGGACTAGTCTCAGCAGTTTTAGGGGCGCCGGTTGCATTGTCTGATTCTGCCGCACTGCCACCAAGAGCAGTCTTTATGCCACCGGCCACGGATTCCACGGGGTTGCCCTTGGTCGGGGCAGCGGTCTCTGCAGCAGCGGTAGTGTCTTCTTCCTTCGCAGCCGCAGCAGCCGCAGTAGTAGCCGTGTTGGCGGCTTTGACTGTGTTGGCGGCAGGGGTAGTCTCAGCCGCATTGGCCTGGTTAACATTGTTTGCTTGGGCGGCTGAGGTTGTCGGAGCGGCCTCCCCTGCAACATTCGCGACAGGTGTGGCGGATTCCGCCGGGGCTGAAGCGGCGGCCGGACTTCCTGTCACATTGGCTGCGAACAGAAGCGCGGTGGTGAGCGTTGGCAAAAGACGCATGTTGTCGAATGGGCCGATCTGGCTGTCGTTTCTTTACTTGATATCTTGTCTAGCCAGTCGAATTGGCGTCGATTCCCCAAACCTGTCGTTCAAAGGTTTGTTGCGGAGTAGGAAGAGCCTTCGGGGATTCAAAAGCCCAACCCCGGATTGAGCCAGCTCTTTATTTGCATTGTGATGGCGCTGATCGTCGCGCAGTAGGCAGGGTCCTAGCTAACCGCAATTGCACTAACTTCTCATTTTTCTTTTTGGCGTACTCCGTCTGGAGTACGATGTAGCTCCACCATCACCGAGGAAATAAGGATCGACACCGAGGCAAACTAGTGATAAACTCCCATGTGATGAGAAGTGATGAGCAATTCCCATTATAACTCCACTCGATAGCAGAATCTAGCAGCTCGCTGTCGGCCGTGCCTGGGGACTAGGCAGGGATCGGCACTACTAGCAGGGAAAAGGTAATATATTTCCGCTCCCGAGGTCCAGCCAGGAACATGTGTTAGCTTTCCTGGGGGAAGGCTGGGCATCTATTAAGGGAAAGCCATCGCAAAGCTTCTGCGTATATTGACGTATTGGCGTATTGCGGATGGATGCGGGATTTCCGGGGGAAAAGGCCAAGGCAAAAGCGGGGGAAATATTATATTTCCCCACAAGTAGCCAAGATGAGGAACAAAGCCAGATGGGGTAGATGGAGTTGTAAATCCAAAATGGAGAAGACTAATAAACGAGAACAAGGAAGTGAAAGGGGGGGAAAAAATGAGGGGAGGTTCGGACTTGATACTGAAAGAGGAAAGGAACTACACTTGTCCCTGCTCATCGCTCATCTCCACCAAAAGCTTCGCAATTCCCATCAGGTTGGAGATAATATTGACTATCTCTATTTCTTTATATTGCTTCATATTTAAAAATTAACAAGCATTGGGAGATTAATCATGAGAATTAAGTAGATCTCACGTATATATCGTATACAAACCGCAACTAGTACTACCTAGGTATGTCCTCTCTAACGGGACAAAAGAAGTTGAGATCGCCGAGTGTCTAGACTGGGAAAGCTGAAGCGGTCATCTTCTATTCCCTGTTTGCTATTTGCTTCCTTTTTTTCCATTCCAGATGTCTGTTAAACTGCCCTAACTTCTGTACACCCATACTATGTACTGTCTAGATCTCTATAGATGTCTTCCTCAATGCCACATTCCTTTAGCACTCTCAAACGCGTCTCTGAATCACTCGAACGTGACTCAAAGGACCTGAATTCCAGAAACCATGTACGAGCCTCCTTCTGATTGGCCATGTTTCCCAGGAGCAGACGCTTCCACTCTAGGTCATCCTCACCGAACCCGAAGCTAGCCCCCATAAACTCCCACCACACAGGTAAATACCCCGAGCCCTCCCAGTCAATCAGACCGCTCAATTCAAAGTTGGCTGGATCCACCATAATATTGCAGTGAGTCAAGTCCCCATGGGTGAAAGTCCATGGGTGAGGAGAGGGCATGGTATCACGGAGCCGCAACCTAACAACTTCCGGTAGTTTGTCGCTTAGAGATTTTGCCAAAACCCCCCAAAACTCGTCAGCCGTGCTCAATGGGCCATGGGTAACCCCGAATCCATCATCGGCAAAAAGATGAGGACAGCAAACGGGTTGGCCATGGAGACTTTGCATCTTAGCGGAATGGAACGAGCGGAGCTGCCCTAGATACTCCGCGGTCTGACGAGCAAGTCTTTCCCGGTCGGGTTGGGGGATAGACGACCAGATCTCCTCTAACGGTACCCCAGGCACCCGCTCGACGACCTGAAAATACTTCTCGCCCTCGGTCCACTCCTGCACGGTTGTTGGGACGGGGATGGTGGTATTCTCTCTGATGAAGTGGGTGTTGATGACCTCATGGCTGGGGGGATCTTTCCCGCGCTCCTTGAGAAGAAATTTTGAGCCGAGGGACCAGTAGCCCCGATCGTGGGCTCCGTGGAAGAGGCGCACGCTACTTTGGTAGGCGCAGCGTCTTTGCTGATCTGGGGTCCATTTGCATGCGGGGCAGGGGACCTCCGATGATGACATTGAAGCTTTGATTCCGTATTTCCTTCGAAGCGAGATTTGATAGATTAAACCGTCTCGGGTTGATAGATCTGAAGGAAGAATCACAAGATAAACTCGGTTCTTTCTACAATGGCCAGGTGTACTCTGTAGCGGTGAGTAAAACAAGGGACTTTCCGGGGTATACGGGCACATACCTCTACACGCATGGATTTGCGCAATGACCTATCGCCTGGATCAAAATGTGTAGCTTCCCAGAGCCTCGGGTTTTGATTCAAATGAAAAGCCGTCCACGGATCTGATCGCATCGCCATCAAGCACTCGTATCACTTGCCTGTTTAGCTCTACCTCGGTCGCCTCATCTGTTTGGTTTGGGTATGTAACGTTGTGTCAGTGGTCGTGTTGTTGCTTCAAATATGGTCTTAGCGCATGCTGTCCAGACTAATGCAGGACAGCCGAGTCAGAATTTGGTTCACAGCGTTGGATCAAAGTAACGTAGCAAGTGATATATGTTACTTTAGATAAGAAGAAGTGTTGTCTCACTATATTCACTTCCTTGGTTAACTAATAGTAGAGACTCAAATAATCTACTTCGAGCATTTGACTGGTTTTCCATCCTGGACCAGCCAAGGGAGCTGGGTACTCGTCAAGCGTTGGGCATCAAAGTTGCTCCCAAGGGGTTTTTCATGGGCTACTCAATTACTTATTAAACACTTGAAATCCCCCAAGATTAGTACATATGTACCAAATGAGGAGCAGTTTAATATGTTAACTCATCGGGGTCTAAAATATCAATATTAGTTCTTTTTCACCTAGGAAAGCCGATGTGTTTATCGTAGTTAAGCTACATACCGTCGAGAGTAGTTGAACTCATATGCAGCACATTTAGTTTGCATATCAACATACTTACTCCGTACCCACTTAAATACAGAAAGCTCCTATTACTGATTCCTTTCTAGGTCCCGGTGAAGTATTCACTGTTAGGACTTTCATAAGCTATCACGTCTAGATAGGTCCGCCAGGCATTTTAGTAAAACGAGAGTTCCAAATACAACTGCAATATACATATGTGTTATATGTAGCATGCAAGAAAATGAGAGTACAGAGTCAAGCTCAGTGCATTAACAATGTCTATTATAATTATCCCTTCTTGAAAAGCAATAGTTAATATTGGTTCAACCCGAGGAGATACCAGGGACGGATCCGAAATATATAGTGCCGGCAGTCCCGGAAACACCAAACCCCTGGGACTAGAAATAGATATGCTATATTGAAGTGACCCACAATCAGGGATATCTATACAACATAGATGCTTAGGTACTACGCTGTACTCCGTAAATTGAATTTAATCAGACTAAATCTAAATCCTGACCCAATAAAACAGGGTAAGCAGAGACAGACACGCTACGGAGTACTCCGTAGACACAACATGCCATTACCCGAGACACCAGAGGTAGATAAATAACAAGAAGGATCAAATATCATACGAGTCCGATAAGCCTAGATCCTCCAGATGTCCACATCACCCCATAATCTCCATAAGCCTCGTGGTTCCAGACAAGGCTCAAACTCCGAACCGGTTATAAGTGGATCACAAGGCATAAGCACCATCAGACGATCGTTTCTATGCAAGACAAATAGGAGTGCAGTAAAAAGTAATATACTCAGCATAAATAAAAGCATAAACAAAGTGTAAATGTGTAAATGTGTAAATAGTCGAACTGAAAAAAAAGGTAAACAGCCGGGAATAACTCGGCCGGCCGAAGCAGCCAGGACTCCCGGGGTCCACCTAACAAGGACCCTTTCACTCTTCTTCTCATCTTCAGAGAACGGGGGTGTTTTGGAGAGGATAGGGAGTTACAAGCCGAGATTAGACATCGGACTTGGTGATGTGGTTGATTTGAGAGGCCACGTACGGAGTACGTAGAAGGACCAAGTATCGGATCTGGAGAAATCGGTCGGCCGAAGGACTTGAGAAACTTGAAACTGCCGGCATTCGGACCCTCCATGGCTGCAGGTGACATACATCTAAGAGGAACCTCGGGAATTTGCCGGATTCTGTGGACTTTCGACTTTCGACTTTGGATTCTCTACTTTCTACTTCCTACAAGACTGACAAGTGCAAATATCCAGGACCTTCCTTCCATTTTGGAGAGATTCATATATCGATATCATTCTTCCCCATGCGGTAGAAGCAGGCGGGTATGTACATAGCGCAGAAGATGCTAACCTCATAGGAAATACTCAGGTATTGTATATTCCCGATAATCCCATGTTCCCCAAACGCCAGTCCAGGGAAACAAAACCAAAATCAAAAGAGTACGTAAACATTTACACTACTGGATGGTCCCCGCTCATGCTGGGGAACAACATCACATCCGAAACACGACCAAGGATATTCCGCATGCTCAGACCTTCCATCGGCTGCAGACCTGCATTGATGGTTGATGGCATGTTGGGGCTAGGTTCGAGAGAGGGAGGGGAAGGCAACACAAGGGGGGAATATGTTGTGCTGGATGATTGCCCTGCCGAACTACCCGTGCGAGCGCTGAAGGCCTCACGGATCTCACGCAGAGCATGGAGAGACGAAGAAAGATGCTTGGCAGAGTCGGTGCGGTTGTTTTGGTCCGTGTCACCGTCTGCATAGACATGGTCCGCCAGGACCATCTCCAACCTGTCGATCAGCTGCCAGGTCTGGGGGCTGTCGTCATTTGCAACGAGCAAAAATGCGGAAGCAATGCTTCGCTGCAGACTGATCCAGGACCGTGAGCAGTGGGAATTGATCTCGTGCAATTCGACAAATGCGTCGACTGTGTTGATCAGGCTACTGATACAGTCTTCGCGGATCATTGCGCGACGCGATGCGTCCAAATGGGCATGTGGGTCGAGTGAGACGCGACACAAGACAGAGAGGAGATATGAAGAGTGCAGGCGCAATTCGGTTCGCTCAATATGCTCGGCTAGAGACCGACATCTGTCTCGATACCGCAGATGAGGAGTCGCTTCAGTGAGCATGCGCTGGATCTGTTGTTTATACTCACGGATCTCATGGACGCGTAACTGAGACGATCCGGGATACATACGCGACCGCAGGACTTCCAAAGCCAAGGATACAATGCGACAGAGAGTCTCGAAATATGAGCGATGACCTGGCATTGATTTCGGATCGAATGGAATTTCAGGCTGGCTGACCATGGTGATCGAGGGTCGGTCGTAGGCAAGTGAGAAATGGCTGTTCTGGAAGGCCATTGTCCACCTGAGAAATGTAAGCTTCAGATCAACAAAAAGGAAAAAAAAAACAGATACCTACCAGACACGCCTTCGCACTTCTTGCTCTGCAAGTGAGAACCCGCTCGACTCAACATGGAGCCCAAGCACAAGACACATTCGCTCCGTCATACCTGACATTAGTTAGCTCGACCATGTCATTGGAAACACTCAACACGTACCAAGCAAAGTATATGATGCACCTGCATTCATATTGTACGAAAGTACATTGCTAATGATGAGAAGAATCTGAATTACTTCTACAGTGGGTTGCGATACATAATTCAACATCCGAAGACATTGATACGCACAGGAAACTGGAGAAAGTCAGTACAGCACTCCCGACCTTCCTAGAATGCGACGCACCGTATACCCATGAGGTCAATTCACGGTCGGTTTCCGGGATATCAGACAGCTGGCATCCTGATGCAAGAACCGCAAAAAGCAGACTGAGAAAAGCCAACGGCATCCCGAACGGTTTCACTAAACCGTTGGCATCGGGTTTATAGACACCCCCTGCTCGTCGTCGATTATTGAGAAGTCGTTTGGTTTGTTGTTCTAATTGTGAGATGTCCGAAAGCACTGGGTATAAAACTGATCCTATATCTTGATAAAACGCCAGGAACCTGACAATTGGAGATTAGCATGCATCGCAGAACACCACAAATCTCCGACTTACTCCAAACACCGTCCGTCTTCTGGAAGAACCGCACAAACACCGGCAATATTGAATGTGACCGGATCGGACGACCACAAATCCACAAAGGGATATGCAGCCGACTCATTCCCCAAAGCAAGCTCAGCAAGAAGATCATCCTGGGGCAGCGCCTGCGCTGTGTCCTCCGACCTCTTCGATTTATCCAAAATATCAACCAGGGCCGACCGCGACCCAAGATGGACCGCGCCCGTCTTCAAGACATTCGACCCGTAGACACCTTCCGACCGGTTGGAACCTTTTCGTTCGATTGGTTCTGGCTCTGGTTCTGGCGGCTTGTGAGTGGAGTGTGTTTGGAAGAGCGAGTGCAGACTGCCGAGGATCTGTTCCATTGCGACCATCTTGGTGTTGATTTCATCCCACTCCTCCTGGGAGATATCAATTATGTCCGGTAAATCCGGATCTGCGCTGGCGCTCGAGGGATGATCGATTGCATATGAGCCATCGATCGTGGGAGCCGAATTTGCATATGCGGGGATCGTGGGAGAGACAAAGCTAGGTTGCTGTAATGGGGTGGAAGAGGTAGTGACAACTGTAGGAGGGGCGGGTTTCGCAGAGGACGGACGACCGTAGGAGCAGGTGAAGTTTCGTTTGGTGCAATTGCCGCAGGGGACGTTGCGATCGCAGCGGACTTTGCTGGCTCGGCATGGTAGACAGGTCTTGCACTCGCGCGGGCGGCGACGGATAGGGTAAGTTGGCATAATTTGAATTTTAACTTTCTTGTTTTCTTCCCTCTTCTTTTTCAGAACCGGATCCCCGTGATCGACAGCGAAGAAATGATGGGAGAGGCTGCCTGCGGCGACCGGACAATAAGAGGGAGCAGCATAGGAAGACGTAGATCGAGGTGAAGGCTGAGAATGGACAGCTCTCACTGGGTGCTGACCAGTCGGAATAATGCCAATAACGGATTAGTAGAAAAGACCAGCCCTGGAGCGATTGATGCGTCCAACTGTGCCTATCATCGGAGGTCCGTGAGCTGCCCCGGATTGTCCTGCGAATGAACAGAGACCTTGGAAGAAGAGGGAATTCGAGATAAGATGTGAGCCTTTTTGAAAAGACTTGGACTTCTTCAAAAGAATGCCAAGGTATTTGTAGTATTGGCTGGTTAGAAGAAGGTGAAGTGTGGAAAAAAGCTCTGGAGATAAATTGTGAAGTTGCCCAGCTTTGGAGGATGATTTCATAACCAGCGGATGTTCCCGTTCGCTACGGATGTCAGTCACCCTAGTCTGGTGGATTTGGTCTACTTCGTTTTATATACTTCATGTTACTGAGTTACTTGAATATTTATTAATATAACTAGACATGTAAATATAGATATAAAATACTTTCCGTATTTAGTGTACATGCAATTGGCTCTATATATTTTGTACGGAGGACTTTAGGTCATATAAAGTCATGGTCATTTCTATAACGAATAAAAGGTATCACTCGTATGTCGATGGTCGTTGAAGGAACTCAGACACATGTATGCCTCTGTGTCATAAAATAACATATCTTTCACGCCTTGGGCTTCTTCTCAGACACCTGCGGTACCACCCACCAGTCATGCCAACGAGACTTAGATCCAACCTCAGGAACAACCACCTCCAAGTTGAGAGGTTGGTCTTTGTCTTCAGAAGAAGATGTCGTAGAGAGAGCCTTTTTGACTGCCTCGACAGCAAGACTGGTTCCAATACAAGCACGCATGGTGTTCTTGGCGTCGCGCTTCCAATCCTCTTCAATGGCCGAAGGTGGCGGTAGGGTTGGTGCGGATGGGTCATCAATGAATGCCCCATTGGCAAGAGTCGCCTCCCATGCTTTGCGCGCTTCAGTAATGGCCTTCGACGCACGCTCCAAAATGGTAGCGTCGGAATCACCTTCGAGAGCTGCCTCACGTTTGTATTCCTCGTATGGAACCAACTCCGGCAATGTGATAGGGATAAATGGCTTCATGCGGATTTCGTAGCGGAGTCGGTCGGTGGAATATGCCTGGGGGGATGAGGCAGACGGGAGCACGTTGTTCCGGGCCAGTACAACATACAAAGCATGTAGTGCAATCGCAAAGGCATCCACCGCAATGATGTGCGTGGTTAACCTCTCCAGAACGTGGAATGATCGGTGGAACGCGGATGCCTTTTGAGAGGAGCTTCCAGAGCGCTCGCCAGTAGACATCAAGTCGCGTTTTCGTGCAGCTACAGTAAACGTGCGAATGCGATCAATGTGGCTGAGATGTGTAGAACAAATATGAGACAAATACCAGTACATGCCCGGTAACTCTTCCGGGGAGTATATCGACAGCTCAAAGCCCATCTGGAGAATGAGTCGGAACTGGACAAGCTTCTGGTGATAGGCCCAGCTACTAAGTGGGAAGGACCAGGTCGGTTCGCCGCCTTGGAATTGCAGAGGCGGTTCTGCACTTAAAATGCGGAGCTCGAGATCAATTTCTTCTGCCTGTGTTGAATCAGCATTAGCACTCAAATGGCAATAAGGCACGAGGAAAGACTGACCTCCATCTGCAGATTGTCCCAATCAACGAGGGTATGGCAGAGTGTTCGGCGCATGCGACACCTATTGAGACAGGCGCATCGCACAGTATCAACAAACGGCTGTAAGAGTTAGCAGATGGGGCACGTCATGATCTATATGTTCACTGACCTGGGCAAATCGCTTCATGAAACCATCCATCTTCTGGGCAATCTGGAACCGAGGATCGGAGGGGACTTCCACTTCATCGGTGTTGGCCTCCAGCAATATATTGGCAGGCAAGACGAGTTCCGCAAGTTCATCATGTAAAAACTCCTTCACTGGTACGGCACCGAGGATCGTCATGTTGCTGACAATCAATGCTTGGAGAAGACAACGAATATAAATTGACGGTTGTGGTTTTCGAGAAAGCAAAGTCCATACAGCAGTCTGCAATACAAGTTAGAACCAAAACTAGACTCAAGTTCAAGAGTGCATACCTTGAAATTGCTGGGACCGGTGTAATCAAGCATCTGCTGCATGTCTATCGCATCTTGGCACAGTCGTTTCAGATGTGCGAGCGCATCATCAGAGGTAATATTAACCATCGGACGAGGCGGCACTGTGCTAGCAAGCTTCCGTTGGATCTTCAAACTGAAGGCATCTGGCACCGGCTTTCCCAGCGCGACTGTCTCTGTCAGAGGTTGAAGTTGAGCTATACATGAGGAGAAATTTTCCGCAGATCTGGTTTCAAGAACTTCAACGTCCTGATGTAGGGCAGACAAAAACTCATGCCGAAACACTAGTCTGCATTGGATGGCATCTTTGAGCTTTTGGTCAATATCGGTCTGCTCCGCAACCCAAGCAACCGCCTGGTCCAGCAGACGGTGGAAGTGGGATATATCAAATGCAGATAAAAGATTGCGGTTGTATAGTTGACTGACAAAATCTTCTTCCTAGTTGGCGGATGGCATTAGCGACAGTCATAGAATTAGCTCGCGAGCTAGCCCACTAACCTCATAATAATATTCAGTGGCCACTCGGAGATGCACAAAATCACAAGCTTTGACCAATGCAAGACAATAAGCTCTCAAGACGAGGTTGACCAAAGGAGAATCACTTGGTACACGGTCAAATCGAGCGTCGTCCATGGTCCTCGGCACCGGCCACAATAATTTATCGAGATAGATTGACGTGAATAGCGTCTGCGATAGAGGATGTCCCTTATGCCACGCCACCTGCGATTAAATCAGCAACCTGCGTGTCTCCGTATGGGCGATATCATCTCCCACCTCGTGGCACAGCAACTGGTCCATCAAACCAATGACTTCCTCTGGTGTCAACGGCCGCCGTACGTCGTAGTCGTCTTCCAGCGCCTGCGCAAGATTTTCTCCGGGGGCTATGTAGCCGCTATCCATCTTCGAGTCCATAATCTGTGCGGGTTCGATCGTCGTCAGCTGCAATTCTCGTTGCACGTTTCACATCCGGTGAGAAAGCTAACGCACCTCCAATGCGCCCACGGCCTCGAACAGGGTGAACGTCTCATCTTTCACGAGCTGCCCTGCATTTAGCGCTACAGGTACAAACAATTAGACACTTGATCAAAGCTGCCGGGGCAATATGCTTACTGGAAGCGGCTTTTGTAAATTCATCGGTAATGTCGCGGGGTGCGGACGGCGCAACCCACCGCGGAGGGGGAACGCGAACTTCATTATTCGGCAGCATCACGAAGAATCCCAAGTTCCTCCCGCAGTGCTGGTTTTATTACAGGTGTTCAAACAAGTATCGTGCTGTCGGACGAGGTTTGAGAAATCAACGAATCGAGGGGGAGGCGGGGACGTGAGCGGAGGAAAAAGCGAGTCGGGAAGTCGACAACCGGGACCTAGAGGTGACGTGCAACATCTGACCGGCCACGTTCGGGCAGTATAAGAATTCTTACGGCAGTTTTAATTAATAGCTTATGTATCGTGTGAAAACAAAGACGAGTGCGATTTCTAAGCTCTGCCCAACCAGACAGGCCGGTATTGCTACACATGTACATTTCAATGCCTCCCCGGACCAAAAATTCGCTCAAGTCCGTCACACTCGGGCCCTGCATATCTCCAAGCTCGATTCTCTCATGTTATGGGTGAATAGCGCTTATTTCTCAGCGGCCTTGGCGAGAGCCTCGTTGTTGGCCTGGGCGAGGGACTTGACATCACCCTGCTTGCCGTTCTGTTCGTCGTAACATTGATATCAGTCAAAATTCTGCAGCGTAGAGCTTGGGAAGTTCACTAACCTCCCACTTGGCGAAACGGAGGTCCATCTGGCCGCGGCGCTCAGATGCGAGGCGAGGGCCTTCCTTCAAGGAACGGCGCACCGTGCGGGCGGCGATGGCCAGGTAGCGGTTGTAGCTGGGGTCGGGGTTAGCATTGACTTTAAAGGCGATTCGTGAATGCGTACGTCAAACCGGCGGCTTTCCAGGGAGCAGTCATTTTGAAGAGAATGTGGGAGGTATGGTTCGATTGAAGGGGTGAAAACGGTTCGGGTGAGTTTGGAAGCGTTCGACTTCGGAGGATCGGGATGACAAAGTCACGTGAACAGAAGGTTACTTTGGGAAGGCGGTGACTAGCACAGCGGTGAGGATCTGCTCGGGTTGAATGTTTGGAGCCTTGAAGTCACGTGCGAGCGGAACCGGATTCACCTGGAGAAATGTTAATCCGGTATAGATTGATAAGCGTATATCGCGTCTGGCTTCACGTGACCGGCGTTTATTTTGACTACCGTTCCTGTTCAGAGAACACTATACAATGCGACACACTATGTTCTTGACACCTCGCAATGTTAAATTCATAAAATTATCGCCGCTGTGTGCTATTGGTTTATCAGTAATTGCATTCCGTTGTTTCAATTTTCTTTTCGACCTTGGTGGGGTCTACAGCGTTGCCGCGAAGTTATATAGATCGTTCGTAAGACAACACTCTACATTGTATAAAGAACGCCATAGTTACAACGCGACGCACTATCGTCTCAAGCCCCACCACATTGAATTCATAAAATTCTAATTGCCATGTGCCATTGGTTCGTCAATAATTGCTTTCCGTTCATTTTGTTTGTTTTTTCGAGGTTGGTGGGGAGCTCAAGCGCTTCCGCAAAGTCATATAGATCGTTCGTCTCGTATTTGACAACACCCTTGTACGAAGAACACTATACAACGCGACACACGATGTTCTCTAGCCCCACAACATTCAATTGATAAAATTTTAATCGCTATGTGCCATTGGCTCATCAATAATTCCATTCCGTACTTTTCATTTTCTTTTCCGAGCGTGGTGGGGAGGTGAAGCATTGCCGCGAAGTTGTATAGATCGTTCGTCAAAAGAGCAGCAACTGCGTATTGCCGCCGTATCAAATCCAAGTTTCGCAACCCGAATACGTCCTCAGCTGCCTCGAAGTACTAGATCAGATGGTGTATCAGCACATGTAAATAGAAATGTAGAGTCCAACAAGCAGGGCTTGATGTGCCCAAGTAAAGATCCCATCTGCGTCCTTGTGGTGCGGGGTATGAAACGCTTTGGTTTGAGTCGACCACCCGCATACAATACACGTGGTCGGCCTCGAGACCAAGATCCAAACAAGCACCCGAAGGCAACACTGCAAAAGTAATTCAGGGCGGTCGGTTGCTCAAGGACATTTGCCATCCCCCACCACTTCTTTCAGTCATCACATCTCTCACTTACCTTTCAATCTCATCCACCTCCATCCATCTACCATCGTCCCCAACATTCCCCATCTTTCTCTGCTTTGATACCAAAGCATCTCGAATCGACAGTGCCTTTTTATGATACCCACCAGGTGAGTAACCCAGCCTTGCGCCAGTGATGGTCCATAGGCTTCCTCTAGCACATTCCCACTTCCCACCATGGAGCTCTTGCATCTGTGCATCATCAACACGAGGTGCTGTGGCACAGTCTGACTGTTAGGAACCCCCACTGCCATCCAATCCTCAGGGCAATTAGCTTGCTGTGACACCCATTGACGACCTTGTCGGCCAGCGGGTTGTGCACATCAGCATCCAACATCTGGCAAGCTTATCAATTGCAAGGCCTGGGTCCCAGTGGCACAAGTCCAACATGTTGAGAATTTGCAATTCTCGATTGGATACATCGTGTGTACCGTCAATCCCAGTACAATTTGTCGCTGGGACTTGATGGTTTTATTTCACAATGCGAGGTCCTTGTAACAGACCATCATTGGTCCCATGCCTACCTGGCATTGGAGGACGTCGACATTGCACGCGAGATCACCGTGGTGCTGAACATCTATTGGTGAACACCAATTTGAGCATAGACACTGTGAGCAGTTTTGTTGAGCTATGCTCTAAGACCCTGCAGTCATGGTTAGCCTTGTCACTCTGCATATTGGTCTCAACATACCTTGCTTGGGCTGCGCACGGTATCGTACTCCAGCCAAATGCATATTTCAGAGCCGTTACACAATGGGCTTGGTCCATGGCGGTCCTTTGTTGCCATGAATCCCCTTTGCGAATGCCATGAATCCCTTTGCGAATGCCATATACCCTTCTGTGTTTCAGACTTTAGGGGCAATGCAGCAATACATTGGTCATGCTCAGTCACCTGCCTTGTGCCCTGTCCATGCATTGATTATTCATTTTGTTTGTCATGAGCACGAATGCTAATGATGGTATCGTGCAGCAGGATATAAAGGAATCGTCAATCCAACATGCCGACGAAGAAGAAAGCCGGCGGCCGAAAGCGCGACAATGAGGCGGACCTTGCTGAGCTCGAAAGGCTCCGGAAGCAAGTCGCTGAACAGGCCCGCAAGGAGGAAGAGAACCAGGGCAAGCGCCAAGTGAGCAGTCGGCGCCAACGGACACTTGTTCGCTGGGATGGTACGTTTTCATTCTTTTTTCATTTTCATTTTTCTCCCCAGTCTTATTTCATCTTTCTGTTTGGGGAGTTCATTGGGGTTGTTGTCGAACCCGGGAACATCCATGGACAGATTGACTGTTGTCACACGGACTTGCATTCATGCAGAGAATTTTCGATTGAATTGGGCTGACATTTGATTGTAATAGTGGATACCGACATTCGCCTTCTGCTGGCCATCCAGTATGCCTGCAATAAACTCGGCGTCAAGATTCCGTGGAAGGAGGTCGCGGAAGCTATGGGAGAGAAGTTCACAGAGGGTGCAATCGTTCAGCATTTGTCGAAGCTGCGTACCAAGCGGGATGAGCAGGATAAACCAAACCCGCCTCCACTGAAGCGTGCAGGAAATGGTTATCACAAGACCGACACAAGCAACAAGAAGGAGAACCCTGCACCGAACACTCGCAGCACAAAGCGCCGTCGCCTTGATGAATCCGATGAGGAATCCGAAGATTCTATTTACACCCTGAAGAAGAAGCAGTTCTCGAAGAACAAGAAGAAGGACAAGGTTTTTGTTGCTCCCAAGCTGCGTACAAAGCGTGAAGAAACCGACAGCGATGACTCGCAGAAGCTGGTGTGCGTTGGAGCGGAATGGTTGCGTGACTTCGATGGTCGCGATGACCGCGAGATCGATGGCGAATCGGCTAGTTCTGAGGAGAATGAGAACTCGACTGAAAGTAGCCAGGCCACTACCCAGGCGACTAAGCAGTCAAAGATGGTGACTCTCAAGGTTGGCCGAGAGTGCCTGGCAAGTGTTGACCGCAACGTTGGTGACTCTGCAACCTTCCGAGACCCCGTCACCCCAACCAACCCGATGCGCGTCACCAACATGCAACCCCGTCACCCTTCCTACTATCCTTACATGCGCACTGATTCTATTGCTCCTTTTTCGCCTCCCACTCCGACCCCATTTGCTAATAACTCTCGTGTTAACATCCCTTTCCCGTCCAATGGTCCCAGCCCATTTGACGTTGTCAACCGGTTTCCCACTGCAATTTCTGACGCTGGTCCTGGTGTAGCCCCTAGCTCTGTCTCCGGTGGAGTCTCTACCTTCAATGGACAGAACCTTAGTCCAGAATATTCGCAGTTTGATATGCCTCCCGAAATGCAATTTGAGGACCAGTATGCAGTGACCAGCTACCCTGAAGCTGATGATTTTGATGGCCAGTTCATTTCGGACGCTGAACTGCTTTCGCGCCTTCCGGATGTAGAGCCACCACGCTACTATGGGTATGAAGGTGAAGACACTAAGGAGTTTTAATCTCCTGGGTCATTCGTCATGGTTCCTGGTTCATTTGATGCTTTTTCAGTGCTTTTTCAATGCTGCTTCATTGATTTTCCTTTTTGTTTTCCCTCGCTTTGGCTTTTCTTTGCGATTGCTTTGCGATTTCTTTGCGATTTATTTGCGTGTTCTTTTCGTTCCCTTTTCGTTTTTCGTTTTTTGCTTTGCCTTGCTTTGCTTTGCTTTGCTTTGCTTTGCTTTGCGTTTGCATTTTCTTTATTTTTTGCATTTTCCGCTGGTTGATCAGAAGAGGTGGGTGAGCACCGAACCCGATCAACGGGTGCAGCTCCGGATAATAATTCCTGCGTGGCATGGAGTCACGCTTTATCCGGAGTTGCACCCCAGCGCTTCTTTTATGCGTTGCTCGTTGGCCCCCTACGGGGGGCCCGGTATTTAGTTACGTTAATAAGAGCATATCGCGCCATCTTTTTTGTTTCCAAGTATCTTGTAGGTTAGTAGGAGGATTCTCATTAATTTATTGCAATCCCATAGAGAGGTCAGAATAAAGTGACATGAGAACTATGGCAATATCCCTGGATTGCACTTTGATTTTAGGAGCGTTTAGAGGGAGCGCGTTGCGTGGATATTACTCTGCAGACTTGCGCGTATCTTTTACGGCAATATTCGATTTGAGAAGCAAATTAGTGATTAGTGAGATTGAATTTATGACCAATTGAAGATGTAGGTATAGTTAAGACCACACATAGACATAAAGAAAGAAAACTAAAGGTTATATAAGTGAAGTTGCTATGTAATCCGTATTATATGGGGATTTGCCGAAAGCCGGAATACGGGTATATGAAGCTTCCCGAGGTATACATTGAAAACATCGGGTTGAATCTACATGTATTAACCATAGGAAGAATCTATCTTCAGATGCTTGAAAGATAGATTAAAAGATTCAAAGTACATATTTCAACTCATTTTTAATATGATAATATGCTATAATACTATATAATACTATAATACCTACAATATCTTGACAGCCGATTTAGGTCCGTTCTCCCGGCTCACGTGATGGTTCTAGCTGTTTCTGCCGCCAAGCTCTGGGGATGAAGGAAGCGCCTGGAAAATTTTCGAGACTTTGGCTTCATCTCTCCCCCAGCTTTCTCCATCTCTTTCTTTTCCCTCCTCTAAACCCGCAATTTCTCCTGGGTTGTTGTATTCTCTCTTCTTTTAATTCTTTTAATCTCATTGTTCCTAGCCATGCAGCGCGCTCTCTCTACCCGGACATCCGTCCTCTCGGCCGCTTCCAAGCGTGCCCCTTTCTGTCGCTCGACTTTGAACCTCCAGCAGCAGCGTTTTGCTCACAAGGTGCGTTGGGATTGCCAATTATCTGCGGCATTATCTGGCTCGGCCATTGGCCCCGTGTTCCGTCCATTCCGAAGCGTTCGGTCGTTCCCCTTGCTAACAGCAACTAGGAGATCAAGTTTGGCGTTGAAGCTCGTGCCAGCCTCCTCAAGGGTGTTGACACTCTTGCTAAGGCTGTCACTTCCACACTCGGTCCTAAGGGTCGCAATGTCCTGATCGACTCCCCCTACGGCTCCCCCAAGATCACCAAGGGTAAGATTTCCATCAAGACGAACACATTGTCATCTGCAAAAGACTAATCATTCCCCAGACGGTGTAACTGTCGCCAAGGCCATTCAGCTTCAGGACAAGTTCGAGAACCTCGGTGCCCGCCTCATCCAGGATGTTGCCTCCAAGACCAACGAGGTTGCTGGTGACGGTACCACTACCGCCACTGTCCTCTCCCGCGCCATCTTCTCCGAGACCGTCAAGAACGTTGCCGCTGGCTGCAACCCTATGGATCTGCGCCGCGGTATCCAGGCCGCCGTTGAGGCCGCTGTAGAATACCTGCAGGCTAACGCCCGCCCTATCACCACTGGTGAGGAGATCGCCCAGGTGGCTACCATCTCCGCCAACGGTGACACCCACGTCGGCAAGCTCATCTCCACCGCCATGGAGCGTGTTGGCAAGGAGGGTGTTATCACCGTGAAGGAGGGTAAGACCCTTGAGGATGAGCTCGAGGTTACCGAGGGTATGCGCTTCGACCGTGGCTACACCTCCCCCTACTTCATCACCGACCCCAAGTCCCAGAAGGTTGAGTTCGAGAAGCCCCTGATCCTCCTCTCCGAGAAGAAGATCTCCGCCGTCCAGGACATTCTCCCCGCCCTTGAGGCCTCCACCACTCTCCGCCGCCCTCTGGTCATCATTGCCGAGGACATTGAGGGTGAGGCTCTCGCCGTCTGCATTCTGAACAAGCTCCGTGGTCAGCTCCAGGTCGCCGCCGTCAAGGCCCCCGGCTTCGGTGACAACCGCAAGAGCATCCTCGGTGATCTCGCTGTTCTCACCAACGGCACTGTCTTCACCGATGAGCTCGACATCAAGCTCGAGAAGCTCACCCCCGAGATGCTCGGCTCCACTGGTGCCATCACCATCACCAAGGAGGACACCATCATCCTCAACGGTGAGGGCAGCAAGGACAACATCTCCCAGCGCTGCGAGCAGATCCGCGGTGTCATGGCCGACCCCACCACCTCTGAGTACGAGAAGGAGAAGCTGCAGGAGCGTCTTGCCAAGCTCTCCGGTGGTGTCGCCGTCATCAAGGTCGGTGGTTCCTCCGAGGTTGAGGTTGGTGAGAAGAAGGACCGTGTTGTGGACGCCCTTAACGCCACCCGCGCTGCTGTTGAGGAGGGTATCCTCCCCGGTGGTGGTACCGCTCTCCTCAAGGCCTCCGCCAACGGCCTTGGTGGCGTCAAGCCCGCCAACTTCGATCAGCAGCTCGGTGTCAGCATCATCAAGAGCGCAATCTGCCGCCCTGCCCGCACCATTGTTGAAAACGCCGGACTCGAGGGCTCCGTCATTGTCGGCAAGCTGACTGACGAGTACGCCAAGGACTTCAACCGCGGATACGACAGTGCCACCAGCCAGTACGTCGACATGATTGCTGCCGGTATCGTCGATCCCCTGAAGGTTGTCCGCACCGCTCTGGTTGACGCCAGCGGTGTTGCCTCCCTCCTCGGTACTACCGAGGTCGCCATTGTCGATGCTCCCGAGGAGAAGGGCCCTGCCCCTCCCGGTGGTGGCATGGGTGGTATGGGCGGTATGGGTGGCATGGGCGGCGGCATGTTCTAAAGCCCCTAACCTTCCCCTAAAGAATTACCTCGAGCGCTCTTGTTTGCATGGTAGCCTGTTCTGATACTCGGATATTTGTGTAATGTCTTTTCTTTGTGTCCCTCTATTTGGTGTTTATCTTTTTTTCATGTTTCTTTCCATACCTGTATTCTTTTGGACTGGTTCTGATCTTCAACTCTCTCTCTCCCCTCTCTCTTCCTGGGACTTGACAAAAAAAAGTTCCATTGTACTATATCATGTATTCCAATAAAGTCCCATCTAATACAGCCTGAATTATGTGTTCTTCTGATTTTTAGATTGTCCGGGTTTAAGTTCGCGGGGGTCTCCGTACTCGTACTTTAACTCGGTGGGGATCGACAATGTCCCCTCCGTATAGAGTTTGGATGTATGTACTTCGTAGATCTATTGAACCTCCTAACAGTTTTGGTGGTACTCCGGAGTACAGGGAAACCTTGGAACATTCCACATGTGCATATTGTCACATAAATTAGCAATGCAAGTGATTGGCTACTCGGGTCGGCTATTTGTGCAGTTTATACAGCCAAAACAAGCCCAAGATGGGTCTAGACTGAAGCTAAGGGCGAATACAACTTCAGACGGGAAATAACCTGGGAATGATATATGCAACGATGTAAATTAATAGGCATAAAATAACATGGTAATTTATTTATTCTAGTCAATCCAAACCAATATAGGCGGGCGGGTACGGCAAATATCCCTGTGTACTTGTTTTCTTTCTCTTCTCTCTCTTCCCTCTCTCCAGGACAGGACTCTTTACTCCGCTTCTTTCTCCGCCTTGTCCCTTTTTCCTCTGGTGTCACCAGATCATTCCGGCATTCCGGTCCTGCATTTCTGTGCATTTTTGCACCTGATTTGGATTAGTTCTTTGAATCTGAATTTCGTTGTCATCCTGGAATACCTTGACTATCGGGAATGCATACAGTGCTTGCGGGGAACACATCGTGTTGGCACCTCCATCGCCTGTCAACATAGGTACAGTCATGACCCTCTGATATTCTAGTCTGTCGCCAACTTGCCTCTAGAGTCACTGCGTGCCCTAGAAAGCCTTGAGCCGATTTGAATCGAAAATAGACCCGTGATTGCTGCCGACAATGGCTGCCATGGTGGACACCGCTCGGCCAGCCCTGGTGAGCGATGCAGATCTCCTGCAAGCACGAGCAGCTCTCCAGCATCAGCAGAGTCCAGAAGTTTCCGTTCCCCGCGAATTTATCTCTCTCATCGTCGACGAACTCATCTACCGCCGCGAGTCGCATTCTTTCATCGCGGAAATCGAACACGAACGCTCAAACCTTCGGAAGGAACTCCGTAAACACACCCACATCAATGAGGCATTCCAGAAAGAACTGCGGGAGATCGGCGAGATCATTACCCAGGTCGCCCATGGCGATCTTTCACAGCGGGCCCGCATGCACCCCCTCGAGATGTCACCTGACATCGCGACCTTCAAGCAGACAATCAATACTATGATGGATCAGTTGCAGGTTTTCAGTCAAGAGGTGTCGAAGGTGGCCAGGGAGGTTGGCACGGAGGGTGTGTTGGGTGGCCAGGCGAAGATCGAGGGCATTCAGGGAATTTGGCATGAATTGACCGTCAACGTGAATGCCATGGCCAACAATCTGACCACGCAGGTCCGCGACATCACCACCGTAACGACCGCGGTTGCCAAGGGTGATCTGCAGCGTAAGGTGCAGGCGGATTGTAAGGGTGAGATCTTGCTGTTAAAGAATATCATCAACTCGATGGTAGATCAGTTACGGGAATTCGCATTCGAGGTTAGTCGTGTTGCCCGCGAGGTTGGGTCCGACGGTGTGCTCGGCGGCCAGGCTGTTGTACACGGCGTTGAGGGTACCTGGAAGAATCTTACGGACAACGTCAACCGCATGGCATCGAATCTTACGCAGCAGGTCCGCGAAATTGCCGATGTGACGACCGCCGTTGCACGTGGTGATCTTACGAAGAAGGTGACCGCAGACGTGAAGGGCGAGATTTTGGATCTTAAGCTTACGATCAATGCGATGGTTGATCGGCTGAATCAGTTCGCGTTCGAGGTCAGCCGAGTCGCGCGGGAAGTCGGAACTGACGGCACGCTGGGTGGACAAGCGCAAGTCGAAAACGTCGAAGGTCGCTGGCGTGATTTGACGGATAATGTCAATACTATGGCCCAAAACCTAACTCTACAAGTCCGACAAATCTCCAACGTGACCCAGGCCATCGCGCGCGGCGATCTGAGTACCAAAATCGAGGTTCATGCCCAGGGTGAGATCTTGACTCTCAAAGAAACGATCAATAGCATGATGGACGGGTTGGGGGAATTTGCGGGGGAGGTCAAAGGAGTGGCAAGGGACGTGGGTGTCCGGGGTAAACTAGGTGGCCAGGCCAACGTTGCTGGATCTCATGGAATTTGGAGATCGATCAGTGAAGATGTCAACACGATGGCGGACAATCTGACCTCTCAGGTCCGTGCCTTTGGTGAGATCACCGAGGCGGCGATGAGTGGAGATTTTACAAAATTGATTACTGTGTCTGCCTCTGGAGAGATGGATGATTTGAAGCAAAAGATCAATAAGATGATCTCCAGTCTGCGTGACAGCATTCAGCGCAACACCGCTGCTCGTGAAGCAGCAGAACTGGCAAATCGGAGTAAGTCTGAATTTTTGGCTAACATGAGGTATGTTAATCCCTTTGCTCAGTTTTAAGAGGCTTTAGTTTTTTTTCGCTTTGTGCTAACTAAAGTATAGCCATGAGATCAGAACTCCCATGAATGGGATAATTGGCCTCTCGAGCCTGGCGCTCGACACTGACGACCTCCAAGCTCCCGTGAGAGAGACTCTGAATATGGTACACAATCTTGCCATTAGTCTCTTAACTATCATTGACGACATCCTTGACATCTCCAAGATCGAGGCTAACCATATGATAATTGAGAAGACGCCGTTTAGCCTGGGTGCAACAGTGTTCAGTGTGCTGAAAGCCCTCTCGGTGGAAACCAATGAGAAGGCATTGGGTCTGGTCTACACGGTAGATGGAGAAGTACCGGACTATTTGATCGGAGACGCATATCGACTACGGCAGGTCATGCTAAACCTAGTCGGCAATGCCATCAAGTTCACAGACCACGGCGAGATCAGAGTCACGGTAAAGCATGCACAGGACGACAAGTGCGCTTCAGATGAAACGGCATTCCAATTCTCTGTCTCAGACCCTGGAATCGGCATTGAAGAAAGCAAACTTGGCTTGATCTTTGACAAGTTCCAGCAAGCTGACGGATCGATGACTCGTCGCTTTGGTGGGACAGGTTTAGGCCTCGCAATCTCAAAAAGACTCGTTTCTCTCATGGGTGGTGATATCTGGGTGACCTCGAACATGGGAGAAGGCAGCACATTCTCATTTACATGCCGAGTGAAGTTAGCTCAGCCGCCGCCGAGCTTTGCAGACCAGCTTGTCCCCCATCGCGGCCGGCGCGTTCTCTTCTTCGACCACGGTCTTGCGCGCAACTTCCCAATAGCCTCGGTGCTCATTGAGCTCGGATTAGAGCCCGTCATTGTCAAAGAGGAGGAGCTAGAATTTGGTCAGTTCAAACGTGACTGGGGCTGCACCTTCGATGCAATCCTCATCGAAAACTTGGAGATCGCCGCAAAACTCCGAGCCTGCCCGGACCTCCAACCAATTCCACTAGTCATTACAGCGCAAACTGTATCCCTAGCGCTCAGAGCCGCCGGTGAACTCGGCATAGCATCCTACATCACAGTACCCTGCCGACCCATTGATCTATGGAACGGCATTCTTCCTGCCCTCGGCAACCGCGCAACCCGCACCCCATCAGGCTACACACGCTCGCTAGCAATTCTTCTAGCAGAGGACAATGATGTGAACCAAAAGGTCGCCGTTCGAATTCTTGAAAAATTCAATCACAACGTCATGGTCGTGGAAAACGGGCTCCAGGCCGTGAAAGAGGTCAAACACCACCGCTACGATGTGGTCCTCATGGACGTCCAGATGCCCGTTATGGGTGGCTTTGAGGCCACAGGGAATATCAGACAGTACGAGAAGATCAATGGACTTCCTCGTACGCCGATTATTGCTCTTACTGCGCATGCTATGCTTGGGGATCGAGATAAGTGTATACAGGCCGGCATGGACGATTACTTGTCTAAGCCGTTGGACTCTAGTCGCATGATGCAGACTATCCTGAAGTGCACTGCTATGAATCTTGCCCCGCAGGCTGCTATTGAGGGCTGAAGACCACTCTGGTATATGGGATGAAAATGTGCTGGGAAACGGGTTCATTGCCAGTTATCTCACCATTGACTCCGCCTCTAATTTCACCCAATGCTCCGTGTATAAGTCTTTTATGGCTATTCAGTTGAGCCCATTTCCTCCGATTGAGCTTGGAGCCTCGTTCCTTCCCACAATTTAAAAGGAGTAATGTCCCAACCCCCAGGAAAGCCCCGTTCCCTCATTCTCTCATTTTCCGCGCAATCTGCATACATCTATAGGTTGCTTATGAACCCCAACATTCACGATGGAAGTGCAGAGCTTTTGAATTTCTATGTTTTTGAAATACCCCACCCATGTCGAGCTGTTAACTATTTTCCTATTTTCAAGGTGATCAAATTCTATTTCTCCGTTCACGGTGTTTGGTGGCTTGGGATGCGAGATGAATAACATTTCAATTATCTCTAACGGTGTCTATGGTGAATGTGTGCTGTCGGTTGTTTTTGTGCTTATTTGTATCCTTTAGTACACGAACATATATTTGGGCTGGGAATTTCAAACAGATTGTTTTGCAAATCCCTCCTGGTTTTTCATTATCTCCTAACATCAGATATATATCTAGCCTCTACCCCTCCAGCTATTATCGCTTATGAGGTTCTGTGTCAACAGGTACAGACTAAAGTTATGCTTAAAACCAATAGGTATGTATATTGCTATACTATATACATACTCCCAAAGTAAGAAAAAATCAAGATACAAAATGCAAGATGTAGGGGGGTATCAAACAGCCAGCAAAAACACAAACATAAAACCATACCAAAATCAAGAATATAAAAACTAAGCCTCCGCACGACGTCTCCGATCTAATCCAGATTTCACCAGATATTTCCCCTTCTTAACCCCCTTCCCCCTTCAATCGGACCCCCCTGCCACCGCTGCCAGATATCCTCATCCCGCTGCATATTCCTCCTCCCATAACCCAGGTACTCGTCGAAGCGTTTCCTAAGCCCCGAGTCCTCAGGCACAATATGAACAGGTATTCTACCCGCAGTGGAATCCCAGAAGAATGATTTAAGCGGATGCAAGATAAATTCTTTCAGTAAGCCCGCGCCGATTTTGTGCGTCTTGAATACGATATCGCGTAGTGTATCGCTGAAGGCTATGAAGAGGGAGAGGAAGATGATTGCAAAGGATGACGGGGCTGGAGGATGTTAGCTGTGGTATTGATATAGTGTTGGGACGAAACGGACCTGCTATCTCGAACATTTGTCCTAGGGTTGGGTTTGTCTGTTGGCCGCTCCATTCTCGGGCGTTGATTCCGAAGAGGGAAGTGAAGAAGGATAGAGGGAGGAAGCTTGGACTGTCAGATTTGGGTTTTAAGGTTGTGGAGAGAGTATTTAGACTTACACAACACTGAATATGGTGAAGACCATCACTGCTCGCGATTGCGTTTGAGCGACTTCAGCTTGCCAACGAGTCATCTTGGCTTCGTCGACATTTGCCTGTTTCTGCTTGAGATCGAGAAGGGTTTCGACCTGGCTGGTTAGTCGATGCGGACAACAACCAGCAAGGAGGGAAGGTGTGAACTCACTGCTTTCTGTGCTAGATGGCTGTTTTCTTTCATCTCGTTGATTTGTGAACGATATTCGTCGATCCGCTCCTGTGCTGTATCGAGGAATGATTTACCGCACCCCTTGTTATAAAAGTATTTGACCATACTTTTGATAACGGTGTCTTGTTGATCGAGTAGCTTTAGGATGGTAGATAGCTCGTCCTCGATGTCGCGCAACTCGAGCAGAACGGAGAGATCTTCTCGGTTTCGTCGAGCAACCTGGAATTCTTTATAATCTTGCTGGGCAGCTGTCATGATCTTGCCGTCTGAAGTGCGGTCATAGTCTGCCGGGCGGTTGGTGAAGCCTCTATTTCGGAAGCGCTTGAAAGACTTGGTAACGGATTCGGTCTGATTTTGTTAACAACTGCACCTCGAGAGAGGGATAAAAGGGGCCACCCTTACCAATATGCTGATTGACTCCTCGAAGATCCGCAATACCTGCAAATCATGATGCAGAGTCTTGTCCAGGAGAACAGTGACAGCATGCAGCATAATAAGAGCAGCCAAGTCCCCGGCCGTCTCAAAACGACGCGAGAGATCCCCATTTAACTCATTATAAATGCTGCTATGCAAGTTCGACTGTTCAAAAAGCTTTCCCTCAGAGGTCGTGGCCTCCTGATTGGGAAAGAAAGTAACAACAGTCTTCTGATCAACAATCCAAAGCCATAGCTGATCAACCATCAGGACATTGCCATCCATAAACTCGCCAACATTCTCCTCGTTATCGGGATCATCCTGTGCAGACTGCAGATACTCCTTTAGTTGCTCGTCAATGCGCGCCGGTCTGCGCGTGCGTTTCCAGAGCATCTGATCATCATCACGAGCGATCGTCGAGCGCAGATTGGGATACCCGTATTGATCTAGTGTGCGACGGAAATGCACTGGAGGCTCGCAGCCGAGATAGGTCCAGATGAGTTGGGCTTCCAAGCTTGCTTTTGAGATTCGGCCTGGGACGGGTCTGGATCGGCCTTGGTTTAGTCGGTCTTCGACTACTTTGCGTCGTTGGATTAGGTTGCGGTATGTATCCCAGTGGAGCTAGGGTGAGTTAGCACAGTGTAGAAGAGGGATACTTGGTTAATTAAAAGTACTAACGTAGGGAACCTGTAATACATATATGTTAGCATTGATATACATATGGAGGAGTTGATACATACGTATAGAGCGAGTTGAGGGTCCTCAGAAGCATCAGAAGGACTTTGTGAAACATCCATTTGTCTTGAGTGAATACATGCGGGTTTGACGAAACGTGCATGAGGCTCGAGATGACGAGCTCTATTAAGCCGGTTGTACCAATTTTCGTCATTGATAAATTTGCGAACACTGCAAAAGATAGTCAGCACTGTGCAAGACCTTGTGGAGTTAGTTAATATGCCCTACAAATTAGGCTCTTGTCTATCTTGACATGCTCGGCGGATGACTTGGGATACCCAACCAGTATGCGTATATGGCACATGGATCCACATTAGTTTCTCAGTATCAGCCTCGGGTCGATCGAAACGTGGAACTGCTCGAGGTATATCCGGTCTGTCGGCATCCTGGTTGATACGATCACGAGTGGACTTTGGTATTGCTAGAAAAGGCGATAGTACTGGGTGTGATGTAGAAGAGCTCCTATCATCGATTAGCTTGGGGTATCGGCTGAAGTATCGGAATTTTCTTACGAAGGTGGTCGTTCGATACTTCCCTGGGAGCTGCTGTCAGAAGCACTCCGACGGTGGGATCGCTTTAGTGGAATTAACCCCAGCGCCTTGGTGAGTGAGCTCTTTCGTTGGTGCCCCTGCGGCGGCGGTGGACTTTCACTTGGTGAGTCATTCAAGTAGCCCTCCCGTTCTGCTTCGGTAATGTGGATTTTTGGAGATGGACCAGATGGATCATCAAAGCTTTTCCTGTAGGGTAGAGGGGGTCGCAGGGGCCTTGGTTTCTCATCATGGTTGTGATGATGGTCATGTAGATCGGAGCCCGGAGCAATATAGGATGAGCGAGGGCTATCAAAACTGCTGATTGACGAATCATCCAAGCCACTGGGCTGGACTCGACCTAGTCTTTCCCGAAGGCAAGTCGACGGACCGCGAGAGAGATAGTCTTCCAAGGACACTGTAGTTGACCACAGCTTCAGCGGAGTTTCGTCACTGACGCCCAGTGCAGTATCCTCGAAGAAGCCATTAATTTGAACCATGACTTTCTGTTCTACGCCCAACGGCGTATCCTCGCGCTTTGATATCTCAACAGCAGTGTCAACAGCATCACCAAGCTCCTGCAGAAATCTATCTCGGGTGGGCTCCTGGCCATGGAAAGTTGCCGTCCCCGTGTGGTCTGTTGCCAGGGGCAGTTCTTTTTCATGCTCAATATCCAACAAACCCGACCGAATCGAAGTGATGGGAACATGAAACTCCAATATGTTATTTGTCTCAGCGTCGATTACATGCATAGTTGAATCCACGGTTTCGAGAAAAGACCAGACCCTCATATCGGCTGAAAGACTCTTGAATTGGTTAGACAGATGCCATAGCCGCTCTTGACGGGGACGTAATTGCTTCCTGAGGGCTGCTGGGGTTTCATGCTCCAGATGCAGGAGATGGCGAATACTAGCAGCATACTCATCAGCGGAGAGGTAAGTCGAGCCTTGGTGAGGAGTTGCAAAGAAGGCGATGCCATGACAGGTGGTTAAGATGGATTGGCTCGGCTCTCGCGATGCCAGGGCTAGAGCTGCTTTAACGACGAGACCACCTGTGCTGTGGCAGATGAGAAAGATGGGACGGCGAGTTGACTGGCAAATTGTTTAGTAAATTATTCATAGTTATGTATGAACAGAGATGATAACAAACCTCATGTTTCCGCTCACTACGTAGTTGGTTCAACAGTCGTTCACCCAAGGTATCGATTTTATCGTCACGCAGGTCTCCATAGTTATACAGCAGGACTCGTGCTCGAGGCATACGCTGTAGTAGTTCAGTATCAAGCCAGGACGAGTTCGCGCCATGCGCCATCCATGTCTTTCTATGATGGGCGCCGATAGGCGGAACGGCGACGATGCTGAGAAATGAGTTATTATATGAATATGATTATATGGAATAGACACTTACTCGACATTCGTATCTTTTGAAACGGCAACGTGCTCAAACCATGAGCGCGTCTGGTCGGTCATGGGTGGCCGCGAAGTCATATTGCCGAGTCCAGTTGAACATGGATTACAGACCTGGAGAAAATAGCGGGGACCAAGGCAGAGGCAATCTGGGCATTCTTAAATGTCACAAATCAGGGGGAACTTCAGCCTCAACTTGGGGTCCGGATGATCGCGCCCCGACACCCTAGTTTGCCCGCTGACAGTCTGCCCTCTACAGGGCTGTGTTGTGAGTCAAAGCGATGTCTTTCTATATTATATTATTATATATGTCCAGAGAGAGGTTTTCCATTAATATATATACATAGAAACACCCAAATTCCAAAATGCTAATGCACCACTCTATATAACTCGGCTCATGCGGTATCATCAGAAACGCCATAACAACAAAAAGTGGAGAGACAACGCATATGCATTATAATTGTACAAAAGAGGGGAGATTATGCGTCAGGGTGTCGCCGTTCGTTGACCTCTCGGGCCATGCGCTTTCCAAGCTCATAGGTTGAGATCATGATGGCGCAGGCCGGGGCAACTTTTAGACATCTTGCCGTCCAGCCACGGAATAGGCCGGCGGTACCTTCTTCACGGAAGATGTGCATGAGGAATTTTGGCAAGGATAGTTGCTCTGGCGCCAAGACGCCGGAGGGTAATGCCGTGCGGGGGGCGGTGCCAGTGAGAGGAACATCATCCAAATGTCGGAAAACTTGCTGTCGCGTCTTACCAACATCGAACGGAGTAGTAACAAGTGCTGCTAAGGACCCTGAAACACCACCGGAGATGAAGCTGTCGAGGAAAGCTTGGAGACTTGACTCTTGAGGCTCGTGATCAGAACCCGCGAGATGAGGGGCTTTTTGGCGCGCCGCAATCAGTGCCTTCTTCACCTCCTCGTATCCCCACCAGTAGAGTCCGGAGAAAGGAACATCGCGCCACATAGTAAGAGTGAATCCTCTCCAGAGCGAGCTGTATCCCTTTGCCTGCGTCATATGGTACAAATCCTGCACAGTGGCTTTGAAGTGGCCCGCACCCGTCCCCGGAATTGCCTGCAGACGCGTCCGAAACATCTCCAGCGGACTGGTTGCAGCTGCGGCCGCGACGCGAGCCAAGGACCCGGCTATCAAGGGCGCATATCCCGCAGACACCCGTTGCTTGATGGGACTCCGATCATCTGTCCGCAGCCAGTCATAGCCAGCAAAGTAGATGACATTTGCCGGGATTCCCATCATCAAGGTCGGGCTCAACCCGCGCCACAGTGTCAAAGTTCCTTCATTGCGCGCGATCTTCCGTAGTCCGTCTATAGTTGATGTGAATGTTCGCCGCTGCGTTTCTTCGACCGCGCAATCGATCGCCGGGTGAGGATGGGTTCCGACCGCGGTGACCTGAGGCCCTAGCATGCACATCTGGGCATCGTTTCCGACCCAGAATACTTCGCGACAGCAGGAGGTGATACCGAGGTTCGGAGGGAGGTTTTTCAAGGTTTGGGTGGTGTGAGAGGTAAATGGTGAGGTGTTGTAGACCTGGGATTGTGACTGTAAACGGACTCGTACGACATCCAAGGGTGTCACTGGCTCTGTTAGTTGCTGGATTTCCAAGGATCGGAAGCTCCTCCGACTCACCTAGAAGTCCGGTTAAGACATTGCCGGCGGTCGCAGATACCATGCGCTGCCAGGGAGTAATGTTATCTGTTGGGACATGGGTCTTGGGCGCGGGAGGAGAGCCTGTCCCTGATGTGGTGGCCATTGTAGAATCTTCAAACTGTGCGGTCCATGACGTCCCTAGAGAGGCGGTTGAGTCTGTGCCGAACTGGGTGCCAGTATCGTGGCCTGAAGCAAATTCCACGTGAGGCATTCAATCAATTCGATGTGAAAACAATCCAGAGTTCTATGCGCCCGTGTTGAAAGAAAAAGGATGCGTCACCGGGAAAAGGAAGTTTTTCGGGGTTTCGCGGGTGGCGGTGGGCGGAGATAAGCGTTGGGGGGAGATTTTGGCGATTTGGAGAGATTTGGAGGGACTGGAGGGGCTGGATGGGACGTGTTTCTAGCAACTTTTAATGTTATTTGCCCTTCGATGATTTTGATTCTGTGACAACTTGGCTTGGCTGTTTCTTTTTAGACCTTTTCACACGGCTTATCAATCTGATCTGATCTCCGAGGTCGGACATCAGGCAAAACAGGCTACTTCGGCTCGACCAAAGGGAAGATCGATAGTGGACCTTATGTAGTGGGGTTTCTGTACATTTGAAAGAGTTTGAGCATCCATATTTCATGGACTAATAGGTGTGCATTTACGTATGTTGGGTGTAAAAGCCAAAGTATAAAAATTGAGCCCGTGCATAGCCGACTATAACCAAGCTTATATACTGCATTCCCTATGGAGGAAATCCAACCCTAGTAAAAGCTGTCGCGCTATGGTTCTTACTGCCTTGAGAGGCAATCTCCCATCTTCGTATTGTGCGGTTTGAAAAGGCAATCTCCCATCTTCGTATTGTGCGGTTTGAAAATCCAAGCGGTGGCCCAACACCTCGAACACAAGGCATACATGCTGTCCATTTGGCCCTTCGTGCTTGAATTATCCAGAAGGGGGAAGTGTCGGCCTCCATGGTTGCTTTTGCTCGCAATATCGGATAATCTCGAGAGAATTTCTCGCTCGAAGATGTTGTGCGAGCCACCTTAGCAGTCGGCTCTCAGTATTTTAAGTGCCACATATCTCAAAGCCCTTCAGCACTGGATAAGTTGCGTGTTTAACAAAAGTTGGGAACTACACTCAGTCCCTTGCTAACCAAACGGTAGAATACTGCCCATACCTAGTTTCCTCATCGCTTTGTATGTGCCAGAGTTGAAAGTGTCCCCAAAAAAAAACGGGATGAAAGCCTCCCGTAGAATAAAAGTCTGGCTCTTCTGTTGTCTGGTGTGGATTCGGGGGATCGCGAATGCTTATTAGTTCCCAGACGCGACAATCACGTGTCTCTATAGTCAGCCTATGGGTTAAAGCTCCCATTTTCAGTCCAAACATCTAGAGATCAATGCTGGAATTTTGAAAGAAGATGTCTAAGCAAATCGACCTTTTCCTCCATCCCTTTGACTTCTATGGACCAGAAGTACAACATATCAGTTGTATCTTTCACTGCCTTTAGCCATCCATGCGGAAGCAGATCGTAGGTGGACGAATTAAGTGCAACCGCAAGAAGAATATTGTTTTCGATCTCACACAAAGGCAGGTACAAGAAGTTAATGCACCTTGACGAGGCCGATTCATGCGAGGATGATAGGCTCATGGCCCAGGAAAATGAACAGCTTACACGGGAGCTGCTCCAGAGTCAAGCAAGCACGCTCGCAGTATGCAGATGATTTTCGAGAATTATACCAGAACTGGTACGTGCCCGTCTCGTGCGCTGGACATGCACAGACTCGTGTAGGAAAGTTGTCATCATCGACCGATTTCATCTTGACCGTCAGGACTTCCAGCCAATCTTGAAGGACCACAGTGTTTATCTGACGATGTTTCTGGTGAATATTCTTTATCCTGTGATTGGTAATTGTTGCGATGGGTTATCTGTTAATCTGCTGAGAGTATACGAAGTAGGGAGCCCAAGTCTACTAGGATAGCAAAAAAGGGCATTATTGGCAGACGAAGCTTTGAAATAACCTTCTTACGAGGGCTGAGTACTTTATGCGTTTCGCCGAAACTACCACCATATCTCACAAAAGTCAATGAGGAATTCTCCCCTCTGTAATACCCAATGTACCGTTCATCGTTGGGTTCCATAGCGGTAAAACAAGGCTGATTCCTTGATTTTTCAATAATATGAATGGTGTCAATTTATGGAGAGAAGTTCGGGAATAGCAAATTCAGATAGAATAAGAACACAACCTATTAAACTCCAACTAAGAAGCAAATAAAATAGAAGTTCTCGCGTGGAAACCCCCACACGGAACACGTTTGCGTTGATAGGCCTGGGTTTAGAGGCTTCTGAACGGAAAGCCTCAGACTGAAGCACACTGTCAACCAACGTGCACTGAGAGTGCTAAAGGGCCGTCTCCTCAATTTGAGAGTGCTCCATCGGCGTTTCCTGATGAGGTCCAGCAGAGCAACGGACAACCTGAATTCTCGTCTTTAACTCTTCATCCAGTTTGTTCACATAAGAATGCGCCGCATGTCCGGCAATGACCAGTCGCTCGTAGGAATCCCGCCCTTCAAGTCGCCACTCAGGCAAGCTGTGTGACTTGCCGATGTCATACACAAAGGAAGGAATCCCATTGCTGTCTATCACCTTGCGGCGCTCGTACTTCATATTGGCCCCAATCGGCCTGTATGTAGGATGTCTGTTGTCCTCCTCGTTCAACAACTTGAATGTTTCGACTCTGAAGTTCACAACTGGATGGACGAACTCGCAGGTATCACGAAGATCCTCTCCATCCTTCTTTGCATATTCGCCAGGGGTACGCTTCCTCCGCCCATTCAGCCAATACATCGCTGTATAGCTGTCTTTCATATCTCCAGTTCCCCATCCATATTTGTGGGGGTTCTGGTAGGATGGCTCCTCGATAGACGCAAGAGGATGCTTCACGGCTAAGGCCGTCGCTTTCACAAGACGCCAAAAGCAGTCTCTTTCAGATCTTGCTCGTGACGTGTATGTGATCTCGCCTTTGCCTACGAGCTTGTTGAGCTCTTCCAAATGCTCTTCCCGATCATTTTTCTCCTCAACGATATATCGCTCATCAAGTGAGAGGTGTTCCCTGATTTGATCCAACATCCAGGCAAATGTGATCGAAGCTAACTCCTCCATATCGCCTTTGTTATCCAATGTGTCCATGGATCCTCCGCCGATATTGATATGATATCCCGGAAACCATACTTGTTTTAAAAGAGGGTGTAACTTCAGCCTGTTGTGGGATTTGACTCGTCTTCTAGAGGCCTTGTTCCAAGCCCTCGCAGCTTTGTTGACCTCTCGGGCTGCGGCATTTACTTCGTTATCAGTAGCCCTGCCTCCCGCTTTCAGGTCCTTCGCATCTTGGAGAACCTTCGAGTATTTCTTTTCGGCCAACTCTTCCTCCTCTTTTCTAGCCTTCACATCTTCTTCTGTGGCCTTCTTCTTATCGAGATACCACAGGGTAGGCGAAAATGCTTTCCGGTATTCGTCGAGAGCCAGGGCTTGAAAGGCGTACTTGATATCTGCGAGATATCGAGGTCAGCATTACGCTTGATTGGGTACAGCGGGAAGAGAAAATAGTGTTAAATCGGAGCCTCACTATAGGAAAGCCCGACATTCTCCCAGCCGGCTGGGGATGGCAATTTAATCCCTAGGACCTCAGGCATCCCAATCGCACCAACTGTGTCGTACACGCCGACAACCTCCACCTCCCTAGACCCTTCCTGGGCCCACTCACCCCGAGGAGGCTGAGAATACAGGAAGCTCCTGTTGTTCGCGTCGCCTGCCCCTTGGTGTTCATCGGCTTTCCCCCATATCCAGTCGAACCATAAATCGCTTCTGTGGAATCGCTTCCCGTGCTTGACCTTTCGGTACACTGCCCATAGATCCGGAAATTTGTTCAAATCTCGCTTATGACAGATTCCGATGTCTGATATCAGACCAGCAATTGTCCGAGCCGTATACGCGCCACGAGAGAAGCCGAAACACATGATTTTATCACCGGGGTTGTAATTGAGAACACAGAAATTGTATGCCTCAATGACATTTCCTTCCACACCCTCTCCAACCGCGCCTTGAATGACATCGGCCAAGGGGAGTGAAGTGGTTCCAACTCCTGAATCATACCATACCACCTGCTGCCATCGCTTGCCATCTTTGTCTGTACCAACGTGATTCAAAGCGCGACAAAGTCGTGTCACATTAGACGGAACATTCACTTTTCCCGAGACCGATGACTGCCATGTGCCGTCACAGCAGATGACGATACGCTTCCGAATCGCGGTGCATTCCGCATCCTCCCGTTGGCGGCTAGACTCCTCCCCATGGAGCTCACAAATATCCACGGTATCCATAGTGTTAGGAACAGTACCCGTGTGGAGACAATGAAGTATGGAGGTTTGTGTAAAGAGACCAAATAAAAGGTGACCTGAACGAGCACGGTTCTATTTATTACGTTCTGCGCGTCGTCTATGTGCTTTTCAGCTAGTTTCGCCCCACTAGGCTGGCCTGTTCGCCTTGATTAGCTTTCGGGTAGTCCGTGGGTGCATGATGCAAATCTTCTGGGATGAGTGGATGAACCAAAAGCCACTTGAATGATAATGCTTAACCATATTTTTTTGCATCGTTTAGCTCCTCGGTACTATATTCTTCAGCAGCTACCGCTAACACCGTGGCGGCTCGTCTCGGCTCCGCCGAATTCAACATCCCAACTAGCCAATAATATGTAGGAGTATCTGCAGTAGGAGCGACTGGATTGCCTGTGCAAAACTCGCCCTGTTGACCTGTCTCTGTAAGAACCGACTTGAACCGAACTGCCGAGAAAGCCATGGAACCAGATTTGATACCCATCTATTATCAGATCCAGTAAAAATCAAACGCCACTGTATCCAAACGTCAAACAATCGCCTGAAAACAGTATGGAATTGCCGAAAGTGTCCTACACCGGACGATCACCCGCAACATGCGGGCGAGGCCGCGACTGGACAAAGGTGGTTTTCCGAGGTAAGTACTTCCATGGTCAAATCCTTTGGCTCAGAAGGGGTGGTGTTTGATGGATTAACCCTCGATCCTCGGCTAGACCACACAATCTTTCGGCTCCCAATTAGCACTGCCGTATGCAAAACACTAGAAAGTTGGGTGGACGCTGAACAAGCTAGCCCTGAAGAAGATCTAGATTCAAACTGAATATTTCCCAGTTGTAGGGTTTTCCGTACCCAGCAAACACATCAGGGCAATTCCGGCGAAATTAGAGCTTTAAATAAGAGGTTGAGTCAACCGTGGGTCGCATTCATGCAATGCGCCTTCACTCCTAACATTTAGGTTCGGGTCACCCCGACTCAGCCGAGCGGATCGTTTAGCCACCGAAACAAGAGCAATATTTTAGATCAGCACGAGCCATGGGACAGACACCTCTGATCCACGATTTTTGATAAATCACATAATAAACAAAAATTTTTGCATCCAGTAATTCTTACACCGGAAACGGCAGAATATCCCCCGGTAGTCCTGGATGTAATTGCAAGCTTTCCTGAATCTAGACAGTTCGGTAGACTTGTCACCTCGTAAGTAGCATCGATTAAATTTGATGATACTGCCACAAGATACCGACTTAAACCAAGAGGTGGAAATGTGAGAGAATATTTTGAGCTCTGAATCTATGTTACATCAAGTCTGCAGAATTAGGAAGCACGTGTGAAACCGCTCCTCACGCCATCCAGTCTTTTCTCTGTTCCGGAGCAAAAAAGGATGGAGAGAGGGATGGGAAAATAGACAGAGGATGTGATGGCGAGGGAAAAGTTCGTTAGGTTACAGTATTTGACTTAAAGTCGATTCTCTACTTCACATTCTATAATGAATTTGTGATTATCTTTATTCGAATTACTAAAAATAATCAGAAGTTACCACCATTTCATCAATTTGATTTCTCAGATAGATGATTACTCGTTAAGAAAAAAGTCCTCAGAGAGTGTATTAGTTTTTTGTCTCCGGATCAGTAGGGGCCGTATTTAATTTGAGATTATCCTCGCTGAGCACTTGAGTTATCTCATCGTAAGGGGCTGGCACGACCCAAATAAGATCAAAACGCGAGCCTGGGTATTGAAGCTTGCCAGGCCAACCACTACTCTCTGCGAATCCATTTATGCCAATAGCTTTTGCGATATCGGAGAGCTTATGATGCTCCCAGCAAATAAGGATATTTCCGGTTCCTTTATACTGTTTCGCTGCCCTAGCGACGCCTGCAGCGTCGTCTCGGTGAATACTTGAGTTGATTTCCACACCCAAGTCCTGGGCCAAGAATTGCACAGTTTCATACGGGCGTTCCTCAGAACCATCTATATTCTTTCGTTAGCTTGACATAATCCACAGAAAACCCGATTCGCAAAAGAGAACCGAAGGTGGAAGGAGTAGCGCAAACCCTTCTTAGGATGTTCAGCAACGATATAGCCAATATTATATCCACTTTCCTTTCCGAAAACTTGACGAAGACGCTGCGCTCTTGCTTCTCCCTCAGCGGAGAGATTATTAGCGCCATCATCTGGCTTTTCGCCATGTCTAATCATGTAGATAGTTGGTGAAGCCTGTATAGGGATTCAAGACCGTCAGGAAAACTCCTTAAGGTATAAATATCTCACAAGGAAGTGAACTTACCATGATACACTGACTTTCCGATCAAAGTTGACAGGAAAAAGAAGATATGCCCAGCAAAAAAGAATTCTTTGTGGGGACGGGAGTTCTTAATAGATTACTGTATATTAAGCGGATGGATGTATGATATATCTGGAGGTAAAAATGGCACGAATATCGGGCGGGTACTGTATTGCCCAAGTCTAGAACAAACGTCGTCTGTGATTAATTAGCCTTCTGCTGTCCTAAAGTTTAATGTCGAATACTAAACGTTGCATACATGGTGGAAACAGGTATTAATACCCAGAAAATCATGTGACCAATGGTACCATCCATACCATACAAAAGTGCATATTACAGTTAGTCATCTATGTCCGCACAGATTGTTGAAAACGCGGGTTTCTGTCATTTTAGTTAGTTAGAGATTCCAATATATCTGATTTTGTCCATACGTTGTCATAGAGCCAGATTTCTGTCATTTAATGCTATACTGCCCCGCTTTCGGAAATGAATCACGAGCACTTAGTAGTCTGGAAGAGTCGCCCCACCCATAATAATATCGTGTAGTAAAGTGTCAAATTAATTCAGCTATGGTGTAATGGTGAGACCTTTATTAAATATTTAGAATCAAGCATTAGGAATCAAGGACTAGACCCATGGTTACTCGACCAGGGAAGTGCCTCTGTGCGTTATAGTATTGATTAATGGGGTGCTTTTCTGGCAGAGTGAATTAGATCCAGACCCTACCTCAGCATAATTGACACAAATTTCATGCAAGGTTAATATACCCATCCAAAAATTCATTGTTGCGCCCAGATATACCTACCGTAGTTCTATATCGAGCGATGTAATTTATACTGATATAGGATGATCCAACTTGTTTATCATCTTGACAGACACTTCCTGTCGGTATAGCCCCGCATCTGATATCATAGAATCCAGACCATCTGGAAGGACCGAATTTGGAAATGAAAAAATAATAGATCAGGAGCCTTGATCATCCGTACAGTGAGATCATTTATCGGTGAGATCGTGAAGTTCAGGTGAATTATACCTGGTAACAACCAATATATGATATCTGTGGGAAAGAGTATTCATGCCCGGGAAATTAAACTACTTAGACCAAAACTTGCTTCCCTGAGGCTGAATACGTCTAATTTGCAAATTGGTACTCAGGTAATACGATTTTGGAATTCACTTGCCTTATATTCACTTGGTTCAGCGGACCATGGTTCGCGTTGACACAATGAGCAAATATGTGCCTAACATTTAACGTCGGGTCATCCGACCAAGATCATCTAGCCCGCCGAATCACAAGTATGCCTAGGAGAATATGGCTCTTTGATATAACCAATTAAGAACAAAGAAACAATGCATCCATCCGTTATTTTGTCGCAAACAGCAAAATATCTTACAGAAAGTCGTGACGCAACTTCAACCTTCCTGTATCTAGACTGTTAAAATTTTCGTATAGTGTATGATCGTGCACTGTGAAGTTTTAATCTCGTCAGTTAATTGTACGATACATAGCCATTGAGCCTTCGGGTCTTGCTGGTCAATTATCCACTTGAGCCACCACTAGTCGATCATCTTATCTTCCGGTCGGTCGATGGTGGCTCAACCCTTGCCGCTGGTGTTTCTACCCCCTTCAGTCTCGAGGGAGGAGTGTAAATCGATCTATATATCTGTGTCGACAGTGCGAAAACGTGGAAATTCCTTAGCCATGTTGCGTATGGCGCGGGTCATGAAACGATCGCTAATGGAAATGACGCTATCTGGGAACCATTCTTGATGTTGTATGAGGGGAAGATTGTCTGCTTTTTCTCCGATCAACGCGATCGAGCCCATAGCCAGAAACACGTCCATGTCACCACTACCGATCTTCTCACTTGGTCCGCCGATGTTCCTGATGTTGTTTATTCCGCCCAGGGTGACCGGCCCGGCATGACTTACGAATATTGTGGAACTGTGGTTGTGCTGTGCACTGCAAGATTGCCCCCTCGCCTTTGGTGTTCGACGCTGTTGCAGGAATTCCATTGGTCTCAAATGACACGCGTCCTATCACTCCCTATGGGTCTCCATATGTGATTTGGACGGCCAACCCGCATCGCCAGGACGGTTCTGGGCTAATTATTGTCAGCTCCGGTAACCAGGAAGTGGTATTTGTCAACGAAGATGCGGCAGATGTACATTGTTGGAAGACTGTGAATGTGGGGATGTGGTCTGCCTACTCTCACTCAATGAGAATTGTCACCATTGGGGATGCTAAGAAGTTGTTGTTTGCGAATGAGACGTGTCTTATGCAGAGATATTTTATTTGGCTAGGTGACTAGGTGCAGATAGACTGTAGTTCAGAAGTTAGGTATTCAATGTATCCTTTTTGTTTTGATCGATGACCACATAATACTAGATAAGGAAGAGTCCTCTGGAGTTTGCGTTCGACTCAAAGCCTCAGCAGCCATCCAGAAAGACCGAACGCGACCCCCGCAATCCGTCGGGAGGAAGTGACTCCATGCCCACTTTCGATCCCAAGCATATCCAAATCCCCTCCCGAGAAAACATCAGATTTCAGGTCATCTATTCCTAGCCGACTTCAGGCCCGAAAATCAACCGACGGACGCCGTTTCGGCTCCACTTGCCAATCTTGCGGGGGTAGACTATAAGTGAAACGCCGGTTAGTCCGGACTTGGTTTCGATCCCGAACCAGAAATTAATGTGGGAAATGTACGATTTCCAGTAAAGGGATACAAACTTAGCAACAAAAACGAACATGGACCAGCATAAAACGTTTCAAAATCGGCTTAGAGAACAATACCATGGCAATGAACATGTAAATAGGTGGCTCCCTTAACGATGATCCCTGGACCCAAAGGATGGAGTCCGTAGGTCAATTTTAGCTCCCTTTATCTACCGCAACATGAACTTGACAAAAGAAGCAAAAGTCAGAGCCTCTTAGTCCCTCTCATCAAGCAACAATGCATTCAGCTCCTGTAGTTTATCTCTGCAGTTCACTTCTATCCGCATAATAACATCGACAGATTCTTTTTGTGTCACCAGTAGGCGCGAGACGAGCCAGAAGTTGTATCCATTCTTGTAGAACCCCAGTGAAGCCCATTCTTCCTGAGAAACTTGGCTGCGGAGTGCAACCCAGTGATCACGCCAGCGAAACAAAGCTTTGCGGATCGTGTCGAGAACTGAGCCGTTGGAATTGAGACTTGTGCCTGGACCGCTGTCTCCCCTGCCCTGCGCGTTATTGTCGAAATGGCTCCGGTGTATGAATGGACCCAAGGTGGACATTTGCATGTCGATAAAGACGTATAGCACTGTATCAAATAATTAGTGGAAAGAGAAAGACTTCGGGATGGGGCCGGGCCATACGGTGAATCAAAATGAACATGTCTAAGATTGTTAAGTCCATATGGCTAGTCTCAAGAGACCGCTGTCGACAGCCAACCTGAGTATTATCATCAAAGAGGCCCTTGAAAGCCTTGGAAATCGTGACCCCGCGCGAAAATCGGAAATGGAGCTCACTAAACGGTTGCTCCGCCTGGAAAATCGATTCTTTGCAAGGAAGCTCGAATTCCATCTCGCTGGATGTTAGGCGACATGGGTAGTTTTGGTAAAAGAAAAAAGCGCAATCAAGCAAAGAGAGGATTGCGATTGTACTGTGAAATGTGAGCTGGAATATTCAACTCGACAAGTTGTTTGGGACACACCGAATGTGGCACTCTTTTTGGATCCACAAATGCTCCGAGGCCCATTCTTGAAGTTGGTGTCGAGCTTTAACCAGCTCAATCCCCCGAGCAACCTATTGTGAGACTGTTGGTCTGACGATATACTAAGGAGGGAGAATAGCTGTAAACTTACCTTGACAACCTCACTAAATCGGCTCTCAATCGCACGGTCCCGCGAAATCCGGCTCCCCGCCCAGTATTGGATCACGGTGATCAAGAGTCCTGCCTGTAAATTTTGGAACTTGACCCAATCGTCCAGTCCGTCCTCATAGCATAGGTCACCGGTGAAATTAGCCTCAATCACACTCTCTGGTGAGAATACATTATTAGAAAAGATTAAAAGCTCCACAAAATCGAGTAACCGCTTCGCAACGGTGAGCTCTTTCCGGTCAGTGCTGTACATCGCCCCCATAAAGACCATCGAAGCTAACAATGGGACAGACATCGTTTCGATATCCAAAGTAGGCTCATGAACCATCGCACAGCTTGGATGCCAATACGTAAAATAGAAAGCGACGAACTTTCGGATGCGTGCGGTTGTCAGGAGAAATATAAGGTTGGTAGAGAGGTCTTCACGGGCGTTAGCATCCGTCAAAACAGTGCAACCTCGCGCCAATATGGATTCGGCCAAGGCCATCACGAATGGCGGTTCAGGTTCAAAGATTGTATCATTCCAGAATACGGAGTGATTGGCAAATTGCGCAGATAGGTCATGATAAGGACTACCGTTATGTGGAGATTTGTGTCCAACGCTGAAAGGACTGTTAAAAAAGTCGAGAAAGTCTTCTTGGAATAATTGAAGTTCAGGAACGCTGGAATCCATAAACGCAAGAGTAGCATCTGTCTTTTGGCTTTCCAAGTGCTGGGTGTGATATATGAGGCCCCGGGGCCGCTCTTCACGCGGTGGATGTCGAAATGTCTCAGTGAAGCTGTCTGTCCCACCATTGAGTAAAGATTTGACTGACTCACGATCTGATGACTGGTTAAAAGACTCGTGCCTCATCAACGCCGATTGTACTGCCCAATTATTGAGTGAGTTATTCCTCAATAAGTTTCAATTTGCGCATACCTTTGTCAAAATCGGACTTTTTGGGGCAGGAGGCTTGCACATTGTTGCAGTTTATATCTTTCTTGCAGCAGGACTGGCATGGACTTTCTCCGTCGCAACGAAGTTTCAACGAGATACACTGTGCGTAGCGGCAACTATATCAGTACAGCTCAATACAGATACCACGCAACGGCAAGCCTACTGATTGGCAAGCATGTCGCCGTCTACCTCTCTGGGTATTTTCTGGTATCTCATGTTCTCCGCGCTTAGCGCAATCTGGATAGTGATGGCGGAGATTATCACTGAATAGGAAGCGTAAGAATCAGAGCTAGTCTATGAGGATCTGGTTCGCCAGCTAACCATCGTGCAAATGTTTCATTGCAAAATTCACAGAAGTATGGCTTCTTGCCGGTATCTGGCGAGGCTTAGCTTTGGAACTGGAATAGCTCTGGGGTGTTTTGCATACGGCGCAGATGGTGTCTTTTCAGGTGATCACTGCGGCTGAAGGGTTGGTTGCAGACTGTGCAGCGGAATTCTTTGTCTGTCTTCATGATAGGCTATCGGCAGGGGAAAAGACCCCGGGGTAGTAATGTTTTTAAAGGGGAAAAGTGTAATTTCTGAGGTATTGGCTTTGTGCAAACCGTCCGTGCAGAGATACATCCGGTAGGATCACACTAACCGGACACAATGATATCATGACATGAACTAAATCCGAAGTCTTTTACTTACACTTTTTTGTACTTGGGGAAAATAAACATATATGAGTTTGTCTAAACAGTCTTGAGCGGCTTGGGAAAATCGATATTTTTTCTAAATACCTTACCCCCAAGTCAGCGAATGGCGTTGTCCTCAATGTATTCGTATTCAAAGTTCTCCTAGCGGGGCTACACAAAACCCACCATCGAGTGAAGGGATGATCCTGTCTGTCTTACACAAAAAAAGTCCCCCGTTGCCCCGGGGAATGGACTACTAGAATTATCTTCCTTCGACCATACATGGCTACGTCAGTCATTTTGCAGATGTAAAACCAAACACATTCTGTATAGCTAATATGTAATAATAAAGTGGATGTATTCACCGACGGGTCGTTATATTCGTAAATCCTTGTAAGCAATACCTTTTCGTAGCTGTAAACTCTGAATTCTTAAAATGTTGGTAGAACAGGGTTGCCTCCGGGCGGGTGGGGGGGGGGGGGGGGGGGGATTTCCGGTCCAATAACAATGACTATCAAAGGACCTTAGTGTCGGGAATCCCCTACGAGGTAAGCCAAGGATCAACGAAAGCAATCAGTGTTCCCACTTTGATCGACTTCCACGATCCTCATGCCCCCGGGGTATTTCCGAGAAAGTTGGGGGAATTCCAGCTTTAGAGTTTTCGTCCAGTTACCCGCACGGTGGGGAATAAAGCTTATTCTGGTTATGCCATACTGCGTAGTGAGTGACTCAATTGCCTTTGATGGGCGTTAGCCTAGTCCCAAAACATATAGTAAATGCGATAAAATACAATTTGATATCTCAACAACGATAGTCTATATGGAGATTTCCTTATAGCTTAATGCTTTTTAGGTGATATCTAGCATCCTTAGGGAGTTTGGGTGACTTTTCATGATTGTGATATAGTTATATATTTCTAGTTTTTAGCAACGTAATTTTCGGTATTTTTTGAAATGATGATAATATAGCCTTCTACTTTCTTTGAAATTGATAAATGGTGCGTCAATAACTATCGACAAATAAGGAGATGAAGTAAAAACGTGGTTGTTGAGATATAAATGTAGAATATATCGCGAGTTTGGCGAGGTCTAGCGAGAGTAAAGGATGCCGCACGTGAATTTAGGCTAGCGTGTTGCTGCCTTCTGGCCGATTAGCTTTCGGTGGCCTATCTCTATGACCGGCCCCTCAAGTAGTTGGGTGTTGTATGGGTCGTGTTAGGGGCATAGGCTCTGGACCATGTACCATACATAGCAAGATCAGGTAAATGCCGTCCTAGCATTTACTAAAACGACCATTTATGACAACTAACCAGGTTGTCATACCAGAGTTTCCACTATGTAATGCCTTCCCGGGTGTGCCAGCCCAGTCCAACCCGATACCTCAGTCCCATTGCAGGTCCTGACAGGTCGTAACACCATGCCGGAAAGCCGGGCCTTCGACCGCCGACCTCTAACCTCCGACCGCCGATGATACCTATAAATAAATAAACTTCTAGCGTGTTTGGGACGTTCCCCTGCGTTGGTAGCATCATCCCGGAAATCCCCCTCGGGAAACTTTATCCATATCTAACAAATCACGGAAGCGCCTTGGATCCACCGCAAGCATTTGGGGCCTCGTAGTAAGTGGAACAAGGCCTGGGCAATTGCGTGGTCACCGAAGTAATCGATGATAAGGGTAGTGATAGACTTAACGATGGAACGCCAATATCTCCAATATATGAGGATTCGAGACATGTAGATCACCCTCTCCTTATTCCGCCCAAGGGCTCCGATTGGAGCAAGCTGGGTATTTTTGGTGCTTTATTACAAATTGAACGTGGGTTAAGAAGTATAAAAGAGAAGTATAAAAGTACCCTTGAGTCGTACCTGCATTGTTGATTATCTCCTATTTATCGCAAAGTCATTGAACAAGAGTCGTTCAAGTATTGACTTTTATTTCTCTTAGTTTCTGCTATGCACTTCAATCTATTTCTTCTCGTCTGTGTGGCAATCGGAGTGTTTGCCCACTCCGGCCCGCATAAAGTCCCCCATCGCTCTATTGTCCAACGCCAGAACCAGCTGAGCAGACGGTGCGCCGATCACGTGGCGAACTTCAACAAACGTCGCATAAATAGGCGCTGGGAAGCCTCAGGTCGGAATGCCACGTTCGAGATCACTACCGAAGCCCCGTTCTACGAAACTGTACAGAACGATACGTGCGTACTCACACCGGAGGTGACCAGTGGTCCCTATGTCTGGCCTAGGTCTCAGATCCTGCGCCAGGATATGGCTGAGGACCAAGTTGGGGTTCCGCTGTGGCTTGATATCGGAGTGTTGGATATGGCGACCTGCGAGCCGCTTCCTAATGCACTCGTTGACCTGTGGCACTGCAATGCCACCGGCTCATACTCGTCTTTCACAGAGCTGTCGCCAAACACGCCCTTTTCGGAGCTCCTAACGCAGCTCAATATCACTGGCTTTGATGCGGGTGTGACAGATTTGCATACGGATGACTCAACTTGGTTGCGTGGGATCTGGCCCACGGATGAGAACGGGATAATGGAGATGAAGACTATTTTCCCTGGTAAGCTTAGGAAATTTAAAAAGATAAACAATCTCGAAGGCCATGACTGATGAATTTAATTAGGGTTTTATGTCGATCGTGCAATCCACATCCATGTCCAGGTTCACACTGAATGGTCAACCAGAGAGAACGGTACCATCATTGCCGGCAATACCATTAGTACCGGGCAGCTCTACTTCGAGGAAGAGTTGGAGCAGAAGATCATGACTCTGCCGCCCTATCTTTCCCACACTCAGATTAACCGCACAATCAATGCTGCGGACTCGTTCTTTTCGGGGGGCACGAAGGGAGGGTATAATCCAGTGGTTTCTGTTGTGCCTGCTGATGGCAAAGACGTGAGAAATGGTGTGATTGGGTATATCACTGTTGGTGTTGATACTTCTGTCATTGAGACTTTTGACAAATAAACGATCCTAAGACATATGGCAGAGGGTGGATATTTTGAGATCTGTCTTTAATCCTATTTGTGGACACTGGTGACTGTACATATTTGGTTCACCAAATCAGTCCTCCAAACGACCCTAATATAAGATTAGGTGTCGCGATCCAAATAGGAACTCGATAGCTTGTGGTGTAGTTGAGATCCCAGCGTGATCTATGATGATTTGGACTGTTATGTTGTTGTGTAACTGGAATATATCCATCATATTCATATCTGCTAGTTGTTGAAGAATGCATACTGATTTGGCCAAATGTGGTATATAACATTTACGATCTATTGCAACTTTAGAGAATCAGATTAAAAAATTAAAGTAGATTATAGCAATCAATGGGTGAAATAGCATTATTGATAGAATTATAGTCTATAAATTGTGGAATGCCCAATCACACCTTGACCTGGACATCCCCTTCATCGGGGGTTGTGTCCTCTGCGACAAGAGCCTCCCAAAGAATAGGAAAATTATGGAACCGAAGTCTCTCCTCCGCCGTCATTTTACTAACCACGCCCTGTACCATGGCACCTGCATTGACCAGCAACTGCGCAATTCTCAGCCTCTCCTCACTGAGCACATCTCCTTGACGAGCGTAGTATTTATCCGTATCGAGCGCGAGGTGAAGTGCGGTCGGACCATGGCCCGGGGTACAAAAGAATATCTTCTTGCCTGTCTTTGTGCTTGCATGGACATCAACGCCAAGGTCGAGTAATATTTGGACAATATCTACATGACCGCCCATACTGGCGAGGTGAAGAGGCGTGCCGGTCCAGGAGTCAGTCAAGTATAGACCCGAAGGCTTGTCAAAATTGTCATTCCACTCCTGGGTGACACAATGTACATTTGCACCATGGGCGATGAGATCTTGGACGGTTTTTATGCGGCCCCAATAGCATGCAATATGCAGTGGTCGCCAGCCAAAGTTATCAGCAGCCTCGATGTCGGCTTTTTGAGTCAGCAGGAATGATAGCATCTCACTATTTCCTAATTTTGCTGCTTCATAAACCATTGAAGTGCCAGGGCTGCGTGAGTTATTGAGGCCTAAGTATCGATCGAAGATGTAGTTTGGAGCAATTCGCAGCACGCTCGAAATTACATGCAAGCCTTGATGAGAATTCAAAAGGGTGAGGTCACTCTTGTTCCTCAGCTTTCCAAACTCCTCGCCCCGTTGAGATCTTTTGCATCGTTAGCTCCTAATTATCTTTGACTGGTAAGCAAACTTACTTGTAAGACTCCGCCTCATTTGCCGATTTGTAAAGAGCTTCAAATGCATTTGCATGACCGGCAATAGCAGCGCAGTGAATGGCAGAGGTTCCCTGATTGTCAAGAATGTCGATTCTAGCCCCGTTTGATATCAATGTTGTAAGCAGCTCATTATTGCCCTGCTCTGCAGCGAGATGTAGAAGCGTACGGCCTTGATAGTTGGTTCTGTTGAGGACGTCCGCTTTCTTCAGACCGTAGCAGACACGAACAATCGCACCGTTCTCCTCTGGTATGTCTGCCAGGAACGATGACCAGTGGGACTGGCATGGATCAGACAAAGCTTTATCTAAGAGACATTGCAGGTCCTGCGACTCTCCGTACAATGCAGCAGTCAAAATAGGGTCGAATGCGTCTGAAGAGACAGCGTACACGTCTGCGCCGAATGACAGAAGTTCTTCAAGTATGTTGCGTAACCCGCCGATGCTAGCAACAAGATTTAAAGGAGTTGTGATTTTTGGACCATCCTTGACACACTTAGTCTTTGTCTTCTCAGCAATCCTCTCTATATCCTCCTCGTCGCTCGCTGAATCCTCCTCGCCGCTCTCTGAAACCCCATGTTCCCTGTTTGGGATTTCATTTGTCTCGCAGAAATTCACGTCCACTCCCGCATGTATTATGGTAGTCAATATGGATTTGAACCTTGCGTATAGGTCGTTGGCAGGATTTCTCTTTGTTGTGTGCTCTGTATACGCTCGGATCAGCGTCACGACCGCGAATGGCGGTGGCTCCACCCCATTTTGCAGTAGAAGATCCAGAACGTTGGGTTCGAGATCTTTGAGGGCGTTGTCAAATACGACTTGCAAGTCAATGTTGGTAGGAAAGGTAGCTCCAAGACGCATGAAGACGCCAACCACTTTCCATCGATTACCAAGTAGAGCGATGGCAAGTGGGGTGCGTGAATCATCGTCTTCTAATGTCCACGAACCACGACTATTCTTCCGAATAATTCTCATAATAGTCCGCGAACGAATACCGCTGTCTTGGTCTTCGCTTGAATGGGGTGGTCTTGACACTGACAGGTTGAGAAGGCTTGGCGAAAGGTCCGTAGCATCTTTCCGACAAAGTAAGCAGGCTACCTGTTCGAGGTCTTGTATATTGACATTATCGTCACATCGGGCGAAGTAATGTAGTGGCGTTTGACCTCCGTGGTCCAAGGCATCCACCGAGGCCCCTGACTGGACCAGAAGCTTGATGAGCGAGACATGAGGTTGCAAGACCGCGTAGTGAAGTACTGTCATTCCAAGGGAATCAGTCAACATCGGATCTGCACCTTTGGACAGTAGGAATCGCACAATAGCTAAGGTCTTGTCTTCTGGTAGCTGCGATGTATCTTCTGGATATACCTGGCGAAATTTGGCGCTGCGACCGAGTAAAAACCCACAGGCTTGCATAAGTGGGGATGCACCTTTTCTGGTCAACCGGAAGTCAAAGCCTTCAGTGAGGAGACGACAATCCAAGTGCTGTGATGATTCCCCGTATTCCTTGGCCTGTTGCAGGTTCACATCCGCCCCACCATTGACGAGGGCGGTGATTGTATCCAAGAACCCATTCATGACAGCTTCATGTAGAGCTGTGCGCCCGGCCAGCGTTGCGTAATTGACATTAGCATCATGTTGCATGAGACATTCCACATAACGTGGATCACTACGGAAGGCGGCTACATGAAGTGCATAGTCAAGGTTGACGTCTGCGCCCGCCTTGATGAGCATCTGCATCACTGACCACTGGTTATCACGGATAGCATACATCAGTAACGTAGACTTCCAATCCGATTCATTCGTTCTGTGGCTGTTGAGATCATTGCTGCCACGTCCATACGGTGTGAGAATTCCAGACTCAAGTCCGTGATGATGCTGCTCCTTTCCCATAACCCTCCACAGGTTGGCCGAGAATCTTGACCGACCGATATCAAATTTCCCTTGATCCCACAGTACGTTGAACTTGGCAACGCGCAGCCTTCTGTCCGGGATCTCTAGGCGAAGCGCGAGCTCCCAGAAGATCTCCACATCACTGGATGTCGCGATATTTCGCCCCTCAGCGGCCAGGATAATAGGAGGGGGCCCATCAATGTATGATTTGACCTCCTCCGAGGGCATTCTGTACAACTCGGGGTCAGGCTGCTCAGAATCCGAATGGTACTCTAAAAGCTTTTGAATGATATGTAGATGTCCACCAACAACAGCCCAGTGCAGTGAGGTCCACCCAGATTTGTCCCAAGATCGATAATTTTCGCCATTGTCGAGGAGCATGCTCAACTGTTCTAGATCTCCGCGGAAAGCCGCCCGGGATAAGACACTCTCGGGCTCGAGATTTGTGCTGTGCCCCATAGTCATATCGACGGTTATGCCGATCAGTGAGGTGTTGGACGTTGCGAGTTGAGGCTCCCACCCGGGATTACCCCCCGCCAAGGAGAGTAGGCGAGTAATTTCCACGCTAGAGACGTCGAGCTTCTTCCCCCCTCCCGGCCCCAAATATCAGGCGCATGTCTTCAATAATCTATCATCATAGGTGTTTTAAGCCTGTGCTGTCGACATTGCAAGTTTCTCGCTCACCGGAGTGGTAGGACCTGTCATCATTTCTTCGAATCTTTGGGGCTCCGATACGAATCGAACCTCCAAAGACCTATGCCTGGTGTTGAATAGAATAAGTAGTAATACAACTTCAATAAGAGTACTCCGTAAAGAAGATAAACCAGAGCTCCCATGTGAGGTCATCGCTCGAAAAAGCCGGGGATGCCAAGCCTCCCGAGATCGGCATGTGTCATCGCTTTGGTGACAAATGTTTGGATGAGAACGCCGTCCCTCCGACCACCACCTCGCCATGGACGACAACGATGAGCTTGAGTCGTTCCGCCAACAGTGGCGCGAGGAGGTCACTCGTCGATCAAAACCCAAGGCTGCCCCTCCTGCTCCTGCAACTCCGACCCCTCCGGCTCGTCTTCCGCCCACACGCCACGAGGCCTCACACCGCAAGGAGATCGAGGAAGAGGGTCCGCCGCTGGCTTCCTTTGATCCCGATGAGCTGGCCCAACAAGTCGGTGAACTGAGTGTGGAACCACCCGAAGATGACTTCTCACGTCGAGAGGTAGCAGAACCAACATCTGCACTGGAGCACTTTGAACGAGCGGTCGAGAAGGAGGCCGAAGGCAACTTGGGAGATAGTCTTTCACATTACCGGAAGGCATATAGGGTGAGTTTTCATCCCTACGAATGAAAATTACCATCCAAGGTACTCATTTCTGTCTAGCTAGATTCCGCGGTCGACAAGTCCTACCGGAATAAGCACTATGCCCATGTATGGAAGAAGCCAAATCAGCCCGCGCCCACTACCCCTGTCGCTGTGACCCAGCAGCCCGATGTACCGATCCTCCCGACATCTGAGCTCATTGCATCGTTTGCACACCTGCCAATCTCACAGCTGGATCCTATCTTCGAGAACACACCACCGCCCCCTTGCCCGATCGCCACTGTGCCGTCGGAAGTGTTAGTGGAGATTCTGCGGCATGTGGCAATGAACGACCCATCGGCATTTGGCCGGATGGCACTGGTCTGCAAGCGGATGGCGTACCATTTCGCTCACGAACAGCATATCTGGAGACGGATCTGTCAAGGCCCGGAGTTTGGCTTCCAGGGAATGCATTATGACTTTGCATGCGACCTGCATGGGGAACCGATTTACACCCTTGCGCCGCGATACACTCCATTTCCCAAGGGCGGGCCTGTGGAAATCCCCCCGCCGCTGTCTTCATGGAGCCAAGTGTTCCAGACCCTACCTCGGATTCGTTTCACGGGCATCTACATTAGCACGGTCAACTATACTCGGCCTGGTGCTGCATCTGCGTACTCGAATCTGTCGTGGAACAGCCCCATCCACATCGTGACTTACTACCGCTATCTGCGGTTCTACCCAGATGGCTCGGTAATCTCGCTGCTCACTTCAACGGAGCCAGTCGATGTGGTCCCTCATATTAGCAAAGAGAATTTGATGGCGTCGCGCACCCCAACACACCGAAAACATCAGCGGCGTCTGTCCGATGCGGGTCATACCCTATCTGGAGCCACTGATGCCATCCCACCTGTCGCCACGAATACATTGAAGCATGGCCTTCGGGGCCGGTGGCATTTGGCCTCGCCTGTTGACACTTCTGAAACTTGCGAAACCACCGCCGAGGTCTGGAAGCCCCACTCAGCCTCTGATCAGAAATCGCTTCTTTCCGACGAGCGGGATCTCATCATTGAAACAGAGGGCGTAGATCCCAAGTACGTTTACACGATGCATCTATCGCTACGTTCCTCGACCGTACCGAAATCTGCTCAAGTTGGACCGGCTCCTCCCAACCCATCGAAGAACACCAAGCTTGCCTGGAAGGGTTTCTGGAGTTACAACAGACTGACGGATGACTGGGGGGAGTTCGGTCTTCGCAATGACCGAGCATTCGTTTTCCGACGCGTACGCGGCTGGGGCCTAGACTGATATGATTGATGACCTATACATGAATGATTTGTTACATACATCAAAAAATGAGATGACTCGGGTTTCGGCCTGTTAGTACTATGTCTCTCATGGATTCCTTCCCCATTTATTCCCTTGTTGCTTCTAAAATATCAGCTAAGTGGTTGGTTTTAAACACAAGACGGTATTTATTATATGCATTAAATGTTAAAATACGACAGTACCATATACATCACATGGGATATTGTTTCCTTCACTCCAACAGGCGTTGTCTTTGAGATAAGATGTCAATGTCTCACGTGTGACAGCATCTGCGCCAAGCTGCATCCCACTAACATTCCCAGCAAAAGCCAAGCAAAAATAAGGATCTATCATGCATCCTTACGAGGGAGACGATATGGCATATGTGCTTCAGCTGCGGCTGAGACCCGCAGTGAAGACTTAGTTAGACTTTGACAGTGCAGATCAGGATACTCTGTGGAAAGGCCGAAGATACTATTTTGGTTCTATTCACAATAAAAAGGAAATATATACATGGGAAAGGTCTAGACAATTAAACTAAGTGCCAATTAAGTGCCTGCTCGTCCCCGTCCTCATCAACCATCATCCACAACTACAACCATCCACACACCCACTTGACCATTACTCGCAAGTAGAGGCGTGCAATGGACCCAGCGATTGCGACCATCAGGATTGGATCGCGTCGTCCACTTGATACGCGCAGTCACACTGCGACCAACCTTCATAGCTTGTAGCAGGTCATCTTTCACCGCTGAAGAACTGGCGATACGCGATAGGAATGGTGATTGCAGCATTCCTGGGATCTGGAGGGCGGGCGACGTGAACAGAATCCGCAGGGAAGGGTAGGGTCGGACGAGAAGGTACTATATCATGTTAGTATTTGCAACCAAATCTGGAAATATACTTCTTTTCTCTTACATTCTCGTACACGCCGGCAAATGACATCCGGAAAAAGGGCGATTTCATCTCAAGTAGACGGATGGCTTCAGCCTCTCTTTCTAGCGATGCGTCTGGCTGCAACCATGATCGCGGGCGATGTGGAGGCGCGACGCTTTTCGCAGGTTGGAACAGGTTTCCACCGTACTGTTGAGCAGCGGAGAGTTCCCGCGGACTGAACAGCTCGGTCAGTTCCCGGAACTCATCCTTTTCTTCTGGTTCTGGTGGCTCCGCAGTGCTCTCTTCATCGGGATCCCGGTATTTGTCTTGTAGTTCCATCAAAGATTCCATCGAGGCACCCTCCATTGCAAGTCCCGAGACGTCGATCTGTGCGCCGATGAAGTATTTGACACGCCCGTGGCTGTCGCATAGGGGTGCGCACTGGAGTAGGTTCATGAACGGAGAGCCGTCGCGACGACTGGCTATGTTAGTGGCTGGTGACTAGATTGGGAAAAGCTGAGTGGTAGAGCATACTAGTTAAGAAACATCTCCGAGTGATGCCGGCCAGCATGGATAGCTTCACGAATTCGACGGACACTGTTTGCATTTGTCTTCGGGCCCTGGAGGAACCGACAATTTCGACCGAGCACGTAATCCATACCGTACTGTGTTGTTCTGTGGAATTCTGATTTTGTTAGTCCGATTCAGACAGCAGGATATAAAAACATACCTTCTGATGCAAAAATAATTGGATTGTCAGGTCGCGATGGGTCCGTCAAGCAAAATACTTCTGCCAGTGCATTCGAAGTCCCGCGGAACTTCATTGGCAAAGTTCCTCGGACTCGCTCCTCGACGATCTTGCTTGTGATGGAGATACACCTTGACGTGATGAATGCAGGGAGTTCCTCGGCAGTCAGAGCCAGCAGCCCGTCCACAACACGCTGCTCCAAAACTCGGTTCACCGTCACCCCGGCGGCTTCCCCATCCGTCTGCACCACTGGAGGGGGCACATCGACCGAGAGCCGGACGAGCGCATTAGCATATTCAATTGCCTTGAGCGCTTTGGAGGCATTGAGATAGTATGTGAGGGTAGAAATCGAGCGCGGCCGTTCTTCCAGAAGGAAATCACGAAATCGGGCCAGATACCGGGGGTTGTTTAGGATTGTGAGCATATGTTCGGATGAGAACATGATGTCTGCAATTCGTTCCAGCTTATACAGTGGTAGATCACCCCCATCGTAAGGCGCAATGAGATCATATGAGCCGTTCTCTTCACTGACGGGATTAAACTCTGGCGCTCCCTCGTTTGGATTGATTTGTTGGAGAAGAGGGAGGTCATTGGCCGTAGCATGGCGACGCAGGTTTTTGATAGATGGCTTCGGTGTGGGATACACTTCCATCTTTTCCTCGTCAATGGAATCTAAATTTTCCATCCTCGGTGGCTGGGGGAAGATGTCCAGTAACGGGTCACTTCTGTTTTGTCAGCGCATTCAATTGAACCCATCGCCTTGAGTTCGACTTACCGTGACGATCGACGAGATTCGCTGACCCATTCGTGGTATTCATCTTGAATCGTCTCGGTGAATGAGCGCAATGACTCTGCGTCGGGGCTTCTCAGCCCATCATGGAGCCCATCGAGCGTATCGAGCCCCTGGAGGCCACGGGGATCTGTATGCGACATTGTTTGAGCAAGGAAAATACAACAATTGCTGTAGAACAGCCCGGGAACAGACCTTTTCTTTAATAGTTAGAAATATTTTCCCACTGCCACCCCCCTCCTGAATGATACATCATTTCATCGACTCATCAGCGGGTTGTCAGTACGAAGCATGCGACAGACACAATGGAAAGACTCTGACAAGTACTTTGTACAAAACAATAGGGGAGGTCATAATGGCAAAAAAGCAGATCGATCGATGGGCTACTAAGCTCCACGAGATCGGTGTCGATCATTGACCGATGATGCCACAGTGCAGCGGATGACCTTCGGCGACCAGCTATTGAACTTTGAGCTGAAAAACTTCACTGGAATTGCCTGCAATTGCGATACATCCATTGGATTGTCCGCAAATAGGCTACGGTTTGCTATTCCCCATTCGTTAGTTGACAGGGATCTTGAACTCTTTCGCCTTTGAAGGCCCGAGCGTATCGCAATGCCGCTTGTGTCTCCGACGTAAATTCTATACTTCAATTGTCATATCGAACAGACTAGAAGTTTATATAGTTATAGTGAAATAGGTATGTAGCTATAACTCTTTATTTGATCTATAGAACGAGTAATTCGTTGGATTTGTATTTTATTATACAGAAATAGAGTGGTTAACTGCAGCGGAGAATATCTAAATCCGAGGCCGAGTCTTCCTACGAACCCATCACCTCTCCCCGTCGACCTCCGCCAGAGACGGCAGGAGATGCCGCGCAAGCCAAATTATAACCACGTCATAGAATGGGGATGGAATTTGTTTTCGTCAACGTTCAGAAACCAAGCGATGCCCTTCAGCTCGCCAAAGAACCCCAGGTCCGGTCCCACGTGACGCGTTATCAATGGAAGCAAGCGCGTCGAGATAAGCGACTCCAGAAGAAGAAGTTGCAGCTTGTTGCACAAGATGTGAATGGCGCTGAATGTCGAACAGGCTTCGAGTTCAATGTATTCACACTGGGAACAGGCTGCATCTCGCCTCAAATAGGCGGACTCAGAGTTGACCCTTTCCAATCATATCCTATCTCGGTTCAACCTTGGACTCCGCTGCTAGTCGATCACTGTAAGTTACTTTTTGTATTTGATTTAGCAAGGTGGACTTTGTTAATATAAAGCAAGACTTGATACACATGGCAGTTGATATTCCTGAGCTTGACCTGCCTGGGAACCACGGCCTATTGAGGACCCTTTGGTTTCCATTAGTGATGACCGAGCCCGCTTTGTTCTCTGTCATTATTCTTCTTGCTGCATCGCATTATGCCTCCTTACAGAGTGACCCTGGGAGTATGAAAATCGACCTTCTCGGCCTTCGCCATGAGGCTGTACAATCCATCAATCGCTGTCTTGATGCTCGGCGGCCAGAGATTATAAATGATGCTTTGATAGGGGCCATAGCAAAGATGGCTAGCTACGAAGCCATGTTCGGTAGTCTCGAGAATTACGACATCCACATGCAGGGTCTCACACGGGCCATTGGTTTACGGGGGGGCCTAACATCACTGGGATTAAACGGCTTGCTCCATCGGATCGTGGTTTGGATCGACTGCAATGCCGCTTTTTTACAAGGATCGGCGAAATATTACCTTGTGGATACTTCTGTGCCGGGTGAACCTCCTCCAGATCCGAATCCGGGTCAATTTCTAGGAAGCTCCTGATGGGGTCTGTTTCTTGAACTAATCAAAGAATCGCAAACCGCATATAACTGTTGCATTCACATGCTGTTAGAATATCACGCACCATATACAAATATAGAGTTTGTTCGGACTTCCCGAACAGGATATCACATCGAAGAGACCCACATCTGACAACCAATAAAGAGATGTTATTTTGACTACAGTCCACATATTTCCTATTGCGGATATCGCATCCTAGGATCTGGTGCATGATCTATTACATCATACCAGATCTAATTGCGCCCTCCTGAATACATAAGTAATGCATTTCTCGACCAGACTACATTTCTGTCACTCAATTGCCACGAATCTTGCTTGTCATTACTTTCCCGGCTACTACCTACTTTCTACACTAAAATGTCTCTTACTGGTAAAGTTGCTCTCGTCACCGGCGGTGTTAAGAACCTTGGAGCTCATAGTGCCCTCGAGCTGGCTGGAGTGGGCGCCAATCTTGCTCTACACTATCATTCGTCCAGCGACAAGGATACAGCCGCGCTAGAAGCCAAGCTTAAGGAAAAGAATCCTTCAATCAAGGTTGCTTTCTACCAAGGCAATCTGACCTCTGCAGCTACAGTGACAAGCTATTCAAAGATGTTGTTCGTGACTTCGGCCACGTTGATATTGTGGTCAACACGGTTGGCAAAGTGCTGAAGAAGCCTATCACAGACATCAGCGAGGAAGAATATGACTCGATGTTCGCGTAAGTATTCGGGAAGAACATTGCGAACTCTCAGGGAGTGGTTGCCTAAGTGTTTCTCTAGTGTGAACTCCAAAACTGCATTCTTCATTTTGAAGGAAGCTGCTACTCATGTGACTGATGGCGGAAAGATCATCAGCATTGTCACTGCGCTCCTGGGCGCGTTTACTGGCTACTATACTTCTTACGCTGGTAGCAAAGCTCCCGTGGAGCACTTTACTCGGTAAATTGCCAGTCTAGTATCGACTGAAGTTCTCAGCTAAAACAATTTTAGGGGTGTTTGCAAGGAGCTCCAGTCTCGCAGGATCAGTGTGAACAATGTCGCCCCGGGGCCAATGGATACACGTAAGTCTATCATGATTAATTACGGGATAAGTTTCTTGTTCAAGGGATCTAACATGAGATGTTATCAACAGCTTTCTTCTATCCCCAGGAGTCTCCAGAAGCCGTGGAATTCCACAAGGCAAATGGCATGGGGAACCGTCTTACTATGGTTGAGGACATTGCTCCTATCATTCGCTTCCTTTGCACTGATGGTGCTTGGATCACCGGCCAGACGATTTTCGCCAACGGTGGATACACTACTCGTTGATTAGACTGCGATGGAGTGAACTCGTAAAAAGGGCAGAGACTGCCCTTTTGTACCTTTCTTTCCAAGCTACTCTCGGTCATGTAATTAACGCATAGGAAAAATAAAATATAAAACTTGTTCAATATGAGGGCTCGAAACTTTCCCTATTGATGAAATTTCGAAAGATGTATGCGTTACACGCACGAGGCCGTATCGTTGCTAAAAGGTAGTGGATGCTGCTTAAGGGTCATTGTATTTTTTGCTAGCTTAGTTCTGAGCGTCTAGTGGTGTGGCCTTCATGTTCCCTTTCTTTTTGCTGTATATCTAGAGTACAATGCGCGCCTATGAAAAACCTTTGCACAAATCAATTGTCTACTTGTCCTTCTTTCTAACAGCCATGTCGGGGTCGCCCCTGAGATCCAGAAGGTAACTTTGAATTTCAGCTACTAAGCTAGCAAGTGGGGACCAGCTCGGCAAGCTTGATAATGGCCCCGAATTGTCTTATTTGCCATGACTTTAGTAGGCTAATACTCTAGCTTCTTGGCCAGATTACACGAAGTAGAATCAACGGGCCTCATAATATCAATGAACGGTTTATAGATGAGTGAAAAGACACTTTTTATTCTCCTTTTATCCGTATACCTAAAGGAATACATACTTCGTATCCACGCGGCTAGGGTGAGTCAAAGCAGCATCGAATCCTTCGACATAGCTTGATATGCCTGCGTTTCGCGGGAGACCTCTTTCTACAGTCTCCGATCCCTTTTGCGACAGAGAGGACTGGACCTATAGCTGACAAGAAGTAGCTGCTGAAATGTTTCACGCCGGGTAATTTAACCCCTCAGCTCTCCAAGCATAGCTGCTACTTCGGCATCGAAGTGGTTCAAAAAGTCCTCCAATCCCCGGGGCGTATTCCAACCAAGTCGGTTCCGAGCAAAATCAGCCCGAGCTCTCGAACTACATGGAATATTAGCTTAGTATTCACTTATGAAAGGATTCACTTACTTTGATGCGAGGGCGATCTCTGCAAGACTCTCGTTGCCTCCAGTAATTTCCGCAGCTGCTTCTTTGATGCTGACTGACTTGACTTCATTCGTCGCTAGTAGACCTTTCTTGTGCATGGCATCTGCAATACCCTGGCTGACCTGGAGCCATGTATGTTCACCACTTTCAACAAAGAACACAGCCTCTGGGCCGGAGGGAAGCCATGGCTTTTGCTCAAGAACAGCACGGAAGAGGAGACCATAGAAAGTCGAAAGATCGGCAATATGAACATGATTCCAAATCTATGAATGTACTGCGTCAGTAAGTAGTTTGCAACATACATCGATATCACACGTACGCCCTTGCCACTTTCAATCACAGCAGCAACTCCGAGCTTCCTGGCTAACCGTGCAAGGTTAGGCACCTGTTGACTCAAAGTCGCAAATGGACCGTCGCCTTTTCCGTCTGCGGGGTGTAAGCGTATGCAACCACTGTTAGTAGCTTCGGTTTCACGTACAGATGGTAGGAGGAACGACAATATACGTTTTGACACCAAGGCTGATCCCCGTCTCAACAACCGTAACATCGGTGACGCGTTGTCCGTAGCGCTCAGGGTTCTTCTTCTCCATTTCAAATATGTTGTCTTTCTCATCAGACCATATCTCCTGGTCCCGTGGCGTGGCAGTGTAGGGATGGTCACCCAGAATTGATGTGCCAGAAGTCTAACGTCGCATCAGCTTTTGTCCTCCTCAGGTTTTTATCGTGAGATAGACATCCTTACATGAATCATATAAGACTCCTTGCCCGTGGCCTTCTGTCTAAGAGCTAATCCCTCGATCAGCGCCTTAGCAACACCGTCATGGGACGCAGATGCGGCGTTGATCACAACTGTGGAGACACTGTCAGCGGATCAGGGAGCAGCTTTGGAGCGCATAGAATATCAGTACCATCGTGTTGAGAAGCTGCATTTCTGGAAGTCTCTAGGTCATCCAAGCCATGGAAAAGCAGTGGCTTCACTCCCAGAGACTCGAGCTTGGCCGCCTGTTCTGGACGACGGATCAATGCGGAAATGCTCAGTTTGGAAGCCTCAGGAGATCGCAGTAACTCGGCAAGAATTGCGCCCCCGCTGGTAAAATCTTGGTCAGCTCATCATTGCAACAAAATTCTTCTTCGGTGGTCGGAAACAACGGTAGATTTCACGTACATGTATCCGGTTGCACCCAGAATCAGAACGTGTGTCTTGCTAGTGTCCATTTTGATTCTCAGTTTCGGGAAAGTGTTTGAACGTATGAATATTTTTTAATAGGCCATAATTTGAGCATTCTACCCAACTTATAGTTTCTTCAATTATCATGTTCTCATGACACTGAGTATGTCAATTATTAATTCCCCCGAAGGTGACGTCAAGGAAATAAAGTCCCCGGATTATCAATCTTTTTGGAAACATTTCTGTTGTCTATATCATACGTAAAAAAATTATAAAACTCGAGATTCGAAGGTTGGACCTTCCTCTCCTTTTATTTCAGTGGATTGCTAATCAAGTGGAACTCGAGATCTCCAGGGCTCGGTTTGTTGCTCGGTCCAATATCCAAAACTACACTAGGCCATATCGGGAATAGTGGTAAGGCTGGTCTCCGTTACTATGTTAGTTTTGCTCGCAGTAACTATCGAGGTTCTTTTACCTATCATATATCATGCCCACTATGATGTGCCTACTAGACGGCCTTGAGTTGACCTCAACCCTTATTAAAACAAAATTACCTCTGCGGGAGGTATCTATCGGGAGAGGATTACTATGATCGGATATTGGTAGTATAGACCACGAGGTGGAAGCGGTTATTGTAGTACAGCGTGGCGGTGGTATACTAAATATTTAAAATCTGTAAACAGTATAGTTGAATTGATTATGCAATTGTATACAAGAATTATCGGCCGCTTATGCGGCCTTGTGATGTCTTTTTAGTAGTCTTATCAGTAGCCTTCTCAGATGTTCTTTTTATATATCTTCTCCTCTTCTCAATTCTATAGCTAGACAGCCTTTCTGTGTATACCCAAGGATTTAGAGATACGTTTTTTTATTACACATTGATTGGATTAAATGTATGTGTTTTAGATATATATTTCGGTGGGTGTGGATTCGCAAATGACAACCATTATTAACAACATATACGTAGGTAGTGTGAGGCTCCCCTAGCTTTACCCAATACATAGTGCGCTTTCTAACGTTATAGAGGCTTCCTTGATATTTATTTTCCCAGTTATATAGGTCTCATATACGACACGTAGCAAAAATTACATCTTTGCATTACATTTAAGATAAGTATGTAACCTTTATGGTGGAATCAAGTGCAAATTGATTTCCACGAGACCTCTAGGGCTGGATATGGGGTGGAATATTTTCTGCTAGCATTATTGACCAATTGTAATTAAGTCACACGTAGGGGCTATTCGCCTCTGTAGGCACGTATATGGCTGAAGGTAAACCCCATATTAATCCTGCCAAAAGAATTGAAGTATAATTTAGACTTTCCGCTCTCATAGAAATGTGCAACGCATGACTTTTGTGGTTGCTCTAGGAAGAACATAATATACCTAGATTGACAGGCATTCCTTTTGCGTTTGGCCATAGATGAAGTTACGTTTAAGTATTGTTGTTGTCTTGGCGACAGGCTACTCGTTTCATATCTCCGAAGAACGAAGGTGTTGAAGAGTTAAGTTGCATTCCATGATCGCCCTCCCTGGATTGGTCTGTATTTTCAGTCTAATACACACAATGTATGGCTCCTCCCTCTCCAGCATTGAAATTCCCCAGAGGTACCATAGCACGCAATCTTCTAAGGGGTTAGAATATTAGCTATTTCTATTGAAAGAACACTACACGGTTCATAAAAGAAATAATTTCCCCTGATATGAAGCAAATATCAGTTTGATTCGTGCCAGCTAAGTTATTCCTTGTAGTCATTTGCTCACCCAACCTTCCTCGCCATGATGGTTACAAAGACAGCGTCGGTTTTGGCCACGGTCTGGGTGGGAGCCAATGCTCAAGACTGCAATGCCCCACCCCCAAATAAATCTCGCGGATCTACCCGCACTCCCTTTGTCTGAGACCTGGAGGCCACATACCCACGTTCTCCCACCCGACGGCCAGATCGGCGACCCATGCGCGCACTACAATGATCCCGAGACAGGGCTTTTCTACGTCGGGTTTCTCCACAATGGTACCGGTATTGCCAGTGTCCTGACAAATGATCTTGTCTATTATTACGATGTGAGACCTAATGGCAACTATTCAATCGTCGCTGGCGGTCCCAATGACCCCCTTGCTGTTTTTGATGGTTCTGTCATTCCCAGTGGAGTTGACGGAAAACCGACACTTTTATACACCTCTGTCTCGGCATTGCCGATCCACTGGACGCTTCCTTACACCCGAGGAACTGAATCGCAATCTCTGGCGGTCACCTATGACGGGCGAAAGAACTTCACCAAGCTGGAAATGCCGCCTTTTATTCCTGAGCCTCCAGCAGGCGTGGATGTAACGGGTTTCCGCGACCCCTACGTTTTCCAAAATGGGGAGTTCGATCGATCTCTGGACAATGCCGCAGGTACTTGGTACACAATCATCTCAGGTGGCATTCATGATGTCGGACCTGGCATATTCCTGTACCAGAACACGAGCCCCGACTTCAAGATTTGGGTGTATCTTGGAGAGTGGTTCCACAAGCCTGCCAATTCAACATGGGGAAGTCGTGACTGGTCTAAGACTTTTGGATACAATTTCGAGACTAGCAACGTCTTCGATCTCACTAGAGAGGGATACAGCTACAACGGCAGTGCTTTCATGACCATTGCGGCGGAGAGCTCTTATGAACCCATCCAGGACTCAGTCTCCTCACTGCACGCCCAGCTTTGGGCAGCAGGTGCAATTGCAACCCCCGAGGGTGAAAACGTAACATTCATCCCTGATATGGTTGGTGTCTTCGACTGGGGCTTGGCATCCTATGCAGCAGTGGGCAAAGTCCTACCCAAATCTTCCCATGCGTCTACCGCCAGTGGTGCCCCAGACCGTTTCATTAGCTGTGTCTGGTTGACTAGAGATGTTTCCAGAGGAATTGTGGGCTTCCCGACCGAGCAACAAGGATGGAAAAACACCTTGTTGACTTCGCGCGAGTTGTGCATCAAATCCATCCCTACGTTGTCAACAACGATCTTGTGCAGGAGACTGGCTCATGGCGTGTGGCCGCTAGATCTGCCTCAACCGAGAAGTGCGTTGAACTCGAGACACTCGGAATTGACATTGCGCGTGAGACCTACGGCGCTATGACTTCTGCCCCTGCCTTCAGGGAACCTGCCCGTACAACTAGCAGTGAAGGTGTCATTTCATTCGGTCGCTCCCCCAAAAGCAGGTTCTTCATTCTCGAGGCTGAGATCTCCTTTGATGCAGGTGCAGCTGACCTGCAGGCCGCTTCCAGATTCTGGCATCCGAGTTTGAGTCGACCACCATTTACTATCAGTTCTCTAACAAGTCCATCATGATTGATCGTTCACAAACAAGTGCCGCTGGAAGCACGACCACTGGTATTGATGCGTCACCGGAATCTGGCCGTCTTCGTCTATTTGACATCAACGAAAGTTGTGGCACCCACGGCGGTGAAGATCACTCAACTAACTGCAAGTCCAACCCTGCGGCGGGAAGCGATGCCTACACTTCTCAATCGGGTGGAGTTGACGCAGCGCACATTGAGACTCTCAGCCTGACCATGTGGTGGACAACTCTGTCCTTGAGCTTTATGCCAACTATCGCTTTATGCTGTCTACCTGGGTCCGGTATGTTTCCCTTATCCCTTGCCATCCACTTTTCGCAGAACATAAACTAACTTCATGGCAGCCCCTGGTACCAAAATTCGACCGAGATTCGCTTCTTCCAAAATGGGGAGGGTGAAGCATCTTACAGCAACATCCGCGTTGCTGATGGGCTGTATGATGCTTACCCGGACAGACTTCAGTGAAGAATGGGAGATAACTTCGAATTTTAGCAGGACATCTGGGTTCCGCAACTGTTGTAGCCTATCAGGCACGTCAATTGGAAGCGACAAGCTTTCAGAACTAGCTAAAATTAATATATGACCAATTAATGATGAGATAGTTAATGGAATGAATTCCTCTCCCGAGGATATGTTGAAAGGTATTTACTACGTGCTACGACAGAGTTCAATCGATAGTGGGGACCACAAGGCCGTTGTTGATATATCTAAAGTTTCGTGGCTCTCATATGTATCACTCCACTCTGTGACTTCAGTAATTGTGGAATACAATGAATTCAAGAACCCTACTGTATTGAGCTCCAGTTGTCTGATACAATACGATACATGGCTATACTTGGTAGATATTATATGTGTGTGACATATTGTGAACGGAAGTGGTCACTGGTTGAGAATTTATATAGCCAGTTGCACGAGTGAGGCTTTACAGCCTGACAGCAAGTACGTTCATTTGACAGATTCATCACGTGTCACCCAGCAGCAGATCCTTGGAACCAAATAAGGTCAATAGGAGCAGCCAATCAGATACCGGCAATTGATCTTGATCGACCCACTCCCATCAACTACCCTTTTCGGAAGTCATATTGCCACAAAAGCCCTGAGGGCACAAATTTCATAACAACGTTATATCCACTATTTCCCGCCTTAGGAACTTGAAGGGAGAGGGGTCAAGGGCAAGTCAGAATCCACCCTATCACTCTCTGCCTTTGCAAAATAAGCCTACGTTGGGAAGAGATAGTTGGTTTGCCTTACGACCTGCCCCACATTTACTGTAGGTATATTAGGCTAAGCTCCGCGCCTTTTTTTGCTCTATCCTCTTTACATATTCCAAGATTTTCTCCTCTACCTTGTTGTCTCGCACCAGTTCCCAACAACTAGACACATCTTGAGCGCCTACTTCATTCACAGTCATGAGCGGGACGCAAGTGGCACAAAAGTTACTGCAAGCTGCGCATGTAGCTCCAGAAATCTTCCAGCTACGTCCGGATTATCGCGCCCTCTTGATGGTGGTAGAGGGTATTCCTCCCGGCCCAAGCGATGATTTCAGCGAGGCCCTTTTGAGGGAAGCTGAAAATTCCGTCAAGGAAAAGTTATCCAATTGTCCCGTTACCGAACTTCCACACATCGCCGCATGGCGAGAGGCATACAAAGCCTTCGGAGCCAAGCCCCAAAAAACGCGCAACAGCCTGGAGGCTCTGACTCGTCGGGCGCAGGATGGCTTGCCACGAGTCAACCGACTGACCGACATCTACAATGCCATCTCCGTCAAGCATCAGATCCCATTCGGAGGTGAAGACCTTGACAAATACGACGGATCGCCTTTCCTAGTCCGCGCCACTGGTAATGAGGAGTTCGCAACATTTTCTGGTGGGAAGCCCCAAACGGAACTTGCAGCGCCAGGGGAGCCAGTTTGGTGCGACGACAGTGGCATCACTTGCCGTCGCTGGAATTGGCGACAGGGCCCACGGACTGCCTTGACCGATGATACCTCGCGCGTTTTATTCATCCTAGATGCGCTAGAGCCGCTCACAGACGATGTTCTGGCTCAAGCTGCCGACGAGCTCGCTTCGGCTTTGAAACGCCTCTCCCCAGACGTGCAAACAGTGCACCGAATCCTTGGCCCTTCGGTTTAACCTCGCTTTGGTGACTGTCCGTGTGGTTCCGCGCCCTGTATATAGGGTCAACATTGTGAAAAGCAACACGATTGATATAAGACTGTTGGGGTGGAGCATAGAGGTGTCAGATTTGTATATTAAATTTAGAAGCAAATATAGTAAACCCCACTGTACCTGTATATTTACGTTATATATATACCTTCTAGTTTCTATATAATAGTTTTGTCGGGAGTGCCTCTATCGCCAACCATAAACGTAGCTTGATCGATCATATGATAGCGGGGCATTCTTAAGGACTTGGCGACTCTACGGAGCGGTTCTATTCGACAGTTATCCCCACAGGCATTTTGATATCGGGCTCCCAATTAAGACCCCGACAAAAGCCTTCGTAGTAGATAGAGATAAATTCCCAAGGTCCCCTCCTATTGCTGTTCTTTTGACACTTAACTAAATTCCTTCACAAAAAGAAAGCCTTGAGGCCGCCTACAATGTCTAGGCCATCCTTTTTCTCATTACAACCAGTGACCGCCGAGGATATCCCGACCCTCGTTCGTATCCATGATGAGGCATTTGCAAACGAAAAGCTTATGCATTTGATGTACGGCTCGCCAGATCAGAGAAAAGACCTGATAAGAGACCTTCGGGAACTACTCATGACTAGTTCAACTGCACGGTTTTTGAAGGCGATAGACGGAGAGACTGGTGAAATCATGGGCTGGTCATTGTGGACTGTCTACCTTGACGAGGAAACCCATGAAAGAGAAGCGGCAGCCACCGAAGAGAGACAGAAAACAGCCCCCGGCACTGCGGGTAATCCGGCAGTCTTCCTAGACTACCACAGAGCTGTAGCAGCAAGGCGAAGAAAATGGATAACTGGAAAATGTGCTAGCCGTGAGTTGACCAAATTTTTACGATAGAAGCCTTTACTCAGATACCCTATAGTCCTCGAGATTCTCGCGGTCCGTCCTCAATCCCAGGGTAAAGGTGCCGGCACTGCACTTGTCAGAGCAGGGCTAGAAGAAGCCAGTTTCCATAAGGTACCAGCATGGCTGGAAGCATCATCCGCAGGTTGCGCGATGTATCGGAAGTGCGGGTTTCATGATATGGGGGATCCTATTGACATGGATTTGAGCGACTATGGGGCGGAGGGAAGAGTGAAGACAGTGTGTATGCAGTTTGGTTTACAAAATTAGGATAGAATACTACGTTGGGTTTTAGGGTTTAAATACCGCTAAGGTATAAGATGTTAATCTTCGTCCTCAATTTACAACCAAAGCCGATATTAGCACATTTTATACATCTTGTCGATTGGAGAGGAGGATACATTACCACCAGCAGCGGGATGATTCAGCATATACACAATCTCCTAACTACTATAAGCTGTCAGAAACACGAAGCAGATCATCATTTCTTATTCCTTTTAAGATTGACGATACGGTTTAGTAAAAGAAAATATATATTTCACTTGTCCCACGACGTAATCATGCCTCCTCGATCTTCCTGCCTGGCATAGGCTCGGCGAGTGCTGCCCGCCAGGGAGGTGGACTGAATTTATCAGTGAAGTACTGTGTCTCGTGCACCACAAGCTCATTCTCGAATTGCATTATGGACACTGAGTACCTTGGTACTCCGTCGTAGGTGATGATGCACTCGCTCACCCAGAGATGGCCGTCGCCCGAGATTCGCAGCACTGTGAAATGTCGGTCGGCAGGGTGTCCACCTCGTTGCGCAGATATTGTCTCACGACCTTTGAAACGCTCCCCCCGACTGCGGGTAGTCCAGGATTGCGTCTACAGCATAAATGGAATGTTCGACTTCGATGTTATTGTCTTCGGATGCCCCCCAATGTTCTTCGATTGCTTCCTTGAAATTCATCGTAATATGACCACCGGTAGGAAGGAGATATCTTCGATTGTTTTCAGCTGCCAGGAACGAGGTGGCTTTGTTGTTTATTGCAGCAGCGACATAAGCCAGAGGCATCGGGATGCGCTCGGCGGATGAGTTTGGGAATACGGCAAATGACATCACAACTTTCCCACCGACCCGTATAGTGCGCAATTCGACTTTGTCTCAGAGGGACTGGGCCTATAAAGTAGCTGATCAGCTGGATGGCTCAATGCGTTGTCAATTATGTTATTGGTGCCCTCGAAAACCATTGTGACGTTCATTGTTCCACACCCCGGCCGATGGTCCCGGGCGATACATCATTGACTTGTTTTATTTATTGTCTGATGAATACCTTCATGAATGCTTTTATGTGTTGTTTCCAAATCTGTTTCGGATCAACAACTGATTTTTCTGAAGTTGTTTGAACCCAACCCACTCACATTTTGATACAGCTATTGGTTGATGTTTCGTCGCTCGGCACTCAGCTCGCTGAACCACTATTGCAATATGGCAACAATTGCACCATACGACGCCATAGTTATTGGGTCTGGTCAATCCGGAACGCCCTTAGCTGCCGCCTTTGCGAGAGCAGGACAAAAAACAGCTCTCATTGAACGCAGAAATATCGGTGGAACCTGTATTAACGAAGGCTGCACACCTACAAAAACTTTAATCGCCTCAGGCCGCATCGCCTATCTGGCTCGCAGGGGACCAGAATATGGCATACACACTGGTGGCCAAAAGGCCAAGGTGAACGCGGCCGTGGTCGACATGATCAAGGTCCGCCAACGGAAACGCGACATCGTCGCCCAATTCCGCGGTGGCAGTGAGACTAGGATAGAAGATTCTGGCGTGGATCTTCTGAAAGGCGAAGCGACATTTATGGACCATAAGACATTGCAGTACAAAGATAGTGCCGGCAACGTGAAAACTGTTCAAGGCCAGAAGATATTCATCAATGTCGGAGAACGACCTAGATCACCTCTTCTTGATGGAATCGGCTCGGTTGCTGAAAAAAGAGTTTTGGATTCCACTTCAGTCCAAGAGCTAGATGAGATTCCTGGCCACCTTGTGGTGATCGGCGGAGGATACGTGGGAGTAGAATTTGCACAATTGTTTCACCGGCTAGGCGCGAAGGTCACCATAATCCAGCGTGGATCGCAATTACTACCGCGCGAGGACGGAGAAATTGCAGAAATGCTACAAGATATATTTCGAGAAGATGGACTCACGGTACACTTGAACTCTGACACTGTCAGAATTGCACCATCGCCTAGCGGGTTCACTCTTTATTTTCACGCCAACAATCGCGATCAAACTGTCGAAGGAACACACATCTTATTCGCTGCCGGCCGCGTTCCAAATACAGACCGACTGAAGCCAGAGGCCGCCGGTATCAACACGGACAAAAAAGGGTATATTCTAACAAATGAATACCTGGAGACCTCGTCCCCTTCTATTTTTGCCATGGGCGACGTGAAAGGACCTCCGGCATTCACGCATATCTCATACGATGACTTCCGCATCCTTCAGTCTAATGTTCTTTCATCGCCACCCACCAAACTCTCAATCAACGACCGCATTGTCCCGTACGTGGTCTTCACTGATCCTCAGCTAGCGCACGTTGGTCTCCACGAGAAAGAAGCTCGTGGAAAGTTCCCCAATATGAAGATTCAGACTGCAAAAATGCCAATGGCGTACGTTGCCCGCGCACTAGAAACGGACGAGTCGAGGGGGATGATGAAGGCTGTCGTAGATGGTGATACAGGTGTGATACTAGGATTTACTTGTTTGGGCGTCGATGGTGGTGAAATCATGAGCACTGTGCAAATGGCGATGATCGGGAATCTTCCCTACCAAAAGTTGCGAGATGCAGTATTGGCCCATCCGACTTTAGCAGAGAGTCTAAACAACATTTGGGCATATTTGGAGTGAGTGTAGTGTGTTCTGCGCGTTTGCCTCCTTTTAGCATATACGAAGAGGCGAAGCCCCAGAGGGCGATGTGAAAGAGGAATGTGACCGTTCACAAACAGCCTAGGTAGCGTCAATTAGGGTCAAGCAAGCTCTTAGGGGGTCTCATTGTCGATCAGCCAAATATGTTAGCAAAAGAAATGATCCGACAGAAATCGAAAGAACTAGGATTTTGAAAGTAAGCTTGTCACTTACTATCGGGGATCGAAGGGTCAGAAAGCTTCATTCTCTCTCCTTCTCTCTTTCTTCCTCTACCTTTTAGTTTAAGTAAAACAGTTGTTTGCCCTTTCTCCTCTAAGTTTGTCCCCAGGCTAAAAGACCTCTCGCGTTTGTCAATTCATTTTCTAAAGCACGTATCTTCAGATCCAGGCCGCGAGCCTCGCTTACCCCAAGGCAGCAGCCGGCGCGCCCCACAACGCGGGAACTCAGGGCAGCCCCACTATCCAACTCACCTTTCGCGTCAGCCGCATTTCAACCCACGAACATTCAACCGCACGATGCCGTCTTTACTTGAACTCCCCTTGGAACTTCTTTGTCAAATTGTCGAAGAAACAATCCCTGCAGGGTTTGAGGCCGCAGCCCTGTCTTGTCGGACTCTGTTCGCTGCCAGCGCCCCTTTCCGAGCGCAATATGCTACCCACCGGAAACGCTTCCGACACTTCGCGTTTTCGCGAAAGCTTGATAGTGGGTCTGACTCGGAAGATTGCTGGGATGAAATCGCCCAAGAAACAGGCATCCGGATCACGACCACACGAGAGCTGTTGGAATATATCGCTCTGGATCACTCTGTGATTCGATATATCCAGTCCATTGACCTGAGAGATCATGCGGATCTGGAGGAAGATGAAGATCTATCAGCCTCCCTTGAAGCCGAGGTCTCTGAGACTCTCAAGGAGTTGGTTCTTGCATCGCCATTCATGGAAGCTTTTAAGGGCGACCCGGACGAGTGGGTTAGACAAATCCGATGGTCCGGAATATATGCAGACGTCTTTCTTCTGACCTTGCTATCGCACGTGCGAACTCTGACTTTGCACCCGCGTTGGGAAGAAGTAGATCAATCGGGTGGGCGAGACCCTCTGGTCTCCAAACGTCTGTGGCCGGTTCTCGATATGATAACGTACCGCGCCAACAATGCTGAAGAATTCCCCAATACGCCGTTATCCAGGCTCTCCGTTGTCAAGCCATCCTGTGACGAGGGCTATGAAGAGAGGTCTCCATTGACACCATTTGTACCATTCCTGGCAATCAATTCCGTCTCCGAAGTCTCCTTAAGAAGCTGCCTGTTCATTGATGACGGGTATACTGGAATCGAGTTCGATCCAATGGTGGAATGTTATAGCACAAACTTACGGAAACTGAGTTTGGACGCATGTGTCGGTGGCGCGAAGGAGCTATCACAGCTACTCTCGCGAATTCCAAACCTGGAGATATTTGAGTATTCTCATGAAACCAAGTGGCATGGCTGCGGCCATAATTGGAATATTGGTGTATTCCTGGCTACGGTGCAGGATGTCTGCGCAAAGACACTCAAAGAATTGTCGGTGACCATATTCATACAATATGGTAATAGAGGAGCCACGTTGGTGGATATGACTGGTTTCCATAAATTGGCTGCTCTTGAATTGGACATCGATATGCTGTGCAGTCCGCCATATGATCCGTCGATGAAAGATTGGCAATGGGACGACGGTGAGGTGGATGGCAGTCCAGCATGGCCCAAACTGAGGGATATGTTGCCAACCACGATTGAAAGGCTCAACTTGTGTCTCAACACGTTCAATGAGGACCATCTGGAGTGCATCACCCATTTAATTGAGGGCCTTTCAGATGCTCGGCCCACAAAGCTACCCCATTTACAGAAGTTGAGCATTTCTGTACGGATGGACTTCGCACCCACGATTCCCGACGTGGCACTTGAGCCTTTAAATGCTGCGAAAAGAAGTGGCTTTTCAATTCTGCAACTTGGTACATCCATTTCTCTTTTATGAATGAATTGCCTCAGTTAGCTATTTTTCAGATCATTTATGGGCCGGCTACCCAGTGACTTAATACAATCAAGTCGCAAGAGTATAGAGTTAATACTGTTTTCGAATTCCACTGTGATAGGAAATTTTCTTCAATTCCATGCTAATGTCAAAACAACCATTCAACATTCCATTGTTTACTTCTCAGGAACTCGCTTCTAGACTTCCGCAAAGCCCCACTTTGGGCCCAAGGTCCGGGCTCGAAACCTGACCCGCAACGAGCTGGGGGTCGAACTTCTCGAGCTCGACCCGGACCCCGGCTCGTAGGGGGGGGGGGGGGGCTCGAAATTATATAAAATAATGGTCTTAGGGTTTATAAAGTGGTTAGAAATGTTCTATATATATAAGTTAATACCTACTGATATATATATTCTATACTAGGAACTATATATATCTTTATAGTTAAGTATTAATTTAAGATTAATATCTATTATAAGTGGTTTAACCTATTCGAATTATATATTAAAAGAAAGCCTATATCTATATTATTTTTTAGTAACCTTTAAGATTACTAGTCCTAATAGTTCTAGATAAGCTACCTAGGTTTAAAAATATCTTACAGCTGGAGTTTCGTACTCTAACCAAGGAGGCAACCATTTCGTTTTTGTGCTCCGTAACTGAATCCTCAATCCTTGGCATACATGTCGTCCATAAAGGCCAGCGAACGACTCTCTAGATTCTATATTTTCATAACCCTATTTGACCGCATTCTTACATTATCCTATAATACCAATATGCCATCCCTCAAAGCCCTCCTCCTCCCAACAATTCTTTCTGTCGCCGCAAACCCCCTCCTTTACCGCTACCACAACGACGAGCGATTGTCCCCAAAGCTGGTACAAAAATTAATTTAAACACCAAGCTAACTGTTGCTATGGTCATATGATGATTGAAACCACAGATGCTTATTGCTGTGTTTAAGATTTGACCCCCAGAACGGAATGCCCATCTACTTCCACAAAAACTGCAACGTCATTCGATGATGAATGGGGCCGGGCAGACTATTGCTTCAAAAAGATTCCTTTCACAGCCATTGAGTATTCGAGTCAGGTCTCTTTGGCATCGGCGCAGGCTGTCGCAACCAACAAAGAACCTTTGACCAATGTTGCGACTTCTACGAGCACAAGCTCAGGCTCGAGCTCCACTACGGCATCGGCATCTGTGACTCCGACTACGAACGCGGCTATGTCGCTCGATACGGCTAAGGGGGTGGTGGTAGGTGGTGCCGGAGTATTTGCGGCTCTTTTTGCTTTATGATCTGAAATTGTTCATGTACATCACTTGATATGTGGCTATGAAAACTTGCTGTATTGTACATCTTTTCGTTGGTTGTCGTCGATCATCATATCATCCTTTCACTATGGATACAGACTGAAGGGACTACAAATTACCAACAAGCACATAATCGAAGATCGACGTCTCCGTTCCTGAAGGCTTCAGCAACTTGGACCGTGAGTGCCCTCTCATACTTCAAGGCTTTCTTATGAATCAGGGCCAAAGACAACTTTCCATCGTAACTTCTGCCGACTCGATACCAGAGGAAATTGGACCAATATTGTATACGTCGTCAAGAAGATATGCATTACGTCCATCGTCTTTCCGCGGCATTTGAATTGATTCACCGCATAGCACGTGTGAAGTGCTGATTCAAAAGAGCTTCATAAAATAATTCCTAGCCCCCTATAAATCTTGGTAGACAAACAGATAACTATACAGTGGTGATTGACTGTATAGAGTCCGCATCCATAAGTATATGTCATACTTTCGCCACATTATTTCGTCTAGGGTGGTATTTGTTAAGTTGAGACTTTCTACTGGCGGAAACTATCTAATCAAATTAGAAATTGACACAAGCGATTCTATGGATAGCTACAGGATACCGGACTTGCCTCTCTATATCAGATGATATAATAGTGACATCGCCATCAATCTAGGGAGCTTTATGTGCTAATTTTAGCACCTGATCCGATTTGGGTCGCAAGCACGCCAATGGACGGGTGGCTAGGATGACGAACCGTGGTCGAACTCAGAGGAGCCAAGTTAAAGCCTATTTACCAGCCAAGACAGCTATTTTAAAGGTCTAAATAACGCCAAACTAAAGGTCTCGAAGTGCCTGGACTTGATCTCAAGACCAAACCGATGTATTTAAGCTAGCGATAGTGATGTGCTTATAAAAGTAAATGTCTTGGACAAAACTGGGTTGCGGAAAGTCAAAATCGACACGATATGGGAAACACGCGACTTTATTACAACACCACATATGCAAACCGTGGAGACTTTTTTCTTTGGGAAAATCGCTTGTCTAGGCCTAAGAATACTAATCGGCAGTGAATAGTTCCAAAAAACTAAATTATGTTCAACAGGAAGCGACGTTCTTTGTCAATTTGGCTCAATAGCGAGGCAGAGGACGAATAAAGAACCAAGCTGACCCAAAATAGCATTTTTAGTTCACGTTTAACGATGATGTATGCCAAGTAGAATCAGAGAATCAGAGCTGGATTGATGATAGACTCGTTTAGATCTGCAGCCGTATTGTGAAAATGTATCTTTCACTTCCTTGACGCCGATAAATGTCCTCATGTTGCCTCCAGAGTCTATTCATGATCATGTTATTATCAATCGCTTATGTATGGACATACATGCATGCACGCTGTCCCCATGTCTTGAAAGTTGAGCTGTACCTATTCGAACCTTGAGATATCGAGTTACGCATCTAGAGCGGGTTATTGTAGCTGTGTTAGGCTTTACTTGCCATTTATCCTTCATCAATCTGGACAGCAAATGTCGCCGAGTAGGCAATCTAGCTAAATCGAGACCGTTGAGCTAATGCGACAAATCCGGGGAAAATAGAAAATAGAAAATAAGTATCTAAACAAAGAGAGAAAGCCTCTACTATGGTTGGGCCCGAAGCGTGACGTCACGTAAGCTGCTGCAGGACCCCGCATGAGAGGTCCAGACAAACCCCAGATTTTAACTCTTGCTTTCTTAACCTTATTTCCGTTCCTCTTTCACCCTTTCACTAGTAGATCCCGACCGATCTGTTTGAATGCGGGTCTCTCATTAGCTAGCTTAAAATATTCATAGATTTAATAATAAGTTTCCACAAAGTATATACGTGCTAGGACCCGAACGTTCTGAATACGAAGTGATCGACTTCTGGGGCGTGACAAGGATTCCCCCAGAGTGGATTCGTTCCGCGGTGGGCTTGGCATCGGCCGCGCTCTTGGCATCGCCCCAAAGTTCCAGGTGTCTCAACGCCATCCACGGGACCACCATTGCTCACTATCTAGCCCTAGATCTTCCTAAATCCACTGCACGAAATTTACTTTGGCCCACGGCGCCCTCACTTTTGATGGCTGCATCTCAGCTGGAATGAGAAGAGAACCTCGTATCTCGGATGGCGGCCAACAAAAGGTCTTCTGAGATCATGATGTGAGATTCATCTCATTCACTCATCTAGATCTATGAACCACAAAGAAGCCAAAGTATAGACTTTGAGAAGTGTTGTTCTAAACGGAGCGATCCCTCGCTCGGTAACATACACTGGTCTATTAGTGGTAGGAAGAAAGGAGTGTATATCTCTGGATAGGTTCGCATAGACGGTTGAACCGCTTTACATCATGATTTCCAGGTAGTGGCTTTCAGGTCCATGATACTATATATATAATTTGCGGATGAGGAGCCGCGCCACTTAAGGTCTAGAATGAACTCTTCCTTGGACAGTGATTCTTCGCTCGAATTGTACAGGTTTGTTTATTTTGGGATACGAAGGATAAACTTTTCGAATGATTGAGTAATTTGGGTATAAAATTGTCTTGTGTCCTCGACCAATTTCGATTCCAGATCATAGCTCACTGTCAATCGAGAATCTCTCAGCACTGCGCTATATTCTATCTCTCCAGGATCCTTTCAGGAACAACTTGGTTGAACTTGGCTGCCAGCCACCACTCTCTCTATCATGAAGATTCAAGGCTTCGTTGGAAGCGCGTTTCTCCTGCTTCTGTCGGCGACTGAGGTCTTCGCCGCACCGGCCGACCCAAATTCCCTCGAAGGTGTGTGTTACGCAGAGAAAAACACAACATTCACTGACCTATACAGCTCGGACTTCCCGTTGCAATCGAAAGGATTGGAATTGCAACAACTGGGACTGGAACAAGTGTGTCTGTAATGATAAACACTGCCAGAAGGATTTGAAATGTAAAGATTGGAACTGGGACAAGTGTGTCTGCAACGACAAGCATTGTGATCGAAAGGATTGGAAGTGTAAGGACTGGGATTGGAACATGTGTGTCTGCAACGACAAGCAGGTGTGCCACAAGGATCCTAAGTGCAACAATTGGGATTGGAACAAGTGTGTCTGCAACGACAAGCATTGTGATCGAAAGGATTGGAAGTGTAAGGACTGGGATTGGAACAGGTGTGTCTGCAACGACAAGCATTGTGATCGAAAGGATTGGAAGTGCAGGAACTGGGACTGGAAAAAGTGTGTTTGCAACGACAAGCCCTGTCAGAAGGATCCTAAGTGCAACAACTGGGATTGGAACAGGTGCGTCTGCAACGACAAGCATTGTGATCGAAAGGATTGGAATTGTAAGAACTGGGACTGGAACAGGTGTGTCTGCAACGACAAGCAGGTGTGCCACAAGGATCCTAAGTGCAACAACTGGGATTGGAACAGGTGCGTCTGCAACGACAAGCATTGTGATCGAAAGGATTGGAATTGTAAGAACTGGGACTGGAACAGGTGTGTCTGCAACGACAAGCAGGTGTGCCACAAGGATCCTAAGTGCAACAACTGGGATTGGAACAGGTGTGTCTGCAACGACAAGCATTGTGATCGAAAGGATTGGAAGTGTAGGAACTGGGACTGGAAAAAGTGTGTTTGCAACGACAAGCCCTGTCAGAAGGATCCTAAGTGCAACAACTGGGATTGGAACAAGTGCGTCTGCAACGACAAGCCCTGCCAGAAGGATCCTAAGTGTAACAACTGGGATTGGAACAGGTGCGTCTGCAACGACAAGCCCTGCCAGAAAGATCCTAAGTGCAACAACTGGGATTGGAACAGGTGCGTCTGCAACGACAAGCATTGTGATCGAAAGGATTGGAATTGTAAGAACTGGGACTGGAACAAGTGTGTTTGCAACGACAAGCCCTGCCAGAAGGATCCTAAGTGTAACAACTGGGATTGGAACAAGTGCGTCTGCAACGACAAGCCCTGCCAGAAGGATCCTAAGTGTAACAACTGGGATTGGAACAAGTGCGTCTGCAACGACAAGCCCTGCCAGAAGGATCCTAAGTGCAACAACTGGGATTGGAACAGGTGCGTTTGCAACGATAAGCACTGAATCATCTTCTGATGATGGCAATTCAACATTGTCAAAAGTCAGGTCGAAGCATTCAACATAATCGACAGTTTACAGGAAAAGAGCCGGGTCATTGGATAATGAAGATAATTTGTGAAGTTTATGCCATTTGGACTTCTGAATGTACCTAGTTAGTGTTGATGACAATCAAGTAATCCGTCTTCAGCGTTTTATTCCCATAACTAATAGGCTGAAAGTTATTACCATTAGTTCCTCGGTATACTGCCTGTGTCTATATTTTGTTATAGACCTCGCAATAAAAAGGTCATGACAAATTTGTTCGCCAACCGTTCCAAACCCGTAGACCCCAAAGTCCTTCTATCTAGATACCTTGGTCTTATTTTCTTTGTCCCAAACATGAGCGTTGGGACTATTGGAGAAAGCTTTTACTTCCTTGAGTTTCTTCTGCAGGTACTGCAGCCCAACGACGTGAATGCGTTTCTCCAATACCATCTCCATCTCTATCACATCTTCTTGGTGCGAATGTTCAATGGGACACGACATACCAGTAGTTACAACGCAAATGGCACCGCAAAAAAAAGCCAACTCCAAGAGACACCCAATATTCTCTGCAGCAATCATATTGTGGCCAAATTGATTGAGCTTGGTGTCGACATTGATTATAAAAATCTCACTGGTGGGAGTCGGCTCTCGCTCTTGGCTAGCGGGAACCATTTTGCGCTCATCCAGAGTTTCGTCCCCACGGGGCTGATCTGTTATCTCTTGATGTTAACCGACTGCATTGGATGGATCATGCGGCAAGTCAGGGCTATCAAGGGGTTGGGGATTGGTTATTTCGGGCGATACGAAAGCTCGTTGATACAGAGAATCCTGTTGAGAGCTTTATCATAAAACGACACCTCCACAGGATGCTGATATGTGCGACAGAGAGAGGTGGTGAGGGTATAATACATTCCCTCCTGACAAAAGAGGGAGTTGATGTCAATAATGTACCTCTCTGGGAAGCTTTACCCCCACTAGTCGGCTCCCTTCAGTCTGTTCCATAGGGAATTTACACAGCCTTGGTTGGTACATTTCAGTCTACCTCATAGAATTCTGTTGGAACATGGAACCGATCCCAGTATCATAACCCCAATTAGAGACCCTTCCTCTATCGGCGCATGTGTGGGTATATATGAAAATCCTGTTTCAGTTGCTATTAGGAAGTATCAGAGGTACAGTCTCATTGAGCTGCTCTCGGAGATGTCTTTGGTTCAAAGCGATGCATAAAGAACACCGATGAATTCCGACTTCTAGTGGAAAATGGAGCATATTATACTCAGGAGCTCTCAACGAGGCCGAGTGTTCTGTATTCGCGCGACTCAGGATAAGAATCACCCTGTCTAGTCCATATAACGCGCTCGCACTCATAAAACCCACCAACTAAACCTTAAACGCTCAATCCCTATAGAATCCCTTTCAATGCTACAAGTACATACGACCACAGGGCGTGGAGAACAGGACTTCCCGTTCGCTTAGCCGTACTTAAGCCGCATACTCTACGCGGCTAATTCTCGAAGCGCCTTAGACACTAAAGTGGCTAGGAAATATATCTTAGGGTGAGTGTAGGTGATATAGGTGAGAATTCTGCGTTACCTTATCTAATATTTTATCCATGAGAACTCGGATTGTACAGGTCCATTTTCCAATGACGTGATTGTTCGTCATAGTTGCCCACATATATTTTATTTCGCTACTTTCCCTTTAGGCCGCAAAAGCTCCCATCAATTTCAATATCTTAAAGAAACACGGAGTTACTATCATGGCTGATGATATCTTAAGAGAAGAAGGTCTTCCTGCTACCACACCAAAATACCAATATCAAGGTGTAAAGCAATGTCTTAGGTGCTTTGAACTTGAGTTAGAGCGTTATGACAGGGACGGTCAACACGGTGACTGCCTATTTGTTATATTTGATCATGTGGATGATCGTTCCTTCTAGGAGTGTTTCGAACGACTCTGCAGAAGGCCTCCTTGTGCATTCATTGGTGACCTACAACTTCATTTCTCATACTAATGTTCCGACGATTACTACCTATATAACAACAAGCATCCTACGGATGAGTGGCTCGTTGGAATAAGAGTACATGCGTATAAAGCTAGCCAGAGAAATTGGGCTATTTGAAAACTCCCTCTCCAAGTTGAGCCGTCAAAGAAGACAAATCCCTCTGGTTTCTTCTATTTATCTCCCGCCGCTTCTGCAGTCTGCTCCCCTTCAGCTAGCGCATTATTCTCGGCATCGGGCTTTGGCTGTCCCTTCTTGATACTCTTCCATTCCAGAGTAGCCGCACCCAGTACTGTCAAACACGAAATAATCAAACCGATCTGAAACACATTCCGCAGCGCTTCATTGTAAGAATGGAGGACCGTGTCGTGCAGATCTGCCGGCATTGTATTCAGTAGCTCCGTGACACCTGCGGATGTGACAAGGCGGGGGTTGAACCCTGACAGGCCAGAAAGTCTCCCCGCGAGCTGATTTGCTAGGATATTCTCCCCGACGGAGACAAAGACGGCTGCCCCTATCAGCTGACCGAACAGCATCAGTGCTAGCCCAGATGGCACGTCTGCCTTCGGAAGGACGGTCTGCGCGGCGAGGTTGGGGACTTGGAAACACAAGCCCAGACCGATTCCGTAGACGATCTGATAATTGATCCACTTTCCCTCGCCGGTATCAACCTGGAAGGTGGTGAGGAGACCAGCTCCGACGGACATGATGCAGGATCCGATGACCGCTAGTGGGGTGTAGTATCCGATCTTGGAGTTTGTTATCCCACCGCTAATCGAGCCGACAACCATTGATATCATCATCGGTAACACGCGGATACCGGACTCCACGGCGGAACTGCCCTTGATGGCTTGGAACCAGATCGGGAGGAAGTACACTGTGATTGAATTTAGCAAGAGGGGATAATGCTTGATAGTGCGGTCTTATTACCAAAGATATAGTTTCCAGAGCCGACGCAGAGTGTCTGCCAGAAGCCCGAAATGATACTGCGCTGCGAAAAGATGCGCACGGGAAGCGTCGCTGTCTTTGGAAAGAAAACCTGGACGACGAAAAAAGCAAGAAGTAAGATGACCATGAGAACCAGGCAAGCCACGACGCGGCCACTGCTCCACTAAACGGTCAGTTATAGTTGAAAATAATGGCACACATGACTTACAGCATACATCTGACCACCCCACTGAAGTGCCAATATGAGGCAGACAATACCAGATACCAGAAGCGTAGTGCCAAAGAAATCTAGTTGCAGCAGCTTCTCGGTCCAGGAGATCCTTGCTATATCTTGCTTGGGGACATTGAGGCAGAAGGCAATCAAGACCATGGCGGCGCCACCAATTGGCAGATTAACATAAAAGCACCATCTCCATGTCACGTTCGATGCAAAGGCGCCACCAATCAAGGGACCTACGACAGAGGCAGTACCAAAAAGGGCACCGAACAGTCCCTGAATTTGTGGACGTTTCTGGAGAGGCACGGAATGGATGATGCACATTATCTGAGGCCCAACTGTCAGGAATTGGTAGAAAGGGCAAGGGATTGTAGTCAACATACAGTTCCGGCGAGGATACCAGCAGCACCGACTCCACAGATCGCTCTTCCGACTATAAAGGTCACTGAATTCGGAGCCGCTCCACAGATGGCAGAGGCAACCTCAAACACTATAATACTGGCAAGGAAGACGATTCTGACGGAAAATAGCTTGTACAAATTGCCAAACAAGAGTTGGAATGCGCAGCATGTTAACAGGTAGGCACTTCCATACCAGCCAACGTCGTCGAAGGAATTGAATTCATCGGTGATTTTGGGTATTGCCTATCAATTGCATACAATTTAGCGCTAGAATTGGACTGAATTTGATGTATGATGTACATACCGTCGAGATGATTGTTCTGTCCAGCGCGACCAGGAACATGGCGACAAAAGCCGAGACGATCAGACAGGTAACTCTAAGGGTGGACTGGTTCTCGGGCGGGCCCGGAGGACCTGGAGGGCCTTCAGCCTTAGCAGATCCTTGGTATTTGACTCCTGCATCGGTAGTCGTCTCGCGATGCTGGTTCATCAACTCTGGAGCGCCTATTGTAGCCGATTTGGTGCTTTCAAATATGGAAGTGTATGGTGGAGGCATGGTGATTGTAGTATTCGTAGCTCCACTAACCAAAATGCGATCGATCTGTTATCAAGGCACAAGACATAATATTCCAGACCAGAATGAATACATGATGAGAAAACCGCCGACATTTAAAGTTGCGCGAAGGGAAAATTTCGGTGGGAGAATTCGCATTTTGTAAAGGTTGAGCTATACAATGGTCGGGGATTAGAAAGTGCGAGGGTTAGCGAGTAACGTGGGTTGCGGACATCATAAAACCCGATTTGCCCCTTCCCTTTCCTCCTGCCCCTAACCACCCCGGGCTTCGGGGTCTGGGCACTATTAACAACGGTTCTGTCGCAACAGGACCGATAGTCTCGTGCCATGGCAACGCCCATCTCTGCATCCGAACAGACAGGCACCGCCAAGGCCCGGCGCGTGCTGGCGTGCGTGCTGTGTCAGCAACGCAAGGTCAAGTGTGATCGTACATTCCCTTGCGTCAATTGTGTACGTGCCGGCGAGCAGTGCGAGCAAGCAACCCGCCAGCGACGCCGGAGGTTTCCCGAGAGGGAACTGCTGGCGCGCCTGCGGCACTATGAGAGCCTGCTTCGCAAGCATAACATCAAGTTCGATCCTCTCCACACGCCTGCTACAGACCGTAGGTCTGCTAGCGAGGGTGAGCGAGATGAAATTCCAGAGGGTACTCAGTCGGAAGGTGCTCTTCCTGGTACGGATTCTCGCCCGTTGGGAGAAAAGGAACCAGTCAAGTCTAAATTATTGTACGAGAATCCGTCCTGTTGTTTTGGCGAAAGCGCCCGGGCATACTTCTGGATGACTAATCATATAGTAGGAATATTTGGCATGCCATGAGTCAAAAAGTATGACCGACTATGCGAGTGATCGTGGAGCTCACTGACAATTGGGAAAGACTGTAGATCCCGAGGAAGATGACGGAAATGACGGCGAAGACGGTGGAAACGACACCGGGTTCCTGCACGACAACGACGATGTGCGCCACGCCGTGATCAAGAAGGCATGGAACCATATGTTTCAAGGCAAAAGCAATGACCACCTGTTATTCGGTTCACTGGCAGGTAATGTCGACGACCTTTCTGCTTTGCACCCGACCCAGGTACAGATCTTCAGGTTGTGGCAGGTCTACTTGGACAACGTAAATCCTCTTCTCAGAGTCACGCATACACCCACCCTTCAAACACGTATCATTGATGCTGCTAGCGATATCGCCAATATCAATCCCAAATTCGAATCATTGATGTTCAGTATCTACTGTGTCTCCATTCAAAGTCTCACAGATGGTCAATGCAGCGCCTTATTCGGATCTCCCAAAAGGGATCTCTTGACGGCGTATCAGGTTGCATGCCAGCAGGCGTTACGCGGCTGTTTTATTCTGCGCTCCAGTGACCGGGAGTGCTTGACCGCATTGTATCTCTATCTAGTAGGTGTATCCAACCGATCCGTCCGCACTCACTGATCTTTTCAGGTATCGATCAGACCGGACACGGACCCTGCATCTCTGTCATCAATGCTTAGCGTTGCAATGCGAATCGCTCAGCGGATAGGTATTCACAATGAGTCAATGTACGGTAAATGCTCTGCCCTAGAGGCGGAGATGCGTCGGAGACTCTGGTGGTCGCTCGTCGTCTTTGATAATCGCATCTGCGAAATGTCCGATTACAAAACCGCGTTGCTGGCTCCTACTTGGGACTGCCACGTTCCTCTCAATGTGAGTGATTTCGAGCTTCAACCGGAGATTAAAGCCCCACCCGCAACAAGCAACAGACCGACGGAGATGCTCTTTGCTGTTGTGCGCAGTGAGCTCGCCGACTTTGTCCGTCACAGTGCCTTCCACCTTGATTTCATCAATCCGCTTTTGAACACGATGTCTTCTCGATCTACCAGTGTAGACGAGGCGGAGCAGCTTTTGGTGCTGGAGAAGACACTAGATGAAAAGTACTTGGCCTTCTGCAACCCAGAGAACCCACTGCACTTCATGACGATCTGGACAATGCGGGGGTACATAGCTAAGAATCGTCTCTTGCAACACTACTCCCAATACTCGACGACCACCATGCAGACAGACACACAGCGCAACGTGGGAATTTCCCACGCCCTGCGCATGCTGGAGTGCGACACCAACCTCATGACGTCGCCTCTCACCAAAGGATACCTGTGGCTTGTTCACTTCCACTTCCCCTTCCCCGCGTACATTCACCTGTTGCAGGATTTGAAAAAGAGGCCCGTCGAAGAGCATACAGACCAGGCGTGGGAGGTCATGAGCAACAACTACGAGGTCCGGATCATGGATGCCAAGGAGGATGACCGCCCCTTGTTCGTCGTCTTCTCTCGCATTGTCCTTCAGTCTTGGGAGGCGCGTGAAGAGGTAGCCAGACAACAGGAGACGCCTCTGGTACCACCACGTATTGTGTCAGATATCCGGAACAAAGTGATGCAGATGATGTCGAATTTCGGACAGGATTCGGACACAGTGGAGCCTGGTGGTGCCTCGAGTGTCAATGAGGATAACCTATCAATGCCCCTGCAGATGGATTTCAATTTGCCTGGGATAGGGTATGGCCCTTGGGGGCAGGCGTCTACGAGTTTGGGACCGTGGGGATACCCTGAGATGCCTGAGCTGAGCTCCATGGACATGGATGCGAATCAGTTTGTTTTGAACTAGATAGAGTGTAATACGTTGCATGTACCAAGCAGGTGAGAACGCTCACAGGAAGAAACAATGATGTGTCAAGTCGTGATGGTTGTTACTACTTTTAATTTGAGATGAGAAATGATACGTTGTGCTTTCCAGCTTGATACAACAAACCAAATTTGTGAGGCAAGGGGGGCTGTGGATACATTTATGGGGTCTTTTATGGGGTCTTTTACGGGGTCTCTTGGTGGCCTTTAACGTCTTCAAATATTGTATATCATTTCTAGTCCTCGTCTTATACAGCAAGAACGAGATATCCATGGGATGTACCTAATGTGGTTGGTACACATGTACCGATATACCTAGGTAGTTCCTTCCCGTTGAGTTCTTTCCTATTCCGTAGTCGGAACTCCCAAGTCTACCTGCCCCACCTCTCATCTCTTACTCTTATATCTCAGTCTTCCAAGTTGTCGGCATCCCAACCTTTGATTCTCATATAACCCCTCATTCATTATCGACACCCTTGACAGACCAATGGAATCTTTCCAAGCTGAATCAGAAGGAATGCCCATTCTGAAAAGAAGACAAGACCACCTCGCAAGAGACCTACGGATGGCCCGCAAACCACAGAGGGCACATGGGTCGTTTGAACTCAAATTATTTACCAGGGCGGCAAAGATCGAGAATATCAGCCTGGAAAAGTCTGAAGTGGAGCGCATTATCTCACTTGGAAGATTCAGAGGCACAGAGGAGGAGTGGATACAGACGGGCGAGGCAAAGAGAATCTTCGAAAGGATCCGAGCCCAGGAGCAGAACCGGGACATTTGCCAATTTGTGGCTGAGAAATTGGAAAAACTGCAACCGCGGATAAATCTGAGGGCATCTTCCATCAAGATCATGAGCACCGCTATGGGGATGGCAATCAAGGATACGCACGCCGGGAATCAAGACAGCTGCCAGCACGACCAGTTTCGAACAGATATCATCGAAGCCTACGAGGCCAAACACCCAGACCAACCATGGCTTTGGTGCCCAATTCTGGGTGATTACCCCGATGAAGAGGACGATCAAGCCTCTCACATCTTCCCTACATTCATGGGCAGAGTGCCACGGATGCCATATTTTGCAAGAAAAGCCCGGGGGAGCTCCTCTCCCCCCCTGAGTGGGCTACTTCTGTCCCAACGGCTTAGGCATTATTTCGATGCAGGCAAATTTGTCATCGTCCCAGATGTTCCGGAGAACACGCTTGTGTCCCAGATCAAGGGGTAGCTCGACCGTGAGCCAAGGGAGTACCGGGTCAGGCTAACTGACCTTGATTGGGAAAGGAAGGACGAGCGTATTTCGAGATTTCTAGATCTCACGTTTGGACAGCTGGACGGCCGCCCGCTAAAGTTCCATTCCAGTTTCCGCCCTGCAGCACGGTACTTGTATTTCCATTACTGCGTTCAGATACTGCGCATGTGCTGGCAACATAGCAGCCAGGGAAAGTCTAGTCAGGCGTCTGCCATTCTCCAGGCAGAGAAAGGAAAGCCATTTTTGCGGTCCGCGGGGAGATATCTCCCACGCAACATGCTTTTGGCGCTGGTGGAGGAGATGGGCCACGAATATCAATTCGTCCTAGACGGTGCTGCGTGCATTCGTTACAATGCGGACAACCTTCTCCTTGGACTTCTTTCTAGGAACGTTAAGGCACAGCCATCTATTTTGGCACCTGGGGTTTTAGAAATGCTGGTTCGGAAGATGAAGTTCTGGGGTTGAAGACGATAGTGACAAGGAAGAGATTTATTATTATCAACGATAGCAGCATTTAGGCTGCAGAAATACAACTATGCGAGACAATGTGCCGCCGTAACTAATTTAAATCCCTGTATCCTGCAACTTATGCACGCAGTAGTAGGCGCTGTTACCGACCCAAAAATTCAAACACCCCGCTAAAATATATTTTGGGTAGCCCAAGACGACTTACTCTTAAAAGGGCTCGAAATCTCCAATGTCAGTTCGTATGCCAATACATCATAAGTTATCGACTTATCTTCCAAATAAAACTCATCTAAACTCATCTTCGAAGGGCGTTCTAAAAAGCCTCAATTTTTGTTTGTCGTTTGTCAACGCCCCTCTGCAACTTCAGTTCTTCATCACTTTCACTTCATCACGTCTTCACTTCTCTACTTCATCAGACTCGCCATATCCTCACTATTTGATATTTTCATTATTTCACGGATGCTTGACTGCGCTTTTCCTTAACCCAACATGCTAGCCCCGGAGATCGCCAACTTGGTGCAGTTCTTCTATCCTATCGGCAACACACCTGCTGTATGCTTGACTCAAGATCTTCCATCAAAAAACAAGGCCGATCTACTGCTTCTCGGCTGTGGGGACGTTCGCCATATCCTCTTCACCATACACATGGAGCAGCAGGATCGTGATCCACGTCTTTTAGACGTTACATGCTGCGATGTGGACACCGCTGTGATTGGTATGACGACTGGTTCCGATTTTAGGTTCTACAGACTAATGAGAAAAATCCTCCACAGCTCGCAATATCGTGTTGCTGTCACTAGTTCTGGATGATGTAGATGGCGCTAACGACCAATTCATTTGGGATCTATTCTATCATTTCCGCATCGATGAACGTTCTCTTGATCTGTTGCAAAGCCAAACAACCAAGCTGTTGTCCCTGTCAACCTCGCTGCACACATGGCAAGAGAGCGAGTATGGTCGAGTGATCAGGATGTGCGATCGTATCTCTCTTGAACAGTTACGCGACATGTGGCGCTTCTATGGAGAAAAGAGAGAAGGCGACGTGCTTCGTCGCTTCAAGAAGAAGCTCGATGATGGAATGAGAATTTCTCAAGAGTTTCAAAAGTCGGTCCTTGGTGACGAGATGAATGTGATAACGGGAATCCGAGCTGCTGCCCCTGCGTGCTTGCAAGCTACCCGTGCCGTTGGTGATTTGTACAAAAACTATTGGGCTTTCGGTACCACCGAGACTGATGAAACAGCTCGCTCCGTTGCCGTCAATTTCAACCCCATGTTTGCGCCCAAGGATGGAAACATGTTTTTGCATTATGGGACCGACCCGGTGCTTGGATTCCACATCGGCTCTTGCTATGCTCCAATTGAGCCAACGTCGCCTCACTCGGGCTCTTCTTCCGACAACCCTGAGCTGCGTGAAATTGTCAAAACCGCCAAGACAGAATTCGGCACCTGGACCAAGTCGTTCAGGGCGCATTCCATGGCTGACTTGATCACACTACGGTTCTTTGTTGGAGATGCGGTGGCTTTTGCATACACCCTCCAGCAGATGCGTACCACCGGTCCCTCAAAGTCGTCTCATTGGTACCGTGATCGGTATCATTTCGAGCCGCTGGTCTTGGATGATGAACAATATTCGGACGCCTCGGCACCACTTGTGTTTGATATTATTGACACATCTAACCTTATAGATCATATCGGGGCCTTGAATCTGCTCACTGCCACTTCGCCGCTTCTTCGCAACAACTTCTCAGGGACGCTTTATTCAGAGAAGCTTGTGCGGACCCAGGAAACTCAGATATCCCTTCTTGAAACTCTTCTATGTGGAGACATGTCTACGATAACCTCGCTTCTGGGTTTGGTGCCCGTGGAAGTGGCGACAAACACTGCCTTCTCATCTGCAGGCGATGAAGCATTATGTCAAGACACGTCAGGACCCTCATCCAAGGCTGGACAAGTGTTCTCGAGAATTGCATGGAAGAGACCGTTGAATCCGGCCGAGGCAGCTGTTAACGTACTGGGCCTTATTCATTTTGATTCAGTTGGCCTAGCACAGGTGCTCTACCGTGTTTTCTTGCGAATGTTCACCGATGAGGATGTCTCGAAGTTGCTTACCAGAATGGAAAGCGCACAAATACCATCTCTGCCAACTTACAACCGGGCGAGCTTTGTCGCTTTTCTTTGCCTCGTCAAGACACGGACTAGCACTGACTGGAATAAGACAATGGAGAAATTGCTTGATCTCATGGATCAAGATACCAGTCTTGCATTTGCCAATACCTACATGCAAGAGCTGATTCTGTGGATGCATCTGAAGGATCTTTACTCTGTTGATATTTTAAAAGGCCCACCAAATCGCCTGACTGGCCGTCCCCAAACTGGGACCTTGCAGGGCTGGCAGAACATGCCACCTATGGTCAATGTCACCCTTCGAGTTCCTCGAAACAAATTAGACCCCTTTATCGCCGAGACCATCAAGGTCGGTTTTACACCTCCGCTCCATGCCATTCTGCAATCTTCCTCACGAGCAGCCAACCAGTGGCAAAACATGTTCGCGGAAACTCAGATTGGATTTGGTATCCTTAAACACAAAGGATCCAGATACAGCGACTCGTTTGAAGTGGAAATCGATGAAGACCAATTGGGTTGGAAGGGAAAGTCGCCAATGTTTCTTTCTTTCTATGTCCCAAGCTGGATTTTACTTCAAGAACCATGTACCGCCACTGTCTCGCTGGCTATCCCGCACTCCCCTACAACAATCAGGATATTTGCCAGTAGCTTGGGACACAACTTGAGCATCTTCACTGCGAAACAAGAGGAAACTGAACATGTCTTCCTTACCAAGAACCAGCCACATCAGAGTGGTGTTATGTCCATCTATGGCTTTAATTCCGGGGACGTTAAAGACGAAGTTGCCCCCGATGGACACTCAAAAACAACCATCACTGCCACCGTCAATGAGAAAACGGGCCAAATTTCATCATTCACAAGCCGTGTGCAAATTCTATCTGAGCAATCTAAAGATCTACTTCGGGATGGGAGTGTGATCAAACAATCCTTACGATCACCGTTCAACTATGCTTTGTCTCTTGAAAAGGGTCCAAGCTTCAAAGCCAACTTCCCTGCTCCTGTTTTGGACTCTACTGCGAAAGTGCGAATTGCTCGCAAGTCATCTTACCTTGAGCTCGTCGCAGACATTGCTAAGTCCACCGACTGGTCAACCTTGCGGTCCTTCATGTATCCAGTATTCTTGGATTCGGGATCACCTGCTTTGTGGAATATGCCACACGTCAATCTCTCATCACTTCCTACCATAGACCTAACCAATCCTTCCTCTGAACGTCTGAAATGGCTACGAGTGCATCTCCCAACTATGTGGTCCGCATCAGAGACTGCCCTGAAGTTTAACCCTTCCTTGTCGGCTTCACCGAATGCCCGGGCCAGAGTGGACTTCAAGGACGGTTTATTCCACATCTTTCTAGGCTTCAGTGGAACAGCCGGTCCTCAGGCCTCCGTCTACGGTATCGACTGCCCTGAAGAGAAGGGCGTGCAAATGCTGATTTTCGTATCGAAGATGCTGCTTGATGTGTCGAATCGCACTGTTGTTCTTGACGCTGCAGTTCTCCCTCTGTACATTGATCTCATGCCGGAAATTATGCCTGCTCTGCAAGAGATGGCGAACAGCAACTATGCTCCCAAATCCATCCGCACCTCCAAAGATGAGCTTTATCTGTGGAAGGAAGCTCTGCCTGCCTGGACTGAGCGATGCCGATCGTGGGCTCACAGGCCCAATTGCGAGTACGTTGCAACGGGGAAAATTCCACTCTCGATCAAATTCGGGGGAAGAGTTCTGTGCTCGTGCGGGGAGGGCACACTACCAACTGATTTTATGCCCGAATTTGGTGGGTGGGAAGATCTTGCAAAGCACTGTGTGCGGATGGCCATTTCTCCAGCTTTTGCGTCAGCACTTGTTGACAAGCCCATTGATTTATCCGTACTTTCATCGGCTAGCGATGAGAGTGGTCAAGATTTGAACAGCTGCCAGGTCTGTGGTAAGGACAAGGAAGCCAATGGTTCGGGTTTGATGAATTGCTCGCGATGTCATAAAGCAAAGTACTGCTCGAGAGAGTGTCAGAAGGCGCATTGGAAGAAACATAAGAAGGTCTGCAAAGCGGATGGAAAGTGAGTGGAACTTGAAGTAATACTATCTCAAGCAAATGGAATGTCCGCACAATTTTACTTATTATTTGCTTACAGTACAGTACATATGTAGATATGTAAACGGTTTATCGGTGCGTTCTCAACGTATTCCAAACAAGAATAGTCGGCCGCTTATGTGGCCTTGTCAAGTCTTTTTTAGTAGTCTTTTTTAGTAGTCTTTTTTAGTAGTCTTTTATGATAGTCTTCTCAGACAGTCTCTTTAGATGTCCTTTTTGGTGGTCTTGTCAGATTCTTCTCATTTAGTCTTCTCAGTTAGTCTTTTAAGATGTCTGTTTTCATAGATATTTTCTCTCCCTTCTCAGTTTGTGAAGGAGGGAGCAGAAAAAAGTGGTAAGAGGCTTAATTGTGAAATGGACTTTTTCTATGTATAACCAGGGAAAAAGAACAAACAACGTATAATTTTAGGGGCTGACTAGCTGTACACGTTCCAACCTTGGAAGGTTCTGTTGTTGATGTTGATGTTGATAAGGATATTCTTATCAGCTTATCGATAAGGGTAAAAATTTCAGATTTGAGCTTCGTGTCTGCAACATTGTTTCGCGCCACAACTCAAAATGCCCGAAAAGGTCCGTACCGTGTTCGCGGACTCGGACGATGAGAAGATTGTGAAGCCCAAGCTCTCACTCCATTCCACAGAAGAACCCGAGCGCAAGAAGAAGAGAAACAAGAAGCGCAAGCTCGATGAGCCCGAAGCCTCCAAACCCGCCGATCACGATGAACCGAGGGAGATCCCTGCACCTGCCAAGCAGGTAGAAACAGCAGTTTCTGTGCCAAAAAAGCGACCAGAGACAGTATCTCAAACAAATGGCGCACTAGCATCAAAATCATACCCGAAATCGAAGAGACCGTTCACCGATACCAAAACCAACTTCACACCCTTACGAGAAAAGGCCAAAGCCCTTCTTGAGACGCGGCGAAAGCTCCCCGTATTCGAAAATGCCGATCTGATCCGCGATCTGCTACGCGAACAAGATGTGATGCTTTTAGTCGGTGAAACGGGTAGCGGAAAGAGTACGCAGATCCCGCAGTTCCTGGTGGACGAGTTCTGGTGTCGGCCCGTACCTACGCAAATCACACGGGACGGAAAGACGGAAAAGAAAATGGTCGGAGGATGCATCGCTATCACGCAGCCGCGTCGAGTCGCTGCCATTTCGCTGGCCCGCCGTGTAGCTGAGGAGATGGGTACACCGCTTGGATCGCATTCGCCTGCTAGCAAGGTCGGCTACGCGGTGCGATTCGATACGTCTACATCCCCCAGTACGCGGGTGAAGTTCTTGACTGAGGGAATGCTGCTCCAGGAGATGTTGCATGATCCGAACTTGACTAAGTACAGCGCTATTGTCGTCGATGAGGTCCACGAACGTGGCATCAATGTGGATCTCACACTTGGATTCCTACGTAATCTTGTATCCGGAAAGAAGGAGGGCCGGGGTGGTGTGTCGCTCAAGGTCGTTGTTATGAGTGCTACGGCTGATATGGAGAGTCTAACGGACTTCTTCCAACAAGGATTCAAACATCCGGAGCCAGAGCAGAAGGCTATCGAAGGAGCTGAGGCTGAGGCCGATAAAATGGATACTTCGAGTCCAAAGGATATCTCTGTCTGCCGCATTAAGGGTCGACAATTCGCGGTCAAAACTATTTACTCGCCCGCGCCAGTACATGACTTCGTGGATGCAGCGCTCAAAATTATCTTCCAGATTCACCAGAAGGAGCCAATGCCGGGTGATATCCTTGTCTTCCTGACTGGTCAGGAAACCGTCGAGGCCTTGGAACACCTGGTGAATGAATATGCCATGAGCATGGACCCATCACTTCCTAAAATTTTGGTTCTACCTCTGTTCGCCGCGCTGCCACAGGCTGCCCAGCAACGCGTCTTCGCCCCTGCTCCACCACGAACGCGCAAAGTTGTTCTATCCACTAATATTGCCGAGACTTCCGTCACTGTGTCTGGTGTGCGGCACGTGATTGACTGCGGCAAGGCAAAAGTCAAGCAGTTCCGCACTCGCCTTGGTCTTGACTCACTCCTGGTGAAGCCTATCTCCAAGTCCGCCGCGATCCAGCGAAAGGGTCGAGCTGGTCGTGAGGCCCCTGGCCAATGTTTCCGACTATACACAGAGAAGGACTATCTAGCCTTGGACGAGACAAACACGCCCGAGATTCTGCGCTGTGATCTGAGCCAAGCCCTGTTGAACATGAAGGCGCGTGGCGTTGATGACATTGTTGGATTCCCATTCCTGACCCGTCCACCACGCGAAGCACTTGAGAAAGCTCTTCTGCAGCTATTGAGCATTAATGCCCTTGAGGATGATGGAAAAATCAGCGCCGTCGGCCTACACATTGCCAAGCTGCCCTTGACTCCAACTCTGGGTCGCGTCCTGTTGGCAGCTGCCGAGAACGGATCTGAATGTTTGCTAGACGTCATTGATATTATCTCATGCCTGAGTGTGGAGAACATTTTCTTGAACACCACCTCCGAAGAGAAGAAGGAAGCAGCAGAGGCAGCCCGTCGCGATTTATACCGGCGCGAGGGTGACCACCTCACAATGCTGATGACTGTACGTGTCTATGCCGCTGAACACGCCGACCGCAAAGCATGGGCAGAACGGCACCTGGTATCCCACCGGGCGATGCAATCAGTCATGGTGAGTAGTGCATACATAGCTTCCAGACGCCAGTCATAAAACTAACAAAAACACACCAGGACGTCCGCAAACAACTCCGTACCCAATGCCGACAAGCCAAGCTGCTCACCAGCGAAGCCTTGAACAATACCTCATTACACGACCCCTCGCCCATCCTCATCCTCCAGAGTTTCCTAGCCGGATTCGCGACCAATACGGCTCGCCTCGTGCCCGATGGCAGCTATCGTACGATCGTTGGAAACCAAACGGTCGCCATCCACCCGTCGAGTGTGCTTTACGGCAAGAAGCTCGAGGCGATCATGTACAACGAATTCGTATTCACCAACCGAACTTACGCGCGTGGCGTTAGTGCTGTGCAGATGGATTGGGTGGGTGAGGCTTTGGCTGGGAAGGATTGATCGTTGGCTCCAGATGCTATATTATAGTAGATTAATATATACCCCGTGAGCTATGATGCCAGTTAGATTGGCATCTTTCACTTCTCTATCTGTCTTTCTCTCTCTTCGTAAAAATCCACAAACATTTTATGACACCTTGAATGGCAGGCACTTGGGGCCAATCGTGATCGAAAAGTGGGGAAAACAGAATAGTCGACAGTCTTTAAAAAAACGAAAGAGCCGGTGTCTGGATTTTGAGAAATACCGGGTTAAGCGATTTGATTGCTATGATCCTATTGTTCTCGCTTCCAGTCGCGTCGAGTTTACGTTCTAGTTGATCTGCAGATCTACAACTCTGCAACTAAGTTAGAAATTACTCTACTCAAGCGCAGCATATCGCAAACAAGACAATCAAGGACCCATTTCGCTTCAGTACAGGCAACGCCTGAACAGGATTCAAGCCAAGGAATCACACAATCATTGCAGGTGCCAGTTCACTATCTGCCACGGCCAACCCTCGGGTTTATTTCGCGTCGATTAAAAGAGTGGTATTCCTACTCAATCTGTTAATCTTCGACATTCAACTAACTTGAACCTTGGGGTCGCCAATAGTCATTCATATAAGCACCTCGCCTTTAGGGCCGAACTTGAGGTAAAAGTATGTTGGCGGTTTGCTATCTATCTCAACGGGGCAACTGAGGGGTATTAGTTAATATACAAGCGAAAACACGCCATCACGGTAGTCTTCTTGGCGATCGCATTGTTGCTAGGCTGATATCAAAGTACGGTGTAGTGTCTTTTCTTCAAAAGAGCCACCATGTTGGGTGTTTGACAGTAAAATGTGACTGTTGGGAAGTTCACACGTCACCGTGTCGATCCCGGTGACCGTCTTGTCAGCTGATGAGAATCCAAGATTATGGCTTCAGGCCATACCTCCATACAACATAGGTACTACATGTAGTAGGTAGGATATTGAACCACGTATTTACCTCTTCGAAACGGGCTAATAAAGCAAAAAGCAACGGATAAACACGTTGAAAAGTGGTCTCACCATTCCGATACCGGTTGCATCATTAGAGGATCACACTAGACGATCCCTTTTTGGGCATCATCCCTCTTATCAGCTAATCTGTCCCATCACCACCTGGGCACTCATCATCACCCTTGACCTTTTCTTTCAATGTTATTTTTGGACTCTTTCTACTCCTTTATTATTTCTCTTACTTACAACAACCTCCTTTATATGCTTTAATGCCTCTATTCCCTCTATTCCCCACTTGAACGGCCTTAACTCCTCCGTCATCTCTGGATCCACACCCAAACCCTCTTATCGTACCTATCTGCTTTGGCTGCAACCAAATCAGCAACATGGCCTTCCAGGTCCCAACACATGTTCCTCGCCGCAGAACTTCCTATTCAACCCCCCAGCCACCTACCCTCGAAATCCCCCTCTCCTTGTCGGAACAGCGCGATGACGACACCGCACAATGGGTCCTATTCTCCCCGACCGCTCGGACACACACGACTTCAACCGATCGCACGCGTACTGTAGGTGCTTCTCGACTGAGTGACTTCGGCTCCTTCGCTGCCACCCAGTCTGCAACTGGTGTCGAGGGTGACGCCGATGACGAGAATGCCCTCGACGACCAACTGGACGAAGATGGAACCGAACTGGACAGCCTAGACGATGGACTACACGCGTTTCGAGCACCAGAGCTGGCTCCCGCTTCCCCAATACGGTTTGATCAGGGGCCGCCGGCGATGCTTCCCGCCCATGATGGGTTAGGCAGTTTCCAGGCCTCGAGTCAGGCAGTCCAGGATCAACTGTGGCGGCATGAGCAATACAATCGCCAGCGGCCCTCGTATGGCCATCTCCAACATCGCCGTAACTCAAGTGTACAGAGGCATCTGGATACCGTTGAGGAGGGCGAGGCAAATGTCGAGCTAGAACGGTGGCAGCGAATCGAAGAATGGCGTATGGACCAGAGCCGGGCTCTGTTGCAGGAGATCGAACGGGAAACCCGACAAAGGCGGACTAGTCTGACCAGCCGATCGAACTTTCGCCGTTCTGTTGATCAGAGCCCCCAATCTCGTGTATCTGAGGTGCTATCACGGGATATATCCCTGTCGAAAGATGTCTCGGAGGATGAAGAGTCTTTCTGGCGCCGGATCACACGAACGGTGATCCGTGACCTGATCGGGATCGATGATTCCTTGCTCTCTGTGATATTTGGTGAGTCGTTGCCGCTGGACGCGCAACCTCATGGCCAGGACGACCCACTAGACATGGAAACGGTACTGGCTCGTGAACCAGAGCCAGAATATAGCGATTCACCAATGTGGCAGACAAAGGTACTTCAGACGATCGCCCATGAGCTCGGGATCCTTGTCCATCAACTTTGTGAACACCCCGGGGCATTTACAACATATTATCAAATGACTAAAGATATATCCGCCGAATATGCGGGTATGTCTCTCAACCGCCTAGCGGAAAGCGGAATCTCTCAGAAACCTGCCGAGTCCACCACATCAACCACGGCTAATACAACCGTCGACTCCATGCCATCCCCGCACTTCATGCCCACCCTTCGAGACTCAAATCGAGAGCACGAAGCACAATGGGGCATTGAAGACGAAGATCCAAAGCGATCTGACCAACTTCCCGAATCAACCAGACTTCAACAGGAATCCGAGTACTGGGAAAGTGGACTCGACGTAATGATGGTCTTCCGCTACCTCCGGAGTCGCTTCAGCCGCCGAGGTTACATGCCCAACGAAACGCACACACCAACCCCACCACGCCGCCCGCAAGACGCATCACGCCGAGCAGCCATCATCCGGCAACATCACCCGCTCGTAGCGCGAGCCCACAACCGATCACAAACCCAGACCCGTCGCGCCTCGCAATTCTCCGGTGTGTCAAACCCAGCGGGTGTCTCCTCGCCACTCCTACGACCGCATTTCCGGCGATCTGGCTCCAGTTGCGCCAGCCAGAGCGCCAAGCTCTCGGCTATTTCCAGTCGGCGCACGATGACAAGCTCCAGTCGAAACTACTGGGATATTGGCGGCAGCGAGACTAACAGCGCTATTGGTGTTGGAGCTGGGCTCGGCACTTGGGGTGAGGTGTGAACCCTTCTATATTTGTAGAGCACTTCATACATCCATCGGAGTGTGCAGACGGCAATGTTATTTCGGGGTGTCGCTTACTATATATGGGTGCATTCTGTTTTATGATCATTTAACGAACGAGCAATTTCTGGGTTTCATTGGCTTTTTGTTTATACCTGTGAATTATGGTGTGGTGGGGATTTGTTATTCTCGGTCTCTTCTCTTCATATATTGAAACTCGAACATACGGCATACAATTTCATCCACCAATACATTTCGGTTAAAGTCCACTGGTGGTCTAAATATGTTATGGTTGAACAGTGAGCGGAGAGACGACAAGGTGAGGGGCCACCGGCTTAAGAAGAATCACTGTACTTTATTTCGGTGAACTAAATGCAATAAATCACTTCACCGCAACACCCCAAGGCAGATCTCCATTAAAAATAGGCTGTCCCTTACTTTCAGGCGCATCGACATCAAAGTCGATACGATCCGGCACCTCGAACCCAGCCCCAAGATGATATCTAACAAATAGCAAGGAAACACCATCCCGGAACAACCAAGCATCTTCCGTCCTGCGCTGCCACTTCTCCAACGCAGCCCTCATCTCCTCAAGGACAGTCCGATACTCAGGATCCTTAACAAGTTTGCGAATCTCATTCGGGTCAGCCTGGAGATCATACAGTTCCTCAGCCAGACGAAAGAAATAATCCTTCAAAGGTCTAGACCCAACCATCCTAGGACTGGTATCGGCATTTCGGATCTTCTCCCACGTCAATGAGCAAATCATTCCGCAGATGAAAGAGAGTCAGAAGGACCTGACGAAATGTGAGGCCTTCAACTCCAACATCTTAGGACTGACTTGCTGATATTCCTCTAGCCCGTCCCTTCCAGGGTACCCTATTCAAGAATCCCCGGAGGCTGTCTTGAACCCGCTTGCGATCTATTTCATGGGGCGAACAGCTTTACATGGCAAGGATACACGAGGGTCGACGTCAGGTTCCCCCTCAACTACCAATACCGCTTCGCCTGGCATATTACAATCCAGACCGACTGTTCGACAATCTCATCAGACCTTCGTTATGACACCCTTGCAACCCATCCTTGAACGAGATCAATCACAACGGCCACACTCAGTCCATATGGACGAAGGATTTGCCATGATGCAGCCCTTCGATCCCGCCCCGAAGTCCAATCCACAAGTTCCAACACCTTCCCATAATTCTCATCTTTAGGCACTGCGGGATGGTGGGATCCGGCGGAAATGGCTGTAATGGACACGTTGGATGATCGAACTTCTCCTTGGCCCGCACAGTATCTGACTGTTGGCCAGTCAGGGGTCGATCGGTTTCTTTTTCCATTTTAGAATTGGTACATGATTGACTTGATAAATATACCGCTGTGGTTCCTTCAGTGCGCGATCTAGAGTCCGGCACGTTGCACAAATCCAACGCCAATGTAAAGGCTAGACTTAGATGATGTTCCGTGTCCAATATGGAATGCGATCTCCGTGTGCCCCAGTTGCAGTAATATGTCAAAGCTCAAGTTTCACACAGAACCATTGTGTGATCCTATCCCACTGAACAGATTAAAAACCTTACGATTATTGGGCAGCAAATGGTGTTCCGAGCTCCCGTGGAAAGTACCACGGCATGATGTTGAGCGACCTTCCACCCAACACTTGAGTTCTGAGTTCGGAGACGGCGCTGGATATAAAGATGGTATGATCAGGAGCGAGGCCATCAATTCTATGACTTTCCTCACCTTTTCCTTTTACAATGGCCACACCCACTCCAAATACATATGACTTTATTGTTGTGGGTGGTGGAACTGCTGGAAATGTCGTTGCAGGCAGATTAGCAGAGAATCCCGACGTGAAAGTCCTCGTGATTGAAGCTGGAGTTGGGTAAGTACTCCACCCACCTGCAATTCGCTAAATTGACACGGGATAGTAATCCAGACGATATCCCGACGATTACGACGCCCGCTCGCGCATTTGAACTCCGAAACAGCAAGTACGACTGGTCCTATCAGACGACCTTCGTCGACAAGCCAGACTACGAGCGTGTTGAAAAGCCAAATACCCGTGGAAAGGTGCTTGGCGGGAGTAGCAGCTTGAACTACTTCACCTGGATTCGTGGTAGTAGGGAAACATTCGATGCGTGGCAGGAGTATGGTGGCGATGAATGGACATGGGAGAAGTGCAAACACTATTTTGAAAAGGCATAGTATCCATCTGACCAGTTGAAAGGAGTATCACTTGCCAACAATCTCATCTTTAGCCAGCTTCATATCACGATGATGCTAGAGTGTATGATCCGCGATTTTCCAAGATCGCGCGGGAAGGCCCCCTCCACATTTCCCACGCAACTTTGCTCCCGGAAACTCGCGCTTTCCGGGATGCTCTAACAGATGCTTGGACTAGCAAGGGCCATGAATTAAAAGAAGATATCTACAACGGTAGGTTGGAGGGCCTCGCCCACTGTGTTAGTACAGTCTACGAGGGTGTTCGATCAAGCAGCGCAGTATATGTGACTGGGAAAGAGAATGTGGAGATAATGCATTCTACCGTCGCGACAAAGATCAACTTTGAAAGTTATACTGCAGTGAGCGTGACTGTGGTCGGGGCAGATTACAATGAGACCACATTGAAAGCAACGAAAGAGATCATTATTGCAGGTGGAGTTTTCGAAACACCCAAGCTATTACTTCTTTCCGGCATTGGTCCCAGACGTGAACTGGCTCGTCATGGAATCGATCCTGTGATAATGTCCGAGCATGTGGGCGAACATCTTCTCGACCATCCCATTCTTCCACATGTTTTTAAACTGAAGGATGGCATTGGTCTGGACCATATCCTCCTTCGAGGGGGACCTGCCCACGATTCTGCCGTAACGCAGTACGAGAAGGATAAAACGGGTCCACTGGCTAGCGGCCTCCTTGAGATGGTAGCCTTCCCATGCATCGACGGGCAACTCGAAAAACATGAGACGTACCGCAAAGCGAGGGCGAATAATGGAGGCAAAGATCCTTTTGGACCTGAAGGTCAACCTCATTTTGAGATTGACTTTATTGTATGTGGATGATCAACAGCTGCAGAAACGTATTTGCTAATACTACCAGCCTATGTTCTGTGATGCATTCCAGTGGCACTTCGATATCCCACCTGAGGGAGACTGGCTGACAGTGGTCGTCGACCTTCTTCATCCACAGTCAAAGGGCGGATATGTCAGACTCAATTCGATAGATCCACGTGAACAACCCGACATCAATCTGAACTACTTTACCGACGAGCTGGACATCCTCGCTTTGAGAGAGGGCATTCGATTTGTTGACGATATCCTTATGAACGGCGATGGAATGAAAGAGATCATTACTGAGGATTTCCCATGGCCCATGCCCCGCGAGTCGAATGAAGAGATGGATCGCCTTATCCTGGATCGGGCGCAGACTGGATATCGTTAGTTGACTGCCGTATACTGGTATGAAGTTTGAAGACTGATTTTTATAGCTCCCTGGGGCACTGCCAGACTGTCTCACGACATTGACCAAGGCGTCGTAGACTCTGAGCTGAGGGTCCATGGGGCTAATAGACTTCGCATTGTTGATGCGTCCATCATTCCGGTCATTCTGGACTGCCGGATCCAGAATGCAGTCTACATGATTGGGGAAAAGGTACGTCAAGGAACTAAACTCGTGGAACTCGATTCTAATTGTGTTAGGGTGCCGACATAATCAAAGCGGCTTATCCGGAGCTCTATAAATGAGCATGAGTTTAGTTCATGGACCACGCCGTTTCCATAGTTGTTTTTTTTTGGGGGAACCTTCAATATTCCCAAACGTGCAATGCAGTTCTCCTAGTCTATTTTGCGACGTGCAGTTGAAGCGTTATGTCAATTTGGCCAACGAGATAATATCATGTTACAATGAACAAATTACGGCGGTTTAAACGGTCTCTCTTTGCCATCCTTGTTGGGACTTTCTTTTCAGTATATTGTCAAGGTGTCTTTTTAACATATAACTTTTGATGTTCTATCATACTATTATGATAAACGACACAAATTTGTATAATTAAGGCTGGTTTTCAACGGTATTACCACATAGGTACAACAATATATATTCCACAGAACCCATCAAGCGCAACAAGCCAAATAGAGTAAATACTCTCGTGCTTTCATACGCCCCATTCCGTGCCAAAACTACAAGACTCACCCGATGTCGTTTTGTAGGAATTTCTTCTCTTTCTCAGCTTTTCCAACCGTGTATGCAACTGCGCATCCATGTTGGCTTGGTCCACATTTGAAATAAAGTACACATCTTTTGGATTTCTCATTTAACAGTCATGTCTTCCAATTGCCAGCTTGTGTTCAGAATATATAACTAAGGAAATAGGAATGCAGGCCAGGAATAGCAGCGATGCATATGCTGATGACCAATAGTGAGGCGCTGGCATTGGTTGAGCCAGATGTCAAACCTTTGGTGTCGGATTTGCATGTTAACCTAATAGAGAGCTATCTGTGAATATAGAAGAGCACGAGTCGATGAAAATATTCGCACGATGGACTAGGTAGGTTCTCGTGTGGGGTTTTAGGGCTGGTATAGCTGGGTACCTAGGCAGTAGCTATTATTAAACACCCGAGCCACAACTGTCTCTTTTTGCATGCTATTTAGGACCTTAGTCCTCCTTCCGAGGATACGATACACCTCATTTTCATGGAATGTGGTCATGGAGTGGGGCTGAGTATAACATCGAACTGGGCAGATCAAGCAAGTGCGAAATTTGGATACGCGTATAGATCGGACCCACCTGGCTTCCACTAGGTAGTGGCTCTAATCCGGGTGATCGTCGGAATTATAGATTACATAGTCCTGATACCACAATTACGTGTAACATACAGATTCGTAGTTTGTATTTCAAATGTATGACAATAAAGCACTTAAAGGCTTTTATTCAAAACCCTCTGACTTCCTATTATCTACGAACTGTTAAAATAATTGATAAGTCTTGCCTTCACTTATGATGCGGACTCCGACATACATACTTTGTACATACTAAATACGTACATACCGGGTATGTACCGTTTATACATCAATACGGGAACTTTACACCGTACTCGTATTCCAAATTTAACCATAAACGGGGGCAGGTGGGGCGTAGGGTTCAATTCGGCGGATCTTGATATAAGGTTTTTCCGAGTTTACCAAATAACTGATGGAAACATTGAAGTTTTTTCTCTTGTGTTTAAACATCCTGGGCTCGTGTTGTCTCTTCCAACATTGATCGCTTACCTGTAACCTTTGCTATCATCTTGGTTTTCTTTTCTTTTTCTTGATATACTGATATATTGTTTTTGACCCATGGAACACTCCAAAATGTATTCCAAGCAGGCCGACCCGGAGCCTCAAGAACAACCTCACGACCAACCCCCACCACCGTATGAGGTAGTTCCGCAAGATTTGAGTGAAGCCCAGGGCATCTCTGTTAACGGTACGCAACGCCAACTTGTCACACGGTTCTAGCTCGGTAAAGCAAATCTAACCTAGTACAGATGACGGCCGTGTTGTTGTGGATGCTAGTTCTCGGCTCTGCAGATCTCTTTCTAAACTATTGCCTCATGTTATTCGTCAGAGTGTCATACCTCCACCAAGTTATTCGGAAGCAGTGCCAACGTTCAAGTTTCCTCTGAATATTGTGATTCAAATCGTGGGCAGCAGAGGAGACGTCCAACCATTTGTTGCACTTGGCACTGAGCTACAAAAGATAGGTCATCGCGTGCGTATTGCAACACACAATGTTTTCGAGCACTTCATCCTCGAAGCCGGCTTGGAGTTTTACCCGATCGGCGGTGATCCGGCCGACCTGATGTCATATATGGTCAAGAATCCCGGGTTGATCCCCAGCCTAGACAGTCTACGTGAGGGAGATATTCGGAAAAAGCAACTAATGATGGCGGAAATTCTTCATGGTTGCTGGCAATCATGTCTGATGCCCGACCCTATCACAAATGCCCCCTTTGTAGCCAATGCCATCATTGCCAATCCTCCGAGCTTCGCGCATGTTCACTGCGCCCAGGCCCTAGGAATCCCACTTCACTTGATGTTTACAATGCCGTGGAGTCCAACAAAGGCATTCCCGCACCCGTTGGCCAATTTGAAAAATATTCCGGCCGACCAAGAGTGGCTCAATCGTGTCTCATATGGCGTCGTGGACTGGCTATCATGGCAAGGGTAAGTACTGGGCATTCCTCTAAAGTGTGTACAATGATCCAATAGCTGACTTGTCTTCCAAATGAAACAGTCTAGGGGGAGTGATCAACGATTGGCGGAAACATGAGCTAGAGCTCGAGCCAATTTCTCTTTCGGATGGCCCTTTCATTTTAACCAAACTGAATGTCCCCTATACCTATTGCTGGTCCCCTGGCCTAGTTCCTAAACCTGATGACTGGCCTCATAATTTTGGTGGGATATGATCGCTTTCGTTGAAGTCGTTGAACTTGTTGACTAACTCTCATGAATAGACGTCTGTGGGTTCTTCTTCCGCGACCCGCCCCATTACGAGCCTCCTGTTGAGATTGCGGAATTCCTTAACGCCGGGCCCCCTCCGATATATTTCGGATTCGGAAGCATTGTCCTCAAAGACCCAGAAGAGATAACAAAAACGATTCTACAGACGGTTCAGGAAACCGGGGTTCGGGCAATCATCTCACGCGGTTGGAGCAAACTAGGAGGGGTGGACTCGGGAAAACTAAACAGGAGTGATGTTCTATTTATAGGCGACTGCCCACACGAATGGTTATTTGAACGGGTCAGTGCGGTTGTTCATCATGGAGGTGCCGGTACAACGGCGTGCGGACTACGCAATGGCAAGCCTACAATCATCGTGCCATTCTTTGGAGAGTGAGTGACAGGCTGTTCCTTGGGTTTCACTTGAATTGCCCTATAGTGCTTTGGAATATTCTCTGACCTATTTTCAGCCAACTATTTTGGGGAGAAATGGTTTCTGCAGCCGGTGCAGGACCAGATCCTATACCGTACCAAGAACTGAAGGTCACAGCATTAGCCCAAGCAGTCCGGTTTTGCTTGAAACCAGAGGCAGTGCGCTCTGCACAGGGTATTGCCGCCAAAATGGAGCTGGAGGAAGGAGTGAAAACAGCTGTGGCATCATTCCATCGGAATTTACCGAAAGGTTTGGTAGAATGTGATCTACTACCGGAATTCCCGGCCGTTTGGAGATATCGCCTTGGAAAGAAAAGATTTCGCCTGTCAAAAGTTGCTGCGGAAATCCTTGTTGAAAAGAATCTGCTAGATGTCAAAAGGTTGAAACCGTAAGTCCCAACCTTCCCACTCTTAACCCATCTACCATGCGTTCCAACATCGGCGTTCGGTACACCTTTGACTGACCTGTTTTGAATGCAAGATACCAACCAAACCCCATTATCATCGAGAACACACGATGGGACCCAGTGACTGGTGTCTCCTCTGCTGGAATGGGATTCACATTTGATATGCTCAAAGCAGGAGGTGATATCTTTTATAAACCATACAAGGTATACCAAGACGGTCGCAATTTACCTGTTCCATCACCAACCGTTTCAGAAAATGGGCCTGCCCAACCGCTGTTACCAGGAGGCAGTGGATCATCAATCCGCAAAGCCCAATCGATGAATGATTTGACAGCATGCAGGGATGTTGAGCCTAAGAAAAAGGGCAGAGGCGCCGCGATGGCTTCAGCATCAACTCACGCTTCCGGGAAGCTCCTAGGAAAGATTGCTTCTGGGTTTATGGTCGATCTGCCTTTGGCCGCGGCTGAAGGCTTTCGTGTACTCCCTGGTCTATACGGAGACAAAGTTCCCCAATATGGAAAAGTAAAAGATTGGAAGTCTGGCGCAGTTGCAGGTGCTAAAAGCTTTGCTATGGGCATGGGAGGAGCTGTGACTGATGTCATATATCAGCCATATAAAGGTGCTAGAGACGGAGGCGCCGCAGGCTTTGCGGGTGGCTTGTTTAAAGGCACTTTCGGTGTGTTGGGCAAGATGGCACATGGTAAGAATATACTTTCCGTTTATTAATCCCCTTTAGTATTCTTTCGTTGTTTCGTCTTCGCTAACTTCTAACCAACTAAAGGCGGTATTGGCCTTGTTGCCTATCCCAGCCAGGGTATCAAACAATCCATTTATTCTGCATTTCATAAGAGCACACGGAACCTCATTGTGGCGGCTCTTCACCTAGAGGGAGAAGATATGGTTCGCCAAGAGAGAGTGAGAGGATTTGAAAATCGGAAGGTCATCGAAAGATTCATCGGCATGACCAAAAGTGAGTTCGATGATGACAGTGATTACATATAGATCGGCCATACTAGTGCAGAAAGATTCCCGGCCAACCTTTAATGAATTGTGGGTGTCAGGTACAGGTGTAATGCTTTGATTGATGATAGAAACTATGTAGGATTCCCTTTGCTAGGCTCAAGCATTGACATTTAGAAAATACCGATTCCAACCGATGCAATGAAGAAATTGCATGCAGGACACTTGCTTCTGGTTTTGTCCTCTTAACAGGGGAAGAACTTTGTGTAAATAAACCTAATCACCAATATCAACCCCGATAGTTGGAATACTAAGATGACTTTCCCAAACCTATAAGATCTTCGGACTGAACACGGGTTTAACTGTTACTCATATTATACCACTTTCGTTATATTTATATGCCGAGTCCTTTCGGCTCCTCGAATCCTGCGCATTAAACTAATCTCTCTATGGGTACATGCTTCTCATTCTCTGGTATCGTCTCAAAGAAAGCACCCTCGATCAGCTTGACCTTTCGCCCCTCCCACCATGATATTAGTCCTGCCAAGAGCGAACTGAAACAGCCTAGACCAATGAAAAGGCCAACTCCAAAGGCAGGGCGAGTATGTCGGTTGTACTCCCACATGAATGTCGCCATTCCAACTTGGAACAAGCTATTTAGCAACATATTTATCACCACAAAATCCATTTTCCATGATTTGGTAGGTCGAGCAACCTTGCCGGTGAGGGTCTCACGAAGTACCATTTCGTTGGAACTTGACACCTCCGAATCAGAATCCCGCATTCTAAACCAGCTCGAATTCCGCTTTGCAAGCTGCATTATAGATTTCTTGGATTTATTGGCCGAGCCGAAGTGCCACATCAGAAGCCAATATGTGTCGCGAATCCGCCACGGCGCCAGTCCCCACGAAGTTAGACAGAATAACGCATTGAGGATTTGGGAATCGATTTCAATCCATATTTCTTTGCGCTCCTTGCTCATTGAACCGACATTCAACAAGAGGAAGAATAACATGGCTCCCCAAGCGACCACATTGAGACCATAAATCAGGATGAAGAGGCCTGTAGGTGTAAGAATGAATCTCCATGCTGCAATAGCACCTTTTTTGCAGGCGTTGGCCCAAGACACCTTTGGAGCAATGTGACCTTGGATGCTCTTATGGTGATCAAGTCTAGGTTCAGGGAGGTTTTCACCTGGTCCAGCTATGTCCTTCTCATCCTGCAAGGTTGCAAGTTCTATCGTAGGCGCGGTCGCTCTCCGAATTATCGCACCGCCGACTGTATCTTGCGTGCTGACTCGTCTTACACCACGGCCGTGTACATCGAAGAAAACATCGTCGGGCGATCTCAGATCCGTCACATTCGGGGCGTGCGCAATCGCTGTCCCGGTCGCCTGCCACATTCCACCGGAGGGGTTGTAGTCGAGCAGTCTCGTGACAGTGCTGACCGAAGCTGAGCGTAGTGTCCGTCCCGTGGCCCGAAAGAGTGGTATTGTGGTATTGGAGCGGAGGAGATGTTGAGTTTCTGGCTGGGCTGATTGCCCTTCGGTCATGGTCTGGTCCATGGCCGTAATTCGTCAGTCGAATGTTTCGAAAGGTCGCCCAATTTGTGTAGGACTGTTCTAAAAGTGATGATGTTTCGTAGGAATCTGACAACAAAAATTAAAACGTTGAAATAATTTGGGAGCTTGTTGGGAAAGGGTCTTAAGAAGCTCAAAAGGGACCAGGTACTCTCTCTGCTAAGTAGCGCTGCAATCCTTGGTTCAGCCAAGTGAATCCAGTGGATACAGTGGAGCCAAGGGTTTTTGACTTTTTGGTAACTTACCAAGATGTACCATTACATACTGTTACACGTATCACTTTAGCTCGAATAAAACCCTAAAACCGCAAGTCAACTATGCCAGCACCGATATTATCATCACTCCATGTGATCTCAGGAGCCGCCGAAGTCCTTGATCACTGTCCAGAGCGCTCGGTTCCCTGTCCTCCCTCTCCCTCCACTGTCGGGCTGAAAAATACGTTAGTTCAAGGAAATTTGGAAGTTCTGTACAGCTTGAAGTGCAGGAGCAACCTTCTCACGAGAGCTCGGTGGTCTCTTCTCCCGTCCAAAATGCCATTGATTCAATGATACACTCGACCACTGAAATCGACTCAACAAGCTGTCAAGGACAAAACCAGACTCCCCAAAAGACAGTACGGCCTTCTATTCACCATGGTGTTAGTAATTTGTTGTCATGTCTGCCAGGTCGAATTCAGCCAGCGCCGCTTGAAGGATTCGATTCAACACTCGAAGTCACTCCAGTTCAATCACCCCTGGTTCACCAGCGATAGAAAGGGCTAACAAATATCTAATTATAGCTTATAATTGGTTGAGCGGGCCGCGGCGCCGCCTCTCGTTGCTGTCGATCCTTGACTGCCTGAGCGAGTCATGTATGAAGATCCTCCCTGAATTCTACATCTCGGGGGTAAATTACAACGTTATTTCAACATGAAGAAAGAAAAAAAGTATATTGGAATACTGTACAAATTAGATCAACACGCCGAAGAACTTGACCTCACATCATCATGCATCGACTCAAATGAAGTTTTTGCAGAGCGACATATTCCTGTCGCGTGCGTTTCGGTTTTATTTTCCGGACCTTGATTTCAACTGTCCCTTCGCCATGCCACCATCGCAGATATTGAAGCTTGACCGTATGGAATTCCTGAAGGCAGATTTCCCATTCCCCTCCACTCACAGTAACCGAGGTATCTCCCATGGGGAAGTGAAACTCAGGGAGGTATATTTCACTCGGGGTGTGAGCCGTGGCCTGGTTTGCAACCAATCTCATGGCGAAGGTACACTCCTTCAAGTCGAAAGCATAACTTTCTAATCGCCCATTCGTGTAGATTGGAGTAGGACGGAGACATGCTTCCAATGCCCTGGGGTATCGTTGCGGTTGCAACTTAGCCTGGGAGGAATCACGCCAGGTGCATAGAGATATCAAAACCTCGAGCAAGCCAGCTTTATTCTCTTCGGCATTGATAAGATGATCTTTAGAGCACCCTGTGGAATCGGACCTTGTTGAACCGGAAGAGGTGATAGGAAGTTCCAAATCATTCTGTGCGTATATGGAAAGGTCCTCCCCATTCCACTGATCGCCCCATTCATGGTTATTCTAGGTAGAGTTAGTTAAGGCTGTCCCTGTTAGAGGTAGACCCATATACATACCTCTGCCACATAAACCCACAAAGCAAACCCGTTGGCATTGCTGCCTTCCAATGCAAAATGGTTGGCATCCATTGCTCTTATCTGACTACTGTAGTCACCAGTCTTATATGCATGTTTATCATCCATGTCATACGGAATGCCAATCTCAGTGAAGATTAGGGGATGATCACCCATGTATTCTAGACTTTCATCGCGCAGAAACTTAAGTTGGTGACGTAGGCTGTTTCGAATTGATTTCTCGCCGATTTTGATTGCGAACGCCGGTGCAAGATACTTGCCCCGAAGCAACCCGATAATATCCAAGTTGTAGAGCCGATTCCTAGTAAGATCAATATCATAAGTAATAGATAAGTCTCTAGTACTAACCAGTGCTTCGATAAAAGAGTCAGACCATCACAAAAGTGAGCCGCATGAACCATGTTCGGATCATCATCGGCGGTACCCTTCAGGCTTGGTGGTAGCTCCATGACAGGTGGCTGGCAAAACATGATAGTACTCCCACACAGGCTGCGAATAGCGTCCTTGTACGCTCGGTAGTGGTTCAGAAAGTAGGAGTTTGTAAAGCATTCGTAGTCAAGGATCTCGCCAGTCAATGGGTTGGTTGAAAAGTAGTCCTTTTGTAGTAGGGTGGGTTTGCGTTTAGAAGGATCCCAAACTCCATGTTGTGCCCAGATGCATTCACCAAGCCTCCAGCCCGGATCGCGGTGCCAGCCATATTGACGGTCGTCGTATTCAGTGGACAACCATGCCTGTTCATCCTTTGGGTCTATAACCTCCGTGCCGGTTTGGTATGGGCCAAATTTTCCAAAAGACCAGGATTTTACCTCGCAGGACCGCCCTGAGCCAATCATCATAGCCTGAAACGCCGTTGGAGATGTCCCGAGCTGGAGATGCTGCTCTGATGGTATTACGGAAATATCTTGATTGCCGATCAGTCCTTTATGCGGTTCGTTCATACTTTCCCACCCAATAACCACGTCTCCTTCAAGGTCGCCGGCGTTTTGGATTCTCTGTGCAAGGTATTCACATGCCGCAATGAAGTGCGTTTGTAAATAATCCTGAATATTGACACCATCAATAATCGCCTTCGGTGCGAAATCTCGACCTGCCCAAAAAAGAGTAAACATCGTCTGGCAGGCTAACCTAGTGTAGTTGGTACACCAAAGCATCTTAGGGAACTCGGCGGGATTGTCCCATGTGTTGTGGACGAGGGCAGCCTGTGTGTTTTTGAAACTCTGGGGGTTTAGTCCCGCGGCATAGAGCGTCCATGTAGGTGCTCCGGATCCTCCTGATAGTCGAGACCACTTGAAAAAGTAAGGTTACTCCTAGACGATAGACTCACTCAAGATCAAACTTACTCATCTTGATGTGGATCCATAAAAATGTAGAACTTGTATTTCTTGGCGACGCGAAGAATTTCAATGGTGAAATCGATCCATTCCTCATCGTAGATCCTAGGACCAGCATGTTCGATTGCCTCCCAAGTGAAAATATATCGAATGGCGTTGTATCCCCATTTCCTGAGACGTTGGAAATGTATATCGGCATCTTCTAGGGCGAACGGCTTTCCCACAAACGATACATCCGCGTCAAAGAACTCCTGAGCGTTATGGGACCTGAGGTCGGGGGTTTTCGGATATTTAGCGTCACCTGCCAGATTTATTCCCCGCAAGATGATTTGTCGATTCAGGGAATCTCGGAATGTTTGTCCCTCGACGCGCAGACGGAGTTGGTTCATGTCGTTGACCGTGTTTCATCAACCCGTAGAACCCTTGATTTGTGAATGGAGAGGAACCAAAAACAAATTGTATGGAGGAAGCAGACTTCAAATTTCTAAGGAAGAGATCTGGAAAGAGAAACGACATATTAGCAAGAGTCGGGTTCTTGATGAAGAGGGTTTTATGCGTGAGGCACCAACTGCCGTTTAAGGCCATCACAATATAACTAGGTTAAAAACCACCATAAATTCCAAGTTCAGGTTGTGAAAAAAGATCACCAAGATATGTCAACACAAGTCACCGCGACCTCACTCACCTTATTCAGTTGAAAGTATGTGCAGTCTAGCAAGTTGTCCAAGAAGACAGGTTGCGGTAAAGGTTAGGAAAGCAGTAGGCGCAATGCCCAATGGTCTGATAGCAATTCAAAGTAAACTTACGGTAAAAACTATGCAAACTGGTGATGGATCTTCCTCTCATTCATAGCAGACGCGATACGAGTTTTTAAATCTAGACGATCAGAGAGATATTATATAAATATATGAGACATTACTACCAACTCTTGTATTCTAAATAATTCGGTATTTGAAGTAAATATACCGTAATTATTGTATAAAATTGAGAATACCGTTCATCTGAATACTGTAGATCTATGTACTATATATGGCTGCTTCCTATATGGAACCCCTGGGTCGGGGGAACTAGTATCCATGGAATGTGAATTTGAGTTGCCGTACCTAATCTAAGAACCAATCAGAAGAGCGTATTCTTTTTTTCGTATGCACGGTTGGTGGACCTAGTACCGCTATACGAATACGCGTGGTGCTCGCCGGTGGGTCCATCTCGCCGTTTTTTTTTCAAGTTGAACGCCAAGATTTGTTCATCTTCGGAAGAGATTATGGTTGCCTAGACGAAAACTTCGATTACTTTCGAGCCATCAAGCTGCACCCGCCTGCTCCGTTAAATCAATCTGGGCCCCAGCCACTGTATCCTTTCGCTTGGTTACGAAGATTGTGGCGTACTTACGGAAAAGTAGTTTGTGGCTATGCCTAAGAAGCAATTCATACTATGCATCCGTAGGATCTCAGTGTTAATGAACCTGTTCCCTCTATTTCGCAGACTTTTGGGAAACATTATAGAAAGGGCAAGATGGGAAAGAAACCGTCGGTTAAATTGAGCTTACCGAATACGTTAACTAATTAACTTACTAGATACTCTGTGAGATCTCTTCTTCTCGCTCCCTTCTTTCTCTTCCTTTCTTCATCTTCAGTATTTCGTTTGATTAGGAGTCTATCTCTTTTTTGATCAGACTTGCCGTGTCACAGAGAGGCTATAATAAAGGTCCTACTCGACCGACAGTAACATAATATCCAAATTTTAGAGATGATGGTCACTAGTATTATATTGTGGGTGAGGCGAATGAAAAGATCCTTATAAGAGTAGATTTACCATCTACCTAGCCAAGCAGATCATACTAATAAGTAAAGTAATTTTGTCCAACGGTCTTTTAGGCTAGGGCTATAGCTGATATATATACTACACATAAAGTTACGTGTTGTTAGAGAATATCTAATATATAAGTTGTAATTTCTCACAACTAATAAAATTTACAGTGGCTCGATTTGAAGATGCTTGCTCAATGCTTTTCAAAATCCAAGTACCTGCACCACCGCATCGCTTAGCATATCCTCAATTAATAGACGATTTGCCTGAAAATTACCTTGTGCAGATTATATACATCAATTTAACCAACTAGGCACTTTCAAACACTGCTTAAGAATCAATTAGAGACAGGGCGAGATTTAGAGTGGTGGTGAGTCTGCTGGAAGTATTGCATCACGCAGAGCAGCCCGTTTGTGAATCATCTCCATCATGTGCATCTGATTGAGAGGCTTTGCCAGGTAGTCATCCATGCCAGCAGCGATGCATCGTTCTCGGTCCCCAAACATGGCATGTGCTGTAAGCGCGATGATCTGCGTTCGAGGGAGGTGGTGGAATTTCTCGTACTGCCGAATCTTGGTTGTTGCTTCGAATCCACCCATGACAGGCATCTGCACGTCCATCAAGACCACATCGTACTGGCCACGACAGAATTCGTCCAGCGCTTCCTGGCCGTTCCCAACCACAGTGATGTGGTGGTGGTACTTTTTTATCACGCGCATTGCTACCATCTGATTCACTTCATTATCCTCGGCCAAAAGAATGAACAATGGACGAAACTGCTTGGAGCCAATGGTAGACGGTCGGCTCTCCAGTGAAGGAAGTATACCATTCACCAGGTCGATCGTGCGGCAGGGAGTCGTAACGTATGAGGTGATGCTCAAATCCAACGCGGACTTCATGCTCACAGATATCTCGTCGCAAAGGAGCACCACAGGGACAGCCTTGAACTTGTCAGATGATCTAAGCGTGTTGGCACATTCAACGGTTGGCACGATGATAATATCCTCGAGGTGTTCTGAAATCGCTGGCTTAAGAACATTATCGACCAAATGTATAACATCTGCCTCGAGATTGACCGTCAGCAGCATCTGTCGGATGTTGTCAAGATAGCCTTTGGGATATCCATCCCTATCATCGATGATAAGAACCCGACGCCCTTTGTATGGTGATAGAGGTTTGACGGTGTCACTTAATGACGGATGGGTCAATCCTACAACGCAAGTGAAGTGGAAGGTGCTCCCTAATCCCGTTGCGGATGTCAGGCAGATATCGCCCCCCATGAGGTTGGCTAGCCGCTTGGAGATTGACAGCCCGAGGCCCGTGCCCCCGAAGCGTCGAGTCATAGATCCATCGGCCTGCTGGAACTTGTCAAAGATCAAGCTGAGCTTGCTCTTGTCAATTCCAATCCCTGTATCCGAGACAGAAAACTCCAGCATGATATCTTCTACTGACTGAACCTTGCTTTTGGCCACAGTGATAGACAGCTGAATTCCACCACTCTCAGTGAATTTTATCGCGTTTCCGATCAGGTTGATGATGACTTGACGCAGACGAAATGAATCCCCAACCACATAGTCAGGTACAGAGTTGTTGATATGATATGTCAGGCTGAGGCCTTTTTCGTTTGCTTCCACAGCGAGTGTTTTGAGCGCCTTGAAAACAGTCTGTCCCAAGCTGAATGGGACTGCCTCGACGTTCATGTGGTTGGCTTCAATCTTGGAAATGTCTAGGATGTCATCGATGATCACCAACAGACTGTTGCCCAGGTTATGCACCACATTCAGCATCTCCCGCGTATACGGCTCCAAGTCAGTATCTAGGGCCAGCTGGGTCATGCCAATGATACCATTCATCGGGGTTCGAATCTCATGGCTCATATTAGCCAAGAACTCCGATTTGCTTTGGTTTGCCAGTTCAGCAGCTTCTCGTGCCGCAGTATTCCGTTGAATACTGTCTCGTAGGTTTGATATCATCTTGTTGATCTTCTGTTTTAACTCGTCCATTTCGCCCGATGCGCTAATAGTGATGAGTTTGCTAAAGTCTCCATCAGTCGCTGCGTTGGTGATCTCGCCAAAGGCTCGGACTTGGGAGGTCAAATTGTCGGCCATCATGTTAACATTATCTGTCAAGACCTTCCACTCTCCTTCGATGTTGGCAACGACTGCTTGCCCTCCTAGCTTTCCGTCAATTCCCACTTCTCGCGCTACTTTGCACACCTCGACGGCAAACTGATTCAAGCGACAAACCATGCTGTTGATAGTTTCCTTCAGATCTGATATTTCGCCGTTCACGTCAGCAGTGATTTTCTTGGTCAGGTCGCCTTTTGATACGGCTGTGGTCACATCTGCAATTTCCCGTACTTGAATGGTCAGGTTCATTGCCATTCCGTTCACGCTTTCTGTGAGATCTCTCCAGACACCTTCAACATCATGTACAGTCGCTTGCCCTCCCAGAACTCCATCAGTGCCGACTTCTTTTGCAATCTTTGTCACCTCCTGAGCAAACTGTCGAAGTTGATCCACCATAGAGTTGATGATATTCTTTAATACCAGAATCTCTCCTTGACAGTCTGCTTGGACCTTCTGTGTCAAGTCTCCTTTGGCCACTGCTGTTGTCACGGTGGCGATATCTCGTACCTGTGTTGTCAGGTTGTTGGCCATTGCATTCACGTTGACAGTTAGCTCGTTCCATGTCCCCTGTGTGCCATAGATCTGTGCCTGCCCACCAAGCACACCCTTAATTCCGACATCACGAGCAACACGATTCACTTCAGTGGCAAATGTACGAAGCTGGTTTACCATCGTGTTTATTGTCTGTTGGAGTTGGAATATCTCTCCTTTTGCAGGTCGTTCAATCTTCTGCTGGAGATCTCCATGTGCCACCGCCGTGGTAGCAGCAGCGATTTCACGGACTTGCTCAGTCAGATTGGATGCCATGACATTCACGTTGTCGGTAAGCTCCTTCCAGATGCCATGCATTCCACCGATCTGAGCTTGGCCTCCAAGGATTCCCTCAGTTCCCACCTCCCAAGCCACACGTGACACCTCGCTTCCAAACACTCTCAGTTGATCGAGCATTGTATTCATCGTAATTTTGAAGGTGATGATATCGGAGTTCATCTCAAGGGGATGCACGGGAACCTTGGTCGACAGATTGCCATTCGCCACCTCAGTGATAATCTTTCCTATCTCTTGCAGTGCCTTTTGGAATGCTTTGTTCATCTCCTGTGCCTTACGCAGTTCCTCCTCCATGCAGTGCAGCTCAGATGTGGAACGGTGGTGAACCAGCTTCGCCAAGATATTCGCAGCAAGGGTCCGGGGCAGACGAATCTCCTCATCCTGGTTTTCAAGGGCGTTTTCAAGGTATACCGTATCGGTGTCTGTCATAAATACCACATCTGAATCACCATCGATGTCCTTTTCATCGTCATGTTTAAGTAAACTATCCAACATTTTAGCATTCCATCCGCTCGTAGCTAGGATTCGATATACCCACCAGTCTAGTTTGCGTTTTGACACTGGGCGATATTCGAGCTCCCGTGACGGTCGGGGGGAGAGTAAACCGTGATTGGGAGCTGCAATACCAGGGACTGGAGGCGACGCATGATCCTGGACTGCGCCGTCTTGGAGAAGTCTAACATGGCAGATCAGCGCCAATAGCTCTCTCTCGAACGCTGCTTTGGCATCGCTCTGCTCTCCCGGTAACTGGAGCAGGCCCAAATTAATATGTCCCACCGGCGCATCGGGGTTTAGGAAAGAGTCACCCGAAGGTGGCAGATTTGCGCGCAAATTGGCAGCTGCGCCCCAGAAAAGGTCATCCACAGCTGAAGCAGTTGCCGCCATCTTGAAGGCAGTAAACCCGAGGTACTCTGATCAGAAAACTACATATGTAGTATCCTGCAGGTTGTGGTCTTTCTCGCGTCCACCGCAATGGCTCGAGTCGCTACCATATTATATTTAATGGGTGGCGACTAACAAACCTGAATTTAACCTCGAAGAAAGTAGAGAAAGTAGAATATTCGTCTCATCCGGATCGATCTCCTCATTGCCGAGTGGAAAGCCTAAAGCCTGTGGGGACCAATCAGAGAGGATCATTGTGGTAGATTCCCGGGGGTTATTGAAGGTGCATACCATGTGTCGAGACAATCGGCAGTTCTAGACTATAGACCTGGAGGGATGAAAGCCACCGCCACCGTCGGAAACCTAAAGACACCTTTCTGCATACAATGAATTGTACGCATTTCTATTGACACGATAATGCCCATGTGAAGCAGGGTTCTCATGACGTAATGTACAAAGGTCCATTTAAATGTAGTTTCTCATTCCGCCAGTCAGTGCAGAGGTCGCGCGACTTGATTCTCACCCTGTCTATAGCGCACTCACCCTTCCCACCCCCGGTCGCTCGACCATAAAGCGGCGCTCACTCATTTTCTCACCCGGGCGACACCCACCCAACTATTAACCGCACATAAGCCACACGGTGATTTAGTAGTTGGGTGGGTGACCACCAGCGAATCCTCACTGTTCAATGTTTTTTGGCTTTTTATTTACATATAATCTACGCGGCCAATTCTTGAGGTGCCGTAGACACTAAAGTGGGCAGGGAATTTGACTTATGGTGAGTGTGGGGGGAGAAGGGGAGGGATTGCCTACCTAGTCGGCAAATCCATGTACGTAATCATCTTGGACAGATCGGGGTTGTTGATTCCAACCATTCCTGCATACTGGCGCATTGAAGCATGCATCATACCAAAGAACACAGAATCAGTCATGTTCTGAAGTGGGAAGCTAGGATCTTTGGCATTGGCATATTTGAACCAATTACCGAACAAAGCACTATCGCCGGCGGTGCATGTACCATTGCTGGTGCAGATGGTTGGGATATAGTAACTGTCGATTGCTGCGTCCTTATTGACACTGGACCAACCGGCATTTCCAGAGCCAGACCAGGCGGCTTGGATGACCTTCGCACTTGAAGCGCTCAGAGTACGCTATAATCCGTTACATGTGTATTTCTGTCCGACGAAGTCGTGGGCCTTGACTTTGCAACGACTTGGTAAGCTGATGATGCCATCTTCCACTCCATCCAACCGATCGCACGCTTTGACTACTGCTTCAGTAAAACCCTGAACCTCACAAGGGGATGGGTAGATATTGTGTTTATTCATCACATGCCGGCCCAGTAGCCGGCAGGAATGAAGGCTTCAAGATTGATGGCGGGAGCGACAGCCAAAATGCCGTCGAAGAGATCCGGATAGTCCTGCGCCATTTGGAGACCTTGCCTTCCACCGCCAGAGCATCCGCCAGAAATAGGAATATTTGGGAGCTTTGTTGTAATATGACTTGGTTATCTGCTTTCCGATCACTCCGAGATCATTTGTGGCCTTGGATGCATAGTCTTCGAGGAGGAACCAGTCGACGTTGTTTTTGCTTTTCAAAGACCACGATAGATCAGTTGGAATAGCTTCGTCTCCCACAGCATGACCTCCATCGGTGGAGGCAGATGCGAACCCTTGGGCGATGGCGTAGGTGAGGTAGGTAGAGCCAAATCCAGCACTGTAGCCTCCACCACCTAAAGCTTCGAACTTGCCATTCCAACCGTCGAGTGGTAACCAGACCTGGGTGTTGATTGTGTCGTTCCAACCGGGATCAGTGTATGTAACTGTGACGTTGCAGAAGTTGATGGTGTACTTCCTTCCCTCGTTGGATTCTGGCCCAGCACTGACAGCTGAATAGTTGTGGACTTCCTCGGCTTGAATACCGAGGATAGAAGCTCCAACTAGGTCGGTTCTGGGGAGATTGGACGCCGAGCATTCGGAGGTTGTTGCGGCGTGGGTGCCTACCGCGCCTAGGGCAAACAATGTAGCTGAGAGTTGAACCGTCTTGATCTTATTGAATAGAAAATCTCTCAGGGCAGGCGAAGAGGTTTATATATCGATGATTTTAGTAATCAGGGTCCCGATGGAACCGTTGAAGTTGACTTGCAAGAGCCTCCTTGGTACTCGACAAAACGGGGTTTCAATAATTGAGTTGAAGGTTCATCAATCCGGAGGATTCGCCTCAGATAAAAGTTGTTTCGTGCTCCACACTAAATCGGTACCTGCGTATCCAATATCTAATAATGCTTTCCGCATATCCATCTGATTTCCTGGGGAAACTGTTTTCGACTTTTACTGTACATAGCAGGGGAAGGTTCATATCGACAGGCAAATGTCTAAACAGACAACTATACCCTTTCGAGACTATTTAACCTAGTAGTGGATACCTATGATGCATCTATCCGTTTCTAATCCATGTATTGCATGGTCACTGTAAAAATGATAGCCTCAAATGCATCATGCCCACTGCTAAGGTGATTAGTCTCGGGGGGTTCAGCTGTTTGTTTGGACATTTGTCTGTCGACATGAACTTTCCCTATAGCAGTAGCTTCTCTCTAGGTCCTTCTCTCTGATTCAATACCCGTGAGCGTTACACCTTCCACGGTTACATTCCTACTATTTAGAGATCCTCTCATTCCGTTCCTGCTGTTGAGATACAAGGTGGGATCCCCCCTTGCAGGATAATAAGACCCACTTCTCAGCCACCAATGCTTTCAGCGGTGTACACAAGAACTGAGGTGGGAAGAGACAAGTGATGGAAACTAATCAGTCCTTCGTCATTATAAGCGTTCCCCCGGAAGTGCAACTGCGATCCCGAGAATCCCATCATCGCTCCCCTATCTTCGCTATTTATCACCAAAATGACGACCTCAACTCGAAACCCACGAAGGTGCTTATTTCCGGCCCTGGCTTCCTTTCGTAAGGCTGAGACCGGTGTCCAGACCTGCACGGACTCTTATGGTCATGTGAATCGGCCTCTTGAAAGCCTCAAACGCCACGAAGTATCACAGTGGTTGGACGCTGAAAGTACGAATGCATTGTCCTTGCTGCGGGTAGCTTGGGCAGTGGTCCTACGCTCATATACTGCGGGAGATCATGTTTGCTTCCGAGTTCAGGGTCGAGAGACAAAGCCGTACGAGGCTCACATCACTGGTTCAACGGTAATCCGTCAGCTCCTGCATGATGAGACAGACTCTATCAGTGGATGTACATGTGGAGGAATGAACACCAATGGGGGCGACTGGGTAGAGACTTCCAATACCTGTATCTTCGTTACGCATGCTGCGGACCAGACGAATGGCAGTCTTTCGAACGAGAGCGTCAGTGATCCGTTTAAAGTAAGAACATGAGATCTGTGGCCATGGTTAACAGGACACATTGTTTACCTAGATACCAATGGTGATTTTTCTGTGTCTGGATGAAGCCACTGATGTTTCCCATCTATCGATCAGGTACAACCATATCCTTATGTCTGATAGGGAAGGCCGTGGGGTTGCAGACACACTGCACCAGACCATCCTCGAAGTTCTTGACAAACCAGGTCATACCGTGGGCGATGTGGATGTGTGTAGCAAAGAGGATATCCATCGCATGCACGTGGAATGCTCCATTCGACTGTCAGTTGACGGAGGGACAGCGCGCTTACGACCTCATTGCGCAGCGGTGTCGTGAAAGACCCGATGCCACTGCGATCTCCGCATGGGACGGAGAGATGACCTTCGGCGAGCTGGACCGACGGTCCTCTTCAGTGGCCTTGCAGCTTCTCGAGCTCGAAGTTGGAGTAGAAGATATTGTTCCGGTTTATTTCGAAAAGTCCAAATGGGCCGTGGTGGCGATTGTTGGTGTTATCAAGGCTGGGGCGGCGTTTGTTCTCATGGATGCTGGTTTCCGCATAGACCTGCTGCGCAAGGTCTGCCACACAGTAGAAGCACGTGTGATACTCTCCTCTCGCCCATGTCTGCCCGCCGCTGAGGGACTGGTCGAGCAGGTGGTGTGTCTCGACTCTAGTTGGGACGATCCAGGCTTTGTGCAAGTTGTGCTCAAACACCTGACCGTTGAATTCCACACCCAGGATGCCAATATGCTAGACCAGCACTGCCGCGATGACTCGGCAGGTCTGGCTACTCCGGCCACGGACGGCAAACCCCCTTTTTAAGCGTAGTTAGTCACACTAGCGGATGCTACACTAGTCCTCCTTCTTCGACTAGTTCATGCTCAGATGGACGGCATCTCCTGGGTCATTATATGTAAGGATCTATCGGCTTCATATAACGGCAGGCCACTCGCGCCCACGACCTCATTCTCCGTGCATGCCCGTGCAGCACTGCAAAGTACTGGCCCTGAAACCTACGCGGTCTGGCGAAAAGTCTTAGCATCGTCATCAATGACAAGGCTGAATGGTCAGTCGTTGAAAAAAGTTGGCGTGGCACGACATCCAACGGCGAAAGAGCAGTCCGCATCGGATTCTCCTCGACTAATCGTGGCGAGTAAGCAGATGGCACCTGTTTCCCCGCCCCAAAACGTCACACTGGCGACAGTTGTCAAAGCCGCATGGGCGTTGACCCAGAAACACCTTCTTCCAGATGAGTCTCCACAGGATATCGTTTTCGGGCAGGTGGTCAGTGGCCGTCTTCTAGGCATTCCACATGAAAATCGTATTGTCGGACCATGCTTGAGCATTATTCCAGTGCGTGTCCGCATGTCCGGGACTCAAACAAAATGGGACCTCCTGGACCAAGTCCAACAACAGCACCGGGATACGATGGGGTGCTGGAATATTGGTCTTGATGAAATCGTGCGGAACTGCACTTCGTGGCCGGTGGGTACGCCATTTGGAAGCTTCGTCCGGTTCCAGAACTTTGAAACCCGTCCTCTCTGTCAACTGGGAGAAACGTTCTGCCAAATGGATCAGATCAAGATTCGAATCAACCATCAGAAACGGCAAATGTCTGTGTGGTTCCCTCCTCCGCTGCATTAGATGTTTCGATAGCCATATCGAGTCGCGTCATGGATCAGGAAGAGGCGAACTCTGCCGTGGAGACTTTGTGCGGTATGATCCAGGATCTAGCCACCGGGGCCATTGGGAACTAGGAGCCAGGCTTTCTATGCGGATTTAGATCTATGGGGAGCGCCCATGGGGCCAGGCCGGCCCAGAGCCTATTTGGCCTCAAAAACGTGTGATTTTGGCGCAATTTCTTTCATTACCTGATTTTTCTTCCCGAGGGGCTTTCAATACCCGTACGGGTTTCTTCGGAAAATGAATTAGAAGTTATCAATAGGCTATAGGACGCAAACGAAAGAGCTAATACCCTGAGCGTCCATCCCCAAGGCACAATTGACGCTCAACTTCCTTACGGAGTAGCAGTAGTAGTAACCGGCCCCTCTTTTTTTTACCAAAAATACGGACCCCTCGCAAGCGAGGGTCTGTCACCCATGTAAACAATCCCACGTAAATGAACAATTTTGTAAATCCTACTAGCTTCTCTTACATTTCTAACCACCCCACCCACTATAGCTAAAAACAATAGAGATATAGAGGATCTGATTCTCAATGCCATCGACTCTCTCTTTAAGCAATCTAAACTTAATATCTCGAAAACTATACGAGAAATCGCGGTTATAATTAGACGGCTATAACGCCGGTGGTTAGGTAGAAAATCGCTTTTTTAACGTTAACCTAACGGTCGGAAACTAAGTCCTAGATAGAAGGCACTATATAAATATATCGATTACTTTAACGCCGTGGGAGTATCGATAAATCGTCGTCAAATTACTATTATAGCTAATTTAATTCTCGAAGATAACTATACCGGTAGTGTGCAAAATAGGGCACTGTGGAGCCAGCCGCTGTTGGTCTGTTAGCGGCGAAGTGGAGACGAGCTATACGCGTATTCAGATTTTATGTCTGTGCCGTTGTAACCACGAGGCTTCCAACATCCAAAATAAACTGGAGGGCCGACGTGGAGAAACTCTTCGAGGAGTTGGCCGCCATTTAGTTCACAGTCCGCAGTGAAGATGAAATACCAATGCTTGGGTAGAAGAAAACATAGGGCTGTTGGGCACATCATCACAGCTCGCTTTTCGTCCACCTGGCTTATCACTCAAGACGATGGCGATGGGTCAGGATCGTTGTATGAGGAGTCCGGGAAACACGGGCTATGCTGTACCCACGGCACATTGAGCTTGCTCGATACCAAGTACGTTGACAAGCTGGGATAATTGATATTAAAGGGGCATTCAATGTATGTAGTGAACAATATTGGTCTAATAGAGCTAAGGAATCCCCACAATGGCTCAGACATGGGGAACTAGTTTCAAAAGTGTCTCACGAGTGACCAATACGCCAACGGTTAATTAGACAGTTTCCAAACTAAGTGTTATCTGGGGATAGTGCCGGCACCAGGTCGCCACTCCTTGTCTTCAAATTCTTCAATTTGGAGCTGGTGGACCAACCAGATGGAGTGTGGCATCGCACTGAATTCCCGCTAGATTTTAGCAGCTAAACACCACATACAAAATAATGTTTGCCTTAACGTAGTTCAAGAAAAGTATCAACTTGTCCCATGAGAAAAGAAACCTAAATAAACTACTGCCCGGTCATAAATTGACTATATTTGGAGCAATGCCCACCGTTGCATTCCATGTCAGACAGTAGTCTTTACAACATACGAAAGAACTGTTCTAACTGTCCGCTTAAAGAGTAGAAATACCCATAATTTTATAATTTCTCCCAGTATGAACATCTGCCTGCCGGCACTCCAGAAAGCTCCAAATATTTCAACCTCTCTCATGGTCGGCGTGCGAAAGAAGTCAGGACTGCCTGCGACTAGCCACCAGTGGGTAAGCCATCCCATGTCAGCTAATGCAGGCTAGCATATGGAGTATGAACAGTTGTGGGAAAATCCCCAGTAGTCACCCGAAAGTCCACCGAGTACCTTTCCGCTTCCAGACAGCAGCACAGACATGTTCTACGCCTAAGATATAATGCGGAAAAGATAATATTTCTTTGTAGACGAAATTGATTCAAATTAAAGCTTTGTACATAAGCTTCGAAGCACATGTCAATCTTGAGCGGAGTTTGTTCGGCGATTTAACAGCTGGGACGAGGCGCAGCACCCACCAAAATTTGGCAACCTGGATCTTGGATAGTACAGCCAAAACCGCCAAGTGCCCCAATAAACTAATTGGGAATATAAGCAAGATCAGCGCAGATAGTGAGACTACTATACTAACACCCGATCAAGCTTGCCAAGGTCTTCAAGCTCTCGGATTCGGATTCGCATTAACCTTCGCTTTCGCACTAGGATTCGCTTTCGCTTTCGCCGTTCACAGCATGCATAGCCTAGTTGAAGATGTATACAAAACGGCCTGCAAGACGGATAGAGTAAGACCCGAGCCTTGTCAACTTCTACCACATGTATTCAGAGTCTAGAGACCCCATAACATCTCCGCCGATTGGAAGTCTCCGTCAAAATATGAGCCCAATTAGGAAAACGCTACGTTTCTGTCTCTCGCGTTCTGCTGCCTCTATCACAAAAGCCCTGGCGATCGGAAAATTCAACGGGTGCATTCCGAGAGATAAATAAGATCAGTGTCCATCCCCTTCTCATTTCTTTGGCACAGAAATCCCAATTCCAACCTTGGCCTGGCAGCATATTCTTCAACTTACAAGATGGACTTACATGTTTCATTCATCCTTCTACTTGGACTTGGTGGGTTTCATCTCAATCCCCAATTCGTTATCTGCAACACAGATGCACCTATATAATCCACCTAAAACACAGAAGGCTAACTAGTATTAGTGACGAGATCGGTCCTGAGTGAACCCGTCACCTTCGTTGTCCCTGGACATTATGATATTGCCTACCAGATCTTGGAAACCGATGCGACTTACATCCAGATCACTGCATCAAACGACGTTGGATGGGTTTCACTTGCCCAGGAACAAAACAGCTGGAATTCCAGCAGCTTGATCGCCCCAAACACAATATTTGTATCGTTGAAAGAACAATATCCTACGAAGGCTGGCTCTGACCTCCCTAATTGTCAACCCATTCCGGGGCACCCTTCTGTCGATGGTGGAGCAGTGCAGGCGGCAATCCGTTGCGATGACTACCCTATCCTGGATAGACTGGACACTTTCATCTGGGCCTACGAAGGGGATGGTACCGTATATTCTGGCCCGATGCCAGTGATTGAAGGCCACGATCCGGAAAATGGTGCCACGACTGGACGTGACGGTCTGCGGCTGGTGATGCGATCAACCGCCTCTCAGTCGGCAGAAACATCCACTGTGCCTTCTCAATCCCCATCTTCAGCTGCTGACATGGCTGCGTTGATGGCAAAGTACGACAGATTGATGAAAATCAGAACTGCCCACGGATCGATTATGTCGATTATTTTTGTTTTGCTGTTTCCAACATTTGCGAGTCTCATTCATTTACTCCCATCGTCCAAGCCAGTCGTGAAAATCCACGCTGCCCTGCAAGCCATGACAGCAACTCTCGCGGTAGTTGGCTTTGGGCTTGGTATATACCTCAACCAACAAATCACCATACAGGGAAAACATCATCAGGTCATCGGTGCCATTGTCATTGTCCTTCTTGTGGTCGTTCAGCCCATCCTCGGAATCCGTCAACACATGTTATTCCGCCGAACACAACGGAAGACTTGGTGGGCCTATGCACACCGCTGGCAGGGTCGCATTATGCTTGGTCTGGGGGTTGTCAATGGTGGTATAGGATACAACCTTAGCGGGTCTGGCGGCTCTGGTGCTCTTATCGGCTACGGAGTGGTGGCTGGCCTTGTCTACACCTCTTACTTTGGGCTCATAGCCTTTAAGGCATTCAGACAGCGAAAAGCCTCCCGGGGAGATAAGGCTACGGAAGGGGCGGGCCGTACAGATACGGAAGAGCATACTCTGACGGAGATACCTGCGCACAATTGAATTCCTTGTCAATATGACGGGTGTGGGAGTCTTGATATTTGAATGCATACAAAGTCAATCCCGCGCCCTTCTTCTTGTGCCCAAGTACAATGCCTACGAAGTGACAAACACAGGCCTTTTGTTTCTTTTCGTTATCTCGTACAAGGCCAACAGCACCACAGATCAAAATCCTAGGTTAGGATTTTAGCCAAATTGTTTCTCCTCTAGCACTCCCACGTTGCCTTAGTATGCAGTGTTATCGACAGTCCATCATTATGCGAGTTGTCAAGCAGAAAATGTGTGGGAAAAAAGGTAGGGCATTTTACCACTAGACCATAACAAAAACCTCGGTTCTGGTTCAGGCCCTAAGGGGGCTATATTCTAGTTCGACACAAGTCATCATAAACGGTGTTCTGTGCTTTCCTCATAAGTTAGCTAGGAGTATAAGCACTGAAGGTGACGATATACCGGACTATGTAACCTAACAGGAAACGCGAGGAAGTGAATTCACTTCTACAAGAATAGTCGGCCGCTTATGCGGCCATGTCGAGTCTTTTTTAGTAGTCTTCTCATATTGTCTTTTTATATGTCTTTTTTGGTGGTCTTGTCAGATTCTTCTCAATTAGTCTTCTCAATTGGTCTTCTCGATTAGCCTTTTTAGATGTCTGTTTTCATAGATATTTTTTCTCCCTTCTCAGTTTGTTAAGTAGGGAGCAAAAAAATGGGGTAAGAGACTTAATTTGTGAAATGGAGTTTTCTATGTATAACCAGGAACATATAACTAAAGTTATTCAAGGTATTGGGTAAATATTTGATGCTCGCTAACCCTGAACCCCACTCTGCATTGATAGCATTCCGTTTGTTCAACCTGCCTAGACTTATGAACAACTGATCTCGTGTCTTAATTGTACTTGTTGGGGGTAACTCCGAGATGCAATGGCAAACATGAAAGAGGAAGGCGTCCGCGCCACGTGAAAAATGAGATGCGGAGAAGATAAGGATAATGTTGTGGCCCTTTGGGCATAGTGGGGCCCAGGGGCCTGACTAGCGGCCTGATAAGACCTCACCCGCTGCACCGAGAAATTGCGTTGGCACATTCGAAGAGGAAGGTCACCGCGAAAGCCACCAGAGGAACTTTGTACATTCAGAATGTTGTCCCACATATGGCAGCTCCACTGGGAGCTGTCCTCTCACGATGTCAATCCTATAAAGATCATTACGAGAGTCGCCGAAGACCTCGATGAGCAACGAGAAGATTGAGATTCCTGATCCCAATTCCCACATTGACAATTTTACACAATGGGACCAATCGAAATCAAAGAACAGCAGTACGATGTCCTTATCATAGGCGCCGGTCTTTCGGGTATCTGTGCACTTCACAACTTCCGAAAGCGCTTCCCATCGTGGCGCGTTGGAGTTCTCGAGGCAGCGGATAATGTTGGAGGAACTTGGTACTGCAACCGCTACCCGGGAGCACGAGTCGATACTGAATCACTCTCATACGCATACTCGTGGGACAAAGACCTTTTGAACGAATGGACCTGGAAGGAATCCTTCTCCACCCAGTCAGACGTCCTCCGTTATATTGAACATGTCTGCGACAAACACAACTTGTACAAAAACATACAACTCAACACTCGAGTTAAGACGGCCATTTGGCAGGATAAGAACAATACTTGGCTGTTTCGCGACGAAGTCGGCACCCATCACCGAACCCGTTTCTTCGTCAGCTGTATGGGTTTCCTCTCGACGCCAACTCTTCCTGCGATCCCGGATATTGAACTGTTCCAAGGCAAATCTTTCCACACCTCCCGCTGGCCAAACGACTTTGACACGAGTCGTGATCTTGCCAACAAGCGAATAGGGGTCATCGGCACCGGCGCAACGGGAATTCAAACAATCACGGCGATATCAAAAGAACCGAGCATCAAATCATTGAATGTTTTTCAACGCACGGCAAACTGGTCCGCTCCCCTACGCAATGAACTGATTAGCCCCGAGCAGATGGAACAGCACCGCAAGAACTACGCTGCCCTTTTCCAACTCTGCGCCGAGACACCCAGCTGCTTCATGCACCAAGCCGACCCGCGAAAGTCCCTGGAAGTGTCTGCAGAAGAGCGGTTGGCGCTTTGGGAAGATATTTATGCAAAGCCCGGTTTTGCCAAATGGCTCGGCACGTTCAGCGACACATACAACAACCGTGAAGCAAACAAACTCTACTCCGACTTTATGGCCAGCAAGATTAGAAGCAGAATACACGATCCCGAGGTTGCTGACAGCCTGATTCCCAAAAATCACGGCTTCGGCACACGACGAGTCCCTCTTGAGAGTGGATACTTCGAGGCGTTTAACCAGCCCAATGTCCACCTCGTTGACCTCAAGAAAACGCCGATTGACCGAGTCACAAAGAGTGGCATTATCACATCTGATGGTAAAGAGCACAAATTGGATGTTTTGATCTATGCAACGGGCTTTGATGCTATCACCGGTGCATTTAACTCCATTGATTGGACAGGGAAGGACGGTCGACCTCTCCTTGGCTCTAGCAACACGAAGCAAGGCGAGCAAGCAATTTGGGTTGATCACCGGCCCCGTACATACTTGGGTATGACAGCTTGCTCTATGCCGAACATGTTCATGGTCCTGGGTCCCCACCAACCATTTGGTAATGCTCCCAGGACCATCGAGCACGCTGTAGAGGTTATTTCGGATCTTCTGCAACACTGCAAAGATAACAACTACTCTTATGTGGAGCCGACCGGAGAAGCTGTGGATGCATGGACGGAACACGTTGTCGAAAGCAGCAAAGGTGCTTTGTCAAACGAAATCGATAGCTGGATGACCGGGGTTAATACAAATGTGAAGGGCAAGACTGTTAGAAGTGTTGCGAGATACGCTGGCAGTGCGGTGGAGTATCGTCGGAGATGCGCTGAGTCTAGGGCGGCTGGTTGGAAGGGTCTGGCATTTGCTCAACTGTCAAGTTCCAAGCTTTGATGTAGATAAATATTCATGAATTATAACCATTGAAACACATTGTTTCACATTTGGTACATACACTGTCCATTATAAAAACCACAATCACAAAGGATCAATCTCAGTCAGACCCCAAACTAGCCAATAAACTAGCTGATGGAGCAAAGAATGTTGTCCCAGTAAGTGGCTTCGAAAAATCAAGGATGCGATCATGCAGCCCAGGTGGATCTCCAACAAACATACGCTCCAACATTCTTTCGATAACCCAAAGACGACGAGTATAGCCAATAAAGTACGTCCCAAACTCGCCAGCACCAGGAGATCCAAAGGGCATATTATCACGAAGAATATCGTGCTCATTCCCATCCTCATCCTCAATCGTGTTGAGTGTCTTGTGAGAGCGCTGTCCAGACTCGGCATCATCCAACTCAACATTATCTATCTTGGTGCGGCCAATAATCATCTCTTGCTGTTCTGTCGAGAGATGTTTCCATCCGGGTAGATCATGAGTGTACTTCTGTACAACGATATAGCTACCACCAGTGGCAGCATCATCTTCCTCTGCAATCAGAACTGAATCCGGAACCGCCAATCCAACTGGATTAGCCGTGCCATCCACAAACCCAAGAAGATCCCGCACATCGAAGTAGCGAAACCCGACCGTCTCATCAATGACAGAGACCGAGTCGCCCAGTTGATCCATCAACTGACGCTCGAATTCAAAGCAGATATCTCTGCGCTCGGAGCGAATGTGGAAAAGCAGATCACCGGTTGTCGAGACCGCGGTGTGTTTTGCGCCTTTGATCTCGCGGAAAGGGTGCAGTTCTGAGGGTCGGGGAAGACCCGTCAGACGATCCCAGATGTCACTTCCAATGCCAACGGTGCACGCAAATTGCGCGCTGAGGTCGCGGATGGATACATTTTTCGCTAGGCTGTCTACGCCTGCTAGTGTGGAGCGCAAATTTTCAATGGCGTCAGGCTTGTCGGTAACGGACAGAACAAGAAACGTGGCTGATTGAGTGAGCGGAGCGTCCACGCGCTGAGACGCTATTGGGGCACGGTGTGTGCTCATATCTGCTTTTTGATACGACTTGGAATTGTAATAGGCAAATAGTCGTTGTTTGCGAAATGAACAGCCGGTGAGCCTCGGCTGGTTGGTGAAATGCCGTTCTTTTTGAATTGGACTTTTTGAAGCAGCGCAAAAGGTGTTTGAATGACCAATCGCAAAGATGGGGAATGAGAGACGAGTGTTGAGAATATACGAGGTGACCAGTCTTCTGGACTTGGTCATACTTTAGCTGCTGGCCCGAATTGGAGGGAACTCCAGTCTTTATAGAGGACTCAGCTGATGTGAGTGCATCAATTGCTTATGTTCAGGAAGAAATGATTGGCCAAATTTATGTTCTAAAACGACCTCGGCATTCAAAAAGGAAGAAAAAAGAAGTAGGTAGATCCTACACCGCAAGTGGTGATGTCACACCGGCCGACCCGCCCTGGTGAAAATGTTACCGCGTATCTCTGTTGGCGCATGATTTTGTGATATGAAAAAGAAAGAGAGCAAGTCGATGATTGTAAAGGTTATTCATATCTATAAATAAATCCTAACTTATCGCTGGGTGTACCCGCCATCCACGAATAACGCCGTTCCAGCAACAAAAGAAGCCCGCCCACCACTTAAATAAACAACACCATCGGCGATCTCCTCCGGCCGACCCATACGCTCCATTGGAACCGCATTAGCAACCTTCTCTTTCATGGCCGCCAGGATCTGAGGTGACTTGGTCGTCAACGGGGTCTCAGTATACCCAGGACAGATAGCATTAATACGCAGGCCATCTTTAGCATAATCCTCGGAGGCAGTCCTCGTCAACCCAATAACAGCATGCTTTGTGGCAGTGTACGCAGTCGACAACGCAATTCCAGCGACACCCTGAATAGACGAGAAGTTGACAATTGAGCCACGTTGTAGTGGTCTGCCATCAATCGAGGACCGGATAGGTTCCTGCTTCAACATGATCTTGGCAGCAGCGCGCAGAACGAAGAATGTGCCTGTGAGATTGACGTTCAAGATGCGCTCCCAATCCGCTGTTTCGCAGAATGCCGCTCCGCCTGCGTGCTTCATGGCGATTCCGGCTGCGTTGACGACATAGTCGAGTCGGCCGAATGTCGTCGCGACTTCTTGCACGACTTGGTTGACGCGATGCTCGTCTGTTATATTGGTGGGGTAGGTTATGACTCGGCATGGCTTGGATCCTTGTCTGCGTTGTTGCTCTTTGATCTCGGCTTTGACGGCCGACAGGGCCTCGGGGCTAATGTCGAGTAGAGCGATTCCTGAGGCGCCATCTCTGGCGAATGTCTTTGCACAGGCGCGGCCAATGCCCGAGGCGGCGCCTGTGATAAGGGCAATTCCAGGTACGTCCATTTCGGGTGATCTGTGGCGGTTCGGGTAGTTTGTTTGTCTCTTGATGCACGCAGCAGGGAGGGTGATTGTAGGTAGAATGAACAAAGAAATCGAAGATTGATGGTTTATATAATTTCCACGGAACGACTTGAGTGAATAGCAATGGCAACACGGTATCTCTCCCCAAAAAGGAGATATACTTCCTACTTTGATCCATGTGGGGTTGTCGCGGAGACTTGCCTAACTCGCGTGCTGATGATAGCCGTGCAACCCACGTATGACAACGCACGTCGTACTTGCTTTCCTATCTGTATGAATTATGTAGTGGACTAACACGTACTTGCTGCTGATGTATATCCTCAGTGCGGGGGTGTTACAGGTGATTGTCGCCTTGGATTTGAGAGAGCATTCCGCAGGCAGAGTGGACGGAAGTGACAACGTTGGATTTGGAATTAGAACGGAGAAAAGAGATAGATCAAAAAAGTCCACTTCATTTTAGTCTTATTTCATCATGTTAATATGCTTATTTACAAAAGTTTGGACATCCAAGTACACAATAATGATAGGTGATCACGAAACTAAGTTTATAGACTGATTTCTTCCCCAGAGCATCATGTCTCAAATCAACACAGTGGTTGTAATGGCATAGTGCTTTTCATGAGATCCAACCAAGTTATACTCTTCCCATTCGCACAAGTCTTCTCTTGCCAGATTCGCTGAATATTAGCCAATGTCTCAGTAAAGCATGACAAGCCACTGCGGCGTGCCGAATTCACAAACCAATCAGAGAATGATACCTGAACCGATAGATCCTCGGCTTCACAGGCTGCAATAAACGCAGGCCAGATAAACCCTGCCGAGCCATGTACCACAGTTGAGTCTGTGTCCTCGCAGCGTAGTAGATGATCCATCACGCGCATGACCTTTTGCTGTAGCAACGAAGCATCCACATCGTGGATTCGACGGTAGAAGTATATTGCCAGTGCATTCTGCATGGCATTGAGCATATTTTCTATGATTTCATGGTCTAGTTCAGAGTGGATATTCGCCAGGCTGAGTAGTGGCAGGTTGTTGATGTAGTCCTCGAGAGTCTTCGCCCGGCCGATGAACTCTTTCAGGCCGATGCAGCTTGATGCATCATCCCCTTCTGCGGCATCCTTTTCTTTCCCCAGTCGAACAATCTGAGATAGAAGAACAACCCAAGGCTCAGGGATACCAAATATCTCCGGGTAAAGAGTGTTAGACCAGAAGCCAGGTCTTTCAAGGTGCAGATCATTCTCGCCTTCCTCCTGTCCGCGCACTCTCATCATTTCTTGATCCAAATTCTTCCAACCCGATAGACGAAATGATAGGCTGTCAAGGCTGTAGTTTCCTAACCCGCTTGTTTCGATGGCCGCGTGAACGCGATGACGCTGTCTTGAGTTCGCTCCACAAATGAAGACGCTCTCATGGATGATACGCTCAAATACATAGCAGTGATGTAGTAACCGCACTTTTCGAGACTTTTTGCGCGGAAGTCCTCTTAAACGAATGAACTTTTCTGCTTCCAGAAAATAATATTCCGATTGCCTTCGGTTCCCCGAGAACATTGTCACTTGGACCATGGTAAGCAATGCCATCAAGATTGACTTGTACTTGGCAACCTTGGGAACATTGTAGGCGGTCATGAGCATCATTCTTGCATGTTGCTGCGCTTTCTGTTTGTAAATTATGGCTTTTTCGCTCCAGATTTGGGATCGAGAGACTCCTCCAAGGCTGAATGCACTTATAGCTAATGTTCCGTAGAATGCACACAAACTGGCATCACTCATGCCATCGCCTAGAGCCAAGCCAGCGAGGCAGCTCTTGGTATGAGGTATAAAAAGGACGTGCCAGGGGGTTTTGGAGTGTCGAAGGGGGGTCATCAGGCTAATTACAGCCGAGACATAGTGCTTGAGAAGGAATACGGCATCTTGGGGTACGGCCTTTGTCGTACCCATAGAGGAAGTGAAAGAGGTAGGTGATATGGGATTATTGTAAGATTGATCTGGAAAGCATGACGTGGGTAAACATCCATGAGGTGCTGCATCATCTCCCATGCAATCTTGATCCATCATGGCGTCTAAAAATCCCGGGGAAGGCGGACTGGGAACATTCTCTGGTTGATCAAATGTGAACTGCATTAAGGCTTGGGACCAAGGCGACAGATGCATATCAGACGAAGCTAAGTAGGAATTGCTGAGTGGGATCACATCTTCTGGAGAACTGGAATGTCTCTCTTCGTGGATGTCCACAGTTGGTTCGCAAGGCAAGGTCTCCTGATCTTGGTTCAATCTAAACGCCCCGAACGGACCTCGGTGGATCTCGATCTCATCCGAAATAGTTGCTCTTTCGCATTGTTCATCAATATGTGATATAATCCGGGGAGTTGTTTTTGGAGGAGCACTCGAGACAAGCCATTGACTCATGCGTTCTCTTTCTTTCAGTGAAAATAACGGTCGACGAAACCGGACCCCATGATTGCGAGGTGAGCCCTCGAAGTCAAAGAAGATATCTTTCTTGTATCCTCCGCAATCTAAGCCGAAGTATTGACACATTGAACATTCTGGGCGTCCTTCGTCGCATTTGACATGTCGACTTCGGCACTATATTTCAGGTTAGTAAAGCATTATACGGAGATGATAACAACCTACTGTGGCACACCCTGTAAACGAACGCGTATGAGTGACAGACTCGTGCATACTTTCTCGACGTGAATCTGTCATCCTTTGGTGATTGAACAAGGAAGGTGTTGTACAGAGGAGTCTGCGGGGGAAGTGGATCGGTGGATCGCCGATAGCGGAAACCTGCCTGTTTCGACGGTGCGCGGTCACTTCCCTATTACATCGGACTATCTACATGTATTTTGTAGGTGAAATCCAAATTATCTTATAAAAATATATCCGATAGCGTGTAGTTCCCGGCAATTGTTTTCCCCACTCACTGCATTTGAACCAATATTATCATCATCAGTGAAGATACAACGTCCAGTATAAAGGAATGGCATCTTTCGATGATAAAGTGGTAATCCTTAATCAGCAATCCATCGATAGGTATATATTCTGATCCAATGATGTCTACGGGTCTCTCTTAGATCGCTATCACGGGCGCAGTCTGGAATGAGGCTAGCCACAGCACAGCTCCTCGCAAGTCGAGGCGCGATAAATGTCTCTCGCTGATATAAATAAGAAGGCCATGGACAAGGCTATCCAGTCTCTCCCAAGTATAGATAGGCATATGTCCACAGTTACCGATATGCGCAACAGCAAATCAGTGGATGGAAGAATCCAGTCCACTGTCGAAAAATTAGGCAAGCGGGACGGTGGTGTAAATATGGCTGGAGTGATCACGCCTGCTGCTCCAATCACAGAAGAGACAAATGACGATTGGGGTTTTACATTTACTGTAAATATGCGCGGGGGTGTTCTTCTGCCTGAGGGCCGAGGTTAAAGCCATGAGGCCCGGTGGTAGCATCGTGAGTCTGGTCGCAGGTCGAATCTAAAATGCAAATTACTGAATCTCGTTTGGGATAGATCTCTGCTGCAAGTGTGTTTGGTCAAATGGGTGCCCCCGGTGTCTCGGCCCACTGCGGCAGCAAAGAAGATGTTTTTGGGATGGTGCAGACGGCAGCAAAGGAGAAGCAACATATTCTAGTTAACTTTATTTCACCAGTTAAGCCTATCTTCTGCGACAGGGTTCGATATCATTTAACCAACCGTTTAGGCTCTGTCAATATACTCCTCTTCACCGGTGGAGACCCCGAAGATGTGAAGCGCGGGTTGCAAAAGACGACAAATAAACGACAGGCAGAGCCGTGGAGATTGCAACTGTGATTGCATTTCTTCTGACCCAGGAGGCGAGATTTTGGACTGGAGCTGTGTACAATGTGAATGGGGATTGGATGTGCTGATGTGCTGATGGCGAAGATGGAAATCGCAACAGAAGAGAATAGATACGTTGGTCGTGTTGTGTTTGGGTTGTTTACTCGTAGACCACGGTTCTCGTTCGTTTGGTCTCTACCTAGATACATATGTGCGCATCAGTATATGCAAATAGAGCATGTGACCAAGTGCCATAATTTGTTTTCATTTTGAACTCTTCATCCTCCTCACCAAGTTTGTTCATTTCCAACTCACCTTTCTTCTGCTTTCTAACCTTCTCATAATTTTCGCACTTTTATCTCTCATCGAATTATCATGGACGACGACGACGACCATGTCCCGCGCTCATGGTTCCCTGAGGGGCTAGATCCAGGCGACAAGGTCACCCTCGACATGTCCACCGGCTCGGAATGGGTAATCGACAGACTGGTCAATAAGCATAGCTACCAATGCGCAGACCGGTCTCTCGACTCTTACGCATGTGTTCTGTTCGAATGCCACAATGCTGCAAGTGGACAAGAGGCTTTTATGCGCGTTTATGCCCAAGTTCCACACACCTGTTATGAGGATGCGGACCGAGCTATCCGCACCCGAGAAGCGACTGAATTCACACCCCCCGAGCTGAAGGCATACAAGTTTCTCAAAGAAAAACGCTCACAAAATACACCTCTACTACTAGCATATAAGCAAGGGTCTCAGGATAGTAGCTCAGGGGCAGTTCCTAGAGGACATCTTACATGGATTGTATGGGAGAAGGTCCCTGGAGAACGCCTAGGAGATTTCAAATCTACTTTTGTGTACTGGGATATGGACCGTGAGGAACGAAAGCGTGTCCGTGAGGTCTTCCTTCGAGAGTTTCCGTGAGTCGAACACCTTGCAATTGCCAAGGATAATGCTAATATGGAATCACTATTATTAGGAAGGCCAAGAACATGGGGTATTTCCCTGAAAGGGCCAGGCCTGGTACTCTAGTCTGGGATTCGGATACCGGTGCTCTGTATGCTGCTCATCATACTTATGATCTTGGGGGTTCGACTAACGTATTGCTACAGTTATTTTGTTGGTTTCCGGGATGCAGAGAGTTTCAAGGCTAAAGGCACTTTCGGCATAGAGTGGTTGCCACGTTTTGATCTTGCTAGGCCCCCTCGATCTTACCTATGGAACAAAAATTTCAATGGTGATATCTCGGACTGGAAAGTCTGATTTCATTGCACATATTAGTCTCTCGAACATAAGATAAAATAGCCTCTATTTTTAGAGATAATTCTAATCGATAAATCTTACTCTATCGTACAATTAACAACATTGAAATTAAGAATCTCCCCGCTGCTGCGGTAGCTCTTGCGGAAATTTTGCCCTCCTTTGGATTCATCAAGTCTTAGGAGGCAACGGGTGGGGAAATTGGAAATCTCCCTTTTGCCCATAAGCAACCTTCATTTGTGATAAAACAATAAGCTCAGGGTGATCATGTCATAGTGCAAACGTTAGCACGCCTCTTACACCTCCTACCACTATATGTCCAAACCTGCCGAAAATGAGAGACCAATATGACTATGTTTGCTATCGAGCATCTCCTAGGGAAAGGAAGGAGAGAATAAGAAGAAGCAAGCTATGTAGCTACTGACTCAGACAGGTTCTCGCTCCTCCTATTCACTTCATATTCACTTCATATTCACTCCATCTTCACTTTCCATCTTTTCTTACTCTATTCATCAATTGACAAATCTTGTGAGATTCTAGGGTCAACAAAATCTGACATGGGACTAACATATTAGTATTATTAGACCATCACGTCCCAAAGCCAACGAACTCGATTCGAAAAATAAATGGCTCAGACCATCCATCTGGCAGCCCGAGAACTGCTTCTTGAACCTCTTCCACCCCTCCGAGTAGGGTCTAACCATGCCACCGGTAGCGCAATACACCCAGTCGATTTGGTTGGCAGATTGATACCATGGCCCAACTTCAAACGGGAGGTCATTGCCGTCTTCTCCTCGTCAAACCCAACCACTTTGGAACAATGATACCCTCGTTGTGACTATTGTTGGCCAAGGACCAGAAAACCCTATATGCGAGGAAAGGTTTATATTCGAGGACGAGACCGTGTTACAAGGTCATTTGAATGAACGCCTTGGTCGAGCAATAACTGCATCACGCCAAGCCTCAACCCAGAGAGCCGCCCATCCGCGTCGCATACTGGCGAAGCCAGTAGCTACCTTTCAGGCACTCTCGATAGCTAGGGCACTGGGAACACACTGTCAGAAAGGTCAAGATCCTAGGGACAATTGGTATTAGGAGGCAAGACCGGGTTGCAGGGCCGTTCGAATGAACGCCTAGGAGCAGCTAATCCTGGGCCGTTGTTCGGATACGCACATAGTAAGAGAATCTTGAACGCGCATGAGATATACGCTCAATATGCTGAACATATATACAGGACCCATCCCAAACGACAAATCCAGATTGGAAGCCGGTTGCATACACCAATGCGATTGTAGCTGGAGAGAAGAAGCACGATATCAAGGCAAAGACATCCTCGCAACCCCGCCCCAACCCAGTCTCGTGGAACTGGTCTAGTTCTCTGGTCAGCGGGAAAGGCGTCACTGGGAGGGTGGGTTTTATTCTTCTGACAACTCCTCATCTTACTATCAGCTAGCTCCTAGGGAGCTTAGCATGAAGGGCCCATCGTTCTCGTTATTTGGCCTTACCACCTTACTGTGTAACAATCAGCATGTCTTTTTGATGTCTTTTTAATATCCCTTGAGATTTGTTTTTAAGTGTCTTTTCAAGTGTCTTTTCAAGTGTCTTTTCAAGTGTCTTTTCAGATGCTTATAAATATCTGTTTAGAATAATCAGCCACAATCTGTATGTAGGACAGTAAATAGGACGATATGTACAAAACAGCTTTTCTATATATAATGTATGACTAGAAGTGCCTATTCAAATAACCATTAGACTGTAATAATCTAAAAATTCACATACAACATACATAACCAATTTTCTGCTGGCAATAACAGCCAATAGGACCAAAGACCCCAATGATATGCACTGCGCTAGCATCCCCGCTAGCGTATGTACTACTCCCCGCCCTAAATGTCTTGGAATGTTTGGCAAGTTTAAATGTCAGCACCAGGCCAAATCCCAATCATAATTGTGACTAAGCACTCACCTACACCCTTTCCCGGTGTAGGTGAGCCCACACCTATTAACAAACCCATACCTGTTAACAAAAAAATCAACATTTCAATTTTAAACCTATTTTTCAGCCACCATACCATCTGGATCTACATATCTAAATAGCTCACTATTAACATCAAGATAATCTCTATCCCCTGATGCCTCTTCTTTTTCTTTGAGAGCCTGATTCGCGCGATGCCAGTAGTCTCGAATCCTTGCGTTCCCAGCCTCATGCCGAATATCCAATTTAGATTCCTTCGTACATCGCCGATACACCTTCGAATTGCCTGCAATTGATGATAATGGACTCTTAGCAGCACCTTTTACCATGCGCTTAGATTTTTTGATAGGAATTTTGTGGCTTTGCATCCTTTTTATCGTTTGTTTTGCAAGTGCTAGGTCTTGGATAGCCTGCTTACCACCACGAATTGCACGGTCTATATGCTTTTGAAGCTTTGGAAGGTCTGGTTCATCGTTCTCGAGTATCAATTGAACCTTATTCTCAACCTTTGAGAATCTTTGATCTGAATTAGGCGGCGAATTCGTTGCCGAACTGGGAAATTCACGGTCTGGTGACGGCGTATGACCATATATCTCAAGGACTGGTTCATCTTCCCAGCCAGGATCAATTTGATCACAAACAATATGTAAATCATAAGGCCAAAGACCTGTATCTCGAAATGATGATTTAATAGTCTGTGCCTTAAAGGTGTCTTTGCGAACTGTTTTGATCATTCGAAGAAAATGTCGTTTATCATCAACATCTCCACCCCATCGTACAATCTCATTGTTCTTTTTTCGGAATTTTTGTTTAAGAACTGAGAATGGCTTGCCATCAAGAGGCTGGCATCGATGTGTTAACTTTGGTATAAACCACCAAGGTATAATGTTGAAGCTTTGGCAAATATGTTCGAATTCCGGGGTTCCATGAGACCCATGATTATCCATAACCAAAATCCTAGGTCTGCCTTTAGCGACTCGCTTTTTAGTGGCATAATGGAAATCTAATAGCCATTGAATAGCAGTTTTATCATCCGTCCAGCCTTTAGCAGTTGGTTTAATAACCCTATAGTTGGTAGGATCATCATCGCCATCGAACCAATCTTCCATTTGTTCGGAACCACGCATTAAAAACCATGGATGCATAACCCAGCCATCGGCAGAGATGCATTCAATGCCGGTAATATTCTGGCCTATTCCACCGGTCGCAATAGTCTCATATTTACGGGTGGAAGCAACATTTTCCTTGGTTCCAATACCAAGCTGAAAGCCAGTCTCATCCCAGTTGTATAGTTCATGGGCCTGGATTTTATTCTTTTTAAGAAACTGGCCAAAAACCTGGTACCAATGAACTAAATCACTGTGTAATTCAGCTTCAATCCTTGCTTTTTCCATTGGTTTTTGTGTGCGTAGAGTAATATGGGGTGGTAGGCGTTGAATGAATTGATAGCCGTACATTTTGCCAACCTGCCGGTCGGAACCACAATGTTGTAAAAGACGATTCGCAGCACCCTCAATATCGATAGCAGTTGGCGGTGTATATACTGAATTAAGGTGCTCAATCCAGCGAATAAGAGAGGCCTCTTGTGAGGAATTTAGGGCCTTTTTGGTAGCTGCACGGCCTTTTCCATTTGTTCTACCGTCCTTTCGGTTTCGAAGCTTCCACTTTGAGACGCCAAAATGAGAGGCTGCGGCCTGAATACTAGTAAATTGGCCTGATTTATAGGATTCGAGGGCATTTGAGAGAAGAATCTCTTCTTTTTCGGAGGAATTCGGCATGGTTTTGATGGTAAAAAATAGGTTTAAAATTGAAATGTTGATTTTTTTGTTAACAGGTATGGGTTTGTTAATAGGTGTGGGCTCACCTACACCGGGAAAGGGTGTAGGTGAGTGCTTAGTCACAATTACTCTCTTCCACTCGGCACTTTCCATGAATCAGGTCGGAGTGCATGCTAGACATGTCACAATCGTTGAGCTCGGCCCCACGCTTGAAGCCGGACGTTCGCCTCGCACAGGCTGTGTCACAGTTCGAAGCCGAACTGTCCAATGAGCAAAAAGCAAGTTTCCGTGCCTGGAGAACTAAATCAATTGAATCTCCACCTGGTATTCAAGATGTCATGGAACTCACCGCTGAGATTGATCGTGTCTCGGAGAAGAGACGCCGGTGCTTGGGACCGCGACTTATGAACATCCTACAAGCTACCCAGCAATTCGCTGCTTTAGGGGATATCATTGTTGGTGGATCTCAGAATCTACTTGCATGTGGTGTCTGGTCAATAGTGCGGATTTCGCTTCTACTAGTCCTCGACTTTTCCTCCTATCTTGAGCAATTGTCGAAGATATTCATGACTGCTGGCCGTCTTGCCCCGCGCTACGAAAAGATGGCTTTACTTTATCCTCGGTCAAAGGATTTACAATCTTGTCTTTGTGAATATTTTATTTTGATCGTACGCCTTTGCCATGAAATGACTACTTTTACACGCAAGTCAATTTTCGGGAAATTGACCTCCGCGCTTGGTGAATCGGACTTGAAGACATATCAATCAGAGCTAGAATCCTGGGGAAAGACAATCAAAGATGAAGTCGTGTTCTTGATGGCCAAGGGAATTGAGGACGAAGCCGAAAACAATTCGCGATTCAGAACGGTCTCGTCGATATTCCAAAAATCAACTGCATACCAGCAAGCGATTCAAACGAAACAGCGGGTACTTGATTTCTGCTCCAAGTACGATTGCACAGTGTCGTGGAAGCAAGCTCGAAAATCGGGCAACACTAATCTGTTTCGGGAGAGCCCCAAATATCAAGATTGGAAAAGTATGCCACTTTCTTCCACTCTCGTCTACACTGGGAAGTTGGGCTCTGGGAAGTCTGTCTTGCTTGCCAATATAGTGGACGATCTCCACATCCAGAATGAAAAGACCCATGTGGCATATTTCTTTTGCCGGCATGACGTCTCGGAGAGTCTAAAAGCGCGGGAGGTGATCGGCTCATTGGCTCGCCAGTTGTTATACCCTATAGCAGACTTCACGGCTGCCGCAGAATACTTGGATAGAACGGATCAGTTGGAACCGATGGAGAGACTAATGGGACTTCTTTCAAGCTGTCTTGCTCCCCTTCGTCAAACAACAAGGTTCTTCCTTGTTGTTGATGGGCTGGACGAGCTCGACGTGCATCAAAGAGACATCTTGATCCAGCAACTATCAGATCTTCAAAGTGAAACATTTGCAATGCTACTTTGCATGTCTCTTCGTGAGGATCCCAACGAGAACCCCCTCAAAACTAACTTTGCGCGACTTGCTGCGCCGGTTGTTACAGCAATTCCAAACAATACACCCGACATTGAGGATTTCATTGAAACAGAATTGGAAAGTCGAATCGAATCTGGACAGCTCACTATTGGCAGTCCTCTTCTGATCCTGGAAATTCAAGACGCTCTCTTGAAAGGATCACAGGGGATGTTCCTTTGGGTAGCCCTCCAAATCGAGTCTTTATGCGCCATGGAAAGTGACGAGGAGATCCGCCAAGGTCTTGCTGACCTACCGAAAGATCTCTCAGAAACATTCTCTCGTACTTTACGAACAAAGTCCCAACATACCCGCCAAAAGGAGATATTGGCCATTCTGACTGTGGCCCAAACTCCACTCACACTCCAGCAACTACGCGAAGCGTTATGTGTTGTACCGGGTGATTTGGACTGGAATTCAGATAGGCTTCTCAACAATATGCACAACACCTTGGCTTCTTGTGGCAGTCTCGTTGCCATTGATGAGGAGGAGCTTACTATACATCTTGTTCACCACAGTGTAAAACAGTTCCTCCTTGGTGAATTCAAAGATTCGACCGAAACCCTAGTCAATGTTGATGACGCTCATCAAATGATGGCAAGCATCATTGTCACCTACCTCAACTATAGCGTGTTTGAAACTCAAGTTTCAAAGACCGTAACACCTCACCTGCGAACCTCGTCGGTACCCTCTGAGGTGATTCTCTCAACACTCAAATCATCAACTGGTGTGCGAAACATGGCAATCAAACTCCTTCGATCCCGAAAAACGTCTGGTTTTGATATTGGAAAAGTTATCGCAGAGACGAAGATCCAGGGCCATTCTGTAGAGGAGCAGTTCTACTTCCACAAATATGCAGTATCATTCTGGCTATACCATGCCGTGCACGCCTTTGACCTCCCCGAGGCTATACACAAGTTATTACTCAGACTCTTGGATCGCAGGATACCTTTGGGCCTCAACGTTAATGACGAAGATATCGACAAATTATTGTCATGGTCCGCGAAAAAGAAACAATATGCATCTTTGATCAAGATTTTGCTTGATTCCGGCAACATGACATCAACGGAACGAGATATGACTTTGGATGCACTGCATATTGCTGCAGGCGAAGGACACGGTGCAATGATTAAAGTGCTCTTAGAGTGCGCAAAGATGAATGACATGATGATGTTTGAGGGATCTCACCCCCAGCGCCTACAACTATCCGCTCAAAACGACCGTGCGTGGATTGAACAACGGTCAGTTGATTCTGACAAGGTCAATGTCAACTCGAGGGATTCCCTACGATGGACTCCCTTACATCGAGCTGCTCTGAATGGACACACGTCGACCGTGATCTTTCTGCTTACGGTCGTCAACGCCAATCCTGAGACCCCCGATACAATGGGGCTCACCCCTTTGCATCTGGCCAGTATGAATGGTCACTCTGATGCGGTCAAGGCACTCCTTGATCACGGAAATGCAGACCCGAATGCTCTTGATGTAGAAGGCCGAACTCCCGGGGATCTTGCTTTGGAGAAACTCGATGACGAAACCATTTCAAAGCTAGATCCTCGGCTTTTCGGTTCTTCGAGAGAAATAATTGATGTTTACTCCGCCGAAGAACAGGCCGGTTCTTCCACTTGGTTGAATGGATTGATAGCAGACAAATGGACTACTAGTGGAAGTTATTTCCTAGGGTAATATAGTGCAAAGCTGTCCAAGCTTGTGTCACAATTTGAAGAGAGGCAAGGATACACACGAGTCCCTCAGGTTTTAAGGCGGAATAAACATCTTTGGAAATGCCCACAAGGCTATTGATTTTTTCGTTGCACATATTAGTCTCTCGAACATAGGATCATGAATTATGCGGTGTCCCGGCCCAACATTGTCAATATCGAACATAACACAATGGTGTAGCCAAGACCTTTTGTAAGATGCTAGAATGAAAAGAAACAGGTCTATGTCATCAATGCCTGGAAACAACCAAGTTGGGCAGACAAAAAAAAAAAAAAACCATAACGCGCCAGGACCAGCCAGGAAGAAAAGCGGGTGGAAAAGAAAAACAGTCAAGAAATGCTCCAAAGAGGGCGAAAACACATCATAGCCCTCAAACGCAAGACAAATATCGATGTCCCATTTACATTTGTCGCAATCCCTCCGCAAGACGCCGCTTGCCGAACTCCCAGGCGTTCATTAGACCCTGTTCTGTGAGATCGATATTCTTCATGTTGGGTGCATCAGCAGCCGGTGCGCGGCTGACACGCGAAGCGATCATAACCGGGTCTGTCTCGAGGATAATTCCGTCATCGATGGTCTCGTCAATGGTCAGGGAGACGAGGTCGTAGTTCTCGACGATAGTGCGCTTGTCGGTTGCGCCCCTGATGAACGATCTTGTTAGCACGGGCCGACCAAATTCCTCGCTTCGGATCAAAACATAACATACTTGAATAAGATTCCCAGAGCATCCCGTAGTGACAGCACGACATTGTACAGCAGCACCTCGTTCTCGTCGGCGCTTCCAACAACGTAAATCATGACGTCGCTCTCCATCTTGAAGACCACAATGCGGTTATCGTAAAGGATCACATCGCTAGCGGACTTGTTGGTCTTCTCAAGGAGGCCCTTCTCGAAGGCACGCTGCTCCTTCACGGTGGGATAGGGGTTGGCACCAGGGTAATCAGTCGAGTTCGGTGCGGCGCCGGCGGGGGCGTGTGGTGCCGAGAAGTACTTCGCATAGATGCGGGAGCCATCGTCAGCGGACATGACGAGGACCGCATTGACGGAGAAGAGGGAGAGAGAGCCGGGCATGGTGATTATTGTTGTGTTGGGAGCAATTGGGGAAATACTGTCCTTGTGATTGTTGATGCTCTCAACCGCCAATCTGGCCGGAGGCGGAGACGCATTAATGTTGTTCCGCCTTCAAGCTCCATACACTATGCGGGTGAAGTGCGGACTCAACGTACGTGATTGGGAATAATCCGTCTTTATTCCTATCTCCCTTGGCACTCGTACTCATTCGGCTTCTAATTATTTGTGTTCTACTCATTTGCTGTATATCGGTGTGATAGTTGGCTCTTTGCTGAATTGCCATACTACAATACTGGAATAAGATATACACCTCAAGATTTGGGATATGACATAAAATGAGTGGAAAGACATCATCGTGAAGGATACATGGGGAATAATATATATCAAGATAAACAAAAACCATGATGTATGAGACTCCGTTAGAAACCACATCGCATGGGGAAACATCGTGATCAGATCGCGTCAAAGGAAACATAAGAAGTTGGAGTCCTTGAAATAGAGGCGAGGTTTTCAAGGCATGAGATTGCGTTATGTGCATCATAGGGGGGGGAGGGGATGGGTATGTTAAAAATATGGTCCATGACCAGTTAAAGATCACATCAAATCATACTGCCCGGAGAACAAGGCCTACTGCGGCGCTGGTTCATCGGTGTTGGCGCGATTCAACCAGGGAATCCAGCTCGCGCGGTTCGCCTTCTTGCGTGCCGCTTCCTCCTCCTCCTTGACTCTAGCGGTTTCGCTGACAAGACGTAGAGGGCGCAACTTGTCCTGTTGCATCACCGCTCCAGTGTAGTTGTTCATGCCGCCACTGGATCGAGGAGGGCTGGAGGTAGCCCCGGTGGAGGCTGTGTCTCCGTGAGGATCACTTGTGACACTAGGGGAGGTGCTGCGACCGGTCCGATCTGGCTGGCTGGACATGGACGGTGCGCGGCTCATGCTGGATATATAGCTAGCTGCTCCTGAGAACATGCTCTGGCGGGATCCGGGTCCCATTGCAGTCGGGCTGATAGGTCCGCCCGAGTTGCGTCCGCCGCGGTACATGTGACCAACGACACTGGCGGCATTTGGGTCGACTTGTTCCGAGCGGCTGCGGCGGTGGCTGGCTCTCACAGACTGCGTACGGAAGGGAATGCTTGGCGCAGTGTTGGGGTTCTCGTTGGGGTTGTTCTGTGAGGGTTGCGGTGGAGGCAACATGCTGGTTGGACGCGACCGAGGTTGGGTTGAAGGGCGGGAATTTGGACCACCGACAACCGACTTCGCTCGTTGTAGGAGACTTTGTGACGAACCATCATCCTTCTCCGGGGGAGTTGGTGGGAGCTCCTTTTCACTGCCCCCGGTCTTCGTGGTAGAGGTTTCCTCATCCTCGTTCCGGTCCAGAATATGCTCAAATCCATCATGCATAAGCAATCTGCTGATGATGCGCTCTATATAGAGTGTGAGGGCCTTGTTCTGATCTTTCAGAGCCTTCACCTCTCCGTCCGGTTGTGCTGCATCGGTTTCGGGCGCCTCATCCACAGATTCAAGCTCATCTGCTAAGGACCCCAGTCCACCTGCCGACTCCTTTGCGGGGTTGGCATCTCGCATGAACTCGCCCTTGGCAAAGTCCCCAGTAAGAGTCTTCTCGCTGAGAAGAAGTTGATAGCTTTCATTGTCTTCCATCAAGCGAGCGTTAGCCACGCGGGCCTCGAGCAAGTCTTTCTCCAGTTCTCGCTGACGACCGCCACCGTTCTCCATCTCCACCAGTTTGATCTGTGATTCGGCCAGTTCGAGGCGTAATGACTCGATGAGTTTGTCTTTCTGGAGGAGAAGGGTAGAGTTGTTGCGGGACGGGCTCCGCTCGATGTGCGAGGAGGGCGCAAATTGACCATCCAGGTCCGGGGAAGATCGGTTGCGGAAGCTCGCTATAGCGGGGGTTAGTCTCTGAATCTAATCATCGGTGTTTGTAGAAGCATGGGTGTCTTACAAGATCGGGAGACTTGGTTGCGATCCCCTTCTGCGTTCATGCGCATGTCCTTCTGTGCCATCGAGTCCTTCAGCCGTTGAATAGTCGCCTGCATTTCTTCTTCCCGACTAGTCTGTTGTTCTTTCTCTTGGAGCATAGCGTTCCGCTCCGACTCGTGGTTTTGTTCCAGATCCCGGATCTGACGACCCTGGTCCCGAATGTCACTGTTGAGGGCCTCGATCCGACTGTCTCGCTCATGAGCCTGGTCCTCCAACTTGGTTTGTTCACTGATCGCTTCATCGAGGCGCATTTGCAGAACGCCGAGCTGTTTTTGGTATTGTTCGGAGGCATTTTCGGCCTTCTGAAGCTGTTCCCGCAGTTCCTCGATGAGGGCGGCATTCTGAGCCCGCGCCTCTTCTTCGGAGGGGTCGTTGGAAACCCTTGGTACGTTTGACATGCTGAGGTTGGAACGGCCAGGTTTTCTTGCAGCTGCGCGCGCGGAGACGGGAGTTGAACCTCTTAAGGAGGGGGAACGGTTGAGACCGTTGGTTGCGCTGGGCGAGCGTGCATGCCCTCGTGTGGACCCGTTGCTGGAGTGCGGATCTGCGGTTGATGATTTGCTGGAACTGCCGGGTGTTCCAGGCTTTCGAGGCGTTGCTGACATGGTGAAAGGTCCCAAGTCCGACGTTGGTGAATGTATAAGAAAATAAAACGTATATAACCCCCTATTATACTTCAATTGGGAGGAGAGAAAAGAAGATTTCAGGGTTGCAAGTGTAAATTAGGAGCGGTCAAAACCTAGTGGACACCTTGTGGAGAGCGCTTGTATGGGAAGATCGAAGACCAGGAATGCAGTTGAAAGCTGTCACAGATTGATTGCGGGCCACATGGTTGTTCGAAATTGGAGATTCATCGGAAACAATGGTATGAAAGTCGGAATGAGAAAGGAAATTGACAAAAGTGATGGTTGCAGACCTTAAATCAAAGTTGTTCTTGTTAGGGAATGCGGATCCCCTTACTGTATCTAAAAATACGCAACGGCTTTGGGGGCTGGAGCAATACGAAGAGTAAGGACTTTCTGGAAGAGGAAAAAGAAATCCGGGAGTTGCTGAAATAAGGAGGTTGTATAACTTGTTTTTATTGTTCCACAACAGTTCTGCTGGGGACAACCTGTTGATATCGCATGAGGCCTATGAAAGAACCAACCGTTCCCGGTAAGGGGATGGATGCCTCAGGCTTCACATAGGAATAATGTAATTCCTTCTCCACACTTAATTGAGATCTCCATAGTGTACGTACGGAGTACACTCTGCATCCACATCAATCCAGATTACTTTGCATTTCTTGGAGTTCTCAAGTACTTGAAGCCTGACTTGGGCATCTAATATGCACATGTCTCCGACATCACATCTCTATCATCAGGCACGGCGGCCCAACAGGTGAAAACAGGTTATTTACAGAGGCTCACCCTGGCGATGAAATCCAACAATATCATCTGGGTGCCACGACTATCATGAAAACTGCATTCAGGCAAGGCCAAGTTGGTCATTATCGCTGCTAACAGTCCGAGCTCGAGTACTCCGTACGGATGCATGCAATGCTCGCCAAGACCCCAGGGCATCATCTCTCGGGCAACCACATGAGTCACTTTCTTTGTTATCGCGCCAAAGCCTGACAACGTGGACTAATAATCGCAACGGATAACATATCAAGTTGGGTGCCATCAGCGCCACCAGCAATCGAGTATGAGTGACTCGGACATCCTCTGGCGCTGTTTAGGTGGGCTATGAGGGGAGAGCAGGGATGGTAATGATGGATCGAGCTACGCGTAGAGAGGATCTGATTGACCTCTTCTGAATTGAAACCATGGACTGATATCAAAAGTACGTACTTCTCGGTGGAGCAGCACTTCATACAAAGGAACTGAACGACATGACCCATGCACCTCTCAGACCTCCCGACCCCTAGAGGTCGGTGAGAGTGATGTAATATATTACAATTATTATGTATCATTAACATGAAAGATGAAAAAATACATCTAGGTGTATCCAATCAGCTCTTCCAAGGTTCCATGGTTAGAACATGGCAGATCGTTCATTCTATTAATATCTTTAGTGCCATCTTGCCTCATGTTCTTTTATAGGCACCGACAGTAACCGCACTACTACTGTTCCTAGGAAGGCTGGTTCTAATGAGGCACTAGACATTGAGTTCTCTCCAGGCGATATAGTAGGAGTATAGCATGTAGTAATTCCGAAATTGCGGGGGTCGAACTCCGAGAACTCCGAGAACTCTGGAGGCCCTCCAGGGCTGTCGATGTTATCCTCCTTGCCCGGTTATGGCCTTTTCTGTCCTTGTTTGTGCTGTGGAGTAAAACAAAATAATATATTGACTTCTGTGATTTGGGTGAGGATAGGGAAATAGAGAAAAAGGATCTTCCCAGATGTCGTGGCCTCCTCTCATACTAAAAAGCTCCCCTAATGCCCTACTAGGACCTCTCGGCGTCGGAATGGCAGACTTGCATCCTGTGAGCCTTGTCGCAAAGACAAAGTACGGTGCGACCATGTACTACCTATATGCTCTCGCTACCAACAACGGGGCATCGCTTGTCGGTGTTTTTACCGTCCTGCATCTTTAACCAATGCCAATTGGATACGACGGGATGAAGATAGTCCTGTTGGCCTGTAAGTATGAATGATCTGATTGTTTCCGTATGGATGGCTAATGATAAAGGGGAAGATTATTTTTCTTGTTTTCCTCCTGCATATGGACTAGATAGTGCCTGGCACTCGACACCTACGATATAGTAGCATAGCGAGTATTATATGATGTAACGAAATATATATAGTTTACGAGTCCAGTAAGTTAGATCATGGCATTGAACTATGACTACTACGGTAGATAAAGGAGCTATACCTAATAGAAGAAAGACTACTAAAGGACTTAGTATAACAGGCTAGGTGTACGATTGCGAGAATCGGCCTATAACACATTTCTAAGCAACTGTATCCTTCTTGACTTGATCAACATCAGCACCCCATGGCACATTCCCCACAAACGCCTTCTGATTCTGATTGCCTGGTTGCTCCGCATCAAAGTCCAAACGATCAGGAATTTTCAATCCAGCTGGGAAATGGTATCTCACAAACCATGTGGATACCCCGTCCCGGTACAGCCAAGGGTCCTCTGTCCGTCGCTGCCATGTCTCCAGTCTCGTCCTCAGATCATCCAGCACAGCAGCATGTTCCGGGTCTTTGACAAGATTGACCACCTCATTTGGATCGTTCTCCAAATCATACAGCTCTTCTGGTGCGCGGAAAAAGAAATCCTTGAGCTTTCGCTCCCCGATCATAATCTCACTATCTGATGAGTTCCGAATATCTTCCCAAGAAAGAGACCCATAGATGTCAGCGGCAAAGGGAAAGTCTAGACGCCATGCCAGATTTCGGTGGTATTTGTACCGTCGATCCCGAATGAATCTTGTCGGCCAGTAGTTCGTCACTTCGTGGAAAGTATGCGAGCCGAATACTTGGTTCCACTCTGATATTTTGGCGTCGGTTCCAAGGATAGGGAGCAAGGATCGTCCAAGGCGCTTCTTCGCTGGGTCTACTACGCCCGGATGCCCAACATAGTCAAGCAAGGTGGGGAGGATATCGACGTATGAGACCATGTCAGAGTTGACCACGGGCTGGACTTTTGGATGCTTGATAATAAGGGGCAAACGCACACCCGCATCGAAAAGAGTTGTTTTGGAGTTGATGAAAGGTGGGCCGTTGTCGCTGATAAAGATGACGAGAGTTGATTCAGCCAAGCCAGCCTTTTCGAGGGCATTCAAAACAAAACCGATACCCTGGTCCAGGCGATGAATTGAGTTATAGTACTCAGCCAACTCGAACCGGGCACCGGGAGAGTCATTGATAAAGGATGGAATCTCGACAGTATCACTACTGTAGGAGCCCTTCTTGATTCGGGGGTCGTATTCTTGGTCGTTGCCAAATCCACCTCGTGTGCGATCACGATGTGGATCATGGAAACCAATCGTTAAGAAGAAAGGCCTTTCATCTTCCCGAGACTCTTGGAAAAAGTCATTGGCTTGATCAGCGATCACAGCCACATCCCTCGTTTCACTCTCCTTGGAGACCTCCCAGGGATAGACTGCCACCGGTCCGACATGAATCTTTCCCAGGATACCAGTCCGATATCCGCTTTGATTCAGCAGCTTTGGTGCAGTTTCAACATGATCAAACGTGACAAAATGATGGCGGTGACTGGCAAGTCCGTACTGGCCGTTCTGGTGGGTGTGCAGGCCGGTATAGATTACGGAGCGGCTGCCGCTGCAGGACGCGGTGCTTGCAAAGGCATATTCAAATTTGGTACCTTCTGCAGCGAGATGGTCGATATTGGGTGTCTTGATAGTTGATGCCCCGTAACAACCAAGTTGCTTACCGAGATCATCGGCGACCATCAACAGCACATTTTTTCTATTTGACATGATGACCCTATAGATCACTCGAGTAAACCCTTTACGAGCAACTGTTTTAATGGGGACGTGGAGAGAGAAAAACCACCGATTGGAAAGATATTTTGTTATTGTACCTCTTGTGTCATTGGTGGATTTACTCCATTTGGAACTAGCCTATCTTTGTTAGGCTTGCTATAAGCGCGATCTGACACTAAGATGATGTGCTTGCTAGTAAATGGTCGAATACTATGTCACTAATGCTTAGTGTCTCGAAGACTTTGATCAAAATTTAAATTGCAAATGTTGTCATCCGCACAGCTCTTTGGCAATCCTCCCAACTTCCCTTACACAACCCACTTCTTTGATAGAGATATAATACCCTATCTGGACAGCTCGGGAATATTTCCCTCATAATCTAACGGTATTATCCGACTAAATTATTGGAGTGGATTTGTCTCACTCGTCACATGGCAATGTCGAATCGCGGTGGATACTAGTTCATGGAGGAATTATGGCGTCTTGTATTAAAGATATTGTGTTGAAGGGACTGAAGACCCTATACAGACGGATTGTATACTAAAGGTAGAACCCTAACTAGAAATATAATAAGATAGAAACCAAGAGTGACAAGAAATTGAATTGCACCTATTCATCACTTCAAGATGAGATTCACCGGTTTGCTCTTGCTACCCTTGTTGCGTATCACTGCAGGCCAACTCATTGGCCCCGTTGGTCCAACAACCGACCTTCAACATAAAACAGTCGAATGCAACATTCTTGATTATGGCGCTGTAGCTGATAACAAGACTGACATATCCACTGCACTGGAGACGGCTTTCTCGAACTGTGTTCGCAAAAATCCGGGTGGCCGTCTAATTGTACCCGAAGGAGAGTATTTGATCGAGCGAGGTGTGACTCTCATCAATGGCACCAATTGGGCATTGCAATTGGATGGGCTGATCACAGCTGCATATGGCGGTGACTGGAATATTGCGCGTGAGTTGGTACTCCAAGGATTTGCAGGCACAGAGATTATCAATGCAACTATCAACGGGGAGGGTGATAATAAGTTTTTATTAGATGTGCTCGTTATTGTCAATGGTGAGTTCACATTTCCAGATACCTTTGGAGCTTAATGTTGACAAAACAGCTGTGGATTTCGAGTTCTATTCTTCCAATGGCAAAGGCGCGTTTCAAGGACAGGGTTATCTCTACCGAAATCTCAACAAGTAAGTCATAGATCATTTATTTGAAAGGCTGTGAGGCTAACACAGGAATTAAAATTCTAGCACGGATCGCCCGCGCTTGATACGTTTGATCTCTCCGACCAACGCCTCAGTCCATGACTTGATTCTAGTCGACAGCCCCAAGTTTCACATTATCTTGGACTTTGCTGTCAATGTTGAAGCCTACCATTTAACCATCCGGGGAGCAAACCTGGGCAGTTATGATGGTATTGATGCCATTGGAACGAATTATTGGATACACGACAATGAGGTATGCGTCTCAGGTTGCAATCTTTATGTTTCACCCGAACTAATTATTGTAGGTTACCAATCGTGACGAGTGTGTTTCGGTGAAAAGCCCTTCTCACCATGCCTTGGTTGAGAACCTGGTGTGCAATCAAGCAGGCTCTGGTATATCTATTGGCAGTCTGAATGTGTCTGCCGAAATATCCAACATCGTCAGTTCCAACCACGTGTGAATATCCCATCAAGAGCTAACATTGCACTAGGAAGCACGCAATATCAGCATTATCCAAGGTAACAACATCGCTTTCATCAAAACATATCCTGGTGGATCAGGCTACGTTACAAACATCACCTTTTCGAATTTCCGCTCTTTGGGAAGTCTTTATGGGTTGGATATCAACCAATACTGGCAGAATACCTTTGAGCCTGACACTGGTGCTGTTGCATTGAGTAACTTGGTTTTCCGAAATTTCTCTGGTATGTCGTTGACAAATGTTGGATCTGGCGATATTCTTACAAAATTATCAGGCTCTGTTGCCAATGGAGCACAACGCCCTCCCCTTTACCTCGTTGCGAATGATCTCACATTTGCTACCAATGTCACCGTCGAAGATTTCACAGTGTGGACAGAATCGGGTACTTCGGTTGTAAACAAGATCAGCAACATCTTTGGCACTGGGGATGACAGCTATGGGTCAAGTAATGGTATCAAGTCACTCGGTAATGGAGAATCACCTTCACCCTATTCCAGCACCTACACTATTGCAGCATCCCCAACTGGCTGGAAGGCCCCCGCGACTCCTACTTGGGCTGTACCTAGTACGGGCTATGGAAGTAAGCTCTTTGCCCGTTTCTTTTCTTTTTCTTTCCTATCAGGTAACTAATCTTTCTACAGCTGCATCTCCCATTCCGGTCTATAGCCCAGCTCCTCTGTGGCGCCCAGGTGGTGTGGATTATGATTTGCACTACTGGGGAAGCTTCTAAGTGACAGCTTATCATTGGGGAAGTCGAGCATACGCGGGCTGAAACAATCCCATTTGTTCTACGTTCTCTGGCAGCGCGGCGATTGTTTGGTATGCGCGAGGTGGTAGATGCTGCAAGGGGTTATTTGTACATAGTCAATGCAGGTACAAGAAGAGAAAATCAGATTTTACATTTATCTGTGGCAAGATTGTCCGACAGCTTTACGATAATATCTAGTACTTATTGTTTCTGCCTTTGTTTGTAATGATAGAGCTCATTGCTTGGATAGGTCGTCAAGAAACGACGTCATCCCTACTATGTAGTAGGTCCCTAATTTGGTGCATATTCTCAAATCTTCGGTGCACAATACAGCAAATCTTGTTAGAATCAAGATCTCTTCATACGGCGTCAGTAGAATTAACATCCCGAAACTAGCGCTTGAGTCATTGCGGTTAATTAACCATGCCGTGAGATGAAGGTCCGGTGAACAGAACCGACTGACGCGAGAGCGCCGATATTGATAGTGGCGTTACGATCCTTAATTCTCATAGAAATCCGAGAAAGTAGATATATTATTGTAAGACAATATTTTCCACCAATCCGAGCAATCATAGTCCAAGATGCCCTCCGGTCATTGACTGGATTTGGCAAAAGTTGATGCAATCAGGCGTGATGATGGCGCAAACATCGGCTAAATATCAAAGGCTTGTTTTCATTCATCCAGATAGTTATCTTTGACTTACACCCTTAGAGATTTTTCCTTTGAACTTAACACCCAGGCGCTCTTTAGACCGTTATAGCGTACTTTTCAAATACTAGGAGGAGTTCACTATCTCTCCATTGGGAATCCTTGCGTTCGCTGGCGTGAATGGCATCATGCGTATTCTTGAGCACGCATTCTGTGCGACTTTTTAGTCTGGATCGAATTATATTGTTATTCATTTCATTTGATATAAAATGTTCGATTTCAACAATGGATAGCTTTAAACAGAGTGCTTTTGTCTTTTCCTTGTGTCCTTGATTTTCGACTACACAAAGGATAACCATGGCATCGACATTTTCCAAAGAGTTTCCGGCATCGGATTCTGAGCCTCAGATTGACAATCATCATGACAAAAACGGTTCTGTGGTGACAACCCTTGCCGAGCCAGAAGAGCAACGAGAGTCTCAGTCTGTTTTTGCTGCACTTTTCTCTCGGAAACGAAAGGTCGACCCAGACTCGATTGCGACAGTTCGAAGTGTGTTTGATGATCCCTTGTTAGGGCAATTTTACCAGCCCCGTCCGGACTACGAGAATCTGCACAGATTTGATCCGGAGGAAAGATGGACTCACCGTGAAGAAGTCTCGGTACGCCGCAAGACCGATTGGACGATTTTCTTGTGGATCCTTGTCATGTTCTTTGGACTCAATCTGGATCGAGGCAACCTAGGAAATGCGGCGGCTGATAACCTGCTCGACGATCTGAAGATCACCACCAACGACTACAACAACGCGCAAAACATGTATCGTATCGGCTTTCTTATTGCTGAGATACCGTCTCAGATGCTTGGAAAGAGATTGGGTCCAGACCGTTGGATTCCCTTCCAGATCATCTTGTGGAGTTTGGCATCCGGAGGCCAGTTCTTTATGCAGGGTCGCTCTGGCTTCTTCGCATGTCGCTTCTTCATTGGCCTGTTCATGGGTGGCTTCATCCCAGATGCAGTTTTGTACCTTTCGTACTTCTATACGAAGTCTGAAATGCCGTTCCGTCTTGCATTGTTTTGGTTCGTTGATTCCATGTCAGGTGTTATTGCCTCATTCATCGCCTATGGTGTTCTGCACATGCGTGGTGTAGAAGGCCGTGAAGGATGGCGATGGCTGTTTCTCATCGAGGCACTCATTACTATCGTGATAGGATTCCTTAGTTTCTTATTCTTGGTCCCGGGTCCTACCCAGACAAAGACTTGGTGGAACCCTAAGGGATACTTCACCGAAAAAGAAGAGAAGATCATTGTCAACCGGGTGTTGCGAGATGATCCGTCCAAGGGCGACATGCACAATCGCCAGGCCCTTTCTCTCAACATGTTGTGGCAAAGCTTGATGGACTACGATCTGTGGCCGATTTACATCATTGGAATGCTTTTCGAAATTCCCACTTCACCACCTAAAACGTATTTGACACTTTCACTAAAAGCGATTGGATTTGGCACCTTCCAGACCACCTTGTTGACAATTCCTGTTACTGTCTTCGCCTCCATCAATTTGGTGCTCGTGACTGAGTTGTCCGAGCGCTTACACGAAATCTCCATCGTCGGTCTTCTCACTCAGATCTGGAGTCTTCCACTTCTCGTCGTCCTTTACACATCAGCTGCATCGCTATCAAACTGGGGCTTGTATGCGGCTACTTTCATTCTGCTGGGCTGGCCGAACCCGCACGCAGCACATGTTGGCTGGTGCTCACGTCTCAGTAATACTGTGCGAACTCGAAGTATCAGTGCGGCGCTCTACAATGTGACCATCCAACTTTCTGGAATTGCATCCTCAAACATCTACCGCAGTGACGATAAGCCACACTACCGTCGTGGAAACTCGCAACTCATCGCTATCAACGTCGCTACTATGGTTGCCTATATCCTGGCAAAGGTATACTACGTGCGCAGGAACCAATGGAAGAAGGCTCAATGGGACAAGTTCTCACCAGAAGAGAAGGCAAGTTATCTGAGCACTACCACTGATCAAGGAAATAAGCGATTGGATTTCCAGTTCCATAGTTGAGCCCTATTTCCAGGTGATATCTGCTACATCTGTATTTAGAATTTGCCCTCTTTAAGGTGTTTTCTTCTTTTTCCTCGCTATATATCATACACTAGGAGGAAAAGAAATGTCTTCGATCCAAAAAGCTCTCCGTATATCATTCAAAGTTCAGCTAGGCAAATCTATGTAAAAGTTCCCGATCATATGAATGTACATGTCTATGCCTCATTCCTGTTACCGAGGAGAGCATCGCGCTCTGATAACCGTGGCTTATTCTCCGCCGATACCTCCCGATACAGACCAAAGTGCTGAAAGATAAAGATGAGATCGAATAGAACGGTGATATTGCCCAGCAGGAGTTTGGCGATGTTGCCGACCGCGCCCGACCAGTCCCCCTGCAACGATGAGTCCAACACCAACTGTATCAGCGACAGAATCGCACCGGACAGATCTAGCAGGATCGCCCCGATGGAAAACCCCGCCGTTGATTGCCGCCGATAATTCATCACCGCCTGGGGTGTGTATTTAACGGCGGTCAGGAACACCTTGATCATGCCGATCACATAGACCTTAGGCGAATATTTCAGTCAGCACATGTTGACTAGTTAATTATTTCATGTGCCGGGTTGTCCTCTTACCACATCAATCCATTCTCCCGACGCCGACACCAGAACCCACAGAACGGCCAGAGGAACCACCCCCAGACAGCCCCAGAAGACTACGAGAGCCAAGATACTCGCCCGCTGCGGCTTAGAATCAAAGTTCCAGAACCGCGCGCAGAGAAAGTGGCTACCAATCCAGCAACATATCAGCGCCCCGTGGAGGGCGTAGACAAAATCGTTCCATTGGACGGTCGGTTCAGGGCTCTGCGGGTGTCGCTGGGCATACTGGGCGCGCACGACCGGCGAAGATAAGAAGCAGGCGTTGGAAACAGCGTATGCGGATAATCCCAGTACGTTGAGCAGAGCAAAGTCAATGGAGAAGCCATCTGTCGAGCGGCGGCGGTGGTTGTGCAGAACTTGCGGGTAGAAAGACAGCGACCATAGGACGAAATAGGCCCAGCCTAGGATTTGAGAGATACTTTCTGTCCAGGTGACATTCATCATGAAAATGTCAACATGGACAGAATTGTTCTCGTTAAGGACCATCCTCATTACAGGTTTCGGAATAGACTCAGAGTTCGGGATATCCGGAGTTCAGCCTCAGCGAGCCTCAACGGTGATAAGATCGACAGAGGTTTTGTTTCGGGTACATAGATAGGCGCTAAATTTGCACCGACTATGACGACTGGGTAGCTCAGGTGGCTAAAGAGCAACAGCCAGATGGTCCATTGGCACCACTAATGCCCATGCTCCGAGAGCCAGTCCTAGGTCCATTTTCGCGCTGGGCAGCAAGTCTTATACCCCATTGTATCGCTCAGATCAGACAGCAGAGGTGCTGCGAAACGGGCCGGATATTACATATCGTTCGTTGGATGGTGCGACAATTTGTCAAGTTCGGGAATCGAAGGGGATTTTACGACGTGCCGGTTATGTGTTGATCTTCAGTTTTTAGCTAAGAGTTCAATATCAGTCAATGTTTGCCATGAAATGTATAGGGGGTATGAGGCTAACAAACGAATCTCGTGGACTAGAGATGGGGTGATGGAGGCAGCGATATCTCTGCTCGGGCAGTAGCTCATTCCTGTCATTCCAAACAGGTTAAGCTCAGAACTTAGAAACGAATCACTTACGACTTGTTCAAATAAGGGTACGAGCCGAGAAACAACTTGAAGGTATGGAGTGAATTTGTTTTCGAAACTACTGTGAAGTACTGGACTCTGTCATACCTGATCGTGAAAAACATTTGAAGAAACTCCATCCCAATGTTCTGGTTCACACATACATGTACATATATGTAGTTCAACGCGATACCCTCTCTATCATTCTATATATATATATATAGACCTGGCTGACATGTCATGTACGGGCTGGACATTCATTTCCCTGATTCACTAACTCCTAAGCCCTTTGTAAACAGATAATAGACACGATTAATACACATGAACTGCAGCATGGATAAAGCCTTTTTCGCCTTTTTTTTTTTGTTTCCCGGGTAGAGAGAGTTAGGGCTTTTGAACTCCGCAACACTGGGATTTCGGAGTTTGGTTCGGAGTTCTTCGGTATTAGTCATCAGCTGCAGGTCGGGTCCGAGGTCATCGCATCCATAGCATCAACATAGCAATACATAAACCTTTGTGAATCAAGCACTGAAGAAGGTTAATGAAGCAATGTCTTAAATAAACGCAACAATGAAGACGAAAAAGAGCCCATTCAGGTCCTCGGGAACTAATCTCGAGGCACAAGGATCCAATTAGACCAGCCTATCAACATGCCAAACCACGACGATAATCACCTCCCTCAAGACCAAATTTTCCGGGGAGCTGCCCTAGGATATGATACCAAACGAATGGATTCCTGTGGTAATAATGCCGTTGACATCTGCGGGAAAGACGAATCGCAAACACCTCGTCGAAAGCGTGGAGATGATGTCGGAGACTATCCGTGGTCAAATCAGCCAGTTCAACGAAGAGTCCCACCCCGGACTCCAAGACCAGACTTCTATCCTTACGCCAATGGGGGAGACCCTCCGGGCGATGTGGTCCGAGCTTCTGAATGTGCCTGTGACTCACATGCATGGGTGAACATCCTTCCTCCGCATTGGCGGGGACAGCGTGTCGGCCATACAGTTGGTGGCTCAATGCCGTACGCAAAGGCTGTCCATAAGTGTTCGAGGTGTTCTTCGATTCAAGACACTCTCCAAAGTTGCACCACGAACGACGCATTCCGTCTCACAAATCACCCAGCTGGAAAAGACGGTGGCCACTGAACGCCCGCACTCGCTTTCGCCTATTCAGCAGATGTGACTTGATGACCTCACCGCCGAACATATCCCAGGCTTTATCCAGACATTTTGCTGCGAATCAAATCAAATATTAAAATGTGAAACTAGTTGATGCGAGATCTAGGCGGTCATCATTAGACACCACATGCTCCGAGCCATATTTGGCAGAGACGCTGAAGGGAAGTGGTCACAATACATATCTATGACAATCTTGCTCAAACATGTCGTGGGGAGTATAGAAGAGACTGTTCAAAGGGATCTTTCTACAGGCCTGGGCTACAGTAATTTGATTGACCACGTCATGCTTCCTCAGCAAAGGTCTTGCCACTTACGTATCTTTCTGTTTTCAGTCGATATATTTTTAGCTTTTCAAGCAGGCTATTACAAGACTCGGAGTTTACGGGGAAATGAAAGGGTAATACCCGAGACACAGTAATCCTTTCAAGTACTTTGTACATCAAAGAGAGTGAGGGAGTGCTCCATTTATAAGCACGATAAAAGTGGACCGAAACGGGATTAGTGGAGAAAGCTTTTGGCCAATCATAAAGTGAAACTGCGACCTTTCTGGGGCCTGAGCGCTCAGGCATTAATAGGGTTAAACCCTTTTGCCACAGTGCTGCTTGGAAATCAAGACCCGTGACCACAGCGAAATCGACCCTCTTTTCTCTTTCTCCTTCCGAACCCTCGACAACCACCGACAACCTATACCCAGTTCGCAGGAAGTGCCATCACCACCCTTCCAGCACTCAAAATGGCCCGTCGTCCCGCGAGATGTTACCGCTACTGCAAGAACAAGGTGCGTGCCGATTTCGATTTCGCGAGCTTTTGAAGATTTGTGCGGGTTATCTTGGTGCGGGGAGTGTCCATCAAAACGTCGCCAACGACCACCTCGCCATGACCGGAATGTCCCTTTGCTATGAGGAGTGATTCTCGTGGCACTGTGCTTGTGCATTTTTTTTTTGTATCTTTTTTTATTAAGATGGGCGGTTTTCGCTGACATCAGTCCTCAACATCCAGCCTTACCCCAAGTCCCGGTTCAACCGTGGTGTTCCCGACCCTAAGATTCGTATCTTCGATCTTGGTCGTAAGAAGGCCAACGTGGATGACTTCCCCATGTGCATCCACTTGGTTTCCAACGAGTACGAGCAGCTGTCCTCCGAGGCTCTCGAAGCCGCCCGTATTTGCGCCAACAAGTACGTTACTCGATCCGCTCCCACATCTCTCGCCTGACATCCATGGACACAATCTCATATAACTTTCAATAGGTACCTTGTCAAGATCGCCGGTAAGGAAGGTTTCCACCTGCGCGTCCGTGTGCACCCCTTCCACGTCGTCCGTATCAACAAGATGTTGTCTTGCGCTGGTGCCGATCGTCTGCAGACCGGTATGCGTGGTGCCTTCGGTAAGCCCCAGGGTCTCGTCGCCCGTGTGAACATTGGCCAGATCATTCTGTCCGTCCGCACCCGTGACGCCCACCGTGCTACCGCTCTCGAGGCCCTCCGCCGTTCCCAGTACAAGTTCCCCGGTCGCCAAAAGATCATTGTCTCCAAGAACTGGGGCTTCACCCCCGTCCGCCGCGAGGAGTACCTCCAGCTCCGCCAGGAGGGCAAGCTCCTCCAGGACGGTGCTTACGTTCAGTTCCTCCGTGGTCACGGTTCCGTTGAGAAGAACATGAAGCGCTTCCCCGTTGCCTTCGAGAACGTCGCTTAAATGGTGATGGGTTGATCAGAATATGAAGTTCAGAACGAAAATACTTGAATGTTCTTATTGTCTTTACCTTGTCCCATTCATCTTGATATCAATCTCGTGCAATCGCAATGATGGAGTTCTTCCAGGGGTCTTTTCATTTGCTCGCCTATATTGCACTTGTAGAACTGTTCATCTACCTACGCAGTACCGTAAACTACGTAATATTTTCGCTCTTTTCGCTCCCATCCCTGGAGTAGGCACTCGAGCTTTTCCGACCATGCACAGATCATGCGAGGTGCAGTCATTTGGTGGATATCAATAATCTAGCAAAACTAGCAGAAGTCTAGACCCAACTCCATAATAGGCTTTTTTTCAATGATCAGAGCACAGATGAAATAGGGCTAGAATATGGGTCATGTCACGCAAGACTGCAGCATCACCCATCCATTGCATAACATTGTCCTTCGGAGAGCGTTTCTTGTTCCCTCGGGGTTTTCAATAGTTACATGCAGGTTAATTATGAAAAAGGCTGGGCGTAATTCGAACGCAAGAAATAACAACAGGTTAAAGTTGGTCTTTGGTGTTCAGTATATATATTCCAAGGTCATCACGCATTCTACATCTACAACCAACATTAAGACTAGATCAGATTTACGTTTGCTATTAAGAACTAAGTCAAGGCCCATTCATTTGTTCAGCTCACTACTATGTCCATTCTCTTGAAAAAAAAGATTATATGGACGTCAAAAGCATATAACCTCCTTAGGCGGCGACCCACCACAACGTTCCTTGTGCAATTCACCAGCAGCTAAAAGGAAAACAATTAGCCCAAGCCATAAAACAAATATAATGTCGCGTGACACCAATTTGAAGTTGAATAGCAACAGAAGCGGGATGGGTGAGGAGAATATACCTTTCAAGTCTGCCGGGGTACAAGAAAGCTCCAGACATTTACCGAGCGTATCCTTGAACGCTTTGCTTGGGCAAGTGCACTTGGAATCAATAGAGGAGATACAGCCTGCTACAGCAGAGGCTTCGTTGAGACAACGAATCTGTTCAAAATAAGGAAAAGGTGGTTAGTCTTCTGAGTCCACATCATACACCCCGATAGGGACAGCATACAAGGCAGGGACTGGCATCATCCAGACCATCAGCGACAGTCAAAGACAGGAAAGCAGCCAGCGGGAAGAAGATAGTGAGCTTCATTTTCGATTGATATTGAATTGATATTGAACGTGGGTGTAGTAGTGGTCTAATGATAGAAGACTGGGAGTATGAAAGTGGAGGAGTGGAGGAACATAGGACGCCCTTGCTCGATTTATCAATAGTCGGTCTATTTGTGTAGTGGTAGGAAAGACAATGCATTCTTCGTCATATCGGTATCTCAGCATCAACAAACCCGGTGTCTGGGTGATCTGTGGAATGGCATTTCATTGGAATGTGAGATCATATAAATTTTTGGAGATGACAACATTGAATGTTACGACGCTAGATAATACATAGATTGAATACCACGCCTAGCTGTTACTAGTCATTGCAGAATGGTGTTTTGACTTAATTGAATGCCCCAAGCAAATATTGACTTTTGTGATGTGACACCTGGGCACTCTTTGCTGGCCACTCAGGGAGAGATAGGTAATTTTCCAGCTGTCAAAAATATCAATAAGACATCACCTTTGATTCACTAAACTGTCAGCTGATTTATTTACGGGAATATCATTGAGTGTAGAGCTCCAATATAGCTCCATATGCACGTATGTTGCTTTATTGCTCAGAACCGCTTAAGACCGGGACGACTACTAGCTTTGATGTTGGAGCTTACATGATACTTCTAAGGTTATTTACCTAGTCATTTCTTAATGATATTTTCTTGTCAGTTCGAGATGCCCACAGCAAGAGACCGAACGCCCAGTGGTGCTATGCACCTCAAAGAACAACCCGCGAGCATCCATCCGCATCAAAATCACAATTTGGTCAGATACAGTAGTCTTTTGGTGATGGGGTCCGTGACATGCGCCATCCAGGAGCTGTCGTATTGGATACCCCCCAGTGTGGCTTGGACCTGGACAGGAAGATCGGCTCCAAATGTAGGGACTTCCTGAGCTACCTTGGCAAATTGATGATCTTTCTTCGATAGAAATCCTGCAACGGATGCTGCAGCTATAAGAGAGCGTACCCGGTGTCCCATTGGTAAGTTGACAACCGAGCGGATGTCTTCGGGGGTAAGATGGCGAGTGTTTGCATCCGGGCATCTTGGCTCGCAGGGTGGAGGATTGGCGATAAGAGTCTCTTTCAGGAAGATAGTGACCTTTGGTCCGACTTCATTGATGCCGAACATATCAGCAAGCCTCGCAAATTTGATTAATGCTGAGCTCTTGGCTCCTGGTTCCTGAATTGCACAACCGATATTGCCAAGATATAGCCAAGTTAGGAGGACCTCGAAGCTTTTGACAGAGATAACACCTTAGATCTCTTCGATAGTCGCAGATTGCTCTATGCCTTCCCGAAAGCTCCCAGAAAACATTCTTGCAATATATGGACATCGAGATACAAGAACAGCTCTCGAAAGGGTGTACTCGGCGCCGAAGGGATTAAGCTGGATCTTGACTAAAGGGCCATGAAGGCTAGGCAGGCTACTGTAGACAAACATCTGCATCAATATTGATATGCATGAGGATAAGACAGAATGTTCACTTACAGCCTCACAAACTCCAGGGAATTGGCACCTGGGTCATACGCCATGGGGTTGGCATCAAGTTGATGACGCGGAAGAAAGACGAAATCAAAGGAGATGACATGAAAAGATGAAGCAAAATAAAAAAAGATGATAAAACTAAAGAAGAACAATGGAAGAAGAAGAAATGGAAAATCACGAAGTGAAAGCTGGAGGTTAGAGATCGTAAAGTGGACAGGGTCAAGGCAGGTGCAAGGCCAGAGAACATGTCCACGGGTATGTAGAGAGATAGATGGGATTAAGGCAGCTAAGGGTATAGGTAAGGATACAAGAGTCTTTGGTATGATTGGGCCTGCCATTTTCTCTCTTCCCTCACTTCTCTCTTGTCAGGTGAAAGATACCCCCATATATATGAAATGACCCAAAGGGTGACCCCTAGAATCATCCCAGAAACAACCTTCCATATATATGTATCTTCCTAGTGTCTCTTGCAGGTATATATCGCAGACCAAAGAAATCCAGATGGGACAGTTGTTATAGTGAGCTGAAGTATATAATTAATGCGCCATGGCCGCTATTCCCGCTATTCCGAATTAGGACCCCGGGAGAAAGTCCTTGGCATTTATTGGTTGGTTGTATGCACCGCCCTTTGTTCCGCCTTGGTCAAAGATGTAAAGATGTCCAATCTCCCATATTTTTTCCGATTATACAACATTTTCTCTTTGGACCTACACATTGACAAATTCCCATTTAACTCAGAGAGCTGTACAAATTTGCACATTTACGTGCTGTTTAGGATCTACATACTACGTTGTATGTACGGTGAGTGGGGTAAATAATTCGTTTTCTGCCTGGCAGTATTAACTCACATGGTTGATTTCCTCGTACAGCTAGTTGCAGCCCCGCATACGTCACCCTCAAAAATTCCTTTTCTCTTCACAAACACAGCCATGAAGCAAAGATTCTCGTCTTTGGACGTCAAGGTATTTTCAAATCTACTGCAAAAAAGATACCACACTAAAATCCCCAGGTCATCACTCAGGAATTGGCATCGGAGTGTGTCAACCTCCGAGTGTCCAACATCTACGATTTGTCCTCGGTACGCTTAATTCTTTTCTCTATTGCCATCAAAGGATATCGAGCTGATTTTAATATTCCTATTAGCGTATATTCCTTTTTAAACTCGCCAAACCGGACCATCGGCGCCAACTCATTATTGACTCCGGTTTTCGCACTCATGTCACCCAATATTCGCGGACCGCGGCAACCACACCTTCGCCCTTTGTGACCCGTCTCCGAAAGTACCTGAAGTCTCGTCGGATTACAGGCATCTCCCAAATTGGAACCGATCGCATCATCGACTTCTCCTTCAGCGAGGGTGCATACCACATCTTCCTTGAATTCTTCGCCGGTGGTAACATTATCTTGACGGACCGCGAATACAACATTCTTGCTTTCTTCCGCCAAGTTGCCGCCGGTGTGGGTCAGGAAGAGATCAAGGCCGGACTCAAGTACACTGTGTCCAATAAACAGAACTATGATGGGGTTCCGGACATCACAGCGGATCGAGTTTTGCAAACACTGGAAAAGGCACAGGGGCTTTTCGCCCAAGAGGGAAATGCACCCAAAAAATTCAAGAAAAAGGGAACGGATTTTTTGCGAAAGGCGTTGTCACAAGGCTTTCCTGAATACCCCCCCTTGCTCCTAGACCACGTTTTTGCGATCAAGGAATTTGATACTACAACGCCACTGGATCAAGTATTGGGGAGCCAAGATCTGTTGCAGACCGTGAAAGAGGTTCTAGAAGAATCGCAGCGAATTTCCCACACCTTTGATTCTGGCGACAGCCATCCGGGCTACATTGTTGCGAAAGAAGACACGCGACCTATTCCGGAAGGAGAGACTTCGTCAATGGGCCCAGGTCTGCTGTATGAAGATTTCCACCCTTTCAAACCTCGACAGTTTGAAAACAAACCAGGAATAAAGATTCTGGAGTTCGAGCGCTTCAATGCCACGGTCGACGAGTATTTCTCATCTCTTGAATCTCAGCGTCTCGAGTCGCGATTGACAGAGCGCGAGGAGGCAGCCAAAAAGAAGCTCGAATCCGTGCGATCAGAGCACAAAAAGCGGATTGATGAGCTCAAGAATGTGCAAGAGCTTCACATCCGTAAAGCGGATGCTATTCAGGACAATGTTTACCGAGTCCAGGAGGCAATGGATGCTATCAATGGACTGGTGGCCCAGGGAATGGACTGGGGTGAGATTGCGCGCCTGATTGAGATGGAACAAGATCGCGGCAATCCAGTGGCCCAAACAATCAAACTGCCCCTCAAACTGTACGAAAACACGGTCACATTACTTCTTGGAGAGGCCGGCGACGACGAGGATGAAGAGGAGGAGTTTTCTAGCAGCGATGAATCTGACTCCGACTCCGAGAACGAAGCAGAGCAAGAGCCAGGCCGTGCGGAGCGAGAGTCTAAGCTATTGACCATTGATATTGACCTTAGTCTGAGCCCATGGGCGAACGCATCGCAATACTATGACCAGAAGAAGCAAGCCTCGGAGAAGGAACAAAGGACAACCCAGTCGTCTACGAAGGCACTGAAGAGTCACGAGAAGAAGGTGACAACCGACCTCAAGCGAGGCTTGAAGAAAGAGAAGCAAGTGCTTCGACAGGCTCGGACGCCATTCTGGTTTGAGAAGTTTATCTTTTTCATTTCTTCAGAGGGTTACTTGGTTATAGGGTAAGTGGCTCCAATCAACTCCGTTTTGTGACATCTACTAATCCTAGCAGTGCACGGGACGCTATGCAGAGCGAATTGCTCTACCGGCGTTATTTGTCCAAGGGCGATATTTTTGTGCACGCTGACCTCGAAGGTGCGACGCCAATCGTGGTGAAGAACCGAGCTGGTAGTGCAGACGCACCAATTTCTCCAAGCACACTATCTCAGGCCGGCAACCTTTGCGTCGCAACTTCAACTGCTTGGGATTCTAAGGCTGTCATGTCTGCTTGGTGGGCGCATGCTCATCAAGTATCGAAAATCGCAGAGAACGGTAGTGGAATCATGCCCACGGGTGTTTTCCAAATCAAAGGCGATAAGAACTTCTTGGCCCCATCGCAACTGGTGCTTGGGTTTGGTATTATGTTCCAAGTCAGCCAGGAAAGCGTTCGGAACCATAAGCAGCGATTTGACACATCTGACGTTCCGCAAGCCGCTATAACTCCTGCAGATGAGACTGAGGCCTCTGAGATGAAGGATGCCGTGGAGCCAGAAGCTCAAGAGCAGGCAGAGGCCACCGAAGAGGCTATCGAAGATGCCACCAAAGACGCAGAGAAGGAAGATGCGGGATCTGACGAGGAGGATGAATATAACAAAGCCGCTACTAGAAACCCTCTCCAGCGAGGCGATTCCGATCTCCCGACCTCTCAGCCTACTCAAGGATCGGAATCTGAGTCTGAGTCTGAGCCAGAAGAAGAATCGAAGGATGAGGTAGAGCAAGAAGTCGCAGAAGATCAGCCGGAGGGAGAAGAAGCTACATCAAAAGCAGATCAAAATTCTGTAACCGAGCAAAAGGAAGAACCGAACTTGAACGCTCGAGAGCGACGTACCTTGCGACAAGGCAAGCCTCTTGACCGCCCCGAGGAAGAACCAGCTGCACCACGCATCGCCCCCACCCGTGGCAAGCGGGCGAAGGACAAGCGCGCTGCTGCCAAGTATGCTCATCAAGACGAGGATGAGCGAGAACTTGCTCTTCGGTTGGTGGGTGCCAACAAGGGCAAAGCCGCAAAGGCGGCCAAGGCAGCTGAAGCCAAGGAACAGCGTGAGCGAGAGGCCGAGGCGCAAAGGCAACGACGACGGGCCCAGCATGAGCGTGCCGCCGAAGCCGAGCGCAAACGCCAGGCCCAATTCACGGAAAATGGAACGGACGATTACAACGAGGAGACAGCTGCCGCAGAGGCTGCAGATCTCACTTGGATTCCAGCCTTGGTGGGTACACCCACTACGGATGACGATATTATTGCTGCTATTCCAGTATGCGCCCCATGGGCTGCCCTTGGACGCTACAAATACAAAGTCAAGCTACAGCCGGGCACCGTGAAGAAGGGCAAGGCCGTCAAGGAGATCATTGGTCGGTGGGTGTCCGAGACCACGACCGGGAAGGTCAAGAAGGAGCACGCCGAAGATGTCGGTATCTCTCGTGTCGATGCTGAGCGTCTCCGGGAACGGGAGGGAGAGCTCATCAAGGGCTGGAAGGACACAGAGATTATCAACACTATGGTTGTGGGCAAGGTGCGCATCATGACTGCAGGAGCTGGAAGCGGAGCCGGTGGTGATAAGGGCAAGGGTAAAGGTGGAAAGGGTGGTGGTGGAGGTGGAGGTGGCAGAGGAGGTGGTAAGGGTAAGAAAAAATGATTGAGTCTTGTGTATACATTAGAGAGCACATAGATTAGACCTTTGGATTCAATTCAACCGATTCAATTCAACCGATTCAATTCAACCAGATTATACAAAATATTATCATTGATGTCGAGCCGTTCAATGTATACCAAGCATGATCTCTTTATGCCAGTTGATCAGCCACAACCCCGCTTCAACTACATATGTAGTTATCTACACTTATTTCAACCTCATACAATCATGAATAACTCCTATCATTCCAAATCTATTGCCAATGATATCGTTGGCGATGTGACGAAACCTGGGAGTTCCTGATGCGCTGAGTCATGCCACGTCATGTCGGGACCCGAACCGATTTTCTCGCAATCTTCCATATAGAGCCTCTTATCGCCTCTGACGGTATTGTGCAGAATGATAGTCGACCGTGTACGCTAGAGACGATCGCTGATTGTACGCCCAAGAGAAAAGAAGCTTTCCCCCGCGCGACCAGAACCCGGACCCCTCGGGCATCATTTCGCCCCTCCTCTGATAACGTGTGCGCCCGAATGGTGCGTCATTGAGGTCTTCTCAAACATCACGTTGCTTTTCACTCGCGCTTTGGCCGGCCACTGTCAGCGCAGTTGTGCCAGATACTTGAGCACAATGTCTACACAAACGCGAGTTGTCCCCGTTCAACGGCTCAGCCAAGGGCCCGGCGATTTATCTCTGGCAGAATGGTGGGAGAAGGAGCGCAGCCAAAAAACGCCCGAGTCCCAGGCTATCGAAGAAGCTGCCAAACTCCTCCGGTCCAGTGACATCCCCGTCGCATTTCCTACCGAGACAGTATATGGCCTAGGAGCCGATGCCACGCGCAGTTCTTCTGTCCGGGGAATCTACCGCGCCAAACAGCGGCCCTCGGACAACCCGTTGATCGTTCATGTCGACTCACTCGACATGCTTGAGCGTCTCCTTAATCCCACCCGTCAAGGCAGCCCAACCTCAACCAAAATGCCGCCAATCGCCCTCCCCTCGATCTACAAGCCTCTGATCGACAAATTCTGGCCCGGCGCACTGACAATCATTCTACCTAATCCATCCGGATCCATACTGGCACCAGAAGTCACCTCCAGCCTGACCACATTCGGCGTCCGCATGCCCTCGTCTGCACTGGCGCGTCTACTCATCCACGCAACAGACCGTCCCCTTGCCGCGCCATCGGCAAATGCATCCACCAAACCGTCCCCAACAACCGCGCAGCACGTATACCACGATCTCAAAGACCGCATCGAGATGATTCTCGACGGCGGCGCATCCGGCGTCGGTGTCGAAAGCACCGTGGTAGACGGGTTATGCGACCCACCAGCGATTCTGCGCCCCGGCGGCATCGGCATCGACGAAATCCGGAAATGCGAAGGGTGGGAAAATGTCGCAGTCGGCTACAAAGACGGCACGCTAGACGTGAAAGAGGTTCCACGCGCACCGGGCATGAAGTACCGCCACTATTCGCCAAAAGCACGGGTTGTTCTCTTCGACTCGACATCCAACCCAGCCGGAGTGATGAAGCATGTCAAAAAGGACTTGAATGACACAGCCATTGGCGCACACAAAATTGGCATCATCCGCACGCGGAACTGGAAGCTTGGCTTGGGGCTCGCTTCAGAAGATGATATCGCCAGTACCATGAACCCCGTATCTTCTGCCATTGAGAACATTGTCAGTTTACCGATTCCCTTGCTAGAGAATGGAAACCCGAGTAGCCGCACGAAGATGGCGTATGATTACCATCTTGGTTCAGATGCGGTTTCCATCGCGCATGGTCTCTTCGCCGCTCTGCGCGGGCTGGATGAGCTAGACGTCGATGTTATTTACGTGGAAGGCGTGTCAGATCGCGAGGGTGACCTGGCTGCAGCTGTCATGAACCGGTTACGAAAGGCTGCTGGTGCTGAAATGCGGGTTTAGCCCTTAAGATGGGTTACGATTCCGTATATTCTTTTTATTCCAAGTCCGGGGGTTTTTTTTCGGGGTTTAGATAGAGGTTTGAAAAGTGTGAATATTAGATTCAAATATATTTTAACATACAATATTGTGTATGATTCCACGTTTTATGTGCACGGAGTGTATAGAGGAGGTGTGATTGGAGCCTCTTGGACTTACCCGTTTGGTAAATCTTGCTGATCTTAATTCGACGTGGAATTCGGAGACCTCCGGGCAAAAGCTTATCGATGGGCCCAATTCCCAAGTTTTTGGGATTAAAAGTCCACGATAAAAGACAGCTGTGTCACGAAAATAAAGAGCCATGATAACCCGAGACACCGGCGGGGGAAAAACGAAACTCGTCCGGTCGGCGCTTATATCTCGTCCCGCATTGATCTAGAAAACCCTCACATCCAAAGAATATCACTCACTACAACCCACAATAATGTGTCAATCTCTTTTGCACGAGTTCCTCGAGGGCCTCCCTAAATGTGAACACCACGTCCATCTCGAGGGCACTCTTGAGCCAGAACTCATCTTCGAGCTCGCGGCGCGCAATGGTATCACCTTGCCGACCGACCCAGTCTATACCTCGGTCGAGACACTCAAGAAGCGCTATGAACACTTCAGCAACCTGGACGACTTCCTCCACTTCTACTTCGAAGGCATGGCCGTACTCCGCAAGGAAGAAGACTTCGCCGACCTAGCCTGGGCATACTTCCAAAAGGCGCACGCAGACGGCGTGCACCACGCAGAGGTCTTTTTCGACCCGCAAGTACACGAAAGCCGCGGTGTACCATACGATACCATCGTCACAGGCTTCTCGAAGGGGTGCAAGCGCGCCGAGACCGAGCTCGGGCTGAGCACACGACTGATCCTGTGTTTCGTGCGGCATCTCCCCGTCTCGTCGGCCAAGGAAGTCTACGACGAGTTCGTGGCTCACAAGCACTTTGAGTCTGGTGTTGTGCACGGACTGGGCTGGTCTTCTTCAGAAGTAGGCCCGCCGAAAGACATGTTCCGCGAGATCTATGCGTCAGCCGCGCAGAAGAATATCCCCCTCACGGCGCATGCCGGCGAGGAAGGTGATCCGACTTATATCAGCACGGCGCTTGAGCTTGGTGCCCAGCGCATTGATCATGGGATTCGGCTGGTTGAAGACGAGGAGTTGATGCGACGTGTTGCGCGTGAGGGGATCCTGCTTACCGTCTGTCCGTTGTCGAATGTGCGACTGCGCTGTGTCACCTCTGTGAAGGAGGTGCCTATTCGGCGGTTCTTGGAGGCTGGAGTCAAGTTCTCGATTAATAGTGATGATCCTGCTTATTTCGGTGGTTATATTCTTGACAACTACTGCGCTGTGCAGGAGGCTTTCAACCTGAATGTGCTGGAGTGGAGGATCATTGCGGAGAATAGTGTCCAGGAGAGCTGGGTTGAGGATTCGCGCAAGGCGGAGATGCTGGCAAGTATTGAGGAGCATGTCAAGAAGTATATGCATATGCACACCATTGCTGTATAAATTCCGAGTGTTGGTGTATGTAGGTAGGTATTGGTTTCTGTTTGAGTTGTGACTGTGGGCGTGAGCGGTGCATCTGATACCCTGTTTTTCAACACTTTTGTATACTATTTTCAACTGAAGTATATACCAGGAGCATAAGCAAGTTAAATATTCATTCGCATTCCCTTCTCGATCGGCAAAGTACCTTGGAAGACATTTGAAGCTCCATTGGGCTTGGTAGATATCACTGATGCCTTGTAAATCAGGCCCCATGGACCCCTCTCCAGTTATAGTTACAACCTCGGGACTCCTCACTTCGTGCACTTGTTATGTGACAGTTGGCCCTGCTGCACGACACGGTATTTCATGCCCCGAAACATCCTTTGTGGTACCTGGAACCTCACGAGGTCTACCTTCCGGCCCCGACTACAATCCCAGATACCCTATACCCTGCGTCTAGCATCGTGCTTCGCAGCAATCAACCCAAGAACAAACCCCCAGCAAAGAACAGGACTACTTAATCTCTCCAAACGAAGCCACAGACAGAGCTACATCCACTCAAAGCACAAAATGTCCACATCCACTCCAGACCGCTACAAGCTCGTCTTCTTCGTCCCGACCGCCAACGCGGAGGCCTGTAAAGAAGCCATCTTCGCCACGGGTGCAGGGTCATTCCCAGGTGGGAAGTATACCAAAGTCTGTTTCCAGACTGTTGGCACAGGCCAATTTCTGCCCAACGAGGGGGCAGACCCGGCGGTAGGAGCTGTTGGTGCTTTGGAACGGTGCGAGGAAGTCAGGGTCGAGGTTATGTGTCTCAGCCGGGGCATTATGCTGAATGCAGTCGATGCTTTGATCTCGGCGCATCCGTATGAGGTGGTTGCTTATGAGGTTTATAAGATGGAGAACGTTTAGTTGGGCGATTGAAGATGTGGTTGATGGAACGCGGCACAACAAGGTGATGCAATTGGGACGGTAATCCTCATGTTCTGCCATTGTCAGTTTCTCAGTATACATTTCCAGGAATTCCAAGTTCGATAAAACAATTTGAGAGTATCATTGTCTCAAAATATGAGCGTGATGTTGATTGTGTTAAAGGGCAACTGTATGGCAGCGGATTGGTAAGGCGGTAGTAATCCCTGGATGCTGATTTGCCCAAGGCCCGCCCCGAGTAAAACGCCTCGTCAACTTGACTTCTCTTCCAACCTCCAACCTCATCTCCCCCCCAATTGACCCTCACTCATCGCCCGTGATGGCCTCTAAACTCTTCTCAGTCCCGCGGGTCGGCCGCCAGTTGGTCCACCAGCTCCCCAAACCCCAATACAGAGCATTCTCCGCCGGTTCGCAACGGTTCAGCGACTCCCTTTCGGTGGTGCGTATTCCATTCGACCCCTCTTGTGCTTCAGGCCCCGATTACGTCTCAGGATTGGGGAACCAAAGACTCATATACTGACTCTGGTTGTCTCCAATAGCACCGCAACAAGCCCAACAACAACCCGACCCTCCCGTTCAAGTTTTCCGAGCAGAACCTCACACTCGCCGATGAGATCCTCAAGCGCTACCCTCCCCAGTACAAGAAGGCTGCTGTTATGCCCCTGCTTGACCTCGGTCAGCGCCAGCACGGCTTCACCAGCATCAGCGTCATGAACGAGGTCGCTCGCATGCTCGAGATGCCCCCAATGCGCGTTTACGAGGTTGCTACCTTCTACACCATGTACAACCGCGAGCCGGTTGGCAAGTACTTCGTGCAGATCTGCACCACGGTAAGCACCTGAAATCAACAATATTTCCTGCTCTTCCTAATTCGCAATCCTCCAGACCCCATGCCAGCTCGGCGGCTGCGGTAGTACCGCCATTGTCAAGGCCATTACCGAACACCTCGGAATCACCCCCGGCCACACCACCGAGGATGGCCTCTTCACGTACATCGAGGTCGAATGCCTGGGCGCTTGCGTCAACGCCCCCATGGTCCAGATTAACGATGACTACTACGAGGATCTGACCCCGGAATCCATCAAGACCATCCTGACAGCCCTTAAGGACGCCGCCACCGCTACCGGTGCCGGTGCCAGCACCAAGATTCCCGCCCCCGGCCCGCTGAGCGGGCGCGATACCTGCGAGAACAGCGCCGGCCTGACCAACCTGACTGACGTGCCAGTGTGGAACCCGGAGACGATGATGCGCAAGGACAATGCATTGGACGCCGCGCCCAAGCAATAGAGAAGCACAAAGAAGAAAAATTATTAAAGAGAGCTCTTCATTGCCGTGGGTCAATTCCGGATGGGGAGGATATTATAATGGTTGTGTTTTTTTTTTCGAATGGACGAGCAAAAGCCGCCTTGGGGCACTGCGGCCACACTGCGGAATGAATAGAGGCCACCGCGCCCTTCGCCCTGAGGCGCCCTGAATCATAACCAGTCTTGAGGCGTCCAATTTTTTTTTCTGTCTACAACATACCATGTACAGTACGTTTGTTCCTGGTTCTTATTGTGTGATCGGGGCCGGATGCAGATCTGGCCCAGTCGCTGTGGGATATCGGCAGGACCAATCGCAGATTTTTTTTCATTTCCTTCTTTTTATACTAGCTATTGGGCTTGTAGATGGGTGAGTACACTGTATAGGATATTGTTCATTTAGGCTGGTTTTATACATGCATTGCATGATATCATATCATATTGAGATGTCCACCCTCGACATTATCAGTCACTTGAGTTAGGGCTATATACATGGATCGTAGCCTTGTATGGTATGTCTTTATCAAAACCCCCACTGCCCTAGGCTCTCCATTGCTCATGCTCACTGACCCGTCTAGCCAAGTTATACAATCATGTTAGACAACTGTAGATAAAGCTTAGATTGGTGAAGGTAGAGGAAGAATGATGAAAGGCGATAGCTAGATGCCGGAACGTGAAACAAGAATGTGTCGGAAGAGAGGCTAGAGGACAGCTCGAAATGATATTAGATTGAGAATTGAAGAGACCAAAGGAGTAGAGACTACGTATGTAGAAGGTTCAACAATTTAACATGGAATATATAGGTCATCGAGGTCATAGAGATCGAATGAAGAGATGAACGAAAGAAGAGACATAGGGCCTTATAGCATAAGAAGGGAAAGGAGGAAGAAGCGTCTAGAAAGGATAGAAAGCACGTGAAATGATGAGGATGAATATAATATAGATAATATGGATGCATCTATGCAGATGGATCTAAAGCGTGGACTGACTGGATGCAAATCGTTTACCTAGAAGACTTGAAGTTTGTAGAACAGTGGGTATGTATGTATTTCAGATACTAGGTACATTGAAAATTCACCCCGTGTCCACGTTGTCGACCGGCGAATTTTATTATGAGCAATAAAAAGTGGCGCCGACTTGTAACTACAAGTCGGCGCCCGTGATAGTAAGCCATGGCAACCGGCGAATAAAGAATCGAACCGCACAAATAGCACTTGCAGGCAACCCTAGAGAGGTACCCCCGGGCGCGGGCGCGGGCGCGGATCAGTGGATCTTGGTCAGCTACTCTGGCAGCTCCTCTCCTTCGTATGCGACGTCGTCTGGCAACACTGATCCTTCTGGAACCAAAGTTGGAACACCTTGACGCTCAACGAGTTTGCTTGATTGAGCCCTCTGGAAGATGTTGACTTCGTATGTGTTCTTGACCAGCAAATGATAGACATGGACGTCGCGCTTCTGCCCGGATCGTCGCGCACGTCCGATTGCCTGAGTCATGCCGGCATCATATTCATAGTCAGAGCGGGCAAAGTATGGTGACAAGAAGATGACGTGGTTTGCGCATTGGAGGTTCCTATATATCAGACCAGATTAGTGATGTTTCAAACAAAGAACAGATAACAGCAGAGAGAAATAACTTACAATCCAGCTGCTCCGGAGCCTCCGAGGTTCAAGATCAAAGCCTTCGGTCTGGAAGGTGGTTGGGTGGAGCCCTTCTTTGGTTTGGGGGGCTCTTTGAACTCGTCGATTCCCCTCAAGTTGGTCTGTGTGACCATGCGGTGGTCGATGTTCGCTGCTTTGAGGGCCTTCGATGCCACGGGCATCAGGTGGCTGATTTGCACGAAAATGAGGACAAGCTCGTCCTCTGGGATACTGTGGACGATGTCAACAAGCTTGTTGAGCTTGGTGTTCTGGATTGCTTGGTCTTCGCTGACGAGGATTTCACCGGGCACGATCTTGGATTGGACAATATGGCCACTGCATCCAAGGATGGGGCAAGGCTTGTGTGGCTGGTTGATCGCGTCTGCAATGCAATCTTTGCAGAGGGCGTGACCGCAGTTTTTGAGAATGTTGACATCTTCCTTTTCTTGCAAATCGCTCTTACATTTTTGACACTGTGGAATCCCAGTGGTTTGGATCCTCACCAGGTGTTCGTAGAATCGGTATTCCCGGTCAATCTCCAGGACTTGCTTCAAGAGAGAGGTGACATCAGCGGACAAGGATTTTTCGACAGCAGTCCAAATCGAATTGGAAGACGTATCATTGGTTCCTCCGTGTTCTGTGGTTCTGGGAGGACGTCTTACAGTGGCTGTGTTGCCGGTCTTCGCTTTCTGGACCTTCTGGAATCGCTGCTGGAGCAAATCTTCGATTTGCCGGTGTTCTTCGGCGAGTTTCCACTCGTTGTATGAGCGGATGATGCCCTTTAAGAGCTCGTTGAATCTTTTAGTGAGTTCTGCGTCCCCGAACTCAACCTTGGCGACGCCATTCAGGGCGTTCTGCCAGTCTTTGGGATCGGTATTGCTCATTTCGCGATACCAAACAGTCGCTCCCTGTCGAGTGATCGAGTCCACTTTAGTCCAGATCTCGGCGGATTTCTTTTTGTCGTTCCGCGAGCCTTTGAGGCACTTCTCGAGGTTCCAGGGAGGCTGTCCGATTTGACTTGTGACGCAGGACATGATGAGAGCCTCTTGGGGGAACTGGCTCTTGGATAACATGGTGCTCAGGGGACCAGGGATTCGTCTCTTGTTTTCTTTGACGGCTCGGAACAACGTATCGTACGCTGCCTTTTCGGCGGGCGACTGTTCGGTGATGACAATGTTCGTTATCAACGGAATGTGTTTGATGCGTGCGATGTTCTGACGCGCAAACCGGTCCAGGAATCTTTGAGCATGCTCTCGGCGGTTTTGGTACCAGGCGTTGCTGCGGGGGGGCTGGTAATACTGGAATGCCTCGACAGCTGTGTGGTTCTTCCGGATATTTTTTAGTCTGCTGTTCTGCGTCGGCTTGTCGCAATCGCCGTCGTCGTCCACACCAAGGTGGAGACCAAGGTAACGCGCAATACTCTTGATGTCAGCAAATTCACCAAGAGCTGGCGTTCCAGAAAGGATCCATTTGGAGCGTGCCTGCAATGAGAGCAGGGAAGCCTGTCTTTCTTCCCCGGCATATGTGTATTCGTCGATAACCAAACGGTTGAAGTTGAAAGCGTGAAGGAATGCGGCTTTGACGGTGCGCCATTCTTGTTTCTTGGCGGTCCTTTTGATATCAAAGTCCCTGTAGTCATCTTTCACGGCTTCTGATCTGACTTCACGTTTCTTTTTGTCATCGGTCACTTCTGCCAGGTCCGTCGATGGGCGTTTTTGTCGCTTTCCTCTTGAACCTTCCATTGACTTCCTACTGTGCCTCCGCTTCCGCTGGCCCACAGAACTCGCTGTTCCGGTCGAGTGTCTCGCATCAGATGCATCAAAGTCCTCGAAACCCGGGTCAGACTCAGAATCCAGATCCTCTTCTGATCCTGCATTGGACTCGTCACGACCATTATTAGCATCAGCGAATGCCTGGCCACGGAGGCGTCGAGAGGGCACGTAAGTGAAGTCGGCCTGTGTCTCTTGAACTCGGCGACGTCTGGCCTCCAATTCCTGGAGCATCGCCTCCGGCCCTTTCGTTTTCAATATTTCAACAGACTCCCGCAAGGAAGCACGAGCGTCGTGGAACCAGCTATCGAAATTTCGACCTGTTCCTCCGCTCGATTTTGCGGGAGCCTGGGGTGTTCCGGTGAATTGTTGAAGTCTGCTGTAGTATGCATCGTTCGCCAGGATACTCCATGACATGATCACTATATCTGCATCTTCGACTTCCCGGATGGTGAACTTGCTGATTGACGATATCGCCAAAACTTTGTATTTTCCTCCTAGGAACTTATTGGTTTCATCGACCCACTGCTTGTAGACGTTGCTGGGCACAATGATCAGGGTTGCTTTTGTTGGAATAAGCCCGTAGTCTTCAGGGGGTTTGCAGTCGCTTTCATACTGCGCATCGATGAGACCAAGAATAACAGCCGTCTTGCCATATCCAACCTCGTCCGCTAGCACGCCACCGCGAACAACTTTTGGCATTGTCGCTTTGACTTCGGCGCGCCAGGGCATCAAGGGGAGGATGGATTCTTCAACTTCCTCTTCCATGAATGGTTTCATGTCTTTTGCTTCTTGTGAAATCATCCAGCTCAATGATCGAAGCTGTTCATCACGAAGCTCGAATTTGAAGTTGGGAGGTTGTGGCGAGGGACTATCGTTGTCGTTGCTCCTCAAAGTAAATAGTTCATGGTTTTCCTGGCCCATGTCGTACGCATGAGGGAGAAGTCGCCAGCGAGATGTTACTGTCTCGCGGCTTGCGGTGCCAACCAGTTTTCCATATGCCTGGTGCGTCAGAGCTTGAACATTGAGGGTGAAACGCAATTCGGCGTCTCCGTGTTCGTTGATTCGACTGAAGACCAAAAATGGCGAGGGTCGGTTTTTGATAGCACGCTCGTAGACGGCAGCGTCCTGGGGATTCTCGTATGCGATGATTCGGTCTTTGTTGTCGCGGCCCCAAAGGATACTGGGGGTGGGTGGGTTGCAGGTGTTGCAATTGCCATTTGCATGATGGTTAGGGTCTGAACTGCCTGGATGGATGATTTCATTCCAGTCTTCAAAGTCGGACCACGCGGCAATCTTTGGGAACAACCAGGCGAGACCTTTCAATTCTCTCATAGAGACCTCAGGATTCCAGGCTTGCCAGTCGGAATTTGCGTCGGGCAGGTTGAGAATCGCTGTTGTTGCTGACAGCGAGGTGAGGGTGATACAAGAATCATGACAGTGCTGGTTTTCAATCGAGACTTGGATTCTTTGTTGCAATGTGCGGAGGGTAATCTGTTCGGCAGGACAATGGTTCAACTGCGCTTCGGGGACCTTGGCCCATCGACGACAGAAAGCTTTCACATCTTGCGAATCCAGGGTGGCATTCAATGATCTCCAAGCTGAAGATAACTCGGCGATCGTCATTCTCACATCATATCCAGGAAGCCGGCTGTGGTCAAGGGCGAACACACAGGCATCTTCATCAGGGGGTCCAGTCTTCGCTGGGTCAAGGAATAAGAACATTTGAGGCGCATGGGCGGTGGCTTCCTTTTTGTACAATGCACCAAGCGCTGTTCCACAGTCAGGGAGGAATTGGTAGATTCCTCGGACGTCGAAATCAAGAACTGCGACATCTTGATCTAATCCTTCAACGAAAATACTGTCCCAGACTTTTCCATCAACAAATTTGGCGGCTTTGAGACCACACTCTGATTGGAATGATCGAACTTGGTATCCTCGGCCAGAAACCTTAAGTGAGAATGGGGTGCTAACAGGTGAACAAACTTCCCATGTACCCTCGACAAACGACCCAGAGGTGGGACTCATTCTGGCAATTGGCTTGGCTAGTACTTCTCGGATGACGCTTCTCGTGCTCGCGGACTTGGGGGGCTTTGCGTACAGGAGCCACTGGATGGAGTCCGGACCGATATCAAGGAACAAGCTGGAGTGCGTGCCGTCATAAACGACTCTCCATTTTCTTCCTCGCTTGATCTCAAAAAACCGAAAGACGTCATGCACAGCTGCCTTAACGCACAGAATAAAGTCGGGCCAAAACTGGAGGAGGTTTTCGATAGGGTAAAGGGATTTAAACGTCTCGAAGTCCAAGTCTGACAAACCAGACAGCATGAGCTTCATGGGAACAAGTCCCTTCATATTAGCTATAAACTCAGACGGCTTTTGTCGAGAAAGTGGGGAAACATGTAGATACGAATGCGTGGGATTTCCACGACAGGTCCTGCAAGCGGTATGTCCACACAGTGTGCAACTATAAATTGAATCTTGAACCCCAGTCTGTCTCTCGCAGGAGCAACACAGAACGCTGCTCGCTGCCTTGGCTTTGAGAACAGCATGGTCGACGAGGGGGCTTCGGCGCTTTGGAGGTTGCTTCTCACGAGGCTGTGGACCTCGCTGGGTACGAGAAGGGACTTGGCCTCCGCGTCGCCGGGGTTGGTTGAACCCTCCTCATCATCGTCAAGAATCTCATGCACGGCTATCAGACCAGCCAGCATGATTGCACACACGACCGTACTCGTCATTGCATTTCCTGCCATGTCCATCAAATCGGCTTGGGTTTCTCTCGTGAGTAGCATTCGGTCGAGAGGCAGACCTTGTAACGAAAGGGCTTCCGTGCCAGAAACGGGGCCCCCGCGGGTGGTCACAAATGGGATGCCCTTCGGCGTCAGGCACCCCGCGATCCCAGACCCGGCAAGGCTGTCATTCCCTCGATCGACTCCCTGAGACAAGTCGATCCAACGCCTGTGAAGTGAATTGTTAGTAAAATATTCCTGAAGTGAAAGTGAAGTGAAAGTGGCAGAATATTGAGACTTACTCCTTGAAGTTCATGTCATAATCTTGAAGCATCTTCTTCAAGAAATTCATATCCACGGTCTCCCACACTCTCTCCGGCTGTGTCTTCCAGAAACGATGCCAATAGAAGTCCGGTGCCTTCAGGTCATTGATTCCGGGCAGGGATCGAGTGATTGGCCTCTCGATGCCTAGTTCCAGTTCGTCACGGTGCCGTTGGTGACGAATCTGGTACTGGTCCCAGCTGGTTTCGCTTCGGGACTCAAGGCGGGCTCTCGACTCGATGACCTCGAGGCGGCGGTCGTCGTCACTCAGCAAGAACAACCCCACCGGCGCACTCGCTGGCCGCTTGAAACGACCAGCGAGCTCACGAACGCGTTGAGTGACAGTGTCAATGCCACTCTGGTCCATGGGGTCTCCAAGCAGGCCCGCTGCTTCCAAGCGGCGCTTGTCAATAACCACCATGTACCCGCGCTCGCGTGTCTGCGGGATGTAGTAATGCTTCGTGTCGACATTGACACAAACCGACATGTACCCGAGCTCCTCCCACTTTCCCTTCATCTGATCCCAGGGCGCATTCCGGACATTCTCCTGGACGACCATGCGAGGCCGATATCTCTCCGCGTACCGCAAGAGACCGTCGAACGTAGCTCCCGACTCGCCGCCTTGCGCCAGCGTCTTCTTGCGGTTGTTCAACGGAGAGAAATCGACACAGGCAGTTCCAGCAACTAAGATGTCGAGGTCACCGGGAATCACTTCCGATGACCCGTAGGCGGTCCGCCTTCAAAATCAAAGTCAGTATGAAGGTCAAGTCAGAGGAAGATGGATGGGGTACTTACGCCTCGTCCCCTCCAAGTTCGGTGATGTCCCGAAAGAGGATAGGGGGCGGAAGTTCCGTTCAATGTATGACTGCTTGAACGGAACAATCTCACAGCTGAAAGCGTGCGAGATCCGAAGTTGCTGGGCCTCTGCCAAACCTGTCAAGTTGATATTAGCAATTGCTCCATGGTCATGTCATCTTCCAGGCAGAACGAAGCAGAAATGAGAGAGATCAGATAGAAAGGTGAGAATGATATGAGACGAATTTAAAACAAATGATATGTCGTTACCAGACTGAAGCCATCATGGCATGGAAGTCAGGGCAAAGTTAGGGCAAGGAAGGAAACATGTGACTTGGAAGCCGGGGCAACCTTGGGGAAGAACCTCAACCATGGAACCGACCACAAGCAACATGGACCTCAACGAACATCGAAGACAACAACCTTTGAAACAAACGACTGAAGGGGGAAAAAATCAAAAAAAAAAGACACTGCACTTACCCGTCTGGATCAATTCCAGGGCCAGAAGCGGGGCTTCCGTTCCTGAGCACATTGTCGCCACTCGAAGTGGTCGACTGCCGAGCCGAATGAGGACATGCTCGAATCCCATTTTCAGGGCGTTCGATGCCATGTCAGCGAAAATTTGTGTCAGCGTATGCAGAGGCGGGAGGTCACTGGCTAGATACCGACCCCGAGGGATCATGCATCCCCGCCGCAGCTCAGGAATCTCATCGGCCCGGGCCCTAGGCTCCTGATCATCCATTGCCAAACCATCCGCCGACTGCTGCCGAGGGACCCCCTTTGACGCCATGGCCTGCGTTGGTGGAAGGGGCGAGAAGTTTGAGGTAGTCGGAATTTTAGATGATACTGCGCAAACCAGTCAAGAAAGGAACACGCTGGAAAAACCTCGAAACCGAGGCAGTTACAGTGTGATGACCTTTGTCACCAGCTCAGGCACGAAGCAAAGCAGCCAACATGCATATCAAATGGTGGAGCGGTGATTGTGTGGAAAGGTGAAAGAGGAGAAGAAAGGAACAGAAGAACGAGACAGAGGGACTCATTTATGTGCGACGCCCAGGCAACGATCTGGTGCTTCCCGCCTGAAAAGGTAGGCGCTTTCATACGACAAGCTATACCACAACTACAACCACTCCGGTAGCACTCGCCCGATTCGGCGCGACAGCATGTGACGATGTGACGGCGACTCATCTACGCTGAGGGATACACCCGCGCTGAGATATACTACTGCACGACGACAACCAAGCTATGTTCCGGTGGCCCTCAACTAATTACGTCCCGGCATGCGACGGAGACTCATCACCCCCTCTGACGGAGTGTATCTCTCAGTGAAAAGTATAATATATAGATCGACGGACAAGGGCTGCAAATAACACTACATAAGCACTATCACTTGTCAGTCAGCCCTATCTGTTCTTAGGATGAGATATGCTAGTTTCCTCCTGCAGAATGTGCGTGTTTAAACTAGACTTATGGGTAATGGAGATACTATGGCAAATGATGTACATAGGCACCGGTGTGTCAATGAGCTTATGCGCCTCTATTACAATGATATATGGATATCGATGCCTTCTGTGCGGCCTTATAGATTGCAGGCAAGACTATCTAAGTACGAATTATGCCGGTCTTGAACGTGATTGGTACCGGATAATTGATGGGTTGGGAGTTATCCACTCAATATTGAACATCATATGTAGGATTTGCCGAAACATCATTATAAGAAGGCTACCAGCCATGGCAAGAGAGTGTCTAGGTAGTACCAATTCTAGATCTTGCCAGTGCAGCTTTATCAAGCTCATAAAGGAGTAACCTTGGAAGGTTTCTCCATCACTGACAAACGCGCCAAATATGTCCACGGGTTGAAGCATGTTGCCTTTTGGGTAAAGATTCCAAAGGGACGGCAATATATACGTTGATTGTAGAGATAGAAGGACTAAGATAATCAGGATATCATTCTGTTACTATTCTGAAGGTAGAACTCGAGATTGACCCGGTATGCAAATGAATGGGAAAAAAATGACAACCCCTTTGCGCCACCCATTCGCCTAGTACAGTAGCATAAGAAAAGGAGAAAAATAAAATATTGGCCGTGCCAGGCTTGCTCTCGACGAGCGGAGCCACAAAATATCCGAATCCATATGCAGTATCAAGAGATGACAATACCCTACCGCATGCCACCCTGCATCAACTGCTGGCGTAACAGCATGATCTGACTTCTTTCCATAGGAGGCAAAGCATCAATAGTAGCCTGGGGCATACTGAGGACTTGCTGAAGGAGCTCCTCCTGGCCGTGCATCGGGGCGGCAGGTTGAACCGGGGGAGGGGCGAAAGGAGTGCCGGTGACAGGCGGTGTAGAGATCTGACCAGGAACACCGTACTGTTGGAATTGTTGAGGGGTTGGCTGTTGAGAAACTTGGGGAGGCTGGGCGGCCTGTTCGACGATAGAACCAAGCAGCTGGTATTCGACCAGATTCATGAGGAGTAGAGCCTGGAAGACGGCATAGGCAAGCTGAGGCGCTTGGCGCAGCAGCTCAGTGGCACGCGCCGGGTCGGCAACCGCGAGAGATTTCATTTGTGTCAGAACATCGAGCAATTGGTTTGGTGGGAGGGATGCGAGGGTATGGGAGATGGCGTTGGGGCAATCGATTTGAGGCGGGAGTTCCACGCCTGGGGGAAGAGGAGGCAGCGGCGCTGAGCCTGTAATTTGTTGCTGCTGTGTGGGATCTTGGTTCATCATTGGTTGCGACTGCTGCGAGTAGTCTGGGGGTACGGAATCCTTTTCGTTGTTGTGAGGCCAATCAACACGGATCTTGCGACCCATGACTTCGTGATCGTTGAGGTTGCGCACGGCCGAGGCGGCGGCGTCGGCGTCTGCAAAATCTGCGAATCCATATCCTTTGGGCTTGCCGGTCTCGGGGTTCATCATCAATCGGAACTTGGTAACGGTGCCGGCCGTGCTGAGGATGTCTTTGACTTGTTCCTCGGTGAGGTCTAGAGAAAGATCAGTATCGCGCAGGTTATTCATGTAGCTACAGTAACATACTGTAGGGGATATTCCCCAGGAATACACTCTTTCCAGTCCGATCGGGCGCCATGATTGCGATAGGAAATGAAATGTGAGTGAGAAAGGCAAAGAAGTCGAGGCAAGCAAAGAAACGCTAATTCTGCCCGACTTTCTCCCACCGCCCGCAACCTCACCTCATCCGCTCGAGCATCATACCAAGTCAGTCTTCATCCATCTCCAATCTTTCCGCGCACTTCCTCACATTATGTCTCAAAATCAACGGGAGGCTTGGGAGCGCCTGCAAGTTATGCTGTCGAAGCGCAAGGCCAGCTTCGGTGGCGGTTTCCCATCCGGTGGTGGCCGAGGCATGGGACTTGTCGGAACTCTCGTTCTGGCCGGTATTGGCACCTACGTCGCGTCAAATGCTCTGTTTAACGGTATGTTATACTCACCTACTTAGGAAATCAAGCTTCTGACCAGTTTTTAGTGGACGGTGGTCACCGTGCCATCAAGTACTCGCGCTTGGGTGGTGTCCAGAAGGAAATCTACAACGAAGGTATGAAAACTCACTAGCCAGACAAAGGAGCTCTCTCTCACATTTGGATGACTCTAGGAACGCATTTCCAGATTCCTTGGTTCGAAACCCCGATCATCTACGACGTTCGTGCGAAGCCTCGTAGTATCCCTTCTCTTACTGGTACCAAGGACTTGCAAATGGTGAACATCACCTGCCGTGTCCTATCCAGACCCCGCGTGGAGGCTCTTCCCCAAATCTATCGAACCCTGGGACAAGACTTCGATGAGCGGGTTCTGCCATCGATTGTCAACGAAGTGCTGAAGAGCGTTGTTGCTCAGTTCAACGCCAGCCAGTTGATCACACAGCGTGAGAACGTTGCCCGTCTGGTGCGGGACAACCTGGCTCGCCGAGCTGCCCGTTTCAACATTGCTCTGGATGATGTCTCCTTGACAGTACGTACCTTCCCCTCACCTCTAGCCCAAGCAGCTTCTAACAGGGTATCTCTACGCAGCACTTGACCTTCTCCCCCGAGTTCACAGCCGCAGTTGAGGCCAAGCAGGTCGCACAGCAAGACGCTCAGCGTGCTGCCTTCATGGTCGACAAGGCCCGCCAAGAGAAGCAGGCCTTCATTGTCCGCGCACAGGGTGAGGCCCGCTCCGCCGAGCTTATTGGTGACGCCATCAAGAAGAGCAAGAGTTACATCGAGCTCCGAAAGATCGAGAATGCCCGTCACATTGCTCAGATCCTGCACGAGAGCGGTGGCAAGAACAAGCTCTACCTGGACAGCCAAGGATTGGGCCTGAATGTCAACGCCAGCACCGAAGAGGGCAAATAATTTCATTCCGCTTGATACTTAATGGCGCTGCTGGGAGGATGTGAATTATTGTACAAATAGCTGGATTACCAAGCATCTGAATGCGGTCTCTTCTCTTATATTTTTCCAAGGCTTCTGCAAATATAGTAATTCTTTGTACGTGGTGTAGACCTCTAGGGCTCATATATATTTTCTCCATGCGGGGACGAAGGCGGCGAGACGATTTTTCTGGTTCGGAGGGGCATCACTTTCGGTCTGATAACAGTTCAACACACTTGACTAGCATTGACTAGCAAGTATCACATTTAATTCGTGAGTATCAGTTGAAAAAACCAGCCAAATCCTTTTTTTTTTTTGGAAATAACTCTTCACGGACCCCCACTAACAGCACCCAGATCATGCCCGAAGTCACCGACGATACCCCAGTTCACCTCGCCGAGGTCGACATCGACCTTGACGTGCAAGAGATCCTCCTCGCCGCATCGCAACATGACCAATCCAAGCTGTGCCGCCTCCTCCGCACACAATCTATGCTGCCAGACGCCGCAAACGTCAAAGATACCGAGACCGGCTTCTCACCTCTGCACGCCGCAATCGCTGCCTGCGAGCCCGATACAGAGACCGTAGGCACCAATGGCGCAAGCACCTCAGAGTCGAACCCCAAAGGTCTGGACGCCGAGACCGTGAAGTCAGCAGTGGAGACAGTCAAGTTCCTCCTGCAGGAGGGCGCTATCTGGAACGATCTCGACGCGAACAACGAGACACCCGGCTGTATCGCGCGCCGCATCGGCGCTCTCGAGCTATACGAGTTGATCGTGGACGCAGGTGTCCGCGCAGAGTTGCTGCTGAACCGTCTCGACGCTTACGAACCGCTTTCCGATGACGACGATGAAGAAGAGGAAGAGGGCGAGAACGAGGCCGAGACAGTACCGGAACTCGTCGATGCCTCCGCTGAACACACAACCACAACGACAACCACCCCGGCCAACCCCGAAGTGTCCAACTCGCAGTATCTAGAGTCGCGCCTGAACATCTCGAACGACCGGATCCTGGACGCAGACCAGAACGGAGTGATGATGGCGTGGGAAAGCGAAATCATGCGCAAGTCCGCGACAGCACTGCTCCCGACACCGGGGCTGAAAGTTTTGAACATCGGTCACGGGATGGGCATTGTGGATGGATTCTTCCAGGAGCAGGGACCGGCGGTGCACCACATTGTCGAAGCGCACGAGGAGGTCGTTACGGAGATGAAGCGACGCGGGTGGGATACTAAGCCCGGTGTTGTTATCCACCAGGGTCGCTGGCAGGATATTCTTCCTGGTCTTGTGGCGGCTGGGGAGACGTTCGATGCTATCTACTACGATACGTTTGCGGAGTCATATGGTGATTTCCGGGACTTTTTCTCTGAGCAGGTTATTGGGTTGTTGGAGCAGGAGGGTCGGTGGGGATTCTTTAATG